TTTAGTATATCGGTACTATTTTTATCTATACGATTAGTCTATATAGGTAATTATTTTAAGAATATATTTATTATTAATCTTAAAACGCTTTAGAGAGATCTTAAAAGTATACTCTATATTATTTAACTAGTCTTATTATTATTATATAGTAAATTTATAGATAAAGACTAGAATATTCTTAATTTTAATATTACTTCTTCTTTTATTAGAGGAAGGAGGACTTTTCGGTAATAATTCGCGACCGTCTAACTCTCGGACTTATATTCGAAGATCTTAGAGTCTTTCCTTTAATCTTTTTTATTATTTAAGTAAATTAATTCGAGATCGAATCTGTCTTATTTCTTTATTAATTCGATTAATATCCGAACCTATAGTTTCTTCGGATAACTCTAGGCTAATTATAGTAATATTACTAGTTTTACTAATAGGTTCTAACGCTAGATTTTCGCGATTATTCTACCTAGCACTTTACTAGGTTACCGGTCGGAGGTTCGATAATAGTAGGGCTATCTTTTCCTTAGGTAATCGAAGAAGAAGATTTAGAAATTATAACGATTTTACTACTTATCAGGGTAGAAGGCCTATCGATTAGGTAAAGAATCGATAGCGAATAGATAATAAAATAATTATAATATAGTTCAGCCGTTCTTCTTTTTAAAGACTAAATCTTACCGATTCAGATTAAAAGGAAACGGGACACTCTCTTTTATTAGGGAATAACGATACCGAGTGATGATAAAGAATGACATAACCACTTTTAATATCAACGCTTCCCTATATCAGACCAATACGTAATCCTTCATAAGATTACTAAAATAATTAACTATATATAAAAGCTCTAATATATATAGATAAATAAATACTACTATAAAATAGATTTTAATATAGGAGATATAGTCTATATTACTATATACTATTAAAGACTAGACTATTTAAACTAGAAGCTATCGAACTAAACTAATATACTATATAAGATTATCGCTAAAAAAGACTATATATTTAGGCTTAAGCTATTTTTATCTATTAAGATATACCTAGTCTTTTCGCTAAATAAGCTATATTATATATTAAAAACTAATCTCTTACTAGATTAGATCGAGGATCTATTACTACTAGTACTAGTTAATAATTAGTAAGAATAGGAAATTAAAGAGATCCTATAGTTATATCTATATTACTAAAAATTATAGTATAAAATTAAGTAACTAGGCTATAATAAGAATAATACTTAGTATTATATAGCTAATTTTAAAAGTATACCACTAAAACTAATAGATTTCTACTAATAATAACCTAACTCCCCTAGACCCCTAAAGAACCTATAGATCTAGCTAGCTATAGTAGAAGTCAATAAATTTATTAGTAACTATATTAATAATAATATCCTAGAGTCTTAGGTAGACTGCGCCAAAAACCGCAAAACCGCAAAACCGCAAAAAACCAAACCGCAATTGGGGGGGTTTTTAGGGCCAATTCTAGAAACCGTAATAGTTTTTGGTTTCTAGGTTAGAAACCGTAATAGTTCTTGGGGCCCCAATAGTTTTTAAAGCGGGGCTAAAATATCACGTAGATAATATTCTATCGATATTTATTGGCTATATCTTAATTACTAAGCTATTTTAACTAGTTTATAACTAGTTATTATGCAGTTTTATGTAATTTTATGTAAAAATGGTTTTTGATGGTTCCCCAATAGGGAACCGCAATGGTTTATGGTTTGGTTTGGTTTTTGGTTTTAAAAACCGCAACCATTGCGGTTTGGTTTTTTGGGGGCAAGGTTTGCCCCCAATTGCGGTTTTTGGCGCAGTCTAGTCTTAGGGCGAGCCTCTTTAAAAAAGAAGGGCTATATAATATATAATAGAATAATAGATAGAGATTACCTAATAGATATAGAGTGATAGAAATACCTAACTAAGCTAACCTAATAGGGCCTATTTATATAAGCCCTCTATAAGATAGTTACTAGAGCCTCCGTAGTTTCTTCCTTCTTCACCTTCGTTGTTTCGTTGAATGCACCTGGTTACCTTTTCAGTTGGCTCTTTTCCATCATTGTAACAGTTTTACTAATTTTTACTAGATATTTATCCTAGGATTTATAGATTTAGTAGCTCCCCTAACTAAATCACAACTTTGTACTTAGCTCCCCAGCGGCCACTGGCAACTCTGACATATCGCCGTAACGGGGATATAACAGAGTATAATGGAACTCTCTCTCTCTCTCTCTCTCTCTCTGCCTGATGTATATTTCGAACTCAAATTGGTTGGCTGCCACGACATTGAACACTTGAAAATGCACCGAAAAACCCTTTTCAAAACAAAGGTCAGCGTCAATTGAAAACTAGGTAGACTGCCCAAGTTGTAATTATTGTTATAAACATGAGTTTTGAGATCGGTGTAATTGAAAAATTCGCTCAATTCTACAGTGGCTGGCTGCCGGCCTTGGGCACACCGCCACCGAGGCTTCTCCGCAACCACAAGGGGCAGAGGTGAGTAGCTAACTATGGATACTGAGTCTCAGATTTCGAGCCTGGGTTTTTATGCCAAGACAGAGAATAAGTTCGTAGAATTAAGATGCATTTTTGGGTCGCAAGTAGGTCAACAGTTTGAATCGCTGTAGCTGCAATCTGCTAGAGTGCACTTGTGACGACCGCTTTCGTATCCCTGCACAATTCCTACACTACCCAATGGTCCAATACGCAAATTTCTCCGAACGTTGCATCTGGATCTAATATTTGGGAGGTTGAATGCAAGAGCTCCTGAATTGGAGGGCTTCCTTCACTGAGCCTGGTGGATCCTTGCAGCTCTGGCGCTTGATCAGCATCATGCTATAGAAGCACACCTGGTTTCCCAGCAGGTGCCACGTAGGAAAATTGGAAGTTTACAGACGTCTCAGTGGAGAATTATGGATTATAATTTGGTCAAGTATGGAGATATCCGACGGAATCGATATATCCGGTTCACTCCCGCTGGATTTCATCGGAACAGGTGCGCTTGAACCCGCCTGTCGCAGCCACAGCTTTGAAAGATGGGGGTGCGATCGCTCCCAGTCGTAGGATGGCGTGGGACACTGAGCGAGTTCTCGGTAAGTAGCTCGCGCACTTCCTGTATGTGGGGTTTGAATGTAGAACGCTGGCGCCTACTTTCATTCAGTTGTCGCCTTGAGGCGGCAGCCCTAACCCGATGTTTGCTACGCGTGCAAGCAAATTCCCCGAGACGCCCATAAGGTCGGGTTTGCCCTATCTAAAGGAAAGTCGAGCCTACGCTCATGAATTACATTTTCCCCGACACTCATGCTCTTTGACAGATCACCAGTTTCGGGATAGCCATTGTCTCTTTCTTACAGCCGGTACCCTGTCGACCGGTGACATTTGGGCGTTGTGGCGGAGCTGCCACTTGGCATGCAGCGAAGGGTGCTCAGCCCCGGCGATCAGCACTTGCAGCCTGGTCACAATCAAATCAGGCAGACGAGAAAACGAGAAAAGCTGCCGGTCGATACGAGGAACAACAACATAACGGCAGCAGCCATCCGCAGAGGCTCAAGTTCACGGGTGGCGGGCCCACTGAGAAATCCAGACCCTGTCCCCACGGCGTTATCGTGATGTGGCTCGGGACGGAGTACAGATTGGGCCGAACGATTGTGCTCCGAGTCCACCCGCCCATTAGTGGTTGTGGATCAACAGATCGGGCGTGTTCTTCCCCCGGAAGACGGGTCCAGGAGATGTCTCCGTACCTGGCAAGGCTAGAGAGACTGGGATCTCTGAGCCTTCGGCCCTGTGGGCCAAGGCGTTCCGAACGATGGACGAAATCCTCCATGTTCTATGACTTATCATGAGCGCACTACATTCTCTATAGGCGATTCTCTAGGCGGCCGAATATCTGACGTCGCCCTGCAGTAGTACCTTCTAGCGGGAAGCTGACGATGCAGGCAGTGATTTTACTGAATGGAAGGAAGACGCCCTGGTCGCAGAGAAACCTTGAACCTTGTCGGAGGGTTGAGGCTCTGGGTTTTTGGGGCGCACCAAAAGAACGGACAGAATGAAGGCTCCGCGGACCCCGTGTTCCAATTTGGGAGCCCCGGGTGGAGCTGTGTATTTTACCCGTCGTGACGGAATCGTGACATGCGTCGACAGGGCCGGCACAGGGTCTTGCGGCGTCTGCCGCCCTTTGCCCGCCCTGTGCTCCTGGCGGTGTCAGCCCATCCGGCTGACGGTGACAATACCATACCACTCGCAAGTCCAATCAGCGGCAATTGAATGTGCTCAGCCATCGCACGCGATGCCCCTTTTGGTATTAGCGTTTTCGTCTATCAGGCAGACATCCAACGCGCAAGACCGTCTGCTCCGTCAGCTTCCTCCTGCGACGCCCTCTTTCACGATTTCCTCTCCCACCGTCGTATTTGCTTCTCGGTTTTGGCATTTTGATCTCGATATTTGTCTCCGTCCCGAACCAGATATCGCCATTTGTTGTGGATTTCGGTGGCCTACCTACCCCTCCTCGCTCCGTATCTTCTTGGCCGATTAGGGATCTCAATCTCATCTTTCGATCAACCCTTGAAAACGTCGCTCGTCTGCGCCCGCTCCGATCGCACCGATTTCTTCCATAAGTTGCCTTGTGTCCTTGTCGGCATTCCAAGGCCTTTGGAGCGCGCTATCGGTTGATTCATGAGCCAGCCGCCGGCCTGAGACGCCCATCTGCTTGATTTCTCTCTTCTTCTCGTATCCTTTATTTCAGGGCTTATCTCCCGACACTGTGTTCGCTTGATATTTTCGACGGAAAGGGCACCGGTGCCCTTTATATAGAGACTTGGTTCGACGCCGCAAGTCGGACAAATCTAGAGCCCGGGTTTAGTCTCTGACTCGACCGTACGTCAGATCACGAATCAGCTGGATCATCCATCTGGTGAGTCATTGGAAAGCAGCCAATCGTCTTGAACAATCTGTCCTCTTGGGGCACTGGGTGTAGTTGGGCTAACGCTGACGTCCCTGTAGAACCAATCCATTATGGTGTCTGCTCAGTTTGAGTCCACTCGGGTGCATCCGCGTCGCCGGCCCGTCATAAACACCTCGCTCCCCTCGCTGGCCCCCGAGTCGGAGTCGAGTACTTCCAAGATGCAACTGAAGAAGGGCGAGACGTTCCACACTTCAACGAACCCGCCGTCAAATGATCGTGATCCTGTCTTAGATATCCGGTCTCTTCCTCGTCGCTCGCCGACCTCTCTTGAGGCCATCGCCGCCAGCGAACAGCGTATGGCGTCCATTCTTGAGCGCTTGACCCTTGACGACCAGCCAGAGGAGAAGTCGTCCTCTGCTGATGACCTCCTCAGCACTCGTAGCGTCGATGAGGCTTGTACGGAGACACGGTCTCCCGTATTATCGACACTTCAGCCGTCCAGTGAGGATGGGCACGAGCTGTTCCCGGTGAAGAAGGAGCAGCAACAGCAAGATCAGAGCACCGAGTCCGACAGTGGACTGGGCTCGTCGGTTAGCAGCCGCGAAACACTCTCGGACCCGACCGAGAAAGGTGCGTGAATGTGACTTGCCCATCCCCCATCTTCCCCCAAGCCCCACCCAACTTCCCCATTAGGCTGCCTGCGTTAACATGGACCATTGTGGTAGTGAATAATGGTATTCACAATGGACAATCGGCCATCACCACTTCTATCTCTCACTTCGATGAAGGCTCTACCCCCAGGCGCCAATTATCTATTACTGCCTGTAAACAGATCGAACGCTATCTTCTCGTCCCAATTCTCAAAGAGCCCAGACTCAAGCCTTTCCACCCACTTGTGAAGAGCGTCCCGACCCGAATCGGGAACAAGCAGATTGTGTGCCTCAGAGACCTCGAGAAGATTCTCTTGTGGCTGGCTCCTGTAAGTTCACCTCGTCAGTTTTAAGTTCTTTTGGTCCTCTTTCCTTCTGGCGCCCATGCCAGTCTGCTTTTCTCGCTGCATTCTTCCTCAGTCGCCTTGGATCCAATCCTGGGCTTCCCACATCTGATCAACTCTTGCCTTGCGTTTTTCCTCATTCACGGTGTTCTGGCGTTCTGGTGCTCATATGGTCTCCTTCAGAAATTCTCGGCGTCTCGCTCCTCGTACCTGAACTTCTGCGAGTTCACGATTCAGTGTCTGCACACTTCAGCTTCTCACCTGAACGACCGCGACCAAAGACTGCCCGCTGATCGCCCATACACTAACGGCTACTTCCTCGATCTTGTCTCCCAGGTTCGTCGCTACGCGGCCATGATTCAGGCCAACCGCCAGCGGGTCCAGGCGGCCCAGAGCGCCCAGTCCGATGAGAAGAAGGTGGAGCCCACTTTGTGAGTACATCGAGCCGCAAGCTTCCTTGATTTGGGGCACCTTGTGTTGTGTCGACCGAGGATACTGACTGTTCAACAGGCTGTCCAGCGCTGCCCTCGAGGGTGGGCTCTCCAAGAACGGCCGCCCTGTCGAGCTGGTCATCATGCAGGATGGCAAGCCTATCTCCTTGGCTACCGGCCTACCTTACGATATGGATGCCCCACCCACCTTCAAACGGACCATGACTCTCGATGAGATGGCCGATGAGGGAGTCATGCGCTCCATGGCTCGCCGCAAGAAGAACGCCCCTCCCATGGATATCAATCAGAAGTGCTCTCACTGCGAGAAGGTCTTCAAGCGTCCCTGCGACCTGACCAAGCATGAGAAGACTCACTCTCGTCCATGGAAGTGCACTGATGTCACTTGCAAGTACAACCAGATTGGCTGGCCGACTGAGAAGGAGCGTGATCGCCACATGAATGACAAGCACTCCTCGACCCCAGCCATCTTCCGCTGCACGTTCCCACCCTGCACGTACCATTCGAAGCGTGAGAGCAACTGCAAGCAGCACATGGAAAAGGCTCATGGCTGGATCTACGTCCGTTCGAAGAACAATGCTCGGGCTGGTAGCAGCAAGCGTGGCTCTTCTCTGCAGGCTACTCCCGGCACCCCCAGCGTGTCTACTCCTGCTTCTCGCCAGACCGACTTCCCCACTCCGAGCCTGGGCACGACCCCGTCTCCCCACGAGCCTGCCATGTTCCCTGACACTCTCCACTTCAACTTCGCGGATCCTCCTGCGCCGGCTCGCAGCGATGATTTCCCGCCTTTCTTCGATACTGGTTTCGACAATTCGCCCTACCCATCTTCCTCTTCTGCGGGGATGAGCAATGACCTGAACTTCCCCTCTACATTTAACCTCGACAACTTCCAGACTCAATTTGAGGCCGGTGACCCCAATAGCCTCATTCCTCAGCTGGAAATGCACCGCCAGTCGATGAATTCGATGTCGGTTCCCTCGACCGAGTCAGTTCCCGACCTCATGGGTCCTTCCCTCTCCTTCGACGGGTCTCCCCTAGCCACCACCGACAACACCAGCATGAATTTTGATCTTGACTGGAGCAATTTGGACATGTCCAACATCACCGACGACTTTACTGCGTTCCAGATGCAGCTGCCCACCCCTGCCCTCTCGGAGAACCAGGGCCAAGGCTACAAGGCGTTCCCCAACGACCCGATCATGATGAACCGGGCTCCCGATAACCAACTCGCGGGTGCTTCTGTGAAGGTGTCGGGCCTCTCTCCGGGTGCTCAGGGTAACTTGATGCTCTACTCTCCTGACTCGGGCATGTCGGATGGTAAACTCGCCGGCACCTATCAGTACGGTCTTCCCAAGGTCCAGCAGCCCGCTACCGACTTCACTCTCTACAGCGACCCCACTCCTCAGATGCGCCCTGCCATGCACCCTGCCATGCAGTCCAACCAGCAGACACGCCAGCATGCATCTCAGGCCCAGGGCCAGAACCCGATCCAGACGCAGTTCGTCCAGCAGCAGCAGCAGCAGCACCTCCGGCAGGGACAGCCGCAGCCACAGCCGAACGCGGCCATGTTCCCGCCGCTCAACGACCGCGATCTTGCGCTCATGAATATTCACTCCTGGACCGAGACTCAACAAGCGATGAACCCCGAGGCTTACTTGCCCCACGACATGGATCTGGAGTTCATGAAGATGGAGTAGCTGCCCTTGCTTCATACTGCCTCTGCTACTTGCGACTACCCTTTCCCCCAAGATCTGCGATCTGTGGGGGCTCTGACGTCTTCTGTGTTTCCCACGTACAATTAAGCAAGCGATCTGTGGCTACTGATTTTCCTTTCTGATCTGATTTCTACATATCTTGATTGTCCTTTTCCAATGTATTTGGGGGGTGGGATGGGTTTCTTTGGGTGTGTGCCGCTCCCGCAAGGGGATGTAGCGTGCACTCCGGGATCTGTTCTGACTGCCCATGGGTGGAACCAGTACCTAATGATGCGATATGCAAGACGCAAATTCTAGCAAATTCAAGCAAAAATTTTCTTATCTCGGTCTTTTCCCACCCGTAACAGTAGGATAGTCGCATTCTTCTCGCGTGTCCTCGTGCTAGCTTCTATCCCTGTCGGCTCGACCGCATGATCGTCAGCCTCGTACATCTCATCCGCCTGCCCGCCAACGAATGCCAATGCTGGGCGCAGGTGGGGAGAGAGGCCGCGTCAGGGTGGCTAACTCCGCCTGAGCATGTTTAGCGAGGACCCGGCTATGATCTCACTTTCCTCGCGCCCAGGTCCAACCTCTAACTGCGGAGGATGGTAGTGCCACTTGACCCCCTCATATGCCGTTCACCGTAACGAGGTTGAACAAGTGACAGATTAATTTCCCCCTCTTGCTTTTGCGGTGATGAGGAGAGCAGTGGGATAGATCTGGCAGAGTCGAGCGAAAGGAGGTGGGCTTATGGGCCTATGGCATGCATCGATATTTTTAAGTCCCGTAACCGTGGACTGGCTGAGGCTAGGGACCTGCCACACATGTCATCCGCGGGCTAAGACGACCGACGATCCGGACAAAAGTGGCTGGGGAAACCCCATGGGTCGTCAGGGCCCCCGCCCTGACGGACCGGGCGAGAAGCGTATCGCAGGGCGTTGCGCCGGTGCGATCTAATACCGCCGGTGACGACATTAGTCCCCCACCACCAAGATTTCTGTCACGTACTCACCCTTTCTCACCTCCCAGCACTCCTCCGCAATTACTCTCTCAAGCGTGGACGAAACCCAGCAGACAATACCCCTTCGGCACATCCGCCCTCCACCAATCGGCACGCCTCGCTCAAAAAAGCTCAGGGGGTTGCTGTGGGGTGGTGCAGGGCTCGGCCACTATTGAATCTCGGCGAGAGCACCAGGCCAGGCAGACGAGTTCCCCCTCCCATCTCACCACAACCACCACCTCTTTTAAGCTGCGTGCGTGTGCGACGGATCCCAGTGACTCTGCAACCTTTCCGACCGCCGACTCGCGCCCAAAATGTCGGAGCCCCACGACAACGCCGTCGCCAACGGCAGTCAGCCCGGAGCTGGTCAATTGGCCACCCCACCGGATGGCCAGGTCCTGACGGGCAAGCAGGAGCACTGTAAGTTGGCGACGCAACATCTGAGGGACACCCGAGGGATACGCTAGATCGCTGTTTGTGCTGACGTCGTTGGTTCGTTGTGCTACAGATCTCAAGCGTGAACTCATCGCCCGCCAGGTCAGCAGCGAAATCTCCGAGCTCAATTCCCCCACCGCACTACAGCGCTTTGGGGCACCGTTTCGGTCGGAGTTCGGCGAGGTTGCGCCTGTCGACTCGGAGCTGCCCATCTTGCGGTATATCTTCGTGCACCATGTTCGCAATTTCCCATTCCTCAATCAAGCGCAAGAGAAGCAGTTCTGGCAGGATAAGCTACAAGTGGTGGGTGTTTCCGCCTTCCCCCTTCCCCCGGGAGTGGAGAGGTATACTACACACGAAATGGTCTTAACGTGGTCCCGATGACTAGTTTCTCGAGTCCTTTGCCAACAAACATGTCTCGTCTTCGGAGGACCGGCTGGAAGAGACGAAGCGCCGGAAACTGGCCCGCAAGTGCGAGAAGCTTGTGGAGCTGATGATGGTTTCTGGTGTGCCCACCGCATCGGGATACGAGGAGCGTATTCAGTTCTCAGAGATGGAGGTCGTGGACCGTGGCGCGAACGATAATGGACTGCTGGTCAACATGCCCGAGGGCCATGCGATCAATAGCTGGGATGTCAACGTGGCAGCGGTGCGGGTGACGTCCGTGAAGCGGACGGTCCGCTACCATCCTCACGCGGTGAGTCGACACGCCCCAGAATAGTGCTCCAGAAGGCAAGGTCAAGAAGATGCTGACACGCGTCACCACAGGAATTCATCATCCGAGTCCGTCGAGAGGGCAAGGGAGGCTTCCATATAGGCCGCAGATACGGCGAATTCGTCAAGCTGCATCGCAGACTACGCACCGAGTTCCCCGGCAAGCACCTGCCACCTCTTCCGCGCAAAAACAAGTCCTCGACCACCTCCAGCTGGTTCGGGTCTGCAGACGACGACAACTCGTCAGTCTCGTCCAACTCGACACAAGATGCCAGTGTATCCGACGAGCCAACTTCAACTACGGGTTCAACTCTCGCCCCTGGACGAGTTCATCGTTCGGTTTCGCGAAGCTCTTTTACGATCGACCAAATCCGCGCGTGTGTCGGCGGAGATGGTCTCACGGGAGACGGTCTTGTACCGTGAAGAGCAGCGCGTCTCTCTCCGTGCGTTTCTGCGCACGATTTTGCAGAACAGGCGGATTGCCGAATCCAAGGCAGTGGAGGACTTCTTGACTGCCAAACCTATCACCCTGAACGAGGAGGAGTGGATCGATGTGCAGCGGCGGAAGGAGATGGACGCGGTCAGGATCGAGGAGCAGAAACGCTTCTACGAAATTGCCAGACAACGTGCCGCCGAACTGGATGTCTACATGGAGAAGTTCCGGAGGGATATCGTCGAGAGCAGTATGCACACACTTCGCTTTTGATGCCTTGATGATTGTCCTAATGTGCTCTTACCAGATGGGTTAACCAAGCTTTTCACCGAGATTCGGGAAAAATCGTGCATTGCGGAGCTTAGCCCGCAATATCAGAAGTTTGCCGAATGGTTGCGGATTGAGTAAGTCCTATAGGCTTCTTCATGTGCGTGGTGTCCCTTGACTGACTGGAGCAGGGTCGCTGCCACTGTATACCACCTGTTCCTTGCCGAAGATAACTCGCCCGAACTGTTCGCCCAGGCCAAGCGAATCCATGGCCTTGTCCCTTATACACTAATGAAGAATGTGATTCGCATCGCCAACCCTGCAGCGGTTATGCACGGTGTTCTGGACCTCTTCCTTGCCCAGCCCTTTGGCTCGCGGTCGCTGCTGCAACGGATCTTCTCTTTGACTCTGAACGACAGTATCAAGGACTTCGCAAAGTCCATCACTTCAGTGGCTGCTAAAGTTGACGACCCTGTGCTGACCCAGAAGCTCAAGAGTTTCGTGGATGCCGAAGAGGTCGTCAAGAATGAGATCCGCGAAGAGGCCAAGACGGAAGACGTCGACATCATTGTCGCTATTCTGCGCTCCGAGCTCATTCAACCCGGGCTGACCCCAGAGCAAATCGGCAAGGTGTTTAACGGCTGGGTGGCATGGAATCATGCCGTCGACCATGTCGACCTGGAGATGCAACAGGGTGCCCAATGGTTCGCCAACATGAAGCAGCTCCTGAAGCTCTACACCCGCCAGCGCGACAAGGCGATGATGCTCAGCATTGTTGAAGAGCCCGTCACTTTGCAGCTTTTCCGCGACCTCTTTACCATCTTCTACGAGCCACTCGTCCGCGTGTACAAGTCCGCCAATGTGTACAGCAGTATCACAGACTTTGCCCTGTTTGCTGACGACGCGATCTCTGTGATCGAGAGTGCCCAGCGCCAAGATGCCTCGGCCGACCCAAACCAGACAGTCCAAGCCTTCATTGATCTGTGCGCGCGCCACGAGGACAACTTCTACAAATTCATCCATGAGGTGCATCTTCACGACAACGGCCTCTTCCAATCGCTCATGTCCTGGATCGAGGAGATCCTCGATTTCCTGCGCAAGGGTCCTAAGGGCGGCAAGATGGACATGAACGCCCTATTCCAGGGCGCTGTGGGCGTCGGCCAGATTGACAGGGACATTGCGCTGGCAGAAATCAACGCCCTGATTAAATGGCAGGAAGACCGCAAGAAATGGCACCTGAACAAGACGCGGCAGAAGATGGCTGCCGAAGGGACCACCGGCGAAGCGATCCCGGGCACGACCACCTTCAAGGGCAGCGACTTCGGTCTTGACGAGGTACGTCCAGTCTAATCCCCTTCCCCTTCCTTTCCCTTCCCTCTTTCTCGCTTTCCCAATACCTAACGACTCTATTATAGGCCGACCTAGAAGACCTTACCATCTCCGACGAAGCCTCTGACTCTGAAGACGAGGACGAGCATGACGACGAACTCGACGACCCGATTGCCGTCGAGCGCCGCCGCCGCATCAAGAAACAGGACCAACTCCGCCGCACCGCGGGCGAGCCCGTTAAGCCAGAGGTCACCGAGGTCCTGAAACTGACGGACCCGTTCGTGGTGATGCTGCGACATGTGCTGGCTGATTAGATTAATTTTACTTGTGCTTGCTTGCTTCTTTTTCAAAGCCGTGCCACGAATACCATCCATATGTTTTTGATTCGTGATGATTTCTGTCTAGGGGGCCCCTGGCATTTGTGGAGCCTTCTTGCTGTGTGCTACGTTGCTGCTTCTTGTTACTTCAGACCAGCGGTATTGGGAAGGTGGGTGGTTATGGGTGGTTATGGGTGGTTACGGGTGGATTTGCTTAGAGACCGGCGAGGTTGGGAGAGTACTTCCAGGCATGAGGAGGATGAGTCACGCATTAGATCGATGGGGAGAACCATGATACATATTATACTCGGATACAGTGGCCCACGATGCAATTAAAAGGTATCTTTTGTACGTTTCATGAGCTACTTCGTCTCGTAAAGGGCTTCAATCCATGGTACGGAAGGATGATGAGAACGCAGCCACCACACACACACACACACAGAGAGAGAGAGTGACTGTTTGCTCTATTGATTGGAACTAGGGGACCTCTCATCCAGTTGGAGAGCTGGCCACACGGACCCATCGGGATTCCCAGCAGATATAGTATCTAGGCCATTCAGCAAGCCTGTATATCGATCGGGGAACGCCAAGAATTCCTGCATCAAAGGCTCGTGCAGCGCCATCTCCGTCGTCATGTGGGGTTCATTCTCAGAAAACGCGCCATCAGGATCGAACTGATCCGACAAAGTGGAATCCAGCCCACTGTTTAAGGAAACAGGTAGCTCTGACTGCAGAGTGTGGGAGTTTCCGGTTGACGATGAATCTGTTGCAAAACATCCGCCCTCCAAATCTCGTCGAATAAGCTGAAGGTGCTCGAACAGATCGGTCGCCACGAGGCTCCCTTTGATCCGGAGGGTTCTCAACATCTCTGTCACGGTTTCCACGTATGTAAAGTCACTTGTCTTTCCAAATGGAACCAGGCTCGATATGATGAGGATCAGACCTGATGTGAAGACATAGTGGGGAAAAGCGTAGCCATATATAGAGGAAGAGCCGTCTGTCCATTCATCGAGACAGAGATCTAGACTGTGTCTTGCAGCCCGAATGCACGCCTCTCCCAAGGTGATCAGAACGGGTGAATTTGTAACCGCAGTGCTGGCGTCGGCTTTCGAAACAAGTATCAGAACATGTAAGAGCACCGGCCGGGTGGCAAGGACGAGGCACTACACTCGTAATCATCCATAAGCACTCATAAGCATTCATCTGTGGTTCTAGGGTAAGCCCTCAACGTACATAATTGAACTGTAGGTGAATCAGGATGACGTGTTTGGGACTGGGACTTTCCGAGCGAAGTCGGACCTGGTCAGGAAGATCCCGCACCCATTGCTTCAGTTTAATCAGCAGTTTTCTCTCCCGGCTGAGAAAGCTTCCCAAATGGGAGCTTCGGCTATAGATATTTTGAATGATATCTCCCGAGATCCGCGCGAGGCCAATAGCGGCTCTCTGATAAGAACTGTCGGCGAATTGCTCTTGATATGTTTCCAGGGCTAGATTGGAGGGCATCTCAACGTGGATGTCTTCGTCGTGTGTTTGGGCCGGCAGGCCGAGTTTACAGCTCCAAAAACGGTCAAAAATAAAAATGGTCCACCATATACGCACGCGGTGTTCCCGACGCAAGGCATCCACCGATTGATCCGCTGGGAGGCTGTGGTTCAAACCACATCCCAAGGCAGCCCGCAGCGCTTGGCCCACCAGTGAAAAGGCGGTTTGCCCTCGATTCAGAAACTGGCTGTATAGGGCCTAGGATAGCATTGTCAGAAACAGAAAACTAACTTCCCCGCTGAGAGGAATGGAGGAATGGAGGAGGCCAATCATACCAACGCTAAGAGCCCTTCGATATGAAATATACTTGGGTTTTCCGGGAACAGCGCGATGAGACTCATAGCACGCATGTAGTAGGATAACCCTGGCACTGGACCATCTTTTGATACCAAGAATGGGGTTGAATAAACCTCGCCGAGGGCGAAGAGAGCAAAGTATTTACAGCCAAAAGCCGTGTCGTCCAATGCTGTTCTATGATAGCTGTCCTGGAGTTGATCCAAGGTGTCCTTTCGAAGGGCCAGGTGAAAGAGCGGACTGGTGTGCCGAAGTGCAGTTTTCACCAGCAGGTGCGCTTGAGCCAGTGGCGGCCATTGAGTTTCCGCATGTAGGAGAGAGATCAGGCTTGAGTCATCCACTTGTCGCATGGGTGGAAGGGTCAAGGGGGAGACATCATCGCCTCGCAAAGACTGGCACAGGCGGATAGCGAACGTGATGGAAGATGCCTCGCTGACATATCTGGGGAGTGCAGATGCATCGTGTGAGAAAAACCATGCTCGATTGCGTATAAGAGGATTCTGGACGCTCGACTCAATCTCCTCTGCAGGGAGATTATCGTGGGTCATGGACGGGTCCCGCGTATCATTACTGCCCGCAATTGCTCTTTGAGTGCGAAGCTCACGGCTATCTGAAATGAGCTGTTCCAGATAGCTTTGAAGAGATCCGGTCAGCTTAAGGTGATAGGCTTCGATCGATGACGGATGGGGCATCATGCTCCCTTCTACAACATACCTCTCATCGATTCGGACTTTTCGATCACGGACCGCGTACCTGCATTGATTACCTTGTCCAGCTACGCGGCACCTGGAGCACGGTCGTTCTCCCGAGCATTTGCTCTTCTGTGCGTGACATCTATTGCATCTATTGATTGATGGTGAGTGGAGATGTTCGGGGACGGAGATAGGCAAATCAAGCTTACGCGACCGGCCTCTTGGGCTTTGTTGTATCTCTTCCGTGGCCAGCTCGCCGTGGCCTCGGAGATTCTTGAGACATGCTGATACTCTCCAAACTGCTGTGACTACGGATTTCGCGCACCTGCTGCGAATGGGGAACCTTTCCCGGCGGAAGTCTTCCATCGCCGATTGTCTGTCGGCGGTGTTTCTCGTTCGCCGGACCAGATGACGTCATGGCGTGCACGCAGAGACTGCTTCGAGTAGTTTGATCAACAAGAATCAATGGGGAGTCAACAGCGGAGCAGATACTACGGCGTCTGTTCCATTTGTAGATATGCGGCTGTCTCAAACCTCGCGTTAGGGGCAACTCTGATAAATGGTATTCGACATTACGAACACTTTCGACTCCAGAAGATGAGTGAAAGCGGCATCAATGTACTCTATCATGCTGGCACATATCGTCAGCAAAATACAGCACATTTTCTCCAGATGGTATGACTTACAAGGTCCAACTCAAGGACAGGAAAAATCGAGACCCATGAATACCGTTCCTTGTATCGGCGTCTCATAGTATGGTTCTATGTCCACAAATCCATATTGGCGATAAACCTTTTGCGCCGCCGCCATTTCCGGCAAAGAATCCAGATGAATTCCACAATACCCCATGTCCTTTGCTCGATTGACGATGCATCTGACAAGCTGCTCGCCGATGCCCTCTCCTCGAGCGCTTGGTATGACGAACAGGCGTTTCATTTCACACCAGCCATTGAGGCTTTGGCGAAGCGCAACACATCCGACGGCCGTGGAATCTGTCGCACAGAGAGGGGGGCTAGTTGTTGAGCACCTGGTCCTTGCGTTGGTCGCTTTATCGCCCGTCCCGTCTAGTCGGGCTATGAGAAGAGCCCCTCCTTCACAGTCTGTATATCTTCCTGGTAGAGAGTCAAGCTCTCGCTGAAAGTCTTGAAATGTGAGGTCAATTCCGAGCGAGGACGCATAGTCGGAGAAAAGGCAGCGGAGGGCCTCCGTGTCTTCGGGGAACCTCGCCGGTTCTATCGTGACCGCCATTCAAGAATGAAGTTGAGTCACGTTGGTGGAAGCTTGTAAAATGAGAACAGAGTGTTTTTCTTGAAAGAGGACGCTCGATACCCTCAACAGCATTAACACAGCTCGCTCTGTAAAAAGTAGTCCGAAGGACCTCGAACGTCCTTGTGCCAGGCCTCAGGGGATGGTCGATGGTGAGAGGCAGATGATATCTCTTGCTTGGAGAATCGTTTCGGCAAAGGTGTTTCCGGACCGTTCTTCCCACGCGGCTAACTTGTCATCCGCCGGGCAGCCAACATCCAATTATGGAAAAGGCCATATTGTATTGTCGTTCCGATGGGACGCCAATTTTTAGCCATCTCTTGTGACGGAAAATTGTTATACACTTGCTGGCGATAAAGGAGCAAATTGTGTGGTGTCACAATATGTACAATTATTTCCTAAGAACTTGACTATGAATGCACCCACAAGGATGCGTGCACTACGTACAATACCGTAGTCCTTGCGAGCTTCTCTTTATTCAGTTCGATCCTTAGACCGGAGCCAGTGGGGCGCAATAACACTTCTGTTTGCCCATTTCAGCGCACCATCGACAATAACATCTTCATCGTGACGCTTCCGTGGCCAGTGCGTATCGCAAAGTCGAGGACTCGAGGTTGGGCAGCAAAGTCACCGTACCACTCGCCTAACCCATATGTGTCATCTGTGATAAACTCGATGATGCTGCACAAGGCGAACGGTTCGTGCACGCCACACTGTTTAGCAATGGCAGGCCACGGACGACCACTGGTGTGAAGCCGATCTCTTTTCTGACCGTCTGTGGAGACATTATTGCCGGTTCAATCAAATGACCAGCTAGGACTGTCGTACACAGGAAGTTGATTGCTCATGGTCAACAACTCCTTGGACTCCCTACATATTGGACCATCTTTTGGGGGTCGAGCTAATCCGGGCAAGAGATACCATTTTCCAGATATTATCCGGGCGCTGAGCTCGGAGAAAGCAGCTTGGCAGTCCGGAAAAAGCTCCTACAGCCAAGCGTTGTACCCCGCAAGGGCCGGTGGTCTTGGCTTCAGTTAGCCTGCGGGTTATTTGTTGCCCTCAAGGAGGGCTTCCGCGGCAGACGGGGTGGTGACTGGATTACCCGTCAGCTCAGAGCACGCGTCCACGAATTCCTCCGCAGATTTCCCAGAAGGGCCCAGTGTTGTGACTATCATGCGGGCATTCAAAATGAAGTGCCTCCAATCCCCGCATTCTTGGCTATCAGGCCCACAAAGTAAGCCGGTTGCCAAGGCGGGGGATCTGGGGGTCGCAGCAGTCCGAGTTATGATTAGCTGGCTGGCCGTGCAGCTCAGCTACTGCCCATCTGTCTGCGCCAAGCGTGGATATCCGAGACCGTGTATATATCCTCCCACCGCGGCCGATCAATTATGGTCAGACTCGGAGACATCTTTGCTGAAGCAGGTTGCCCGTGCTTCCTTGAGCACTGCCAACTGGAATTGCTGCATCGCATCGCACCGCAACCTACCGCATCTCGCAGCCATGGCTCCGAGGTCTATTCGCAAGGATGATGTTGAAATCGCGGATCAGCCTTCTCATGTCGAAAGCGTCCCGAAAGGTTCCCATGTCGCAGAGATCGGGACCTTTCGCGTTGTTGGCCTGACCCCAGATGATGAGGCATTTTATACCAGCTTCTCAGAGGAGAGTAGAAAGAAGGTCTTTCGCAAGGTAAGTGTGACTGGTCGCCCATGTGTAACATGACGGCAGCTGATAATTTTCAATCAAGGTGGATATTCGCCTGATCCCCATGTTGGCCGTACTGTACTTGATCAGCCATATTGATCGTGCCAACATCGGGAATGCCAAAATTGAAGGCATGGTTGAAGATTTGGGCATGACGGGGGTTCAGTATAACACTGTCCTTTCGATTTGTGAGTGATGCCTTGGACAAAGCCTGGAAATCATGATTCTTTGATGGTGTAAAGACGACGGTCAATTCAGAGGGGACTGATGTCCATGCTGTAGTTTTCGTTCCCTACGTGCTACTCGAAGTTCCCAGCAACATTATTCTGAAGACATTCAAACGCCCTTCCACATACCTTGGCATGCTCGTCCTTAGCTGGGGTATTATCATGACCTGCACTGGCCTGGTCAAGAACTTTGCTGGTCTTATGACTACTCGAGTTCTTCTGGGTATCTTCGAGTGAGCAGATCTGGCCCCGCAACTTTTTGGATAACGAACCATACTTATATGTTGCCGTACAGGGCTGGTTTCTTTCCGGGAGCGATTTATCTTTGTTCCTATTGGTACATGCCCAAGGATCTGGCTCTCCGGATTTCATATTTCTACTGTGCTAGTGCGCTGTCTGGTGCCTTCTCTGGCCTGCTAGCCGCCGCCATTGCTCTAATGGACGGTGTTGGAGGTCTGGAAGGATGGCGGTGGATTTTCGTCTTGGAGGGCCTTGCTAGTGTGGTCTTGGGTGTTATGTGTTTCTTCCTCCTCATCGACACACCCTGCCTTTCCACGCGTTGGTTATCTGCTGAAGAAATCAGATACCTCGAACTTTCCATGTTCATCAAACAAGGAGGCACTAGCACCGAGGAGACTGGCTTCAAGTGGAGAGACCTGAAGAAGGTGCTCCGGAACTGGAGGATTTATGTCCAGGCTTATTTCTTGCTCTGCCAGTCAGCCTTGTCTTACGGTAAGATAATTTCCGACTGTATGATCGGCATTCTGATTGATGCTCATCCGTATGTACGATCAGGTACCAAGTTTACCCTCCCAACCATTACCAAGGCAATGGGCTTCAGCAATACCAACGCTCAACTTACCTCTGCCCCTCCATATGTTGCCGCTGCAATCTCGGCTATCATCTTTGCGCGACTATCCGATCGCTTTTACTGGCGAATGCCTTTTGTGGCCATCCCAATGGTCATTGTCTCTGTCGCGTACGCCATCATCCTGTCGCTGAATGGAGCCCTGGAAGCAAGGAAAGGAGTGGCCTATTTCGCGGTCGTTCTCGCCGTCATTGGTATCTACCCCATTCAAGCGGCTGCCGCTTCTTGGAATGCGAATAATATTGCTCCCTCGTCACGACGGGCTATCGGTATTGCCCTCATGAATTGTGTTGGTAATATCGGCGGCATCATCGGTAGCTTCATGTACATCGAGAGTGAGAAGCCCAAATACCACACAGGCTTTGGACTCAGTCTCGCCTTTGGTGGAGTTGGACTATTTGTCGCTCTTTTCCTCGAGTGGAGCTACAAGAGGGGCAATGAAAAGAAGGCCCAGTTGGCCGACGACGCAAGAGTTAGGTATACCGAGGACGAGCTGTTTGACATGGGAGATAAGTCTCCACTATTCAAATATGTCCTGTAAATGATCTTGTTTAAGAGCAGACAGGCGGTATATGAATGAATTTTGCACTTGTGGTTCCCCAGTACAGGCAGACGCTCAGTTCTCTGCGGAGTTTCTACTCGCAATGTCGCAATGGCGCTGGAAAATGTCTATGCCTTTATAATGGTACTACTCATGGCGAGTATTTAGCGGCATTATGATAGGCTGACTTGAGAAGACATTTTGATTTCATATTTCCATAGTACCTGTACACTCCTGGAGACGGAAGTTCTTGGGATTCTCCTTTCGAGTGTCACAATCGTCTTGTTCTTTCCTCTAATGCCTGGCAGATGCCACCAATATTTCTAACAACGCAAGTTTTATCTACTCTCAAGTCGTTTTTCTTATCCACCACATCATTCTTGCTTTTTCTCATGTTTGACCTCGCTTTGATATTGATAGTCACATCAACCATCTCCACAGACGTATTGATCTAATATTCTGGCTACCTCCAGGTTCGCATACAACTCCGCAATCCCTTTAGGCGTCACTCCCTGTGAGTCCGCCAGACATGCATCGATACCCTCCACCTCCAGCAGCCTCTTAACAATCTTTGAATTGCCACGTAAAGCAGCGAACCACAGTGCCGTCACGCCAGTGATGTCCGTGAGGTTCACATCCGCGCAGCGCACCCCAGCAAGCAGAGATTGAACGATCTCAAGATGACCTTTTTCCGTAGCAACCATCAGAGGTGTGATGCCGTGAATGTTGCCCAGGTTCGGATTTACCCGGTGGTTTGTCATGAGGATAGAGACCATCTCCGGTAAGCCGCACTCTGTCGCGCGGAATAGTGGGGTTTTGCGCTGCCAATTGTCGTTTTGGTTGGGGTCGGTTTTATCCCACTCCAGAAGAAATTGAACGACCTCTTGGAGATTGCGTTCGACCGCCACCATGAACGCCGCATGTTCATTACCCGAGATCCCACTCACATCCCCGTTGGGGTTCAGCTTGTCCCCATAGAATGAAACCATGTGCTTCATGATATCGACCTGACCACAAATAGCGGCGCTGTAGAAGACCTGCTGGCAATGTTCTCTATGATCGTGTCCGTCTAGTATGAGCCTCAGGTGAGCCGCAAGGATCAAGGGAGTATCTGAGGTTTTCATTTGCGCGGCCCTGGACAGTGGTGTTCGCCCGTTTGTGTCTGGCACTCGTGGGTTGATTCTTGGGCAACCTAGCAACACGGGTATCAAATCAGGCTCATTAATTACGGCTGACATGAGCGCCGTCTCCCCATTTTTGTCCTGAAGATTGACATCGACGCGATCCTCCTTTAGCAAGACGCGTAGAGAGGAGATATTGTTCTTCTTGACTGCCCACGTAATAGCAGGGCAGATATACATCAGGTCGCGCGAGTTAGGGTTCACGTCTTCACGAATCAGGAGAAGACTCAACACATCCACAGAGTCATAATATGCTGCTAGTAAAATTGGCGTAGCGCCTTTGATGCTTCGGACAATGTTCATCGTGGTCTGTGGATCGGTACCGGCTTTGAGTGCTTTGATGGCAGTCGCTGCTTGATTATGGATGGCGGCCCAACAGAGTGCATAGGGTGTCTTTTGTTTTGCATCACAATAATACATCTCGGTGTTCAATGTCGCATAATGTGTTCTGCTGGCCCGTACAAACGCGTTGAAGTCGCGTGTACTTGTGAGATATCGGGTAACATAGAGCAGGAGCTCTGGAGGCAGGAACATCGGAGGGCGGGTGGACGGTTCACCCATTCTGCAAGATGGAATAGACAGTCCTAGTTGGCAGCTAAGACAAAGCACAAGTTTTTCGATCGAAAAGTTAGGCAGTTTGTGCGTGTACTGATGGAGTGAGGGTGGCCGAAGTGTCAGGAGTGCACAATCCAGTTTGGATCTGCAGCCTCATACTTTCAGTGTGCGTTCCGACCACTCCAACTCGGAAGGATGATTCAGGCGCCGGTACCACAGCAAGAAGAATCCGCTCAGAATTGAAGAAAATGACGGAGTCAGACCAAAGTTCCACCTTCAGGAAAGTCGCCGCCAAACCTCGAGAAGTGGGCATAAAAACGATTTACAATCAAGGCCACCGTCAAGGTTCGGTGGTGTAGAGACAGATGCCCTGCCTCGTTGCCGCATCTAAGTATAATATATGGGTGTAGTTCGCGGCGCAAAATAGACAGGCTGGATAAATCCTGCTAGGCATGAAGAATAAAGCCGGCGACAATTTGGGTGCGTTATAGGTACCTAGACCATGGACGTTAGTGGACCAATGAACAACAAAAATCTCGTGAAGCGAGTCCCAGATGAGAACACAATGGATATCTCAGAGTGGAAGCCTGGGAAGGTTAATGGACCTTACGCAGAAAAGATCGCTTTCCTCCAGGAACAGTTGGGAAGGGGCTGTGGTCTCAATGGAGGATATATGGTAATTGGACCGTCGCAGGGTTCGGTAAGTCCAGGCAGACTCTCAAAGACATACATGAATTGAAAGTCTCTTAGGTTTATGTAAGGAGACTAAGCATCGCTTTCGAAGGACCAGAAAGCTGCCCAGCGTTAGGGAGAAGGAGGGGGGAATGACGTGGGGTCGCAAAGGTATGGTGGGGCCCGATAAGATAAGGGTTTCCATGGCGACAGAGGGCCGACCGAGAACGTACCTCAGCAGCATCAACCCAGTCGAGTCTTACCTCACCAGCATCCCTAGGGACATGAGAAGCGATGATATCTTCAAGCAAAATGGTCCCAAAGTCACCGCGCACAGCGGTGCCCTTGCACGGCCTCTTCAAAGAGGGCATCTGGTGCTGTAACTGTCCAGCCCGGCCACCCGCAGCTCGGCGCCAGACGAAGAATGGCGGAAAGAACCATGGGCGATGGTGTGAGTTTCTGTTGAGGATGTCAGGAAACACATAAATGAAGCTTGTGACTAACTCCAAACCTTCATAGTTTATACCTGCGCGCAGCTGCCCCCGAGAAAGTGCGGCTTCTTTCTTTGGGCTGACGAAGCCGAGCCCCGCGAAAAAGCCGTCGTCCTTTCGAACTCTCGAACCGAAATTGATCCCCTTGACTCTTTCATGCGAACTCCTACAAAATCAACTTTGGGCGGGCCCAACGGCTTGTTGACTCCTCAAACTGAGCGTCGGGTAATCGACATTCCACCGCGCCAATTCAAGTCGCCACCAAAGACCGCGAAGGCGAGAATGATGGCGGAGGACTCTGACGAATTCGGTTGGAACCAAGACTCTGATGATGATGATGAAATTACGCAAGCGTTATTATCCAGTCAGGCGACTGAGCCTATACTGTCACAACCGATCTTCTACCCAGAGTTGGCCGTGAAGGTCCCTCGTACACCTGGAACGACATCTCCGGGAAAGCGCAAGCTATCGGAGTTTGCATTCGATCAGTCCAATAGCACTCACTCGGAAATACCAACCCCAACCTCGACTCGCGCTTCTCAGTCATCCCGATTCCCGCCATCTTCGGCGGAGGTGTGTATGACGCCGACACCAAGCAGAAACCGCGATCTGCTCAGCTCAGACTCGAAGCCCGATGAATCGGATCTTTTTAGACAGGCCAGCGCTATACTAGAGACGCATGGCGTTGTGTTACCAAATCGCGCGTATGATCAGCTTGTCCAGCTTCTCAATAGCCATGATATGAAATTGAAGGGTGTCAATCGTGCGCGGGACATTTTGCGCACAGCAATGAAGAAAAAGGAAGATGAGATTCTCCTTTTAAAGGAAAAGAATACGAATCTGCAGGCGCAAAATGAGATGGATCGGAGTATCATCAATAGTTTTAATCGTTGAGCTGGGATCTGTTCACATGCGTCGTTCGTGATGCTGGCTATCATGGCAGCATGTGAATGTTTTTTATTATTATTTTCTCCCCATTTTCCTCTATGCGGTCTGTTTTGAATTAGTCTTTTTCGGTTCCAGCGTCCGGGCAATTTTCAGTTAGCATAATGGCGCTATGATTTATATTGAAGCCCATACGATCCCCTCATGAGCACTAAATCAGTTGACATACATCACATTGTGTGGGGTTCTCCGCCCACAATCCTCATGTGTGAGTCCTGGGGCCAGGGCATGCTTTCCTCGATTGCCAGCTTCCCCTCCCTTTTCTTATCTTCGCGAACCATTAGCTTTCGTATCATGTCAACAACTTCCTCCGACATCTTGATCTTTCTAGAAAGGCATGGCATCATGGCACATTGCGGCAACCCAGGAAGATTATCAGGCAGTCGCGTATGTCAATCAATCCGTTACGAGGTCGTCTTTGGCGCGGAAACTGCAGGGCCACCACCAGTATGGTCGCCAGGAATACCTGCCCCAACGTTTTGAGCATTAACTCTCATTGAACCGCGAAGTCAGCAACTTGTCAATGCATAATGTGTCGCAAATGGAGAGCTAGCCTTCTAGCTCAATTCGTCGCCATCAAGTCAGAGCAAATTGTCCCGCCTTTATCGTCCTTTGCCTCTTACAAAGGATATTTTATGGACTGCGATAGTTCATTGATATGGGGATCCAATGACAAGAAAGATGGATTGGAGCTTTTTCTTGGAACCATATATGAACGATGGTTGGTCGGCAAGGAGGTGGAGGGTTCGGAGAAGAGTCTTAAGCATGGCATGACTTTCGAAAGGAAGGGCTCTGTAGGAAAAGAGCTCTGCAGGCCCTCTCAGTTCCAATTCTATTGTGAGAATGAAATTCCTGGCGTCACCGATCTTCTTCCTCGCGGACGGAAATTGCTTCAGGTAATAAGGACGGTCTCGCCGTGTCTGATTGTTGAACATGATTTTGGGTTACCTCACAACTGCATGACCGGAAAGAGAGGGGAAAACGTATATGTTATTTAATCATGCCAAGTACTCTACGTGTATTATCGAAAGTATTTCCTCATTCATAGCGACAGAACCAAATCCTTCAGCTTCTGGAAGTTGGGGGTGCCCAAGCCAGTGACTGGATCCCAGCCCTCGGTAGCATTCCAGTGGGCGCCGGGAATCACCAGGCTGCCGCTTACTGCCTCATCGCTCTGAGGGTCAATGCCAGTGCAGCCGTAAGAGCTGCCGCCGGTGATATCGTTCAGTGCCTTGTACCCCTTTGAATACAAGAAAGGATTCAGGAAACCGAGTACCGGCTTGCCAGCACGCAGACGAGCGTCGTTTAGGAGGCCAACAATGCCAGCGAAAGTAGGCGCTGCGGCGGAGGTACCACCGGAGCCGGCTTTCTTGCCCACGTAGATCACCTCGTGGCTGCAGATGGTTAGATACAACGATTTTATTGCCCTTGCAGGGGCGGGAAGACCTACCGGGGGTACAAGCTGTGGGCAGAAACATCCGGGAACCCACGGCCTTCAAAGTCGGCGTATTGGCTATAGTACTCCTTAGTCTCCGGGCTGACTTTGTTCAGGTAAGCTTCAATGGCGAAATCCTGGTACCAGGCCCGAGAAAAGTAGTTGGAGAAACCGCCAGAAGATGCATTCCAGGCAACTTCCGGAGTGACAGCGGAGGTACCTCCAACTGCCGTCACATAGGGGCAAGTTGCTGGGAAGATGGGGTTGAATTGCGGAGTAACACCGTCGCTAGCCTGGCAGGCCGAGCCAACGCCTACTGATGTTAGATCATCTAAAGGGGCATATAGGCGTGCGGGCTAGCTTACCCTCGTCTCCAGAAGAGTGGATGATGGTCAGTCCACGCAGGGTGTTCAAACCTATCAGGTTGCAAACAAGCTTAGCATATTTCTCGGGAACGGTCTGTGGTGAGCTTAGCGAGAGCGCCACTAGAAGATAAAGGGAACAAGATGAGATCAGATTAATCTTACCTGTTCATCATCCCCATAGGAGTGGGAGATCACTTGGGGAAGCTCGGAGTTCTCCTTTGAGAGCAAGTACTCATAATAGATCAGGTACGGCTCGTTTTCGTCGTCAGATGCAGTTGGCTCGTCCGCATCAGGGATGAAAGGGCTGTAATGAATCAGCACATCGCAGATAAACTTTGTATCGGGTGTGATCCGTCCTTACGCGACACCACCAGTGATAAACTCGTGCACGGGCAGCGGGTGTGCAACAGCGAAAATCAATTGCACGTCCAGATTGGCCTCACCCAGATTAGCCACGGTGGTACTCTGGTTGTTCACACCACCGTTGAGAAGCTCCACACTGAAGCTTTGGGAAGGGATATCAAACAGCTCTTCATATTGTGCCAAATCAGAGTACGAAGCAGACTGGTTTAAGAAGCTCCTAAATCCAATGCGGCTACCGGCTGAAGGCTCAGGGACGTAATCGCCAATATTGTACATCTCCTTCAGGCACGACGGAGTAATAGATGTTTGGCACGCCGCGGAGACCTCGGTAGACGAGGCTCCATGGGCCTTGAGCTTCCGGGACCTCGATGGCACCGGAGCAGCTCGACGCGTCTTGCCAAAGTAAACAGTTGGCGAGATAAGCTCAATGTAGTCGGCCAGGTCACTAGGGATGGAGTACTCAGTCGTGCGCAGCTTCACCGAGGCTCCATTCTGGTAATAAGCAAAGCTTGTGCCAAGGAGCTTGTTGACCTTCTCAACGGTACCAGTGAAGTTGAGCAGAGCACCTTCACGGGCAACATTGGAGATACCTGCATTCTTGATCCATCTCAGGACGGGAGCATCATCCACAATAGGGAAATGTGTGTCGATGTCGTCCTTGTCTAGCCACTGTCCGTAGGAGGCCTGGCCGGGAGTCGATATCTCCGACAGCTTCGCCTCCAGCTGATCAAGGTTCTGACGATTCAGTGCAATTGAAAGTGCCATGGTCGAGTCAGCCGAGGGCTCTTCAATAAGTGACCAGGCACTTGGTGCCCCTCCGGCTAAACTCTCGCAGACTACACCCAGAGATGGGCTAGCGAGGGCGCAGAGCAGCCCAACGTAGACGGTGCAATGCATGACGACTGATCTGCAGAAGCTCCGATTCTCTTGGGACTGAGGATGAAGCAGGAAGGCGAGAAGGCAGTGTTCAGCACCTCAACTTATCTACTCCGGGGCCGTTGCAAGATATGAGATTTACATAAATGCAATAATTGTGGTGGTATTGCATATTTTGATTCGAATACTTTCCATCTTTTACTAGATCACCCGACGGATTCCGTACTTCAGACGTTACATTGTGTGCGGAGGCTGTTATCAGTAGTGCAAGTATCGTCAGCACTGAGCAAGCGTTCGTAGCGACATTTACTGTGCTTGAGGGAGAGCTGGAATAGGAATTCGGCACAGAGCGCTCCGGGCATCTACATGCTAGCTTCGCGACGATATGGTTCCCATACATGACACAAGCACAGTGTAAGAAGATTGCAAATTTTCCAATCCTGATGAACAATCCCATCGTGAATTGGGGCGGGGGCGGCATGCTAGCTATCGGGTCAGTCGGAGCGATTGTTAGGGAGTGTCTCGCGGGGATCAACTCCGGAGTCCGCCGGGGTTGAAATCTCCACGAAGCTTGACGTCACGCCGAGGTTGTTAGCTGCTTGCTTAAATCAAATAGACGGCACGATTGTGGCCGGATCAGCGGTTAAGCCGGATTTATCGGATACTGAAGACGCCAACGGTGGGGCTGTGTTGAGGAGCTCAATTTCTGTAAATAGTTGAGTGATAACAAGAAAGAGATTACAAACGACATTGATAATCAAGCACAAGACCAATCCCAGAAAATGGTACATCGATCATAGCTAGTGGTCCTGCAGTGTAGACGATACTCGACATACAAGGCATAAAATTATTACTTTCTGACCTGATTTACCTGACTAAACTTGACCTGATAGAATCCCATGAATTGGAGCATTAACATAATCGTCGGGACTCTTTCGAAAAAATTGCGAGGATGGCAGGATGGCATATAGCAAATAATCAAGATTGTGGGGTAACTAAACCTTCGATGGTGTAGTTGGATATCACGTTCGGCTGTAATGGATTATCATATAACCGAAAGGTCACCGGCTCGATTCCGGTTCGAAGGAACATTATTTTTTTTGCTTTTTGAAAGCAATGTCGTATTGTAATTGAGATTCACCATCACCGCCCAAAGTTGCGGTTTGATTTTTCTCATGCTCAGTTAAGTTAAATCTGACCCGGATGTAGCGATGGCTTTTTCCACCCCAAATTCCGATGCGACTGTCTAGTTTGTGACGCGAGTAAGTGTACAGAAGTGGCCTAGCATTTCCTAAGGTCGAAAATTTGCATGTTATCAATCAGTGATCGCTATCTCTTCTAGACATGCGCTATCATCAGCAACATTCAACATGTATCCATACCATGCGATTCCATATCACTGTAAAATTGCTGCTCGCTCAAAGCGTGCTAGTCTTAGTCAGGTGCTTGCTGAGAACCAAGTCTAGCTCGAAATACATCGTATTATCTACCCTCATATTTCTTCGGGTATTGCCCTGCTTCTTTGGTCCCACAGCAGATTGAATAACGAGCAAACGTATGGGCTCTTCTTTATGACTGACCTACCTGCAATACTGTTCATTGTTTGAAATGCGGCATACAATTTGTTCCATTGGTGCCAATCCGATAGACCTAAGTACTCGTGAATCGATTATGCCCAATACTATCCCCTCAAAATCAGTACTAGATCCCGACATACGTTCCGCAATAATAACATAGAATTTCAGGAAGCAAACAACGGAGGCCTACTACATTCGTCGTTATAGATCGGCTGATAACGGTTGTCACGTGTACGATAAGGAATTTAGACGCAATTTATCGACGCCGCCTCTATTGCAACTTCTCTCCTCCAGCAACCCTCTAAAACATATTGCAAACCTCCGCAAGGCCGTAGTACGGCCTTCCTGTCAATGGAGTCAAGCAGCGAAAGGCTCCAGCAAGTTCCTCGCGAACTGCCCGCCATGTTCCGCCCGCCTGTCAACCGCGCGATGCGGACCCTCGACCGATCATTCTTCCGCAAAACTGTGCCCATCGCCGCCGCCAAGATCTTCGAGATCTCGCAGGTTTCCAAAATTCGCCAGGAACTTGGTAAGAGCCGGGATTTGCTGGCTTTGCCGCGACTCAATACTGTGCGGGATTTTAAGGAGCAGGATGGGGTGACTCACAAAGGCCTTCTTTTGCGGGAGGATGTTAAACATGATGGTGGGTGAATGAAGCATTCTGGACAAAGTCGAAATGCGCGTGAGCAAGTTCTTATTTCAATCCCAGACAAGTCGAGTTGGTCGCCGACAATCAACGAGCTCGTGGAGAAGGGCGCTGTCTCCCTGTCGCCATATGATCTGGTGTTGGAATATGACTACTGGAGCTATGGTATGGCGAAAAGTTTTCAATATGGGTATGATAGCTTTGGAACTAATTGTTTTTGTAGCTGAAATTGCCCACGCCATCCTCCCAGAAGAGATGGAAGAGGTCCCCCAAGGGTTTACACAGGTGGGGCATGTCCGTATGTTTCTGCCCAACTTGACCAAGCAAGGATTGTTGAAACTAACGAACACACAGTGCACCTAAATCTTCGAGAGCATTGGCTTCCATATAGATATATTATTGCAGAGATTCTAAAGGACAAAAACCCCGCCATCCGCACAGTCATCAACAAGACCGAAGATGTTGGCTCGCACAGCCAATTCCGCACATTCCCATTCGAGCTGCTTGCAGGCGACAATGACCTGAACGTCATCCAGCACGAGCAAGACTGCGAGTTCCGATTCGATTATTCGCGCGTCTACTGGAACAGCCGCCTGGAGACCGAGCACCGCCGACTTGTCGAGAAGTTCGAGCCTGGCCAGATGGTCTGCGATGTGATGGCAGGCGTTGGTCCCTTCGCCGTGCCGGCCGGGCGAAAGCGCATCTTTGTCTGGGCCAACGACCTGAACCCGTACGGGTACGAGGTGATGCAGGATGCGACGAAGCGCAATAGGGTCCAGGACTTCGTCACTCCGTTCAACCAAGATGGACGCGAATTCATCCGGTCCGCGGCGAAGTCGCTCTTGGGGGCAGCACCCGTGACTGTCACGATCCAGCCCAAGGGACGCAAGGATAGGAAGAGGAAGATGGTCGGAGGCGAGGAGATCGAGCAGCCTCCCGCGCAACAATATACTCGCCCGCAGTTTGTCGACCACTATGTCATGAATCTCCCCGCGACTGCCATTGAGTTCCTCGACGCGTTCCAAGGCCTGTACACCGGCAAGGAGGAGCTTTTTACACCCACCACCTCCCAACCGCTCCCGATGGTTCACGTCTACTGCTTCTCGGGCCACTCCGAGAACGAGGTGGATGACCACAAGGATATCTGCGAGCGGATTTCAGAGCGGATTGGATTCACCATCACACCCGAAGACCGGGTGGGAGGCAGTGGCAACGCTGCCATTGAACTGGCCATTCACAACGTCAGGCTGGTCAGCCCCAAGAAGCAGATGTTCTGCGCGAGCTTCCGTCTGCCGCCTGAGGTCGCATTTCGCAAGGTTTAGAGGTGTGTAGCAGTAGATGCATGAGAGGCGTTGGGAGACGGGTTGCATATAGCTAGAAAAAGCTGATAGACCAAAATCACCACTTGATACCCTGGATTATATTATTTCTCCCAGAAAAAGAAGATCCATGACATTCCCGCAAGGTTCAAAGATCGTATACCCGATTGGGAACCTGAAAGGCAGCACGCTCACCGCCCAAACTGCCGCCCAAACCTGCAGTTTCAACATCCCACGCCGCCCTCCCCCAGGAGCTCACATCGACGCCTACATCTCGGATCCCTTCGCCCGCCGTATCCGAGAATACCCACTATGAGCGTCCAACTCCCTCCGGCAACGCACCGCAAGCGCGCGCTGCCCCAGGGCGAGCTCGAAGCCGCGTCGACACTCAAGCTCGGCGCCGATCAGCACACGCATACGCTCTCCCTGTCCGAAGCACGCCTGGTCATCCACAAGGTGTTGGAGAACAAGCGCCGCGGGGGAAACAAGTACGAGGAGCCAGAGTACGAGATCGCACCCCGACCCTGCGACCCGGTCTATCTCGATTGTGCCGCGATGGAGGCAAGTTACTGACGGTGGGTGCGGGGATGTATAGGAACCTGACGAAAACATTGGACTACCTGGATACGTTTGCGCGGTTCAAGGACGAAGAGAACATTAAGGCGGTGGAGCGGTTACTAAACTCGCACACGGAGATGGAAATGTTTGAACGGTCGCAACTGGGTAAGTGCAATGCGGTCTAAGCTGGAGTCTGGACCTGGGCTGGGCTGGGCTGGGCTTGGTCCCGGTACATGTCCGCCAACCGCCGTCGGAGCATACCCCAGGTATACTTGGGAAGTGTCGCGATGATGGCGGTTATGCATTCTCTCTTAGTCCGGGAAAGATGTACTAACCCGGGTGCCTTTTGCCATAGGGAGTCTGTGCTGCGACAACGCCGAGGAGGCCAAGTCGCTCATTCCGAGTCTGCAGAACAAAATCTCCGATGCCGAGCTGCAAGAGTTGCTGGACGAGATGACCAAGCTCCGCAATTTCACGGAGTAGGCCAGACTATCTTTCTAGAAAGACATAGTCATCGTCCGGGCCAGAGTTTCTCGGACGAGACCGTGGGGCGATGACTCAGTCGATCTCTCCTGTTTGGGGCATAGGGAGTTTTTTGGGCGTTTGGTTCATGGGTCCTGGAGGATTTCCGGGCGGATGGGGGCATTGCACATAGAGCAGATATACCAAATCAACGTGCTGTTCATCTTGCCAATTGCTAATTATAATACCTCGTTCGCGGGTAACGGATCTGTATCACTTAAGCCTGACTCCGTAGTACTCCGTATTCCGTACTCCCTAGATGTTTCGTGTGATAGTTGGTTCGTTCTCATCCAATGATGTTTTCTATCCTCTGTACTCGATGCTCCGTACTCCGTATAATCGAACACATGCTCGTCCAGGCTCCTCCCGAATTCCCCCATCGCCCCTGGGGGTCGGAGTTCTGCAGGGAAGGAGAGCACAGGTGCCGGGGACCAGCTCGCCATCTCCGTGGACCCCGTTGGCCCACCGGGCGGGGCCTTACAATTAACCTCTTTGCCAGGGCGTAGGGAAGTGTCGGAGTGCCGGGTATCCTCGAAGGTACGGAGTGCATGATGTATAGCTCTCCGGGGGGCCTAGTTGCATAGCTCGGGAGGGACGGAGTAAAAAGCGCCACTCAAAAAGGTAAACCAGTCCCCGACACAGCCGCGTCGCCCCATCGAGTAAGCAGCGGCCGAGGCTTCCTATAGGCTGCAGGAGGAGGTTTGGGGTGCATCCGTTGATCGGTGGCCCTCCCCACAGGAGATTCTCTGATTCCCGAATGCTCCACTTTTTGAGGACGCCATGATTGGCTCTGTAAAACGGCGTTATCAAGGGCCTCTGATTGGGCCTATCCAAGGACCTCGGCTGCTTCTGGCTCGGTGCGTCTGGGCAGGTGAATCTATTCCGTAGTACGTGTGGTGAGGATTCAGGTGGGACGACATGCTGCAACTGATCCTGGCCGGCTGGAGAACCGGGGTCCTGTTGTTCCCTCTCGTGATTGAGGACGGAACGCTGGAGGTGTCGCATGCCTGGTCATGGATCATCGTCGCTACGGTGTAGGCAATTAAGGTAGGCCCGGTTAAACGCTCGTTAGGTAAGATCGTTTCATCGTACGTAATATGATGGCGGCTGGCCCAGCAGGCCAATCAGGGCTGAGCAGCTTATCAGACATGACAATTGGGCCCGCCTAATTATTATTCATGGTTATTCTTCTTATTCATCCGTCTGGACTGGGACTGGCTGCCGCGATTCTGTTACGAGACGAAAAAGAAGATCGTCTGGAACCCGGGAACACTGCACCGGTGCCATCCCAATCATGGTCGATCTATATACTCGACGCGATGTCATCACCAACCCTCCCCGTTCCCCCGACTCTTTCCCCAGCTCCAGTTCGATGCTTTCCTCTCCTCTACACCTCTCGCCAGGTGCACGCACGACGGAACACATCTCGAACTGCTTGGTGTAGGAATGACGGAGCAAACTATCCGCCATCTCATCCTGCTACAATCTTTGGCGGGCTCGTCGGCCTGATAGATCCGTGGAGAACTGACCGATTTTACTTCTCTCTTGCATACGCCCCAAGGACATCCCTGCGTACTCTCTGCCGACTGACGATACTACCTATCCTCCGGTGCCGGGCTTTCTTCTGATCGCCGAGATAGACCTTCCTTTTTTTCTGCGATAAGCCCTCGTGCGCCGCCCCGTCCACGTCTTATCTCTCATTGCCCCAAACGGTCAATGGCCATACCCTGTCATGGGCTCAGGCTAACGGACGTAGTGGTTTTGATCAAGCTCTCGCCCCCCAATCCCGTTCTTCAGTCCGCCCAGATTGTGGAGTTTGGAGAGGTCCAGCCGGTACCTCGTCCGTGGAGGCGCATCCCACCCCCCCCGGATCCTGCCCAAAGCCCCAAACGACCCTTCGGTGACGAATTCGATTTGCGAATCGCAGCCTATCAATTATTTATCTCCAATCTCCAGCGCCATTATCTATCAGACGCCTGCGGAGCCCAGTCCCCGCTACGGTGGGAACCGTTTGATCTCGTTTATCTATAAGCCTCTCCCGCCCACCTGTCCCTACCATGGCGACCGTCATCACCATCCAGCCCTCCCCCACGGCTGGCCCGGCTGCCTCACCAAGTTATTCACAGCCTCATCACTCGCCCGCTGACCACCTACGCCGCCGCGCCCATCCGGCCTCATCCACCCCCAACCCTCTCTCGCCCTCGCCGGTGTCCGGCCATTCGACCCTAGCCCGTGTCCCTGGCCGGGATGGAGCAAGCTGTGACGCCTGTCTTCGTAGAAACAGCCGGTGCGCCATGAACGATATTACCCACAAGTGCTACTCGTGCGACTTCCACCGTCAGGACTGCACCTTCACCCTATCTGGCCCTCCGGCCGAGGCGCCCACCAAGAAGAGGAAATTGGACGACGCTGCGCCGCAGCACGGGGATTCCGTAAAACGGTATGTATCTAGTGCACACTCCAATGGCCACGTTGGTGGTCCGGGGTAGCTATTTAGAAAGCATATAGAGCTGACTCTACCGCCCCCAGACCCTCCACCGTCCCATCCACCCAATCAGTCACGGAGGGCGACGTTCCTCGCCCGCAGCACTCCCACGCCATGATCCGGTCGGGCTTTTTCAACCAAACTACTCAGCACATTGGTATGACCACCGAGCTAGAGCCCACCCTCCTCGAGTATCTCCCGCTGGACGAGTACGACGAGTGCACTGTGTCCGCCTCGCGCATCCGTCGCTGTGCCGACGACTGCACCTTCATGCGGGTCATTCATGCCGTGCCCGTCGGCGACTCGCAGGCCGTGTCGCTGGACACCATCGAGAGCCTGGTTGCTCCGTATGGGTCGACCCTGATCGAGAAGTTCTTCGAGCACGTGCACCCATCCTTCCCCATTCTGATGGAGGACGCCTTCAGACAGTCATACCGCGAGCGCAGGCAATTATCTCCGCTGCTGCTGGCGGCGGTGTATGTATTGACGCTGAAGTTTGTGGACGTCGGTGTCGCGTCACAGACGGTGCGGAGGCCAGACGCCTCGCGACTGGAAAGCACAGCGCTAAGTCTGCTCGTCGAGTCATTGCCGTTCCCGAGTATCTCAACGATGCAGGCGGGTCTGCTGTTGACACAGAAATCGACCCTAGCCACTGCGTCGTTGAACGGGCAGCTGGTCACGGCCGGGTTCGAGCTTGGTCTGCACCAGGACTGCTCGAACTGGCGCATGAAGACGTGGGAAAAGGGTTTGCGGAAACGCCTGGCCTGGGCGCTGTACATGCAGGACAAATGGTCCTCGCTGGTGCATGGCCGACCCTCGCAGATTTTCGCGTTCAACTGGACGGTTAAGGACCTCGTGGAGCAGGACTTCTCAGACGCCTTCGCGTCCGGCACGAATTCCGCCCACGACGACGGCGACGTGGGCCATGGCCCCCTTCTCTTTTGCCACATGGTCGCGCTAACGACCATCCTCTCTGACATCCTGGACCGCTTTTACACGCTCCAGGCGATCGAGGACTTCCGTGCCGCAGGCAACCAGCGCACACGCCTGATCCTGGATAAGGCGAAGCCCGCGCAGATCCGACTGAAGGATTGGTTTTCGTCGCTGCCGGCGGCGCTGAAAATGGAGTCCTCCAGCGGCGAGCTGGTCGAGACGATCACAGACGAACTCGCACGCAATGGCGCCCTGCACCTGGCCTACTTTGCCACCGAAATCACGCTGCATCGCTGCATTGTGCGCTCGCTCGCCAGCGATGCCACCGACTCCTACCTCGCGCACATCTGCCGCTCCGCCGCGAAAACTCGGCTCATTTCGGCTATGGATTTCGTCAACCGCCTGCGACCCGCGCACCTGCGCTCGTTCTGGCCGGCATCCGCGCGCACAAACTTCTCGCTGATTGGCTCGTTCGGCATGCTCCTGCGCATCACGGCACCGACCCACGAAGAGGCTGAGTTCTACCGCGTGCGGCTGTGTGAGTACCGCTGGACGCTCAGCGTGTCCCATAAGAACGCTGAGTTCATGAGCTTCGCGCTCGAGAGCCTCGACCATGCTACTATGCTGGATAGGCATGTCCCCGCCAAGCCGGGCATCGATGAGCTGATGGCTTGCTCCACGAAGCAGCCCGCACGACCCATGATGGGCCCAGGCGATTACGACGACGCAATGGGCGATGTCGATGTGCATGGCGGGACGGCAGCTAGCTCGTCGGTTATTTCGGGTCTGGCCTCGCCGGCGACTAGCATCAGTGATGATGAGGGCGAGGACACACCTCTGCATCCTCTTTAAATCGCACCTCCTACTCTCCATTATACCTTCCCTCTCTACCTTACGCCTCTATTTCTCTCTATCTCCGACTCCCTCTCTACCTTCTCCACATATCCTGACTTTTAACATGCTTACGACATCTTCGGCGTTTTAAGGATTTTTTTATTCACATGAAAGCACATGAACGAATACCTCTTTGCATGATTGCATGATTGCATCTACTCCCATACATATATTTCCGCACCGCTGCAGAGAAGATCTGCGGTTGCGTTCTCGGGATTGGCTTTTTTTGGAAACTTGGCTTCATTTGATTTGATATGGTCCGGATATCTATCTGGCTTCGATTTTGGACTTGGAATGTCATATTCCTTTGGGATATGGATTATGGCTGTATAGACATGAATGGGATAGATTGGATTGTGAATGAATTATGATTTATATCTTGGATTTCAATAAGCCTCTCGTACGGCTGTCTAGAAAAGGAGAACTCATGTCCTCCAAAAGCAAAGTATCCCAGTAAAGAAGGGTCGACCAGACTGTTGTGTCCCGACAGATTCCCCCCACCGGGCATCATATTACATAAGCATCATTAGGAGTAACGTAATTCCCGGCCGACCTGGACACCCGGCCGTCCTGGACACCCACTCCCATTAGAAATTTTTGCATCAAAATATATCAACCAAAACGCATCAATTTAGCTATATCTGACGATTTTTACATTGATTGATCTTATGGCCAATTCCCCTACACCCACTACACCTTGGTAGAGCCCTGGTTGCTGGCTGAGCTAGTTGAATAGCCTCATCGGCCTGCTCATGCGAAACGACCTGATCAGCTTCAACTAGCTAATTTAGCTGCGCAACTAGCTGTTGACCCTCTTCAACCGTTAAGCCTCCGTCATAAGCTATCTGTCGATTCGAACGTATACGTTTCTGGCGCATTTTCTTATTACCTACGCGTAGGTTAGCGATTTTATACGTAAATTGCGCTGTGTTATAAAGCGCTTCGTAATAGCCCTTAATAAGCTAATCGAAAATAGTTTGTATTAGGCTTGGAGGGCTGTTTGATCGTTATTTCTAAAGATCTTTAATCAACGAAGCTGATTTTTCTATTTGGACGATAGTCCTCGGTGTTTTTAGGCCGATTTGGCTATCGCTAGTGGTTAGCCGGCTATTTGGTAGTAACGGTGTTTTCAGTAAGATATTAAGCTTTAAAAGTACCCGTTTAGGGTCAATTAGAACAAGACTAGTAGCTACGAAAGCACTTTAAATAATATATAGTTAAAAGGCCTCCTTACGCACCCGGGGGTAATTATTAAGGAAGTCGAATTTATCGATAGTATTATATAATTAGCGAGCCAGATCGCTTATAAAGCGGCCGTATACGCGTTTTAGTATAGCAAAACACCTAACGTTAAGCGGTTATAAGAGATACGAACTATACGGAGGTATACAAAGTAGTATTATATTATTTTTAGCGTAGATTTAGTCGAATCGAGGTATAAGATAGCTACCGTAGCTATTAAGAATTAATAGCCGATATCCCCTTTTTATATATACTACAGTCGCTAGAATAAAGAGCTTTTATAGCTAACGAAGGCTAATTTCGTCGGTTATCTAGCCGTTTAGCGAGACCTCGATACGCTAGTCTTTTAGAAGACGGAGTTATTCGTCGAACTAAGAAGCGATAAAGTTTTTACCTTTAAATATTACGCAGGGCGGCAGCGAATAGCCGTCAGCGCTTACTACTTCGACCGTAGTAACCTATTCACGATTACCTAGTTATAAAAGCGCTCGCCGACTATAATATTCAGCCCTTATAACCACCCGTTATATAGATATAAGACCTATAGCGAAGCCGGTCTCGTTAAAGTTATAGATATCCCCTAGTTAGATACTATTCTCATCTATAACACGTTAGACGGTCGCAAACTACGCTCGTAGTGATTTTAGGTCTTCGTTTTAGGCGCGTTTATAATCGTAGCGTCGTAAGAAGGTTAAACAAAGCTCGTCTCGTCGGTTAATAAAGCTTAATAGCTAATTCTTACCTACTATAGCCGGAGGGTCGTCACTACGTATAGCTAATAGAATATTAGCTATTTCTCGTACAGTAGAGGGCCTAGGCGCTACTCTACGTAAATCTATAGAGAGTACCTATTTAGTAAGCGAATCCTCTTCTAATTAGGTCAATTTATAGCTAGATAGGCGTTTATCGACGCGTAAGGTTTTGCCGTAGGCGCGTGTGTGTAGTGTTGAGAGTAGTATTTCGTATAGCTTCGCTGCAGCGCGGAGAGAGTTGATGCGGCCATTTTTGATATCATCAAGGGCTAATAACACCTTGCCCTCTTGATTGGCCGATTTCTGCGCTGATTCAGTGCGTTTTGGTAGCATAGTAGGTGGTTGAATTAGGTGGGTGGTCAGGAAGACGCGTTTTTTGATGGGGTGTCCAGGACGGCCGGGTGTCCAGGTCGGCCGGGAATTACGTTATTTAGCTTAGCGTCCTTCCCATAACGGGAAGGACAATGAATTATTCCGTTCTAATCCCTGATGCCAGCTGGTAGCTATCACTCGATGGTCGACACACAGTAGTACTCACAGTAAGAGCAACATTGACGTCCCGATAACGCATCATATTGCTTGTCCTTCCCAGAGAATGGATTTCTCTCTTACTCTTGAAGATGACACTTGGGACCGCTTCTACCACCCCGATGCAGACGACGAGGACCCCCCAACAATGGACGAAATCCGAATCGTGTGGGAATTTGTTGATCGCTACGGGACTCCTCAGGCCATTGCAGTAAACGAGGCTGCTCGGAACTTTATGTCCCTTTGTAATGATGACCGCCACGGTGGTATTGTCGATAGAGGCGAGCGCGTCGGGTGGTTATTGTGGGATGTTGGGATTGAAATGCCGCAGTACCAGCCTGCCATTCTGAAGTTGGTAGAGGCCATACGAGCGCTGCCAGGAATAGACAGAACCGAAGAGCAAATTCGCGTCTGGCGATTCAAAGAAAGGCTGGAACGCTGGAGGGACATGGAGGCATTTGATGAGATTTGGTTCACGGCTTACCAACGTGAGTGGTTATTCTTCTGGCTGCTCAGAAGTGGAACGCTGTGAACATTGCTGAATTGCGGCTCCACGTTGTATATCTCTGATGTCCCTGCCTCCTGGACGATACCCTCGTTCATTCCGTGTGTATAGGCTGGCTAATGTAACAATTGCAGGTTACCGGGAACAGAAATACACCGGGGACGCCTTTACTGAAGAAGCCTGTTCTGACTTCGTTAACGCCAATGCATTCAATGCGCTTCATCTTGTAGCCTATCCCCCGGATCCTCCATGTTCTTCGCATGAACTTGCCAGGGCATTTTGGCTCATCGGTTTCACGCTGGAGCAAGATCCATGGAATCATCTACCATCATGGTTACAGGAAACAAGCACTTCTGGACGAGTGAGTGACCGTACCTGGTACATCACATCTTTAAACGTGAGTTACGGAAGACTCTTAAATTGAACTAATTATTGACTTTATAATTTAGGCTAATGTGCATGCGCTGGCGCCTTTTATTCAAATCGCCGGACATATTATCTTCCGTTTTGTAAACAAGAAGGACCTCGCCTGGCTGGAATCTGTGAAATCAGAATACCCCGACTCTGATCTGTGGAAGGGAAGTACCATGTTCACACTAGATCGCTGGGAGTTTTGGAGAGAGCGACTGCGATGGATCAGTGAGCAAAATGTTCTCAAAGAAAGGACGCGAGATGATGCTCGGATGTTAGAGAAACTTATGCAGAATATTCAGCAACATAGTGAGGGAAGTGCCACAGCATAGCTCGAGGAACTTGTATGTATGTCAACCTTATTCTGCTTGCCCTGAAGTCACTTATCATGGAATGAGACTATCTCTTCCATCTATGGATGGGCTCTAATACTTAAGCTAGAAACCATATCAACCTTCGATCTAAAATTCTGCCTGATGTCTTCAAGAGATATAGGACGAATAGGGACTCATTCAGTTGGTTGAATTCTCGAAATGGAAGGACATGCTATAGAACACCTTCGTGGCCCTTCATGTGCCCCATATGATCTATCTCCACTAGCTGAACAGAGCTAGTGTTTGGAGCACTATCAGGGATCCGGATCTTCCTCTGGCTACTCATATGTCCCATACTACCATTCCCCTTCGTTGAGCCGAACACTGAAGGGAGTAGGCGACCGAGCAAGGACCGCATGGCCGGCATGCAGACACAGAAAACTCCCACGTCGACTTCAATCACAGACCAGTAACCGCCAGCGGCATTGTCCCCTGCATTGAATCTTGTGATTAGTTCATGAATCCATGGGAAGGAAAGGGATTTGAGTGGTAGGTAGCGTACAGGTTGGATTTGTGCTCGTGGCGAAGATTTTTAGCATTACCGTCCGGTAGATGCTGACACCTGTGATCCTATTCCAATAACTGGATATCAGTATTTTGTGTCTATCGCATGGTTACGGAAAGGGTGGGAAGAGAGAGCGGGGGAGAGGAACAGGGCAACTTATAAGAAAGCCACAGAAAACATAAACACAACCTGAAGTTTTGTAGTGATGGAGGTCTGGAGATACAGCACCTTCGGGATAGGAAGGGAGATAACCCAGGCATCCAGCACAATATTCAAGGCTGCTGCGGCCAGCACCAGAGCATTCGTCTTCACGCATTTCCCTTCGTGTTCCCCATCCCAACCATTGCAGTTGTAGCTCACGGGCGAGCATTGAAACGTAAGAGCGATCAAGAAAGTGATGCCATTTTTGCAGGCAAGTGCAATAGTAGCATCTTTGATTGCCCAATCGATGGGCTGATAGTCAGGAGGGAGCCATAACTCACTTTGATTCTGAATAGCAACCCATCGATTTACCTGCAGAGATATCACAGGCTTTGTTTCGAAGGAATTTGACGGCAAGCGTTCATGCCAGGCTTTGCTATAGAATTCCCCCAGGGGATCTAACATATCCCTTATACTTATAGTGTCCTTAAGCGCGCTAGTAGTAAGCTCCCAGAGCTCGATCGTTCTGCCGTGGAAATTATTGGAGCTGGATGCCAGCCACCGGCCGTTAGGTGAGAATTCAACAGACCAGACTGGATCCGGGTGGCCCTCCCAGGTGGCCCTCCAAGGTGTCCTTGAGGGCGCCAGTGGCTGAATCCCAGAGTGTGCACTACCGCCGCCATGACCGGCATTCACATATTTGAATCTTGACAAGACTCACATTGCAAGAATATTATAAGGAAGTCTCCCTTTGGATCTGGCTTTAGATCTCATCCATATTGGTGTCGACAACTACATGCATGTCCTTTAAGGTCATTCAATGGATCGAGGGCTGAGAACCTGTTGTGAGTCTAACCCGAATTCGCATATTTTAAGCGATTTCGGGCCCTTGGGCACTGGCGGCTGACTGCATGGCGCCGCTAGGGGCTTCGGGTACGGTATCTCTAGGCGAGAGGTCCCCCGCTAAGTATGTGGGCCCCGTATTGCAAGATGTGGGCACTCTGCACTGTGCAACTATCCAGCTTTCGACCATAGGGTCCAGTAAGTAAGGCACAATCATTCGATACCGTACTTTAAAGAGAGATGACATGATTCGGGAGCAGAGGCGCGAAGGGTGGCATTGAAAATGGCTGTACGCCAGCCGGTGGTCAAATCCAGCGACTAAAGAAGGTTTAGCTGTTCTTGGATACGTCTCGGAGCGCCCCTGTTCAATAGTATGGCGCCGAATCCGCCAGCTCAAGCTCAAGGTCCTGAACGCATGTGGCTGAGACCCTGTGAACAATTAGCATCTCAACGAATCCTGGTTAGCAAATAATGTCCAATTGCCTTTCAATCGCCTGCCCCGAGCGTCATGGCATATTATTGCCGGACGGCTATGTCATTCATAAAGTCTGTCAGTGACCCAGAAGTGCTGCTCCTGTCAGGAATCTTTTCCCGGAGACAAGCTTTCCAAAGGCAACTGAATTGGACGTCTATAGAAATGTCCAACGGCACATATACCTATACTGGGGTCTGGATAGACTGGTCTGAGGGCGCTATCTGTGGGGCAACGGTGACTTTATCCCAGAAATGGGCGGGAATTCTCACTGCTTCCTTGGCCGTGGTCGTTTCTTCCGCTGGAAGTTTGTTCTGGAACATCCTCGCCTTTACAATTCATCAAGCCTTTACTACCAAGGTTTGGAAAAAACGGGATGCTCTGCACCACCAACGCCAAGTTATACTTCGCAATAAGGGTACTCTAGCTGCGGCCTGGGCGTTACTGTTGCTTCCATTTGCAAACCAGCGCAAAGCGTCCAAGCGCTTCTTGCGATCCTTGCCTTTTTCAACATTTGCAATCCTCACTCTCCTACTTTTCAGTCTCTCCGGTCTCTTTACAAGTTACATCTCCAAGCTTGCAAGTGCGTCCACCCTTACTCTTAGTTCAGACTGTGGAGGGTTTGAGGTCGATGTCGTCGCGGGAGTGATATCCCCTCTGATTACAAAAGGCCTTTTGGATACCTATGACGCGGCGACATACGTTCGACAATGCTACCAGGGGGACCCCAATGGGCCGACTTGTAGGACATTTCCTCGCCCATACCTACCATTCACCACTAATTCGAACACATCCTGTCCATTTGGAGACAATATGTGCGCCTACAACAATCAATCTGCATTTCAGATGGATACTGGTCTATTGGACTCACATAAAGACTTTGGCATCAATGCGCCACCCGAAGAAAGGCTAAAGTTCCGACGAGTTTGTACCTGCGCGCCAATCCACCATGGAGCTGCTCTTGCCACAGTAACGAATGACTCAACGTTCGGAGAAGTCATCTATGTCAACGCTGGATCACAACCTGCGTTAGGCGATAATTATACGTTTGTGTACACACCAGCTCCAAACTCGGATAGTTTTGGATATACGTTGGAGTAAGTAATCATAGGCTCCCAAACATAAGAAGAAACTTAGTCTGACCTGGAATTCCAGGGTCCAATATGCCAATGCCGATCCCACTGGCATTCTACACACCATATCTCCCGCATGGGAGCCAGCACCCTTTTTAAAATCAAACCGATTCCGATATAACCCTGATGATGTTGAACCAGAATGATATTAAATACCTTGAATGCAGCGACGATCCATGGATGACAGCTCAGATCAACGAAACAATGGCAGAAACAAACACTACCCTGGTTATGTGGTCCAAGAGCTATGAAATCAATCTCTTGGGATGCATTGACCAATATCAGGTGTGCAATCCGAATAAAGCTGGAGATTCTGGCTGCACCACGCTGGGTGGTATCGGGAGTGCATTGCATCAGGCCTTTACTACAAAGATTGGATCGCTGGGGTTCAATATTCATCAGGTTATGACTGCCTCACGACTTCTCAGTACGGTGATCGATAATGGCATTTCTTCCAACGTGAATGGACGAGGAGGCGCCGCTCTCAATGGTAAGTTCGAACAGCTGCGTTCTTTCAGAAAGCATAATTACAAGCTAATAGTACTCCTTCCTAACTCTAGCATCTATGATGGCCTACCAAAATATTCAAACATACATTCCACCAAACCAATGGCAAATCGAAGTATCGACCTGGTTCGCAACGTCTCTCGCCAAAGATCAATCCCAAATCGTCGAGTGGGCCGCCGGACCGAAAAATCTGCCATCTGGAGGGTGGCACATCACCAAACCTCAGAATAAATACGCACAATCCCAGTGCAATAACCAGCTCGTGCCCAGAGCTTCGGGATATGAGAATTTCTCAATTCTTGGACTCGCCGTAACACTCATGCTCTGTGGGATCATTGTTATCATTGGACTGACAATTGATACGGTTGTGGGCTGGCTGCGCCGAGGGAAATCGAGGTACATGCGGGACCAGTGGGAAATGGAGGAAACTTTGGCCCTCCAAAAGGCAGCGTACGTGGGTATGGACCTTTGGCGGGAAGATGAAGAAGGTATGCCACCAAGTTCTGTGCTTTTGACTGCTTCACCTCAAGCTATTCCACTCCGCGCTGGAGAGGCTAGAGACGAATGAACAATTATTATGGACAAGCACAGCCCCTTTGATGAATTATAGCTTCCGAGGGAGATTCAGCAAGCCTGGACGTATCTCAAAACTTGTGACATAAAGATAGCCTCTCATTTCTAGCGCGCTAGAAGCCATCGTAGATGTATAGTCCAAAGTGCTCATACGAAGCCGTATCGAAGCCGTATCGCTTGTTTTGGATCTCGATTAACCACTCATTATTCTAGTGCAAACCCCATGAAGAATGGCTTTATTGGATACATTTTCTCATGTGGGATCTGCGATTTTACAAAGATGTCGCCCCAGGTATGCCGCATGTTATATTCCGACGTTTTTCCCGGCTGTTTTTCTTTGGCCGAGATCAATCGCGCCCAAAAATTGTGTAAACGTGCGGGATAGAAATTCGAACGGAGCCAGCCTAGCCACGGTGCTGCAATGGAAAATCCATAGTTTTCCCCAGAACCGCAATAGCAACCTGATGACCCGCTACTTCTCCCAGCGTGTAGTGATTGTTATCATTTGGCGAAAGCGTTTCCGGACGACTATGTTTTTTATCAAGAAATGCTCGGGCAGCGACATATTCTGTTTCCAAGGCACATATCCAACCAACAGTGTACTGATCTGGGTCTGACGTCGTGGGCGTTCAAGTGACAGCGGGGCCTTGAAGATTTATTTCATGTCGATACGGTTCATATAAATCTGATTTTGCACGCGAATCAAAATCTCAGACGCAAATGAAAAGGCTGAAGCGAAAACGTGAATGAAAGCGCTTCGCCTTGACGTTGGTGGAAAGCGGGGTAAGACAGGAGTGAGGCTGCTGGGCACCATGCAGATCATTGGCTTGAATTATTCATCTATGCCAAATCTACGAACATGAAAGCACAACTTTCCAATGCTTGGCATGTATATCAATCATGGTTTGGTTGGCCTTCGCTTGACTAAACCATGTGTTATTTTATGCATCATTTTCAACATGTTTATCGGATTTACAGAATCCAAATAGTTTGGTTGCAAAAGCATGCGCTGAACATGCATGAAAATCCGCACAGCCGGCGCCATAGATTATATATCTCCAACATTGAACCGTGGACTTTCATGAACCTCCCTCGCATTTTTCAACCCAGTCTCTTATATCACAAAAACGTCGCGCAATGCCCAATATGTCCCCATTTTGTGTGAGAAATTCAACAAAAAACCCCGAATCCTGTCCTCTGCATAGAGCTGTTTACGCATCCGGTCGGGAACATCATCATTGGTTTCCTGGGTGCCATGCTCGTCTCGGACGTATTTACCAAATCAATCAAATGATGGGTCTCAAGGCTGTAATGCTTCTTGCCCACAGGATCCTGCCAGCACCATTTGCCCAAATCGCATTGCTTTCCAGGACAACGCATTAGTCTGTAGACATGGTCCCAAACAGGAGCTTGCCCTCAAGTACCTTCAGCATTAATCTGAGCATCCCGGTCAGCAAGCATTTTCCGGGTCACAGATCTTGTTCCCCTCTTGTCATTACCTGTGTACATACTGCAGCTGAAACATTAATCAGATGACCGTTATGACTTTATGAGTTCAATATATGATACACGCATAAATTTGCATAATCTATATACGTATTAGCGGCATTTGGCATTTAGGGGCTGAAAATAATTTCGAAGAGTATACTTCGGAAACTGAAAACGAAAATATCTGTATTTGCACCCTTCTTGGTTGGAATTCGTAATGAGATGAGATTGCCCAACAATTCCCGCAAGAGCTGGAGAATGCCGGGTGTAAACGGGTTCAATATCGTAAAGCCTCCGAATCAGAAGCAAGATAGCAATCCACGTTTTATCGGTTGCTTCCTGGCGATAGGATCCGTACCAATGACTCCGACGCGAACGATCCGATAGCGGATAAGAAACGACGATGACGAAGGGGGTTATGACCGGCACTATCCGTGTGTTACTCAGGGCGATAATATAAAGGAGGAGAAGCGTTATCAATACCCAGGAACATTCTTTCTCGGAGAATCAACGTTAGGCTCGCTCTTATTTAGTTAGGATAGATCTTGCAGATTGAACAGCGTATATTCCCACCCAATAGTGCGTGACCGGAAGCGATAGTACGAACTAACTAGTTGTCATATCTTCTATAATCCTGGCCCATGTCAGCCCCAAGCGTCCCCGATAAATACCAGGACAAAAATTAGGCCGGTGCATTTATATCTCCCTTGACATGCATTCAACACAGCGCCCATATTGCAGATTCACTATTGGCCCCTCGTAGGATTCAGATTCGCGCGAGGGCCACTATTAGAATAACCACTAGGTCAGCTAAGCGCCTATGCCACGAAACAGTAGCAAGCAAACGAAACATATCTACTGCAGTGAAGCAGTGTATTTAGAAACTGGGTCAAACCCACAGGTCCCGTTCAACCTGAGTAATCTGGTTGTTCGCCTTTTGCACCCTCTTCTGCGTCTTCTCATTATCGCACACCGTACATGTCCCGCATTTCTGGTGCTGGATCGTTGCAATGCACCTGGCATTTTTCTTTTGCTTCTCGCATGCCTTACTGCCTAACTTCTTGCACTGGGTTGTGTGGGTTATTTCTTTGGTGTTGGGGCTGCCGCATGAGTATTTGTGGAGCTTGTATTCTTGTTGACACATTGTTGGCTGTGGACTTCCAGTAATGTTAATCTGGCAGGGGCAACCGGAAAGCAGCGAGTTGATGGCGAGGGAACTGTAATCTTAGTGGAGTAGCACACAGGGAGGGCTGCATTAAGTACCGAGGTTTGGACTTGAGCCTCAGGACAAGGAGGTGCAGGTGGGTGGGAATACGAGGCCAACGCACCTCCTAGATTATCCTTACACCCACGCAGCTCAGCAGCTCAGGGATGGGATTATCCATTTGTTCACGTGGTAGCCACACAACAGGATCCTTGAACCGTGTTGGGTTAGTACAGGGTTCATGTGGTTCCACGTTGGACCGCCATATCAAGCCAGGCCATGGATGCGCTGCAAGGCTGTGAATGCCCAGGTCTTGGCATTGTTATCAGAGTCGGGGCTGGCTGCCTTGGGAAGGGCTAAGAAATGATGGGCAGTTGTGGTCACGAACTAACTCGGGAGAAAAGCAAAACATCTTATCTACACGATGGGGCGTCAGACTTTTCACCATATCAACGGTAGCACGGCATAGCTTCCATCCGCAACTGGTTGAATGCTGCTTCGTGAGCGAAGTGATGCAAGTCTAGTTGCGACATTGTTAATCTCGTCACCATCCCCTTGAGCACGACAGCAAAGACCCTACCCGTGAAAGTTACCCCTGTCGGTCGGTAATGACACAATGGCAGAGATAATAGGCGTAGTAGCCAGCGCAATAACCCTAGCCGGCACCACTGCCAAAGCGGCCAAGGGCATCGTAGCCCTCAAGCGCCTATGGAACGAGGTGCATCAAGTGCCCGAGTATATCAATTCATTACTAGACCGTCTAGCCTTGGTGCAGTCAGTGTTAGGCGACTTAGATACGGAGCTCAGCCGCGACCAGCAACTGTTCGCGAGCAACAGTGCCATCAAACTAAGCATCCATTACTGCAAAAGTGCGAAGGACAAGCTCGATGCGCTCGTGGACGATTTAGGACAGCGCGTCGCAGATAAAGAAAGGTTCACCAGAAACAGAGCAAGGATCAAGGCTGTTTTTGGGAAGGAGGTGGCACGCCGGCTTGAGGATGAGATACGAGATGCGATGCAACTGCTTGGGATTGCTCAGCAGACGTATGCGATGTATGTTTTCCCCTGCTGCTGTTGAAGGACTCGGCTTGCTAACGTGTACTAGAGCGTTGGTTAGGCAGCAGCCAGCTTTAATTGCCGGTCAGATAGCGTCGACTGCTGGCCTTAATACCCAGGGGCAATCTTCACACAGCGCCAAAGTAATACCAAGCACAAGGATTACTAGTACGAGGAGCAAAGAGACAACAACGGAGGAGGGATGGGTCGCACTAAACAAAGAGCATCCGAGTCTGCCCTGGACGTATTCAATTTTTGGAAGCTACTCATCAAAATCCTCCATCGTGGATTCGACTGCAACTCTCCCAGGCGAAGAAGGTCAGTCGGACGAGACGATGTCTTTGACATCCAAACTAACACTTCCAAGTCTACCGTGCGCGAATACAGCTGCCCGCATGGCTGACCCGGTCTGTATGGGATATATGTGCCAAACGAGCCAGCAATGGGTGGACGTACAACCTTCGACACTGGACAGTGAGGGCGTTTGATACGGACGTCTTCGACACTGCCTCTGACGGTGACCTCTCGGCCATGATTCCTCTGTTTAATGAGCGTAGGGCATCGTTGTATGACCGCGATCCGCGCGGATGGACGCTACTACACGTGAGTTACCAGTCCGCCGGCGCCTCCCACAAAAGAGCGCTCCCACTAACGAAGGGTAGTACGCCGCATTTCAAGGCGATCTCGACACAATCACATACCTCATGCGCTCAGGTCTCAGCATGCACGAAACAAGTGCCGACGGATACACACCGCTCTACTATCTCTGTCGAAACAACGACGAAGCCAGTGATATCGTGAGCGTATACCGCTTCATCAAATCCACCGACGACCTATCCGATGCCGCATGCGCCTTTTTCCTCCCAAGAGCTGACTACTACCGGAAAAGCACTCTGCACCGCTTTCTTTGGAGCGTACCCGGCCTATGGGACTTAGTGAAGGCGGAGTCGCCCTTGGTTACCCTTGATGCCCGGTTCACGTCGATTACCTGGGAGTATGTTGACGCGAAGGTTCTATTAGATATATTTGTTCGCGAAGTATCAGATGCCGAGACTGTACGACACCAATTACACGGGGCCACTGTGGGCTCGCTTCACGAGTTTGCAAAGGTCTACTTCCGGCATGTCTCTGGAGGGTCAAACGCGCAGCACATGAAAACCAAATCCTCTGAGTGGAGGAGGCTTGCTCGTTGGTTATTCAGAGGGTTGCGAGCTAGAGATCTCAGTCGACAGGGAAACGAGTTCTGGGAAGCGACCACGCCGTTGTTTGCGGGATTGATGGATGCGAGATGGCTGGTGCCGGTGGAGAGGCGGGAGGTCCGACAGAATAAACGCCAGCTCGAGAGCGCATTAGTGTTCTGGCTCGAGGACTTGCAAGCTGCGGGTGTGAACCTGGCTTCATACGGGTGGTGGGAGCGGAAGATGTTTGATGAGGGATGGGCGCTTCAGAATGCTTCCTGGACTCTTCTAGCGTGTGATGGGAAGGGGCCACGATTAGCGTCCATCCACACTGGGCCTCTTCCCCGAGACTGGAAGATACTTTGGGATTGGGAGCAAAATCCATGGCTCAGCGAGGATGTGGTTAGTGTGTTCTTCCAATGGGCTGAGAGGTCCCCTCCGGTGATGCCGGGTTCATGGCAGGGTGATGAAGAGTTCTGAAATCGGCAAGAAAGACAAGAAAGCGCTAGTGGTCAGTTGGTTTTCTCCGACATCCACACCACTCAGGAACCATGTACTGTGGGGGTCTTCATCACTTGGAAGAGTCTATTACAGTAATGAACCCGGCATTCGAAAACGAACCAGCGCGACCTCTGACATCCCTCAAAGAACCGCTTTCCCCGATCAGTCTTTCCGGGGTGATGAAGAAAGTTATTTTGACTCTGCAGCGTTTCCCACTTCTCCGACACCCTTTACCTCTCAGATGAGGCTGGTGTATTTGCATAAGCCATTGTTGCAAAAACTGGGTGCCTTGAAGACTGGGGCCGTAGCTTGCGGGCGTTTGAGGAATCTGGCCGAAGTCCGAGTACTCAGGTTTTTGATGATGGTGGTTTAGTCTCCTCAATCTTATCGAATCAGGTCGAATCAGGTCTGATTCCTTACCATGTCCCACAGACCTCTACCAAAGCAATCAACTAGCGGATCAGCTATGTTAGAATAGCTGTTGAATTAGTGAGCACAACGATCAGGTAATCGGACCACCCACAACGCGGCATCTACTTGGCTTCTTGAGATCGCTAGCACTATTGCATATTGCTTCGCAGCATCAACACAATAGTATCTAAAATGAAAATATCTGTAGTCGCAGCCTTCTGGGCTGAAATTCGTAATAAGATGAGATCGCCTACGTATTCCCCGCAAGAGCTAGAGAATGCCGAGTGTAAATAGGTTCAAAAATGTAAAGCCTCCGAATCGAAAAGCAAGATAGCCACCCACGTTCTTATCGGTTGCTTCCCAGCGATAGGGTCCTTATCAATGACTCCGATGGGAAAGGTCCGATAGCGGATAAGTCCGGCGATGGCGAATAGGGTTATGACCGGCTATCCGAGTGTTACTCAGGGCGATAATATAAAGGAGGCGAAGCGTTATCAATACCCAGAAACATTCTTTCTCGGAAAACCAACGTTAAACTCTTTCTTATTCAACATTGAGGCTCCTTTCAAAGCATAGAAGCTCCTGCATCACCTTCAATGACTGGGGCATGGGATCAGAACGTGCTGCGGGCACGCTTTTGTCATGCGTTGTCAGAGATGTACAAGAGCGAGGTCCCGCTATACGGTGATCTGATTGACGTTGTCTGGGAAGCGGATGCAAAGGCGGTGCAAGCGAGCAAGAAGCTGGGAGGAGCAAAGACCCTCGATCCAGACGACATTCTGCCTTCACGCCATCGAGTCGAAAGGCATGGCGCCATCAGGTTGGGAACTGCATATGAGCTGAGCACTATTCGTCGCATGTTCTCCGTCATGGGCATGTATCCTGTGGGCTACTATGACCTGAGCCTCGCCGGCTTTCCTATGCATGCTACTGCTTTTCGGCCAAACACACAAGATGCGCTGTCCCAGCATCCTTTTCGCGTCTTTACCACAGTTCTGCGGATGGAGCTACTGACAGAGAAGACGCGAGCATTGGCACAAAAAGCGCTAAGCCAGAGGAGAATCTTCACACCAAGACTTCTCGAGCTACTAGACATAGTCGAGACGAATGGTACTTTAACATCGCCTGAATGCGCGGAGTTTATTGAAAACGGGTTGGAAACTTTCCGCTGGCACTCAAAGGCGACAGTCACGCTTGATGAATATATGCAGCTCAAAGCCGAACACCCTCTTATCGCCGACGTCGTTTCATTTCCCAGTTCACACATCAACCATTTAACCCCTCGCACGATCGACATCGACCTAGTTCAACAGCTCATGGTAGACCATGGTATGCCAGCAAAAGAACGAATCGAAGGCCCGCCTAAAAGAGATTGTCCCATTCTTCTGCGTCAGACAAGCTTCAAGGCGTTAGAGGAGACGGTTTACTTCCGTGATTCACCCGACGGCTACGTAAAGGGATCCCATACTGCACGTTTCGGAGAAGTTGAACAGCGAGGCTATGCCCTGACACGAAAGGGTCGTCACTTGTATGATCGGATTCTAGACCAAGTGAATGCCGATGCTGCGAAGAACAAGGTCAAGGGAGGTCACTACGAAAAGCTGTTGGAAAGTCGTTTCAAAGCATTTCCTGATAGCTTGTCTGACCTCCGTGGCCAGAACCTGGCTTACTTCTGCTACCAAGTAACCTCCGCCGGCGAGAGACTTGCAGAAGATGGCATCATAATGGCCAAATTCGGAACCTCGGCGTCCCTTCAAGAGCTTCTAGACCAAGAGCTCTTGACCTACGAACCTCTGACCTATGAAGACTTCTTACCACTGTCTGCGGGAGGCATCTTTAATTCTAACCTAGGAGCTGTCTCCCAGTCAAAGCAGCTCATCATGAGTGCGGAGCCGGACCTTGATGGGTTTCAACGTTGTTTAGGCACTTGCGTTGCTGATGAGTTCCATCTTTACTCTGAGATGCAAGAGGAGTCCATTCGACGTTGCAAGCATCAGCTCGGACTGGATATCACTGTCTAGTCGAACCCGAATACCAATAAAATTTTCGACTATCTATCATCAGGATTTACGCCCGCCTCAAATCAGATATTGCAGATATCCCTCCAACTCTACTTTGCGTTATATGAGTTTAATATTTACAGTGGTACCAATTCCACGGCATGTTCAATTCAATCTTTTCAATTCTTGTCTTCAGGCTTGTAGAGAGTTCGGAACTCTCTCTCACACATAGCATCCGGTGTGTAGCCAGCGATTTTGCTTTCGCACTCAGTTTGTTCACGGAATAAATTATGTTTACCGTAGTTGGTTAATTTGAATCCTTAATCAGATTTTGGATTCGACTATTTACCCAACCTGGACAGGAGAGATAAACTAATTCTAGCCATTCCATGGATCAGTGGAGAGTGATATCGCCAGTACGACTTCCCCAAAATTCCGCTTCGTCCGCTTCGTCCGCCGCGACTTGACCCGACCTAGCCATTCACGACGAAATAATATCCTTAATAGGCAGGCATAAAGGCGAGTTGACGAAATCCTCAAGCTATAGAACGGGTATTGTCATACCTCATTTCCTCGCCTCCATGTCGATTTAGGGCTCTCAGGCATCAACAGAAGGCCATGTCAAGATGTCTTTCATATCAGAACATAATATATGATCACTTTGCTCACACATATTTTTCTCCGCGGGCCCTTCTCAGGCGGCTATACGGCATCTCCAAAACCCGAAAACGAACCAGCGCTTCCTTTGACATTCCTCAAAGAGCCCCTTTCCCCGATCAGTCTTTCCGGGGTGATGAAGAAAGGTCTAATGACTGTTCAGCGCTTCCCACTTCTGTCTCCTCCCGGATGAAAATATCCCGCATAGAACAAAATATGAATTATACGACCTGATATTCCGAGTCAAACACAGCCCGTCTATGGTGGCATGTCAAAGTATGGATCCCTCTTGAAAATCCTCAATTCGTCGGCCTTACTATCTTGTACCAGGTCTCAGCTGCATGTTGCATATCAGGTCCGAAAAACCGATAGTAACAAGCCAGTGAGGTCGGATGATGGTCTAGTCTCCTACTCAATCCTTTCGAATTGGGTCTGATTCCTTTACGTGTCCCACAGACCTCTACCAAAGAATCAACTGGCTGGTCAGCTATGTCAGAGCAGCTGTTGAATCAGTGAACACAACGATCAGGCAATCGGACCACCCACAACGCGGCATCTACTTGGCTTCTTGGGATCCCAGGTACCATTGCATTTTGCTTTCGCAGCATCAACACAGCAGTATCTTAATTTGCTTGACAAGGAAATAAAAAGAACCTTTTTGTATCGTCCTTCAACATTCATGGAATTGACGTAACGCTCGGCTAGTGATTGTCGGAGGTGGAAATGCCCGAGTAAACCATCGACAGCCGATTTATTGTCAGTGCCGGCGCTCAACAGACTAGATCATGCACTTGGGACCAGATTGAAAGATCTCATTCTCGATGGATAAAATTTGAAAAGTAGATATAGAATACAATGCACAAGAGATCAGCCAAAAAAACCCTCATCTATCTGTACAAAAACATGCTGCAAGATATTGATGCATCACATCTCAGCAAGTCACAACTCATACTCCGAGCCGTAGGAGAATACCTAGTGGGCTATGCATGCTCTTCCTTCCCACCCAGCACCTTCTGCATATCATTGCCGAGCCTCGATTGTAGGTGTGTCCTCGCTATCCTCAATGACCACGGCACCCTCCTCCAACAGCTCCTCGGGAGTCTTCACCCGGACTTCCATCACCCGCATAATGGTATAGCGGTGTTTGCTCCGGGCTTGCTTGGTGTGTCGCTGTCTCCGCTTCGTCTTCTCCTTGATGCGCATGGGCTCCGACTCGACACCAGTCACGCGAACCCGGCACTCGAACAGGCGTTCGTCGAGATGCGGCGAGCCCTTCATTGTAAAGTCACGCGATCCGACGGCACTAGCCCGGTTAAAGCGCAGAATATCTCCGGACTTAACCTTGGGCATGAGGAAAGGAAGACGGATGTGGTCACCCTCTGTCAAGAGGTAAGGCCGAGCGTGCAATTCGGCGACAACGTAGTGTGGCGACTGGCCCACAAGATGGGGCAGGCGTGACATTAGGGACTTTGTCACTTGAATAGGAGACTCGAAGCTCGGTGCCACTGGTTGTTTGGCAGTTGGGACATCGGCGCGTGTTTGAGGGACGAAGGATAGGGCGGAGTCGGAGGAAGGCACCCTAGGAGGGTTCTGAGCCACAGGTTGGGAGTTTTGCACGCGGGGTGTGGCACTCAGCGGCGTTTCAGGGCTCAGCGGGGAGTATGGAGTCTGTGTCTCTTGTTGCGATGTCCGAAGCAGGGCGGTTTGGTGCAAGCAAGCTCGTTGCTGGAGCGGAGCTGCCGACGAAATCGAGGACGGAGCAGACCACCGCAAGTCGGCAGCCAGGCTCCGCAGTACTGAGCGTGAAAACATTGCGAATGAACCCTTTCCCGTTGTTCAGGCTAATTTGCGGGAAAGAAATGGTTCTTTGGCGGCTGGATAATCTATTGCAAGAGCGGCTATCCGTTTCGTCGAGAAAATCATCAACTGCGCTTGTGGCCGCATGACTACCCGTAGTATCACGTGTCTCTATACTCTTCCAGGATCAGCTGCCCTGCAATCAGTATCGAAAATAAAACGTATATTCCTAGTATACATAGACGTAGATTTCCTATTTTCAAAAGAAAACCATTGTTTTCCAAAGAAGTCCTCCGTTCGGTATCTGAATTCATTCCTGTGGTGTGAGCAATTGGAGTCTTGACGGCTGGTTGATAAGAGGATCACATGACCCGCTATCTTTGCTGCCAGAAACAACTTTTTCGGTCCGCGAGTAGATCTTGCAGGTCAACCCCATCTTCTATCAACCCAACCCTTGTGCTCATTTTTCGTTCACCATGGTATGTTTCTGGATTATACTATCTTCAGCCTCCATACTTGCAGACTGGCTAACAAAAATCTCCACGCACAGCCTCAGAACGAGTTCGTCCCTTCCCCCGCCCACTCACTCGATATCCCGCCTTTTCGACTAACATATTTGCACCAGGTATATCGAGCGCTGGCAGAAGCAGCATGGTAAGCGCCTGGACCATGACGAGCGTGTGCGCAAGCGTCAGGCGCGTGAGGGACACAAGCAGTCGCACGATGCCCAGAACCTGCGCGGCCTGAGGGCCAAGCTGTACCAGCAGAAGCGCCACAAGGAGAAGATTCAGATGAAGAAGCGCATCAAGGCGCAAGAGGAGAAGAATGTCAAGTCCGCCGCTCCCGACGAGCCGTCCAAGACTCCTTTGCCCCAGTACCTGCTCGACCGATCGCAAGCCACCAATGCCAAGGCCTTGTCGAGTGCTATCAAGGATAAGCGCAAGGAAAAGTCAGCCAAGTTTGCTGTGCCTTTGCCTAAGGTTAAGGGTATCAGCGAGGAAGAGATGTTCAAGGTTGTCAACACCGGAAAGAAGACCCACAAGAAGTCCTGGAAGCGTATGATCACCAAGCCTACTTTCGTTGGCAACGATTTCACTCGTCGGCCTGTCAAGTACGAGCGGTTCATTCGGCCTATGGGTCTGCGTTACAAGAAGGCCAACGTTACTCAGTATGTTTTATCTCCTGTTCTTGAGTCGGTCATAGGCACGGGAAAAGGACAAACCTTCTTGCCCCTCTCGACTATTACTGCTTTTCTTGGATCGAAGATGGGGCAATGATACTAACATGACTTCTCTTTTCTAGCCCCGAACTCGGTGTTACCGTTCAGCTGCCCATCCTCTCTGTCAAGAAGAACCCCAACAACCCTCTTTTCACCCAGCTGGGTGTGTTGACCAAGGGTACTATCATCGAGGTCAACGTCTCGGAGCTGGGTCTCGTTACTACCTCCGGCAAGGTTGTTTGGGGTAAATGGGCACAGATCACCAACGTGCCCGAGAACGACGGCTGTGTCAATGCGTAAGTCATCTACCAAATTGGCCTCCATGCTTTCTTTCACTGGAATACTGACGTGGTTGTACAGCGTTCTCCTCGTTTAAAGCCCGCGTCACAAGGCTGTTATGCTCTATTATTCCTTCTTCCTGGCAGACATCGTCTGCCTTCGATACCACCCATGCTTCAAGCATCACTGGGATTGATTTGTTCCGCGGTTCACATAGTTGATAGAGACCGCTTTTACTTCGGTGTTTCCGGCGCATACAATGTTTTGGTCATTTCACGAAAAGTACTCTACATTATATGCTTGTTTCCTTTGGGACATAAATAGATGAGCTTAGCTACATGCACATCGACAATGATTTCATGAGATCTTGAGAGTCCACAAAAAGACAAAGACGGAAAAGAAACATACATGTAGGCGATGGGAGGAAGTGTTCGTAGAAAACTACACATTGGAGGCTAGCAGACTATAAGGTCGATTGATTAATGAAGTAGGAAAAGGGTCGGTCAATTGAACGTCGTCACCAATAAGGGCGTCAATGGCCCAAAACTCCAGGAAATCCCAATGCTTGACTCAAACATGCCAATCAATGCAAGTGGAACAAAAATGAACCAACGAAGAAAAGTCATGTACAGGAAAAAGTGAAGATCCACGCGCTGCGCTCAAGATCCGGACCGCCCAAAACTACCCGCCAGATGCAAGTCGGCTGGGCAGGCCTAGATAAAGACTTGCAGGATTAATGCAGGGAAAAGAACAATGAGGTAGAAAAAAAGGAGAGTTAAGCAGTCAAAGTAGATGTCAGTAAGATCAGCCAGAGTTCAGCTCTAGACAAGAACAGCGAATTTGTGAAAGGGAGAAGAAAAAGAGAGACAAGGACACCATCAAACACCGGTCATTAAGTCATCGTAACAGAGAGGGGGTAGACAGAAGAGGTATCAGAACAAAGTAAAATGAGGAGAGACGACTGGTCAAGGACATCTAGAATTTTCTTCTTCTAGGGCTGCCTTGATTTTGGCAAAAAACCCGGCAGGCCATGCAGCCAGCTCTTCTTCTCTGGGTACGCCACGGGCCTTGCAATGGTTGACAACATTGGCCAGAATGCGACCAAGCATGTCTTGCGTGACAGGGACAGCACCCTCAAGCTGGGCATCGGGGTGAAGGAAAGGATCGCGGGGGCCTAGCATCTCTTCGATGCTCGGGCGAAGAGTCTGGTCACGCTGGAGGCATCGCTTCAGGGTCTTGATTAATCCAGGGGGGACCGGAACACCGCCGACACCGTGCGTGGGAAAATCAATCTGCACACGGGGATTGGGAATTGCCATAATGCGCTCGTAGTATTTGGCAATCTTGGCAAAGGGAGGCTGGCCATACACCATCTTGTACAAGATGCAGCCCAAACTCCAGACATCGCTAGGCTTGCCCAGTTTCATCATTTTGCCCACACTAGCCGGCAGGCCAAGAGATGCATTAGAATCAACCAGGGCCTCTGGGGACATGTAGTTGGGTGTGCCAACTTGTTGCTCCCGGTGGACGTTAACGGTGTTATCTTGAATTGCATTGGCAATGCCAAAGTCGATCAGTTTTAATCGACCCTGGACCATGAGGAAGTTGGCTGGCTTCAAATCGGAGTGGACAATATTGAAGTTGTGGACAGCCTGGACACATTCGAGCATCTCTTTCCAGTAATAACGGGTGAAATTGATATCGAAAGTAGCATCCTCGGCATTAAGACGGTAAGTCAGAATCTTCTCAAGATCCGACTCACCAATCTCCATCAGAACGCTGAGGGAATGTTTGTCAGAGTTGAGTTCCCAGTCAAATAAACGCACCACGCGGTCCACATTTTCGAGCTTTTTGAGAAGGTCTATCTCGCCCTTGTACCCAGTCAAGGTGATAGGGTCGACATCTTCCAGGTTCACTCGTTTGAGAGCAAAGATCTTATAATTCTCGGCCATGACACGGTAAACACGGGAACTACCACCGCGACCAATACAATCAAGACGAGTGAAGTGCTTGTGATTAATCGTCACTTGCGTCCGCTTCTTTCGAGATTGTGACGTGGAAGCACCACCCGTGGCAGTGGCAGTCTCGAGCACTGACATCTTTGGTGGTGGTGGAGCCGGTCGGTGTGGTGTATTGTTGCTTCGAGTCGCAAGAATTTTGCGGGGTGAGCTCCCTGCCGGGGTCTCTGCGGCATCTTTCTTGTCGCTGTCATATACGACGGAAAGTTTCTCGGGTTTATCTAATAAGTTGAGACCCTGCGGTTTGGTGCGTTTGAAAGTTGGTGGTGGTTCATTCTCTTGATCCCTCGTTGAGGGTAATGGTGGTGGTAATGACGGTACCTTGAAGGCAGGCTGCTCTTTCGCGCTGGACATTCTAGAGGAAGACACTTCCGAGGACCCCGGTGTGGATTTGGATTGGGATCCATATGACCTGGGCGAGGAGGATCGCGAGAAGGGACCTTCACCGGCAGCACGGCTCGCAGGTCGATCTGCGCGAGGGTATTGTTTTTCATTGTCATGTGGAGGGCTCGGATCTGTTGCCCAAGAAACTTTGGGTGATGATGGTTTCGCTGATCCTCGAGCTTGATGGTATTCAGCGTTGACATCTTGTGGCTCCTCGTGCTCGCGGATGCCGTCATTCAATAGGTAATTATCTTCATTATTCTCTTCACTCTGCCGCCGCATCACTCCTCTTCGTGCAGGTCCATTCAAGAATGTACCAGTGAGGCGCCCGACCCGCTTTACTCGCAGAGAGCTCTGGGGTCCCGCATCGTCCCCATGGCGGCCGCGTAGGACCGATGAGGTGCCAATTCTGGACACCGGATCATCATCGTAACGTGATTTCCGATCACTATCAGACCGGTCACCACTGCCATACTCATCACCCGACTGCCGTTCCGTTGACCTGACCAACGATGGTGAAATCGATGATGGCGAGCGCGTACCGCTACGCGAAGCATGGATTCGGACACTCCGCGGTCGGGGAGCGGGAGTTATGAAGTCATTGGGCCGGTCTTGAGCTTCAGACTCGGCACTTTGGCTGTTCGACAGCGGGGAGCCTTCGCGGGAGAATCTCGAAGACGATGAGATAGCACCAATTCGAACAACACGGGGGGCAGGGCTTCCATTGGACTGGTCGTGGGGAGATGTATTTCGCGGCGATTGGCTATGTTGCCGAGAGCCCATGGCCGAGCGCCTTTCATATGACGACGCTTGTTGTTGATGTTGACCCTTGTGCAGATGCGGCGAAGACCCCAGACCATCTCCATCCAAAAGCGCCTTCACCGAAGCACTGAACTTGGGCTCGGGAACCTCATCATCGGAGCTGTCGCCAGAGTAGTGTCTTGGGGCGGATGTTCTGGCCTCGGCGTACTGCAGGGCTGGGGAGGCACGTCGGGAGCCCGAACGTGAAACCGTGGATCGGGTCATCGGTCGGGACGGTTGTTGATAGAGACCGCTGGTGTAGGCAGCAGAGAGGGAATTCGGGGAGGCCATTGCGAACTGCGCACTACATTGAAGTCGTGGATCAATGCTGGCCCCAGTGGCCCGAAGGTGTCGTCGATGTTTGTTGTTTCCTCAACTCGGAGAAGTCCAATCATGTCGACCCAAGGTTCCATGGCGAGTGGGAGCGGGCGCGCTATTTGGTCACGTGGCATTGGGTTACCATGGTGACCACAACAACAAAGAATGCCGCGATGGACATGTAAAACTCGGCAGCAGAGCAAGAGCTTGGATTTCCTGATGAGCTGTATCATACAAGTTCTGTAGGCAGTCGTCTATGTGGTATTCTATGCTCAGATAAACTGACCATTCCCGCCATGGCATCTGAGAAACGTTCGCCTGCCAACTCAGCCATCAGGGTTCATTATTACCCGAAGTTGCTAGCATGCAATGATAGATTTTGTTTTATTGGCTCTTTGTAGGAATTGAGTGATATCACGTTGAAGTGCTAGAAATCTTTTCGCCCCTTAATCATTACCTATTGTTGAACGCTAGGAATAATAATCAGTTTGCGGGCAGACTGCATACAGCAGGTACCATCCTCGATATATATCCGGTTACCTACTGCGTATCCGCGCCGATCGCTAACGGTGCAACGACGCAAAATTGGAATAATCATGAAAGCCTAAAGGATACCAATGACCCATTTGTCAATTGTACCATTTTCATACCAACCGACGAAACCCCTTACTTTCACGCTCTTTCCGAATGATAAACGCCTACCTCCACTGACAAAGACCCCTACATACAAAATGCGAACGGAGGATGGCATTGCGAGTAGGCAGCAACAAGGTCGAGCATCGCCACCCCACATTTTCCACGCTCGAGGTGCTCCCTGCAAGCTACAAGGACTTGGCTCAACTAGTGGCGGTGGAAATCCAAGTTGATTGGACGCCCCTGGCCACCTGCATCGGCTGGGATAACCGCAAAATCAGAGCTACACGAAAGGCACGATTCCCCATTTCCATGACTGATGCCTTGCATATGAAATCGCCAGTTTTTCCCGCGGCGAATTTCGTACGTGAAATTCCCTCGTTGCCCTGTGCGATGCAGTGTGATGCGTCGCAAAGCATGGCTGCGCCTCATGAATATTTCAGGGCGCCCGAGTGAGAGGAAAGTTCGTCTGATCCGCCGGATCTTTGGCCGCATGGCCCAAGTAGGGACGTCTGATGTGTGGAACAATTCCGACGAGATAAGATCTAAGACAAGGATCAGATTTCCGTCAAGTTAGATTATTGATCGCAAGAGGACAGATGGTTCTATAGCTCGACCGTGGTTCGCAATCTTCAGACATGAACTACGGAGTACGTAACCTAGCGTTGGAAGTGTCCGAGCGCGAGGAAAAGAAAAGAAAAATTGAAATCTCTGTTATTCACCAAGTCGAACATATCATGTGGGCAAAGAGGACACCGGTGAACAAGTAAAGGACTTCTCGCCTCGACCTTCTCGGCCCCGAAGAAATGGGAGTCCTTTGACTCGGATAGCGACCGCAGGTTCTCGCGGAAACTACGATCTCATAGGTTAGCTTCAACCAAAGTTAGGGTCGTGGCATGGCTTTGCAGCTGTGTCCCACTGAGGCGCATTGGCCTGTTGGAAATCGGACCTCTCGCAATTTGAACACGAAGAGGTAGTGTGATTGCGGGCAAGGCTAGGCCGCGCGCTCAGCCCCGGAGTATACTCTGGAGCCCACGACGAATTCTTTTTTTAAACATCACGATCCTCCTGGGACGAACCGCAGTAAACAAGCTCACACCAACACTCTATCTGAGACGGTGCACGTCGCGATATGTCTTAAGCCTTGCAAGGCTCAAGTGTGGAACGATAGGCGGCTCTTGAAACCGCGATCGCCTCATGATCGCCTTCCGGGCTGGATCCTCCCCCTCCAGCCATCCAGCCCTCCAGTCCTCTAGCTAGGGTCAAACGAACCGGTTCTCCATCCGAGCGTTTGAGGGCGGTGGCGGTGCGCTAGTTTTCTTCGAACACCGTTAGTTTTGTGGAGCCTAGAAGTAACCCGAAAGAGGCTTAGAGGGACTGGTAAACGGAGTGAGAAAAGTATAAAGTGACGGAGTCGAATTTCCGTGGCTCCGAGTAACACTACGCCGTATGATGTCTAACCAGCTTCAACCAAACCCCCACCAAGGTGACGCTCTCGGGTAACCCCTGACCCTTGGGGCCCCACCCGCGGCTGGAGTCTAAATTTGAGGCAAACCATCCGGGATCACACGCTGGGCACATACTCTCTTGCTTCGATGGGTCGCTGCACCACTGCGACACCGACGCCTTTTAACAGGTGGGGTTGTTTCTGCGTGAACTGCATGGGGGACTTTCACTATTGTTGCAATCCGGGCAGTGGCTAGCTCTGGTTAATCTCTCGTGTAGCTCTCCGCTTTGGGCAAGCACATCAACACCAAGCAACAAGTCTCGACCGTCTCGACTCTTCGGGCTTTAGGCTCCAACCAAACCAGGACCAAGGCAGTTTTCTACCAGTCTAGACAGGGTGTTGCAGCATGCCCGCCGTGGATTTGGTCCGTGGGATTCCCGACACCTGCAGGCTCTCCGCACCTCGTCTATCCTTTCCAGAAGCGGCCGCACCTCTCGCATGGCGGTGCACATGGAGGTCAAAATAGAAACAAAATAATCAATAAAACTTTTGATACTATGACTATGGGTTCCGCCGTCTTCCCCCTGGGCTTACTACGGCCAAGAGGACGTTTCAGAACCTGAGCAAAAAGCTAGGGCCGGGAGCAATAATGTTGAGCCACCAAAGTCAATGGGGGTGGGTTCTTTGATCCGAAAGGTGGACTGGTCTCTTTGCACTGGTTTTCTTTGTCGGGATTAAGACCATCGACAGCCGACCCAAGGCCTGTTGCCCCCGTCACATATTGTGTACAGGACCTGCATTGCGTACCTCTGTGCCGGGTGAGCCGATACCGCGGGGATTTGCAAGAGACATACCGGGGGAGGGGGAGAGTATGTATACCATATATTGGACTTGTTCACAATGGACCACTCGGAATCAGTTCGCATGTAGTGGTCCTTTTCTCCCCTCACGCTCCCAGACAAAGCCCTAGCGAGGTTCCTTGGATTTGGTCCGGAGCTAGTGTCTCCGCTGAAGAGTTTGTTGCTATTTGGAGAGCAACGCCCCAGTGCTAAAAAGGTACACTAGCCCTGAAAGAGGAATGGAAGAGCGTCGTACCCAAATTAATTTCGGGTCGTGGGCCCGTCAAGCGTTGGTCCTGACGATCGTTTCCTGCTGGCGTTTAGCGTGAACTGGGCACCAACCAAGCAGAGCCCGGCATGGATAGCCCGATGACTACATTGAATCCGTCAGTCCTTGGGATCTTCGCGAAGCCCTCCCCCCTGGGCCTTAACAGGTAGACGGGCTCGCTCGTCCACGATTTTCAATCGCAAACTTGGTCGCCGGCTCGCCCCGGCGTGGAGGACTTGGCGGGCTGGAAAGCCATTTCCCCTCTGAGACTATTACTGACGGGGTATGCGGAAGCAAATAACCGGAATATCCAGTATAGTACTTCATACTCGGTATGGCAATCGCAATGGATCATCCGGTCAACTGGACACCTTCTCTGACTTGCCTCGCCCTCGACGGCACGGCCGCAGACCTTCCAACACATGCTGTAATCAGCCTGCCCATGGCACCTCACTGGCGAGTCGGCCGAGTCTCGCTCCGCTTTGGTCGCAGATCCAGGTCTACCCGGGTATCCGTGAGCCGAAGGTCAAGGGGGAGAGGGGCCATGAAGGGGCAGCCCGTCAGCCATTGGATCATGGAGCATGGGTCATTGGATAGCTCGAAATGTGGACTGAGGGCCCTTCGAGACTGGGGTAGCAGAGGTGTGCAGGGCTCCAGTCTCCGGCCTATTCCTATTCAGGGCATGGCCACTCCATCCAGTTCGGATAGATCGTTGTGAAATGGGAAGCGAAAAGTGGAGAGGCCCGTTTCAGAACAGGCCGCGTGCTATTCTTTGCTCTGTGCTCTGGAGGGAGTGCAGTGGCTGCCGATTGCCTGGTCCACGGTTGATCAGTGACCAGGGGGTTTATAAATACCGGGGACGATCGTCTACCCGATGTTATTCTTTCATCGGTCGTTTTTCTCTCCCATTTTCACCAGTCTATCGTTAATTCTTTCGCGGACGGCTTCTGGTCGGTCCTGCTTTCGCTTTCGCTTTCTCGTTTCTACTTTGTCTCTCTCTTTTGGGTAGGACCTACCACCCACTGTTTACAAATACCTTGACAAGCCATCGTGCTATACACTCGCTATATCGTTTGATACCCCCAACCGAACCCGTTGATCCTCCCGCCGATTGCCGTTGATCAAACATGCGTTCCGATATTCTTATGCTCGCCGGCCTGGCCAGCACTGCTCTCGCTTACCCTGCCGAAATCGCCGTTGAGCGCCGTACCTTTGGCCTCCTGACCCATCTCTTGGGTGATGCCGCGTCCGATGTCATCGGTCTTGTTGACTCCCTCCTCGGTGGCGGTGTTCACGGTTCCGCCTCTGCCCTGGATGGCCTGAGCGCCTACGGTGCTGCTGCTCTGGGGGGTGGTGCTATTGGATGCACCGCCGCTGTCGTCCCCGCCCATGCTCGCGGGGAGCTGAAGTTATGGCTGGCTGGCCAGACCTACATCACAGGTTCCCTGCACGCCTCGCTGCTGTCCTGGTGTGAGGGCTCGGGCTCTGCCACCCTCAGTGCTGATGTTGTCGCGGCTCTGTCTGTCTATATTCCCACTTGCGCTGATATTGCCGCCAAGGAGTCCATCTATGTTACTCTCGACGGTATCTTCTCTGCTACCGAGCTCTCCTCCGCCCTCGTGCTGAGTGTTTCTGCTCAGTCGTCTCTTACTGCTTTCCTTGATATTCATGTCGGCCTGGGTGCCCACATCGAGGCCGGTCTCAGCGTTTGTGCTGCTGGTGGGGTCATTGGCAGCTTGGATGCGGAGATTAAGGCTTCCCTGCTTGCCTGGCTGACTACATCTGACTGCCCTCTCAGTGCTGATCTGCAGGTCTCCGTCCTTGCCTGGTGCCATGGCGAGCACGGTAGCGGTCTGGTTGAGATCGGCGCGGTTGCCGACACGGCGCTGACCTCTATCTCCGTTGGTGCTTCCATTGCTGCTTACGTTGAGGAGGCTGGTGCGCTCTCCCTCCACGCCCAGGCTTCCCTCGCTGCTTTCCTCAACACCAAGCTCGCTGTCGATATCGACGCCGATGTCCTCGTTGCCCTCCACGCTTGCGCTGCGGGCAAGCTCGCCACCAGTCTCGATGTCAGCGCTCGTACTGCCCTCTCTATCTGGCTGTCTGGATCTAGCTGCTCTCTCGGCGTTGAGCTGAAGGCTATCGTGCTGCTCTGGCTGTCCGTGGCTGCTTCCGCCGAGGTCGCCCTAGACCTTGTCGGCGGCCTCCTCGTTGATATCACTGGTTTCCTGACCGAGATCGTGCTGTCTGCTCTTAGCGTCAACCTCCGTGGTGCTCTCTCCCTCCTCGCTGCTGGTGAGAGCCTGACCATCCTGTCCTGGGAGGCCCGTGCTGAACTCGCTGCCTTCCTCGGCGGCTGCACCGACATTGACATTGATGTGAGCATTGAGCTCATTATCATTGAGTGGTTCACTGGTTGCAGCATCCCTGGTGCTCCCGCCGCGTCCTCCTCTGTGCCTAGCCTGCCATCTTCCACTCCCGTCGGTGCGTCCGGCATTCCTCATGTTCCTTCTGGCGGGGTTCCTACCGGCCCCGCTGGCTCTGGCTCTGTCCCCTCCGGTGTCCCTACTGGCCCTGTCATCCCTGGCTCTGTGCCTTCTGGCCCTGCTCCTACCGGCTCATCTGGCTCCGGTTCTGGGTCGGGCTCATCTGGGTCGGGCTTGGGCGCGGGCTCTGTTCCCTCCGGTAGTGTCCCTGCTGGCCCCTCTGGGTCGGGTGCTGGTGCTGCTAGCACTCCCTGCGAGACCTCGCCTGCCGGCACTCCTCTGCCTGGCTCTGGCTCTGGCTCTGGCTCTGGTTCGGGTTCCTGGACGTGGTCCACTGGTGGCGCCCCCGCTCCTACCAACCCTCCTTCGGCTTCGAGCTCTAGCTGGGCATCGGGCACCTGGACCGAGACCGTCACCGTCTACAAGACTGTCTGTGGCTGCGACTAAGCGGCTTCATACCCTACCCAATCCTGTGAAGAGGCTCCACTCCCCTCCCTGTTCCCGGCACGTTTCTTGTTCTACTTTTCGCATGACAAGATGACCGTTGACACCATGGAATGATGTGGCCTGCACTATCTGCCCAGGTGCAAGTCCCCCGACCCAAGCGTGGGAGCTGATTTGTTCAGTGACTCCCTCTCTGTTCTTCCTTCTGTGTAGACACATAATTCTAATTCTAATCGGCTCTGGGAGATTTGAGCCTGGCCTATTTCTGTGTGTGGCCTTGCGGCCTTTACTGTGGCTTTGGCCTAGATAAAGATCATTTGTTATACCAGACCAGCTGGGAAGATTTGTATTGTCTTGATTCCCTTTAATGGAGTACATTCCTTTATATATAGCTAAAGATGTCGCCAGCCCCTGTTCATTAAAACTCTTGTTTCCCTACAAGAATCTCTGTTTTATAATAATGGTGCATTGCCTGTTTTACAGTCTCGGAATAGATGGGAAAAAGTTTTGTGTTTCAAATCCTTTAAATAAATGAGATCCTTCCTACTTTACAGTTGTTTGTAAATTCAGTTCAACCTCCTACTCTGACGACATGATTCCTGTAACACAAATCCCAGAAGGCGCTAATCGGTCACCTGTGATGGTCATCGCTGCATAAAATAACATTAACAAGACAATCTTGGTCCGGTCAGGCTGTCCAATACTCCAAGGTCTGTGGAAAGTCCTCATAGGACTGTGCACGACAGTGTATCCATCAAAGCACCAGTGTGTTCTGATTGATTCCTTCCGATTCCTCTCAACTCCCCTCTAGAGCTAGGCTCCTCACTATGAAGGCGCACACGTGTAGAGGAAGGGAATTTTAGTGCTTTGGCACTTCTTCGAGCAGCATTGCGCATTTGTGGTACAGGTCAGTCCCTGCTCAGTACACTGTGGTGCCTCAACACACTCTCCATTCTGGCACATCAACCCCTTTCCGCACTTCTTTTCAGTCGAGCAAGGAGCGTACAGGTCGCCGTTATCAGGTTGGCAGGACTTCCTATCAACAAAGCGGGCCTTGCGACAAACAAATGGCGAATTACAGTCTGCGTTTGTCGAACAGTCCGCGAACTCCCCGCCAGGCGCATGGTCGCAGACACCATCGTCCTGAGAGCAATAGCCGCTCACGCATTGGTCATTCAAAACGCAGTCTTTGCCCTTGCGGAGGTCGGCACGAAGACACATTTTGGTATTCGGCGAGCACAACCAGCCGATACCTCCATTGCGGCAATCTAACGCGGTGCTGCAGGATTTGCCGGTGTTGTCTTCCTTGCAGACGCCGTTCAGACAGACCTGAGATTCACAGACTTCCCTTGATGTGCATTCCTCCCCATCTTTTAGTGTTGGTTCGCACTGCTGGGTTTCTGGATTGCAGTATTGTTTGTGCAATGGAGGGGCACCCCAAATTATGGATTTGTTCCCCGGACATTTAGCCGAGGTCTGGCACTGCCCTCTGGGGAGAGGGGCGCCAGGGATAGCCAGAGCTACCCCGGCAAGTAAAAGGGAGTGGAAAATGAAACGCATGATATCTGCGAAAGAAAGCTTGTCAGATATGTCATCAAAAGGGCAACGGGAAAGAAAGTTCCTAAACATAAATACCTTCTGTGTTCCAAGTCGTAGTCTCTAGCTAAGTGATTTGAGAGTTGATTGGTCCTGTTGCTTGGATGAAGCCCATTATATAGTGTTCCTTTACTAGTATTTTCACGTTCAAGGTTGACAATTAGGAGTTTGCGACGTGGGAGCACCGTTGATCTCTAGGTAGTATCTAACTTTGCGATTGCCATCAAATGTTCCCTTCGTAGATCAAGCTGCGTCGCACTATTGCAGATAATCAGGTTTTTTAACCTGGCAGAGAGACTGGAGCTCACTGAAGATCACTAGAAATCCGCGGTGAGATGCTTACGGAGTACTCTAGCCAATGAACTATGTACGTAGCTGGTCGACCTAAACGGTAAAGATCTGACGGACCTACCAATTAAACCCACCTCGATATTAGCTGAATAACCACATTTGTTTCTTTAGGTAATTTTGTTTGGCTATGTAGTGTCGTTCATGGTTTGATTGCTCTCACCCTTCCTAACCCGTTAAATCCTTCCCTCCAATCCAATCCACCTCATCATAGCCGGAAAAATATGCCTCTCGATATCTCTAGACGCAGCGCGATTGCCATGGTAAAAGCTTTAAATTGATAGGATATCTAGCCAAATATCTGCCCTACAAATATATCTTACAGGGAAAAAAATGTCTTTTCTCTACGTGTTCCTGCCTATCAGGTTCTGTCACAATTTTTTATTGGGGTGGAGCGCTTCGCTAAATGAGGAAATGGTCGGGCGAGCAAGGACTATGTCGATCCACAAACTATGCACCGTCATAATAGCTCGGTGGGGCGGGATCCTCTTCGCGCGTAGACTAGCGTGGACTGACCTTAAGTAATGCACATGAGGGTCGCGGAGGTAGCGTGTGTATAGCAGTTTCGTGTAAGATACAGGTAATGAAGTCTCGCAGTTGTAAAATATAGTATAATCCACGAAGCGGTCTGGGGATCATGAATGTGGACAATCATCCAAGCAGGACTCATGAATTTCGGACCTCTTCTCCGGATATTACATGGGAAGAGTGTGGAGGTAAAATTAAGTTCAGAAACTACTGTACACGTCTGAATAGATTAAGTTGATCAAATGTGGTTCAAAGCGGGTTGGCTCCACGACCATTGGTTTAAGCCTGGCCCTTGCGGGTAGCACCGAAGTAGTTACTAAATGAACGACGCATGAGAGTCCGTCTGTCCCAAAGTAACTTTTCTCCCAAAGTAGTCAAAGAGGCTCGACGCGCAGAATTTTGTGTGGCCTAGGATAATACCGTTGTCAGCTGTGCACGGTAAACACAAGTGCTTGGGCAACGGACATGAATTAAGCTCAATGCTCAGCAGGGATACAAATACAATGCACATATGACGCTCTCAAACACTCCCTTGAGATTTACTAATGACCGACCTGTGGAGAATGCTCCATCTTCTTGTCATCTGGATTCGTAGTTTCGTCGGCTGCTGTAGCTGGTTCATCAACAGGGGCAGGCAAAGGCTGCGCAGGCTGTTCAGACCCCGTGTCTTTCTTCTCATATTCATCAGCCAACTTTTGTCGTTTCTCTTCAGGTACAGATACAGATGATTCACGCCGTCTGTGAGAGCCCAGATTGTATCTTTCAAGAGATCGCTTTCGAGTCCGCTCCTCGCGAGGGCTGCGGTTGGGGGTGCGGCGTCGCCGATCATGATGTTCACGATTACGACTACGGCTCAGGCGGCGTGTGTCATAATCTCTGCGGATTCCACCACTCATACCTCGGGAGCCCGAGTGGGAGCGGGAGCGAGATCGAGAGTGAGAAGAGGGTCGCTGACGTTGGTCGTGCCGAGGAGGGGTCACGCTGCGGGAGCTCGAACGCCGTCTGTTGCGGTCTCTTCTGGGAGTACGTGAGCGGGATGCACGATTGCGGGTAACGGATCTGTCTCGATCACCATGGTCCGAACTGGGTCTCTTCTCTTTGCGGTCTGGGTGATCCGGGGAACGGGATCGGCTGTAGGGGCGGCGGCGCTGACGAGATCGATCATGTCCCTCAGGGGTCCGAGATCGGCTGTAAGTGCGGCGACGGTATCGGCGAGGAGAGCGAGAGGGGGGTCGAGAAGAGGAACGGGAGGGAGAACGGGACTGGCGCCGACTTTTATTGGAGCTAGGAACGTAAGAATCGAAATCGCGGCGAGAAGGGGCTTCACGATGGTAGCGATCTCGGCTGCGATATCGAGGCGGCGGGGAACGCGAGCGGCGTCGATCGTAGCGATTTCTTCCACCACGGCCGCGCTCGCTACGCTCACCACGCTCTCTTCTTCTGATATCATCCATCTCGCGGTCTCGGGTGCGCTCTTGCTCCTTCTGTTGACGAGCAGCCTCGGCAGCTTTTTCGGCCTCGATCTACGAAAACCATTGATCAGAAAGAAGTTCACCGTGAAGAAATCGCGGAATCATTCGGTACCTTTTCCTGAATTAGTTCAAGCTTCTTGGCCTCCAGCAGCTCCTTTGGAACGCCCTGAGGATTCTCCTGGCCGCTGAGACAAAGGGACCATAGCTCTTTGCAGAATTTAGCAGTATCCTTGTCAAGAAACCCCGTGAGATGTATTTGGAGGGATTTGATGTCCGGCTATTTGACCACAAATCAAGGTGTTAGCAAGAACGCACGTCAAACAAGTCGAACCGAGAAATCGCAGTCAAGCCCACGGGGAAAGGGACCATACATAGCGCGAGCCTTCCAGCAGGTTGAAGCACAGCTCAATGACTACATCATCTTCATTACCAAGGATCTCAGAGATACGCCCAGCAATCCATCTGCAGCACCGAGTAATAAGTCTCCAATTCTCGCTGCAATCAAAATCCGGGGAAACGACTCACTTCTTCATGACTTCAATGTTGACCTTGGTCATGTCCACCTTCCGACTAAACTCCGGAGGGAATTTAGTCTTCTTGAGCAGCTTTGCGTCCACAGGGGTCGCCATGTTTGCCAATTGGAAAGTTGCAAGTGTGATGGACGAAACGTACGGAGCCGTGAGAGTGGTTGATGGGCCGGCGGGCGGTCTGGTATACTGCCGGCTGTCGCCCAAGGGCGGTGTACATAAATGGCAGAACAACATATTAACGGATTAGGATTAGTCTGTTAACTAGTTAGACTAGGACAAAGTCATTCCCCAACTACTCCAAAGCAGAGTTTAACAATAATAATCATTCGACAGACTATATATGACACTCTACGTACCATATTTCCTCTGCCGGGTGGGGCTTTCCTTTCTGAGCTGCCGCCGCTTTTCTGAGGGCGCTCAGAGACTCACCAGAGGTGTCTATTAAACACCCAGTCCGTATTCAGTCTATACCTAAAGGAGAACTTTGCCCCACAATGATATTTACTTTGTGAATAACTTTTTGATGGCCCTCGTCTCTCACTATGACCCTCTTTTTGAGGGACATAGGTTCCATCTGCCACCAGTAAGGCTGAAGAGAAAGTGTTTTCGGTTATTGAACAAGGGTGATCTGTGCCCGAACATTGAGGTACAAATTGAAGCTATATCCCCCTCCTTCTAACCTTTCAGAATTTCCGCTACTATTCACCTAAATTTCTTCTTTGCTATTTTCTTTCTTGCTTTTTGTGGAAGTAATTCAGTCTTCTTTGTTCAACAAGATGAGCTGCTAAGCTCACCGTAGCCCAAAGACAGAAAATAGTTAAACCATCCTGGTGGATCTATTGGGCCACGATGAACTGGAAACTGCAGGGTGACCCAAGCACATATATCAACACGAGATAATCACGTGGTGAGTGGAATTACTCCTCGCGCTCGTAGTGAGGCTGAAAATCCCCAGAACAACATCTCTTTACTGTCCAAAGAAATTGTTGCAAGCCTGGTATTTTTATATCGTCTCACAGAGTTAAATCCTCCAAAGAATGTTCTCCCCGCCATTATCTACAGACAACACTCTACAGCACGATAACTACACAGTCGGCTGGATCTGTCCGCTCGAGATCGAGCTCATTGCAGCCCTGGAAATGCTCGACGAAGAGCATCCTCGCCTCTCACAGTAACCTGCAGACCACAATGTCTACAATCTCGGCAGCATTTCCGGTCAGAATATTGTCATAGCGAGCCAGTGGAAGCCCGGTAACACTGCAGCTGCGACTGTCATTGCACAAATGAGAATGACATTCCCCAACATTCGCTTCGGGCTTCTGGTCGGTATCGGCGGCGGTGTGTCTACGATGACGGATGCTGGAATGATCCGACTGGGCGATGTGGTTGTTAGTAAGCCAACTAGCATACACTCTGGTGCTGTTCAATATGATCATGGGAAAGCAGAAGTCGGTCTTCTGAAACGTACGGGTGTCCTTGCGCCTCCACCCCCGTGCTCTCCATGCAGCGCAGGATCTTGCTGCAAAGCGAGCCCGGTCCCGACGAGGAGACCCTGTTGTTGCGAACATCGGAAGGATTGAAACCAGGCCCCCGGCACTGCGGAAGTTCAAGTTCCCTGGTGCACATGAGGACTACTTATACCCGCCTGAGTATGTTCATCGCGAAAAGGGAGTCTCTTGCGATAGGTGCCAATGCGACCCGGGTGAACGTATTCCACGCGATACAGACGACAGTTGGAACACGGAAGGCGACATCCCTGCGGTGGTTATTCATAGAGGGACCATAGCGTCTGGAGAGAGGGTCATAAAGGACGGTAACTTGAGAGATAAGCTGGCTGCTCAGGACGAAGTGTTATGTTTTGAGATGGAAGCAGCTGGAGCTCTCGCCGACTTTCCCTGCTTGGTAATTCGTGGTATCTCTGACTACTGTGACTCCCACAAGAATGACCAATGGCACGGATATGCGGCCGCTTCCGCTGCCGCCTATGCTCGAGAGATATTCTTCCATCTACCAATAGATAAATTGAAGCGGTTTGTTTGAAACAGTCGCATTAATATGCTTTATCTCTGACCGATTATTAGTGCCGATTCACCATACCCAATAGAGAACAAGCTCAACATCTTAATGGAGCGCAGTGATGACCAGGAGCGTCAAGCGATCATGAACTGGCTGTCACAGATAGACTACAGGGCCTTTCAGGCTGACTATCTTGATCAAATGAAAGAAGGGACGGGCCAGTGGTTTCTGAGATCGGATGCGTTTCAATATTGCGTAGACACCCCATCAACTTTGTTCTGTCCTGGTATTCCTGGAGCGGGGAAAACAGTCATCACATCAATGGTCGTGGACTATCTTCAACAAAGATTCAAGTCGAATCCGGCAACAGCAGTTGCAATGATTTTTTGCAGTTTTACTCAACGGCAATAACAGAACCTCGTTCATTTTCTTGCAAGCATTCTCAAACAATTGATCCAGCAATCGAGCTTCATACCGGAACAGGTGGCAAGCCTCTGTTCTCCTACTATTAATGCAAGTCCGCGTGAGCAGCAGATGCTGGATTGCCTGCAGACTATGGCCAGTGGATATTCCAAGATATATTTGGTAGTGGATGCACTGGATGAATGTGAAGAATCCACGAGAAACAAACTGATTCGAAAGATTTTCAATTTACAGTCGAAGACTAATATTGGATTCCTTACGACTTCGAGATTCATTCCAGAAATCACCTCACTCTTTGCAGAGTTCCCGTCATTAGAGATTAATGCGAGTGTGGATGACATCAGGCTATATCTTACAAGCCGGATAAATGAGCTGCCAAATTTTGTTTCCCGAGATCCTTCTCTTCAGGAGCTTGTGTGCTCGACAATCACTGAACTCGTTGATGGGATGTTTCTCGTTGCCAAGCTTTACATTGACTCTCTAAGAAAGAAGCGATCCATCAGAGCGTTGAAGGATGCTTTGTCTGATATGCCAGGCGGATCTGCAGCCTATGACTATGCATACCAAGATGCTATGCACCGCATTGAAAGCCAGACCCTGGACGAGAAAACCCTGTCTAAGCAAGTTATGTGCTGGTTAACCTGCTCGCAACGGCCGCTCACGCTGACCGAACTACAACATGCCCTTGCCGTCAAGCCTGGTGAGCGGGCCTTCGACGATGAAAATCTTTCAGATATCCGAGCCATGATCACACCATGTGCCGGGCTTGTTGTGTTCGATGATAGAAGTCACATTATTCGACTGGTCCACTACACAACACAAGATTACTTCCAGCGCACCTGGACCAGATGGTTCCCGGAGGGCCATCATTATATTGCGGAAGCATGTATCACATATCTGTCGTACGATATCTTCGAGGCTGGGGCTTGTGAGAAAGAGCGCGACGTGAGACTTCGATTGCGCAAAAACCCTCTTTATGGATATTCTTCGGTAGCCTGGGTCTATCATCACCAGTTACAGTCCATCAATGACCTTTTAATCCTTAATCTGCTGAGAAATGAAAAAAAGATGGCCGCGTTCACACAGGTGTTTTGGTATGAAAGGAGTAAAAGCAAATAAGGATACCCTCAGTTTCCGGTTCAGGAGCAATCCAGTCTTCACATGGCTGTATTCCTTGGTCTTGAGGATTTTATACCTGACCTGCTAAAAACCACACACGTGGATGCGCAGAGCTCCTCTGGAGAGACACCACTTTTGTTCGCCGCACAGATGGGACACACAGACATTGCACGGCTTTTGCTAGATCATGGTGCCAACCCTGAGCCTAGAGAGCAAGTTGATCGTTCACCATTACTTCAAGCGGCCAAAAATGGCCATGAAGCAGTTCTTTGCTTACTACTAAATCGCTTTTCCGATCAACGCCATGACAGCCAGAAAAGTAAAAGAACACCCGCACCCAGACTGGTATTTGATGAAGATGAAGAGTGTGCATGTGGACCAGACACATTACCAGAGGCATTGACAGTTGCTGCTGCAAATGGACACGCAAAAATAGTGGACATCCTGTTGCACAGGGGTGCAGAGGTCAATGCGCTTTGTCGTTCGCACAATCCTGTTACGGTGGCGGCCAAGAACGGCGACGAGGCGACGATCCGCGTCTTGATTGAGCACGGCTTCGATATCAACCATGATGGTCTTTGTGACCGTTATTTCCGGACGCCTCTGGGGCTTGGAATAGCTGGAGGGCATTCAGGAGTTGTCAAGCTCTTGCTAGAGCAAGGTGCAGTCATAGAAGAGGACACCGCATTGGTCGCTGCGGCTGAGTGTGGTCGAGTTGAAATCATGGCTCTCTTATTAGAGCATGGGGCACGCCTGTCTAGCCACCAGATCCTCAACCTTATAAAAGCAGCCGCAGAAAAAAATAACTTCGCGATGGTGCAATACTTGACCAGAAATGGATTCTGCAAGATGCCAAAACGGATCAGCCATTATTATGGGCAGCCAAACAGGGCTACACACCAATGGTCGAGACACTCCTGGAGGAGCAAGGCTTTGATATTGACGAAAAGCATCAAATATATGGCACAACCGCATTATCTTTGGCTGCGCAACAAGGTCATTCCGATGTTGTTCAAGTTTTATTAGCGCGCGGCGCGAATCAGAGTTGTCCGGATAACCTTGGGCGAACGCCACTCATGAGAGCGACTGAAAACTCGAAAAAGAGGGTAGTGAGGCAATTACTGGAGCATAACAGCAGCCTTCTTCACCATCGTGATATTTTCGGTAGAAGCCCACTGCTTTGCGCAGCTGAGATGGGCAATTCTACTATCGTGGAAATATTCCAAGGGGATGAAATTGAGAAGAGAGTCTATTCTCACATCATCTCCAAAGAGATTGACGAAGTGATAGCAGCTGTATCCTCAATGCCTCTAGCTGCGCTGACTATAAATGGAAGTGAATGTCTTTCGTGGGCGGCAAGATATGGACATGCGAATGTTGTCGAAACGTTACTGAGAAGGGGGATCGATTCTTACGCTCTCGCGGAATATGGCGATAGGGTATTAGAATGCGCAATTACATACGGCCATGAAGGGCTATTATTGGATTGGGGGCTTGGTTTAACGGGCTTGGAAAGCCGTGACCGAGCGACGTTGCTGCTTGCCATTGCCATCGGGAATGAGGCTACTGTCGGGCATCTGCTGGAGCATAACGTTCCTCTGAGCCTGGATTGCGGTGAGCCTTATTGAGGGACCAATCCACGAGTTACAGAGCACCATACCGATCAAGACTGCATCACTTTTGTGGGCAGTTTGGAAGGGCAATGGGAACATTGTCAAAATGCTTCTAGAGCACGCAGAGATCCGGAATATCGCAGTGCGCAACGTGGAGGTCGCCGCGTCATTAGCCATTGTCAAAAATCACCCCCAGATTGTGGAAATCCTCCTCAATTCTCAAAGCACAACTCACAAATACGATGATCTCTTGTTTCAGGAAGCAATGGAGCACCGACACAAAGATGTCCTCCGCGTTCTTCTAACCAGATACTCCGGCCCAGGGTACACGCCAAAGCGAGAAGCATCTCAGCTGGTCTTCCGAGCCGCCGCGTATGGCTTCATCGAAGCTGTGGATCTGTTAATAAGCAAAGTAATTGATCCCAACTGCAGTCTCAAATCTAAGATTACCGTGTCGAAATTCACGGCAGTAACGGCATTCCTAAGCGAGAGAAGTCTCTTGAACCAAGACAATTGGCCAAGGCGATCAGTCCGGTATGTGTACCAACAAGAAAGTGATACGCCTTTGCTAGCTGCTGCTGCAAATGGCCATGCCCCCGTTGTCAAGCTTCTTCTGGAGAAAGGGGCACTCCCTGAGAAAAAGGCCCTTCCAGAGTTGATAGGCAGATCGCGAGGGAGACACTCCCTAAAGCGACCGGCGAATATCAAGTCACCATTAGATGCCGCGATCGAAGGCGGGCATTGGCAGGTCATCCGGCTTCTCTTGATAGAGGGTTGTGAATGGAGCCCGAAGACAGACCTCGACACTTCACTTATGCATGCTTCTTACGACGGCAACGCCGAAATGGTTAATGTGCTGCTAGAACGGGGTGTTAATCCGAATACCCGCAATGAGGGGGGAACCACTCCCCTGATATGGTCAATTGTGATGAAGCATAAGGAGATTGTGAAGTCCCTCTTAGCAGCGGGTGCTGACCCTAATTTCATCGGTACAGACTCAAGGGGCTTTCGGGGATCTAAACAATTCAGCCCATTGAATTTTGCGTCCATTCCTGGAAAGTGGTCCGCTGAACCGATGGAGCTCGAGATACTCAAGGATCTGCTGGATGCTGGTGCCAATGTCAACCTCAGGGATGGAGTCTACCGAACTCCATTGTCATGGGCAGCGGAGAGGCGTTCAAGGTCAGTCTTACAGATTCTACTGGACGCAGGATCAGAAATTGATTCCATTGACCGATGCAATCGCACGCCGCTATTCTACGCGACTATGAATGACAATGCAGGCGCTGTCAAAGACCTTCTCGAGCGGGGGAGCATGGGGACGACTATTCAAACCTCTGCAGATCGTAACCCGCTGGATGTGGCTCGTGAATTGAATTTTCTGATATTGAGCACCTCTTGTTAAACGGCTTTGAGTCGTGGAACAACGCTACAAAAATTGCTTCTGGGCCTGCAGGCTCAAGCGACGACAAAGAAAGTGAACCGGCGTATGATGGTGAGCAATGCACTGTTTGTGACCGTCGGATCTCATGCTTGGATTACTATTTCAGGTGCTTAATCTGCCCCGTATGGGAATTTGTGATCTGTCGTGAATGCTATGGAGCTGGTGAGTCCTGCTATGATAAGCTACACTCTCTCGAAAGGGGATACGCAAAGACCTCAAATCAGTTTACACCAATCGAGACTGTGAAGCGGTGGTAGCATGGGCAGATTATGGACTGAACGGCCCTATAATATCATTGTACTCCTGCCCATAAAAGCCCTATAGTTCCTTCCACAAGATCTAAGGGAATCGTCATAATAATTCGACGTGATTTTTATTGATTTTCACCTTAACAACATTGTTTTTGGAGATCAATTCTATCCAACTGCCGTTGAATCCACTCCGCAAAAGGCGAGAAGAAGAGGGTCTGTTTGTACTCGGGCCGTTCACAAAAGGCTAGTAGGGCCTTATAGCATTGGACAACTGTGGTTCCAGTTGCATGTGTGAGCTTGGCCAGATCCACTGGACAGAGATAGGGCGGCTGTCTGGCATCTTCAGCGATAGAAGCTGTACCTTGCATCGCACACGCATAGTAAACGCAATGATCAATGCCAAAGCAGTGCCCAAGCTCATGTGCGGCAGTTCGACACACTCGACCCAACCAAAGCGTGGAAAGAGCCGATTGCGAGAGATTGGTGATCTCTAGGCCTCGATAGACGGATATAGCTGCCACTAATGGAGACGGGGAACCAAAGACAGAGTCTTTGGTTTCTTTCAAATTCGCTGATTTAGATTTCTTTTGTCGCTTCGCACTTTGTTGTGATGTAGCGGAACATTCAGACATATATTCCTCACAGTGCGATGCGGGCCAGGCATGCAGCCGTTCGACAGATTGGAGCTTGTCAAGCTCTGGCTGGTAGCGGGCAGTGGATACAACAGCAACTCGACTGCCTCCGTATGCACGACCGCAGACAAATTCATCATCCTCATCCTCATAGAGATCTTGATTCACCAGCAGCAAAACCGCATATGCATCGCGGGGCAGCATGGCGATAGCGGCGTCAAGCAGGTCATCAAGATTGAGCTGTCCCCCGTAGACTCTGTCTGGGGTTATCCGGATGCGAATCCGTACACACTGGTTACTAAATTTTAGGCCAATAAAGTTTGGCTGGCGAGACTTCCGTGCTCCCTTTGGCTTTTCATCCCAAGAAGTGAACGTAGGGGCTGACCCAGGTAGAGCTTTGACACGCAAGCCATGATAAAATGCCCCTAGGTAGTCGACAACTGCCTTAGATGACGGCGGGATAGTCTGTTGTGGCTCATCCTGACGCTTTTCCCATGTTTGCATGAACTGAACTTGCTCATCAATCTCTGGCGTGGTGACCACATAGATTGTCTTGCGTTTTGTAGTAACAGGATTGCGGTCCTCTTCATCAAGCCAGTCTTGAAAGCTCTGGGGTGGATACTCAGGATCCTGAGCGAGGTCGTCACCGGGAAGTAACAATGGAGCTGGAAAGGCCCAAGCGTCTTCAGCTGCGAATAGTTCTGCCTTTTTCATGCTTGGTAGTTTCTCGGGCCTTGTAGCTGCAAGACGCTGCTCTTTATCTGGTCGGATAAACCCTGCCTGTGCAGCAGCATAACGGGAACAAAGCACAGAGGCAGATTGATGGGCGCAGCGAGGGGTAGAGGTGGAGGACATATCCACGTGTAGACAAGGTCACTGTCCCTTTGAGCAAGATGGAAACTAAATGGGAACTCTTTCACTTGACTCGAGAAGTTTCGAGTCTCTGCAACCACTTTGCACAAAGCGGCTCCTTTAATAGCGAGGCGAGGGAAAGGTTAGAAAGTAGTTTGTTGTGGCTGGGGCGGACCGCCTTCTCTTGGTGAGCGGAGAACCACTAGCAGCCTTATTGGCGTTAGCCCTGGGGCGGGGGTGATTGGTGAGCTTCACGATCCGCAAGTAACATTTTGAACTGTCTCTCAGACCAAAATGCATTCCGGGATTTTCTATCGAACTGACCTTGGGGATGCCTCTGGAGAGCAGTGTGCCCCACCAAGCAGGGTGCATGATTAATAACTGGAAAATACCGCCCGGGAAATGAGAAGAGAAGCAAAGTAGGCAATTTAATATATGCTAGTGGCTACGCTGGTATCCCAGTATAGATGCGATATTTTAGAATGCCTACAATCCACGCCAGGAAAGTTCCCCATTTGTCAATACGAGAACGAGAACGAAGGCATTAGTACATTACTGACGAAGTGCGAGTCAACATTAAAGAAGTCTGGTAAGGACAGACTCCAGTGATGCTAGCCGGCAGAGGGTGAATGAAATGCAAAGAATGCATCGACGAATCATAGATGATGGATACACCTATGAAATCACTTTGCGTGGGTGTTCATTGAACTTGCTTTTTCTCTTTCAATAGCCTTGCAGATTCTGCGCTGCTTTTTCCTGCCCCCTAAAATCGCCCTTAAAACCCCCCTCATCCGCCAGGATGCCCTCGTTCTCGACAAATACCAACCTGCGCTGAGAATGTGGAAAAGCAAAAATTGGCTAGATCGCGATTATGGAACGATATTGCCTCCAACCGACAATGATTCTCGATATGGATTTGACGAAGAAGACCTGTCTCCATTGACAATATTTCCAGAACTGGAAGATCCCTACGAAGTCAAGCCGAAGCATTTACTACTTTTTATCTTCTCTTTCTATGCTTCATTCTCACGGGGATCTTTGTCCTGGCTTTGTTGGCCGTGAGAACGGTGAATGAGCCGGTTGAGTCGTAAAGAGAACGGCCCTTGGGTGGACGAATGGTTCGTTTTATACTACCTTCTTACATGTGACGAGCTTGTCTAATAAATTTGCTGCTGCTACAGATTTCCGCTCGCTTCTTCTCCCTGCTATCAGGGCTTGTTCCACCTAAAGCTAATCAGTGGAGGCTTTTCTCATGCAGCCCACGCCACTCGTCCAAGCCCTATCCTTGCGACCCATGTGACTCCATTCCACGTAGGCTCCAAACCATACGTCTTTTGGTTTTTTCGTATAGGATCTACAGAATTTGGCTGTTGGGGATATCAGAGACTTTGAACATATATCTCAACCGTTTAGAAGATCACATCAGCCTACATTCCATATACTGTGCGGTATCGCCATTTTTCGAGAAAATATTATTATATATGTATGGAGGAACAGCTGTTTAATACTTCGGTGCAGATGCGAAACCTCCGCGGGCCATACCCTCCCTTTGCAGTTTACCTGGCGGGGCAGGAGCGGGTGCTGCCCACCACCATTAACAAATGGTTATCCAGCAGGGCTCTCCTCTCGTTTAACATGCCCATTGGTAGAATGGAAACCAGATGTGAAGAGGGCAGGGTGAAGACAAGCGACAGACGCTGTTTAGAGAGGAAAAGTAGCTTGAAATACTGCACTGATTATTATATCCAGGCAACTCCCACTGGATAAGAAATTAAAGGGCAATGGGAATGAAATTCCAGCTGTGTCCTTGTTGGACTAGAGCGGTAAGACCTCCTAGTAGAAAGCAAATTATTTCACAAGAAACTAGTTACGGGGCGGGCCGCCGGGGAGGGGTGGGAGGGGGGCGGGGGTAATTAATCGTAGAGTAGGTCTTCAGGGCGCAATGATACCTTGACTAGGCCCGGTGCCATATCTACCACTAAACACTCATGTTTACATCAATGGAAAGGACGTCTTTAAGAGGATTTAAGAAGTCACGGTCGGACTATAGAACCGCGCCTAGTGCAAAAACTTCTTACTTGCTATTCTAAAAGACAGACATCGGATAGAAGGCGTGGAAATGAGCGACATGGCCATCTGAATTCACTCCCGGTCGGGTTGTCTCAAATCACTGGGAACCTAGAAAGGTAGGAAATGGTGCCTTGTTCCACGATCCATAAATTTGGTGCATGGAGAAGTAGACTTCTTTTCCAGTGAAATCCTCCGAAAAAGAGAGTCCTATATCAGGAAAGTATCTCCGCGGAAGAGTTGCGGGTACACGCTTAAAAATTAGATTACCATTTAAACCCGTATATTCAGTCCTAATTTAACAGTTTTCAATGGCATAAGAAGTTTGCTTATTTCATGTAGTGCATCTCGCAACAGTTAGATAGTATCATCAAAGATGAACAGGCTCCATCGTGCCCTGTGTAAATGAATATCATTGAGTGCGACACTACCCTTGGAAGTGCCGAGTGGTTCGCCGCGCAACAGGATTTCGATAGTCCAACGATTAGGTTTAAAATTGAGTTTCAGGCACGGCCCCGGTCTTTCCGAAGCCGCAAGCCCTCGGTCTATTCCCTCCCCACTGCTTTTGCTCCGAACCGCGCCGTGGTCTCCCATAAGCCCAAATTTGAGACTTTCGCCATAACAAGTTTCAACTTAACTTTTGAGCGTCTAGCCATCTACTTGTCAGTCCAGAAATTGGTCTCACAGATGTTGGGGACCGCCTAATTGTCTTGCACTGAAGGGTGGCGAGTGAAAATAAAACCGAATAAAAGGCATGTACTCCGTAGAAATCGATTTAATTCAAGGTAGGGGCGGGTAAGAGCGAGCTAGACCCCGATAACCTTGCTCGATTGGGGGAACACGTCTGTGGGCATGGGCGCGACCATACGTTTTAGTGGTAGATAAGGGGTGGTGATGTTCGCGTAACCCCCCTCATCTAGCCAACCCTGTGCAGGGATCTCCGTCTGCCACTGCTTAAACTGTGATAGACCTGGGGAAGAGCTCACAAATTATCTAAAAGGCGTGTCTTTCCCCTCCCCCCCCTCCCTTTCTCAAACACCGCTTTGTCGCCATTCAAGATGGCATCAACGCGGAGCATATTGTTCCTCACAAACAACGAATTAGGCCAATGCAATGTTGCCTTTGCGGTTGCCGAGGAATTTTTGCGCCGCGGCGAGTTCACCGTGCATATTGGCTCGTACAGCCCTTTGGCAGGGCTCGTGGAGGATTTGAACAAACGCGTCGATTGCGGTCGATCTGTGGAATTTCACGAAATTCTCGGACCATCTATGACGGATCTAGCAGTTCGCAGCAATGTTGGTCTCCTCTTTCACCGACCGGGAGTGAAAGGAGCCACACAAGGTTTCCAAAAGGTCGCTACCGCCATTCGCAACTGGAGGCCATCGGAGTATCACATCGCCTACCAGAGTTGTTTAGCGATGATCGACAAAGTACGTCCCGATATCGTCGTGGTAGACCCAATCCTTCACGTTGGCTTGGACGCGTGTCGAACGGCCAAAGCTCGAGTGGTCGTGCTTTGGCCTGTTCCGCTGAAGGATGTGGTTATCACTATTCAGCCCAAGGCTGGCATCTTCTGGAAGTATCCTGTGTATGCACTCACCAGAGAGAGAGAGAGAGGCGGTCGGAGTACAACTGCTGACTTTGCCTCCACAGCACAGGATCAGGGTATCCCTTCCCACTACCATGGAAATTGCTTTTGAATAACATCTACCTGGTATTTCGCGTGGTGATGGCACTTGCCATGGGGAAGCAAGAACCCGACGAACCCCAAGACGGCAAAAAGGTGGAGGGTCGAAGCCCATTCCCTCTGGCGAGTGCCTATTCCAAGGATTCCTTGAGTTTGACCCCAGCATTCAAGGAACTGGACTTTCCACTTCAAGTTCCCGACAATGTGGCCAGCTGCGGTCCAATTCTTCGGCAGTGTCCGCCTCTTTCGACCTCTGACCCCGAGCTAGACGCCTGGCTGACGGAGCCGACGGTTCTCATCAATCTTGGATCCCACGTTCGACCATCCGAGTCCACTGCCGTTCAGATGGCAACGGGAATCCGAACCGTCATCACCGAACGCCCCGATATAAAGGTTTTGTGGAAACTGAAATATGACTGGGAGAGTTCAGAGCAGTTCCAAAAGGTTTTGGGCCCACTAATCACTAACGGATCGGTGAAAGTGGTGTCTTGGATTCAGGCCGACATCATGTCTGTTTTACAGACTGGGCGGATTGCCACATATGTCCATCACGGAGGAGCTAACTCCTACTTTGAAGCATGCAAGTATGTTCTTGACCGCTCGTCCGTCCTCGATAATGGGTGATGTTCATTCTGACGGTTTCTTTCAGGGTCGGTGCTCCTCAAGTCGTGCTACCCCAATGGCTGGACACTTATGACTGTGCAACCCGAGTTGAATGGCTTGGAATCGGACTGAACGGCAGTCGGACTGCCGCCCCTGGCGTCGAGGCAGGCGAGTTTTCAAGGGCTTTGCTTCAGGTTTTGAGTGACGCAGGCATTCGTGCTAAATCGGCCGCAGTGAAAGATCTTTGCGGGGGATCTGAGGGACGGGTTCAGGCGCATGACCGCATTGTCCAGTTTTGTCTAAATTAGCGGCCGAGCATCTTGTTATCAGTACTGGATAAATATACCCGACGAGATTTTACTTGCATAGCAAAATATATTCCCACTAAAACTGAGAATCTGACGTTCAACTATAGATCACCACCCCCGGCAAACCTCCAGAAGTCCAATACGGCAACACATCCCAAGCTTTGGCTTGAAATCCCGCAGAGAAAGAACACCGATCCTCAGCAATGCTTGCAGTACTCATGCCAGCTCCCTCAGAACTCGATACACGTCCTCCCTAGCTTGACGTAACTCGTCATCTATTTCGCCGTTGGCATGTCGGGAATTCATTTCGGAATGTAGCTGCACGAGCTCTTTGGCGCGCTGCAAGCTTTCCTGCTTAATGACTTGGCTATCGGATGTGGCGACCGGGGCGTTTTCAGAAGACGCGTTTTTGGCTGCAGCCGCTGGGCCATTCACAAGTGCAAGAGCCTCATTGTACCCCTATAAAAACGTCAATGTCCATGCCTTAACCGTGACGTAGCCCCTGCGCGAAGGCGTCTCGGGTAAGTGTTCTTAATAGCCGGGGGCAACCACACAGAAGAGGGGACGGGACAAGACGTACACACACTCGTAGCGAGGTAATATCAGACAGTATTTCTGCTACCTGCATCGTAAAACGGGGCGCGGTTGCCGGTTGCAGATGGGGTCTTGCCAGATGGACAAATTCGCATAATCGCGATGACGTGCCGAAAAGGAAGAGTCTTGGCGCGCAAATGCTCACAGGGGCCGACACCGTATCATAACATGCACACTCTCAAACAGCCCAATAAATAAAAAGATAATTCATTGCATTCATTACTACTTAAACGACCGCGCACATCTGAATGCAATCCTCAAAAACACCACTCACTAGGTCGCGCTTCGGGGAAACCGCACCTCATTAGAGAACGCTCCTAGATTCGTCTTTGAAAGAAGAACACCACCCCTATGCCCCGACCTACCGAGCTGTTTCATCCCACGCGGGGACATGAAAGGGCAAAAAGCAAGAAGGAAATATAACAAGCAATGTGAAACCACCCCGAGCACGTCAGCGAGAGGAACAACCGGTGACATCCTACGTTCTATCTATTTCCTGGTGCCAGTGGCGAGTTGTTATTGTTGAGCTGCTGATGTGGTCGAGGCACGGAGAAGTCCACTGAAGGAGCCAAATATTTGCTCAATCCGCATTGGACGACTCAGAGTCAGTCAGGTCTTCCTCGGTGATAGGAGGCAAAGTGACGATGCGGCGCTTGCAGGTACCGTCGGGCCAGAGGAATGTGCCGTCCGGTAGGACATGCTCCAGGGCATAGTTTTGCTTGTCCATGTATTCTTGTTCCAGGATGAGAAACTGCACCTCATGGGCGAGCCAGGTCCAGTACCAACCGTTCTTGCGCAGGGCGTGGGTGAGACGACGGCGGTACAGCTTGTTATCGCAGCCTGCTAGGAACGCCTCAATGAAAACGGAGTCGTTGGCCTGGCGCATGCGGATCTGGTCGCGGCGGAATTCGCAGGCGGCTTCGAAGTAGCCCTCGAGGGGACGGCCTTCCTGCTGCATGACAGCGTCGAGTTTCATCGCGAGCGCATTCTCAGCAGCGTCGGCGGGCGGGTTAGGATCATCCTGGATGGTGTCTTTGTCGAATGAACTGGTCGACGCGGCGAGCAGACGGTCAGTGAGGCCTGGATCGTTGTTGGAAGATGCAGTTGGCTCGGGCATGCCGACTGATGTCGGGCTGGGAGCAGTGGAAAGCAAGTGTGCAGTATAGACCTCATTCTCGTCAATTAAAAAAGCAGGCAGGTCATAGAGAGTTTTGAGCTGCGCAATACAGTCTATAAAAGCCTGGTCATTCAGGTCCATGCTGGCCTCGTACTCGGACAGGGGTTCGAGAGCCTGGGCGAGCAGGTGGTGCAGCAGGCGAATGCGTTGTTCAGCACTGCGAGAGTGGCTGGTCACAGCACCTGCTATGGATGCAATGATGACGATGAGGTCGTTCAGGTACTTGGAGAGGAGCTCGGTGAGCTGCTCGGTCTGGTTGAGCTGCTCCTTGACGTCCAAAAGTCGGGAAGTGAGAACGCCATTCTGACGACGAAATTCATAGGTCCAGAGAAGCGCGATTGGGGGGGTCGAGATCAGGGAGGGCTCAGTGAAGCTCTGAGAAGTCGCAATCTCAGACATGTTGGAGGCTGAAGTGCTTCAACGAAGATTCTAGTTCAACAGTATACTTGAACTTGGAAAGGCGTGCGGGACGAAGATAGTGGAAGCTGAAGAGATGAAAGAAGATGAGAACGAAGAATAGTTAATAGAGCTAGGAGAAAGACTGGGGTGGAACGGATGGGGTATATGGGAAGCTGGGGAAGGTTGGAGGCAAGTGAGAGCTCGTCGATGGTTCTGCTGTGCGTCTTCAGACGCAACGGTGGGGGTCGCGCAGCGCACACCAAGGCCAACATTCTATTTATTCTATTTTACAGAGCAAAGCGGAAAGGCTTTTAGACTCAATATAGGTTATCAATTATATTGACAACCCGAATAGGGACAACAGCGTGCCGTTGGATCCTGATGCCCACATCTCACTTCCTAAATAGGAAAGAGCCCGAAGATATCGAAGGCGGCAACAGTCCTAATCCAGAGGACCGAAACAAGCTCAAAGTACCTGGCAAGAAAGTAAACAGCCTAGACATTACATTACAGAGATCAATTGAAAACAAGGAAAACCGTGAGGAACAAGTCACATTTTGGCCCGATCTATTTGATTAAGTACGGTAACAGCGGCATTCTTAACCAACCAGAGCGAGCTAGATACAGAAGGAAACGGAGAAGAAATGCAGGAAAAGGAAAAACCGTGACAGCAACAAGACGCATAAACATGTCACATCTCCGTGAGCTGTGGGAACATAGGAAAAACCATAGCAATACCTTCTCCGCGGAGCAGCAGGCAGGGGTCGTCGAACTCACGCAGAGAAGGAGACAGGCCCCTGAGCCATCTCCAAAGAGGGCACTGCGAGAGAAGATGCGTTAGGAGAAACACAGAAAGCCACTTTTGACGCAGGTTCTGCGATCATAATCCGCATCAAGACATCATAAGATAGGTAAAAGGTGTTTAGATGAGGTCGGCAACGTTCATGGGCATCTCCTCGATCTGGGTGCTGTAGAACTGCTCGATCTCACGGAGCATGCGGACATCGTCAGCGGTGACGAAGTTGATGGCAACACCCTTACGACCGAAACGACCACCACGACCGATACGGTGAATGTAGTTCTCACGGTTGGCGGGGAGATCGTAGTTGATGACCAGGGAAACCTGCTGGACATCGATACCACGGGCCAGGAGGTCAGTGGCGATCAGGACACGGGAAGAACCGGAGCGGAACTCCTTCATGATAACATCACGCTGGCCCTGCTCCATGTCACCGTGCATGGCGGAGACGGTGAAGTCACGGGCAGTGAGCTTGTCGGTGAGCCAGTCGACCTTTCGGCGGGTGTTGCAGAAGATGACGGCCTGGGTGATGGTGACGGTCTCGTAGAGATCGGACAGGGTGTCGAGCTTCCACTCCTCCTTCTCAACGGCGATGTAGAACTGCTTGATACCCTCAAGGGTAAGCTCCTGCTTCTTGACCAGGATACGGACGGGGTCACGCATGAACTTGGTGGTGACCTCGAGGACGTCCTGGGGCATGGTGGCGGACAGCAGGGTGACCTGGGTAGACTGGGGAAGCAGCTGGAAGATATCGTAGATCTGCTCGGTGAAACCGCGCTGGAGAAGGGAAAGTTAGCAGGGTAATTTGGTTGGTCGGACACCATTTTACTTACAGACAGCATCTCATCGGCCTCGTCGAGGATGAACAGCTTCATGTGGTCGGTGCGGAGGACACGACGCTGGATCATGTCGTGAACACGGCCGGGGGTACCGACGACGACCTGGGGGCCCTCACGGAGAGCGGTCATGTCCTCACGGACGTTGGTACCACCGATACAGGCGTGGCACTCGAGGGTCATGAAGTCACCAATGGCAACAACGACCTTCTGGATCTGCTGAGCCAGCTCACGAGTGGGAGCGAGGATCAAAGCCTGGCAGGACTTCAGGTTGGGGTCGATCTTCTGGAGAGCGGAGATGGAGAAGGTGGCAGTCTTTCCGGTACCGGACTGAGCCTGAGCGATCACATCGTTGCCTGTAGAGAGGATATTAGCCCGATTTGTTTCTTTTAAAAGCGCTGGATCGATCGAGGAAAAACTCACCCTTGATGATGGGCATGATGGCACGCTGCTGGATAGCGGAGGGACGCTCGAAACCGTAGGCGTAGACACCTGGTTGGAGATGTCAGTAAATTTTCTGCATAACCCCGCCACGGGCGGGACTCCCTCAAGAAGATTCACATACCGCGAAGCAGCTCAGGCTTCAGGTCCATGGCGTCAAAAGAGTCGATGATCTCATCGTAGTTAGACTCAATGGTTCCTGTAGCGGCGCAAAAAAAAGAGCAATGTCAGCTGCTAGTTCTGTTGAGATGGGTCCGGCTCCCCTTTGTCATCGCCACCGAGGGGTTTCGCGCGATCGAAACCCGTCTCCGAAAGTTCGACAAATCTCACTCAGCAAAAGGGAATAGGTTGTAGCACATACCCTCGGGAAGATCCTCGAGGCCCTTATCGTTCGACATGATGGCGGTTTGGAGGTGGTTGACCACAGACGATTCGCCGCTGTGATCGGGTGGGGTGAATAGTTTAAGCGAAGGTGCCCTGTGGGGGGAAGTTCGCAAACGAGGTTCGAAGTGCTAGTATCGCAGGCTCTTCGGGCAAGAAGAGCGCTTGGAGATACTAGGGGAGAAGTGGTGACAAGAGTGGTGGAATGGGGTCACAAATGGGGTGGGAGAAGAGAGGAGGAAAAAAATCGTCGGCCGTCCGTGCCTTTTGCTGCAACGCTTTTTTCCCAAGGTGGGCGAGGCCTGACCGCCTGCCGGAAGTGGGGCTTGCCGCACGGGGCCAAGCGAGTGGTGATTCGCTTGAAACAGCGATGGTCTCTTTTTTTTCTACGGCTGGTTGCTGGTATACGTTCGTTCTATTCGTGTAGGTTGCTTTGGGCTGTGCTCTTTTCTATTCGTCCAAGAGTCAGGCTGTGGTATCTTTCGTTGTCAACTGGGCCGTTGGGGGGTGACTGGGCTGGCAGAAAAAAAAAATTGAAGCCCTAAAGTTCCAGAGTGGCGGACAATGCCTGACATCACAACGCTACCGCGCTACCCACCCGCCGCTGATGGGCAGCAGAGTGAAGAGGCTATTCCCAGCCATCCACTAGGGGTTAAGCCCAGTGGAAATGCCCTGCTAGCAACATGGAGTCTTCGCGATGCTATAGGCTCTTTCCGACTTCTCCCCGATGAGCTGATCCTGTTGTTACTGGAACACTTGGACGGTTCGAGCCTACTGGGAATTGGGCGGACTTGCAAGGCCTTGTATGCATTCACTCGTGCCGAAGAATTATGGAAGGCGCTCTTTGTTGAGTAAGTAACATCCCGTTCGAAAAGAAGTCGTATTTGAGGGGGTGGTTGGATGCCGCTAGATGTGGAAGTATATTTCCAAGATTCATCTGAGCCGCCCAACAAAGCCATGCCTTTATCTCCAATGATGGGAAAGGCTTGACTAACTTCCATCACAGATCCCCGGTGGAAAACTTTACATGGAGAGGGACATGGCGATCGACATATCTCAACCTGCCAGCCTCGAAAGCCCCGGTGATTGACTGCTCTCATCTTTACTCGGATGTTCTCTACCGACCCTTCAACTGCGCACATATCACGCTGGATCCATATGTGACGAAAATTCCGGCGCGCAACCAAATCCCGCGTCTGCCGGACCTCTCTCCAGAGGAATTCCATGCTGAGTGGGCTGACCGACCATTCGTTCTAACAGAGCCCGTGAAGGCCTGGCCAGTTTATAAGAACTGGTCTGTCGGGACCCTGCTCTCTCGATATGGACAGGAGAAGTTCCGCGCGGAGGCGGTCGACTGGCCACTCCGTACTTATGGCGACTACATGGCGGATAACTCGGACGAAAGTCCGTTGTACTTGTTCGACCGTGCCTTTGTCCCCAAAATGGGGCTAGCTGTCGGTCCGCCCGACTCGACCCCCGACGCCGCATACTGGCCGCCAGCATGCTTCGCGGAAGACCTCTTTTCGGTGCTCGGTAATGACCGGCCCGATCACCAGTGGTTGATTATTGGTCCCGAGCGCTCGGGCAGCAAGTTCCACAAGGATCCCAATGCGACCAGCGCCTGGAATGCGGTGCTACGCGGACCCAAGTACTGGATCATGTTCCCGTCGGGCGATAAGCGGCCTCCGCCACCGGGTGTGTATGTGTCTGATGATCAGAGCGAGGTGACTTCGCCGCTGAGTATCGCCGAGTGGCTACTCAACTTCCATGCAGAGGCACGACGCACCCCTGGCTGCATGGAAGGAATCTGCGGCGAGGGCGAGATCCTTCACGTTCCATCTGGTTGGTGGCATCTGGTGGTGAACCTGGAGCCGTCCACCGCAATTACACAAAATTTCATCCCCCGGGCGCATCTTGGCGCCGCGCTGGATTTCTTATCTAACAAGGCAGACCAGGTTTCTGGATTCCGAAGGAATGTCGAGAACCCCTACGAGAATTTTGTGAATGGTATGCGTGAGGCGTACCCAGAGCTTTTGGCGGAGGCCCTAGAAGAGCTACAGAAGAAGTCAGAAGGGAAGAAACGCAAGTGGGAAGACATCGTCCATGGAAAGACAGAAGAAGCCGAGAGCGCCACAGGAGGCTTCAGCTTTGGATTTGGAGATGACAGCGACGTTGAAGTCCCCTGATTTATTGGGCTATCAGGAGAGTGATCAATTATTAACAACCCTGTGTGAAATGAAATTTACGAAAGTCCATGAAGATGTTCCCCAAGTTCTCAGTTACCCAAAAAACGCCAACAATGAGCTTGTCCTCGAACTTCAGTGGCAAGCAATGGACTTGGTAGCCGGAGTGCCATCCGCAAAGGCCAGGTACCCAACGAATGCACCAACCGCAACCGCCAGCATTATCAGGCCGTTGTATGTCATGAATAGAAGCCTAGGGACGCAGCCATGGATCAGCGTCACTCCTGTAAGGGCAGACATAGAACACCAGAACACTCACATGATGAAGAAGCTGTAGAAGACCTGAATGGCATATAACGCCGCCAAAGTAATTCTCCCCTGGCGTGCAATAGCAGCCCTATTGTCCCGTCCTACAAGCAGTGGTGAGCCCTCGCCATGGATATTATCGTAGACATTAGCGGTGGCCGGCTCGGGGATCCCATCGACTGCAGGGCAAGACATCAATGAGAGAGCTCGCTGAAGCAGGAGTGTAACAAAGAGGGAGGTGGGGTATAAACCCAACCACCGGCATCGCTACGTAGAAGGGATGCTTGTTCAATACTAAGAGATATGACCTACCTCCACCTGTAGTTGCCGACACAGCAAATGCATTCAGACGCTGGTTGTGAGCAGCTTCGTACTTGCGGGTTACTTGTCGGACACCTTCGTAGCCGGCAGTGAGGAGGACGATGAGGATGAGCGAGAGGAGGAGCGAGACGGGGCCGGTGATACGCCACTGGCGGAAGATGACACAGAGGTTCTTGGAGGACCACGTGAAAACCATCTGGTCAAGCAAAGATGACATTAGCAAGGGAATTTCTATAGACGTATTCGCAAGTGTACTTGCATTCATGTTGCACTGGCCCATGTCCATATCACCATGACCCATATCACCGTGGTCCATATCGCCGTGATTCATGTGCATCGAATGATCCATAGCGGGAACAGCAGGGATGGTCTACTAAAGGTAAGTAGGTTTCAGCAGACTGAGGCCGAATATATAGAGAGTTACGTATCGTGACACGAGGGGATAAACATGGAGAGGCGTGATGGCGTACAGATGCAAACCACGCAAACAGCGATAAGAGCGGCGGCCCTTGCCAGCTTCGGCCGCCTCGCAATCCCGCAGTTGCTGTCCCTCTTCAACACCGCGAATCCTACTTCTGTGCTGGCGTGTGGGCTCATTTGACCTCTTTTATCGTGAAGCGTCTTCCATTTGTACACCACCATGGCGGAGACAGCCCCCGCCCAGGCCGCGACACCTGTGACCGGCGCGCCAGCAGCACCGACGAACGGCGTCACAGCAGGGGCCCCGAATGCGCCCAGCGATCAGACTGCTGCGAATCGAGGGTTGCCATACTATGAGAAATTACGACGGGAGCTGAGGGATACGATACAGAAGAAGCGCCTGATGGACAAGAGCATGGTGAGTCGTGCAGCGCGCCGAGTCGCGTCAGGCAACTAGTGCTTCCCAGGGCCAATCCAATCGAATTGGCACAATGGAATTGGAGCGCATTTTTGCATTGCAGTGGCCCTTACATCTTTAATACTGCAAGCACTGACACTGAAGTCGATAGGCCCAACTCGAGGACCAGATCTTCCGATTCGAGCAAACTTACCTCGAAGAGACCACGGCCGGCAACATCATCAAAGGCTTTGATAATTACATCAAGGGCTCATCAAGCGGCTCCAGTCTCGGTGCTTCTGGTCTGAGCCTTGGATCAGGCCTTGGCGGGCGGCGCAAGGCACAGGTGACAGAGTCGGACCGAGTTTTCTCGCGAAGCTCGGCGAGCTACATGATGGTGCGTCCAAAGTAATCCGGTAATGGAAGAAAAGGTCGGCCTCTAACAGCAGTTTCTACCTTTCAGGATTCACCCGGCCCATCATCCGCACAAACAACTCCTTCTCACGCCGCAACACCGACCTCAACAGCTGGCGGAAACGCACCCTCCAACAAAAGCAATGGCGGCGAGTCCGGGACAGCATCCAAGGCCGGCGGCAGCTCCTCCAAAAACAAAAAGAAGGTCGGTGGCGGCTCGAAGAATACTAAGGGCAAGAACCAGACCGACGATCTTTCAGATGACGGGGATACTAAGCCGCCTATGAAGCGTTTGAAGGTTAGCTATGGACGGGATTAGATCGCTGTTGAGTCTTGCCTCTGTTTTTTTTCTTCGAATTTGGAGTTTTGGGGATTACCAATATCTGGGAGTTGATTGTATGAAAGGTTAGGCGCAGGAAAAAAATTTGGGTGGGGGGGGGGATCGTCTCGATACCCATCATGTACATCACGGCTCTGGAGACTACATTATAGTGTTGCATACAAATATTTGCTTCAAATGTCCATTGGACAACATATGCATTTTCATAGCGATAATCCATAGGGGGTGCAAGGGTACTTATGACATAAGAGCCCGAAAAAGACCAAATAAAAGCGCTGCTATGAAGACCCTCACAGCTGGAGCCGGTAAGTGGCAATCTCAAACGCCCGTAACTCGATATCCACGGTGGTGGATCCCTCCCTAGTTTTAAGAATCTCCAATTCTTCCTGGTCATCCTCAAGGACATTGCACTTCCAGACTCGCTTGACAGGCAACGAGCTATGGATCGAACCACGCGCTTTCCCACCCAAGGACTCATAGGCGCGCAGAATCACGCTCTTGCCAGGACGTGAGGGGATGCCACCGGTAGAGACGTCTTCGTCGTCCTCGCCACGCTTGACAGCGTCCAAAATGATCGATGACCCGCCCTGAATGGAAACAGACTTGAAGGCGGCGTTATAGCTGGAAATATGGGAACTTGCCTGCTCCACAGCCAGCGGATGGTTGAAGTTATAGCCGGCGCGGACTGTCCGTGCATCAAGTCCACCAGAGTGGGGGAGGATGGCGTAGCGGATACGGTGACGGCCCATATCGGCATGGGCGTCTGGAGCTTTGGGGGCACGAAGCAGCGAGAGGCGCATCAGGTTGCCACAGGTAGCGAATCCGTACTTGGAGTCGTTGAGAATCGAGACGCCGTATCCGTGCTCCGAAAGGTCGGCCCATTTGTGACAACACACCTCGAACTTGGCCATGTCCCAGCTTGATGGAGGTTAGTATCGCATGAACCAAGAAAGGGCTAGAATAAACATACCTTGTGTTGTAGTGCGTCGGGCGTCGGACGATACCATATTGAGTTTCGTAAGATGCTTCCGTGTTCGTCACATCCACCGGGAACTCAACCTTGAGGAACTTCATGGTTTCCTGCCACTCGACCTCGCTCTCAAATTCGACCAACGAGGGTTCAGAGGAGACAGAAGCCGAAAGACTGATGGTGGTTTTGATCCAACTTTTGTCGCTGATCTTGGTCTCCGTTACAACACTCGCTCGGTTCTGGTCATTCTCCGCAATAGTAGTTTTGCTAGGAGGAAGCTCCTTTCGCGACTCGAGGTGGAACACCTCCACATCCCAGGCTTGCCAGTAAAGAGGCTTATCATCGAAAATGACCAGTTGACCGGCCTTTCCGTCCTTGGAAATAACTTCTCTCTGGGCTTCGACATCGTACAAGGAGATTATTACACCATCCTGGACATCGATCTTGAGTTTTCCATTCTGCAGACGGAATACACCAGGTCGGGTTTCAAACACGGTCACTCTAGTTGTGGTCTTGAAGTCAACAGGCTGGCATGCAACAACACCAGTCGAGCCGTCGACCAGAGCATATTTGGATCCATTGCAGGCCACAAGGGGTTCGGGAATTTTCACTACCTCCGAGCGAGGCCAAGGAAGAGTATTGAGAGCTACCAGAGCAGTGCTGCCAGTGACACCCAATGCAGCAAGGGCATCTTTTCGCAGCTGTTGACCAGTTGTGAAGATCTCAGCATACAACTTATCCGAGTCATCATAGCACATCTCAATAGAGCTGCCCGGTAAGCAGTCATGGAATTGACAGAGGAGGGTGCCCTCCCACATTCCATCGATCTGCTCCTTAGGATACTTGTAGCTCTTGTCCGAGCCATGGAGGGTAGCCAAAGTGGCCAGAAGCTCTATCTCGCGTAACAAGAACTCAGACTTGCGGTTGTTGCGCTTGTTGTTGGCCTGGGTAGTGTAGGTACCACGGTGCAGCTCGAAGTACAGTTCGCCGTACCAGGTCGCAAACTCGGTACCATCAGCAGCATTTGCCTCCAGCTTGTCAAAGAAGTCGTCAACCGAGTCGCCCATTGTGACCTTTGGAAGAGTGCCGATCTTGTCACTAAGACCTCGGCATCGGCGCAGTTTCTCAAGATGCTCAAAGGTAGGACCACCACCACCATCCCCCTTGCCAAAGACGAGTAAGGACGATTTATCCTTGTCCATCGACTTGTGCTGGGTTACACTGCGCCTGAGATCACCGAAATGAGCTTCCGCTGTATAAGTCTCCGCGGGAGCCATATGGCACAACACTTGACTGCCATCCAGGGAAACCCACTGGAAGGTGGTGTGCGGGAAGGTGTTGATGTTGTTCCAGCTTAACTTCTGAGTAAAGAAACGGCTCATTCCGGCAAGACGGCAGATTTGCGGGATTTGTGTGGAGTACCCAAACGTATCTGGCAGCCAGAACGTAGTGGCGCGCTTTCCGAAGTGGCTTTCGAAGAATCGTTGGCCGTAGAGGAATTGACGGACCAGTGATTCGCCGCTGGGCATGTTGGTGTCGTGCTCGACCCAACTACCGCCTATTGGCTGGAAATGACCTTTCCGCACCCATCGCTTGACACGGTCGAACACAGATGGGTAGTATTGCTTAAGCCACTTAAACTGTTGGGCCTGAGAAACGGTGAAGCGATGCTCGGGATATCGTTCCATCAAGTCACACTGATTCGACCACGATCGTGCGACCTTGCGTTTGGTTTCCGCCCAGGGCCACAGCCAGCAAGTATCAATGTGGCAATGGCCGATCGCATAGACAAATGGGTTGGTGTCGGATGCATAAACATCTGCACTGTCCACTTTATCACCCAGGTACTTTTGCGCAATCTTACGTGCCTCTTTGATGGAGTCCTGGCTTCCATTGCCCGCAATAAAAGCATCCATCATGGCATTGCCCACCATGTTGGCCTCGTGAGCTTCCCAAGAGTCGCCAGGGAATTCACGGGCGGCATCGCCGATAATCCAAAAGTCGTAGTAGAGAGCCCGCGCTTCTAAGTTGACCGCAACAATTTGTGCTTTGTTGAGCTGGTAGTACTTGTTCGGATTGGGTGGCTGGATCGAATCACCTCCCGGGGCATTTCCAAACATCCCATTGCAAGCCATTTCGATATAGAAGGTATGCAACTTCCCATCACGCCAGGCGGTCGGGAGAATCCATTCAGTTCGCTCTCCACCACCAGTTAACCCCTGCAAGGGGTGTCCGTCCTCCGTCCACACCATGCCTTCGTTATTGGCATCCCAATGGAACTCCAGTCGTTCCTTGTGGGCCATCTCCCGGGGAACTGCGAGCTGAATGCGGAACCAGTGTGTCGACCAGCTAGGACCAAATGATTCTCCAACCCGAGTCGGCCGGAATTCCTGGGAAGTCGCATCCTCGAAGGTCGGCCGTTCCAGGTTCGGCACTGAATAAACCGACAGCTTGACATGGTTGTCGTCGGAATTGACCGCTTCGTAATATTTCGAGACCAGATTCTGATGTTCGTACTGGCCAGTACCTGTGAACTGACGCAGCCTATCTGTGTAGATCTTGGTGATGCGCTGGCCGACCGGACGTTCCGCTAGGCGGGGCAGCGATCGCGAAGCTTGGGCGGGGGCGAAATGCGGAGGTTCTCCACCCATGATGGCGAGGACGTGCGCGCTTGTTTAGGCGAGGCGTAACGATTATAGAACCGATTGTGCTGGATGGAGAGATTATACGGAGAGCAAAGGAAGAGTCGACGGGTAAGGCAATGGAAAAGAGGGGAAGAAAGAAAGACAGCTTATGCGCAAGGGAGTCACTGAATGCGGAGAAGCATGACCTCACGCCACATGGCTACGATCGGCGGGCGGGGAACACAACAGTACGGCCGAAGGGTGGCGGCGCCGTAATGAAGTTATTTGATCTTGTGGCAACAGGGTTTCCCTCCTGTCCAAATATTGCTTTTTGGTTCATTTTACTATTGATACGTCTATTCTATATCCGCTTTGTGAAATTGGACAATGTGCCACTTCATGCCGTCCAGACCTGGTTAGCCCACGTATGTAGCATACTTCGCCCACTCCTTGTCGGCCTTTAGTTGCTCCCAATCCCCATCTCGAAGACAGATACCGGCTGCCATTTCACCAGTTGGTGACTTGGGCATGAGATACACGAGAGACTCGACTGGAACGAAGGCTGGCCGACGCACTACCTCCGGCTTGCCGAGCCCTAGGTTGAAATCAAGCTCATAGGTATTGATCTTGGCCCAGGAGCTAAGCATGATACCGGATGAAGTGTCGACACAGGCTGTAGCTGAGGTTCTCGCCTTGTCTGCCGACCGGGACTGGAATGTAGCAAGAGCACGGGTGTTGTAGGCCAAGTCTACCACATTGGGGTTGAGCTTTCGGCGAAGCTGAGATGCAATGGCCCCCAATGGCTGTTGCACTAGATTTTGCAGGGAGTTTCTGTTATATGTCATGTTCTGGAACATCCCCAAGTATGTTTTAGGAATACCCATGCGCTGGCGGACATCAACTGCCCGTGCGAACGCAGACTCGGTCTCAGATGCGAGCCGATGAAGACGGGCTCGAGAGGTGCATTTCCAGATAAAAGCAGACACAGCATCATCAGTCGAGATGAAACCATCTGAAATGGTTTTGGTTTCCGTTGCCAATGACTTGAGAGCCTCCAGTGACGCCGATGAGAAGGTCACATAAACCCAGGTCGATGGGACTGGAATGGATGTGGCACTTGGATTGCCCGGGGGAGAAGGCTTCACCATTTGGTGCTTAAGCTCCACCGCAGGGTTGAACGAATCATCCAGCAGCGTGATAGTTTTTCTCCGGTCCATATTGCCGATGGAAAGTTCCTCGGCTGTGAATGGCTGGTTGTGACATGCCTTTGACAGGAGATCGATGATATGTCCTTGTCCAGTCATATCCATCACATTGTGCTGACCCGCAAAGGTCAGCAACATACCCCCTGTGATGAAGGTTACCTGCACAGCGAACACGGGTGCAGATGTTGCGGCTAGTCCAACAGTAGTTCCCGGAAGATTCAAAGTTAAGCATGGCGCAATAAGCTTTTCGTTAAGCATAGAAAAAGGATAATTCGATTTTCGGAGACTCTCCATTGTCGGGGCAGACGTTTCAGCGCGCACATCTTTCATGATGAGAGGGATCTTCTCGTTCGAGGGTACGATCCGGAAGGTACCGGTGACGCCTTCACTTGCTCCCTCATTAATGACTGTTCCAGCAAGCCATGGAAATCCTTCTGCTAGCCTATCAAGTCCATTTCTCAAGGTGTCGGTGATAGCCAATGATGGCTCTGGCCCAGGAAAGACAAGGCATAATTGTGTGTATAACTTGTAAAGGAAGGGATTGCTCCCTAGTATATCGAGATGTTCGTTTTCCAGCATATTCATATGCAGCTGATCGATACCAACCTCTGCCTCTCGTGCGAATCGATCGCGTTTTGTGATCGCCCTCTACCTTCCGCGATGGAAACGTGCGCGTGCACGGACTCATGTAGGCGGGGTGAGTCAGGATGAGTCGCGGGCCACAACACACCGTCATTAACTGGAACTCTATCTCTCTTGTCTGATCTGTTGGTGGCCCTTGTATCTTTATTATTAACCGACTAATGATTAGTCTTCCATAACAAATGAATTGTGACGCATTCATCCGTCGACTCGGAGGGAATCCGTTAGGAAGACCGACGATAACCTGAGGAGCACACAAATGAGCATTATCGAACCAATAATCAATTTTCCCAGACAACCGACATGTTGATTTAGAACTCTGGGATACATGAGGTGTGAGATGCTCGGAGGAGGTTAAAGCGGAGCGAAGTGGTATTATGATTAATGCTAAGCTATTTTTATAGCTGTTTCCCGTTTGGTGTACTGACTTATGAGGGCTTGCATGCTAACTTCGACTTCCTCAAGATGGGAACGGCATATAGTTTTTATAGAAGATTGAATGAAGAAAGAGTGTTTTGCTGCCCTTGACTCGATCAAAATATCATTGAACCGTTCTTGCCTGCTTTCCATACATAGAACGGAGGAGTCAAAAATAGGCACCGTGGTCCCAGGACCCTTGACTTTGGCATTATTAGCACCACACTCTAGCCAACTGAGTAATTAAGCCGACCTTGCCGCATTCCATAGGCTCGTCTTTCCTTCGCGACACCTAGCTAGTTGATTTCTTTCTGCCTGGTAGTGAATATCTATCAGTCGGATAGGACCCTGCAGAATAATGACTTGATTAACTTCAAATGGATCACGCCAGAGCGAATCCACCGACGGGGTTCGATCAGCTGCTGAGGGGATCAGGGATGAGGCGTTACTCGAATATCGGAGAGATGGAGAGGCCGCTGTTTCGGCAGCAACACCCTCACCATCTCTTGATGCTATGGACGTTAATAGTGTCCTCGTTTAGTCAGCTGTACCCTAATCTATCCCGTATGTGTTTTCTCAGCTGTTTGATTCACCGGACGCACAAGGTGTAGACGAGAGTAGCATGAACCAGGCGATGTGAGGGCGTGATGGGATGGACGAACTCTTAACTCGTCTGGCCGTGGCCACTTGGAAAAGTCAGGGCCGCTAGTCTACAGTATCAGACCGGTAATCCGGTGACATGTTGGAGTCAGCTACAGTGAATTCACAGCCACTCACGAGCTTGTAGTATATGGTTGGTTTGCTGATCAATAGGACCAACTGAAAATCGACCGCATTCAGAATGTGCCAGGCAATTGTCATGTTCGAGGTGCACCCATGTGTCACGCTCAGCTGTTCAGCTATACTTCCCCGGGCTCGCGGTCATCTGATCGGACCCTGCCGAGCTTATGGGACTAAGTACACAGAGCTATGTACGCCGTATAGGTATTTTTGTTGGGGATTACTAGTGGATTGGTTGATCCACATCCTGGTTGCCACTATACAATGTCGAGCGCACAGGGACCGGGCTATTTTGCAGGGCCACAGGGTTTCCATCGATCTGTGCGACGACAAGTGGACTAGTTAGACCCAGTTAGATCTACAAATACTTGATCCGGTAACGGATTCCCGTTGCTGTAGGGAATCCCCATGTCGACCAAGGCCGGAACTATATACTCATGATTGCGACCCAGCAACCGTTCAAATTGCGAGTCAAGGGATCGGAGACTCTCAAGGAACAATTTTTGGTGTTTTGGTCTATAGGGTCTACCTTCTCGGTTAATCTAATCTCGATCACCGATGATAGATGGTGGACCCTTAGGGTTGATGTTGAGTCAACAGAGCTTCAGAGGCAAGCAGTCCGACCGCCGACCGCCGTCGTGGGCGGCCGAGTCCTGTGGTCCGAAATGGCGGTCTGATTGGCCACGCGGTGGCCCAATGGCCAGCCACCGCCGGCGCGTGTGTTGCAACTGCGCTTTCTGGTTGCTTGTCGGTTGTCTGCTTTGGCTTCCAGACTTTCCCAACTGCTCTCGTCTTCGCGCCGTTTCGTGTCCACCCTCTTCATGCTGGGGCTTGTTTGGCTCTTCCACCACCCCCGTCCACCCACCCCCGCGTGATTCCGTGGTCGTGATCGCCCGATAAGGTAGGGTACGCCTCTTTCGTTACCCTTGTCCCTCAAGGAAAGCCCTGAAGCGGCGCACAGATAAGAGCAGCGGTCGCTGCTCTGGCTGCTGCTCCTGCTCTGGCTGCTGCTCTGCTGCTGCGCCTACAAGTTTGCTGCCACGATGGGGATGCTAACCTTCTGTCGCTTCCTCAGCCGACCTTATCCCCATTACCGGGACGGCCCAACCCTGTTCTCCTTCCAACAACAGTTCCTCATGGAGGAATCCAGTGCGCGTGAGCGCCGCAAGTCCGACTCCGTCATGGCCCCCGAGTCGCTGGCCACCACCCCTTCCGTCGACGAGATGATCGACAACCCGTTCCTCGACGACTATGACCCTGACCATGATGACTTCTACTCCCCGCCTGCGTCCCCCGGCCAACGTTCGCGTAACCAGTCTTTCTCCAACAGCAGCTCTTACCAGGAAGACTGGGAGACCTTTCCGCCTCTCGACAAGCTGACCATCTTCGACCTGCTTGATAATATCCAGCTGTCGCAGCGGTTCGAGAAATGGCAGCGCGCGCTCACCATGCAGCGCGAGAAGGTGCGCAGACAGCGCGAGAAGTTGCGGTTCACGGGCGTGAACGCGAGGGAGCGCGTCGTCGGCGAGTTCAGGCGTCGAGTACCGACCGCCGATGAGCAGCTCGAGAAGTACCGCCGCCGCATGAAGGATGGCGTCGAGCGCCTGGGTAAACAATGGAACAAAACGGCCACCGTGACCGTGCGCGAGAAGGTCTCCTTCATTGCGGGTGTGCTCAACATCTTCATCAGCGGATATCTCATCGGCGCCTGCCCCCAATTCTTCTACTACTGGTTCACGGCCCAGCTGGCCTACTTTATGCCCATCCGCTACTACACCTATCACGCCAAGGGCTACCACTACTTCTTGGCCGATCTCTGCTACTTTGTCAACCTGCTCTGCATGCTTACCATCTGGGTATTCCCCGGCTCTAAGCGGTTGTTCATCAGTACTTACTGCCTGACCTTCGGTAATAATGCGGCCGCGATTGCCATGTGGCGTAACTCCTTGGTCTTTCACAGCATGGACAAGGTGGTCAGGTAAAGACCCTCATCCAAACACCCGAGCAACTTCCAAAAAGGTTTCTCGCTAACCTGTCATATGATATAGTCTCTTCATCCACATCATGCCGCCGGTCACTTTACACTGTATCGTCCACTTAACCCCAGTCGAGATGCTGAAGGAGCGCTTCCCAGCTGTCTATGCCATTAAGTTCAGCCAGCCTGGTGACCCCGAGCACTACTCGCTGGGTGCGATGATCATATGGGCCACTGTGCCTTACTTGTTTTGGCAGTTGATGTATCATTTGATGATCACTGTGCGCCGTGCCGACAAGATTGCTGCCGGTCGCCCGACCAGCTTCACCTGGCTCCGCAAGTCCTACTCCAAGGCCTGGATCGGCAAATTCGTCCTGAGCCTGCCGAATGCACTGCAAGAACCGGCCTTTATGATGATACAGTACAGCTTCGCCCTATCCACCATGGTCCCATGCCCCATTTGGTTCTGGTCTCGATGGGCGAGCGGTATCTACATGTCTGCCCTTTTTGTCTGGAGCATTTACAACGGCGCAACCTACTACATCGACGTCTTCGGCAAGCGCTTCCAAAAGGAGCTGGAGCAGTTGAAGAAGGATGTCGTGCGATGGCAGAGTTCCCCCGACTTTGCCACTAGCCCGCTCATCCTCCCCGATAGCTACACTCCTGTCAGCGGTGCTCTCGGCGCCCCCGCCCCTCTGGAGAAACGCTCCAGTATCGATCGTATCCCGCTTTTGGATTCTACTGTGGCGGCAATTGCCACGGCCCATGAGGCTCCCCAAGCCACCGATTCCACCGTTCGCGAGAGAATTTAGGCGCTAGGACATTTCTTTCATTAACACTCATGATACCCCTGGCGTACATGTTTCATCTTGCAAACATATCATATTCAGCATGCACAGTCTTGATGGGCCTAATGTTGGCTTTTAAACTCCCCCTACCCTGCTTGTTTGTTTTTTGGATTCGGTGTCGCCTTATGCGTCGGCGGATATATATATTTTTTCGGACCCACTGAGAGTCGATCATTACGAAGATTGTGACAATACGAACATTATGAACAGCTGTACAGTTGAATCTAAATTAAGCAATCCTGTTTCCATTGTAGATCTATTCTTATTTTAATGCTATGCTCTCCATATGGATGCTATGTGTCATGCGTTCTGGACCGCGAAGAACCTCCATTGGACCGCCCGGCTTGGCTCGATTGGGTACATCCACTCCTTCCGTGCGGCAAATCTCGACCCAACTAACTCCGCAGAACCCCGAAGCCGGATATGTCACGTGATAGAAACGTGATGGCCCCGGGCGTCACAACACCTTTCTGGCCACTCCTAAAAGCCGAGGAGCAGTGTCATCACCATTCTTTTTGATTTTTGTTAAATCATCTTGAGTTTGTCCAAGTTGATTTTTCTTGCCGTTGTTGCGCCGTTCCGCCGTCGCCTGCTCGATACCGCGGGCTTTTCCCTTTTCCCTCCTGCCAACATTTCCGCAAATGTCCGCCACAATGAGGTCGGCCCGACTGGTGCGCCATACCACCGCATTGCGGCCGGCGCTGACAGGTAAGATGGTGTTGATACATGTGAGGAATACACCTGACAGTATCTGACTGCTTTTCCTCTGGACAGCTCGCAGTCGCGCCAGCGCATTGGGCCCTGCTTGGCTGGCTGCGGCCAACAGCCTTCTGTACAATGGCCGCGGCATTCCATCGCAAGTGTCTGCCCTCGCCATTCTCCTTCCCCAGCGTGGTTATGCCACCGAGCACAACACATCGACCTCATCCCAGTCATACCCGCCGCCTGGTTTCAATGCCGAGCAAGCGAAGAAGCCTCTGCCGCAGGACCAAGCCCAGAACGTCAAGCCTGCTACCTCATCGCAATCCGATGTTGCCAAGGTCCCAGCGCGTGATGCGACCTCTAAGGCTGGTGCTGTAGAGGGGGGCAAGAACCTTGCCGAGGAGAAAAAGGAGGCTAAGAAATTGACCATTGGTCAGAAGATTAAGAAGGAGGTCCAACACTACTGGGATGGAACGAAACTACTTGCCACAGAGGTGAAGATTAGTTCGCGATTGGCGCTGAAGATGGCGGGTGGCTATGAGCTCAGCCGGAGAGAGCACCGTCAGGTTTGTCGCCTCTGGGCGGACCCCCCCCCCAAATTCGCATGAACGATGGGCTAACATGATTCGAATCAGCTACAACGTACCGTTAAGGATCTTGGTCGTTTGGTTCCGTTCTCGATGTTTGTCATCGTTCCCTTCGCTGAGCTCCTCCTTCCTATCGCCCTGAAGCTCTTCCCCAACCTCCTTCCCAGCACCTATGAGGGCCAAAGGGGCCGGGAGACCAAGGCTCTGAAACTGAGTTCGACCCGCAAGGAAGTCTCTACCTTCCTGCGTAACACTCTTCGTGAGACCGGGCTGCCCTTGACCGCGGCCACCGTCAAGAACGAGGAGTTTGCCGACTTCTTCCGCAAGATTCGTACTACGGGCGAGTCGCCCTCCACCGAAGACGTTATCAAGGTCTGCAAGATCTTCAAGGATGACTTGACCCTTGACAACCTGTCACGCCCTCAGCTGGTCGCCATCTGCCGCTATATGAACCTGAACTCGTTCGGTACCGATGCCATGCTCCGCTATAACATCCGCCACCGCATGCGCCAGATCAAACGCGACGATCGGGCCATTTCTTACGAGGGTGTGAACTCGCTGTCCGTGCCTGAGCTGCAGATGGCTGCAGCCAGTCGCGGTATCCGCACGCACGGCGTGTCTCCCGCTCGACTGCGCGAGGACCTGTCCATGTGGTTGGACCTGCGCCTGAAGCAGGGTGTCCCCTCGACCCTGCTGGTCCTTAGCAACGCCTACATGTACACTCAGGGCGGCAAGGAGTCCGAGATGGCTTCTCAGATTGACGCGCTCAAGTCGGTCCTCTCCAGTATCCCCGAAGAACTCTTCCACGAGATCGAGCTCGAGGTGCACAACGCCGAGGGCGCCGCTACCAACAAGCAGCGTCTGGAGGTACTCAAGGAGCAGGAGGAGCTGATCGAGGAGGAGAACAGCGAGAACGAGGGCAAGGGTGTGACCGCCCCCAAGGACATCGAGGATATCGATGAGAAGGAGGAGCACAAGAGCGAGGCTGCCGCTGACGGCACTAAGGAGCAGTCCTCCGAAGCGACGGAGGCGATGGCCGAGGGTGCAAAGGCCGGGGAGACGCCTGCCGCCAAGGAGGAGAAGAAGACGGGCCAGAGCTCATGATCATGAGTCGTTTTGCTTTGAAGGGTTACATTGGGGGTTTGCTACCTATAGATTTTTGGTTCTTTGTCTTTTTCCTTTCCTTTTCTTCTTTATGGTTCTGGCGACTGTTCGGTTCTCATCTGTGTTAACTCTCCGCTATGTTGATAGACCCCCATTCCCCTGTTCCCATCCCCCATTCTTCATCCTCTAATCCTCAATCCTTCTCGCTTGCAACTGATCTGCGTCTTGCTGATGCGCGATACGCTCTTTTCGCTCTGTTTTACTTCCCAGCCCCGTTCTCATTTTGTTTCATTATTTTGTGAATCACACCGCCATCATCGGCAGTTGGTGTGAGCTGCCACTTGTCTTGATGTTGGGCCAGGCTGAAATCGAAGGCTCCGATGGATGGGTTCGGTGGAGGAGAGACGTTCCGTCAGTGACGTGGGTAGTGGGAAGCGAAATGCACCATTCCATTCCTGTATTGATAGAAACAAATGATGCATTCTAGAAGTGATTCACACTGTAGAGACGCGGAGGCCTTGTGACCGACCAGAGCAGCACAATCCGGATACAACCTCTGCGGGTATATCTCGCGATCTCCTCGGCAGTCATGAGCATTAGTCACCGGACCTCGGCTCCAGACCTATTGCGGACCCCGGACATCCTCCCCTCCCCCACCAATAGCCCCAGATTCTGGGGGCGCATAGACCGGGGTTGACTGCGCGATCAATTTGCGCTTCTACATATATACACCGAGGCATGAGGAGACGACCGTTTCATCTGCTTGAGATCATCCGCTGCCACAGTACCCACGACCGCAGATACAGGTACAGCTACCGCTACGTTCGGGGCTTCACCAGCGCGTCGCGACTTCGCGGCCGGCCGCCGACATCACCGAGCCTGATGGCACCGCTCAATCCCGCTTCGCAGGTATGTGTAACGGTGCTCTGTGTGTACCCGCTGCCGGCATCTTGTCTTCATTTTGCAATTTCGAGAGGGCTATGCTAGACTGTTCTGTTCGTTCGCCATGCCATTGATATTCGCTCGCGAAGATATGGCTTCATTACGAGCAAATTTGGAACTACTTGTCTCAAACCCAAACCCCCAATGCTTCTCTCTATAACCGGTGGTTACCGTGCCAGACATTCAATTTCCGCCTTGAAGTCTCACACGTTTTGCTCCCTGGTTAGACGGCCACATCTTCCATTTCGAACACACATGGGAAGTCGACGGCCAGGGTCGGGGAGGATTCAGATCTCGTTAGAACACCCGTGGATGACCATCCCCATCCGCCTCTGAGCGACGAAGGCTGAAACCCCACCCTGGAGTCGCGTGGTCCGGCAAAAGAAGCAAAAAAGCGACACCCCTAGCACGTAATAGGGAAATGAATTGAACTCTAAACTGATCCGAACTACAGGAAGCCATTGACCGACTCCGGGGATATACACCCCCACCCACGGCATATGGCGACGTCCCACTGTCCAGGCGGGCCGCAGTGCTGATCCTGCTCTACGCCGACCCCAAGGGTGACCTAAGGGTCGTGATTACGATCCGGGCCAAGACATTGAGTTCGTGTGCGTACCTCCCCTTCCCCTGGGAGATACATGGCGTCCCTAGCCATGGCCCTGGTCTCGCAAGGTCTTGGCCGGGCGCTGCGTCACGGACCTATGAACAGCCCTGTTTTGAGGACCAGGGCCGCGTAGGAGCCGGTGCTGCACGACATGGCATGCGCGGTGCGCTAACCCTGTTTTTCTAGATGCAGGAGAGGCTGCTTTACCTGGAGGTACGTTTGACCAGTACACTGCAGAAAAAAACAAGAAAAAAGAAAAAGGGAACCCTGCGACCATTACCGGGAACTCGAGATCATCAGGGCTATGCCCCAAATGAGCAACAGAAAGAACAGTAAAAAAAAGAAACGAAAACTCGGTATACCTGGGGTAAAAAAAGGGGCTTGCCAGAGATAACTGTGCAACATGAGCTTCTTTCCATGCAAACTTGACGTATTACTCCCTGTACGAACCCATGACTAACGATGAGCATCCTTAACCGACCAGGCCGAGCGGACGCCCTGTCCGAAACGCCATTCCAGACCGCGCGCCGCGAAGCTTGCGAGGAGATCGGTCTGCCCGACATCGCCCAGCCACTGCCGCCTCCCTTTGCCGTCGAGCATCTCTGTGAGTTGCCGGCTAACTTGGCCAAAACAGAACTGGTCGTGCGGCCCTGCGTCGCCCTTCTGCACGCGTTTGATCCGGCCACGGGAGCCAATGCAGACCCGGAGATCGAGCTGATTCCTCGACTGGATGCGCGTGAGGTCGCCGCTGTCTTTTCGGCGCGATTTGACGATTTCCTGCGCCTGAGGAGTAGTGAGGGTTCTGGGGTGGGGGAGTGGTATAAAGGCTCTTGGAGTCGATGGCATAATCATAACTGGCGCAGTAAGTTGATTCCATTTCTATTGCCGTGCTGGTTCTACATACCAGGGCTCGCTGGGTTTCCTTTTTCCGTTTCTGGACATTCCGTTGCCTAAATTGCCTAAAGCCCTAATTCTTTCTCCCCCACCGGGTGTCTCTTCCCCATTACCTCCTGCAAGCCTGCGCCTGTCACCGCCACCTCCTTCGCAGGAGCAGGCCAGACACAACCACATGGCCCGGCGCGACAGGCGTGGAAAGGGGCCCTCTTGCCGTCATACCCAGACCCACTGCGTTCCATGTTTGCTTCTACAGAATGCAGTCGTCCTCCGTATCGCATCGATTAGTACTATTATTACAGAGTGCTCTTCGGAGGATGGCTGCGACCGACAGCCCCCGTGGAGATGGGAATACAGAGGCGAAGACACCTGATTCCCCCCGTTCCTCCCCTTCGGGTGGTTTAGTGTCCATCGATTGGCTGTTTGCGCCCAAAGAACACCACAGAAGGGCAAGACCAAACAAAAACAAAAACAAAAACCATGCTGACCAGTGGGGGAACTCCCCCATCGGGAATAGTGCACCAGTTCTTTGTGCGTGCCCACAACCACGCCATTAGACCTCGCAGCCCGGACAACCCAGCCCAAAACGCAGCCGTCGACGCGCTCACCCAGCAAGAAGAAAGCGGCGTAGTCCAAAACTACCGCGTCTTCGGGATGACGGCGCGCATCATCGTGGACGCGGCGCGGGTCGCGTTTGCGCGAGAGCCCGAATTCGAGCATAACAGCCATTTTGGCGACGAAGCTATGATCGCCAAGTTGCGCCGGCTGGGCCGGTTGAGCGCAGTGCGTCGGCCGGGCGATGAATTAACCCGCGAGACGATGGAGAAGGCAGCCAAACTCAGTTAGATTAGGCGGGGCAGACGCTGGATGAGCTCGAAGTATGTACATAGAAAGACTGGAGAGGGAAGGGCGACACTAGTTTAGGATACCTGCATTGGGTCTGCACAGTTGAGGCATGCAAGCATATTCCAGTGTCCGGCTTGGGTCTGTGGGCTCTCTGACAGGAACCGAATGGTCCGTATTCCGTTTGTGGTCTAGTAGGAGGCCCCCATCGCCCACTGGGCCCAGTCGAGTTAGCCTCCGGGCCAGCCTCATGGCCTCGGAGCCTACAGGGCGAATGGTCGAGTGGAGGAGTGCAAGGGTTTCGGAGGCTAGCGACGATCCGGCGTCCTGCATGAGCTGTCCTTGCGTGGCGTCATCCGGTCGCGAGGGCTGGCATTGCCTTGGGTCGTGTGGGTTGAGGGGTGTTGGGTTGGGATTCGATGCGGAATCCATCCAACGGCCTGTCGATCCATATCTCGACGTCGAGGCATTCTCCGCCCAGAGAACCAGAGCGTCCCGTCCCGTCCCGAGCATCCAGAGCAAGAGCGTCCAGAGCGTCCAGAGAGTACCCAGGATCCTGAACGATAGAGGGAAGCGATGCCTGCGGCCCCGTCTGACTCCTCGCGCACATCCCTTGCAGCCCCTCGCGTTGGAGCGTCCGTGCACAAACTCATGACGGTGACGCCGATCGCTTGCTTTGACTCGAGAGGAAGAGTGGAGTCGCTAACGATGTCCGGTTGGACCGGTAGAAGGAGGAGACGAGATGTTGTCGCTCACGCCTCCAGCATCTCGTATCTCCAGGTACCGTCGCACCGAATGGTCGAGCCCGCCTGCAGCTGCATGACCCCAAGAACTATCATAATATCTTGCAATATTGGCACCCTATTAATATCCGCTTCCCCTCTTTGTTCAGGTTGCTTCGCCTTTGTTCGAGTCCTGCCAACGCTGGCTTCACTTTGTCGGCCTCGCATGCCACGCCGCCTATGTTTCGCTCTCTTTAGACCCCAATCCTCTTCTTTTCGCCCCTCCAGTTCCTCCGGAGCAAGTCGAATTTTCTCGAAGTCCCATCATATCCACGCTTCCCGACACATTGCAGGATCGCTGGACTCCCGATGCTCTCCCACAACTATCCCTCCTTCGCCCGCTCCGCGCCCCCAGTTCGACCCTCTCGGTCGCTGGACGGGCTGGAGCGAGTGATCCCCCCAACACCAACCTTGCCCTACACCACCAGGGACATGGCCTATTCCTCGACGAAGCTCTGCCAGCCCTTCTCGCCCACCCGCTCCGACCTGTTCCTGAATAAACCGCTCCCCGCGAGACCTGTCCCCGACGCCCCGGCCGAGTACTCGGTTATGTGGAGCGACTCGAGCGACAGCGAAAGCACCGTCGACTCGGTCGGCAGTCCCAGCGAACCGCGCAATTCCACCGAAAGTTATCCCATCTTTGTCAGTTCGGGCTCCGAGGACTTCAGCGACTTGGTCGATCACCCGACCCCCGCAGATCCAGATCATCTTCGCTTGGAGAGTTTGGGTCCGATCCACCCATCCCCACCCGCCGCGAAGGATTCGCGCACGGACGTGGTCGAGTCGGCGGAAGACGACGAGACGGACGATAGTGACTTCGCCAGCCATTCGACCACCTCGAAATCGGATGCCCAGTATGGTCGGCTGTCGCAGTGGTCGCAGAACCGGAGCGGCTCCAATCACTACTTCCGCGAGAAGAAGTGGGACTTCTTCCCGGAGTTGGCGACTCCATCGGCCTTACAGACGGGCAGTCGGACCAGCCGCAGTCTGCGGGATCCGAAGCCGCGCAAGAAGGATGGTCGTCTGAATATTTCCAAGCGTCGCAGGTGGCACTCCCTCGACCGGCCTGGTCTGGGGCTGGCGCACGGCGTTCGCGACTCGATCAAAACCTACGTCCACCGTACACTCTCCCGCGACTCGACAGAAGCCAAAGCCAAAGAGTTTCCGCGACCATCCACCGCTCCGGGCGACGAGCTTCAAAAACCGTTCCCCTTCAATCACCCCGAGGATACGAAGATCCCCCTCCATTCCGACGTGCAGGTCCAACTCCGCTCCCGCTCCATCTCTACCGTCTCCACCACCAGCGACATCCCATCGAGCCCCCGCTCCGTCCAGCCCCGCCCAAAGCAACTCGCGGTCCCCATGTCCAATTACCAGAAATACGGACCCGCGATCTGGGACACCCCCAAGAAACCGAATTACAGTACCATGCGGCGACCAAAGCATTTAGCACCGCGATCCGCTCCCGCGAGCCCATCTTCTGCGCATTTCCCCATCGCAAACCCAACTCCCCCGCTCACCCCGCCCCTGAAGCTGCATTTGCAGAACCGCTCGCGGGACGCAGTGCGCGTGATCCAGGGCAGAAAGAGCCACGTCCTCCTCGCCCTCGACGGAGCGAAGAAGAAGATGGCCGAGTCGAAGGACGAGCGGCGGCGCGAGCAATTGAAAGCGCAGATCAAACTCATCGGGCCAGTCAATCCACATACGTATATGCAGGCGGATCCATGGGTCTGAGCCTGATATTTCCATTCCTTCTCTCTTGACTTTGTTCATTTTTTTATTTTTATTTTTATTTTGGTGATGCGTTGTAATACCTGGCGTTGGGATTGGCTTTATATGACCTCTACGACCACTCCTTTGGAGTTTTTCTTATTTCGTTGGATCGGGACCGGACTTGCGATTGCACATGTCCTCTATTATCTGGTTGACTTTGGCATTGCGATTTGATGGTGGCATTCCAGCATTTCATTCTCCTGGGTTTCCTTGGTGGAACTGGACTCGGGCAGGACTTGGATTGGACTTTGGTGATTCGCATGGTTAGGGCGTTTTCGTGTGCCAGGGGACCGTTGGAACTGGTCTGCAGGGGTTGATACTTTTGATGGCAGGCGTTTTGTTTATGAGCTGTTATATACGCTCCCATCTGGAGACTGCTGCATCAGGCTACTCAGCCAGAATATTTCCCTTCTCTTATTCCAGCTCTGACGGGTTTCAAATGTAAGGAACATGGCCGGTCTCGACCAGACATCCATGCAGAACTGTTTGTCTGCACACACGTACATACACTCGATCTCCCTCCACGCATCACTCCATGCATCCCTCCATGCATCCATGCCCTCTATATGGCGTGCGTGTGTATTACCTCGCCCCTCCAGCTGTCCGCTGGCCTGGTTTTACCATGACCTGCATGAGCGCCGATCTCAGAACCTCCGATGCGGTCGCAGAACATACATCGCGCCACGGCTCCTTTAGATCGAAAGACTAGACGGCGCATTCCGTAAACCGCCAGCAAGACAAGCCCTCCAACAATGGTCCTCTCCAGACCATGCGGAGCACAATCACCGCAACCCAAGCAAGGAAACCGCGGTGCACCCCACTCCTCCCTGCAGCGGAGCATCCCTTCAGGCGCTCGCAATCTTATTTGGATGCCCAGCACCCGCACAGCTGTCACCGACATTTGGTGCTCCACTTGTTTCCTCGCGGCGCACATCCCCCGCCGTCTAGACTTTATGACGCAGCTAATATTGAGTTCGTCCATGCCTCGCTCGCTTGGAGATGCCGGTACCCTATCATCCCTCCCGCCACCGACCACCGACCACCGACCACGTCGATCGATCTACCGAGTACAATGGATCCAACGGCCCCGCCTATCGCCCACCGGGCCTAGACCCACGCCCAAAAGTGCCCGCCTAGACTAGTGCGAAAAGCCACGCCCTGCCCCTCCGGCCGGGACTGTCGTTGATCGACTTGGTTGGCCTGGGTTGAGCGGATGAGGATTGGGATGTTGTGGATTCTGTGCGTGATGTTCTGCAGGCGCGTCGGTTTGCTGTCAGAGTCTTCGGTGTGGAGCATCAGGTAAAATGGAGGGCTGTTGGAGGGGCGACGTGTTTATTGCGGCTGTTTCGGGGGGTCGGCGTCTGCTGTGCTGACCTGGGCGATTTATGCGATTGGGGGTGTGATGGTGACGTTGTGTGTGTATTGCCTTCTTAGTGACGTTGTCTGGTAGATGCGATTCTTATTGAGGAGTATAGTCATGCAGATGGACGAATATGTATTAAGATAAAAGAGGGCCAAATCCTAGGCAAAATAACTACCAGACCAAAAATGCACAATTGGCAACATTTTTAGTCTAGACCGTCATTTATTGCTCTGACTATATGGTTGAGTGTTTTGAGTCTTCCTGAAGGAGCCACATCCTTCCTCAAAAGATGCGGTGCTTCCCTCCTTGTGCAGTTTCAGGTACCCCAGACACTGTCGAGACGATAACCCTTATCATCAACATCCTAACACTCACGTATATATAGCCACAGAAAGAAAGCAGAATCGGCCTTCCGCTCCTATCCCTCAGGCCTTATCTATGCTTAGCCCAACTAGAGAGTTCGTACTCCTCCATACTTCTACGACGACCGGTCCTATACTAGTGCAACCGGCAGCCTCCTCACGCTACTCCGGAGAACATCACCTATAAGAAAAGAAGATATCTACCTTTATTATATGCTGAATCACTAGGCTGGTAGTCCATGGCATTTTAAATAGCTATCACATCCGCAAAGAAGCCAACGGTTACTTGAGCTGCAGCTCACCGTTGTCCACTGCCAATCGCATAAACTCCTTATTTAAGCCCTCCGAACGCGTGCGTCCCTTGATAAACCAGTAAACGAGTGCAAAGAGGGTCGACGCAACGAAGATGGACGCAACGAAGATGGGCGCAGCGTAATTCATGTTCTCACCCGTCACAGGCAGGTATGTAGGAAACGCGAGCCAGACAGTGACCCATGCAGTATATGCCAGGGCGAAGAGGTTAATTGGGAGACCCCACACACCCAGTTTCTATTTACCTAGTGGAGCTGTGTCTTTTTGGAAGCGATTGTGGACCATACAGGCGATGGCGGTGAAGTATGAGACGAAACGGCCAATCGAGCCAAGGGCCACGGATCAAAAGCATTATATTGTTCTTTTCACAGCCGTGTGTAGCCCCTTTCTCGATCAAACTTATACCCTATTGAACTGTCCTTGATGGGACCTCACAACAGGCGACCAAGGGAAGTGGCCCAGAGGAACGTTGAAAAAGCCATTGCTAGTATCGAATAGACCAGCGAATGCATTATACCAGGCCGTGAAGGCTGCTAGTAACCCAAAGTATCCTCCCACCCTTTGGATAGATGCAGGGACGTGTCCTTGATCGCACTGCATGTTCGCAATGCCAAGGAGGAGGTAGTACATGTCGAGGAAGAAGAACAACAGAAAAATCGCCAGGCTTGACTTGAGCGTACAAAGGAGCATCATCGTGGTGAAAATAAACCATGCCTAGGGATCAACAGAATACATGTTAATCTCGAGGCTACAATATGGTGTACCTTCAACAACGGGATGGTACCACTTACCAAAAGGAAGAGGCCCATCAGCATCTCTTTTTGGCACACTGTATCGGGGGCAGCGACAATCTTAGTTCCCTCAAGGCTGGATATGACCCCAAAGGTGATCCAGTAGGCACCGTACGAGCAAAATGACGTAGCGCTGAACGTATTGCCAAGAGCCATTTCCCTACTACGGTTATCCCCTGATTGAACATCGTTGGATGATACTGATATGGCCGGTTTCGGTCAGGATGGGCTTGGACATACCACATGCCGGCGAGTAGTTGGACAGTGCCACCATAGACCAGCGCGGAGCCAACGTTTTCCGCGGCTATTGTCAAGCCCAGGTGCACGTTCATAATATTCGACATGAAGGAGGTGAGTGCAAATGCACACAGACCCAAGGGAGCGGGGTTTGCCAATTTGCGCACCTTGGGAAGTGCATGTCTCTCTTCAGGCTTGGAGGTTGGTGGTCGCGCCAGAGCATATTCGTGCCCAGACTGCGAGACGGGTGTAGGGCTTTGAGAGTCCACCATCATTTGGCTGCATAGCTTAGCTTCAGCCTGAGTCTGCTTGATCTCGGTCATGTTAATAAAATGCTCCATGAAGATTTTGCTGCCTGGACTTTGGTCAGAGGGTGTTGGAGGTGGTATTGGTGAGCGCTGCGAGTATGGATCCCCAGGAAGGCTGCCTAGAAACAGAAGGAAATGCGCGCTCCTTGTGTCGGTGCTGGTAGTAGAGGAATCGTCTTCGAGGTAACTATCCTATCCCTCTTCATATGCAGGAAGAAAACAGGAAACAAGTCTACCGCTTTCACCGCAAGGAGGCTCGCCTACATAAAGGGAACGCGGCGAGGCCCGGTATATCGTCATGTGGACATTTACCCTCAGACATTCGACCAGACTTATTTCCCGCTAATGAGTCATGGAAATAGGGCATTTAGGCCCTTCTAGGCGACCCAGGTATCACAGGATTGAGCCGGGAAAATTTCACGGACAGGGCCGTGACAAAGGCGAACCAGATCGCGTAGAATTAAGGGTTTATTGGTTGCACCTTGGGGCTAGAACTGCGTAGAATGTGTTTTTTGGATCACATTACATAAAGAGTATTGACGTTCTTGTATCCCTGTTCCCTAAATGCGCAACATCACCGTTCTGTAGATTCATCTGTTCCCTTGCTTCTAATGGAAGTGTACATCCATTCTTGATTCCCCAGACTGTGAGCATGAGTGCAATCCTAGGACTGCCATCAGCGCATGCCATGCGCTGATCTAGTGGTGTGTTCCAGGGTTGAATGGATTGCCTGTTATAACGTAATACCCCTAATATTCTCCGATTCCTACGACTTAACACCGATCACCGCTTCGTTCTAGCTATTCGTACACTTGATCATGTCACGCAAACTCCGTGATGAATCCATTTTTTTCGGCAATTTACTGTTCAATCTCCTTCGATATCTGCTAATTTTCAGTGATGCTCATATTACGAAGTGGTTGCGAGGGAGCAACGTGGTTGTCCCAACCGGAGGCCGCCGCCCCCCGCAAAACAAGAGCGCTGACCCACACTTACAACCTGTTTGGGACAAAATTTTGCATACTACTAGTGTTGACTATTCCCAAACCTGTCAGTTGATCATGCAAGCATAGCCGCTCCACTGGCGTAATGTCTCTTCCTCACTAGTTACTCACTAGAGCCGAGCTATGGAGTACAATGATGGTGACTATGAGGTGCTGGGATAGGATGAACCTCGGCACTAGTGAGTGAGGGTTGACAGGGAGTGAATCAAAAATAGCATTGGATTTTCTTCTACGCATCTTGGCTTGGGACTCCACTACAAGACCTGGGACACATCCCCTACAGCCTCAATTGCAAAAAGAAAAATAGAAAACACGAATCAACTTGCATAAAGCCTAGTCTAGTCGAATTTCGTGATGAATGTACACTTTGTGCAGCAGGGCTGTTTGGCCTATGATGAAACTCCCCCCATTTATGCAGCTGAAATTTTACTCGTGGTTTGTCTGCAGTCAGCGTACAGGTTTGGGGACATAAGTCCACCCAACTCGAGGCACTGATCCTGATTTAGCATGGAAGCTCCATACGCGTCTGCTATTGCGGAGGCAACTTGACATGCCTTGGATCACGTCTGCCAACTCTGTACTGCCCGGTGACCAATTTGGGAGATGGAATCAAGATTTGTGATACATATTGTCCAAGTCTCGTTCTATCCAATGCAGATTTGTGGGTAAGCTTAGAGTACCTTACAGCCTGCACCACCAGATCGGAGGCCAGCATGTCGTAGGAGGATGAGAGAGCTAACCAGCGTGGTATTGAGATTGGCGCCCATTAGTCCCCGCTCGTGTACCACAATGAACCTCACTCATGATCGAGGGAGATCAATGATATAGCCCAGAGCCTGTAAGGATTTGAGCATTGATTTGATGACCATTATGAGCCGGCCATGCGCAGCATGCAATCTCACTCAGGCGTCGACGCTCTGCCTCCCCTACGAAAGACAATCGCAGTGTTCGAGGTCGCTTGATGTCTATTGATCTAACTCGTCTATCTCTACGTGTGCAGTTCCAGTTCCAGGTCAAGGCTTCATAAGCAGGAGTCTGGGCACGACCCTACTTTAGCACCCATCAACGACTTTTGCAACTCGACCTCATCTTCCCACAGCTCTGGTGCCTCTTCTCTTCCCAACCCAGGCGCTAAGGCTCCCTCACCCCACACAAGGCCACATTCAACTACATATTCGTCCCAGTGGACCCGCAGCTCGGCCAACTTCTCTGGCTGGGACTGGGCCAGATCCTTGGTCTCCCCTGGATCATCAGCAACGTTGAATAACTCCCACCCTTCATCATCCACACCGACCCCTCCTTGGGCCTTAGAGATGTGGACAATTTTCCAATCGCCTTTTCGGAGCGCTGCCCGAGCAAAGAGCTCCCATCCGATGGGCTCTGAAGAGGAGTGAATGCTCCAAGTCTCATCTTCCTCCACCTGTTTACCTTGCGAGAAGAACGGGACCCACGATTTGCCCCGTATAGCGTGGACCGCCTTCCCTCGGAAGGTAGCCATCTTTCGACTTGCCGTGATATTGCCACTCAGCCCGATGACCAGTGATTCCTCTGAAGCCGGAGGCTGGGCAATACCTGCCAGCTCGAGGAATGTCGGTAGGAAATCCATCACAGTCGAGAAGGATCGGTTGTATGAGCCTGGCATGAACGATGGGAGGAAGGTGTTCGAAGGGGGCTTGACGATGCATGGGACCAGGATGCCACCTTGCGAGGGGAAGCCTTTGAATAGTCTAGATGGAGCGGTTGATGCTTGAGCCCAAAGCGGTCCGAGCCTAGGTTTCCGGTCAGTCCACTGCTCCCATTCAACACGAAAAGAAAACTACCAGGTGAATGAGTTCCAGGCACCGATGTTATCCAGCGAGTTATCGTAGTATTGGTGAATCGCACTGGTGATCTTTTCTCCCATGACCGCTAGAAGGCTGTCAGTGGCCGTCCGGTGGCTTTGAAAGTGTCCCAGATCACATACGTATTGCTTCAAGTCTATTCCAAGTATTAGCCACAGTCAAAGTACTGCTCAGGGGCATTTGGGACTCACGCAGCGCCTTCGGCCCCGTTATCACTCATAAACACAATAAACGTGTTGTCATACTCTCCCGTCCGTTTCAGGTACTCTACCATCTTGCCAATATTCATGTCCATGGAATCTACCATACCAGCGTATGTCTCCATAGCACGACTAGACAGCTTTCTCTCCTCGGCGGTAAGTTCGTCCCACTCCCCAGAGCCCGTGGTGCTGGTCTCAACCTTGTGCGGAATGACCGATTCGTCGATGATTCCCATCTCAACAAGAGACTCCAAGCGCCGATCTCGCAAGGCGTAGGGGCCGTCATCGTAAACTCCCTTATATCTGCGCATGTTAATCAAAGTCCTGGCTCACCGCGTACTCAACCAGATCTTACTTGTCACGCTGTTCCCTGGAGCACTGCAGCGGCCAATGCGGAGCCGTTTATGGCAGGAACGCAAAGAAAGGCTTTTGTCGGTCATTCTCCGACCGATTCTCAAGATATTGAATCATTTTGTCCGTGTAGTAATCCGTCGAGTAGAACCCGCCCGGATTCTCCGTCTTGTTCGCAGGTCTTGAACGAAAATCAGTGTCCGCGCTCCCAAGGTCCGTGCAAAATGAACTCACATATCGACTTTGGTGCCATTTTCCGCATGAATCGGCGAACCCCCATAAGGGAACCGCTCCTGGACGGGCTCCCAGCCGTAGTGATTACAACAACCAGGCAGCATTGCAAGTGCATTCTGGAAGCCTCGCGCCCATGGTCCCTGATTGGCGCGCATCCCAAGATGCCACTATCACAGCATCAGCTACTAGTCTCACCAGGTCCCATAGCTCCAAAAGACCAGCAAGTAAGCACGGTTCCTACCTTGCCAGACATGGCCGTGAAGTACCCATTATCCCCGAGGATTTCAGGCAAGGTCGCCACATTATTGTTCAGATACCCCTCATATCCGGCTTTCCCAGAGAATCGTTGCGCTCCCCGCTTGCTTTTCTTGTACTCGATCAGCACTCCCAATCCACCGAGATGAGCATCGGTTCCACTCATGAGCATTGCACGCGTGGGTGAACAAGCTGCGGCGGCATGATGATTCAGTAGCCGTAAACCCTCAGAGGCCAATCGGTCAATGTTGGGTGTTTTGATCTCACTGCCATAGCAGCCCACATCGGAGAATCCCTAGAGCAACCAGATTAGCGCTGTGCTATGGTGCGGGTGCTGGGAGGCAGCATGCCAGGTCATCTGCGAGAATGAAGAGGAAGTTGGGCCTCTCGGAGTTCGCTTCAGGGGCAGGACCCATCATGAAAGGCGGAGGTTTGGACGGCGATCCTCGCAGGCTGTCGATATTGTGAAGACCTCGAACAATATAATTCGCGTGATAGGGGATTTTGGGTCATTTTATAGGGCCAATTTGTCCAGGTACGTACGTACGTACGATGCCCCGCATTCCGCTTAGGCAGAAGAACACGCATGAGGGGGGCTTGAATTTAACCAATTATTGTGATGTCTCCGGCACAATAAACACCCGGCAGTCGACACATGTTCCCGCTTCTTATCGTTAGCGCTGTCGCATTGCGCAGATGCTTCGTGGGTTTCGAGCGAGGTGGAACCGAACCTGGGGAGATGTGGTGGGTCGCGCTCCGGGAGTCATCCGAAATTGATGATATTCACTCCAAGCGAGAGACGACCACAAGGTCTAGACCTGAGTTGATTGGTTTCTTGCTTCTTGCTTCTTGCTTTCATGCTTTCGTGCTTCCATGCCCGAATGGCGAATCCCACATGTGGGGCGGCACGGTGGGTACGCCCACTGTGATCTTGCTCGAGGTATAAGAGCCAGGACCAACGTGAAGCATGCCGCAAGCATGGTGCTCGCTATGATATGCATCGCAAAGATATCTCAGCCACAGCAAGCTTTCTATACATCTTTTCCTACTCCGCACACCTGGCTTCTTAGGTGGCCCGCATACGTCCCGTCCTGCCTTGTCCATGGTTACCCCCATACTCCTTCTCCTGGTCTAACTTCTTGTGGGCGATATGCCTTCAGATATGACACCGGTAGATTTGGTGGAATTTTTGCAGCTCCCATGAGCACAAGAGCTTACGGGATCTTTTCGGAAAAGGCCCTCATTATGCTACAGGGCCTTGCGAATCAATCTGGCATGTACAGTCCTGATATGGTCGAAGAGTACTGCATTGACTCATCGCGTACCCTGACATCGCTTGCATGTATTGGAAAATCCTTGGGAGCTTAAGTGCTCGCTAAAGCGATTGAAAATTATGGCCGGCACAGTTCTTCGGCCACTCGGTATCTCCGACTGTTACCCAACGCTAGTTCGTCTTCCCTATTTGCGAGTCCACTTTCCTTCTGTGGCTTATTTTCTGTGGATCATATTACTCATAGTTCTCTGTAGTGACTACCCATTTTTCCGATGTATGTTACCCCAGGACCTATCTATATATACTGTTGCAGCAAAACTATTCTCATTAAAGAGTTTGGCTAGACCTTTTTGGCATATGGGAACCAACAAGTGAGCAGCGGCACTTAGAAACTCACAAGCTTCTCAGTATTTTGCTTCTGTCTTTCTTCCTGCGCGCCCTCTGGCTTGCTAAGACTCTTTTATCGATCTAGTTGTAGCTAATACTGATATATAATTAGAGATAAGTATCTTAAAATAGACTAATTCATTGAAGATTGTTTTAATAACTACCATCTTTATAGCGAAAGTGAATCCTAGCACCTAGCGACCGTCGTGGAACCCCTGCATCTAATCTATAACTACCGATAGATTATAAAGGTTACCCTATATTATACTATGTATCTATTAAATTAGTACCGAAATCGTATCGAAGCGGCCTTAATCACTTATAGGATAGTATTTACCTATATTTCTTATATATTTCCGATACCAAACTACTATTAGACCTTCTATCTGTTACTGTATAGGTCTCGGGAGAAGTAATAGAGATATATAGAATTAATAGATCTATTTAATTATAAAATATACAACAAAAAGACTAGGTCTTGTGACGCATGACAGAACGATGGACGGAGATCACCTGATGGACGCGGAGTGATGGAAACACCCGACCGAGCTAACCTGATGGGGCCTGTTTGCATAAGCCCTCTACAAGATAGTTGCCAGAGCCTCCGTAGTTTCTTCCTTCTTCACCTTCGTTGTTTCGTTGAATGCACCTGGTTACCTTTCCAGTTGGCTCTTTTCCATCATCGTAACAGGTCTAACCGATTAGGCGCTATATGTAAAGTAGTGGGAATAGGAGTACCAGCTATCTTGGAACGATATCGAAAGTATTACATTCTTGTATTGATTCCTATCGTCCTATGACTTCATGTTTGTCTTGTACCTAGAGTATTTCTATATTATCCCGATAGTGAAAGATAGTCTCCTCTGATACGTCCATGCTTTCTCCCCCTTGAAGCTACTTTAATCTTTATCAAAGAAATAAGGGTGAAATAATCCTGTTTTACTATATAGCTGTGGATAGCTACCCTAGGAGGGAGGACAGTTATAAAGGATTACTTTGTTTCCTTTCTTTCTCCTATTTGGAAATTGTAACCTTATAATAATATGGATGACTATATCACAATAGGGATGATAACGCTCTAATAGGGACGATTACGTTTTCCTCGGTAACCATCTTCTATGAATGAATGTATCCCATTTCCCTTTTATCAAACCTGGCAAGCTATAGTGCTTGTGTGAACAGCGCCAACTTAAAATCAATTGCTTATCGCTATCTTCTCACTATCGGATCTTTACCCAATCGACAGGCTTTTACCTGACAAGTAGTTACCTGTTACACTCTTCCTCTTCCTTTCCTTCCTCAGATTCGATATCTTCGTCAAATGGACTCTTCCTTTCTAATGACTTGCCAAGTGTAATACCCCTTTGCGAAGGATGTATTGTCACGACCAGTGGCCGTGGTCCTTAGTCATAAATTGTCTACAGAACTTACCGTCTCAGCGGGAGAACAAATCTCGCAATATTAGTATGTGGATCCAGCTATCAGAAAATTCCCTCACTATATTTTCTCTGTTTCTTATCGAACCTACCGCCTCAGTGGGAGAACAAATCGCGAAATGGGATAGTGCCGTAATGCTGGCTCTGTTCTATTTCGAGGCGCCTTAGATATACTAGCTCTATCCAATATTATATGTAGAGTAAATGAGTATATATATAGTAAATCTCCCCTCTTGTGCTTCACTTATCCTTATTCTCATCCTCTTCATCTACACTTCTACTTCTTCCTACTACCGTACGCTGCCATCCGTACGTTAAATTAACTTATTGTAACCCGGTGGTGCATCATTTTTATTGTTCTGACTTCGAACCTACAGCAATATTCCGCACACATACAACTCTTTTTACAAGACAAGCGTCGTTAAAGGTTTTTCTTAATTATCAAATTAGTGATCTCTCGCTCATATTTCACAGTTGAGATAATGAAACTCATCGGAACTATCTCAGCCATTCTCCTCTATATCTCAGCTGTCTCAGCTAGTCCGGCACCTAACCCTGAGGCTGATGCATTGATCGTCAGAGGTCTGGAGCTCTGCGGGACCTGCTGTACTTGCCCTAATGGCAATTCTGGTTGTGGTGGTTACTGCTATTCGAACTGCCCCCAATGCATTTGGAGCAGCTGTACCTAGGTTGACCATATAGTCAATTTATGCTTCAGCAGAATTATCATGAACAGGTTTCAGGTTTAGATGGGGAGAAGCTCAGCATTACTTCCAATATTAAAACTTGGGGAGCTGAATGCCTTCCCTGAACCAAATTCAGTGAATGAATACATTATAGCTGAGGAATACAATACCCAGAGACGTGTACTTGGCATAATTTACATATGACTAGCATGTCTTGAGTGTTTGGTCCATAATTCTCTCTGAAGACTCTCTTAGAACATGATACGTCTCACAATTTAAAGACCGACCGAGCCCACGTTCACCGACGTCGCTGGATCTCTAAGCCACGCCGCCACAGTATATAGCTATGACCTCCATAGCAAGCTATTTAATAGGTATAATTTAGGTTATTTACGCTCCGTATGAGCCTTTGTTGCTCACATCCATCAATCTCAGATACGACATAGTTCTCCCAATCCTACATCCACTTATACTTGGCTCAGACCACTACTGTCCCGTCTTAGTATATTTATTGCTTCTTCTGGTCACTTGGTAACTCTACTATTAAGATCAATATGTGGAGGGGCTGGCTTTCAAGACTTACCAGAGCTTGATTTTCGGCTACGTGCTTTCTGGTAAGACCCTCATTTGCGTCTTTAAGGGTGACTTAGGTATTTGATACGGCTCACCAGGGCTGTCATGGAAGCCCTTTCAGTTCAACGTTAGCGGACCATACCATATGATATGAAGGATAAGCTTAATTTTGATAATGTCTGCCTTGGGAAGCGGAGCCATCCTAGTACTACCAAAGAAAAAAGAGACGAATAGGCCACACAGGAGATTAAAGGGGACCGTTTGGAACACGAGGAGTTTGGATGGGTAAATACGAATGTGAGGAGGATGATGGTATCTGGAGCGTCCTGGTGGATGTGCTACGATGTAACGTGTTATCACGTGTTCCAACTGCCTAATTCTCTTAATGTTTGTTTGGGAAGTTGCAGGCGCGGAACAAGCGCGGGGAAGCGGTTGAAATTTTTGGATTCTGCTTGATTAAATTAGTGTCATTGGATAGTCTTATGAACCGAATGGGATGGGTGCGTCACTAAAAGCACCGAAGTTTGGTGAAGGTAAAATAGTATCAAATCGTACGGTTGCTATTAGATCGTCCGAGGCTTGAGTCCTCAAGCTCGTCGTCATCGTCGTACTCAATACTGATCCTGTTCTAAGCGCTCTGGCTTGCATACCGAGAATAACCTAGGTAGTAGATGAGCGGCCTTGGTAGCGACTTCGATCAAATGCAGCACGCTCCCTTCACATGCCATCCTCGCTTTCTAGAGTCGCCCTGTTGTCATATCACAAAGGCACTGGCAACATCAATATGATTTTGTATCCTAGGAAACTTCCCGTCATTAGTTGCGCCACAATAGTGCCCAGTATAGCGGTTTGTACTAGTGCGCTTGTTAGTAGATTTTCCATATAGAACCTAATAATTGATTAGTCCTAGGCTTCTATAAAAGTACTTTGGATCCAAGTAGGTAATTGTTCACTATAAAACACCACAATGCTAACCTAACTTGGATGATAATGACGGATGTTAGTAAGATAAGCTGGGAATTTTAGATGCGAACGTCAAATAGGGGCATTTAGTGGAAGCGGGCTATTTGCCACGCACCTTTTCCCTTTTAACAACACACCCCACATATATAAAGATCTCACCTGCCCCAAGTACAGAACAAGCATGGCGCCTAAATTTTTCGACAAGTTGTTCAAACGAGAACACAAAAGAAGCGATTACCGTTTCAGGCCCAGGGAGTTCTGGGCAAATGCAATCGGGATCTCAGATTCTACTTGCGAAATTCAAGGGGACCCGTTCAACGGATGGAAACTACCGATCCCAGCACCAGAACAAAGCGCCCTGAAGTCCCGCGCGCGGCAACATGACGGTCAGCAAACGAGCTGGTTCTTCCGACTTCCTATGGAGGTGAGAAGAATGATCTATATCGAGCTGATGGGTAATCGACGCGTACACATCGAGCATTCATGGATGTACCAGTCTGCTTTTCAGCCAAAGTCGAAACGAGGAGGTAAGCGCTGGATTTGGTGGCACGGTGTCTGCCAAAACAGCGATTCTTTCGTCTGTGATACCTACGGTGACCGGTGCTGGGGTCGCGATGATGAGAGCTATGCGAGCTATACCGAGGGATTGACGAGAGCGCCCCCTGGGACAAAGATCCAGGGCGTTGAGTGGCTAAGGTGTTGTCAAATTGGGCAGGTTTTCTGTTAGCTGGAGGTAGCTTGAGCATAGCTAACCTACTCAAATTTAGCTACGAAGAAGCATTACCAGTCCTATATGGAACGAATGTTTTTGTTCCCCGGGAAGGAATCGACTCTCCGTTTATTATGTCGAGACTTATACCACCTACTTGCGCGCAACTTATTCGATCGGTAGATTTCACATTTGTGTTTTGCTGGGACTTGGACTTAACACCAGGGGCTAAAGCCTGGACAACGGTCTACCCTGCTCTCTTCGACATTCTCGAGCAATACTTCAGCAAAGTTCACTCGTTACGCCTGACGATTAAATTGCCGGCATGGGAAAAAATGAAGCAGACTATGAGCGACAGCAAACTTAATAAGATCGTGGCACCGTGGGAGACACTCGCCAGAAATCGAGACTGGAAAAGACTAGAATTCTGCGTTCCGCTTGATTGGCGCTCTGTATTTACAAAGAGAGCAGAGACTCAGAGCATATGGGAGCTCACAGTGACAGATTGGTTCGATTGGGACGTGCGTTCTGCCGGACGTGGATGTGGAATGTAACACGCTCAACAAGATGGAGACAAGAAGTGGCTTCTCTATTAGGTAGTCTTGGAAACCCCTCCTTCATATCGGATTTCGGATTTTGGGAGAGGTAACTGACATACAGATCAAGTACTAACCTAGCTAGTAGTCGTCGCCGGCACTAGGGTCCCACTGGTGATTGTCGTAATAGGTCCTTTCGTCCCAATACACTTAATAGGGTTAGACCTCGGCAAGAACCGGGTCGGTCCGGTCCTAAATTTACGGACTGGGACCGGACCAATCTGGTCCTGAGTCTTAGGGTAGTCAGGACCGCACTACCCTATAGTCCTTTGCGGTCCTATTGTTAAGTAAGCAAGATGAAATTAAGACGCCTTAGATGATTATGACGGATGTTAGTAAGATGAGTCGGGAATTTAGTGAGAGCCTCCAATAGGGGCATTTGGTGGAGGGGGCCTATATACCACGCACTTTTCCATATTTCCCCACACCCCGCATATTTAAAGATCCCCGCTGCCCCCTATTGTCCATTACGCAAGTATCATGGCGCCCAAATTTTTTGACAAGTTTCTTACCAAACGAGAACGAGAGCGGCGAAAACAGCAAAAATACAATCCCCATCCATGGCGAATGATTCACTCTCCACACGCCATCGGAGTATCCGATTCGACTTGCGACGTTAACGGGGATCCCTTCAATGCATGGAAACTACCAATCCCAGAAAATCAAAGTGCGCTACAATGTGCTCGGCAACAGAGCTCTCAGCAGAAAAGCAAGTTCTTCGAGCTTCCTGTGGAAGTGAGAAGAATGATCTACCTCGAGCTGATGGGTAACCGACGTGTGCATATCGAATATTCATGGATGCGGGCATCGCCTTTTGAGCCAAAACCTTTTCATTCAAAGCCGCTTCACCCGACTTTCCTTCAACGGAAGCGTTTTCTACCTATGCTACATGGAAGAGATAGGTACTGGAATTGGTACCACAGTGTCTGCCAAGATACCGATTCCTTTCCTAAGGATGCGTATATGGACCGGTGCGATGACCGCTATGAAGAGTTTTGGAAGAATAAAGACAAGGGATTGATAAGTACGCGGCCTGGTACAAAGCTCGGGGGTGTAGAGTGGCTAAGGTGTTGTCAAATTGGGTAAGTCGTTATATTTACTACGTAGCTTGGTATAGCCATGGCTAATACGTCTAACTTTTAGCTATGAAGAAGCATTGCCAGTTCTGTACGGGACGAATGTCTTCATGCCACGAAAGGGAATTGATTCTCCGTTTATCATGTCGCGACTTTTATCGCCTGGTTGTCTAAAGCTCATTCAATCGATGGATGTAATTTTTGAACTTGGGAATGCCATGAACGAGTCACCAGAGGCTAGAAGCTGGAAAACGATCTACCCAGCATTTTTTCAGCTTCTTAGGCAATCCTTCTCCAACGTGCACTCGTTACGGGTGACAATTCGAATGCCAGCACTAGTGCAACATACCGTTCATCCTAGCGACATAAATGAAATCATGGCACCCTGGGAGAGACTTGCGCTGAGTCGGGAGTGGATAAGACTAGAATTTTGTGTTCCTTCTGACTGGTACGAAATTCTGGGTGGACGAGTGGAGGCTCAGAGCCAGTGGCAGCTCGCGGAGACGTGTTGGTACGAGTTGAGCGGGCGTCCGTCAGGTTTCTCACCCTTCAACGGGAATTTCCCCTGATTTCTACTACCATCATCAATCAATCTGATGCATTCAATCCCGTTGGACATCTCCCGTACTACTCTCATACAAATAGTGCATAGTTCAACACATCGCTTCTTTATGACATTGGGGATACCACAAGATTATCGCATCTTGTAATTTGAAAGAGTCAGGATATGACACGTAAGCTAAATTAGTTGGTAGTCTCAGCCGGAACTGGAGTCCCGCTAGTGATTGTCGTAATAGGCCCTGTAGTGCCAACACACACAAATACAGAGGCTTGTAAACCTGCACAGTTTGTGCTTACAGCCGGGTTCCAGCTATAGAAGTCACTGTACATTTTCAGTTAGCCACGAGGTAACCGGGATATTTAAGGTCCAGCGGTGGAGAGCTTACGATAGGGCAATTCCCGCCTCAGACGCTATATCAGAACAACCTTCTCCGCTTTGCACGTCGAAGAAGCGAAGACAGCCGGTCACCATTCCGGTCTAAACTCATATCAGCTCCCTATCCCTCATGTAGGATGGGGTATATTTGAAAGTCTTACTTGGGTTGGGGTTGGCGTTACGGGAATAGGTGTCCCAGTTGTGATGGTAGTCGCGTATCCGCTCTTGCCGATGCAGACATACACGTTTGCCTGAAGGCCGGTGCAGTCGCCATCAAGAGCAGGATTCCAGCTGTAGAAGTCACTTAATGCTATCCCTGCATCCTGGGCAATAGCATAGCAGCTATCATCAGTCTCGACCTTGTAAAATCGAATACAGTCGCTTGTCATGCCCGTCTGCTCCTATCAGTCCTCTGTAGTTATTCAATTCCATGATGACCATTCAAATACCTGAGTAGGCGACGGTGTTGCAGCCCCGGATGTTGTAATTGCTGTGGCTATTGTAGAGGACGTTGTACTGGTATCATTGCTGGGAATCCCGACACAAATATATGTATTGGAGCTCAGTCCACTACAATCTGACTTCAAGGAAGGGTTCCAGGTCTCCAGGGTGGCAACTAGAATTCCATTTGCATCCGCAATGGTCGTACAATTATCATTTCTAGGCTTCGTTAGCTTCTATTATTTTCATAAAGGGGAAATTGACTTACGTTCCCACCAGCCAATAGTCTGAGCAAGTCGAGATAGTATCAGACGGCGTAGCTGGTGTAGGCAAGGTGACTGCCGATGCAGTTCGAGTCGTAGGGGTTCCTGGTACTGCAACACAGTAGTAATCTCCCATGACAAGCCCAGAGCAATCAGTTTGCACCGCAGGGTTCCAGTTAAGAAAATCGGACTTGGAGAAAGTGCCAAACTCTTCGGGGATGAGATCACAGTTATCGCCGTCACTAGCTTGATACCACGCCGTGCAGCTGGACGTAATGCCACTCTGTACGGGTGAGGGCAATGCGTTTGTAGTTGATGGCAAGGGCAGGGTTGTTCCGTTCCAGATACAATAATAGTATTCTTTCTCGATGTTGGAGCAATCAGCGCCAACGGCAGGGTTCCATTCGAGAAACTCTTCTTCGGTAAGAAAACCCTGGGAGGCGACAATGCTTGCACAGGTATCACCCTATGCTGTGTCAACTGGAACCCGATGGTTAAGGTGGTCACTCGGAATAATACCTCATCTGTGATATAAAAGACCTGGCAATCACTTGCTAGGCCGCTTTGCGCGGGAGTGGGAGAGAAAACGGTGTCCATGGCGGCTGGGGCCGTATATGACCATGTAGGGTACCACTGAGGCACGGCCGTCTGATTGTATCCGACTGAAGTCTGCGGCTTGATTCCGATACAGTACCAGTATCCGTAGTATATGCTGGTACAATTCTCACCCACTGCCGGATTCCAATCAAGGCTGTGGTATCATTATTAGTTTATTTTGACTGTTTAGAATTGATTGGAAGACTCACAAGTCACTCTGGTCCATCCACGTAGAGTGTTGCAAGGCAATACTCTGACAAGTATCACCATTCTTGGCTTGATACCAGTTGTTACCTCGACCGCTTGTCAGCTGAGAACAAGCCATGCTGAGCAAGATTTCTTACAGTAGCTAGGTTGTCCAGATTGTGTCCGAGTTGGCGGCCACGTCGAGTCCGTAATAGTGACTGGATTAGTCGTCGTATTATAGGAGAGGGTTGAATAGGATGTTGTAGTTGTGGAATTTGATGTGATTGTGCTAGTGACTGCGCCTGTGCCAGTTATTGAACTTGATGCTGAGCCACTAGAGGAACTCGTGATCGAACTGGAAGTTGTTGTTGTTGTTGACACCACCGAACCGACTCCTACGCAGTATGAGACGCCGATTTCAACCACACACGTAGTGCTGCCAACGGCTGGGTTCCAGGCTTCAAACTGTGCTTGCGTGATGCCAAAGTCCTGGGTGATGGCCCAGCAAGAGTCCCCCTCAATAACATCATACCACTGGTTACAGTTGGTAACGGTACCTGTCAGAGTGGGCTTGTCTGGGCTTGATAGAGCTTCAGCGCTGGTTGTTTGCGCACGTCGGTGAAGAAAGCCGTGGCCTTGGCCATGTCCTTGGACAATACCCGCGCCGGCTATTAAGACAAGTGAGAGACTAGCTTTCATCTCGACTAGGTTGCCAATGAATTTTTTTTAGGCTTTGGCCGGATTTTCTGTGTCAAGACAAGGCTCGGTTTGCTGGAGTCGTTTGCGCTCGGATGATCTTACTGAAGAACAATTTGTCCTGGATGGTAGCGCCCGATCTCGGAGGCAACACATTTTTCGTCCTCGACAGTCCTTCTTTGGAAGGTCCTTTAACCTCCGAATCACATATTTTAGCGCGGTATAGCATGGTGAGGGGGCTCAAAATCAAACAAGCAAGGCTTGTCAGACCTGCCTCTGTGAGGTTGAGTACGCCCCAAAGGGACCAGCCCCCAAGAAAAAATGGTTCAAGTCCCACTTATAGTTCCACGTCGCAAATTTATTGGTTCGTTAAATGTCTTTTGTCGGTGAGTGTCAATAAATAAATCCTGAAGGAGCTAGGGTAGCCAATATTTTAGTTTCCACTAGCTGACAAGCTATTTTAGCTCTCCCTTGGCAACTCGGTACTAGAGCCCCCTATTTCACCTTTGCCTGGAGACTCAAGTAAGAGCGGATTGACAATGTTACATCGTTCCTGCACTCAAACGGCTCTATCACATCAAGCTTCACTAAGCAATAGGGCAGGCGTCCATAGCGGGTCACGGACGAATCACCAAGGGTGGCATAGACGATGTCTCATTTGACCTAGATCATAAGGATGCACCAGGTGGTAAATGAATCTGTTATCTTCGCCACCTTCTAACTCCATCCGTAGTCCTCGCCAAGGGTATTGTTGGCGTCGGCAGGGTAGATAACACTTTTAGCTCGACTCAAGTCTGTCCCCAAAAGGTCGATACTAGTGCCATTAGTATTGTCTTGGTCGATAGCCCAGATCATTGTTCTATACATGCGTCAGCTGGTGAAATTTTTGGCCACTCTAGACATGCGGAGACACAAACCCTCCCAAGCAATGCTGATTAGCGAAGTCAATTTTCGTTTTCATTGTTTCTGCGTCATCGTAAGAAACCCATTGGTCTGTGTCCCAGGTCACAATTTTAATGGCCGCTGCGGCGTCTAAAGTGACGGTGGCCCCGTCGGCAATGATATCACGAATTTCAGCGTCAGATAGAATGCCCGATGATGCGGTACACGGGCCTGCTTTGCCGCCAGTAGAGAACGGGCATCCCGCCGATAGGCAGTTTGGATCTGACATTGTAAAGCCTAAAAGAAGTCAGCGGCTCATACTCAATGACATTGGAGGATATCTCAAGAGTCAATATACTTCTACCGTAGAACCCGAGGCCCATGTTAACTCTCGTGGGATCGATGTTATTTCTCCATAACAACTCCAGGCTCTGTTCAATCTCAGTAAGATTGGTGTGGGCGAGTGCAACCTTGCCAATATAAGGATCATTGCCATCCCAAGTACCATGAAGGTCGTAAGTCATGACGTTAAACCAATCAATGATAGGTTCGACGGTAACAATATCAAAATTTTGCATGTACCAGTATGACGAAGGCTGCAAGAGATTAGCGGCTGAATGATTAGGAGTCTTGTATTTACTCACAATCGTGATGGATAGACCAAATTTGTTCCCTGTCCCATCCAGAGCCTTTCGCAGATTCCGAAGGAAACTTGGGTAGTTTTGGTAGTCAGCAGCCTTTCCATTGCGGTCGGTTGCAGCGGGATACTCCCTGACAAGGTCAGTATTGAATTGAGCCTTTTGGGATCAATGTAGCCAAAATACCAATCAATATCAACTCCGTCAAACCCATTGGTTAGAAGAAATGTGATGAGGGAAGCGAAAAATTCGTTCTGGGCCGACTCGGACGCTGCCAGATCGGAGAAAGTTGTTGCTGTAGGTTGGTCGGCATCATTGAATGACCACCCACCTACCGATATCCAAACCTCTAGATCAGGCTGTTGCTGTTTGAGAGATGTGACGTCTTGGTAAAGTGCAGCAACATCAGAGGCCATGGGTGCCATTTGAAATGATTCCGGATCAATATAGGCAAAAGCAAAATTAATATGTGTATAAAATCCGAGAGGAATCTCGGACGGCTTCATCACTATATCCCATCGTTAATAAAGCTTAAATAATCTTTCAGCTGAGAGTCATACCGTCACACTGATGCTCCAAGTTCCATCCCTCATAGTAGCCAATCGTTCGAGCGTCTGATGAGGTACCACTGCACTGAGGAGAGGATACCTGGTTAGAGCCACAGAATTCGGACGTTGTTCCTACAGAGTGATTAAGCCATGCGCAAAGTCAAGTTACGAAGCTGCTGGGTACATACCACAAAATCCAAACTCGCTACAACAAACGTTAAGTGGGCAGGTAGAGGCATTGGACCACTGTATACCCCATCCTGGATCGCATTCACTTTTGTAATCACAGCTTGAGATGCAAGCATCTGTTGCACAGAAGTCAGGCCCTAGATATCACATTAGAAATGTGTTTAGCTTTGTTCTGAGCCATGCCTACCAAGGCCACAAACTCCACTGTGGACGAAATGAATTAGAGATAGTACGAGAGGCATAATGACTGGATTACATACGTCTTGGAGCAACAACCGATAGTGCAAGGCTTTGTCGAGCTGCAAGTATAATCGTTGGCTGTAGATTCAACGTTCAAAGTAGCAGTTTCTGCTTGGCATACTCCTAACAGAGCGACCACCAAATAGAAGGCCTTCATTACGCCAATTGGTGACCAGAGTCTTCTTTGGGTGAGAGGGAAGTATTCAAGTCCCAAGGCGGTTATGACAAAGTTCCCAGTCCAGTTGGTGAAAATGCTTCGTTATTGCAAGGAATCAAATGAAAACATATTCAAGTGGCGTGGCCTCAGGTGCTGGGTGTTGGCGCGACGGAACCCGGTTCATATCCGACGGTGGTGACCCCAGTAAACGAAGGAACGGGGCTGCTGGATTAGCGGCTTATTGAGGCCCATCCTACGAACTCATGATTTTCGGGTCAGTTTCCCAAAGTGGGTTAGTGGGTTCGGAACATGCTAAATTAGTGCACCAAGTTAACATGCGAGGCCTAAGCGTCACGGCGTCGGAGCTACCGTCGCTTTACTTCTCAGACCGGGTTTGCAACTTCTCCAAGGTTGAAGTAGTTCATGCTGGAAATATTATTTCAGGGACCTGTGTGCCGTGGATAGCGTGCTATTGTTCGAAGTACTACTATGGTTCTCTATAAACAGTTATTGTTTTGGTTCTTTCGGTTGAAAATCCCTCTGAACTTGCTCCCAGTCTTCCAAAATGGCACAGGCACGTTTTTAGATGCATCCCCTAGCTCATTGGTGTAGAACCAGTTCAAAGTTTGAATATCTCCCTCACTTGGAACCTGATTATAGCCGAATGTAGAGCCGTCACTAGCTTTGACGAGGGTATTCAATCTTTGTCCGTTGACCGTCTTCGAACCCGCAGTAGAGCCGTAAATCATAATCGAGTCCCAATCAACCTCGCCAGCCGGACCCCTATCCAGACCATCTTGATCTGGAAGTAGGTTGTAGGCTATAAACCGCGCGGTTTTTGCGACTGCCTCGTAGTGGCATGGGAGATTCATATCTTTACCTTTCGCTAGCCGCTGTGCTTCGATCTTCTCATAATCGGCCATGTTCTCGCACGTGAAGGTAAACATATTTGTTGCACCGGTACCACCGTAGTCCTTTGTCCACAATCCGACGCGTTGATGTTCGTGGAGCAATCCCCATGCATGTCCAAGCTCGTGAGCAATGTTGGCCACACCGCTGCCACTCCCGATCGCATCTGAGGGATCAAGTATAGTAGTGGACATAGATGCAGAGTAGCCTGGTGTGGTCACGAGTTCGCCCTCTGAATTATATTTGACGAGGAGATAGGACCCGCGGTTCGCGTCAGTGCAGTAGTCATCTGTGCCCTGTTCCATTTTGAACTGTTTATTGAGGCCAGCAGCTTTCCACAGGTCCCATGCCTTGGGAATCAGAGGTTTGAGATATCTCTTCGCCAGACCACCGTCTGTTGGATCGAAACAGTAAATTATTTTTGCATCAGGCCATACGTTCCAACTTCTGTCCTTGAGAGTGTACCCGCGTTTCTGAACAGAACCATCATTCTGTTGGATCGAAGAATAATCGAAGTCTGGATCAGGGCAACTGAGAACATAGTGAAGAAGACAGATTCCAATGAGGAGCTGGAGCAAGGACTTCATTTTAGTGGTGTCGGATGGGTCTCAGTATCCTAATAAGCGTCAGCGAAAACCCTGAGTTATAGTGTCAGGGAACCCACCAAAGTAGAATAACACTCACAAAAGCTTTGAAAAATCTAGAAAGGCACGAATGACCAGGCAAAGATCCGAATTGTTGCAGACGATTGCCAGAGACCTTCATTCCATGGATCGGATGGAGCGGCAGAGTCCGCGCGTGGCATTAGACTTAGTGCCGCCCCTTTTCTAGTGCATTTTGATCCAGTGAAATTAGTACAGCAAAAGGATGAGACACTTTCATGTTCAACCGGGCTTCGCATTTTTGGGCGTGCATTAGCGTGGAAGCAGGGTAGCACCGTTGGGGGCCGCGGGAATGGATCGCAGACCGGCGCGACAAAATCGACAACCCGAGCGAGCACTCCGATAGCGGTCAGCAGGGTCGTGATGTGGACAAGATAGGAAAGGAGGAAATTTCTAGTTTCTAGTGTACTAGTTTGATCTCTCGTCAAAGCCTCTGCTTCTTCAGGTACTGTTACCCTCCCCCTCCTTCTTCGTCAGCTTTGCCTAAGCGTGCCTGGAGCTCAGCATGTGGCTCAGCACAGTATTCTTCATTTTTGCCATTGCGGCTGCAAGAGGACCAGAAAAAAGCTCTCTGTCACCTCGAAATCCTGCAATTGACCCTGAAGACTTTTCATGGATCGCGAATTGGGCTGCCGTGGGAGACAGCTTCACTGCTGGCATTGGGTCAGGCAACGTGTACAGCTCTCGTAAAGCGGACAAATCGTGTTCTCGATATGATTACTCCTATCCTTCCATTATGAATCAGATTTTCGGTAGCTCAGTGGAGTCATTCCAGTACTCTGCATGCTCAGGAGCTACCTCAATAGACATTGCGGCACAAATTGACGCTTTATCAGGGGTACTGGATCTGGCGGTAATGACAGCTGGTGGGAATGACCTTTGCTTGGTGAGTCGAGACAAATAAATCTGGGTAGTGACAAAGAAACTGATAATAAAAAGACGGGCATCATTACTACTTGCATCTTGAACTCGGTTACGAGCGAGTCTTCTTGCCAAAAGGCAATAACTGCGGCTCAGAGTGCCATCGACAGCATTTTGGAGGACAACATTGTTTCTCTCTTGACCTCATTAGACGCAAAAATGGACTCTCGGGGGATGATTGTTCTCGCGTCATATGCGCCCTATTTCAATAACCAGACAGACGATTGCACCAACAATGAGGATTGGGTTTTCCCTGGACAAGCAGGAGGTACAAGCCTGCTTTTGACTAAGGCGCATCGAACGAGCTTCAACACTTTGGTAGCTAATACAAATGCTAAGCTGAAGTCGGCTGTTGACAATGCTGCAAAAACCGCCAGTTCGACAATTGTATTTGCAGACTGGAGTGCGTGGGGCGAGGCAACAAATGGCCGATTTTGCGAACCGGGCTCCTCCCCTGATCCTGATGATTCAAGTAATGACAACGCACTCTTCTTCAAGCTACCGACATACAAGGTTTTCAACCCCGGCGTTGTCTATCGTGACCTTGCATTTTACCCGCTCGCTCAAATGGAATCCGCGTCAAATCTTACCTCTGTTAACCCGACCCATGAGCAAGCTGGCTACACACGGCTATTGGACTCGATCGCTGACTCTTTAGAGAAGAGAGACGGTCCAACAGCCGGTGCCTGCACCAAGTCAGTTGTTTCAAATCTGCTTCCTGACGGTATTGGAAAGATCTTTCATCCCACAAATCTGGGCCACGAAGCAATTGCCTCTTACGTCACATGGGCCATTGCCAATGCTATGGCTGAGCTGGAGGATACAACTACTCCAGCCTGCAATATTGTTGATGAATTAAAATGCTACCAGGTCTCGGGATCCCAAAGCTATGCCAGTGCGTATTCGCTATACATGCATACTGCGGACTTCTGCAAGGATGCCGTATCGAGTCTGAACGAGCAAGAAACCGGGTCCCTGTACACAGATGATTACAACAAGGACACAACGGATCATGTGACTTTCACTGTTACAAAAGATACCGGTGCAGTGGATCTAACCGAGCAAACTTGCAACCTAGCTGTCAATCATATCTTAGATGGCTGCGACGGGAATGACGACAACAATCCAATGAACTGGAAGTTTGGCGGCACCTACATCAACGGGGCTTATACATATAAGATTGCGCCAGTTCGAACAAATAGGCCTTTTCCTGCGCCCAAAGAGCCGTCAGCGCAATGTACAGGCGTCTTTCACGGGTTTTGGACGCGTTACAATATCCGTGGTGCGGGCTGGGCCACGTGGGATAATGGTCAAAAGTCACTGCGGCCAAATAGTACCCATTGTTTCGGGAAAGGGCTGACGGGCTGGTGGTTTGAATATTTCGATGAGCCGGATTCTAACGGATACGAATGGCTGGCGAAGTTCAACTCTCCTGTTGGAACGGAGGCAAGATGTTACTCAAATAACAAAGTCCAGAAAGGGGCCGGTGGTCCTTCAAATGATGGATGCCACTAAATAGTCCAAAGTTTGGCATAACAGAATGGGCAGATGTGTCAGGTGTCCATAATCCAAAGCCTAGGTTAAGCCATCCTCATAAATCAAGGTCGCCAACGAGTAGTATGGTGGACAGCTACATGCGAATGTATAAAATGCTTGCAGCTTACCTAGTGAGAATCGTATCAGATCTCCCTCCAGAAGAGTTGAAAGAATATTTTTACTATTTCCAGTGGACTTCTTTGAAGTACCAAAAGCTTTTGCAATATTTCGACTCATTGGGGCATGTTAGAGGATATATAAAGATACGCTGAAACCAAGAGGGTTAAAAAGGTAGAAGCCCCGACAATAATGATTCGTTCTATTTTTGACAAGTCTCAGCGTCCTCATCGCTTCCTCCCAGTGCAAAGAATGCCTTTGGAGAAACAGTAGCATCTCCCCTATCTTGGAAGGCAAGAATTGACTCTGTTCAAGATGGCAGAAACAAAAGGGCTGTCCAAGTAAGGCCACTAAGAATCAAGTCGGTCCGGATGGCCCACCTCCAGCCATACTAAACAGAGTATCCAGATATGATAGGCCCGATGATTGGGCCAAAGCTCGAAGCCTTTGAAGAGATTGAAGATATTCATCTGAACTTCCTGTCTTCCTACGCATCCTCTGGCTTGCTCAGACTCTAGTATAAAAGAGCCATATATCCTCCTATCTCTTCCTAATTTCTTAAGAATCAGACTTTGTTCTCAATTAACTATACTAGTTCCTCCTTACCTGATCGACAGGCCCTCTACCTGCAAGTAGATACCATAACAATTACTCGTGCTCTTCTTATAGTATGTTGTTCTCTAGGCTATAGCCACTTGGTTCGCAACTTTCTCCGGGGATGTTTGGTTGCTCTGCTATAATGATAGTCTGATTTTTGGAACTAATTGAAACCCACCTTTGCGGGGGGTTCAATCTTAGCTACTAGAATTTTTGATGATCTAGCGTTTACTATGGTGAAAGTAAGGTTAAGTAGCAGATACCTAGTGAGATCGGAGTTGACACTGTATATAAGAAAAACCAAAAAGAAGTGATTCTTAGGCTATTTCTTTCTAGGCCCTATTGTCCCGTTACGCCTATCGCACTACGAAGTGAAATATAAGAAGATCGGCACAAGTTTTGGCTCCATACCTAGCCAACGCAACTAGTAGTGAGAATATATTTTATTAGCGCAGCTCCTCGACTCTTTGCTGTGGCTAATTGAAAAGCCTTCAATCTCGTAGTGGATCGGCTAGAGTAAGAGGAATGCTAGTAGAATATAGACTATATGGCGGACTTTTTGTTCGGAGTTATACTCGGATGGTTGTCTCCACTTTGCATAGCACGGCGTGTCGATGCAGTCGAGGTCCACGGCAGAGTACGCGAGAATTTTTGCCCGATGGTGGCAGTGTTGGATGGTCCCGGGATCGAGCCAGCCCCGAATGTAGAGAATCGAAGGCAATGAGGTAAGTTCTGTTAGGGTACATTGAATGGACCGCGGAATGGAGTCTGGATTGTGAAGGAAAGAGTTCAAGATTAGCCATTGAACTTGGTAGAGATGATAAGATATCTGATCTCTCACACAAGTTTAAAGATCGGCTGAGTCGACAAACTGGAAATTCGAGAGTCAGACGACTACAGCAACGTGAGAATACGTGATTTCCAAATTTGCGCTCCCAGGAACACCATTAGACAGCAGTTTTACCGTCAACAATATTACAATTGAGAGTAAATCATACTAAAAGTAAAATCCAAAAAAAGAACTCCAGACTGAAAATATATTTCGAAACAGCCTTCCCAGTATCCCGCTCTTAATCGTATTCATGACTCGTTACCTTCCCAGAATTCCTACAACATGTACGCGGAAAGCCAAAAAAGGAAGCACACGTAACTCGCCCTGCGTTCCTTTTTCTTGTTTTTCAGTATCCAAATTGGGTCACATGGGACATATGCGGCACCCCGGGCCAGTAGGCCGGGGCCGTCTTTTCAGTGGGCATAAATTGCTGCCCGTAGTAGCCTGGCAGATAATTCGGCTCTGCGGGGATGTGTTTGGCAGCGGAGGGAGATTCCTGGGGCAGCATATTCGGGGACATGTGGATGGGATAAGCGCCGAAGGTCGGGCTGCGTGGGCCACTTGAATCGCTGGTGGTAGGCGACAAGGGCATCGGCATCCCCTGGGAGGCTGGGTAGATTGACGGCGCACTTTCGTCGGTAGGTAGATGGTGTTCATCTCCCTCCTCTGGCCCATCCAGATCTTCATCGAAAGCCGTAATTGGGGCGGTGTGGATGCTGGAGGAGAGCTCATCATCTTGGCAAATGGCCTCTGGAAGGTGAGTCTGGGTCACCTGAAGGAGAGCATTTGCGTCTATTGCCAGTTAGAGATGAGGTGCGGAATGCTACACTCGAGGGGATAGTCTCCACCTACCGATTTTTCCATCCAGGTATCGTTCTTCCATCTGCCGTACAAAATAGATTTCGTCGAGGACTTGGAGTCGGTTTGCGGGCGTAATCTGGCGGCGTACATCCTGGCCGGCGTCACGCAGCTTGTCTGCAGTGACACCGTGGCTGTTCTTCAGCTCACAGAGAATATGCACAAGTAGTCGCAGACGATCTTGAGATCATAAGCCTTGGTTCGATGGAAATAATAAGTCCTGTTCCGCTTACCGCGTTTGAGAAGGTGGTCGGGCTCTCGGTGCAAAACACCAACCGGCCACCACCCGGGTTTGGTTTGTTCAGGATCCACACGTTGCGATACACCCGCGATGACTTTGCGTCCATTGTACGGATAATGGACCTGCTTCCTCGGCTCGACCAGCTTGATGTATGACTTCGCAATAGCGCGACAATTCAATTGCTGGAAGTCTTCAAACGCTTTCTCATAATATCGCCGCAGAAGATCGCGATTGCCAACGCGAAGTATCGTTCGGCCCGGCCGCGGGGTGGGCGAGGGGGAAGTTGACTTTGGTCTCGATTGGGCGGTGATCGTTCTCTTCGTATCGCGTCGTCGCCTCTTATTGTGGTCCAAAAACTGACACGGTATTAACTCGGTGGGTCCCGCCTGGCCAGCATGGACCATTGCCGTGCTTGGTTGAACGCCGTACGGCTGAAGAGCTGTGACCTGGCTGGGGCCTAAACAAGGCAGAACGACGGTCAATACGTGCTCTATGGTATTGGAGTGAGGACCATCGGCTTACTAGGCTGAAATTGCATGTTTGCCACAGGGGCAGGAGCTGCCAGCTTCACAAAGTGGTCCGCCACCTCCGGCGTGAAGATCGCGCCGCCACAGCCAGCAATTGACGCGGACGCTTTCACCTGGAGCTCCCCATTGTGGTCAAGGTAGATCATGGCGTAGTGCGGATGTGGGAAATCCATTCCTAGAGCCTTTCTCCGACGGATCGCATGTTAGTATCCATTGTCTTTGCTATACAACTGATAGATCGGTCAAAATACCATCTGATTTGATTTTGGCACGGCAGGGTCAGAGTGTCTTCGCTCGAGGGCGTCGCCAACCCCCAGATGCGGCCGGTTCAGGTCCATGGCATAGATCAAGACAGAGAGAATGATCTTGGTCCACAAGATGGACTGCCTGTATACTTCGATCGAATTAAGCCTGACGTGCCAGGGTGAAGGCTGCGCAACCCGGACGAGGTATTTGGGGAGAGATGCTTGATTTGAATCGACTACGCGGGGCACTTCAGGGGTATATGATTTTCTGGGACAAACACAAAAGGTCTGGATGGGGGGGGAACAAATCTAGGACTGCAGCCCACGGATATAGTTTCCGGGGCCATTGGCAGGGAAGGGGAAGCGCCGCGAAGTAGTTATACCGAGGCGAGACCAGGCGATTGCGTCAAGGAAAATCCCGTCGATTCGAGTCGATTCGAGTCGAGTCTAGTGTCTCAACATCTACCAAAGTACAGCCTCCGCGGAGGCCCGAGGATTGGCAGTTCTCCACACGACGTTCCCTGACGCGCAAAGGTGACATGCTAATGCAAGGACAAAGCAGAATATCGGCGGGGGGCTGACCCGGTGGCAACAAACCGCCTGCCCCGTGTGTTTTCCCATACTGGTGGGCCTGCGATCGGATCGCCAGTGCACATAGACCTCTTTGTCTCCTGTCCCGTTTCCCCCCTCCCTCGGCAGACCGCGGATCCAGCCACGACGCATCAACGAAGCTAGAGGTAGGGCTGGGGTGGGATCCTGCCGTTCATTCGCCGCGGCTAAATCGTCGGTATCCATGGTTCGAGGCCTCGGGCTCTATCGGAGATCGTCCCACCTCAGCAGGGACCCCGGGCGATCTTGCGCTTGGACAAGCCACTAGCCACCGAGGACCTTTTGACGGGCATCAACCCTGGAGCGCCTGCGATGGCCAAATACGCCCGCCATTCATAGAGAGGCGGGACTTGGGGTTGTACGAGGCTCTACAGATACACGAAGCAAAGCCACCCCGTGGAAGCGTCTGCCGCCGGTCGGTTGGTCGGTTGGTCCGTTGATCCGTTGGTCGCTTGTTCAGGGGACATACTGGTTGGACTCAAGCAGCTCACGATGCCAAATCGACCGATTACCCTATGACGACTGCAGGGAAACCATTGCCCCTTGAATCATAAAGCAGGATCGCCGATCACTGGAACCTGGCCGCAGCCTCGGCTGGACCATTCCGGCAGGGCGGCAGGCCATGGCGCATCTGAACGCATCGGCTCCAAGCCAGGGGAAACCATCGCGGACAGTATGTTACCAAAACATCGATCGATTCGCGTCAGCTGGAGGATCAGAATTATCCTCTTCGGGTTTTGGGCAGCCTGACAGCGCCCAGGATGCCAAGCCGGTACGTCCTGGCTCCGGAGGCTTGCGTATCCTCCTTCCCACAGGCAATCGCAGTCGTGTGTGAAGCCCAAGAAGCTCCGCACGCTCCGCTCAGTGGTGGGATTATGGTCCGGGTCAAGTTACGATTGTCTGTGCGCGCATCGAATACCTCCAAACGGACGAGCTGGCGAACGAGCAGCTTTCTCCGCTTTTCAGGCCCCGAAAGGCCCAACGGATCCACAGGGTCCAAACTCCAAACTCCAAACGGCTGGGGATGGGAGTGTGGCCAATGGGTAGCCCAGGGTGCCTCAAATAGAGCCTTGGAAATGACCATCGAATCTTGAGCTTATTCAAACCCATGGGCCGCTGGGCTCGGGCCGCCGAATAGACAGGCTGCGCACGGCTACACGCGGTTCCTCTGTTTGGCTCTAGACCTTTCGGTCTGGGGGAAGGTTCGAGGGAAGGTCTCGACCCCCGCTACCCACGAGAGAAGATGCCTGGCCCTCTTTTGTTTTTCTTTGTGCCCGTTGACATATATCGCCAGACATGAACTCATGGTGTACAGTCTCAGAATCTTTCAGGAGCACGCGCATCTTCTTTTCCGCTGGGCCGACGAGTGTGAGATAGCATGACCAACTCGAAGCCCGATTACTCAACGTCCCGACCATGTGAGTTAGTAGAATAAGGAAACTATCGTCCTCGACCCATGAAAGACAGTTTCCTCAGCCCGGATCGACAATCAAGTCTTGAGGGACCTGTAAATCACGGAGTACGAGTACGGAAGCGCTCGTTATCGCAAGCTACAGAAATACGGGGAGTCCCCACTTTGAACAGGGCCGTGCAATTGCGCAGTCGGTAATGGCGTAGAGTTGCAACTGGTACCACCGAAGGTCTGCTTTACAGTAGTGGCACCTTCGTCTCTGCGGTAGGATGCTGGTACTTCCCCGACATTCATTAATTTACTTCTTTATCCAGAATCCATGGCCAATCGGATTGGCCCCACACGCTCGAGGAGAATTCATCCGAGTGGAACCATTGGGCGTGCTGGGGGGGCGGGCCGCTGTTGTGCGAGAATCCCCACTGGAGTATTGCTTGTAGATGCTTTACGAACGGAAAGGCAACACAAAACTCTTTCCTGCCAAGTCAAAGGCAGCGAACGACTCTGCGCAAAGCAGTCGTACTTTGTGTCGGTCAACGCAAGTGGCGTGGAGGGCGCGGGGGCCTGCACCCCTTGCGCGCCGGCGGGGCCGGCGATACATACACCCCAGTGACTTCGCTTGTGCAACTATCCAAAAGGCTACGCGGGCCCGACCGCTGGTCCCTTTTGCAGCATCAGTGCGGCCGGCTTCAGCCCTTGGCTGTGCAAATCCCGCTGTCAGTGTGGAGCAGCAGCAAAGTACGGCATGGCTCATGCACCCAGGCTCCATTGATACTCCAGTGGATTGCCATTCCCAGCCGAGTACAGAGAACGAATCCTACCAGGAACTGCGTGGTGGCTTGCATGACAATCCGATCAGCACCGCCACCGCCGTAGCTGGCTCGAAGGGCAGCCAAACGACCCTAAACCGCAATACCAGACAGGGTCTCCGGGCGGGATCCACTGCAGGCTTGCCGTATATCGACTTCAATACCTACGGAGGAGTTCCGTACCATGGAGGTTGGCCGCGTGTATAGCGGTGACGCTGGCAGGTCGCAGTTCTGCTGAGTTGCAACGACGCGGCGGCATCCAGATCGGGATTTGGAATTGATCGCGGAGACTGACCGGCGATGCAGTTCGTTCTAGAGTCGGCCAGCAAGCTCCCGAGGAGCATCCTATGGCGAAGACACGTGGTAGGCCATCAGAATAAACACTGGATTTTTGAATATGGTAGGAGCTGATCCCTTCTCGCCACAGCCCCTCCACAATGTGTTGTGACAGCGGGCGTTCTATCTCGGTCTATCTCGGTCTATCTCGGGATTTGGCGACCCGCCTCAGACGGGAGATCGTCTCCTATACACAGGCTGAAACCTGTTCGCAAACGCACCGGATCCAATGACCCACGAATCTCCTCACCAAGCTTTTGCGCAAGAGGATTCCCCGATTGGCAGGGTTATCCCATCCGTCTGGCTCTAGCCTAAAAAAGGAGGGAGCCGAATCCTTCACTCCACGCCGAGAGATCAGGAGATGTTCAAGATCGCAGCACTCGAATGGGGCAGCTCCAATGCCACCCAACCCTCGGAATCCACTTGCACGCTCTGGCCAGCCGTCACATTCGTCAAGCGAACGGGGGCGCCGCCCTGCAATTCGTAGTTGTATGACCAGCCATCCCAGGTGATACCGGTGATAGCATCGGTCCCATTTGCCAGGAGCCGCTGCACCGATAGGGACTTCGCGGAAACCTCGGGCAAATGGAACTGGTAGGTCGCGGATGGCCGGGAGGCCGAACCGGCATCGCTTGTGTAATTGTACTCCTGCATGTTGATCACGGCAAGACGGGCCAGCTTGCCGGAGACATATGCGGCATACGCAGCGTCGGTTTCTGGCCCCGTTGGGAGGTTGACGATCTGGACGGCGTCCGGTTCCCTACCGCGAAGCATAGCCGCAACCATCGCGTTGCCGTAGTACGGTGGCTTGGTACCGATAGTGGTCTTGGTGGTTTGTACCGGTTGCCATGATGCATAGCGATAGTCGGTTCCCTGATGCATGTGCGTGCGCCGAATGTTCTGGGAGGCGCAGTAGAGGTTGAAGTCTACGCCCCAGAGAGCAGCACCAAACGAGTTCGATAGTCCTGGCTTGCCCTGGTGATAGAGCGAGTTCATTTCACCCAGAATATATGGGACGTCCTTGGTCAACCCCTTTTCCTGCAAATCTTTCATTACACCCACATGGTGTGCAACACTCTGGACAACCGCCGTGTGGTTCATCAGAGTATGAGCGAGGGTGACACCAGGAGAGTCTGCACCGCCCATATAGCTAGCCACTGTCAGAGCGAGTAAGCACATTCTAGGTCTGTCATCACTCACTTGTGCATCGAGTTCATCCCAATGTCATGGTCCGTATCAAGGCCCACCTCCCAGGTTTTCACAGGATCCAACTTATTGCCAGTACCCGCAAACGACGGGGCAAGATACTTGTATGCCCCCTTAGTCACCATGCCAGGGCAGGCTTGGGACAATTGGCGTTTTATGATCCGCGACTTCGACAGCCATTCACCGACATAGTCACTTTCCAACCAAGTACTGGGACGAACCTTACCCTTAAAAAGATCAGGTTCATTGCCCAATTCCCAGTGGGCAAGCCGTCCATTACTGAGGGCCTTACAGGCCAGTGGGACTGTGGCGATGAGTGTGTCCATGGCCTCCGTCGTGTTCTTCCCAAGATTGAAACCATGGCTGAACTTGGTACCTGGCCACGTCTCGTACGCCTCGAAAAAGGATGGGCCGATAGATATAATGGATGGGTAGTCGGCGGATTCGGACAGAACCACTGTGCCATTGATTTGTGTCTTGAGATTCGGATCATATAGAGCGAAATCCCTTTGTAAACATTAGTCCGACATCCCTCTGCTCAGTCCATGGTCCATGCTACTGACTGGGTATTTCCGCCCACTCGGATATATGGCTTCACGCCTTGAAGATCGGCCAGGTTGTCAAGCAACTGGTTGGAAAATTTGTTTGGCCTGGATTTGTTTCCTGCGAGAGGTCAATTCCAACCTCGTGCTTTAATTTCGTTCTTTTTCAATAGGGTACCTGCAAAGTCGGGGAAGGACGAAAATTCGATCGAAAAGGAGACAAACGGAGCAAGAATGCTAGAGGCAGCATCCTGTGGCATATGCTTGCTCACGGTGATTGCAGAGCTGCCGCGCTCAACAATTGACGGCGCGGCCGCCACAACGGCAGCACGTAAAAGCAACGAAACAAACATAGTAGTTCAGCAATACTCGATAGCACCGATACCTGCCCCGCGGTATCTCAAAGCGGAGGTGTAGGTGCTGGATTAATACTATGTGAATCTCTGATGGCTCTAACTTGGGCTTCGTCGCCCCTAGTCCCTTTTTTATAGCCCCATATAGCCGACGCCACTTTTTAGGTTATTGAGCTTGGACTCGCGAAGCTTTCCAAAAGCCGGCTACAACGACAGGAGGTGCAAGCAAAAGCGGGATATTTCAGCAGTCACGCTGTTCATTGGAGCGAGATTTAGCCCACTAGGTCCTTTTTGTGCGGGGTTCGCCGACATAGCCATGCGGGGGTTACATCTGGGGTTGTGGGGAGGCGATTGTGGAGACACGTTTACATTGTTTTCGACAGGAATCGGCTATTAACAAAAAGATACAACCATTCTCACGCAGAGCGAACCTAGCAACAGCGAGAGGGTGCATAACTAACAATGGAATCATGGGCACAAAATAAGAAAATTTCAATTTCCGGGCACCTAGGAAACTGGTATAGGAAACTGGTATCAAGGAAGAGCATCGGATAGTTATGATATTGCTTCGGCAATGGAAGATGCCGATCGGCCTCTGCCATCGCTTCGGCTAATAAAGAACAAGGAAAAGAAAGATAAACAAGCCGGGAAGGTTAGATCTACACCAGCGAAGAAAACGAAACCAAGGTGTCATAAAGTCCATTTTCAGCCGTTCCGATGGGCTCAAGTGTATTTGCGGAGCTGCGCGGCAACACGTTAGTCACTCTGAAAGGCGGGCGATATGTAAATTAAAGGGGTAATACTCACATCGAGGGTCAAAGACTTGCTGCTGTTCTCCACCTGGTCTCGATAGATCCCAACCAAAGCCTCGCTGTTCTGGAACAGTCCAGTCTTCAAACTGATCACAATGAATTGCATACCAGGAGCGGCGTGATCGTGAATATAGTTGGCAATGCGAGCCACGTTGGTGTTATCAAGGGCAGCATCAACCTCGTCCAACACAAAGAACGGTGAAGGGTGGTAGGAGTGAATGGCAAACAGCAGAGCGAGGGCGGCCATGGTCTTCTCACCACCTGATAAGTGCTCCATGTCACGGAAACGCTTGAGCGGCGGCATGGCATGGTACTTGATGCCATCAAGGTACGGTTCATCTGAGTCCTCAATGTCCAGGTACGCTTGTCCACCTAGTGGGTAGTTGGTACTTCGTGTTAACTCGCGATAGATGGGGCCAATCTGCTCGGAGATGTGCGTGAAGGCCTTGTTGAAGAGATCGGATCGCTTTTTCATAATGCCCTCGAAATCATCCTTGGCCTTACGAGCGTACTTGCGCGCATCCTCGAAGTCTTTCTCGGTGCTACGGAGCTTGTTTTCGACACTCTCCAGACGTTCCATGGCTCGAGTATTCGGCGCCATCTTGTCTAATTCACTGTTGAGAGTACGAACCTTCTCAAGCAGCTCCTCTTCGAGCTTCTCATCCGTCCCCTGTAGAAAAAGAAAAAAGGATTAGCATACGCAGGATCAATCTCGTGTTGTACCAGTGGTGTACCTCTTTGAGCGATTCGCCGAGTGAATCAAAATCAACTTCAATTCCGTAGTCTTGTACAACAGGGGTTTCGTCCATGCCATCGACCTCATCCACGTCCATAGCATCTGGATCCGTGGCCTGCACCAGATCATCGATAGGAAGCTTGTCAAGGCCGTTGGAAGAGTCAGTCAGCGGAATGTCAATATCTTCGAGTTTGCATCGTCGCAAAAGAGCATAGCGACTGGACGAGTTCCGTTGGATTTCAGCTTCAAGCGCATTGATGTTCTTAAGAGCTCCTTCAACGTGCTTGCTGCGCTTCTGGAGCTCCCTCCGCTGCTCGGCCAGGTTCTCTGCCGACTGCGCATAAATATCCTTCTGCTCCTCTAAGTACTCGCGCAAGAGGTCGAGCTCAGCACTAGACTCATCCAGACTGTTGCGAATCTCCTCCTGTTGGCCCTTGAGCTCTTCGACTAGGCTCATGTCACGCTCATACTGAGCTTTGAGGCCATTAATCCGGTCATCTGTAGCTTGGATTCGTTGCATTTCGAAACTCAGCTGGTTCTCAATGCGGCTCTTTTGCGTTGTGAACTCAAGCTTCTTCTGCGAAGCTTCCTCCTGCAGCGAGCCCTGCTGGGCCTCATATTCACGAATGTTTTCGTATCCCAAACGCTGGCAGAAAGTGCGGTATATCTCATCTTCGACTGTGCTCACCGATGCTTGCGAGTTCTCGATAGTCTCATCCAGCTCGTCGAGGTTCTCCTTCCGCTCAGTGAACTTGGGTCGCAGGTCTTCCAGCTGATTCTTGACAAAGTCCAGTTCGCTACGCTTGCTTTGGATATTCCTCTCAATCGCCTTCAGCTCTTCTTTGGCATAATTCAGCCGCTGCTCGAGACCAACCAGTTCTCCCTGGAGAGTTTCCTCCTCTGAGCCTCGGCGATGGCTCTTGGGTAGGTTGGCAAGGTCAGCCATCAGCTTATCTTTCAACTTATGGAGGTTTTCCACTTCAGAGTCCTCCCACCGCTTGGAGGAGTTCTGCTGAGGGCCCCGTCCTCCAGTCATAAGACCGCCTTTGTGAATCACAGTGCCATCCAAGGTAACGGCTTTAGCATCGACATTTCGCTCATAGCACAGATACTTGGCCGTTGAGAGATCGTCGCAGACGATGGAGTTGCCGCAGGCGTAGCTGATGGCTCGTGCGACAGAGTCATCATAATCGATGGTCTCAATAGCAGGGCGCATGCCCCGGTGCATACCTTTCAAATTCGAGTTGAAGGCCTTGACCTGGATCGTTTCCAGGGGAATGAAAGTGGCTTGACCGGCGCGCTGGTCACGCAGATGCTGAATACACTCCTTGGCGGTCTTTTCGTTATCCACCACGATGGCGTCGAAGTGGCGGCCCAAGACAGTGCTGACAGCTTCGGCATATTTCCTCTGCTTCGGCCGACAAAGGTCACTGACACGACCCTTGACTCCAGGGAAGATGCGCTTCAAGGTCGAGATCAACTCCTTGGCGCGCAACTCCCGCTCATTCTGCTTTTTGCCATCGTCGGCCTCCAGCAGTTTCCTCAAAACAACCTGAAGCTTCTCTTCGAACTCCGTCCGCATTTGGGAAATCTTCAGGCGCTCCGAAGTCAATGCGTTCAATTCTTTCTTCTTGCGGTCGATATCCTTAGAGGTGGTCTTGATGGTGTCATTGAGGGTTGATTTGCGCTGATTCATATTCGATGCCTCTGATTCGAGGTTCTTCAGTTGCCATTCGGTGTTCTCGAACTTGCCTTTTAGACTGTTCACGGCCTCGGCCTCGGTCTTCCTTTGCCGGCGAAGGTTGTCGAGATTAAGTTGATCCGCAGACGAGCGCTTGCTAACCTCTTCTCTCAACTTGTGATATTCTTGTTGATCGGCTTCACTCAGCTGTCCACCCTTCTTGCTCATTGTTTTCTGCCATTCGGCTTCCCATTGACCCTGGGCCTTCTCAACGAGCTTCAGGTCTTTTTCGAGCTGCTTAGCATTGTTCGACTGGGCCGTGCGCTCTTTGCCGATCTCCGAGATCTTCGAGGAATAGCGCTCCACCTTCCTCTGGGTGATGTCGACTTTCTCGTCAATGGGTACCAGGGAGTTGTTGAGCTCCTCGATATCCTTCTCTTTCTTCAGAATGTTCTTTTCAGCTTTTCCGACATCTCTGCCGACGCGGGCATGTTCCTTCTTGGCGTTCTCGACGTTGTTTTCGTACTTCTCCACGCCACGGCGGTATTCTTTAAGCTCATCCTGGTATTTCTGAATGTCGGCACTGGATGCATCGATCAAACGCTGGAAATGGAAAAGTTTCCACAGGATGTGGGTGATTATAGCCTGGTCACGCTCCTCAGCCTTCTTCGCGTAGTCATCTGCTTCACGCTTCTGCTCCTGGTACTGCTTGACCTCGGAGTTGATTCCTCGTCGGCGGTTGAGCTGAACGGTTTGATGTTCTGCAGCCTCCTCCGCCTCCGCCTTCAACTTCTCGTAGTCAGCCTTGTATTCCAGACTGCCGGAGATCTGCTCGATGAGACGAGTAAGGTCCCTGGGGGACTGCGAGGCAATCGCCTCAACATCACCCTGGAACACCAGGAAGTTGCGCGCTCGAATCAAAATATTCTCTTCCTCCAGAGCTTCGTTGTACTGTTGAGCGGTCACGATTCGGTTGTTGATGCGGTACTCGCTGGCACCTTGGCTAGTGATGGATCGGCGCCATTGCTGCTCCTCACCCGCATCATCTTCGTACACGGCCATGACCCAGGCGGTCTTTGGATCATTCACGCCGCCTGCATCATGCGATTCGTCCATATTGTCCGCATCCTCCTCCTCTTCCCCATCATCTCCGTTGGTGGCGGGTTCTCCATCGACCTTCGAAGTGCGCAGGACGCGGCCACGGTAAACAAGATCGCGAAGGTTAGTAGAGCGCAGGTGAGACGACTTAATTCCTAGCACGAACGAGATGGCGTCCATCCTGGTGCGGGTCAGCAACAATGCTCCATCCTCTCGCCAAAAAAGTAGGAAAACGCGGTTTCGTGCAATAACATACGAATTTGACTTGCCAGACCCGTTAGGCCCGATGATGGATGTGAAGTATGCATCTCCGAACAGAAGAGTATGATGACCCTTGTAAGACTTGAAATCTGGGAGCAAAAGTCAGCTGGTGTGCGCAGCGCTCTCCTTCACGGGTGGTTGGCATACTGAAAAGCTCCAGCCGAATAAGTTTCCCCATCGTGAGACGAAGCCGCTTCCTATGGAAGCAACACGCTCGCAAGTGATCAAAGCCAGGCAAAACACCTGTGCTTGGTGTCAAGCTATGTGACTGACAGGCCTGGACTCGGAGATGGTGGGAGGGGCGCGATATGGGGAATCGCGTTCCTGACGCGCCGGAGGAATCACGTGGCCCGTCCAACATGGCTCCCTGTTCTAATTCTCCGAACTACCAAACTCAAATCAAGGGCAAAGCAATATTGGCTTACGATGTCCAAATATTCGTCCAGTTCCTCTGCAGTGGTCTTTTCGCGAGGAACCAATTGCTCATTCTAGAGAGAGGAGAGGCCGCGAAAGTATAACACGAGTTTGTTGGGAGATGGTCGAGAAATAAATAATCGCAAAGAGCGGGCTTCTAAATCGCACGACAATAAAAAGCGACAAAAACTCACTTATTTTGTGCAGTGGACGAGGTAGGTAAACACCTATCTCAGCTTGCCTATGGCCCATTATTGCACGTTTCCTTTGAAGACCTATCTACTGAGAGCCCTCTTTGTAGAAGAGAACTGGCTTTAAATATAAGGAGCATGTAAACACCGGATCTATGAAAGTATAAGCAGTCTTAGTTCATTGCGCTAAGCATAGAGGATAGCTGAAAGGAATTTCTACAACCAATTGAAGAGAGAAGAATCTAGAGAAAACGCCTCGATCTCGCTACTCCAGTCATGTCCGTTTATTGTATTGCGATTTCAGCTTACTTTCAGTCGTAGAAGCTATGGCGATGGGGTCTCATAATATTTCCACTTAGGGATAACTGAAAAAGAATCGCTTTGTGGCTGTTGTTACAGTTATAGATACATATTTTCTGGCGAATATGAAGGATATCCTTGGTAAAAGAGAAACTGCTAGATGAGGCCCAGACAATAGAGAGCCCAACTCTCGAGCCTAGTGATCTCAAGCGCTGTTACTCATCTTCACTGGGTTCCCCAGAAGGAGAAAATCCCGGTCAACGAAGCCATTTGAGTCCATCCGGAAGTTGCCCCTCTGACCGTCGACCTTGATGAGAATAAAGTCTTCACTGGTGAAGATCTGCCGCACAGACAAGAAAATTCTCCAGACCCCGTGACTTATTCTCGCAACCGGAGCCTTGACAAAGCTGGGCATTGGTTCGTTTGACCCGCCGAGGAGCTTCCTGGCATCACTTTCAAAGCGAGCTGCAGACTCCGCCGACACTACAAGCTTCTTGGAAATATGGACCTGGGATGGCGCAACCTCAAAGTGGAACTTCTTAAACGGCAACATGCTTCGGACCTGGAAGCGGATCCGGGGCTGACCTTGGGAGTGGACCGCCTTGATGCTTTGGATCATGTTGCCCGTCCGGACGAGGAAGATGGTGCCCATGACGCTCATTGATACACAAATTCCACCAAAAAGCGCCTGCTGCCACATGGGCAGGACCGTGACAGGGTCTCGGAAAACGGCGTTGGAGTTATAGACCGCATACGCGAAGCAGAATGCCGACAGGCCATATGCACTGAAATAATAGCTGCGCTGCGAGCGCGACTGGAAAAGCGTCACTTCGCCTTCGCGTGCAACTCTGCTGAACAGCCTTCCAAGTCCTCCTGTCTTTGGTTGTAGATTCTTAGGTAGTTGGTCGAATTGGGACCTTGAAGTCGCGGGACGTTTTTGAGGTTTAGGAGCCGGTGCAGAACGAGGAGCCTTCGAGGCGAAGGAGCGCCATGATGAAGAGAAATATGTCTGAAATCCGGGGCGTACTGTGGTAACCGTACAGGCACTAGGGCACCGGTGCCAGATTATTCGGAGTGGTGACGCTCTGCCCGACATTATTGCGCGAGCTCTGTCCACACCAGAGTTAGCAAGGTGTTCGGGGAAATGACGGCATATTGCAACAGCGAATCGGACGAGAGTAATCCAATCGCAAGTAATTAGATAACAACATTGACATAAAAAGAGAACGACTTACCCAATCCCGGTCCCTCAACGGTTGTTCTCCTCGGAAAGCGCCGCCAGATCAAAAGCAGCCGGCCGCCGCGGCAAAAAAATGTTCCCGTCCCGGCCGCCGGTGAAAGCTCCCAACGCCCTCAACACCTACTGGCACGCTCACTTGGGTGCCCTCAATTCACGCTAAACTCGATCATTTATACATCCGAATTCAGCGCGCCTCGACGCGGTGGTGGGCTCTTGGTCGCTCGTGTTCATCTTTCGCCGATAATATAGCTTGCTCGGAGAGTTGCGACATCGCTTGAGCATCTCCGCCTGCCCAGTATCTACACCACCACCTCCTCCGGCCTCACACACCTATACAAAATGGCAGCTAGGATCCCGATTAGCCAAGTTCCGGTGATGTTTGCCCGCCGGCAGCCCAAGGTGTTCCACGCCACCCGACGTGAGTTTTCCTGGCGGCATTCGATGAGGTGGAGCTCGCAGAAGCCGAGCCCGCATTATCGGAGCCAATTGCCCATGAACCACGGGTCTTTACAATGGCATACATACTCAATGCTGACTTCTGATTTCATGTAGGCCTTCAGTCTTCCTCCGCTCCTCAAACTCAGAACCCCGCCTACCCCCTCTACCCCTCCGTCAGCCAGCTCCTCCACGAGAAGAACGTCCCCGAGTCGGAAGTGCCTAAGATCCCCGCCTCCGGCCCCAAGGGCCGTCTCCTGAAGGGTGACGTGCTCGCCTATCTTGGCCAGATCGCCGCTGAGTACCCGGCAACCCAGGCCGCGACGCTGGCTAAGCTCGCCCACCTGGACCTGAGCAACATCAAGATCGTGGCGGCTGCCCCGAAGCCCGCCGCGCCGGCCGCGGAGGAGAAGAAGGAGGTCGTCGCCCAGCCGCTGCCCATGGCCTCGATTGCCATTTCCGTCTCGCTGGCGGCCGTGCTGTCCGCACAGAAGAAGATCCAGGAGAGCTTGGGTGTGACAGTTCCTCTGTCGCGCTTCCTGGCTATCGCCACGGATCTTGCAAACGACGACCTGCCCCGCTCTAAGAGCGAGAAGCCGACTTCTGATGAGCTGTTTGAGGAGGTTCTCGGTGCCGAGCCTGTTAACACATCACGCGGCGATTACATTCCTGAGCTGAACACCTTCAAGGCCTCAGGGGCCCGCCAGCCCAAGCCTGTGCACGAGGATATCATCGACATTCTTAGCGCCAAGCCCGGAAAGAAGGCCGTTGCTTCCACGGTGTCTGCTGTGGATGGTGGCGCCGCTCAGAATGTCTTCAGTTTGACTGTCCCCGCCGGCGAGGAGCTGCGCGCCAAGGCCTTCTTGGAGCGGATTAAGACTCTCCTGCAGGTCGAGCCTGCCAGGCTGGTGCTTTAAAATTGGCAGTTTTTATTATCAATCTCTCCCAAGTCTGCAAACTTTTTTCTTTCCTTTGCCCACTCATGCCATCTCCATACTGCGTTCGGAGTGTTTCAAGGCTTCTGTATTTAGTGTAGCATAGATAGTCGCATACCACCTCGATTTGGCTTTATAAAGAATTTCCAGTGTACCGGTTGCTAAACCAGTTTTCGATCTGCCTAGATAAATTCGGGAGTATCTACGTGCTGGGCATGTCCACTATATTGTAAGTCCGGATCTATGAATGTTTCTCCAGGATGGCAGGTAGGACAAAAATAAGTCTAGGAGAAATTTATCATTGATGCAATGGAGCCGGGTGTGTCGGCAATCATAACTCTCCAAGCACTATACATAGTCTTATTGACCGGCTCCAATTGGCGGAATAAGAGAATAGCTCGACGGCGAATCCATCTCCTGCAACCCCGTCGAAAGAAACAGGGGCCTCATCTCCCCATCCTCACTAAAGAAGATATTTGGCCGCTCCCTCCGATACTTACCAATAGCAGGACTGTCATCAAAATCAAAAGTCGTATTGCATGCAACCGTGTCCTTGTTAAACGTCCAGGGCCCGCTCCAGGATCTCGCATACGCGTGGCGCCCTACATTAGGCCCGTCGCCGAAGCCTGCATCGGGAAGAAAAAGGTGGACCAGCATGTGGAAGTTGCCGTACTTGTCTGCCCAGATGAAGGGGACTTCGCTTGCCTCGGAGAAGATCGGTTTCGCAGGGTGAATTCTTGCATAAGGGCCTGCATAGTTGGCCGCTGTTGCCATGTTGATGAGCTCTGCGCCGCTGCAGTTGTACGGACAGTCACGGTATGCTAGGATAGTGGTAGGGCCCGAGGCGGTTTTAACAGTGCCGGAGCGAGGGTGTAGTGGAGCCGGATTGGTCATATCAGCATCCCATGCTTCGTTGTTGGCGCCGGGGAGGACCTGCCCATGCGGTGTCCAGTTGTATAGATCTGGAGACGACCAAACGCTGATGCCACTTTCGCCATTGAGGGTATTTCCGGGGCCGCAAGTGAAGTCCACATTCTGACAGGTTGACGGGACTTGCTGCTGACAGCCAATATTGTAAATGAGGAGAGCAACAGCCTGACAGCAATCACCACGCAGCGGAAGGGGCGTTCGGTCAATCTCCCGCTCTGGAGCTCGGGTACTAGTACGGCAATAACGGGAAATCGGATGAGCGTAGAGGGACGGAGCAGGCCGTAGGCCCGGGCAGTGAATTCAATCCATAATGAAGCCCTTATGGTGCGGTGAAATTGTGAGCGGTGGCATCTGAATTCGAGTGCTCAGTCTATGAGCTCGGAAACTTATGTCGCCGGGCCATCTTGGATGGCGACAAGAAGACTCAGATACAGGGCTGTGCACAAACCGGTGTTCCCGGCTATGATGATCAGCTCGGGTATGAGTGGGCGTTGTGTAGTGGAAACCACGCGCTTTTGTTTTGCCTCCCTGGCTGAGTGGGCTAAACTGAGTTCAAATTAATAGTACATCATCCCGACTTTGTCGTTCCCCTACATCTTTACGGGTAAAAGCCATTCTGAATGGGCTATCCAGGTCTTACGCCGACAAAATGCGGACATTGAAGCGCAAGTCAACGTGGGTCAGTCCTGATTGATCTTGTTATTGCTCAAGATCTGAAGGCGATTCGATTGATACTGGCCAACGGAGCGGCTGCAAATGGCATTGTCAGTGACCATCCGATGAGGCCATTAGATGTGGCTGCATCGGCCGGGAGTAATGAAATTGTGGAGCTCCTCCTAGAGAACAAGGCGGTCATCGGAAGAGTGGGTAATGGTAAAAGATCAGCATTGTCTTGGGCTGCCTCCAGGAATCAACTAGATACTGTTCGTCTCCTTTTGTCTCGCGGAGCCGATATCGACCCTATCGAGCCAGGAGGATCGACGCCACTGCTGTCTGCTGTCATGGAGGAGCAAATTGAGATGGTTGTGTTGTTGAAAGCCGGAGCGAAGGTGGACGTTCAAGACGATGAAGCCCGCACACCCTGAGGGCAGTAAGAATCCGGCCCGTCAAATTCTCGGATTGTTGATTTTCTACGGGGCCAACTTGGTGCTTCGAGACATCGATGAAATGACTGCCTTGGATAGGACTACCAGCTACAATCACCCAGGGGCAGCGGCCTTTTTACGGCAAATGCACGCCACCAAACAGAAAGACAGCGATGATGGAGAGGTGGAAGATTAGTCCGTTCTTGATAAGAAGCGGTTCACTCTGCTCCGGCCCCAACTTTCTCCTTGTCCCAATGGCACCGACGAAACCACAGATTCACCAGTCGGAAACATAATCAACACCACGTTCCGGCTAGCTGAGATTACTTCGAACAAAAATTGCGGTCTGAGCAAAGCATGGGACCATATCCCCATCTGTCACACAGCACAGAAGCTTGCAGCAGATTTTCAGGACACAATGGACCTTGTCGCTAGCTGGGATATGCCCTTCGTGGAAAGCTTTGAGTTCAACTAATATATGGAATGTGAAAATACTTCCGCGGGATCGACACGCATTTCGCAAGATGCATATCAAATCAAGATCTCCCGCGGAGCCGCCTCCCTTTAATGGAAGACCGAAGTAGATCAAGTGGAGGCAATTGTCGGGTTTTTGACCTGGTCCATTTGCAAGTCAGGCCCAGGTGGGCATGATTCCTAAATCATCTCGTCGGTCTGAGTGAAGCAGAGGCTAGGAATGAGGAGACAGACCTCCTTTGTCATATATGGATTTTCCGACAGAGGCTAAAATGGCATCGGTTCAGATATTTGACTTCTCGGCCAGATTGTTTGGCCTCGGGAACGGAAACTGGACACGGGACCTGCTCGTTGTTGAGACAGAAAACATTTTAGAAACAATGGTGGCTCAGGACATTTACACTCGCTTCCTTGAAAGTGTCTTGGTGCAGCTTCAAGTACTTGGAGGAGAAGTGGATATTGTTCCCGGATCGCAACACACTTTCCTCGCCTATGTATGTTTCTAACCCCTGTACTTTCGATACGTGATCGTATGAAAACAGACTCTTCGGTAATGGCACGACTATGCCAACTAGAATCCATGGATGGGAATATTTGGCTCCTTCAATCTTAATATTCAAGATCTATATAGTAGACATACACTCCGTCTTTGTGCCAACGCTTTGCTTTTGGTAGGAAGAGACATGATCTGAAGTCCGTGCGGCAGTCGGGCCGAGGGTGATTTGCCCTGTCTTTTGTCTTTTGCACACTCACCTTTCTCACCCCAGGTCGTGCGATCACTGTGCGGGTTGCTTGGAGTTTCCAGTTCTATGAAAATTCAGTGGCTCGTAGCACCTCCAAGAAGCTTCTCTAGCCGAACTTGCCTATGCTGCGAGACAGGTCGGGAATGTCAACCCGGTCGTGCCGTCTGGTCGTACGGGTCAAGGCTAAAGGATGGCTGGATAGGAGCATGGATTGGCAGGATCTCCGCAGAGGACAGAGAACACAAGGCAGCAAACATTCCTCCCTCGGAAGACTGCAAGATGCCCAAGATGGCACCAAAAGACCCTCCTCCCTGCCTCGGTAGGGACAATAAATAATAAGAATGATAATAATTAGAATTCAAGTAACCCAATAAGGGAGACGCCAAGAGGCATATGAATGGGCTTTCACTCAGCGGTTCCAATCAAAGGTGCGTTTGGATGCCGAGCAAGGCTGATGACAACTTACAATGCAAAGCATTGCACTGCCCAAATCAGCCTCGTGCAGCGCAGCTGATTGTGAAGCCACGTCTACACTTCATCCTGGTCGCTCATGTTGATGCGGGGTTGGAAATGAGGCTCTGCTGTGGAAGAGAAGAAGGAGAACTTAAATGGAATTGTTTCTCCTGCAAAAATTGTGTTGACTGTTGACCATAGATCTCTCATCAACTCCATACTTCAAGAAGATTGTATTGAATCCCATTATGAGTCGAGAACAGATCATTCAAAGCCACGATCCTCGCACGGATGCCCTTAACTTTGTAACCAAGGGTGGTCGATATTCTCTCAGGGTGGAAGAGTTCATCGAGGCCGGCAGACCAGATGGTAGCGAGTCGCACGGCGCCCCTGCGACGCGCTATATCACGTCCAATGTACGGATTGCTTATGTGTGAGATCCCATATATTCGCATTCTGATCACTCGTTTCCAGGGACAAGTAGTGAACGCGCCTGCCATCAAGGGCATCTCGGGCCACGTTATCGGCACGGGGCAGTCGTTTACTATTCGCGACGACTACGACTTTGACAACACCACTGTTACCGGGAAGGGGTACCATGTGAATGCACAGCTGGGCAAGACGACGGTAGCCTTCACCTCGGGCCAGAATAGCCCCCAGGCATATTATGATCGGACGAATATGGCTGGAGAGAGGTTGTATTACGATGGGATGCAGGCTGCTGCTTCATGGTATACGCAGGGTCGTTCGCGCTGAATCGTTCGCATGAGAAATTGGTATTATGTATATGCTCTATATACGTAGGAAATAATGTGCCGACTGTACTCTGTAGCCCACATCCAGTTCTACAGTAATTTCCGAACACCGCCAGCTCTCATAGTACGGAGTATTGCTCACACTTGAAAGTATCAAGACACCATCTGAATCCTTCTGATACTCGCAAACGACGATCACCGATCGCACCAAACCGGTCTCGATTGCACGAACATGAAGCACAGCCAAATCCAAAGGAAATGAATCTCGCAAAAACAAGACCTATCATTGGACTCGGAGTGTCCACTTTTCACTTTTCAGTGGAGGGGTTGAGATCGGGGGCAGCCCCAGTCTCGCAGCTCTCCGTGAGTGGATCTAGAAGACCGGTGTTTGGACTGAATTTGCGAGTTGGATCTTTTCGACTGAATCGTAAATCGTAAATCGTAATTGTAAATTGTAAACGGCGGACCTGTGAATTATTATATGGGGTTGGTTTTACCGTTAAAGTTGAGCGCCCCAATACGCCATAACGTAACCTCCCTTCAATGCTCCCGAAATAAAAGATCCGTCTTCGCTGCTCGTCCTCCCCCTCTCTCACTTTTCCATTTTCCCTACCTCTATCTAGCACTCATAGCTGCGCCCTGGCAGTTTCGCCCGCCCAATCGGACAAGCCGGTTGTCCCACCCGCACCTTGCGCCTTCTTGTTTTCCGTCGCAAACTGCGGCTGACCCCTTGTCGCCCCCCCTGGAGCTCTTGGGATCTGCATAATTTAGCTAAACTACACAAGTGATGCCCGTCCTGGTGCCGCGCCCCGCTTCTTTCCGTCTATACTTTATCGTGATACCTGATACGTTCTGTCGTGGCTTTGTTGCCTAGTGACTTCAGGTGCTACGCCCAGACCGTCCAATAGCAATGTATCCTCTTCGATGATCATCTCAGCCTCGTTTTTGAATCCTGCGGTCTAGAACCAACAGCCACAGCCGATCAGCACCCTCGAGCTTCCGACCCCGAGAATCCTATTAAGACCCGTGAATAAGACACTCTCAAGTACTCAATTGGCTATACAGATCTAACCCTAATGCGTGAGTACACTGTAGTGCGTATCATTATGACAGAACAATACCAACAAAACAGGTGCTCAAACATGAACCACCTGGGAACTCCGTGACACAGCGATTCTTCTTCGAATCCTCTTTCAAACCACGCTATGCCTGTTGCGCTTACTCCGTACTCTCCTCCTGCTAACTAGAATGAAATTATCCACACGTAAAAATAAAGTAATTCTAACAATCAACTCGTTCATTCCACTTTAAGCCATTCTCCGGCGTGGACAGACCGAACAGCGTGGCTGATTACAGACTGGGCAAAAATGGACATTATTGAGGTAGAACCAGCCTGAGTAACAGATACACTAGAGATTTTAATAGAAGTGAGTATCAATATAAAGAGATTTCGATGCAGGAATTTCTTTAACATACACATTGCCAGTATGGATTAGCCGGCACTGGAACTTGGATTAGGGGCGCCGTTAGGTCGTCCATATAACCAGACTGGTTGCCAGAAGCGGCGTCATTGAAATCCTGTGGGGAGTCACTTCTGGCCTCCAATGATGGACTTTCCTGACAGCGTTCCAGCATTTCAGGTATTTGATCCGACGGCAGTAGCAGGTGAAGTGTTAGAGGAGATTTGTGTTGTAGAACTGACTATACACGACTTTGCCCACCATATTATGATTCTGAAATGGTAGTGAGGTCTCAGATATGGGGTATGTAGTAGTGAGATCGGGAGTCAAAAGAACGGAATGTTGGACCAACCGATTAGAAGTGATTTAAAGACTTAATCTGGATTATAGCCAGCCTTGTCAGTCTAATCTACTACGCTTGGCTCTGCCACGTCATGCTTCAATCTGTGTACCTTCTTAACTGAGTGTTGCACGTACTAGAGCAACTAGCCTTGTATCATGTGCTCTCTTGTGTGCGTTTACCTGCCTAATTACATGCGGCGAGCGACAATGTTGCGTGAGCTAGGCGCGTTCGCATGTTGCTATACATATTATCCTTGGCTCCTGGGAGTCATTGCGCGGGGCCAGGGGGCCTCAGCGGCATGAGGCGCCACACTTTGCCTGGGTAAAGTAGAAAATTCGCGCAGAGTAATCAGCAGCTGGCCAATCGTACGCGAACACATCCATGGCTTGGCCTCACTATACAATAACTGTGATTGCCTAGAGTAGCCTCGTACAGCTGAAATCAGTGCGCGTGGGACGTTGACGAGTCTTTGACGAGAGGATAATGGGGTAGCGATCATAGATAAATTTTTATATATCTGCCAGTGACGCCTTTCTTAGGTACCTAGCTGACAATATATCTAGGATTCTTAACCCTCGCTTGTTCTCACTTCACGGATCAGCCAGATTATACTCTAGGTATCTCTGTGCTCTTTATCTAACCTTTTTCTATCCAAACATTCCTCGGCCTACTACAACATGGGCAGCTCAAGCTCAAAGCCCGAGAAGAGAAGAACCAACCCCTGTGGACAGCAGGGTTGCCCCAGGTCTAGATCGCAAGTATACTTTGGTGGAATACTGACGAAAGATTCGAATTTCTGCTTGCAGCGTACGTGTTATATCTTGAACAAGCCCACAGACTGCCCAGTCAAGGAACTTTTCAATGCTCCTATGAACAGATCAATGTTGAGCGAGTTCCGGGCTGTGTCTTCCACACAGTCAGTCGTACTAATCTGCGTTACTGTCTAGATACTTGTGAAAATCCACATTGCGCGAACTATAAGGTGGCCCACCAGGACCAATGTTCAACCTGTACAAAAAGCCGTAAGTTGAGCGCTGCTGATGGCATCTATATCACACCTATACCTACCTTTCTCTTCCTCGGGTATAATGACCGACTTTTTGACGCGTGAATCTATTAACGTTACTTCAGAGGAGGAATACTACCGAAGTGGACGTGTTTCGTGAATCTGGGAGAATTATTACCGGCATACTCAGTATGCATGAAAAGTCAGGATACTTATTCCATAGCGACAGGATCATATTCATATCATTTCTACCCAGAAGAAGATAATAAACAGTCATAATCAACTACGCAACCGAGTAATCATAATCAAAATATTGTGCCGAGCTAATCGGTTCAAGCTTGCAACAAGATCCAACCTTGTTCGGTCGCCGGGGGGTGGGAAACGAAACCAGAACTTCCTGGCCAAACGAGCAAAAACAAAACGCATCTCCATTAGGGCTAGACTTTTGTCTATGTTGGAGTATGACCCCATTGAAAATGGGTTGACAGCATGCTTGTCATAGACTCCGGTAGGCTTGATCCATCGTTCAGGTATGAATTCCTCATGATGGCTGCAAAGTCGGGCGATATTTCAATGTGGAGCGGCGAAAGTCGATAATCAATGCCCGTCCAAGCTCTTGGTTTCAGAGAACATTGCTACGCCGCAAATATTCGTGAATGATTCCTAAGGCTTTGACTGGGTACGTACGTAATGATGGATCACAAATGACGTTACGACAAAGAAACTATATGCTCGTGGTTAAGTGATTCGAAGCACATCGGCTATCCAATCGTGCTACTTTTTGCGATCCCTTCTAATGATTAGTCAGTTAAGTGAACCATTTTGAAGAAATAATGATCACTAGACTCGGCACCTAGCGCCGTACATGATTTTATCCATTGAGCAGCAAATAATAAGGTGTAACCTTGAACAACGAGGTAGAAAAGACATCGTTGGGCAATATTCTGTGCACAGAGCAATAATGAACAAATGAACTCTTCACTGATATAATCAACCTTGACCCACCATCCTGGGTGTCCGGTAAGTACACTTAGTCCAGTGGTCCACACCGACCACTGAAGGCTCAATCATAGAGAAGCTTGAGTTTTTTCCTACCCGGAGTGGGTGCGGGTCGAATGACCTGCGAGCATCCTCCACTTTCTTTCCTTTTCTTCCGTTTTGAGGGCCATAGAGTCGCCATTATTTCTCACATTTGGGAGGCATGTCATCTCCGCAATGGGACATACTTGGGACCCACAGCACTGCGGCTAATTCCGATTAGGGAGATGAAAATGAAGATCACTGTGGAGTAAGTCATCACATCGCCGGGAATTCTTCTGCTAATAACCCGATCCTCTCTTTAAGTCTGACCGGGAATTATTGCTACAGCAGTACCCATGAGGTTGGAACCTCTGGCTGGGAGACTGTAGGAATGTGCGGCGCAAAGTTCATGTATACACCAGGTCTGAGCAGGTCAACTATTGGGGTGACCAAATACAGTAACAAGGCAAAGGTCTAAATAAAACTTCGCTCATCAATTGATTCTTAGCCTAAATATGATGAGAACCTCCCACTCCCCACGCCAAACAGATGAATATGCTGCCGCAAAAATCGAAAAGAGATCAGAAAACAAAACAGTAGCGCGATGTCGAGGGAGAAGAGAAAAGTCTCTAGAACTGGAAAAAGAAAGCAAAAGGCAAGGTCATGTCGTCATCAAAGGGGCAATTTGCAATAAGCAGAAACGATCCATGCGCTGACGAAACGCCGTAACCATAACCGGCTCCCCAAGTCGCTTTGTCGAAACACCATGAGCGCCACCGCTGGACCTGATGAAAGTGGACGAAGGTGCGCCTGATGAAGAAAAACCTCCCGTGCAGAGGATGAGACAAGTGCAGGAAAACAAGAGACGGAAAAAGAAAAAGCCAAAAAAGAAAAGAAACAGGCGAAAATCAAGTCGGAAACCAGAATAGGGGAAGTTAAGCCTCGCTCGGATGAAAGGGGTTGAATGATCCCAAAGTTCTGCAAAGAAAAATGGTTTGTTCTGAACCGAGGAGAAAGATGCGATGGATGATGACGCTGCTAATGTCAATGCAGAAGATGCTTGGCCGAAATCCCTTGATGCCGTATCATGCAGCCGTTGCGCCACCCCGAGGAGTAACATCGAAGACCGAAACTCCAGGTCGAATGCAGTGAGTGTGAGATGCGAAACAAATATAGAAACCATAACGACGTAGTCAGGAACGATTAGCGGATGGTGCCCCATTCCGTCAATTTGCTGCCTTCTCGCCGCGACTCCCGTGTAACGCGCCTGTCATGAATCTTCCAGAAACGAAGTGTCTCGTCGCCGGCACCTGTAACGACGGTTTGACCGTCGGGACTCATGGCAAGGTACAGAACACGGAATGTGTGACCAGTCAAAGAGACAACCTGCTCCATACGCGGGTACTTCCAGACGACGATTTGGTTTTGGCTGTAGCCGTGGGTGCTGATGATCTCATCGGAGTTCTTAGACCAGGAGAGGTTGCAGACTTGACTACCCGTATCCACCTCCTTGATCATGGAGCCGGTGGAGGTGTTCCAAAATTTGATCGTGCGGTCTGCGGTACCACCGCCAGACGCGAGCAGGTGGTGTTGGTGGGGGGACCAGGCAATGGCTTTGACGGCCGCACAATGATCGGAGAAGCGGTAGAGGGGAGTTTCGTTCAGCTTGTCCCACACCATCAATTTGTTATCGTTGCCACCAGAGGCCAACTGGCCATCTTCTGTATTCCACTTCAACCCGCAGACTTCCTGTTTGTGGCCCGATAATCGGCGGAGGTACTGGTCTGGAGAGCGAACATCTCGGTGATAAATGAGACGGTCTCGTGAACCGGATGTGAGGATGTGATCATTCCAGGCCAAAGCGCCAACACGGTTGGTGTGGCCAATCATTGTCCGCAGTCGTCGACAATGCTCTGCATCCCAAATCTGTACTAAACCCTTGCCCGTACCGATGGCAAGATGTGTACCTCTCTGGATCCAGCTCACACTGGTGACAGTATCATCTTTCAGCTCACAAAGCTTGGTCACTCGGCTAGACTGCGAATTCCACATGTAGACCGAGTTAGCCAACCCAACGCCCAGCACATTGCTGCTGCCCCAGTCGACCAAGTTGAGATAGAAATCATCCTGCAGGTCGGGAGCATCGAGGACCTTGAAAGGGACCTTGTTGATATAGCGGGGTTGTTTGCGCGGGGTTTCAAGGATACGCTGACTGTCATATCGAATGGGGGAGAGACTATAAAGTTCCGAGCGGGCGTTCAGGTTTGGTGCATGAGCACTTCTGGGAGTTTTGGAGGGGGTCGGTTGGCCAGATCCTGGCCGAGTCGGACCGTAGTTGAAGAGATTCTTGTGCGGGGTCGACGGTGTAATGCTAGCTGATGGGAGGTTGGCGACAACATGCGCGGGAGGTGTATGAGATCGGGTCTTGTCATTGATGCCATTGCTGAAGCCCATCAATGGGTCGGGTGAGGCGGAGGTGAGATCGGGCTGAGGGACGGTGTTTCCGAAGAGTTCACTGCGCAGGACACGAGAGAATGTCCGATTTGCTTCTTCCGCTGTAAACTCAGAGGTCAATGGGCATTTTCACGTAATGGGATATGAAACGGGAGGACGAACTCTTCTGGAAATGCAATTCAGAGTGCGGGGCGCGTCGCTTGGACTTGGATGGAGTGGACGGACATCCATCCTCATGGAGTAGGCTGTAGGTCGCCTGCAAATCCTGACCATCGCGGTTCGGGATAAATCTTTGATTGAAGTCAGTCGCATGCTCGTCAAGTCTGCGATTTACACGCTTCCAGCAATTTTCGCATTGGCTTTGAGTAGCTTACCGATCGCCATAAACACGTTGCCGTTTTCGGCAAGGACTGGTTCCTGGAGTCCTCTCACGTCGGCGCCCTGCCTCATCCATATCCTTCAGCGCCTTCTCCAGAGCCTTTGCATCCACCGGCTGTGATCCTTCGGGCGCTATTCTCGGGCGGTTGCCCAGATTATCGGAATAGAAGAGGGTCTTCTTTGCGGGCATGCTTGGCGGGGTCTTGGATCCAGGAGGTGATACGATATTGACCGCGGCTTGCGCGCGGGATGTTCCCCTGGCTGCTCTTCCACTGCTCACACCTGCCTCTGCGTCCTGAGAGCGATCCCCCATGCTGGCGGCAGGTCCTCAGGCCCCAGAAGCCGATTGCGTGGTATCAACGAGTGGAAAAGGCGGTTCATGCGAGAGACGTCCGATTTGTAATGACCAGTGCAGGGGGACGGCTCAGACGGAGACTATGGATGGGATTTGGAAGAGACGGCGGCTGTCCTGGTAGACCTTGCGGGCTTGTGATGAGATGGGGAGTTCCAGCCACCGGGCGGCGCTTCGGCACAGTGATAGGCAGACAACCCACAGCTTTGAAAGCCTGGATGAGACACCACAATGTTTTAGCGAAACAAAGAGAATGGCATTTAACGAGCCAGTTGGCCGTGGAAGAGTGGACTGGAATGTCTACAAGGGAGGGTGTCGCTGTCTCTCTCTCGCATCCCTCTCGCAAGTCACGCGTCGGGTACGCTAGTCCCGTTCGGGCCGCAGCATCGCCTGCACTTCTAAACGGCGGGAGAATCTTCAAAACGAACTACGGTCTGTCGATTGTTCAAATGAACTGCTCCACTATTGCTCCGCTGCAATCACCCTTATGTGCCTGGGTCCATCTTAGTTTGGTCGGGGAGCTGTCATTGTTCGCCGTTGTGGCGGCCACGGGGATCTATCCTAGGTGGTCTTTGTGATGATGGCCTCCCTCTCGTGCTGCCACTGCAGCCTTAGAGTTGTTTACATGTCCAGACGCGTTGGAGGCTGCCCCCCTCTATGGCCAACACAGTGGGATTGCTGTACGGCACCTGCAGAGGTCACAGTGGGGGTTGCGATGTGAGGGATCGGACGCGAACCCAGTCCCGGCGCGCGGCCACGCGCCTCGGACGCGCAGAGCTTGGGCCATTGGCCATCGGGCACGGCACTGAATGGCCCAGAGAACAAGCAGAGCAACACAGTCCCTGCCAATCAGTTCAGCCCGCGACCGGAGAATATGAACAATGCTCATGGTCCACTGGTAACGATTATGACAGGCTCACCTGAGGCGTTAGTCACATACTGTACTCCGTAAAGACATCATGGGTTGGTTGTTTCACGAATTAAATGACCCAAACGAACGATATAATTATTCCCTATCCTAGCTCGTACTTCTAAGTGCTAGTAAGTAAGCCGTGCAAGTAGTCGTGCTTGGATAATTCCCTGGTCGCAGTATGTCATACCGTGTCAACACACTGCCTCACCGTCCAGCGGCACTCCCAAGTCACCGCCAACCGAAAACCCTGCCACTCTAACATCTCCGCTCGGAGTTGACTATGCCTGCACCGCCCTCCAAACCTGCCTTCTCTTTGTCGTTCTTTGGCCGCTCTTTCTTTCACAGAGCTTATTATTCCACCTGCCCCTCCACCATGGCATCTAAGCAGCCTGCCAAGGACTTCCTGTCCTTTGTTAATGCCTCCCCTACTCGTATGGTTCCTCCCGATACCCCACCTCGAACTGTCTCTAATGGGGTCCAGCCTTCCATGCCGTTCAGTCTGCCAAGGACCTTCTGGCCAACGCCGGCTTCCAGGAAATCAAGGTACTTCCCCAGGGCTCCACACTTCTCAATGTGTTCGGCCTGTTCTAATACTCCCCCCATAGGAGAAAGATTCCTGGGCGAAGACTTGCAAGCCCGGTGGCAAGTATTTCTTGACCCGCAACACCACAACTCTGGTCGCTTTCGCCATTGGAAAGCAATGGCAGGTATGTATCAAAGCGCGATAGCTGTGGGGTAGTGTCGCTGATCACCATGCTAGCCCGGCAACTCCATCTCCATGATCGGTGCCCACACCGATTCCCCCGTCTTGCGGGTCAAGCCTGTGAGCAAGAAGAGTGGCGATGGCTTCCTTCAGGTCGGTGTTGAGACCTATGGAGGTGGCCTCTGGCACACCTGTATGTTCAACTCGCTACTATCTCACTGGATGGCCACTAATAGCCTCAGGGTTCGACCGCGACCTCGGCGTGGCGGGTCGCGTGATGACCCGTGCTAGCGATGGATCGATCGTGCAGAAGCTGGTCAAGGTCGACCGTCCCAGTATGGTTCCCCGATGTTTCTAGTTGGTAGATTCAGTCTAATGTCTCGCAGTTCTTCGCATTCCCACACTAGCCATCCACCTGGATCGCCAGGAAACCTTTGCCTTCAACAAGGAGACCCAGTTATTCCCGATTGCCGGCCTGGTGGCTGCCGAGCTCAACCGCACTGGTGAATCCAAGACATGCGATGCCGAGAAGGTGGATGACTTCTCTCCTCTCAAGGCCGTGACCGAGCGTCATCACTCCCACTTTGTAGAGCTTGTTGCGGCCGAGGCTGACGTCAAGCCGGAGGACATTCTGGACTTCGAACTGATTCTTTTCGACACCCAGAAGTCTTGCCTTGGTGGTATGCTCGAGGAGTTTATCTTTTCTCCCCGCCTGGACAATCTGAACAGCTCTTACTGTGCTACCGTTAGTCTGATCGATTCTGTCGCCGACAAGTCCTCGCTGGATAACGAGTCCGCCATCCGTCTCATTGCCCTCTTCGACCACGAGGAGATTGGCAGCCGCACCGCCCAGGGTGCGGACTCCAATGCTCTGCCCGCCATCATCCGCCGCCTGTCGGTGCTTCCGTCGTCTGCTTCCTCGGATATCGACCTGGCTACTGCCTATGAGCAGACCCTCTCCACCTCCTTCCTGGTCTCGGCCGACATGGCACACTCCGTCAACCCCAACTACTCTGCCAAGTACGAGCAGGATCACAAGCCCGAGATGAACAAGGGCCCCGTGATCAAGATCAACGCCAACGCTCGCTACGCCACCAACTCTCCCGGTATCGTCCTGCTCCAGGAGATTGCACGCAAGGCTTCAGCTGAGAGCGGCGAGCCCATTCCCCTGCAGCTGTTCGTTGTTCGCAATGATTCCAGCTGCGGTAGCACTATCGGGCCCATGCTGTCCGCTGCCCTAGGTGCCCGCACCCTGGATCTGGGTAACCCGCAGCTGAGCATGCACAGTATCCGTGAGACTGGCGGTACCTATGATGTTGCATATGCGATCCGCCTGTTCACTGGTTTCTTCCAGCACTACTCGGAGCTGTCGAAGACTATCTTTGTGGACTAAATTTTTATAGTACAAGCGTAACATCAAGAAATCAGTCTAGAGCAATAGCATTATCATCACGTTGCGACAATCCATCCCGTTGTCGCGCAAGTAAATTTGTCCCCACTCTCATACAGAGCTGTCAGCCACTATCGGCACGTGTTCGGCCTGACCCAAAGCCGCTCACCTCAACTCCACAGCTCCTTATCAGACATATCCCCCGACTGCGTGGACGCTCGATTGCCGAACCTCGTCCATGCCCCCATGATCCTCTATGACCGACGTCGATGCCTTTAGGGATGCGGAGCACATCGCTGACGTCTCTGGCATTGCCTTCGACGATGTGGAACCGGGGCCACCCGCGCCGGCGGCGACCAGCAGCAGCAACCGTAACCAGGATAACCCCCGCGTGAAGAAGCTCAAGTCAGCCGCGAAGGTCGCGTTTATCGATCGGTTACTTCGTGATCTTGATATTTTGATATACTGTGAACTATCGGCGGTGTATTATATGGAGTGAGTTCGACTTGATGGCCCCGAACAGGAAAGCTCCTCACCCTCGTCTTACTTCCGGGGAAGCTCCTCCACAGCATACTGAGCTGAGCTGACATTGTCACTTTCTTTAGCTGCTCTATCATTCTTTTTGCCATTCGCGCCGTTATTCAACTAATATTTTTCACGCCTAAAGCGCCACCTTTCGACCCGACTCGTAACCAACCCTTCGTCGGCGCCATTATTGCCAGCAACCTATTCTGCATGGTCTGCCATGCCTTTTTCGTCCGCCCCGAAGCTGGCGAGTCCACGCGGGGATATCTGCATGGTGGTCTATTCATCGATTTCATTGGACAGACACCAGTGCCCGTGTTTCGACTGCTGGCCTTCGACGTACTGATTCTCCTAGTCGATTTCGTTATGCTGGGATTAATTATTGAGCGGGTGAAGATGGTGGGATCCAAGGGGGTGGCTGCCTTGCTTGCGAATAGCAGTGGTGCCACGAACACGAATGCAGAAGCAAATACGGAGCAGTCGGGACAGCAACAAGATCATGATGCAGAGGAACGTGGCGTGCGGAGTAATGAGGACACGGACGATATCAACGATTCTGCGCTGGAGAACACCACTGCGGATACGGTCCCCGTGCCGGAGATTGATGATGATGTACATGATGAACGAACGACACTGTTAGCGGACCCGGGCGAGGGCAGTACAGAGCCAGTACTGAGAGACGGCCATCCGTTGGATTCATTTTCCACGGGTCAAGCAGTGATTATGGATATGGGCTTCTTCGCTACAATACGTGATCAATGGCAGTACTCGACCACGCCGATTAGACGGGGAGGAGAGCACTATGCGCCCTCACCACAGGCGGCCACTTTCCTTCGGGAGCGATTGGGGCTACAAGTTGGGGTTGATGGCCGCCTTGTACGCATAGCACAATAACATCATGAACATGCATTACTGGTTTCCTCGGGGAAATGTATATTACGTTCCTCGATATACACTCTGAAAGAACCGGATTTGCTCTTGCTGATTGCCAAAATTCATGCCCTACGGGTCTCTATATCCTCGAATGCAAACCTAGTAATAGAGAAAAGTGGTGTTATATGTAGCAACAAGGCTGATCATGGTAATAGTACAACAGAAAACAATAAGGCTTCACAAAAGTCCCGAAAGAAGCATAAACCACGCCCATATAAGCCCTTCCTCAGCTACCAACCTCTTGATCCAACATCTGGACTGGACTGTCCGCTAAATAGCGGGAGGCTTGCCCTCGCCCTCGCCGCCCTGCGCCTGGCTCTGCACCCTCCGATCCAAAATTTCATCCACAATGCCCAGCTCCAACGCCTCCTTCGCCCCCATGAAATAATCCCGTTCCATCAGCTTCTCAATCTCATCCAGCGACAGCTGATTCTTGCCAGTCAGGTGACGCTGATAGATCTGATTAAGTTGTGTGCGGACGCGCAGGATCTCCTTCGCATGGATCGCGATATCACTCGCCTGGCCAAAGTATCCTCCCGACGGCTGGTGCACCATGATCGAGCTATGCGGGAGGCAGTACCGTTTGCCGGGTTGACCGCCACATAGAAGGAGCGAGCCCATGGAGGCGGCTTGGCCAACACAGATTGTGCTTACTGGGGAGGCGATATAGGTCATTGTGTCGTAGATTGCAAGGCCTGCGAGGGCAGAGAGGACTATTAGTTGCTGGAAGGTGAGAAGTGGTTGGGGGTGATTCAGGCATACCTGCTGTGACTGAGCCACCGGGAGAGTTGATGTACAGGTGAATCGGCTTCTTGGGGTTGTCTGCTTCGAGAAAGAGGAGCTGGGCGACGATGGAGGCGGACAGGGTCTCGTCGACTTCGCCATTGAGGCAGATGATGCGCTCCTATTGAGGGTTGCATGTGAGCGGGCGCTTCAAGGGGGATCTATGTAGGTGACATTATGTGTACCTTGAGGAGCCGCGAAAAGATGTCGTCTGAATTGAGCAGCAAGAGAAGCGAGTTAGCTAAGATCATGTGTTTTGGATCAATTGCGCAACGTACAGGTGTGCCAACCACCTCCCTGTGTCTTATATCAGCATTGAAGTCATCAATGATACAATAGGATATAAAAATGGAAACCTACCACCGTCTCCGTCACAAAAGGCGTGGGCGTCCAACCGCGCGGGGCGGCGCGGTCAAGCGAAGGTCCGGAGCTCGAAAAGGGCCGCAAGACAGCAGCAGGCCGCACAAGTGGAATGGCGCAGCGAGGGACCGACCGTACCAGTCGCTGAAGGTTCAAGTTGGATCGCATCTTCAATGAGGGCTGCGCGTGACCAGCACTTCCAACCAGAGTCTTTCGTCGGAGTCGGTGACAAACGAAGGAGAGCCGGCCGCGAAAGGCGGAGCAATCGATAAAGCTGATAAGGCTATCGCGCTAAGATACGAAGAGCCACGGCCGAAAAACCGCGACATTCTCCCTCTTTGTCTGCATTGCTCGGACCTCTGCAAAACATGGGGTGCGCGAAGCAGCAAGTCTCATATGCAACATGGCGCCTCCAGATATTCTGGCGGTTACTAGGCCCCTCACACCCGGCACCATCTCGCCGGGGGTTTTGGACCTCGCATGCACAACATGATCAGCCTCACGATGAAGCTCCCTCACACGCAGTCACAAATTCCCTTCCTCCCTCAAAGCGTCTACCGCAATCGCCATTGATCACATATTCCCGCTCCGTGCCAGTCAAGCGACGCAAGAAGCTCCCAACTGCAGAAGATGTGTCTGAGTTGAAGAAAAACCCATGGGCAGCTGCGCTCGCGTCGCCAGTGCGCATGTGCTCTGTATCTGGCGCACGCCTACCGCGTGACCTCCTTGGAGAATGGGGTCTTGTCCGAAGGCCAAATACGGACAACAGCTACTTGCTACCAGTGGACTTGTTGAAAGACTCGCTCCAAACACGGCAAGTAGCAGAAACCACAAGCCAGGACAAGGCCACACCCCTAGATCCAGCTGATCTGGACCCAGCTATAGCAGCTCCCGACACACCACTTACGGCAAATTCAATACGCAATGAAAAGCTGGGAAACCAGCTTCTTCTTCGAATGATAAATTCGTTCCCGCTGCTCAAGGGACTTTCCAAACCGTTGTCTAAGAATACTGGGAAAAAACCGGCAATCTCTAGAATTCTGCCCTTCCGCTGGAAACATCCTCTAGGGCCTATCACCTCGCGCGTTGAGAAGCAATTAGTTTGGAGGCAGGACATGGCGGAGTATGTTCTGCAACTGAGACAGAGCGATGTTGTCAAGAAGCTGGAAGAGGCTCGCCGAAGGTACAAAAGACTGGATATTCCTAATAGAGTCTGGAGTGTTCTTGACGTCCAGGAATGCTCCGAAACTACACTCATAAACGCATTGGGACAGTTGGGGCCTCTTGACCGAATGGCCTGCGGGGCGGTACTTCTTACTTCGCCTGGTTGTGGTGGAGCATGCCCAGAGACTGTGTTGAACCCGTCAACTCAGAGCCAAATCCCGGTGTTTGACCTGTCAGCGCTTCTATCACCCTCAGAATTGGCGAAGCTGTGTGATGCAGAAGCCCCGCATTTCCAAAGCCCTGCTCTGTTTTTTAGGCCAGATGATCGCATAGGAGTTGAAGCGATGCTGTCTCTATGGAAGTTGCAGCGATTTATCGCAGAAACACCTCACTAAAGGCCGGAAATCATTAATGTGCATTTAATTGGTTTGATTAGAAGACCCAGTCTCTGTATATAGTGCTAGAAGTAGAGAGATGTATATACCCATTCAAGCTTGATTCTTCTACCTAGAAGAGGAAAGAGTATCTGTGAGGTACGTAAATACACACTTGCAGGTACGTTCAATGATTTTGGGCGCTGGCCTCTTTTATTAGTTGAGCTTGGGTCGCGATTCAGCAGAAAATTTCTCAGGATCTTCAGCAAAGGAGCGGGCCGAATCAGCGAAATCCCATTGAATACAACCCTTGGAAAGACATGATCCCTTAGGCCAACAAAATACCATAACTACAATGTCTGTGCTTTGTAGGTGTTGGAATACAGAGAGGGATACATCCAGTTGCCAAATATATGGTCAAAGCACGATATTCTTCATGTCCGATATTATGCCATGCTGAGGCGGTTCGGGCTGCGTCGGCCAAAGTATATATTAGACAGCGAATAGATCTGAGGCTATCCAACAGCCTTTACCGCCGATGGACTCCCTGATGGGTTTACTTAAAATAGAAGAAAATCATGCTAGTGATCTCTATCCCCACAGGAGGCCGCGGCAAACCGACTATGTGGAATCATTCCACATTAAATGATTCCACATCAAATGATTCCACACCCGGAAGCGTCAGCCCCCGCACGCACCTCTAGAGAGGGACGCGACAAATATTATAAAAGGGAAAAACCTATCCCGACTATTTGGTCTTGGATAAGGGAACGAAAGATCACGAATTTCCCTGTTTTAAATCGTCAAATTCTTATTTAGCACGTTTCCAGCGAAGTCGCCAAGTTTTTACGCACGCTCCGACTATGGAGTCCTATTCCTTCCAAACCTGTTCCGAATCAGTGATACATTCCCATATCACTCGTCCAATCCAGACAAATTCTAAGCCTCTTCTGGTTTTTCTACATTACTGGGGTGGCAGTTCACGGACATGGTACAAACTCACAGAATTTGACTCGTCGACTTCATTGAGTGCGCTCTACCCAACAGTCGCGATTGATCTGCGAGGCTGGGGCCAATCCACCGGACCAGCAAATGACATTGACAACGCCTATTCCATATCTACCATGGCTACCGATGTCGCGACTCTTCTGATGTCTCTCAGAGAAGATAGCGATAAAAGTGACCTCCTTGACTATGGTTTTATTCTCGTGGGCCATTCGATGGGCGCAAAGGTTGCCCTCGCAGCGCTGGGCGTCCTAGCGAATGATCTACAGCAGTTACTCAAGGGATTGGTTCTCGTGGGACCTGCCCCCCCGTCTTCGCTGCATCTCCCTCCTGAGATAGAAGCGCAGGGCGCGTATGAGTCGGAGGCAAGCATCCGCTGGACGGTCGATAACGTGCTTGCGAACCCTGAGAAGCTCTCTGAATTCGATGTCAACTTGGTGGTCCGCCACAGTCTTGCGGGTAATCAGTTTGCGAAGAAGGCGTGGCCTTCATACGGCATGCAGGAGGACATTTCGCAGGTTTCGAGGAAAGCACTGGCTTCTCAGAATAGTCTACGAGCAAGCATCCTCGTGGGGGAGATTGATGTTGTCGAACCCAAAGAGAGGGTCGAGGCAGAGGTTGTCAACTTCCTCCGTCAAAATGGAGTGGAGGCTTCCTTGACCATTGTGCAGGGTGTCAAGCACCTGATACCTCTTGAAGACCCTCAGTCGATCTACAAGGAGGTCTGTCGCTTCTGATTAAGCTACGTTTGTATGGGCTCTACACCATTTTTCGACCCATCCACCCATTTTAATACCCCAATGAAGTCTTCGTATAGAGAACGTGTTGCATTCTGTCATTCATTCAATATGTGCCACCTGGGTCTTCTTTCCCTCTTGCTCCTGATGACCCTGATCTTGATCAACCTCCTTACCCAGGAATTGTTGTTGCCCAATCTCGGCCAGGCTCACACCTTCGGCTCTCAGTCGTTCTAGACGGATTGCGGCCTCCGCTTCTTCGTTTCTCTCTTCCTGTGACATTTCCGGACCCCAGAAAAGGAAGAAAAGATTAAAAGCCCAGACAGCACCCATGAATATAGCAATCACCTTCCCATAATCAAATTTCTTTTTTCCATTGACTCCGGGTGGTAACGGATACCGCTCTCCTATAATGGATTGAATTGTAGCAGACGCAGAAGATCCAAGGTTACCGAGTTGGTAGGTCAGTCCGACCATCAGCGAGCGAAGTGCGATGGGTGATAATTCGAGTAGGTGGATGGGCATCGGACCCCAAACACCACCAACAAAAAACTGTTCAAAAAATGCGCTAGCAACAAGCGACATGCTCCGCACCATCGTATAGGCTGGGATCAGAGCACCTCCCAAGACGCATGCCACAAGCATAGTCAGACGTCGTCCGAAGAACGTGCTGATATAGCCAATTGTGCAGCCGCCAACTAAAGCACCTATCTGGCCCACAACTGTGATGATGGTGGTATCGGTCGCATCCATTCCAACTTGGTCTTTGAGGAAGGTCGGGTAAAAGTCTTGACTGCCGTGAGAACAGGAGTTAAACCCCGTCATAAGAACAACCAAGTAAACGAACAAAACCCAATTATCCCGGAAAGCGCGTCCAGCATCGCGAAGGAAAATCCGTAGTCCCATCGTCTGTGCATGGCCGTCGCCTGTTGCATTGGCACGTGCCTCGCGCTCTGCTTTCATTACTTGAAAATGATTTGTCTCGGGCAATGACCATCGGAAGAGAATGATCAGGATTGGTGGTCCTGCTCCAAACCAGAACAGACTTCTCCAACCATGGGATGTCGTTGGCACAAGGGCGCGATAGAAAGCTGCTGCAAGAAGATACCCTGTTGCATATCCCATTTCAAATAGTCCGGATAGTAAACCCCGGGCTTCATAAGGAAGGTCCTCCAAAGCTGTGGCAGCTGCTGGACCAAACAACCCTAAGGTACCATCGTTAGTGTGATTCAAACTCCTGGGTTGATCAGCGTGAGCTCACCTCCCATTGCAATCCCATATAAGGACCTAACACCCAAGAACTGGGGGAGAGTATTGCAGAATCCGGAACATAATTCAAGAACGATGAACAGGAAGAGGTTGACAATCATGGGCCACTTACGCCCGTACCGATCCGCAAGTATACCGAAAATGATTGCGCCGACCGATCGAAGCATAAGCGTAACGGTCATACCCTAACAAAGATTAGAATTGAAATGATGAAGAGGGCCTTTTCCCATTTATATACTAACCCACGATACATCGGAGTAAGAGACATCGAAGGCTTCGGAGAGTTCAGTGATTGTCATCGATACGGTGAAGAAATCGAAGGAATCCCAAGTCCACCCCAGAAAACCGGCAGCAAACATGAGCCATTGGTGTGATGTCAGTTCCCGAAGGATCTCGTATGGATTTCTCAATTTGTTCTGAAAATCAAAGTTATTAATTGTGCATTCTTTGAGCCTTGGAAGACCATACCCGAGGAGGTCTGAGACTTGACACTCGCGTGGCAAAGTACCGCACAATCTGGCTAGGGGAATAAAACCACCCAGCTTGCATATGATTTCTCATGTCGATTTATTTCCTGGGATGCCCACCTTGCTGTCTGGTTGAAACGGGAGCTCAGGGAGTCGGCACCTTTATACCTCCCCAATGCCGGGGCCCTGCGTCCATCTCTCGGCCGGATCTTAGTGAATTGGGACTACATATTCCCTCTCTGGTATGAATGACACGTAAGAGTCCCAAAATACCCCTCTCAAGCTTCTCTGACCAAACTAGATTCAAGGAAGCGTTTCTTCCCCGCTCAAGGGGAACGTGCTTTCCGGCCCGGGGGGGAAGGTGGTTAAGCTAGCTAAGCCTAATGCTGAAGAACTAGGAATTAAGATGCGTCAGAAGAGGGGACTTCCAATAAGAACAGCTCTATTAGAAAGAATTCTCCTTCTCAGAAGACAAGCAAATTCGACTAGTCTGGGCGAGGTTCAAAAGAGAATAGAATAATCTAAAGATAAAGGTTCAGGCAAAGGGGAAAGAGGAGTATTAAACAGAACTCGGCGTGAAACCTTGTGTAGGGTAGTCCAGACATTAGAATTAGTGCACTTAATATTGTACTATCAAAGAAAAATTATCTCCACAAAGTTTGCTGAATGACCGGGGTATGCAAGATTCCGAAGTGAGGGCCAAGACCTTCGCAACAGCCCTGCTATACAACTTCCCCGCATTACTCCGTCAGCCAAGACATATGGAGCGGCTAGTAGTCCGTCTTTGAGGTCAAATAACCAGCGAGGTGGGGGCACTTCGTATCAAAGCCGAAATATAGTTTCTTGTCCAGTCAGTGCCTCTACCCAGGCAGGATCGGTGGATCTCCGAGATACTTCTACTTCGCAATGCCGAAGCCATAATAATATTTATTAACCATTCACTACTGTTCATTTGTACATCTTAATACTAATTACTAGGTTAATTGTGGGTTGACTTTCATCCGATCTCTGTCTTCCAAAACAGAAATGGCACGTACTATCGAGTAAAACGGCCATGGATTGCACTAGTCACAACACTTAGCTTCGATTGGGTTTAGCCATGTATTTTGCTACGAAGGCCAGGCCAAAGTTCAAGGGCTCTCTTTGAGAGGTGGGGTTGTTGCTGATCTTCTAGCCCTTCCCCACCTTCCGGGGATATCAAGCGCTGTCCCATACTTTCTGAGGGGATGATCGCGGAGTAGCTTTTTCTGAATGAAGCAAACTGCCCAGCTTTGCTTTATCAAATGCTAATATATCTGGCGGTTGACATTCACACATACACCTCTGTAAAATTATGCGATTACTGTTGAGTGATGTCTTTCGATATGATGGATTTCGGCAAAACACCCGCGTGCTGCATCTACATTACCTCTCAATGGATTAAACTTTGAGATTATGGATCCTTTAATGCCAATGCAACCTGGCATGGGACTATGGAGAAAGAGGTTACTCAAATGGGGTCAATTCATTTCCCCTCAAAATGAGCATCGAGGGCTCCAGGCACAGACTGTAACCAAATTAATAATGTCGCAATCAGCCCCATGGGGCCTGGTATCTGTACTGTATAAACAATATGCTACTAACTCATTAATCATGACAAAGCCAAGAGACAGCCTCCTGTGAGGGTTGAGCCCCCTGTGCCTGAGGAAATCAAAATCAGCCAAGACCACGGAGTTCATGGCTGATGCTGGATATTCTCCGACAGTGTTTGTAGATTTTCATTTCAATGTACTAGTTACTCCATAGGTATAAACCTGGATTTGAATAAGTTTTATCCAGATTAGTGCCTTTTATGAGAAGAATATAGAACGCGACAGGTGCTGAGGATATGGCTCGTAAATTTACTGAGACCTAGCCACAGAATATCAGGGTATCATAATCATCCTCATTCTCACAATGATAAGAAAGTAAATACATAACGCCTCGATGTGTCAAATCCAGCCCAACGCCATCTATGCATTCAGTCAAACCGGCAATGTGTCGATTTTGCTTTTGACTTGATAGCAGCGGCAACATAGACAAACCACAGAATGGACCATATGCTTCAACCATAGAACCACTTTGATATTCTTTTGGGAAGTGGTCGATCACGCGCGCAAGATACCAGCAATGCGCAGAGCCAAGTCCAGTACGGACAGGTGCTCGTCCGCACCATCGACCAGCCGCTTATCCATCTCCGAGAAGACCATGACGATCTTATTCTTCTGGAGATCAGGGATAGCTTCGTTAAACACAATTCGCCGATACAACTGTCCCGTGACATTAGCGCAAGATCCAGTAATCAAGGGGGAAAAGCACAAACCTGGCCAACAAGCTGTGTTGCACTCCACCCATCTGCAACAAGATCCGTGACCACCCGTGAAACAGCTTCGTACGCCGAACCCGAGCCCTTCGGCTGCATAGCCTCGAGCAAGTTGTCCAAAATACCCTCCGGAACAACGCCCGCAATCTCCTCGATAGTACGGACTGAGATAGTGCCTTGACCCGAGCTCCCAGCATCCGTCATCTCAGCATCCTCATCGGCATCCTTCCCACCCACACGCACAGCACCCACTAACCGGGCCGCACTCTGCAGGTATGTAATGGCGCGGCGCAAATCACCCTCACCGCACCGGATAAGCGTCTCAATAGCACCATCATCGAGTTTCAGATTCTCTGCGCGCGCAATCTCCGCTACTCGTTCGCCTGCGGCGGCATTGTCCAAGCTCTTGAAGCGGAATTTGCTGCATCGACTCGCAAGCGGCTCGATAATGCGTGTCACATAGTTACATACCAGACAGAAGCGGGTGATGCGGGAGTACTGCTCCATCGTGCGGCGTAGCGCAGACTGCGCGTCCTGGGTCATGCTGTCCGCCTCGTCCAGAATGATGATCTTGAAGGGTGGGCAGGGGTATTGTGCGCGGTAAGCAGCGTCTAGGCCGGTTGGTTGGGAGAGCTGTGCACGAGCGAAGTTTTTAACTTTAACACGGACGATGTTGATGCCTCGCTCGTCGGAGGCGTTGAGTTCGAGGATGCGGGAGCGGTAGAGCGCGGGGCCGAAGAGGGATTTGGCGAGGGCGAGGATGGTGGAGGTTTTACCAGTGCCTGGAGGGCCGTAGAAGAGCATGTGAGGGAGCTAGAAGGTGCGATGTTAAAATTGACTGAGGCAGGGAGGAAACCGACAGTGATGGGTGAGTGCATGCATACGTTGGAAGCTTGCAAGGTGCGCTGTAGAACCTTTGTTGTGTGGTCTTGCGCAGCGACATCGTCAAGAGTTTTAGGACGACTGGTTCAAATTAGAGTCAAGCACTGTCAAGACGGATACTTAAGTGATACCCACTATTTCTCAACCCAGGGCTGCAGGCGGGTTGAATCGTCCTTGCTGTCGCTTGCTTTGGTCTTGGAGCTGCTTGAAGCAGCCGCCGCGGCACGGGCCTTGTTGTTGAAGAAACTAGAGGCCATAGTGATATCACACTCGAATTGAGCACGGCGGGGTCTTTTGAACTTCGACTGTGATCAGCTTGGGAAGTTTGGACCACAGTGAGAGCCCAGACGCCCGCCGCGATGGAAGGGACGCGTCTCCACGTGACGCGCGCGGCACTTAGCTGCGGTGGGCCAATCAAAAGAGACAATTATACTTCTTCAATGAGGGCCGTACCTTTGCGCGTATAGTCGGAGTCTGAAACTGACTATCTTGTTTATTGATTTCGAATTCCGGAAATGATATGATGCATGCTTGAATGTTTCATAACTGGCGTGGACTATCATTACACCTCCGAAATCTCCAAACATCCCAACAGCGGCTTCTCCGTCTCGAACATCCGCTTCTTCGGATTGCGAGGTCCCATCTTGTCTGTGCTTTTCCTCGGGCGAAATATCATCAATGTTCCTGCTCTGCTTCCCTTCGCCCTCAGCCATGCGCCCGATCTTATCAATGATGCCTTCTTGCGGTGTGAGAGCAAGGTGGTGCAGGGTGCGGCCGTATGACTTCTTCATATGTACTAGTTAATTTATCTAGATAGTAACGATTACGTAGGCCACAATTCATTTGCCAGGTGACCTTGATAAATGAGGTGCGGCCATGAAACTTTATACCTCCACGGCCTAATTTGGTCTAAGAGGTATTTAAGGCAACCCCCACCTCACCAATTTCGTCTTCTTCCATTTCCTTCTCCCATTCTTGTTCTTCAAGGATACTTTAGTGTCAGGATTTTCGGTGGACAGTGATGATAAAAACTTACACCCCACTAATGTATCACTAGCCTGCAAGGGTCATGGGCGAAACATAGACTGCGGGTAGTTTCTGAGTCCATAGGATCAAGCGTGAGATAGGCCCGTAGGCCACGCGTCTGAACAACTGAAAATGTATGAAGTCGGAAAGGATATGATTCATGTGTAGTAGTTGGGATGGATGAATGGAAGAAAGCAAAAATCGGACGAAAAGAGGGGGGTTTTGTTTTGTTTTCCTAACCCCTAAGTACCTATAGGAAGGTTCGATGCTCTAAATTTACCAAAAAAGGAAACTGGTACTATTAATCCTTCAATTCTGGCAATAGCGAGTCAATGAAAGATTAAAAAGGGCTCTCTCAATTCTAATCTATAATGAGAGGAGGCGGAAATGATACGATGTATGCTTAAATGTTTCATAACTGGCGTGGACGATCATTACAACTCCGAACTCTCCAAGCTATAGCTCATCCCGCACCGGCTCCTCCGCCTCGAACATCCGCTTCTTCGAATTGCGAGGAATCCCGTCTTGTCTTTGCTTCTCCTCGGGCGAAATATCATCAATGTTTGTCCCGCCCTGCTTCCCTTCGCCGTCAACCATGCGCCCGATCTTATCGATGATGCGATCTTGCTCAGCTTCTGTGGGCTTCTCGTTACCCCACGCAGCATCGCCGCTAGGAACAGTTCCACCCGTAACAGCAGTAGCGGTCTGCTGAATAGTCGCAGAGATTTCACTGGCGATTGAACTGGATGCAAGGTCATTTGACGGTTCCCTTGAAAGCCCAGCAGCACCCAAGACGGCGAAGGCAAATCTCAAGACAAATTTAAATGGAAGCCAGATTAGCCACCACATGGGGCCGTAGAGAACGCGGCGGAAGATGAGCCATGCAATAGTTCCAACGAGAATATAGAATGCAGTCTCGAGGTACCAAGTATCGGATTTTTGTGAGCGAAGAAGAGAATTGGCAAGGCTGCGAGAGTTGGCAAGGAGAGTGTCGAGGCTGCTATAGGATTCCGACAGAGAGGAGATGGCAGCTGTTGATTGTTCTGATCACAGGAATGTCAGTGGGTTGTGTAAATAATGTCGAAGACCTTGCTGGGTATTACTCACCGAGTGTCTCTTGAGCAAACTGGCTGCGGGATAGCTCAGCCTGCATCAGCTGGTGGGTCCGGCGCAGGGCAGCGGTCACATCATTTGAGGCATTCAACACCAAATCATCCTGTGTGAACTTCTCAGACGTCTTCTGCTTCTCAGCCGAAGATTGTGATCTTGAAAGCAACAGCTCGCGCTCCTTGCGCTTTGCGAGCTCGGCATTCCGCTTGGCTTGTAATTGGGCATTCCGAAAGTCTCCGCGAGTCCTGTACAGAATGTTAGCATTATAGAACCTCAAGTTATCCGGAGACTGCTCTTGCTAAGATAATCCCAGCTGCAAACCCTTCATAGCAAGAATGTAGAGAACACACCTCTTCAAATCATCCACCAACCGCCCCGCCATCACAGCCGCCCGCTCTTTCTCGGCCTCCTTCCCCTCAACATTGACAGAGGACTTCCTCCTATTATCCGAGCCAGTACCCAGTGCGTCAACCTCTCCGTGCAAGAGCTCCAGCTCTCCCTCGACATCTTTCAACTGAGAGTGTATCTCCGCCCCAAGCTCCAGGCGCGCTTCATCGCCTTGCCCAATAGAAGCGGTGAAATTGCGCAATCGATCGACAAGAGGCTGGATCTGGTGAAGTGTAGCGGACAGCTCCTTCAGGCGGGCCTGAAGAGCGGCCGCGGTGGACATGGTGGGCTGTAGACCGGGAGGGTTCAATAGACGCAGTGCATACAACGGCGGGTTGAGTCAATTTTCAGCGAGAAAGTTCGAATAACATAGCAAACAGCCCGGTAGGTTGTTCTTGCAGTTGAGCTGTTCCTGGCTCGAAGTTATTTTGGCGAAACGAGGTCTTGTTTGGACGCAAGTTAACAAGTTGGCGCGGGCGTCACTGCTCCCAGATGGACATGTTTGCATCTTCGGCAAACATTGGACATTCTCTCGCAGCCCGCCGCGGCGGAAACGTTTGTTCGGCCTGCCAATTGACCAATTTCGTCCGCAATTAGCCTCCCAAAACCAGAATACCTTCACTACGTCTGGATCCTTGCATTTTCTCAATTCCTTGAGGATACTTTGACCAACTGGTTGCCCGATCTCACCAAGCAACTTCGCCGCAAAAAAACTTCGGGGAGAAAGGCCCATCTGGAAGTCGACCAGGTACGCAAGCACCTCGAGCGAGAGCTCATGATTCTCTCAATCTCTCAAACACTAAAATGATCAACAGTAAAACCTTCAAGATCTCAATTTATTTACCCACCGCTGCCATCTCCAGCCGACCTCAATCCCCAACCGCAAACCCACTACCGCCAAAATGACCATCCCCATCAGCACAATCACCACTTTCCGCACAACCTTCAATCCCTTCTCGCACGCCTCCCGGCCCTGCCGCCTCTTCCTCTCGCTGCTGCGTACGCCAACCACGACACCGACCTCCAGCCCTACCCACATCGACATCAAAGTGAAGCAGCTGCCGCGCAACTCGACCGAGCAGCCCGTGATGACGATCGGGTTCAAGGGTGGCAAGGAATTGACGCTGGAGGTTGGCAAGCGCGGCATGAAGATTGGGGATGTGGTTGAGGAGGTTTCGCGTGTTGGTCGGGCATTGGAGCGCGAGGCTAGTCTGAAGGGTTGAGTAGGAGATTATACCGCATCCTATGGTTTTCTTGGATGTGTTGTTTTTTCTGATGTTGTACTATATTATCTTGATATTTTGTTGTTCTTTGGCGCGTGGGAATACTCAATTGCATGTGGCGAGAATGCTTGATAGTGCAGGTGGGTGGGAGTTGTCGTCAAGCTGTCTGGAAGTAGATATACCAATCTCATGATATCCGATCTACACTATATATCTCTCATGCGAAACGGATATTATTGTTCCATTCATACGAAGCATGCCATTTCGGCGGGATCACACTACAGTGGGATCCTGTCGGGAATCTTGATTTTATACTCCACCATCCAGGTGATAGCGAGCACTCAACATTTTGATTTTGGTATTTCGATCAAAGTGACAGGCGATATTTACACAGCAGCGCCGGAGATGAAGAACCACTTGTCAATGCTGCCGTCAACGGGGGCGGGGGGAGGTTCTCGCCACGGGGGATGGCGGCGACCTGGCTCGGCTCAGCGCGGTTCTCCTCGAGCTGAGTGTTAGCACTGCAGAGAAAGGAATTAGCAAGAGTCCAATACATCTTCCAAAGTGGCGAATAGAGTTCAACATACAGGCTGATGTCGCCAGCGCTGGTCTTGCCGGAGATAAGCTTCTCCCAGGCATCGGAGCACTCCTTGATGACCTCCTCGGCGTACTTCTTGTTCTTGCACTCGCCGGAGAAAGCGAACTGGTTCTCGGGCTTGCCGTCCGGGATCTTGTAGATGCGGAACCACTCGTTGGTGGCGCGCATGAGGCCGGGCAGGTGACGCTCGACATCCTCGATGTCATGGAGCTTGGAGGCCAGAGGGTCGTTGATGTCAATGACAATGATCTTCCAGTCGGTCTCCTCCTCGTCGATCAGGGCCATAACACCCAGAACCTTGACCTGCTTGACCTGGCCGGGGTAGGCGACCAGCTCACCGATCTCGCAAACGTCGAGCGGGTCGTTGTCACCCTTGGCCTTGGTCTCGGGGTGAATGGCGTTGGGGTCCTCCCAGGTCTAATCAATTGGGTCAATTGCCGGCCTTATTTTGGTGATTGTGATTATGGAGTTGGATGTGGTTTTGTTGCGGAAGTCGCTGTGATGGGTTGTCCACTTACGCGGGGGAAGGCACCGTAGTTCCAGAGGTAGCCCTTGTGGGGGAAGCAGTTGCGGACGAAGCGAAGCTTGCCCTTCTTAGTGTCCTGCTTGATGGGGTTGAGGAACTCATCCTTGGAGATCTGAGGGGGTATTCGCGATCAGCATCGTACATGACGTGGGGCGTGAATTGGCGCATGAAATGGCCCAGGGGGAGGGGGCAGAGGAAGGAGGGATTATGAGGGTGATTGAATTAACGTACCTCCTGCTTGGCGTTGGTCCAGCGGGGGATCTCAACAACCATGTTCAGGACAGTCTGACCCTCATCGGCGTAGAGGGGAATGTCGTGGAAGGGAGAGACGGGGACACCATCCTTCTCGATGTAGACACGGTGCTCCAGCGTGTGGGGCTGGGCGATCTTGCGAACGGTATACGACATTTTGGGGGCGGAGGAAGAGAAATGCCTGGTGAGGAGAGCGGCTCGAGAGAGAGAAGAGGAAGAGGAAGCCAACGTGGCGGGGGTAGAAAAGGACGAGGCAGAGGGAGGGGCTGTTGAAGTGGGGGGCGCCAGCGTTGCTGATGTGCGCCAGACTCGGCGGGAAGCGGTGGAGGCAGAAAATCCCAGTCGGGCCAAGGGAGAACGGACCAGGGCCATTGGCTGCAGTAGCAGGCCTCTCAATGAGTTGTCTGAAGTTTAGTGGGCGGGAGGTTCCCAGTTTTCTCTGCCGCGCCCGTCAAGCCGAATCGATAGACTCCTGGAAAGCAGCCCAAGGGAAAGGCGGGCAGACCGCCGATTTTTGCCCCTGGGAAGTCGCGGGTCTTTTTTCGGCTGGGTCTCTCCGACGGCCGGCATGGCAATGGCCCAACTGATTTCCGAGAGCTGGCAGTCCGCCCGAGGGGGGATTGGCGGGCTACCGAGACTGCAATATCTCTTGAAGGACTACTGACAATTCCGTAAACCGTGTATAGCTTCTGGAGCTTCTGTCATACGGCGGAGGCTCTGGTCTCGTGCCCCGCGATCCGTCTAACTCGCACTTGACTGCACCTACGGCAACGTATGTACTCTGCATGTACTCCATACACTCTCACCTAAGCACGGACAGCTGCCAGGGCTATCTCGATATCGGGCTAGCGGCCACCAGTCCCTCAACCACACGTTATTTGCTATATAGGCTAACCATTCTATAGCTCTCTAGTTCGTACTCTGTAGCGCGCCCCGGGATCCGAACTGCTATGTACCGCCCACACTAGTGTGCGGTGGCAAAGTGCAGAAGTTTAATTCTTGGCAGGGGAATCAGCGTTGTTTATCAAGTGGAGCCACACGCTACACAACCACAGTTGGAAGTTGAGAAAATCAAGGCAACATGGTTAACTAAGCTAGTTAACTACGCAAGGTATTAATGAGGCACCAATAAGGCACCAGTGAGGCGCCCAAAATCAAAAGAAAAAAGGTTATCGCCTCTATCTGCACGTGATGCGTCCGCTCGGCCTCGCCGATGAGAACCCCAGAAAAGTGCGGTGCCTTCCATCGTCCCCTCCAAAGAAAAAAAAAGTCTCCTTCCTTCCCCTTCAGCATGCTATGATCAAAATCCTGCGCTCAGCCATGTCCATCCTCGCCGAGTCCATGACCATTCCTCCAGCCCAGGTGCCGCGCGTGCCTATCCCGCCAAATGGCGTCGACTACCGCGGGAAAATCGTTCTCGCCCCGATGGTTCGGTCGGGCGAGCTACCCTCGCGCCTGCTCGCCCTGAAATACGGCGCCGACCTTGTCTGGGGCCCTGAGACCATCGACCGCTCGATCATCGGTGCCACGCGCCGTGTCAACGCGCGCAACGGAACCATAGAATTCACCCGCATGCCCTCGAATGGCGGCCGTGTCGACCACGCCTCGAGAGAATCCGTCATCTATCGCATCGATCCCGTGCGGGAGAAGGGCAAGCTCGTCTTCCAGATGGGCACTGCCTGTCCTGATCTTGCCGTGCAGGCTGCAAAGACCGTGGCCGGGGATGTGTGGGGCATCGATGTCAACTCGGGCTGCCCCAAGCCCTTCAGCACCAGCGGCGGCATGGGTGCCGCGCTGCTACGCACCCCCGACAAACTCGTTTCGATTCTCGAAGCTCTCGTCCGCGAGGTCGGCGAGCCCTATAAGATCGGCATCTCCGTCAAAATTCGCATCCTCGAGACCCCCGAACTCACCGAGGCCCTCGTTTCCCGCCTCGTCCGCACCGGCATCACCGGCCTGACCGTCCACTGCCGCACAACTCCCATGCGGCCCCGCGAGCGGGCCATCCGCCACCAGCTCCGTATGGTCGCAGATGTGTGTCACAAAGCCGGCGTGGCGTGTGTGATGAACGGCGACGTAACCTCGCGCGACCACGGCCTGAAGCTAATGGAGGAGTTCGGCGTGGACGGCGCCATGATCGCCGTTGCGGCGGAAGCCAACTCTTCCTGCTTCCGCTCCGAGGCCGACGGCGGTCTCGCACCCTGGCGGGATGTCGTCTACGAATATCTGAAGTTCTGCATAGAGAGCGAGAATCGCTTCGGCAACACCAAGTACCTGCTCAACATGCTAATTCCCGGCAAGAAAAAGGAGTTCGGGGAAGCCAAGCAGTCCAAAACATACACTGATGTCTGCCGGCGCCTGAAATTCGACGACCTCATTCCCCTCGCGCTTCAAGCGGATGAGATTCTCGAGCTTACGCATCGGCAGGAGCTTGGTGAGGGACAAACCAGCTCCAAGGCAATCCAGCACGCCAAGGAGAACAATGAATCTGCTCGTGCCGCTGGCGGTGGGAGCACCAGGCCCCCCAAGTCGAACTTGTCCGCCGCGCATAATGTTGGTCCCATCCGCACCTCGTCTTTCCCGCAGCCGGCTAAAGCAGATAAGCCTGCATTCGAGCAGGTCACCACCGTTGATCCGTCGATTCCCGCTGCAGAGCATGCCCAGCAGCCTAGTGTTGCAGCATAAGGCTGCCTTCCGATTCCCCACGTTTTCTTGTCGTTCTGCATAGCTTGGTTGCTGGTTTCTGATAAAAGGTTTTCTGCATTAGGATGGATTATCCTGGGTTCTTTTGTTGTGTTCATACATTTCCCAAAAACATATAGGTAATATAGACGCATTCACTGTTTACAAGCTTCCTGGTTTCTAGCTCTGGAATTAAGTGTAGAAGTCAATTTACCCAGAGCGCATTTTCAACTGGTGGACGGCGCGCTTAACCTGGATTTCACCCCACCCTCAAGACCCCAAAACACAGTGTACACCCGACAAGGCCACGCCAATCGACAGCTGATCTTACTCATGAGTGAGAGCGAGGTCTAACCAAAACGATACCAACTAGATGTGAAAGCTGTCTCATAGATTAGTCTTTATTTAGTCTACTCTAATGTGATATGCATAAGCAACTCCGAACCAACCGTCACAAACAGCAACAACTTGTGTACAAACCAGAATCACCTCCCTCCCGGGAGGAGAATATCAATGTAAATATCTCCCGAACACCGAACAGCAATCCTCCATACCATCCCACCGTTCCCCTAGACACCACCCTCCTTATCCATATCAGCAAGGACCATGCTCTCCACGGCCTTCATCCCGGCCTCCTCGTTCTTCTTCGCACCGGCGTCGTCCTCGCCCGCGACGGCCTGGTCCAACGCCAGCTTCGTCTGACCGAGGGCATATATCTGCTCCTCGATGGTCTCGCGAGTGACGAAGCGGAAAACCTCGACCTCGCGGGTCTGTCCGACCCGGTGGGCGCGGTTCTCGGCTTGCACATCCTCCTGCGGGTTGAACGAGGAGTCGAAGATGACAACTTTGTTCGCGCAGGCCAAGTTGATGCCCGCGCCACCGGCCTTGGTCGAGAGCAGGAAGACAGGAATGTCCTCGCGCTCGTAAAACGCGTCCAGAATGGACTGACGGTCTTCGACGTTGGTGCGGCCATCCAAGCGCACAAACTCGATGCGCAGGGTCTCAAGCACGTTCTCTAGGATGTCCATGACCATGGTGAACTGGGAAAAGATCAGGGTGCGATCGCCGTTGGCGATGAAGCGAGTGAGCAGTTCGCGAAGCTTGTCGACTTTGCCGGAGTCCATCCATTCCTCGTTCTTGAGCGCGTATTTGCCGAGTGAAGAGGGGTTCTCCAGGCACATATGATGACACTCATAGTCGTTGTAAGCCTGTAGTTCCTCTTCGATGATTTTTGGATCCGACACAGCCCATTTGTCTTCCTTCAAACAGCTCTTAGCCATCTTCTTCAGAGTTGCATCATCGTAGTGGCGACGGGCGAGGAGGGGGTGGATGGCCGCTTGACGAAGCTTCATAAGAATGTTGGCAGATTTCGAGCCGGTCTTCTTGCCGGCGGCACGGTCCTCGAGAAGCTGGCGGACTTGCTCCTTCTCGTGCTCATAGATCTTCCGCTGCGAGGGCTTCATCTCACAGTATTGCACGTGCGAGTGCTTGGCGGGCAGGTCGATGACCTGGTGCTTCTTGCGGCGGAGGACGAAAGGCTTCAGCATGGATTTGGCACGCTCGATACGCTGTGCTGATAGAAGAGTAGCGTGCGATTCGTCGGTCGTCTTCGCCTTGTTGGAAAAGACGGACTGAAGATCCTCCCTGTGGTCCTTGAAGACCCCGGGAAGGATGAACCCGAGCAGAGATGCCAACTCTTGCAGGTTATTCTGCAACGGAGTGCCTGTGAGAAGGAGTCGGAACTGGGCCTTGATGCGAATAAGTTTGTCGTACAACAGAGACTGTGAATTCTTCAACATGTGTCCTTCGTCGTAAACGCAAACACAGAAGTCCATATCTCGGAGGAATTTCGCATCTACCTTGGCCTTGGCGATGGTGTAGGTAGTAACAACGACATTAATGTCGTTACGGTTATCTTCGATCTGTTCGCGGATGTATGCACGCTCGGTTTGACCGGCGTAGTAAGGCATGACAGAGAGCATCGGACAAAACTTCTGGAACTCGCGAAGCCAATTTTCGATGGTTGACGAAGGGACGACAACCAGATGGGGGCCTTTAATGTTTTTCTCGTAGAGGTGCGAGAGGAAAGATATGACTTGACAGGTCTTGCCGAGACCCATGTCATCTGCGAGAATACAGCTCATCTTCTTCTCAAACAGCAGCGCCAGCCAGTTCAGGCCAACAATCTGGTAGTCCTTCATCTCCAAGGTTTCGGCCATGACGGCTGGCTGTGAGATGAAACCAGATTGACCGTTCGACTGAGACTTGCGAGATTTGACAACCGGACGGATGTCCTCATCCGAATCATCGTCACCGGGAGACGGCTGACTGGACGAAGGTGTTGCGATCCCAGAATCGTGGGAGCCTCCCATGCTCGTCAGTTCGAGTTCACCATCACCACGCTTGCCGAAGATGTCCACACCCCACTTCTTCATCTCCTCCGCCACGGGCTTACCCAGTGCTTCACATTCCGCGACGAGAGCGTCGATCGCCAGGTATCCGGTCCACATATCCATGCACTTATCCACAATCTTGTCGCCGACGGGCTTGGGAGGCTTGCGCCCCCTGCCCTTGCCCTTGGGTTTTGCGTCATCATCGACAGGAGCACTGACTGCACGAACTTGGTCCAAAGTAGTAAAAGGGCGTTGCGAAGTGATCAACTCGGCGGTCTCCTCGGGGACCGCAGCGATGTCGGCGAGATCATGAGTTTTGCAGGTGTTGAAGAACCGCAGCACTTTGTCTGCCAAATCACCGCCAGATGTATCCTCCTCTTGAACATCGGAATCATCGGAGTCGGACAACACTGCTTCAGGGGAGAAAGAGGGAGCACGGCTAGGACCTTTTTGGAGACGGCCTGCTTTTTTCTTCGGAGGTGATTCGTCTGAATCAATCATAATGGTGTTAGCAGGAGGTGGAGAGCCCCGACTTCGTGGGCCTCGCATGAGACGGCCTCGAGGCTTCGCGTCGTCCACTTTCTGAGAAGTGACTGGTAGCTTCGCAGCAGCCCACTTGTCCTGGATGGTGCCGCGGGCCTTAATTTTCTGCTTGGCCATCTGTCCCGTGTTGCGGACAGGCTCAGCACTCAATTCGTCTTCTGATGACTCGATTTCAATCGCGCCATTACGGCTTCCGTTTCCTATCGATCTGAAAGGCTCATTGGCGAGGATATTCAAGGCGTCGTCGTAGTTTCCATTCGCAGACATAAGCGCATCCACACACTCTTGTACAGAATTCGTCGGCATGACCTTCAGAATCCGCTCCACCTTGACTCGGACTCGGAAATCGACAATGTCCAGCACGGTCGAAATCTGGGCCGTCACAGGTTGCGCGCGGGAGGGTGCGTCTTGTCGGGCCTTCTTCGTGGCAACACCTCGCGGAGCGTCGGCTGGGCTCATTCGATCGGCAGAACGCTTCATGCCTGTCGCATTGGGGTCGTACATTGCAGATGAGGTTATTTCCTTGAAGCGATCCATCAACCCGGTCTCGGCGCGCACTGGCGACTCTGCAACTTTTTCAGGGCTTCGCACAGTCTTCTCAAACATCGCAGGTTTGATGTCAATGCGATTCTCATCGTCATCTGAGGATCCACCTCGGTAAGTTGGACCATCATCCATGTCGAAGTTGGGAGTTCGTTTTGTTGGGCGAACAGTCGTTGCTGGAGGACGGAAGGAAGTGCCAGAGGGGGCCATGAGCGAGCTCAAGAGCCCGCCGTGGGAGGCACGGTGGGGAGGTGAGGAGACGGGAGCAGTCGGTGAGGAGGCAGCAACCTGAACAATGGTATTGTTCGGGCGTGAGTAGGACATATCAACTAACTGCGTAGGCTGCGTCAATCGCTGTTGCGACGGGGTGAGGGTATGCGCAGGCAAGGTGGCGATCGTTTCGTAGTCACCCTCTTCGTCGGGGGAGCCTGGCACAGGCTTCTTTCCCCGAATGGGAGTATCAGGCACCGAGTCGTCCATTGTACAGTAATTGTCCCACTCTTCCCGGCAGTCGAGGCCTGCCTCCTGTCTAATCTGGTCAACCACTTTATCCAGGGCCGTTTTTTCTGCCGGCGGAGACGCGAAGCCGACGCGCCGGTATCACGTGATATATACGGATTCTCGAATTGGCCACTCACACTTTATTCGTTGTGCTTATTACTGAGCGAACGGGGTGAAAAGAATTATAGTAATCAGCTGCATCTTCTCAAGGCAACAATGGCATTCAAAAATAGAGATAACCGGTGAAGGGTGACGCGATTGTTCATCGAGAGCCATGTGACCGGGGGCGCTTGGGCATTCTCCGCAATATAGCTTCACAACCTTTATTTCAGCGATCGGCAAGCTTGGACTTTCGTCATTCAGAACCCTGGCTTAATTCGGCACCCTTCAAACAAAAAATTTAAGCTCGTGTAATTTCACCACACTCATAGCATGTCCGCCCGCCGTCCCCATGGGCAGAGCTATGCCGATGTCGCGGCAAAGCCTCCCTCAGAGAGTGATTCTGATGTCACACCAGCCGTCCCAGCGTACGTGGAGATGATTTCACAATTATCGCATGTCGGATCAAAAAACAAGTTCTAATCGTTTGTGCTTGCAGAGATGTTATCTACAAGCTGCTTGGCTTCACTGCTGCCATGGTGTTCGGCCCCATTGGTATCTATTTCCTGACAGCGAACTCGATCTTCAGAGGTACGACTCGGCATATACCTTCATCGCGCATGTGCGGAGTGCCCATTGAGACTGATCCATGTATTAGGAAACTCAACGTTTGCCGGCATTGCCGCAGCCGTTACTGCCAACGTGGTCTTATTCGCTTACATCTATGTTGCCTGGCTGGAAGACCAAGGCGACAAAAAGGCCGCCGACAAGGGCAAGTCCAAGAAAGCACAGTAGTGCTACCGAGTCACTGGGATGTGAATTGGGGTTGCCTCGGCCGCATTCTTGTTTTTACGGCATTGCGGGTCATGTTAACTCGGATGATGAGAATGTCTGGGATCGGAACCACTGGAGGAGCTCATGGGCCACCTAGGGCTTCAAGGTAAAAGCGAAATCTTCATTGCTGTTGGATATCATAAGACAAATTCCATGCCTGGCCGCAGCCAGAGTATTTGGCTTCACACATATATACCTCGAGAACCCCTTTCTTTCCGACAAATGTGAAAAATGCCATGCCCGTGTTGAAAGAAGCGCACGCACTCCGGGAAAATAAAATAGAAAAGCCCAATGCCCATATCCATTACACGGAGGACGCCTATATGCTTTGCTGCCAGGTTGAATGTTGACCGCAGTCAAGGACGCATTATGTCCTTTCCCCTCGCTCACGCCGGTCTGCGCTTCACGAACTCCTCCAAGTCGGCCTTGGTCGCGACGCCAAGCACGAACTTGCGCGCCACATCAGTCACAACAGCAAACTGCTGCTTCTCGCGCTTGTCACCATTGGGCCCGGTTTCGCTTTCGAAGAACTGTTCGAGCTCCTCCAAAGGTGTCTCCATCGTGATCACCTGGTAGATCCCGCGCTTGCGGTTAAAGCGCTGCATGGCGGAAGCGACTGTATCGGTCTCCTTGACAGTTCCTTTCTGGAGGAGCTCCTTCAGTCGGGGAATGCTCAGGTAGCCGAGGAGGGATCGCTTCGTCGCGTCGATAACGGTAAGGTGGGTGTAGTCGCGCTCGTAGGCGGCCATGAGGGCGGCGGAGACAGGATCATCGGGGGAAACCGACAGAGCTAGAGGGGGATCGAGATCTTCGACAGTAGCCTGTGATGATATATATGAGTATTCGGGCAGCTCAAGAGTTCGGAGGAGGGGGAACCAACCCCGCGGTACTTGTCGGCCCAGGCGGTTTGCTGGGCCGCGGCGGTTGATGTTTGGTTTTCACGGGTATAGGCCGCGCTGCCTGTGAGGTACGAAGCCATTGTGTAGGTAAAGATTGGGTATAAAAGACGTTGGGAGATGTCGGGGCAGTCCGAAGGTGCTCGGCTGTCTTTTTGACGAAATTCGGCGCTTTTCCTCTTTGTCCCACGCCAAGACCGGTCGACCCATACGTCATCCGCTGGGGGCCGTTTGGGAAGTACCAGCCTTGCTCTCTGTCGGACGTATTACGCTACGAGCGCAAAGCTTTTCTGCGTCCTTTTCAACTTCCAGTTCCCTATCGGACATCCAATCCATCCTCTGTGTCGTGAGACTTGGTCAGTTCGTTGTTGAGACCCTCCTCCCAACCACGTTCGAGCTAGCATCTCCGATCGCTATCTCCACTTTTGAGGACCCGCACTAACAGCGTACATACTGGATCATCCACAGATCACCATGCTCCCGGGCTCCATCATCTCGACTTTTGCGGCTCAACACCCTCTTGGTGCTCTGGGCATGCAGCAGCCGTCCCACAATGAGCAGTTTGCCAAGTCGGCCACCAAGAAACGTGAGCCGTTCCCCGCCTGGAGCGCAATCGACGGAGTGAAGAAGACAGCCGACTCGATCGCCCATGAGGCCGCTCGAGAGTACGATGTTGCCAGTCACAAAGCACAGGAGAAGGCGGGGAAGATCGAGCCTTGGACTCCCAAATACTACGCGGCGTGTACATTTGGCGGAATGCTGGCCTGTGTCAGTATTGTTGATATCACATTGAAATCCAACCTAGATCGCTGATACCATTACCCATAGGGCCTCACTCACACAGCAGTCACCCCTCTCGATCTGATCAAATGCCGCCGCCAGGTTGACTCTAAGCTCTATAAGAGCAACATGCAAGCCTTCCGCACGATTCGCGGTGCCGAGGGTTTCCGCGGAGTGTTCACCGGTTGGAGTCCTACTTTCTTCGGCTACAGTGTAAGTTGCGGACCAAAATGGAGAGTCAAGATTCGAGCAAGTCACCAACATAAACCCAAAGGCCCAAGGTGCATTCAAGTACGGTGGTTACGAGTTCTTCAAGAAGTTCTATAGCGACCTCGTCGGTCAAGAGCGTGCCGTCAAGTGGAAGACCGGCGTGTACCTGGTTGCTAGTGCCTCTGCCGAGTTCATCGCCGACGTCGCGCTCTGCCCATTCGAGTCCGTCAAGGTGCGGACGCAGACTACCATCCCGCCTGAATTCCAAGGTACCTTCAGCGGTATTTCCTCAGTCGTCGCCAAGGAAGGTGTATCCGGGTAAGTTACCGGCGTAGTTCCCGCTGAAATAAAGTTGCGTTTCGGAGTATATTGACCGTCCCCACCCAGCCTCTACAAGGGTCTGTATCCACTCTGGGGTCGCCAGATCCCCTACACCATGATGAAGTTCGCCTCGTTCGAGACGATCGTGGAAATGATCTACCGCAGCTTGCCGGGCCATAAATCCGATTACAACAAGGGCGCACAGACTGCCGTTGCGTTTAGTGCTGGTTACCTGGCTGGTATTCTCTGTGCCGTGGTGTCACACCCGGCCGATGTGATGGTCAGCAAGCTGAATGCGAACCGCCAACCGGGCGAGGCCTTCGGCGCGGCGATGAGCCGCATCTATGGCGATATTGGGTTCCGCGGGCTGTGGAATGGATTGCCCGTCCGTATCGTGATGATTGGTACTTTGGTGGGTCCCCATACTCTGATCGATTTGGCTTGAATCCATGCTAACATTGTAACAGACCGGTCTCCAGTGGATGATGTATGGACTCCCCCCCTCCTGTCTTGACTGCTTTCTTCCCGTGGTCTGTACTAACCCTTCCGCAGCTATGACTCCTTCAAGATCTTCATGGGACTCCCAACCACCGGTGGCTCCGGCGAAGACAAGAAGAAGGCACTGGCCAAGTAAAGATGATGCTCAAGGCGACCTTACCGCATGTCGCCCTACCCAACCCTTATCCTTTTCGTTGCCTGTACTCCGTTGGAGTACTGCCAGGCTCTAATCAAGGACCAGGGCTGTTAATTACTTTGCTACTAACCTGTGCTTCACGATGTGCGAATATTGTACTCCGTAGTATTACATTCTTTCATTCCGGCAACATACAATCTCAGATTGACCTCTACTTTTCCAGAATATTCCCCACTAGAATGCTTTCCTCCCTCTATGATATCATCACCCTCTCACAGTTTCAACACTGTTCCACTCTTCAACAGCTGCCAAGCGCGCTATCAGCAAGCCGATTTAGTCACCGCACCCACCAATCGTCGAGTCTTATCTTATCACCCACGACGTCACCAATCGCAGGCGAATCTCGCCGCCAAATGCCCGAATCATTGCAGACAGCCAAATAGAACCCAGCATAGGCGAGCCCAAGACCGGAGTGGACGTCCCTGAAGTACCAATCGCTCTATAGTCTAACGCTTGCGGATGGCGAGATCAAAAGCCCGGGTTTAAACAGCTTCCAGTCCCATCACCCGACCCATTCTCGTATTCTTCTTATTTCAGTAGTCGGCAGCTCTCCCAGACTTTCTTTCTCCAACTCTCCTACCCATTCACCACCCAGAACCATATCCCCCTTTGCCCGTTTAACCCGGTAAGTGCGGCAGATCCGATCGCGTACCTGCGTCTGTTCTCGCAGTCTCACCCGCCCCGGCTGTCCCCGCCTCCATTGCACCTAGTCCCGCCTCGACCTCCGTCATTTCGATTACGATAAGACACGAGCACTTTGCCCCTCGCGCTCCTGTCACACAGCAGCACAGAGCAAGCTTACACTTACACTTACACTTACACTTACACTTACACTCCCTTCTCTATCTAGAACATCCCCTCCCTCATTCGCAATGGTTGAGCAAGAGCAGCCGATGGTCTCGCACGGCCGTGGAGGTAAGAACGCCGCATCCGCGATGCGCGCGCCGAGCTGAGCTGACGCTGACACGACTTCCCGGGACAGGCCAGGGCAATATCGGCCATTCCTCGATGGAGTATGTATCCCCTGCAATGCTCTGCGAAGGCGCGCAGCTGACAATGGATCTAGATACGTCGACGGCGAGATCGTTCGCGAAGGCGTGTACGGCGACCAAGGTGACGGGGCGTACTCTGCCGGTGTAAGCAGCCTGTTCCAGCCCAGCCCCAGTCTAATCGGCTCTGTCCTGTCCTGTCCTTCCCTACCCTACCCTACCTTACCCTACCCTACCCCGCGGTCTATGATCTATGATATATTGCAAGACTAATCTGTGCCATAGCGCGGCGGCGTCGGCAACATCGGCTCCCCCCGCGTACGCCCCAGCACCAAAGTGCCCCACGATACCGACATGATCCCAGAGCTGGCCGTGCGCAACTCCACGGATGAGAACTTCCACGTTGGCGTATGCGGACCCTCTCTCCCTTCTTTCCCTGTTATGATGAGTGCTGGAACAGTTACTGACCTTGTTTCATGTTTCTGTTTCCCAGCGCGGCGGCCAGGGTAACGTCCACCTCGACGAAGCAGCGCGCAAGGAGAAAGAGGAGAAGAAGGCCAAGGGGCTGATGCATGAGGGTCTGGCGGATAAGTTGAAGCATAAGTTGTTGGGGCGGAAGTAAGCGCCGTGGAGTGCTGGAGTGCTGGAGTGCTCGGTTGCTGGAAGGAGATGCCTCTCCCATAGAGAAAATGAGTGGGGTAGAGGGGTGGATTAGTTGGATTAGTTGGTTTTGTGATTCCCATTTGCGTTTCGCTGAGTTAAGGTTGTATGTTTCTTTCTATGGGGATTAGTGTGGTTTGTTGTTTTGCTAGGTGGATTTGGGAAATGGCATGAGCTGAATTATAACGAGATTGATCTTATACTCTCTCCACACGGAACTAACGGACCGTAACCGGCGTATCCACCCACCCAGTTCAGGTGTACCATCTACCAGCTTTCTATCCAACCACCTAATTGAGAGAAAGAGAGAAAAAGAAAAGCGGGCCTTTTGCGCCATGAGAGTCACCAGTATAGTTCACACTGCAGCGCAGCAGCGCACAAATCAGAAGCAATTTGTGTGCAGATACAAAAAGAAATATCGTAAGAAATAGGAACGTTAGAAGATAAAATCAACCTCCGGAAACAAAATACCCCGTCCCAGGAAGTGAAGCCCAGATTCCCATATCCCATAAAACCCCCGTGTAGCATGACCTCGTAATGCATGAACTCAGAGCAAAAACAATCCAGCAATCAGAGGAAAGAAGCAGGGGAAAAAAGAAAATAAAATAAAACCGGGAAAGAAAATGAAGCATGTGGCATCATATCCCAATACCGGTAACGCTGTGCACGTAGGGGATCCAGTGGAGTGGCATAAGACAGAAGGAAAACAACATGACACGAAAACGCCGGGCTGGGGATGTATCAATGAGACGTGAGACGATGGATGGATGGATGAATGGTAGTACATCTTTCTTCCAAGAGAAAGATCTCGAATCGGCATGAGAAAAAGGCGAAGCAGAAACATAGCGGGTACAGATGGACACCGACCCAGTCTATCCCTTGCTAAACCGCTTCTTAAACCAACTCTTCCTCTTATCTCCATTCGCCGGGGCCTGCGCCTTCGGAGGCGGTGGGTTCTTTGTCAGATGTCCATTCGCAGGCGAAGCACCACCCCACATGGGATGCGCGGCAGGCGCTGGTCCGTTCATGTTCGGGCCAGATTCGGCCTGGGCACGCTCGTCAAGCCGCTGTTGCTGCAGAGCCTGCTGCTGCAACTGGTCCATAGAGCTGTTGAGGCTGGGATCCGCCGACTGGCCGTAGGGGTCGGCGTAGCCCCCAGGGCCGGCCATGGCGGCGACGTTGTCGTGGGAGCGCTGGTAGTTCTGCTGCTGGTAGGCGTTCGGCGCACCGCTCCCGTTGCCATTGCTGTAGGCGCCCTGCTCCGAGGACATGCGCGGGGCGTGGCGCGGGCGCCGGCCGCTGCCATTCTGGTTGTACGGGTAGTAGTTGTCGGGCGCCTGGCTGGCGCCGCCGTAGGCGTCGATGATGTTGTCCGGTTGGGACTGGGCGTTGCGCCCGTGGTAGCTGTTCTGCTCGGTGTATCCGCGATTCGTGTGCCCATTGGCGCCTGCAGAGAGCTGATTAGTGGCGGATCGGGAGCTTGCATGGTGAGGAAGGGCGGGTTCCTCACCTCCGTGGTAGCTTGTCCGGCGGCTGAAGTCGCCCCTCTGCGAGGCGGCGTCATCTACAGGGGAACAATCAGCATTGGGATCCCGGAGTGGGATCATCGGGTTCCAACGAACCTGTGCGTGCGTACGAGACCGGGCGGGTGCTGCCATAGGTGCCGTAGATGGCCGCTTCGAAGGAGCGGATAGTATCCAGCGGGCGCTCGAAACGCGGACGGGTGGGATTGGACCAGTCGGGGTCGGCTACAGCGAAACCGGGAGGTTGAGTTAGGGCCATTGCGGCGGCGACCAACGGTCAGGAATGTGTCAGAAGATAAGTACGCACTGATGAGATTGCCCTGCTGATCTTTGTGATCCATTGCGCGCAGAGAGCCCATAGTGGACTCCTGGAGGGCAACCGCCACTATGAGAATTGTCAGTCATGGTTGATCATCGTGGAATGCGACCGTGTGGCCCGCACCCACGTGGAAGGTGGGACGTGGGACATCGGAGGGACGGAAGGAGGGAAGGAGGAGAGCCGGGCGAACGTACTGGGCTGCAACTCGTTCATGGCGACCGAGGGATCAGCTTTGCTCTGTAGATGGCGGCGTGCCTTCTCCTCGGAGGACTCGGAGAGATTAGACTTATGGCCCGAGGCGTTGGTCTTCTGGGATTTGTCCGATTTGACGCTAAAACCACGAGTCCGGCGAGGAGAAACGGCCGGCGGTTGGGGGGCCGCCATTTTATAAATGAATTGGATGTGCCCGGTTTGCTCTAGCGTCCGTTATCAAGGCAAGGCGAGTTCTGAAACAGCTAGGATCTGCCCTCAGCTTCTAGTTTGGCGGCCGTTGTGGAGCGCGCGATGTAAAGGGTGGGAACTGCCAAGACGATCGCAGCGTCGAGGGAGGTGAATTAGCTCTGCGCGGACTGAGACACTGGACACGCGCTGAGCGCAGCGGAGCAGGCTAGTTCGATCGAATAAATGAGTTGACTGTGGAGTGGGGGGGACGCGCTGTCCAAGCAGCAGCCGAAGGCGATGGCTGGGAGAAAGAAAGTCGGTGGGTGGGCGCGACACGGCAGTTGGAGGGGGAAGATCGATCGGGTGGAGAAAGTCGTTAGAGATGGAGCCAGGGTGTGCAGGGCGATCGCTCAAATTTAAAGCAACGGGGGAGAGCTTGTGAAGGAGTGCCTGAACCGAGATTTTGTGGTTGACGAAACGAGCCACGCAATGCCGGGCATAACTCAGACTGACATCCGCGGCTGCTCGTCGGTGGCGTGTGGCGGGTCTGCGACTTGGCTATCTATAGATCGACGGAGGAGAGTCTAAAGACTCGGTATATACAGGTGGAGGGTCCCCGTCCACGCAACCATCCTTCCACCGAGACTGCACTCCCAAATCTTCCATAAAGACCTTGTCTCCCCCCGTCAGTCCTGTTGGGCTGGCGTGCCTGGACCCCCAAGAGCGTGTCCGTGGAACCACCAGCTGGACGGTTACGCGGTTGCGATTGGTGGTGTTCTTGATGGTCCCCCGACTGCGCCAACCTCCCCAGGCTAGCACCGTTAGGGCATCGAGCAGGCTAGGGTAGCACACTAGGGTCAAAAATTATTAATAGCCTAGACATTATTCATGGTCACGCCAGGAACTGTGTCCGACCAAGGCCAATGGCAGTCGCGGGGGCCGGTTGAGGGGCAGATTTTTACGAAAATGCAACGGCTTTTCTCTTCCCGCACCTCCACCGGAACCGTAGATACTTATGCACAAGCGACATATATAACTCCCGTATAGGAAGTCACATCTATGCAGTCCTGACCGTGGTTGGACTCTTATCTGAGACATCCCGCCAATCCCGCGATCAGGCCGGGGATATAAGGATTCCCCTTTCTACCACCTCTCACCTCCCAATGTCCGGAGTGAGCATCTCTGGATTCGATTCCGCGGTTGTAGCTTACTCCCGCGTCTGTCCGTCCATCCGTGCGGGACGCTATCGAAACTTCCCGTGATGCATACTTGCCTATCCGGGCCCTTCCAATTGGCTAGTTAGCTGGTCGCTCGCGGATCGTCGTTTGTCGCCCACACAACCTTAGCTGCATGATTATCATTGGTGAGTCCCTACGTGAATCATGCTATAGCACATTATGCCTAGTAACAAATCAATTTAATTGGGACACTGGTGGTGCAATTGGTCCAGAGAAGATGGTCAGCATCCGAGCTATTTTCGCGAGGGCGACGCGGAATATATAGCCAACGGGCAACGGTCCGGGACTGCTGCAATGGATGTTCCGGAGAATGCGTAATTATCTTCCAGGAGCAATGGCCCAAAAGCTGGAGGCTTTAAGACTCGCTGCATCCATCGTGTCCGTTCCTAGAATCTTGAAGTCTCTGCATAGAGTAAGATAGCCCTCATATCTGATAGCCCTCATTCCTCGTTCTCTCTGACAGAAGACTTGCTGCAAAATTTTCAGATCGAATAGAGACTGGTGGAAAATGGAGAGCGGGATCATTCAAGTAGATAGCACGCAAGCTCGAGAGACCATTGAAATTGTTGCCGAAGATTACCCTGTGATATGAAAGTGGAGACGATCCAGAGCTCAAAACGCCATCCCCACTGATGACTTTGCGCCACGATAGGAAGCATGGATTGGCCTTACGGACTACGAAACCATAGCTATCACAGTCAGAGGAAAGGGGACGGGTGCTGAAGCAGGCTACTGACAATCCCCATTGAAATTCATTGGAGGTTCATACAAGTCGCATGGGGTCGGTCCGGAGAGAATTCTTGGTGTTGGTAGCGTTCATCCAAACATGCCATGGTGGAGTAGCCAGAGCACGACAATGCAATTCGTCTATCACAAAAGAGAAATAAAACGACAGCGGGCAGAACGGACACCGGCGTACCCGGGGAGAAAGTCCCAACCCGATTGGACCTGGGAACCGGCATTGAAGAATGGTGATATGAGGAAGTTGGCGTGCAAGAGCGTCAAATATAGGGAGAGAAAGGGGATGGGTCAAATGAGCCGAAGACCATAGCGTCGACCCAGAAAACACAGAACGCAAAAAAAAATATAAACCGAAGAGCAGGAGAGCGATATCACGCCTGCAGGATGCAAATGCACACCCATCGCAGGCGCAACACGTTCCACGACCCTTCTCTTCCATCCCGGAGAGTGAACGTTGTTAAATTTTTTTGATTCGTAGGGCTGTGATAAGTGGCCCTGCCTTCTCCCACGAATGAAACGTTATCAAACCGCCAACTCCCATCATCTTGCCATCAACATCCGGCTTCGTTCCGTCTCGACTTTTTTAAATTCCATTGCCTGACACCGAAGTTCCGTCTGCGCGCAGAAAGGAGGGGAATTCGCCCACTAGATACAACACAGAGAAGCCGTTTAGATGTTGGAGGGGTAGAGCATGATGCGGACGGTGGCACCGAAGGACTTGGGGGGAAGGTTGTTGCGGAACTTGGCGCGCACAACACCGGAGTTGCCTGGACGAAATATGTTAGGAATCATGGCTGGAGGAGAGAAGAGGGGGTTGACGAGAGAGCAGAGAATGGCTCTGTATCGAGTCGATGCGTACCGTGGGGGCGGGTGACCTTGCCCCAGATCACCCGAATGTGGGAGCCGCGGACCTCACGCTTGGCCCGGTAAACGAAAGCGACCTTCTTGCCAAGGTAGAAGCTGGCGGCCTTGGGGTCCTCAACGCCCTCAATCTTGACCAGACTATATCACTCGTCAGAATTCTGTTTCCCAATATTGCAAGCCGGGTTGTGGGTATGTGGGCGTACCTGGTGTTGGGGTTGGTGTTACGCTTTCCACGCTGGTAGCTCAGGTGGCGACCCCTGCAAAGAACTTCGGGTTAGAATGCTGTTTCTCATCGATAGTGGTGTGTTCTGATATTCGGTTGATTCCTCCATGTGTTCGCTGATCCCTCTCAACAGAAACCCATTTTCGACATGTAGATTGGACTGCGTGGAAAAATGCGATGACGGATGCGTGGTAACTTACTTAACGTAGACTAGAAGAGAGAACGACAGTTAGCATCACGAGTTCAACATTCTAATCGCAGTGGATGTGTGCGCGATGCGCCGTGTCCGTCCGTCTCGCATTCGATCTCCCTCAACCTCGACTTGACACGGCGATCGATGACGGGCGTTTCTCCTCCAGGGTGGCACTCACGTCGGTGTCCTTGTTCCGAAGGCATTGTGACGGCTTTTCTCTGAGCAGCGGGCAAGGATAACAAGTCGAAGGAATGACCCGCAAGAGATCAGAAGTCGTTGCCGGTTGTCGTGGATGTCGTCGCTGATAGAGTCGAGCGCACAATCAAATTGGGAGGTGTGGTGGCCGCTTTCGCCCTAACCCCAATCGGGTCCTTAGCGACAGGGTAAGCGAGGTCTCGTGATAGAAGCGCTAGTCTACAATAGGGTAACCTGGAATAACAGATCTTCCTGGATCCACCATGATCACATAATCACTTTGGCCTTATCGGTTCTTATCGGTTCTTATCGGCCTCACCTCGTTATCTTCATGATCTACGGTCACCTGATCTCTCCTCTGATCACATCATCGCTCCACCGCTCTCTGACCCTTCACTTTTCTGCCGGCCGGGCGTCTGTCCTCCGAGCATTCCAGCGCCAGGCCCGGCAGCATCCAGTCGGGCCCGGTCTGGAGCCTTCTAGTTGACAAACTCACCATGACGTGTCTGCGGTTCAGCGCCGCTCCCGAAGCCCCGGTTACGTCGGCCTTTGTATTTACCCATTGGCGGGTAAGCCGACCTGTTCGGACTTGCAAATTTGGATTTGCTCATACGGATGAACTCTTTACCTAGTTAGCAGTGACTAATTGTAACTACCGGATAACCGTCCTGGAAAAATGCCAGCGCATGCGAGACGGATACATCTCCGGCGTAGTACAGACCGAGGTTCCTGATGGGGAAACCCAGATATTCCCCATGCCCCACCATCCTGCCTGCTGGGATCGCTGAGACTCTGTACGAGGGCCTGGGAGCATTGACAAAGCGATCGTGCTCTGGAAGGGGCTGTCTCGTACGAGGCATCATTATGACGGGGCTTCTATACTGCATACTAGTTATACACCTAGATGGGACGATGGGACGGCACATTGTTCCCGCAATGGTCCCAATTCGCCAGTTGTAGGCGCCAGGATTAGTTTGTCAATTGTATAGTGTAAGGGAGTGTCCCAACGGTTAATATGCCTCCGGATCCGGCGCACAGTGGCCCGGAGTGGCTGTCTCTGACTGGAGCACCATCGTTAAAGCCGGAGATTCCGTCTGGTATGAGAGATGACAAATGTGCCGATCGCTCCTCCACGATTTCGGTCACCGGTAGCTTTTAATGTCTTATCAAGGTACAGACAATACTGTGAGGTACAGTACCTGTCCTTGTATGTCCCTGTAACGAAGCCAGTCATAGTACTGTACAGTATACAGTATAGCATAGTTACTCTAATTCTCTGTGTGATATGCTTATTCTAGCTTCTTCATCTGAAAAACCTGCAGACTAATGGTGGCTTCCGGTAAGAGCAATAAGCTGCCCTCTCCTAGGCTGTTATTAGATTCGGTGGAGCTGTGTTCTCCCTGGAGCATCCTATGTAGACAGCCCCCGCCTTTGGTAGCATTCATGCTCCCAACCAGAGAGTCCGTCGATGTGCAGTCGCGATGCTCCGGTGCCCCACTATGGGCAGTGCATTGCTGGCCGCAAAACTAGGAGTCTGTAGTAGTTCTCTTTTTTAATGGACTCCTTTTTAGTTGTACCGGACTTTTCCATGGTGGTTGGCCATGTACAGCACACCACGATGTAGTGTATTTAGGATGTTTCCGTACCATGGCCATACCTGCTTACCTGCGTGTACCTGTAAAGATGGCTTATCAGATGACCTGGCACCAGGGCGGTTCCTTCTGCTTTCCAGAACGACTGAGCGCTTCGATTGGATCGGCCAGGGGGCGTTGTGAGGGGCCGGCTAGTGCAGCTCACATTGCACGTCACCTCGCCCCGAACCAGCACCCCGAGTCACATCGTCAGCCGTGCAGGCGCGGGGTCATGGAAAGTCAGCAGGAAAAATAAAGGAAAATAAAGATCAAGCCCCCATTCAATTTTGAGACGAAAGTAGGTTGGGGGAAAGCGGAAAGGGGAAGGGGAAAAGGCCGTGATGACCGTGGATATGGAGATTCGGAGTTAACATGGGGGCGGGGGGATGATGCTACAGTATCAACGCCAGAGCAATATGGGTTGGGAGCGCAATTTCGCCACGGCAGAGCAGGTTCCAAGGCGATCATTATATAGTCTCGACTCAAGTCATGCTACCCAGGAAAATCAGGAGGGGAATATCAATAGGAAAGCTCAGTAATACCCTACAGTCATAAATGACACGCAGTACTCAAAACCATAAAATACAGCCATCCGCCCCACCACCAGAGCTGCGAGAGCGACTCCCGTTAAAAAGTACCTGCTCCGCCGGAATTGGACTGCTCTCCTCCCCAACAACTCCTTTCTTCCATCCTCCTATTTCCTTGTCTCATTAATCTCCCTTCCCTTGTACATCACGGCTGTGTTAAAAGATAGCCAGTATGAACGCCCAGGCCAACGAGCGCAAGAACGCTGGGTGAGTCTTTTGTCCCTCGTCTCTGACATCACCTCCCGTCCCTCCGGCAGCGGAAGCGCGCCGCCGACTTCACCTCAACTTTCACCCTCTCCCACTGCGACCGTCCACTTGAACGAGCGCGGTGATCTTCCTCCTCACCCATTTTTCTGCAATCTTTTTTCCGGACCAAATTAGGATCGCATTGTTACTGCCTGCCCCGCGATCTTCTTCCCTCCTGCTACAGCCCCTCCATTCAGCTTGTTCCATGCAATCTCTGCTCTCGTCGACTTGACCGCCCGTTCCCAAACTGACAATGGTTCCTCATTCCAGCACTATCGAGTTGAAAGATGACACCGTCATCGTGGTGCTCGGTGCCTCTGGCGATCTCGCCAAAAAGAAGACGGTTCGTGGTCCCCTTCCACTTTCCCCCGCTACCGGCTCTTCTCGGCTCTCTTCTAGTTACAAAAGCTAACCTGCTAATGTAGTTCCCTGCACTCTTCGGTCTTGTATGTGATATCACCAGCAGAAATCGCCAAGGCGACACCCCCACTAACCTATACTCCCAACCAGTTCCGCAACAAATTTCTCCCCAAGGACATAAAGATCGTCGGATATGCGCGGACGAAGATGGACCACGATGAATACCTCAAGCGCGTGCGCTCTTACATCAAGGTTCCCACAAAGGATATTGAAGAGCAATTAGATCAGTTCTGTCAGCTGTGCTCTTACATTTCCGGCCAATACGACCAGGATGATTCGTTCATCAACCTGAACAAGCACCTCGAGGAGTTGGAGAATGGTCGGCAATCGAAGGAGCAGAACCGCGTCTTCTACATGGCTCTTCCTCCCAGTGTCTTCACTACCGTTTCCGAGCAATTGAAGCGAAACTGTTACCCCAAGTCGGGTCTCGCTCGCATTATCGTGAGTTCCTGATCCAGCACTCCTAGTTACCGAGGCCACAGCCACGCTAATCACCCTGCGCCCCATGTCACAGGTCGAGAAGCCTTTCGGAAAGGATCTCCAGAGCTCGCGCGACCTGCAGAAGGCCTTGGACCCCAACTGGAAGGAGGAGGAGATCTTCCGGATCGACCATTACTTGGGTAAGGAGATGGTCAAGAACATTCTTATCCTGCGATTCGGCAACGAGTTCTTCAATGCGACATGGAACCGCCACCACATCGACAACGTCCAGGTATGGGAAATTGCTACATTCCGCTTCATGGTGCTGCAACGAATTATAGAGTCTAATTTCCTGGCAGATCACATTCAAGGAGCCCTTCGGCACTGAGGGCCGTGGAGGTTACTTCGACGAGTTCGGCATCATCCGTGATGTGATGCAGAATCACTTGCTGCAGGTGCTGACCCTGCTTGCTATGGAGCGTCCCATTTCTTTCTCCTCGGAGGATATTCGAGACGAGAAGGTCCGTGTCTTGCGTGCGATGGATGCGATTGAGCCCAAGAATGTTATTATTGGACAGTATGGCCGCTCGCTCGACGGCAGCAAGCCCGGTTATCTGGAGGACGACACTGTGCCGAAGGAGTCGCGCTGCCCGACCTTCTGCGCCTTGGTTGCCTATATCAAGAACGAGCGTTGGGACGGTGTTCCCTTCATCCTGAAGGCCGGCAAGGGTATGTCCGGATTCTATCTTCCGTCTTTGCCCAGCCGCTGTTTCTAACTCTTCTCCAGCCCTTAACGAGCAGAAGACCGAGGTCCGCATCCAGTTCCGAGACGTGACCTCCGGCATCTTCAAGGACATCCCCCGCAACGAGCTGGTCATCCGTGTCCAGCCCAACGAGTCTGTCTACATCAAGATGAACTCCAAGCTACCCGGTCTGTCCATGCAGACGGTGGTGACCGAGCTGGACTTGACCTACCGCCGCCGCTTCTCCGACCTCAAGATCCCCGAGGCCTACGAGTCGCTGATCCTAGACGCCTTCAAGGGCGACCACTCCAACTTTGTACGCGACGACGAGCTGGATGCGTCTTGGCGTATCTTCACTCCGCTCCTGCACTACCTGGACGACAACAAGGAGATCATTCCCATGGAGTACCCATACGGTAAGAACCAGGCATCCCCACTCGCTGCTGTGTGCTAGTCGGTTTCGATATACTCACATCTCTTTTCTGCACAGGCTCTCGCGGCCCCGCCGTCCTCGACGACTTCACCGCCTCTTACGGCTACAAGTTCAGCGACGCCGCTGGCTACCAGTGGCCGGTGACCACATCTGCCCCGAACCGACTCTAGAGACTTCGCGGGCGAATAGGGAGAGGCATTAGCGCTGTTTACAAACGATATGGGACGCGAGATTTACGACGGCGAACAAAATCCAATTCTTTCCTTTTCTGTTCACGCTACGTTTTCCTTTTGATTATTTTCTCTCTCTCTCTCTCTCTCTATTTTGCATCTCTACTCCTCTTGTGCTGGCTGGCCGGAACTTAAGGTTAGGTACTGGGAGTCATGCAGTCAGCCGGTTGCGCCGATGCGGCTGCGATGTGACGGGATGTGACGTGCTGGATTTTGATTTTTCGGGCTCCAACTGCGTCAGCTAATGTACCTAGAATGGGGCTGAGGCTCGCAATGCAATGAAAGAATATTATGTTACGTTCGAACTATTGCTCTCTGTTCATGAACCCAAGTATGGATATGTGGATTGGAAGTCGATGAGAATGTTGCTCTGTTCCCATCATTCGACTCATGAGCCGAGCGATGCCGTGCCGATGAATGAAGTCATCTTCGGCTCTCGTCTGATTTTCACTTTCAGGGTAGTAAATAACTGTCAAGCAAGCCAACTCACTCAATATTACAGCATCAGTAGAGCACAATTTAGGTATGTTTTGCCATTTTCTAGCGCCTGGCTATCAAAGAGTAAGAAAAGAGCTTTTCCCAATCTGGCTAGATTGACCAAATTTCTATACTCCGTTCTTCAACACTACTAGGTATAGACTTCAGCATACAACCTACGAGTATATTATTATACTGAGTCATCTAGAATTTGATTGTCTACGAGGAGTTGCGAGACGCTCTCATCTCAGAACCCCGCGGGCCCTTGTCAACTCTGGCTTGGTGGTTTCTACAAGTGGCTTCCGTTAAGATTTAAGTCTGATACTATCAATCAACCTATCCGCCAGGTATCTATCGAGTCGCCACCGCCGGGGGAAGGACACACCGGTGCCCGAGACAAAAGCTGTCTACAGCTCCACAGAGAGGCGCGTCAATCGAGGAAGGTCCTTTCGCCAAAGGTGTCGTGGTTAACGAGCTCTGCGCTTGAAAATATATTTCCTGCTTTCAGTTGGTACCTACTACGCTGTGATGAGCGCGTGGTTTGGCAAATAGCGAGAGGTCATTGCTACATATATCCTGGCGCATGCTATGCGTTGCAGCGCACAAAGATAGAGGTCGACAACTTTAGTTGGAATGCTGACTGAGCTTAAGTTATCGACTTCCGGTACCTTAGAGATCTCAATTATACTACTCCACAGTACTTGATACAGATTTCATGCTTTGGACACCCTAATTAGGGCTCCTGTTTACAAGCATATCGAAATTGGCACCCGTTTCTATAAAAAGATGGCGATTACTCAGCGGAGCCTCCCAGTCGGTCCCTTCTTTCCTCCCCGCGAAACACCAACGTGAACAAACCCCAAAAAAGAGCCCGCAGTACCGTTGCACATCTGAAACAAACAAAAAGCCAGTGTAGATGTAAACCTTAGCTTTAATGGTAGGCCTAGACTCTATCTGTCATTCCGCTGTCAACCTGAAACCGAAACCCGATCGGCATCTGCCAGAGATGCACCCTTGGGCGGGTCTAGGTCTGACTTGCCCAGCGCTAAAGCGGCCCGGGGGCCCGCATGAACGACGCTCAGGCCAAGTCCTTTTTTCTCCCCTTCCTCCCCCCCCCATGCCCGCCTGCGCTCGACACCACTGTGCGGTGAATATACAATTCGATACCTAATTAGCGACCAGACCCCTCTCAGAACGACTGGGCAAGAAAGGAGTCAATTGGAACAGCTCCGCGGACATAGGTGCCCCTAGCGAGCCCGGTCGAACAAAGTCCGAGAAGCACGACCCAGCCTTGGGGTCTCGTGCGCAGACTCCATCTACTCCCCTGACGGCCGTGACGATTCATTCATTCGAGAACATCTCCTAGAGGAAACGGCCTTCGCGACAACCCCAGAACCCCACCGCCCGGCCCACAGACCCGACTAGCGACGGCGCGTCTTTACCCAGAGACCTCGGCTCCTGGCCCACAATACTCGACGATTGACTCGATTACCTCGTGCGTGAAAAGGAGGGAAGGCGCATGCACCAGTGCGCGTAACAACCATGCCGCAGGCTGCACGATGGGCGGGTACGCCATCTATCAAGGGGCGATCTGAGTCTACGCGGATGGCGCTGTTGACGTTTAGTTTGGTTGGATTGCAGTGCGTATCGCCCGAGATAGGACAAGAGGACATTTTGGGGAGAAACAAACCTTTGGAGAGTCAAGGTTGTTGAGGGCAATTAAGGTCGGTGACTGACTTTATGCTCGCGGATAGGTTTACTTGGGGCACTGAGATGACCTGTGCGTTCCTACCAATTCTGACGAAGGCGTGGACGACAATGCTAACTTTGGACATGCGGATAGATTGCACACCATATCTCCTCCAACTCGGCTTGACCAAATCCAAGACCTCCTTGGTATGGATTGCTGGACCACTCTCCGGCCTGATTATCCAACCTTTGATCGGCGTTATCGCCGACCGATCGCGCTCGAAATGGGGCCGACGGAGACCGTTTATGGTCTTTGGCTCATTCGTGGTGGCATTCTGCTTAATTGTTCTGGGATGGACGGCTGAGATTGTTGGCATGTTCGTCACGGAGCCCGAGAAGGTCGGTGCGGTACTACATTGTGATTTGGCGTATAGAGGTATGAAGCTAATTGGGGACATATGCTACAGGCTAAGAAAGTCACTATCGCGTTGGCTGTCTCCAGCATATATGCAGTGGACTTTTCTATTAACGTTGGTGAGTGGTACCCCCGCTTGAGGTTGAAGCGAGGCTGATAGGATTCTAGTCCAAGCGTGTTGTCGCAGTTTGATCGTGGATACGCTCCCGATTCCTTTGCAGCAGGCTGGGTCTGCTTGGGGTATGTTGATTCTCTCCTGTCTAGCTCGACGAAACGACGAAGTGCTAACGGTTCCCACAGCGGGCAGAATGTGCGCCATTGGCCAGCTGATTAGCTACGTGGTTGGCTCGATTGATACGGTTAGCATCTTTGGAAGTCTTCTTGGCGACACACAGTTCAAGCAGATGACGGTCATTGCGGCGATTTCTTTGATTCTCGCGGTGGCGGTGACGTCCTACTCTGTCAAGGAGCGCGTCCTGATCTCAGCGAGGTGGGTCAACTCAACCATTCCCATGGAAGACCGAGAACTCACAGATGAAAATAGGGATTCCGATGGGAAGGGCGGCGCGATTCAAGCCATCTCGCAACTGTTTAGAACGACAATGGAGCTCCCGCCTCGCATCCAGGCCATCTGCTGGGCGCAATTCTGGGCCTGGATTGGTACGAATACCTAAATAAACCCCACTGTTCCTTCCAGAAAGACACCCACTGACACGTAACAGGCTGGTTCCCCTTCCTCTTCTACAGCACCACCTGGGTCGGCGAGACCTACTTCCGCTACGAAGTCTCAAAAGACCAAGTCACGAAGGCCACTGACATGCTCGGCGAAGTCGGCCGTGTCGGCAGTCTCTCTCTCACCGTGTTTTCCTCAATCACATTCCTTAGCTCTGTCCTCCTGCCATTCTGCATCCAGTCACCAGATACCAAGCGCTCGCGTTTCACGCCCCGGCCACCACCCGGCGTCGCCGCGGCTCTCAAAGCTGTCACCGCCGTCCGACCGGATCTCCAAACAGCCTGGTTCATCTCGCAGATCATGTTTGCCGCCACTATGATCTTCGCACCGCTCGCGCACTCGCGCGCCTTTGCAACCTTCCTCGTAGCAGCCTGCGGTATCCCCTGGGCCATAAGTGGCTGGGCACCGTTTGCCTTCATGGGCGTCGAGATCAACAAATTGACCATGAACGGCGGCACCGGTGGTGGAGGGATGGCAGGGCAAGCTACGCGCTCCGGTGTGACGATGATCACTTCCGCGAGTGTGCGCAATTCAGCGGCCGACACCGAGCTGGAAGTGCTAAGGCTAAACCACCGCGACTCAGACAGTGACGGCGACGAAGAAGACCAATCCTCAAACATTCCATCCACGGGGGAATTAGCTGGCATTTACCTTGGCGTGCTGAATGTATATACCACGCTGCCGCAATTCGTCGGCACGTTCATCAGCTGGATTGTCTTCACGCTTCTTGAGCCTGGCGCACAGCCCAACAAGGACAGCGATTCCTCCGACACGCAGTGGATGAACCTGGACAAAGACAAACCCAACGCTATTTCCATCTGTCTATTCATTGGCGCCATCAGCGCCCTCGTCGCCGCCGAGGCGACCCGCCGCTTGCGGTATGTTCCCTAGACAGCCCTCCAGATGGGGCTGGTCCTTATGAGGGGCCATTACGACGTGATACAAAATAAACCAGCAAAACCAGGACAAAGCGCTTTATACCCGATGCATTGCATGCCTGTTACAATGGGAGGAAAGAGAGGTCCGCATAGAAGGGTCCTCGATTGGAGTTTGGCATTTGGGGCGTGTGTGCATACAGTAATTTCGGCGAAACTGTAGGTAATAATATTAATGACCATTGCAATTAATCCGGATCGCTGTCAAGCAGTAGCGCCTCGGACCGTTGAAAAGCTTGAGCCTGTGTGTCGAGTATATCCACCCAAGGTTCGTAGCTTAACCTGCGGCGCTGACGTCCACCCAATCCCAACCTCCGTCCCCCTAGATGTCGTCAATTGCCATTCCTACTCGTTGGATAACTCCCTCCAATGTGCCCCTCATTCCACACACCGCCATCGGAGGTGGAGTCGAATTTCTTTTAGTGAAAATGCTTGATAAGCAGCGATTAGGGGGGTGCAAGGTGGGGCAATGACGAGATGATGATATCGTGCAGCACTCAGCTTCCAGAACTTACCCAACCTTCCAACCATCTCTTTCTCACGGCCGACAATCTTGCTCACCCGCAAATACAGCTTCAATTTACACCGGAACACAATGGCTCCGAACGTTCTCGTCGTTTTGACCTCCGCGAACGAGATCCCCTCGCTGAAAAAGCCTACAGGCTGGTATCTGGTATGAAATGCCCCTCCATCGGGGTTCTGAGATGGGGCGTTATGCTCGGAATGTCCTGCTAGGCACACCATCTGACGCCCATCGTGACCCTCTTCAATTCGCCGCACCGGGAACAGTTACGGCTATAAGAATGCAGTGTATCGCTAACGGCCCGCTAGCCTGAGTTCGCCCACCCCCATGAAGTCCTCCACAAGAAGGTCTCCCTGACCATCGCCTCGCCCAAGGGCGGCGAGGCCCCGCTGGACCCAGCCTCAGTTGAGATGTTCAAGTCCGACCCAACCTCGGCGACCTTCCTGGAAGAGCAGAAGGCGCTGTGGACGAACACGCACAAGTTATCGGATGTCCTCGCGCGCGCGGACGAATTCGACGCCCTCTTCTACGTAGGCGGACACGGACGTAAGTAGTCTCTTTCCTGATCTTCATCCGAGCCGAGTCGAGGCGAGGCCCAGTGAAACAACCACCTAACTAACACCGCATCCAGCCATGTTCGACCTCACAACGGACCCCACCTCCATCGCGCTGATCGAGACCTTCGCCGCAGCCAAAAAGCCCGTTGCAGCCGTCTGCCACGGACCCTGCGTCTTCCTTAACACGACCGCCCCGTCCGGCGTGCCTCTCATCTCCGGCGCCACGGTGACCGGCTTCTCCAACGAGGAGGAGGACCAGGCGCAACTGTCGGCGGCGATGCCGTTCATGCTGGAGACTGAGCTGCAGAAGGTCTCGGGCGGCGGGTATGTCAAGGCTGATGCGCCGTGGGGCGAGAAGGTGGTTATTTCGAAGACGGCGGGGGTTGGAGGAGTGTTGATTACCGGCCAGAATCCGGCGAGCGCGACGGGAGTGGGGCAGGCAATCCTGCAGGCGTTGGGGGTTTAGGGTCCTGTTGACAAGCGACGGGATGTGTCATCCCATATGGGATTGAGGTAGTGAATAGTGATTTGATGAAAATGAATTTTGATTATATGAGTTGTGTCGTATTTGTGATTGCGAACATCGCGATAGCTGGGGCCTTTCACTATGGTCGTGATGTTGTTGCACACCGCGTGGCTGCAACTAGTGTGCCACTGGGCATCGAGTCCCCACAAGTGGAAAGTTTCTTCTGATTAGACTCCAATTGCATTGCGGTGGCGGTAATAATGAGGTGGAAGAACCTGCCTGGGTCTAACGGCCACCCTATTCGGTGATCAATTGTCCTAGCCTTTCGAGCTCTACTCCCCTACTCTTGGGAACCCAACGATTCAACTTTCTTCAATCCAGATCATATTGATATTTAGCAAGCTTCACCGGCATAAAGAATCCAGTAGCGAAAAAGGGGAATAGAGCAAGAACAAAAAAAACAGAAGACACAGCAGAAGCAGAAAGGCAGTCAATAAGAGTGCCCACATCGGCATCGGCATAGATGAGACGACGGAGGGTAAATAGAAAAGACAATAGACAGAAGACACTAGCGATAAAGGGGTAGTAAATAGGGTTCGGGGAACCGGATATCTATGTCCAGACGCCGTGTGGACCATCTGGACGGGAAAGTAATAATGGGAGCTCGCGGAAATGGAGATAAGAACAGAATAGAAACGAGGAACAGTTTGAAAAGAAATTGGGGGGGGGAGAATCGCAACCCAAAAAATCCGTTATTCGTATCGCGGCGTTTCGTCGGTCTGGTCCCTCGCCCGTTCGCGTTAAACCGTGATAGGGGGCGGCGAACCAGACGTCACTCCGGGCGGCCCTGGCAGAGGGACTATATGTGGTCGACCATACCTCCGGGGCTCAATAAGCAAACGCGAAGAACAGAGGTCTGGCGGCATAGAGAAGAACGGCATGCTGGAACAGGCGTAGGAAAAAGAAGTCTCGGGCTGTGCCAAGAGGCGCGAAGAAAGGCAGTCAAAAGGAAGACAAGGTCAAGGGAGAAGACGACATAGGAGAAAAAAAACGACAGAGATTCTGCCAGGTGGGCTTTTGGGGTATTGTTTTAGTGCGAGGCCTCCATGTTACCGGTCAACTCTGCAACACGCGCCTTGATACGGGCGACACGCGACTCAATGGTCTCCTCGCCGCTGGTATCGCCTTCATCCGTGCGCTCAGACTGACTGGTCCGCGCCTCGGGCTCCTCGCTGGTAACAGGGACATCGCGGCGCTCGGCCGCGTTCTTGCGGATCTGTGCCCACCGGTCCTCCGTGCCAGCGAATCGGCTGGTGTCGGGCTCAGTCGTGACTTCGGGCTTCAGGTCGTGACCGTGACCATGCCCGTTGGCCGGAGTCTTGGGAAGCTCAGCTTCCTTGGGGTGGGTGTTCACGGGCGATTCCTCAGGGACGAAGGCGGGCTGTTCGACCAGAGGGCCCTGGTCGAACTTGGAGAATTCCTGGTCGGCGGCATTGGCCTCGTTGGTGTCGACGCGGGAGAGGGCGTCGTACTCAACGGCGCGGCGGGTTTTGGGAGGACTGCCGCTGCCCTGAATTACCTGGGAAGGCACCCGGGGTTCCTCGTGCGCGGGCTCCACATTCTGCTGCGGAGTGACAGGCTTCTCAGTCTCGGGCGCCGGAGCCGGGGCAGGGGTGGGCTGAGCCGCAGCGGCAGGGGTAGGCTTCTTCCTAATAACATTCGGCTTGGGCGGAGAAGGGGAGCTGGAGTCCTGGGACTCCTTGGCCTTGGCCTCCAGGGCGGCGCGCGCCGCAGCCACCGAGGAGGACTCCTTAGCACCAGTGCTCTTCATGGGAGGCTGCTCGGCCTTCTTCTTGGCGCCGAACATGTTCTTGAAGCCGGTGTTGCCCGTCTTCTTCTTGAGCTTCTTGCCACTATCATCAATTGACTGCTTGGGCTGAGAGTCAGCAGGATCCTCGACGGCCACGGTGTTGGCGTGGTCCTTCTTGTCATCTTCAGGAACAGCCTCCTTGGCGGGCTCGGGGGAAGGAGGCAGAGGTGTAGCCAGGGCGCCGATTTCTTTAGGAGGCGGCGTCGGACCCATCTTGGAGGTGCTGGTGGGGAGAGGAGCAGGCGGCGTGACAGGCGTCTCGGCCGTCGGGGCAGGGGCCTCATCATTGGCACCACCATCACCGACATTGCCAGTGCCGGCGCGGGTGTTGCTCAGATAGGCAGCTCGGAAGGCATCCTTGTCATAGTTGCGTGCCCACTTCATCGCTGAGGAGGCTTCGTTCACGATAGCCGGCTGCAACGTCAAAACAGAGTTGGTCTTGGTCGAGAACGTGTCATCGCCGGGGCCACCTCGAGTCTGGCGGGCCTCCGCTTCCTGCTCGCGGTGCTTCCTCTGAAGAGCAGCAGCAGCAGCCTGGATCCTCTTGTGCTGATCAGGTCCAATACTGGTTTTGCTCTGCGGGGCCTGATTGTTGGACCGCTTGTACGACTCTTCAATTGAGGTCACTTTCTTGGCCGACGACTTACGGCGGCCCAGCTTGGCGCCACCCTTGCGGCTGCTGAAGCTGAAGAAGCGCTTCTTCTCGACAATTTGGGCGCCAGCCTCCGGCTCGGGGGCAGCACCTTTCACCTGCTCCTCAAGGACCAGCCATTTGGTATCCCGAATGCGAGTCTCAAGGAGGGCGCAACGGCCGAACACAGCCTTGCGAACACCGGGTTCATCGGCGGATAGACTGGTAATCCAAACCCACCAGAACGAATCATCTAGATCCAGAGTACTGATGCTGGCCAACTCGGCGGGCTCGAGGGAGGGCTCGACGTCCAAGCTGCGCTTGTGCGATTGCGAGCTCTGGCCGCGGGTGGCAGCAATCGGCGGGAGGACCTTATCTGGCGGCAGCAGTAATGGGCCAACTCGGTCCTTGAGGTTAGCTTCGTCCGCGAAGCCCGACGACATAAAGTCTGCCCAGGATGGAGTTGTGGGGCGGCCCAGATCTCCACCCTGCGACTGAGGTGCGGTTCTCATACCGCCGAGGGACTCACTTTTCGACGGCGGCGGCTTATTCTCCTCATCCTCCTGGTCCGAGTCAATGGCACCGCCAAATCCAATATCCTCGAAGCGGGACCAGGAGGCGTCGCGCAGGCTGGTCGATTGCTTGGAGCTCGACACGCTGGACTCATTCGTGGACGAAATACATTTTAATACGCGCAGACATTCATCTGTCAGGGCCTTGATGGGGTCTTCATAGTCGGCGAATTCTTGCAGGTGCCAATGGTCGTCACCGTATTCGAAGTTCTTTGCGCGACGTAGCAAAGAGAACGGTGTGGGCGAGACCGTATCTACAATCATCACAACTTTGGTGGTCGTGACCTGGAGCAACGTCGGCGTTTCGGGGGGGTATTCGGTAGCCTCCACCAGAGTCTGGAGAGAGATGGGCAACGAGGAAATGCCAGTGACACCACGGGGAACATCGGGCGAGAGGGAGCGAAGATAAGCGAAAAACAAGTGACTCGTTGCGTCGGCAGCACTGTACGCAGTCAGTATTCATCAGTATCCGGCAGGACAAAGACAATGGGATCATCATACGCAGCCCAATTCTTGTAAGAAGCCTCGAAGCCATTACCGGTATCGGTGTGCTCGAAAGCCCACCATCCGGCATATCGCGAGAGTTTCCGGCCTCCCAGCCCGTTAAGTTTGCCGTGAGCCGCAATAGCGGCTAGGAGGTCGAAGAAGTCGAAGATAATCTTGGTGCGGGCATCCGAGTCGACACTGATGGGAATGAACGTGGAAAAGGCATCGCGGGCCAGATCCGAGTCTAACATGGAGGTTTCAGCGTATGTCCCTTCCTCCGCTAGGGGGTTGTGGTGGGGGGCGCATAGTTCGTACCTTGCTCGCCAACCTTGAACAGTTCATAGGCCTCCCATGTAACCACACCGCCAGTCAGTCGACTCCAACACCATTTCATGACACTGCACAGGACCTATCCACCGGTAGGATTAGTCAGGGCATTCTTCCCCCGGAGATACGATTATTCCCTACCATCGGCTCCGTCAACCGCAGCTCCTGCATCAAGGCATCTCCACTAACGGGCGCCCCCTTTTCGAAGGACTGGTTGAAGTAGTTTCGGATGAACGTGCGGGCGGCGCTGGGATCGGAACTCGGACGAAAAGGCAGGAGCAGGAACGGGGTATCAAGAGCTAAGATCGGACGAATGATCAGCAATCCGGAGAATGCGCATGGCAGCCGTTGCACCACCACATGTGGGAACGGGATTCCAATTCACCCACCTCGAGCCTTCAATTCATGCGCACAGCCTCGGATGAGGTCCTGCACCTCCTCGGGGGCCACCTCTGTTCGCTGCCATGCATCGGTCCATTTCGGCTTCGCAGGGCCCGGGTCGGCGGCGGCGGCGGGTTTGGCCTGCTTTCGGGTAGCATTGGCGTCTTTGCTGCGAAAGACGCGCGAAAAGAAGGCCGGCATATTTGGGTGAGGGTGGGCGCGACCGCTATAACTGGGAAATCTTTTTTGTCGCAGTTAGAATACGGCTGGCTCTCGTCGGTTTGCTCTCGTCGGATTGGAAAGAAGGAGGTACTTTTTTTTTCCTCTCTGGGCCTTTCTGCAGCGGGGTCGACAAACAATTAGCCCGCGGGGGGATTCTCCTAATGAACCGGGTCCAGGATGCAGAGAACCGACGGATAATTAAGAAACAAGAAGTGAAGGGAACGAAAGCGAGCAAGGATAAAAGAGCCAGGCCGGGATGTCCTGCAGCCCCGGAGCAGGCTCAGGCAAAAAGGAAAGGATCCCCTGGTCTGGAATCCGTCTGTGCTCAGACAGAGCGAAAGTGAGCGAGTGTAGGGTGGAGGATCAACCGCGAGGGAACAGAATTAATGAAAAAAAGGGAAAGGAGGGACGATGGCAGGAGACGCAAAACAAGACAGAAAACGGTCGCGAGGAAATTCGCGATGCGATAGTGCCGGCAAGTTTCAGGGGTAAGGCGGGAAGGATTGGACTTACCAAAAAGTAGCGAGCTGGCACTGACACTGGAACTGGGGTCGAGACCGCCCGACACGAAAAAGCTGGGCACCGGAGACCCCACCCAAAGAGAATCAAACAAAGGAAATAGAATTAGAATGATTAGGGGGAGGAAAGAAGTGAAGGGCTGAATTGGCAAGTTTATTGTACGTATAGGGCGGAGTGGTGCGGAGAGTGGATGATACCGCTGGCGATCATCATCTCCAAACCAGGTTGCGCGAGCCAGGGTTCGGGCCCATGAGCTACTTTAGTGCGTTATTGCTGGAAGAGGCACTGACAGCCTAGTCTGGGCTCGCCTATGTCTGCAATGCCTGCAATGCCCTCCGGCTATCGTGGCGAGGTGACTGGTCCAACATGCGGAGACCAATCATGAGGCGACTGGTCCGTATACTTGCGCGACTGGTTGAAGTCTGGTGCACTGGTCCCGCCATCGGGTAGCCAGGAGGTAGCTGATCGTTCGACCCAGTTTGCGGCTGCCTGAATGGAGCATTTGAAAGGAGACTTTGAACCGAAGAAAATACATTTGAAACCGGCCGAAAAAGATCCGAAGACAAAGGGGAATATAGTTCGGGTGCGCTACGGTACGGTTGCAGGCCCCCTTCTACGGCATACACCATCCACAGAGCAAGAGGTGTTAGTGGGTTAAGAGCTAGTCATACCACGGTGCTCGGTGTACATCCCGCTTAAATATATCTTTTCATCAATTAGCACAATCTTTCGACCCCGGCGGTATATGCTGCACGAAGCTCGATGATAGCACTGGAATGGACCGACAAACGCGTCGCAGTTAAAACTATCTTGAAACGGAGGAAGACTGAGCTGGGGATCGGAGCATCGTAACGGTGAAGCTCAGGCCAACTTCCCCATGATTAGCAAGTCAATTAAGATCGGCGTAGCTAACTAACTACTAAGTTGGCGGCACTCAATTCATGTCAAATTGCTCTAATGGAATGCACAGGATAGTGACTCCACTCTGCTGCATACCTGCAGTCCCTTCCCCAGCGAACGGCTTAACCGAGGTGAGCATTGTAGTGGCAATTTCAAATACCAAGCCCATTGATCTCCAACTCGGCTCTCTTTATCTCCAGCACCACCAAACAATGAGCTCGAATTGTCGACATTTCCCTGCAGACAATACCCATAGATCTCGCGAGAGACTCGGTTTCAAGTGTTGAAACCCCAACAATTATCTCACCTAGTTGCATTGTATTTCTTTCTTGAGAACCCGGAGTTCTGAGTTCTTCCAAAGGATGGAAGAGTTGGGATTGTATCAGTTCCTCGAGTGAGGGGGGCGGTTGAATACCAAGCACCGTCGATCGGTACGATCGGAGTGGCTATCTCGTACAGCGTCCCACTATCCCCGGTGGCCTTGACAGCTCTAGAGCTTCATCGCAGCTTTGTTGTGCCGAGGCCAGTGGAGTGTGACGGGACGTGCCGAATGTATAAATAGAACGCCTAAGGCAGATGATGACATAAGCCAGGATTCCCTTCTTTTGCCCCTTCGAAAGGGACTGATTCTATCTTTAGAACCAACCTTTTCTGCATCGTCAATCAGCCCCTCCGTTCGACTTGCTCCACGGTATCGCGCCGCTGGTTCGTGGCCCGTCAAATTACCCCCCAAGACCCTGTCTCCATCCTCGATCATCCCTAGGGCGGCCACTCCTTCCTTCACCCCCCCCCCCTGGCTCGTGCGTTGCCTCTCAGACATTGTCGTTGCTCATCCATCTGCGACCTGAGCGCGACTATAGCAGACAAGTTCTGCCCTACGTTTCCGCGTGGTGTGTCTCTGCGCGTCGGAATATACTCGAGGACTCGAGTGGCTGGTTTTCATCTTGAAACCCCGCGAGTCCGAAGCAAGGCCACTCGGTCGTGTGTCTTACGCTCCTCGGCGCGCGCATTGTGCGCCCATAATTACCCATCATGGGTCGTAGAAAGATCGAGATCAAAGCGATCAAGGATGATCGCAACCGCTCAGTGTAAGTTCATACTAAACGAAGTGGGCTGATTTGACTATAACGCTGACTTCTGATGGACAGGACGTTCCTCAAGCGAAAGGGTGGTCTGTTCAAGAAGGCTCACGAGTTGGCCGTTCTTTGTTCAGTTGATGTCGCCGTCATCATCTTTGGCCATAACAAGAAGCTCTACGAGTATTCCTCGTGTGACATGCATGAGGCTCTCGGTCGCTATCAATATGTGAGACCTTCCGTTTGTTCCCGGGTGTCGGATAGAATCCCCAGCTAAACATGATTTTCTCTTCTGTAGTTCGGCCCGCCGCATGAGCACAAAGGTCCCGATGACTTCGCCGGCAAGCGCGATGACGATGACGATGAAGATGAGACAACCCCAGCGCCCGAAGAGATGCAAGCCCAACAGACTCACCCCGCCGTCCCGCCTCATCTTCAACAGCCCGGTTTCCAGCACGTCAATCATGCTCCTTCCGCGTCTCCCCCGATTGCGCACAATGGTCTTCCGATCTCGCGACACGGTACGCCGCAGTCGCAGATGTCTCGTCCCTCATCTAGGAATCATGTTCGTCGCGTCAGCTCAAACCTCGGACCGCATGGTCATGGAACACCCCCGCCTCCGGCATCCCAAAACGGATATTATATGGCCAACCCCTCGATGTATAACCCGAATGTTCACAATGCAATGAATCAGCCTCGCCCCGGTCCATATGCACAATACGGTCACCCTCCACCCGGTCCACACGGAACTCCACCACAAATGCACCACCACCAACATGTACCCGGCCAACCAATCCATCATCCGCAAGCTCCTCAGCACTTCCAACATGCGCAGGTAGTCGCACAGCAACAGATGGGAATGCCACCGGGATCACATGCAGCGGTCCAGCAGGTGTCGCAGCCTTACATATCAGAGCCCGGTCGAGGATCTATGCCTCCGGCCTTTGCCCCGGAGCCTCAACAGGAACGCACAGTACCAGTCCCTGAAACTTCACAAGATAATGCAGCGGGTGCGATGAAGACAGAACATAGCCAGTCGCCACCGCAGCCCAAATCCTTGTCCAAGTCCCAGTCTCGTAGTATCTTTACTCCCATCGATGACCGTGGATCTGTTCTTGCTCGCCAATTTGGGTTTTACGATTCTCCGCAAGGGCAGGGGGGCCATATGTTGAAACCCGAGCCTCCACATGATCACTTGCCTGAGACCAGGACTGCTCTTAAGAAAAGTGCAGCCTCGGAGCCCCCGCGTCCGCAGTCGATATCATCAGCTGCCGAGATCAAACCACCATCGCGGATCAACAGCGGCCCACTTACATCCAAGCGGCCACAGTTAAAGGTCCAGATTCCAAGCGAGAATTCTGACCGGGGCAGTGCAACAGGTGAATCATCCTCACGCGACTCGGCGGGCAACAAAACCGTGACGCCGGCCAAGGATAATCCCCCTGCGGGAGTGGTCCTACCTCCACCGTCCCCTTCGGCAGGAGCGATTCTCAGTGCCGGTGCCCAAGGTCCGCCAAATCCCTTTGCCCGTCCTCCTCCGCCAGGCGCCACCGGCCAAAGCAACTACGGCAACAATGGTAACAATGCCGGCAATAGCGGCAGCAACTCGACCAACATTGAAACTCCGATCTCCGCGCTTCCCAGCCGCTTCGTTTCAGATGCCCTCCTTCCATCCCCCTCCAGTTTCTTCCCCGAGTGGGGCTTTGGCCGTTCCGGCCCAGACTCGAACTTATTGCCGAGTCCGCTCACCTTCCCGACGCCGGCGGTCCCAAGTGGGCCGGGGTTTTCACGGGAAGATGAGCATGACAAGAAACGCAAGGATCCAGACAGTGGGCCCCCTGCGGAAGGAGCAAGCAAGAAACCGAAGACCTAGCAAATTGGCATTCGGCGTTGACCTGGCAGCCACCGCCCCGACGCCAAGTTCGAACCTCCCCATTCCCTCTATCTGCATATCCTGGTTGGTATTTGATATCCTCTCTCCCCTATTCCTTGAACCTCCCACACTCTCTTCCTGCCGTCTCGCTTTTCCATGTCCTATTTGGTTGAGTCTGGGATCTTCTGCTCTCTATACCCCCTCTTGATACCTCCCCCTTGATTCTCTCTCGTGTCCATTTCCCTTGCCCTTTGGTTACGCCTCGCATGTCGTGATATTTTCATCCGCCACTTGGACCGTTCCTGTGCTCTTTCTCTTTCTTTTTCTCTTCCTCCTCTCAATTACATTTCTCATGTTCGTATGTACTGGTTTCATCTTTCGTCTCAACAATTTTGGATTATGGATTCGGCGTTGATGCGTTGGCGGTTTGGATGATGTACATAAGGTCTTACTAGGAATAGCAATGTTGAGTACGTCTGGGCTGGAAACCACTGCCATCCGGCACTTCTTTGCCCCGTCATCTGACCATCCACATCACTTTCCGAGTAAAGTTTCCTCGGAGCTACACGAACCGTGCCAGGATAAATTGCCCTCCAAGCCCCGCAGATCTTATACATCACAAACCTAATTTAGCTCAGCACCCCTTGGACGCTCTGAAAAACGGGGTTACCATCAAGTAAGAAAAGCCAGTCTCGGCTCTCGGCGATTGCAAGTGGGGGGAAAGCCCAATTGAAGGCCGAGTAGAAAGTAGAAGCGAACGGGGACTCCGCCAGGACACACGGCAGGACCGCCCAACAAACCCCCCTTCCCCGCTTCTTCCTTCTTGCCTCTTTCTGCCGACCTTGGATTCCACCAAGGTACACACATTCAACCGCTAAACTCTTGCGGACCATCACAACAATGCCTTTTACCGGGAGCTGCATGTGCGGTGGCGTCACTTACGCCGTGGGAGGTTCGTGTTCGCGTCTCTTGATCCATTCGACCGAGAATGGACCTTGTCTTCGAGAGGCTGATTTGCAAGGATAGTCGACAAGTATATGGCAGCGCTGTGCCACTGCACGGATTGCCAGAAGGTAAGGCCTCTAGTCTCATCTTACCTGAGTTATACTCCAGCCTGGCCAATGCTCACAATCTCCTTCACTCCAGTGGACCGGCGGCGGATTCACCTCCAACGCTGTCGTCCCCCGCACCAGCGTCACCGTGACCAAGGGTAACTCTCTCCTCCAAATTCGCAGCGTTATCCCTCTCTCTCTCTCGCACGCACAAACACTAGTCTAACCCTACCCTTCACCCTAGGCACCCCCAGCACCTACGATATCACCGGCGACTCGGGCAAGATCAACAAGCACATCTTCTGCCCGACCTGCGGCTCGGGCCTGTTCACCGAGCTGGAAATCATGCCGGATATGACGTGCGTCAAGGCGGGCACGCTGGACGGCGGCGAGGCGAACCTAGGCGGCAAGGTTGATATTGAGTTCTACGTGAAGGATCGTGCGAGTTATCTCGCCGGTGTCGAGGGTGCGAAGCAGGAGCCTGCTTTTGGTGCCTAGATAAAAGCTGGTCAGAGCAAATGTAGGCGTGTTGGGGGGGGGGGGGGGGGGAGCGGCGTTTGGTGTGGAGTGGATGCGGGACATTGGGGGACAAGGTCTACATTGCTGTGTGGGACGCATTTGAACCAGTAGATAAGTTAAGTCGATACGATGAAATTGAAGGAAGTTGGCGCAGTCGATGGCGCTTTCCATGTCCATTGCTAGACAGATGTACGCATACGTTGCTCCATATTGTTCGGTGTAGTTGGGCGGCCGTTCGTATCGGCATGTCATTGATAAGCTGCCCTCAGGCTTCTTTACGTGGGTCCACACCTCCTCACCCGGCCCTCGCTGACCCCGATGGTAAGCGGCTCGCCAGCTCTGGCATAATGACAGAGCTCACAGGCATTATCTAGGGCTGACGGATCCAATTTCAGACATTGACCCGTTCTTCAGAAGGTTGAGAACACCCGGGGATCCGATCTATAACTAAAGGCACCCGCACCAACCCTAGCCCAGCGGCGCAAAACTCTTCCCATCCCGAGTCATCCTAGTAAGAGAGGCCAGCACCTCGAACCAATATGGCCCATCAGGATGGCCCCGTTCTCTCGCGCCGTGCGCATAATGCCTCGACCGAAGCATCGAAGAACCTGATGTGGGACATCTTGACCGATGCTTGGTGCCCAACGTCCAACCCCGGCGGCTACGTCAACGTCGGTGTAGCAGAGAACGCCCTCATGCACAACGAGCTCCTGCAGTACCTAAACCAGAAGCTGGATCTGCCCGCAGAGTACCTCACATACAACGACGGCGGCGGTGGCTCGATCAGACTGCGGCGCGCTATTGCACAGTTCTTGACCCGCCACCTGAACCCAGTGACGCCGCTAGATCTGGACCACTTGGTCGTCACGAATGGCGTCTCGCCGGCCATTGAGCATGTCTCGTGGGCGTTTGCGGATCCCGGAGAGGGCATTTTACTGGGAAGGCCGTACTATGGCACTTTCATTCCTGATCTCTCGACGCGGCCGGGGACCGCGGTTGTGCCCGTGAGTTTCGATGAGGTGGATCCATTCTGCATTGAGGCAGTATCCAAATATGAAGATGCACTCCTCACCTTCCAGAAGTCTACTGGGAAGAAGGTCCGGGGCTTGATGCTGTGCCATCCGCATAACCCACTGGGCCGATGCTACCCTCGCGAGGTGCTGATTGAGTTGATGCGGCTGTGCCAGAAGTATCAAATACACCTGATCAGCGATGAGATCTACGCGCTATCCGTCTTCGAGAACCAAGTCGATCAACACCCTCCCCCGTCAAGTTCAAGTCTGCCTTGTCGATTGATTTGAACGGCATCGTCGACCCGCGGCTCGTCCATGTACTCTGGGGAATGAGCAAAGACTTTGGTGCGAACGGGATCCGCCTCGGCGTGATCATCTCCCAATCAAATCTGGACTTCCACTGGGCGTTGAGGGCAATTTCGCTGTATTCGTACTCCTCCGGTATCGCAGATCATTTGGCGGCGGCTATGCTGGAAGACAACGCGTTCACTGAGGGGTACATCAAGGAGAACCAGAAGAGACTGTCAGAGTCGTATGCGTACGCCGTTGGTTTCCTCAAGAGCCATCAGATTGAGTACGCAACCGGATGTAATGCCGCGTTCTTCCTTTGGGTGGATCTGGGAAAGAGATACCGGGACCTGCATCCCGAGGTGTCGGCGGATGAAGAAGTGGGAGAGCAGGTCATGGAGCGGCTTCTGAAGGCGAAGGTCTTCTTGGCTAGCGGGGCTTTGTTTGGTTCGGAGAGGGACGGGTGGTTTAGAATCGTGTTCACGCAACCAAGGGCTTATTTGGAGATGGCCCTCACGAGGATTGTTGCTGCTTTGGAAGGGTAGGGTCTTTCGGACTGTGCACATATTTGCCAATCACCGCCGCCTCCTAGATAACTGGCAAGATAATCCCCGGCGAAGGGTAAATGGGAGAAACAGTATTCAAAGCTCCTCCGCAGATTTGAAAAGGAAACAAAGGCGAAGAGCGTATACGATCAATACCCGTAACAGAAGACGTTCAACTCACCATTAGCTATACGCGGTCCAGTCTACGAATACGTAGCCAAACCTTAACCTGAACAATTCTATTAAAGACATAGAATTAGTCGATTCTTCAGTTCCAGCCAGGCAAAACTCTACGATGACTTTTAGTAACGGCGGAGGGACATAGATAAACAATATAGACCGCGACAGTAAGCAGCAGATGAACAACAATGCGCATATCGGAACCCGATAGTCAAATTCCGGTAAGGAGCAGACTAAATGGAATATTCTCGCATTCTATAATAGCGTAATTGTTCCATGCGGCCTATAAAATGGGTGGTTTGCAGAGCGTTAAGACAGTATAATATTTCATCCTAATAAACTTTTCTTCGAAATGCAGTATTCAAGGCTACACTGAAAGAGACTAATCGATCGAGTACTCTCTTGTCTGCTCCGTACAAGATCCCAAAGCCTTAGAAAGTAGTGCGATGATTGGCCATGGAAATCGGCGGCTATCTAATTCAAGACACACGCAAGGTGCATCTGGAGAACCTGGGACGATAGACCTGTCAACTTTGCGTGATCTGCCTTGCTCGACACCAGCCAGATTGCTCCATATTCAACCACTAAACCTGTGGTCCACAGACGGAGGTACTAAACTGTCGAAGCAACTAGTCTAGAAAATGAGATCAGAGAAAAAGAAAAAGATCACCTGGAATCCTAGTATGTTTATTTTTTTCCACTATTTGCACAACTTCGTTACTTTTAACGCACCGCGAAATCCCGGCCAGGCCCGGAAACCAAAGGTCAGAGCCGAATTTCACGACACGGATGCAAGGCGCGACAAACCCCAGAAGAAAGGCCAGCTAGCTATGCGAATATTTGATTAAGTACATATGAATTAGACATTGAATATTGATAGCGAAGAGTGAAGCACCCCCACTGAGGTAATAAAAAGGGTATCAAAAGGTTCCGGCCGGGGCAAACCTAAGCCTCCGCCTCGGGTTTGCCCTCGGCCTTGCGCTGGGAGTCCATCAGCTCCTGGCGCGCACGCTCCTGCTCCTCGAGACCGGTTTTGCGGATGGTATGCGTCTGGGTCAGTTCGCGGGGGCGAATGAACAATGAGAGGATGAAGCCGACGCCACCGACGGCAGTGTAGAAGATCCACATACGACTCAGGGCGAACGTAAATGCCTCGAGGACGACCTGGCGCTGGGAGTCGGTCAGGCTCTTGATGAGCTCCTTGGAGGAGCCGGCGAAAGAGGAGGAAATTGCGGCTGTGCGCTCGGGGCCGATGGCTGCGATGAGCTTGCCGGCTTGTTGGCTGATCACGTTCTGGTAGATGACTGTTCCCAGGACGACGGACATGGATGTGGATAGTTGGCGGACGAAACCGAAGGTCGCGGTCGCGGTCGCCATATCTGCAGGGCGGATGTTGGCCTGGAAGGCGACGAGAGGCGCTTGGAAGTTAGGGCCGACACCGGTACCGGCGATCAGCTGGTAGATGACAATGCGCGGCCAGGAGGCGTAGGGCTTCAGGTCGATCAGCAGGCCAAAGCCGAGGGTCATGCAGAACAGACCCGCGACAATCATCTCATGGTAGCGACCAGTCTTCTTCATGACGATGCCTGTACCGGCCGAGACGATGGATAACGAGAGGACCATGGGCAAGGTGTAGACTCCGCTGAGAATAGGGGAGGCCAGGAGGACGGTCTGGAAGTATAGAGGGAGGTAGTAGGCGCCGGAGATGAAGACGAAGCCGTGGCAGTAGCAGACCATGAGAATGAGGATGTTGTTTCCCTCACTGAACAGGCGCAAAGGGATGATGGGGTACTTGGCGAGTTTCCATTCCACGAGCATGGCACAAACCCAAACGAAGACGCCGAAGACGATGAGGCAGATGACAGTGGCTGATTTCCAGGGGTAGTTGATACCGCCGAATTCAAGACCGAAGAGGAACATAAGGGTGCCACCAACGATCAGGAAAGTCCCTGCCCAGTCGATGCTACGAAGGCCAGCAAGGAAGGGTGTCTTAGGGGACTCGATGGAAAGGAAGAAGAACAGAATGGCGAATGAGAAGCCGCCGATGGGCACTGCAGGGTCTGTCAGCTCAAGGCCTCAAGAATTGGGCGAGGTATATTCACATACAGTTCAGGTAGAAGCACCACCTCCACGTAACATTAGTGGTGAAAGCACCGCCGATGATAGGTCCCAGCGCACCGGCAATAGCCCAGGTAGCACCAAAGAGGCCGTAGTACATCGGACGTTCTCTATGCAAGAGTCAGCTCCTGCTGCTATAGAAAGAAGGGAAAACCTGCGACTCGACATACCTCATGCTGAACAAATCTGTCACGCTGATATTGGCCAGGATGATAATGCCACCACCCCCGATACCTTGAACCGCCCGACCAGCGATGATCATACCCATATTCTTGGCCAGGGCGCAAATCAAACTGCCCACGAGGAACCACACGTTGGCAAGCAGGATAATCGGCTTGCGGCCCCAGATATCACTGATCTTCCCCCACAGGGGGATACAAGCTGCATTCGCAAGAAGGTACGAAGACGCGATCCACGAATAGCCACTCTCCGAGGCACCAAAATCAGCCGCAATCGTTGGCAAGGCCGTCGAGATAATGGTCATGTCCAGCGCAGCCAGGAACAGCGCCAAGCAGAGCGCAAGCATGACCACGATGATCTTCTTCTTCCCCATCTTCTGCGCCTGCGAGGGCGCGCGGTCTAGCGGTGCGCCAGAGGGCGGCGTCTCGATTGCATTGTCCTCGTTGTCCTTCTCTGGGTCCTCCGTTTGGACAGGTATATCAAGCTCGTGGTCGTGCTCCTGGCCCTGCTGCTTTACCTGCACAGCAGGTGAGGATGTTTCGCCGGGAGGCTTTTCCGAGGACCTCTGCGAGACGACCGTAGCGTCGCTCGACGAGTCATGATTCTGCTGCATGCCCGTCATCGTCTCTCAAAGCGCAGGCGAAAATTGCAATCTTCCACAGCAGCGAAAGCGACCAGACCGAAGCGAGAGGAGACAGGGGAAAGTTTTCGGTGGGGTCAAGATGGTTGCAGCCAAAACAGGTAGCGCGTCGGAGATTAATATCGATCGATCGACTTGCAGCTTCCGCAGAAAACGAATCGCCACGGGGTTCCCAGTAGGGCTCAGTTTGTCGTCTCGAGACTTATCGACCTTGAGGAAGGGCGAGTATAATCAGCACCGCATGGCTTGCTTTAAATGGGACGCCCGGAGCTCGTGATGGAAGGAGTCATCGGAGGAGGATGCTCGGACTTAATACTGGGTCTGACCCAATGGGCTCGGCCTGCGGAAGTTTGGAAGGCCGAAACACCGATCGCGATCGGAGACGATCCAGGTACAGGTGCAGACGGGCCAAGTTGACAAGATGCGATTCATAGAGCTTCGTCATGGTGATCAAGCCGTTTGGAGGGCGATTTCAACGTGGACGCATTCGGGGGTAACTTGCGTTCTTGCATACTTGTGTTTGTTGTTGAATCGTCGGTGCTGCCGTGGGTTGAAGTACAGCTAGAAAAAGCAAAGATGTGGGGCGATAACGTTCTCCTTTCTTACTATCGGCCGACCTGCTCGAACAATATTGGCGTTGACCGTAAAGCTCATGGATTTCAGGTCTGTCGAATGAATAGCTGGCAAGCTTGGTTTTACTTCGATCTATTCTTTCGATGGTCCCGTACACCGTCTTCCCATCCCGCGTGGTGCAGCCTGCAGCATTTACTCCGTACGGTGTGCGCCACATTCCGAGCTGACTGGTCGCAAGGTCGGAGACTTTTCGCGACGCCGGCATATGGATAATCTCCGGACGATCGAGAATAATAGAAGGAATACCAGGATGTTCAGGCCGGAAATCGTCTCCACAAATCGAGGTGGCTGATTTGGCTACCGGAAACGGAAGTCTAAAAAGTACACCAGATAATATGGGAATAACTAGATCTGAAAATAAAAAAGCTAGATCGGAGGAACCTTTCTCTACAAATAATTTGACTGACAACGCCCAGATCAACATGCAATGGTCGTTTCCTGAAACTCTTAACATGAAGCAGACGGGGAAGAGAATGGGAGTATGGGTATAATATAGAGAACGTCAACCACTCGAGAACCAGAAGAAGAAGAAACGAGAGCCAACGTAGATAACGACCCCAAAAAGTCGCACTGGTAGATGTAAATTGCACAATGCAGATGCCGTGCGCCGAAGGGCGGATATCTATTAATCCTGCAGCAGGATGATCTCTGCATCCATATCGCGGTCAGCACTCATGTCCCCAAGACATCCAATCCAATCTCTCTCGAAAGAGGCCAGACGTACCAGTCAGGAACTCCTCAAAGCTCACGGTAATATAACCGTCCCGATCCTCGTCATACCGCTTAAACACATCCGTCATTCGCTTCAGGCTAATACCAGCCTGCACAAACAGATCAAAGCTCATCCCGTTGTGGTCAGGGTTCCTCGGCGGCGCATGTATCTGCCGAGTCTTGCTCTCGAATGCAGTGAACAGCACAGACACAAACTTCGGGCTGAGCCGGTACCCGAACGCGACCAGCGCCTTCTCGAACTCCTGCAAGCTGATGCGCCCGCTGCGGTCCTCGTCGAACCGGTCGAACAGCTCGCGCCACGCCGCCAGGTACTTCCATAACGAGACAAACTCATCGAAGTTGATGATCCCATTACCGTTCCGGTCGAACATGCGGATCATCATTTTCACCGTGCGCGGGTGGAAGGACGTATAGTCGCCGTTCACCAGGGCCGAACCGAGCTCTTGCTCGGTGAGTGAGCCACTGTGCGAGGAGTTGGCTGCACGGAAGAGGGGGAAAAGATGCTCTGGGTCATTGCTGGGGGCGGATAGGGGTGGGGGTTGGGGGGATTGCGGCGGGCGCGACGCGGGCGGGGGTCGACTGAGCTGCGGCTGTGATGGCGGCGGGCCGAAGCCGTAGTTCTGAGGAGGAGGGGAGGGATGTAATGGGTGAGGCCGGTATTGGGTTTGGCTTGGGGGAGGAACGTTCGCGGGCGAAGGTCGACCGTTGTAGGAATGCGGAGGGGCGGCGTTGTATGCGTGCGGCCCTGGAGCATTGGAGACGGGGACGCGAGGGGGAAACGCACCGCTGGGCGCTGACTGCGGTGGTGGGCGGGACGGAAGCGGTTTTTGAGTCTGTGCATTATGGCTGTTGCCTCCAGACACCTGCATATTCCCGATCATCTGCGCGACCTGGCGACGGGGTTAAGTATGGTGAGATAGGTGGGGGAGAGGGCCAGGCAGCAACATCCTTGTAGCTTACCTGCTCAGGCTCCGCGTGCCTATGACATTCCACCAAGTTAACGATCGCCAGCTCTTCACAAGCATTGCGCCAGGGTGTAGGAACTCACGCTGGCAGCGCGTCGGGGTTGTAGCTCTTGTTGTAGGCCATGGTCGCCTGGCACTGACGCAATCGGATTGGGAGCGGAGCACAAGGCACACAGGGATGGGATGACCTCGCGAAAGCCAGACTCAGGACGTGAACAATAGACACCACAAACCAACGAGAAATCGGAGAGTACTAAGGAGGGCAAATGAGGGGATATGGAAGAAATCCGAGGGGAAAGGAGGACGGGGTTGTTCACGTTCTCAAAGCGGAGCCGTGGGGCGGCAGTTCAAGACGAATTTTAAGTGTTCGGTCAACGCCAAGTAAGAAAACGACCACGAAATTGGAGCTTGCGACGCCAATCTTCTCTCCCCCCACTTATCTTCTTCCAGTGGTCGCTATGCGGTGGGTTCAATGGTCTGTCCCTGGAAGCGAACATCGCCAATAACACCTACCCTCAGGGGGCCACTCAGCCCTACCGCCGCGCTTGACAATGCCCAAAAGGTAGCCGCCGGCATGCCCACTCAAAATATGCCTCGTTGCGAAACTAAACCTCTGCAACCCACGGTCTGATGGCCAGCTGAACTAGGCTCCACTCGGCCTATAAATATACCCCAGTCAGAATACGAACGATACGAGCCCCGCGTAGCTTAGGCGTTGACAAGCCATAGTATGCCCATCTCAGCTATGATCGCTGGATGATCGTTCGTACTTCTGCTGCCTGCTGCGCCAGCACATTAAGAATCTCCTCCCACGCCTTGGCTTGGAGCTCTTTCCCTTCAGGTCCGGTAGTGAGGGCCTTGGATTCACTGGAGAATTGTTAGTAAATCCGACCCTGACCCCCAACAACCCAATGGCGGTTGCTCTTACTCAAGATACCCATCGTTCCGCCAGCATCTACCCTGCGCTTCCGCGCCTTGAAGAGCCCCGCTCACTAACAACCGACTGCCCTGCTCGGTCGTACGAGCGAAAAGCTTGTACATGATCCAGACAAGCCATCGTTCGTATAATCGGTCATATTGTCGTCCTAGAGATGACTGGCAGAGTCCAGGGCTAATAGTATTAACAATGACAGGCAGCGTGCCATCGTCATTGCGAGCGAGATTCGAGATGGTTTTCATCACATACTCTAGAAGCAATTTTGAAATGCCATATTGTTTCGGGCCTTGGAAGCGATCTGGAGAATTCAAATGTTCCAGCAACGGCCCCTCAGTACGGAGACTTTCCGCTTTGACGCGCACAAATTGTTGACTGGAGACAACACTTAAGTGTGTCGGCTCCGAGACAGACGAGCTCGCTCTCAACTTCGGAAGAAGTAACAAAGCCAGTAATGACGTTGACAATGTGTTGACCTGCAGTGTCTCTTCCCAGTTCTCGGGCGACTGTGCATACTCACGGTTCCACAGACCAGCATTGAGCAGTGCAACATCCAACCGCTTGAGCTCACTGGTGGCACGATTAGCGAAGCTTTTCACGCTTTGGAAGCTGCTCATCTCGAGCTCCCAGATTTGGATAACGCCAGGGCGGTTCGTGACTTTTTCAAGCTCTGTTTTTGCCTTGTTACCACGCTCTAAGTTGCGGCTTCCGATGACTAAAGAGTCCACACCGAGGTTCAGAAGCTTGATGGCGGCTTCATACCCCAAACCCGAAGTCGCACCGGTCAACAGAACTGTTTTGCCGGCGAAAGAGAAGAGAGGGTCTGTCGGGGGAGTGTACTGCATCTTGAGGAGACGGAAGAGCCCTGCCATATTGGTGGACTAGTGTTTTGGTAAAGAAGATGGCGTAGAACAAGTGGCGTTCAAAAGAGATATAAACTCAAGAATCCAAGAGGGAAGAGGAATGTTGACCATCACCGGTTTCGCGCCTCAGGCACAAATAATTTAGTCATAGCCCATGGGCAGCCAATCAGCAACCGAGTATTCTACTGTACTTCAACACACCACACCACGACTTTGAGCGTTATGGAGATGGAGGTTTGGCCTACTTTCCATCTGTTGACAGGCACTCATGCACAGGAAGAAAGAGATAAGTTGATGGGGAAAATATTATGGAGTTACCTTCCAATTATAAGACTCCCCGCTGCACTCATATTCACGAAGGAACGCAAAAGGTAGGCTTGGTTGGAGAAGGTATGAACGCGGAAAGATAGAAATAATTTGTTGTTGGGGTATAGTAATATAATTGAGGGTACAGGATACTAGTATAAAATATCCATCGACGCGTGGAATATAGATTTTCTTTTGCAGATAAGCATCGAGATCCCTGGCAAAAGCTTCCGAAGTGTTAATGCCCGCATCGCCCTTGGCATGGCAAGACCAGAGCCGGCTGTAACATAAGTAACCTGGGGAGCGTTGTAAGCCCAAAGCAAAAGAGGTTCAGATGAAATTCATCCTTAGGCGTCGATTCAAGCAGACAATGGCAACTTATCTAGTAGCCATCTGCGGGAAGGTCAATCGTAATATGACTGCCTTTTTCAGACTGCCTCTCCCAGAAACCAAGACAATCTGCGTGACCGACGGGTGATGTTCGCCCTGCACGTAGATGCTTTCAGGTAAACTGATGTAAATCGGCTGCTCTGCTCGTTCTTCTCTTGTCTCACATCATGCATGCTAGTTGCTTCAATTCTACTAGCAGATTGCGGGCTGCCGGTACATGTTCCGGAACGGAATTGAGATATTTCCGTGAATCAGTCAGCCTGGTACGTCCTGGCTCATGGTTCTCTCCGCCGACTCTACTCTTCCGGCGCTTTTCTAAACATCTTAATCAGTAGGATGGTACTACATTGGCATGTATGACTAGTTAGGTGGTGTGTGGGGAAAAGCCGGAGAAGGCAACTCACCAACTCCCACGCCTTGGATTCCTAAATCCTCTGGTAGCATAATCGATAAAAACACTCTTTGTAATTTGCGCTCGAGCAGCATTCATCGTTGAAACAATTATTCAGCTTCCATACCTTACTTTTACATGTGACTGGCACCATCTCAACCCCGCCGCGATGGCGATATGCGAAGAACAAACACTGCAAACACATGGGGTAATCTGGATTTCTCAGCGACGGCCGACGATCCAATAAATCTATACCGGACATACTTGGGAGTTTATACATACTAAATTAAACGCCCCCCCTTCTCTCATAATTACTGGCGTGGGTCTGTTCCGTCAAGGAGAAGTGTCTTGTAGCCGCTCCTTTGGAACCAACAATTGCAGGCGCCCGCCTCGATAGCCCCACCAACAGATATATCTCGAGTCGAACAGGATGGCGGCTACTTTGCAAGGGCACCAGGTGCATCCCGATGGACGGGCGTGGAAAGCGCACTTTCCGAAAGGAGATCTCTGGGTGTTTGGATATGGGTGAGTGGATCTATCAATTTCATCAACGCTGGACGAGCCACCATTCAGCCCCGCCCTCTTCGTGCCCTCCAAGTACATACAGTACATACGCTAAACCCAAATCTAGAAGCTTGATCTGGAAACCACCACCACACTACGGTACGCATGAGTGACATTATCCCTCCCACTCGGCAAGGTGGTCCTTGCATAGAACCCATATCTACCAACCGGTGGTTGTTTCACACCCAGATCAGCTAACGACGTCAACATCCAGACCAGCGGGTCCCAGGCTACATTAGCGGCTACGTGCGGCGATTCTGGCAGGTATGCGAATCCTATATCCCCAGTAACAAGTGCCCCCTTGCCTTCCTATCGTAGGGTGGTAAGGTTGGTGTGTCCAGTCTAGAGCGATCCAAGCTGACACAGACCCGGGGTGGCGTTTCTCTTTCAGGCTAGGTATGTTCCAACATGTGGGCGGGCCGCCTGGCCGGTCCAGCTTGAATGGGTCTCCAACATCCAACTATCAGGGAACTGTGGCCGCTAACAAAGCGCGAAATGATAGCACCGACCACCGGGGCACGCCGGAGCAGCCCGGGCGAGTCGTGACCGTGATCGAGCGCGGATTCTGGGAGACGCTGGATGATCCGGTATGAGCTAGTTTTCCCTGTTTCTACTGTGTCTGCTTATCTCGCGGGCGGCATGGCTTTTTCGAAGTGCCGGCGATTCCTTCAGCCTCAGCCTTAAGCAGCGTCGCCGATCTCGCACTTGCACATCTCAGCTAACTCAATCCCGATAACCGCCCCCAAATAGCTAGCGCACTTGGAATCCGAGTCCGCCTCCACCGGCAAAGTCTGGGGCGCCGCATATCACATCCCCGCCTCGCATGCCGAGGAAGTCCACGACTACCTGGACGAGCGGGAAATCGACGGCTACAGCGTGCGCTTTACGCCATTCCACCCCACGTCCGGTCCCTCAGAAGACCCGCAGGAAATTGCCAATCATGCCACACCGATTACCTGTATGGTGTATATCGGTCAGCCGAGTAACCCCCAGTTCTTGCGCAACCCTCAACACCGTGAACCGCAGGACGTGGCGCAGGTCATCAATGCTGGACATGGGCAGAGTGGGAAGAATACGGAGTATTTGTATTTGCTGGAGAAGGCGTTGGAGGGACTAGGGCTGGGGACTGCGGATGTGCATGTTACTGATCTAGTGAAGCGAGTCAAGGCTATTGAAGCTGGTGATCTGGCGGTGAGGGAGGAACAAGAGGCAGAGCAGGATGTGAAGAAGTATTTGGCAAGCGCACCGGCAGAGTGCGTGCTCGGGGATAAGATTGAATGAGCCGTTGCGGCCATTCGAGGCGATGGGGCCCTCGGGGAACAACCGTGGCGGCGAATAGATAGATAGACGAGACAAGACCCGAAGACTGGCCGTTGCTGAATACCGCAGAAAGAAGATCGGGACAGAGCACGCTCGGCTGTGGGACAAAGGGCACCAGCTGTAAATAGATGTCATCCCAGCAGATCTCACTGACGCACTGTTCTTAACCTAGAATAAGACATTTATCCTTCAATACTGGAACACGCATCGCATCTTATGACAATACAGAGGAAGAACGCAAGAGACACACCGCACACTTTCAAGCAAAAGACACAGACACAATACCACAGATGAGACATGATGAACCAAATTAATGCCGGGACGTGGAAATCATCAGTATTTACTCGCACAAGCCTCAAGATACGATCAGCGATGGCTCATCGCACGCATAATATGAGATTAAAAAGGAGGAAACATAGAAAAGACAAAGAATAGAACGAGGACTGTTGCATGTTTCGTGTAAGAAGTCAAAAACCAGCTCCCGCCCCATTGCATCGAATCCCGATCCGGTCAGATTTCATTTCGTCAGTTCCCTTGTCTCCGAGCAGTTAAAGAAAACAGTTTTGCGTGTGCAGAAAGAAGTCAATGGGGTATTTCGAGCAGCTCAACCTTAGTTGCCCTCGGGGGCAGGAGGTTGGTTGTTGTTCCGCCAGCCTGTGACAAACACATTTGATTAGTATGCAGCGACAGTTTGAGAAGCACAAAAAGCCAAAGGAGAGGGCTAACCACCACCACCGCCATAGCCAGCATTGGCACCGCCGCCTGGAAAAGAGGTCAGCTGATGTGATCTACTTGTGAACGCTTCGCGCCTGGCAAACACCATCGAAACTCACCGTAGCCGCCGTAGCTGCCCGCGCCGTAACCAGCACCGCCGCCATTGCCGCCGTAGGGCTGCTGCTGCTGCGGTGGCTGCTGCTGCTGCTGATAACCGTATCCACCACGGCTGTAACCACCGCCGCCGCCGCCGCCGCCGAAGCCACCACCACCACCGCCGCCCTGGAATCCATTACCGGGCTGCTGGTTGTATCCGCCGCGGCCTTGGAAGCCACCCTCGGGGCGGCTGGGGCGGTCAAATGCCTTATCGACGCGGATGACCCGACCATCGAATCTGCGAACAAGATGAGTTAGGGGGGGGTTCTTCTAGTGGAGGATGGAGGCAAGAAGTTTTGGAAGTCTTTACTCCTGGTTGTTCATGGCGCTCATCGCGGCATCAGCCTCAGCATCAGTCGCGAAGCGCACGAAACCGAATCCACGGCTGCGAAGAGTTGCGCGATCCTTGACGACAATCTGTAGATTCTGGGTTAGACGCTGGGCAACTTCATCTCAGGAAGGAGGTGTGGGCGGTGGTCGTGGAATACTGACAGCTTCCTGAATCTCGCCAAACTGCTGGAATCCCTCACGAAGAGTATCATCATTGGTGTGCCAGGAAAGGCCGCTGATTGCGACCGCAGTTCATGTTAGTTGTGGATGAATTTTCCGGGGCAGAGTCCGAATCATGGGAGGGGGAGGGGAGGACGGTGAACTGAGGGGAAAGCAAAACAAGCGGGGACGGGTAAGGACAGCATACTGAACAAAAAGCTTCGACATGATGGCTGCAGTGCTCGGAGGGGAGAATAGAAGCGGTTGGGAATGGATGAGTGGCAAAGATCGATCGACTGAAGCGACCCACGGAAGGTAGAGGGTTGAAAGGGAGAAGCAGAGCAAGAGGGTGGTGCTCAGCAAGTTGCAAGTTGCCGAGTGGCAGACCGGCCGAGTGGCAGGGAGATCCTAGTGGTTGCGAAACGAGTCAGCAGTCAAACCCGTGTAACAATCACACTGCCTTAGGGCTTCCGCATCCTTGGGATTTTCGGCTCAGCCGGCGCCAATAATAGCGCTCTAAAGGGAAATATGATGCTTACTCGAGGATTGCGGCGGGAGGCCAAAGGAGGGGTCTACGGCTAAGCTGCGCCGGAGAGGAATTGTGTTTGGTCTTGAATTGTATGCGACGAGTCGCTCGCTGCAGCAACCCTGCTCAATAAAGCCCCCTTCAAACCCATCCGCACAAGTCCCACAGGCCTAAATCTTGAGCCGATGGAATTTCGGGACCACGTCCGCCTTCCTATGCTCCATCAACTAGATGTGACCCGAGGCTGAATCTGGAGAGATGCCCGCTAGCATCGGCTGATGGCCCCTCCTCTGCGTGTTTTCTTGACTGTGATTCCATCGCCCGACAACTTCATGACCCGATCTACAACGGCTGCCCACGGTTGCGCAGACCGAGGCCCTCGAAGAGGCAGGAGAAAATACCACGTATCCGCGAACGGGTTTCATGAGGACCCCGCTAGGAAGGAGAGATTGGAGATAGCGGGCAGTAGTGCGTTGCCCGACCCGCGACAAGAGGACCGGAGAGAACCCTGGGGGGCCTCGCGGGCTTGGGCGTGGGCGGGGCGCGTCCATGCAGTGGGATCCATGGAAACGGCCTCCAAGGTTGGTCAGCTTGAGGGGAACAGGAACGAGGGATTGGAGAGTCAACACATGTGAACACTGTAGCCCACGCGGTATCCCCGATCCTCGTCTGTACCTCTCAGTCTTTCCATGCATGATGGGACGTATGCAATCTTGGGTTCCTCGCCCCAATTCGGCGGGGGACTGAGCCGACGCGACCAAGCAGCATGATCTGGCCAGCATCCACAATGCAAGTCCCTTGGGGGTTTAGCCCAGCCCAAGCCCAGCTTGGGCTCCAGTCCGACCGCAATGATCACCCACAACCAATGTTCGTGCAGGGCAAGGTCCCCCACATGCCGCTTGGGCTGTAATTGCGGTGCGGCAGAACTCCGGACGCGAAGGATGATCGATGCATGGATCGGATTGACCCCGATGCGTAAAATCCCAAAAAATAAGAGAATATCTCTGGGGTCCACGGAAAAGGTTGTCGGGGAATCTTGGGCGTTGCCGCAAAGGTTAAATTGATCCCTTGCTGCCTCCAACACGATCTGGCCCAAGTGGGCTGCAGATCACCGTATTCTGAACCTTGGCGTCCTTATCGGAGGGGACGGCCAAATGGGCCTGACACTGGGAAATGCGGAGCAATTGGAGGAGGTTGCATGTTGGTGAGGCCGGATGAATGAGGACGAGGAAGACGAGTCGTTCCTGGGGCAGATCGTGGCTTCCTCGTGCACACTGGCAGATGAACGGCCCGCCAACTCGATCGACGGATTGCACCGCGCACCCTGCTTTCCCTCAGCCTTTCCCACACATCGATGGAGGATGTTCAGAACTCGATATTTCAGTGGTTGGCGAGAGTCCCCGAAGATTGTCTGGTGCAACCTGGCGGCGGTATGCTTCCCTGTATCGCCAAGTATTTCTGCGTCATCCAAGAATCTGACACAGAACCGGGTGAAGAAAGATCGGATGCCGCTCCAACGGCGCACGTTGGAGGGTGTCACATTGCCCTGGAGGCCACTGATGTCGTCCCTACCCTTCACTTGTCAGGTCTCAACAAGCGGACTCGAGATCGAGATCGAGATCAAGACTCTCAACGGCGGATTTCCCAGCAAGATGCAAGCCATGTATATCAGCGACGACCTCGGCGCAAGACTCGAGAGAACAGATACGAGTACAGGCGGCCTAGCTCTCCCAGACAACGACCTTCACGGCCACACAAGAACCCAAACAAAAGAACGAAGGGCAGAAAGCATGCTTTAGACGCCGCGTTCCATGCACCGAATGTTGCTCGTGAAAGGCTCACCGTAAGTGAGGAAATGCAGCCTCGCTTGATATCTCTGACCTTGGGCATAGCTCCGCAACACCAGGAATACGGGTATTTTCAGGAAGGGGAGGGCGTCATCCCCAATGAAATTCCGCGAGGGTAAGCATGTGCGCCCTTATGAGACGGCTCGACGATGGACACTAGCCGTACTTTACAGTTCCCGACCTTGCATTCTCCGAAAATCAGTTCTTGTCACGAAACAGTCGAGGCTCACCAGGATTCGGTACAATCTGTGATGGGCCACGCATGCAGCGACAGCGAGGGGAAGAACGTCCGCACCGGAAAGTATCGCATTATATCTTCCGTGAACCGGAAAAGCTGATGGACACTACGCCACCCATGTTGAGGCATGGGGAGCTCCCAGCATACACGAGCCAAGAAGACCAGAGAGATCCTTCTGGGATGCAAGATATTGTTCTATCTCTCCATACCGAAGGTATCGCCGCAAAGCGCAGCTTAGATAACGTTTCAAGCATGGCTCCCGATGTGCAGAGTCAGATGCGACAACCTGTTCAGGGAACTCGGTCTGCCCGCAAATTGCCCGGGTCGCAGCTGAGTCAGGAGATGGAGGCTCATCTACTGAACATCTTACATGTCGGCCTGTCTCCGCGAAGACCTGTCACTTATAATGTGCCCGATGCCTCGGAAGGAGGGCGTTGCAACCTCCAGGATTTGAAGGGCCTTCTGGAGAGCCGAAAGGCCTATTGGCTACCGGAAGCGAGTCAGACCCTCCATTCCTTCGATCGAGTGCGAACCCGCGATGAGAATCGCGAGAGTACCCCGATGGCCTCAGGAATTATTCGAAGTCCTACACACGCCAAAACATCGCGGTGGACGAGCTCAGAAGCTGCGCCAAAGACCAAGAGCAGGGCGAATCTCTGTCGCTTATGTTCGGGTGAGGTGTTTCGTGGCCCTCGAAGCCACCAGTTTCACAACCATAAGGTTGAAGTCACCACTGACCTCCCGCCATTTCAGCGGCTCCCTCTATCTCGTGTCGACCTGAAAGCATCGGAGCTTGATGTCGAGGAAGACGATATCTTTTTGGAGACACTGGATGCAGCATATGGCGCCATCTTCAACACTCAGAGCGAGAACCTACAACCCTTTGAACAGAAAGCAGAAGAGCATGAGGCCTCGCAGCTGGCACTGGCACATGTGAATCAAAACCACGGGAATAATCCTCCTCCTTTCTCTCCTCCTGGAGTTTCATCGTTCTGTGGCTCGGTTGACACGCTGCTTTGTGACCAGATTGGTGTCGAAAATCCATACTCTTCATTCGCCCATCTCTCTCATCACCTACAAGAGGGGCATGCAACATTACCAGATAGGCCGTTCACAAATACGAAGCTACCTGCATTTTCCCCGGCTGAAAGGGCCATAGAACAAGGTACTAATTTGACATCCACGACTCATTTCATGGGTCCCTTTCTTCCCCCAACAACCGCCCATGGCTCGGGTCGCGGGTCAATTCCCCAAGGGTTCTGGAGACCAAACAGGCTCTATTGATCTATGAAGACGAGTACTGTATGTCTCCCGCGTACCTTCTATCCCAATGCACAATGTACATCAACTGCGGAGCGGGTGTATCGCTGCTGATCCATACCTTTGTGAATGTCCAACTTTGTCATTTATAGCTAGGGCAAGATACACCTACACCACAACCCTCATACTAGCACTCTATCGGTACGAAAGGGTTGACGTCCGCGCCTTGTATATGATCCATTCCATCCCACACCATCCCGAGATAATAGAGTAGCAAACCATTATTCTTCTATACTCATCCCACAATCATAATTCCCAGAAATTAGCCAGGCTATATCAAATATCAAGCTCAAGGAACCCAGTCCCATGCCGCCCTCGCCTATAGACATAGAGTAGCAGTTCCGACGGTGGAAAATCCATTATTGTACGTTGTGAGCCAAGGATATTCCTTTCTGCCAATTTTTGAACGCACCCTTAGTTATCAACCATGTCATCCGAGAATCTAGCCGGCCATGCTCCTGATTCCAGGCGCATGGCCCCGAACCTATTTCTTCGAGCCCGTAGCCAACATCTGCGCGTGAGAATACGGCAAAACAATGGTAGTACTATTAACCGGCGGCCCAGTATCAACCATAGTCGTCGATGGTGCAGAAGGCACCAGGCAAAGGTCCCTGAACATCAAAAACAAAGAAGTACTGTCTGGTCATACACTCCTACAGTGCAGTGATATCCTAGGCACAGAAGCACAAAGGGTCTCGCGGTTTTGCAGGGTAAGAGGGGCGGTGTAGTTGGGCTGACCTACACGAGTGTGTTTGGGATTGCTGAGGGCGCGAGTGTTGCGTCGATTATGGGGAATCATATCGAATATGCCATGACCTTTGAGGTATGTGTCCAGAGCTATATACCCTAGGGTAGCTTGCGGATCTGCTGACTAGAGGCCAGGGCATTGAATGTAGTTCACGTTTAACTTCTTGATTGTGAGATGGATCTACATTTGTATGAGCGGGTTGCATTCTAGGATATATCAATTGATCGGGTATAAAACAATCTCCAGAGTGAGATTCTCAACAGCAGTTGCCCACTAGGCTGGTCGCTGTTGGAAAGTTGTAACGGGAGGGGTCTCCGTCTTTTACCGCCAGTTAAGGGCTGGCGGATTATTCAAGGTGTAGCGGGGTTGATTCCGGGTTCACGTTTTGGCATGCACTCAATTCACCAGGACTTTTGGAGACCCTTGCATCTGTGGGTCAAGACCTGTTTCGAGGGTATGGCATTCGGGCTCGGAAGGGAGATGCGGAAGGGATATGCGGGGTGTGGGGATGGAAGCATCCGAACTCGGAGACATGTAGAACGATCATCGAGGCGGAGGGAGAGTCTGGCGCGTTATAGGCTGGCAGCTGCCTCGATGAAACCTGCACCTTTGAAGATGCCCGGGTTCGTGATGACGACCTCGACCGGGTACTTCCATTGCATGAACTTTGTCCAACCTGTCAGGATCGGTGCTTAGCTTGGTGTTCTTCCATAAATTTGGATTTTTCACCTACTCCAGTATGCACACCGCCGGCCTAAATATTTGCCAATAAAAGGCACCAGAACCATTGTCAGAAGCAGCTCCAATTGCTCAATGCTCTCCCGCCATTCCGCTTCGGCATCGGAGTAGTCATCGGAAAGGGTGTCCAAGTCGGAGTCTGTCGTCGCTTCAGAGGGCAGTGAGGCAAGATCGTCGTCGAATTCAGATCCATAGGAGTTCTCTCGCGAAGGAACCATGTATGCGGACATGGAGAAGGAGGGATTGGACCCGGCAGGGGAAGGGGTCGCCATGGCGGAGAAAGTCTATGAAAAAGAAACGGAAATCAAAGGAGTAAAAGAGAGTTTAATGAGCAGCGGCCTGCCTACTGCCCGAGCTATGATCGAAGCATCTACTGGCAACGATGGGGCGGAGGTATAGTCGGAGATGCAGTCTGGAGCGGGCTGTTGACTGCCCGGAGATCCCAAACGTAATAGCCGACACGTGACTCTGTCATATGGTTGAGTCACGGTCACGTGCCACTGTCCCGCGATAACAGGCTCGCCTCCCCCAGCGACAGTGGAGATCTCAGATTTCGGTCAAATTCGACATTGTCGACCTCATCGCGAATCACTCGATCTTTACACCAGCACAAATCGCTCATATTCCCCCCGGTGGTGGAGTGATCAAAATCTTACAGCCACCCAATATGGCGGACGCCGTACGTCACACCTGGTTTCTTTTTTGCCGACCCTCCCACATTTTCTTTGAATCTGCACAATACCCCTCGGCCAATAACCTTACTGCTGGCGCAGAGCACTCCTTCGCCAGCTTGAGTTAGTGACCGGTTTCCATCCTCCTGAAACATTCTCTGCGCTCATTTTTGTTTTATCTCTGTGATTTTTTTCCGGCCTCACAGCTAACCTGGTGCCTTGGTTACCCCGAACAGGAAGTCGACACTACCCAGAAACAGCGCAAGTCGGTCGCGTTCAGCGAAGGATCGGTCATCATGGATACCAACGGCCAGGTCACAGAGGCACCGGCCTCTGAGAAGCCCGTCGGTACGAAATTCATCCTGTCTCCACACAGCTCGAGCTCCGCACGCTTGTCTATCCAGACCCGCTAACGGACCCTACCCATATATAGACAACGAGGTCGATGAGGTCACCGACATGTTCAAGGGCCTGTCCAAGAAGAAGAAGACTAAGAAGTCCAGCAAGGAGACTGGTGATGCCGACGAGGCCGCCGCCGACGGCGAATTCGATGCCTCTGCCCTGAAGAAGAAGAAGAAGAAGCCCAAGAAGGATGCCGGCGATTTTGAGGCCAAGCTGGCTGAGGCTGGTATCGAGGAAGACGCCGACAAGGAGCAAGGGGAGGACTCCATCCCCGAGGGTGATCTCGAGGCCGGCACCGGTATTTGGGCACATGACGCTACCCAAGTCATCCCATACTCTCTCCTAGTTTCGCGTTTCTTCTCTCTGATCGAGAGCCACCACCCCGACATGCTTTCCAGCGGCACCAAGGCGTACAAGATTCCCCCGCCCCAATGTCTGCGTGAAGGCAACCGTCGTACCATCTTCGCCAACATTGCCGATATCTGCAAGCGCATGAAACGGTCTGATGAGCATGTTATGCAATTCCTTTTCGCAGAACTCGGAACAAGTGGCAGTGTGGATGGCAGCAAGCGTCTAGTCATCAAGGGCCGGTGAGTTGCAATTTTTGGTCATCCTCAGAGGAATGGAATTGAAATGACTCCATTTCACGCCGATTGGCTCTGACGGACTCTTATTGACTCTTACTAACTCTGATTGACCAGATTCCAAGGAAAGCAACTCGAGAGCGTTCTGCGCAAGGTAGGTTCTCTTCATTCACCTGGTCAGGGAGCGTTTGCTAAGTGATCTACAGTATATCGTCGAATACGTTACCTGCAAGACCTGCCGCAGCCCCGATACCGAACTCAACAAGGGCGAGAACCGTCTGTACTTCGTCACCTGCAACTCCTGTGGATCTCGCCGTTCGGTCGCCGCCATCAAGACCGGTTTCCGAAGCCAGGTCGGCCGCAGAAAGCGCACTGGTTAAACGGAGTCATGGAGCTGGGCGGTTTGGCATATTGTGGAGGAGGGAGTTGTTTGGTCTCTTCTTTATGGCGTGTCATTTCCTACGACTTTCGGTGATGAAAATAGGGCCCCGGGACTGTATCTTTTTCCTACCGCATGGAATTTGAGATGAGGAAATGATACGAAGGATAGAAACAGTTTGGCATGAAATGGACTGATATGACCACTTATCACATGTTTTAAGCGTTTTTCACGCATTTGGCAGAAGGCATAGTGTAGGGTAGACACTGGCACTGCAGCTGAGCAGGCCTGTGGGCCATGAATAAAATGACAGTATATTCCAACTAAGCTATAGTATACATGAGAATCCGATCCCAACTCAACTTGGAACACGTCGTTTCAAACAAGCTCCGACGTTTAGAAATATACAGCTAATGCTATTTTAGATCCTGTTGTGTATGTTACCATAATCTATTCAACAATCCGTTGCATCGTCTCTCGCCTGGCCTAGGGGGATAGAATTCGGGCAAAGAGGTACGCAAATAAGAAGGAAATGACGAGGCACCCAACCGGTCCGATATTTCGCTATTACTACACGGTAGAGCCAAGTGATATGAGATCCGGGTAGAGTATGATAAGAGGAAGGTAAACACAAGGTTAAGTTGCACATTTCAATTCCCAAAAGGTTTAGATAACCTTCATCCAAATCTGGAATAGGTCACTATACTACGGGTCACCAGAAGGAAATGAATACCTCCTCCACCATCATTTCTTATTGGAGGTCAAGTTAGATGGTATGGGGCAATTTGAAATTTATTCTTCAAGAAATAGAGACCTGCTCCCAAAAGCTGCTGTACATGACAAATACGATAATATCACGCCAAAGAGAGCTAATAAGAAAAAGAAATGACCTCTGCGTAGCCTGAATATATGGTGTTCGGCAGTGTAGGCTTTGAAGAGACAAAACCTCTCTCTCGACCATACACTCGCGTCCATCTTATAGTTAAATATTCTTTTCGAGGCATACTAACCACTCGCGGTACTAACCTTCATCTGGCCAGCAAAAGCATTCAAGTTTCGTGTCTGCAAATAAACAGTCCCAGGGCCCTTGAACTTGCAGGCAAGGCCTTCCCCAGAAGTGAATCCAGAAATGATCCCACCTGATGCGACTCGCTCGATTTCATATTTGCAGTTCCAGGCCACAAGATGGCCATTATCAATGAAATATGTCTCGCCATCTTTGAGCTACAGTATCATGTCGGGTTAAAACGATGTCACCAGGTAGGCCGAGAGAAAGCAGGTAGACTTACATCTTTCTTGATGATCGCGCCAAAGCTCTGTAGCCAGAGTAGTCCAGAGCCCGTGATCTTGTAAACGAACAAACCTTCTCCAGAAAATACTCCCTTTGCGAGACTTTGCGATTGGTATTTATGCTTAACAGCTGCCGTGGACGCCAAGAATGCATCTCTGCCAATTTTCCACTCCTGTTCGCCATCCATCCGAAGGACAATAATGTCACCCAGAACCGATGGAGCAATCAGGAGTTCACCAGGCCCAGTGTAATGGGACATCGACATCTCCCCACCTGCCAAGAGCTTTTTCAATCCAAAAGATACATGACCCCTGAGGGATATTGTTGTTGACATTGCAATCATGACACCTGCGCAAGAAGAGTTAGCGATACATGTACGGCACTATGTGTTTCGTGCAATCCTCGGGCTCCTTCATACCTGGCTTTGCAATCAGAGGGCAGCCCATGGCAAGCTGGAGTGTCAAGAGAGAATTCGAGTCTCGGTGGCTGATCCTGTAGCTTCCACCATTGAACGTTCCGACGCTATCTTCATTGGTACCCACTGCCCCCGTAAATTGACCTGGTGGTGGGGCTCCGTACAGTTGGGGTGGCGGAGGAGACTGCGCTGGTAAAGACGGGGCTCTGTTATGTTGCTGGGCGGTCGTCATATTGTGCTGGTAAGCTGCCGCGTTCTGTTGCGCATACTGTTGGGCATTCTGTTGCGCATACTGCTGCGCATACTGTTGGGCATACTGTTGTTTCTCATTTACTGGTGGACTCTGTGCGGGGGGGCTGACGGATGGCGGGGGGCCTGGATAGGCTCCGTTGAGAGGGCCATTGGTAGGGGGTGATTGTTTCGGCGGCGGGGGGTAGCTGAAGTTGGGGGGTGCAAAGCCCGGAGAAGGTTGCGGGGGGGGAGGAAACGCTGAAGTTGTCAGATGGGGCCATTTAAAAAGGCAAGAACACTAGCCGTACAGGTAACATGCGCGGGAGCTATACATTCTCGTCAGTCAACAGGACCCATTTGGAGATGAAAATGGGGGTCAATAGCTTACCCGACAGGGGCGGCGGAGGGTAATGCGCTTGGTGTGCCATTGCAAAAGGCGAGGAATGAATGTACCACGACCGAACTAATCACATTTCTCAGTCAAGCCCATCCTAGTTGATGCTTCTCACAGAGGGCCTTAGAATCGCGAGAAACTCACATTATGCAAAACCCAATGCGGGGGAGGAGAACCAAAAAGCCGTAAGGTGTTGAGTGGAAAAGCAATCGCTGTCGGAAGGGCACAATAAAATGAGGGGCAATTTGTCGCTGTTTTCACTGTCCGGCGACCTTGTCATGCATTGAAGGTTTGGGAATATATGCAACACACCGATAGAAAGACAGCGGAGCGAGCCTATATGTGAAAACGAGGAAACGAGCTGTTGACTCCGCACGAGAAATTCATGGCTATTATTAGCTTTGGCGAGCATCCCAAGCGATCAGCCGTCCGAAATTCACGTAGGTCAGTAGTCAATCACCTGCCCCCCTATCACAATCGACTACTGCATGGTAATCCCAGCTGGCGCCTACAGGTCGCACCCGAGCAACCTTATGGGCTGGCTGCTCGAGCGCCCGTGTGGATCTCTCGCTATGATTGGCGGGGCGTGTTAGCGCTCCCAAGAGGCCAAGATCAACCAAGGAACTTTGTGTGCCCCACGCTGCGAGTCCTTTCGAAGCGTAGGCTTGCAGTACAATCAGCGAGATCGGAAATGCCAGTTTAAAAATTTCCTTGAAGAAAATATGCATGTTTTCATTGGACGTGCGCTGGCTTTCTCATGACTGAATTCAACATGTCGAATAGTTAAATAGTGCAAATCCGGATCTCCGTAAACAATGAAATCGGGAATCCCAGAGTCACGCAGACCGCGCGACAGCTCCTGAAGGGAATTCGAGCCTTCAGTTACATGCACCCGTTGGTGCCATATGCTCTTTTATACCTGCTCTAGTTCTGCTTCACCAGGTACCCCTTCCAAGATAGCCGCCGCATCATAATATTGATTTTGTCTTGCCCAGTCCAGGGCGCTTCGCCCTCCGAGATCTCGTAAATGAATGTCAGCACCTCTTGCCAACAGTAGATGAATAACATCGATAACTGAGGATTTTGCCGCCAGCATCAAAGCGGTCATCCCTAGGCCGTCAGGGGCGTTGATGTCGGCATGGCTCTCGAGAAGCAACTGCGTCATTTGGAACTGTCTTCCTACCACGGCCGTATGGAGCGGTCTAACTCCATCAAATCCAGATTTTTCAATCTCCACCCCTTTGGACAATAAAAAGCGCACCGTGTCGAGTCGGTCCTCTCTAATCGCCCAATGTAGTGCAGTTGATCCAGACCTGTCTGTGATTTCTGGCGTGGCGCCGCAATCCAGCAGTAAACAAACTATATCTGTCGCCCCTTGACGAGCCGCTAAAATCAACGGCCTTGAGTTTGGGAACTGCTCGTCTCCATTTGGGTTGGCCCCATTCTCAAGAAGAATACGAGCTGCATCCAGATCTTCAATAGCGACAACATCCACCAACGCTGAGATGTTTCTCTCATTTAGGGTATCGATATTTGCGTCATGGCGTAGCAGGACTTTGATACCCCAATCACAGTGGTTCTTTGCTGCCAAAGCGTATGCGTGTTGGATAATGCATGGGAAATCCGCACCAATCTCGACCCATCTCTCCAAGGTGAAATATAGAAGAGCATAGTGGCCACCTGTGAGGGCCCACTTGTACCCCATCGGATCTTCCAGGCCGGAATATTCGCGGTCAAAGTCAATATGGTTGAATGTGAGCCAGCCTTTCATTGCCTTGGCGCCCATTTGGGTGTCGTCTATAGATTGTCCGATCTCAGCTTGCGGATGCAAGTTCACCCCTATTCCGCGTCTTTCCAGAGCTGGTTGCATCCACTTCATGCCTGTCGCATTTATGGAGATGTGCCATGCGACCCACCCGACCTGTTGAGCGAACTTGGTCCACCATTGCTGGGAACACGGCGACTTCGACCAACTTTCATGTGGCGACATTCTCTGCGCATCGAAGAAATCCTTTCCAATATTTGAATCCAGTATTCTGCATGTGCTTTCAAATCCTTCTTCCTGAGCAGCCTTTGAAGCATTAAGCAACGCTCGGCGACAGAGACAGCCGAGTTCGTAGACGGAGCGCTCGAATTCAGCTCCTTCTGATCGTTGGCAAATCCATCGAACAAGCTGGAAAGCCCCTTTCCAATCATGCTTTTGAATCAAGCCCTCCATGCGTCTTCTCGGGTGTGTAGTATCCGCCGAAAGCTCTGGCAGGAGGCCTTGTTGTCTCAGAATAGGCATTATGCATAGCAATGCATCTTCTCGAGATCCTAGACTGTTCCTCTCAAAGCAGTGCATCATCTCCTCGACACGACTGTTCTGGGCCAGAAAGGGGTTTTGCAATCCAGTGAGGATATCAGTATCTCCACCGAGCGCATTGAAGTGACGGAAGGCATGTTGGAGAAAATGGATGAAAAGGTCCTGGGCGGCCATTATTTCCACCTCATTCTCTGTCCTCACCACGAGAATATCCCTCTCGTCCGAGTATATGTCCGGTTCGAATCCAAAAAAACGCCGTGAGGAGTCGATCATATTGGAAGAAACCATGCTTGCCTCAGTCTGCCTAAAGATCCATTTGTGAAAGTGGAGGTATGTCTCTTCCTTACCCGCCTCATCTCTAGTCAGCCCAATCATGCGGCTGAGTGGTTTGCGCCAACCTTTGTCTGACTTGGATAATGACCAAACCCAAAGACCGAGAATAGCTTCTAGCTCATGTTCATTAATTTTCCATTTCAGTGCGTCTCCGCATCTGCGGATTTCAATCGAATATGCACTTCGGGACCACGTATACGGTTCGATAGACGACTGACACTCCAAGTTGAGTCGAAATTCAAAGGTTTCCCCAAATTCGACCCCCCAACTGGACATCAGATCCATAATTGTCTCGATCACATTGGAGAGATTGTGAGCTACCTTGCGAATGGGCATGTTATCCCATCTAGTCTTCAAGCCGAGGTTTGAGTCGGCTGTAAGCTCAGCTAATCGAGTCCGCTTGTGGATCACTTGTCTGATAAGCGATTCATCTGTTTGGAAGATACGTTCGCTTAAGGATTCACTGGATGATGTCTCCTGGGACGGTGAGGAAAGAAGATCGAAGGAGGCGATATGGTCGAGATGAAACGCAAAGCAATCCAGTTCCTGCTGCTTGCGCGCGGTAAGCTCTCGCTCATCCTTCAATCGATTTTCATCCGGCTTCATTCTCTCCGTTCGAAGACAAGATCGCAGAACAGACATAGTAAAGGTCGATCCTAACTGAGCTAGAATAACCGAGGCGTGGAGTCCTCTAAGACCAATGAATTGAATAATGAATCCAATCATGGTGAAAAATAAGGCAAGATACACCACAGGCGTTTGGTTGTCGTATTTTCGAACTCTTCTCGATTTGATATACTCCATCTCCTCAGACGTTGACTCTTCCTTAACTGCCAAGAACGCATCGAAGACTTGGTCCCCCACATGCTGGTTCCCAGGTTGCAGCCAATAGAGCGTGCTTGGCTTGTTCGGCGTGAAGTAGTACTTCATTGACGAGCGCTCGATGATAATCGCACAGGATAGCATTCCCGTGAAGAGAAAAATCGTTCCGATAATGTAAAATGGGAATGCGTAGCTGGGAACGGCTTTTCCATCTTTCTCGAATGATCCAGGGAATACGAAGACCGTAATAGCAGCATAAGCCATAACACCTGGGACTTTGTCAGTCCACACTCCTAATGGGCAAATTTCCACAAGCTGAACTAACCTATCTGCATCACGGCACCCAGTATAGCAGCACAGTGAAACCAACGCTTATTTCTTCGCTTGATTCCCTTGTTCAAAGATAGGTTGGGGATATCTAACTCAGGCAGATCAGTCAGATCGCACACATCCTCAGCAGAGAGCCCTGATTTTTTGGCGGACCATGCGCCCTTCTTCAAAGCCTCGCGTAACGTTCCAATCTCGGTAGTCTGCTCGCCGACTTTTGCATTCTCATTCTCCCATTCCACAATCTCCACAATCTTTGGTTGCCCAAAGACTCGTGAGATGCCGCCCTCATTGAAGAGTTCGGCTGTGGACTCCGAAACACAGGGCAGAAGTTCACTTTCGGCTTCAGCGGGGCCTTCTTGTGCTCTACCAACAAAGGCACGAAGGGAGGAACCGCCGCAGACACGTATAACAGAGACAACGGCAGTTAAAACGCCGAGTGGTGAAAGTGCGAAAATGACGTTGTCCATAAGGCTTATCGACTCGGAGAGAAACTGTTTCGTGAGCCGCTCGCCGAACAAAGTAATCAAGGGGGCCTTATAGTCTCGCAATGTAAGTGATCTCGAACAGCTATAATGGTATACTAGACAGTGCAACTGACCAAGTCTGTTGCAATATTGTTGGTAAAATCTTCCCAGCCATCAGCCAAGACAGATGGCGCTAGAAACAAAACACACAATAAAGTCAAATGCATAATGAATCAACAAAATATTATAGCCATATAATAATCAACTGAAAAAAAAACAGCATTGTGGTCGTAGTTATCCCCTCAACAGACCGTCATGGTTCCTGTTGAGCCTTTAAAGCCATCGTGTTAGCGCCTGTCTCGCCGATCCCTAGTTGAAATGAAACGGCCGTGGTGGCGTATACGCCTCGCGCTCTGCCCTGCTCACACTATAGCTGGTCACTTCCATAGGATAAACTCGGTCCTTGCCCAGAGCTGAAACCACTAAAGTATCTCCTGCGTGTGTGTAAGCGCTGCGCCATCTTAGGCACCGTCCGTTGTCACTGCGCTAGTCGCGGCCCGCATGGGGATGGTTGCCCGGATGGTGGGTCTAGATCAGTCCTCCCGGTTTTAACGGAACATTTGCACAGGGAAAAACATCGGTGGTTTAGGTTACGCGTGCAATATGTTTGGCTCTCCAACTGTACTCTAGGGGCATTGAGGGTGGCTGGAACGACTGGCATTAGGGTGTATGGACACCCTTGTCCCTATTCGATACCCTAGTGATTTGTAAGGAAACGACAAAAGTCGACCTGAATGATGTACTGATAATTTAAAAACTTGGCAATTGCACGACCTGCCTGAACAGCTCTTCCGCTCGTGGCCTAGAAGATCATCTGACAGGGCTTCGCGAGTTTCAGACAAGCATCTTAACCGCCGGCCATGACGGCCGAAAGTCGTAGTCGACCCTTTATTACGCAAATATGTTTGAAGATTGGGCGAAATGTGCTGGTTTCAATTGGTCATACTACTGTAGGTCTTGAGTGATAATCATGACCAAGAAACTGTAAAGCTAGGAGTAACTTCAGAAGACTCATCGCAGCAAACGAATCAATGAACCAAAGAACGGGCTTCTATCTAAGCCCAAATAATCCATCCAACGCAAATTAAATCCACCAACGCCATTTCAATGAATGAGGAAAGGAAGGTATATGGGTCGAACTCAATGTTTCAAGGGAAGAGCAGCGATACAAACAACCCCATGAAGATTTCTTGTTCAGAAAATGCTGTTCACAATGTTGGAACCAACAGTGGCACCGGCACCAAAAATCGCTGAATTCGTGGTTAGATTCCCCAGTTAAAATAGATCAGTACCATAAACATACCTGCATTGCCCAGCTTCTTGCCAAACTTCTTGCCATTCTGCTCGAACTTGCTCTTCTGCTCCGGATCGTTCGAGGTCGGGGCGGATCCACTCTGGCTAACATCCAGAGGCATATTTCCGTAGTTGCTAGGCGGGGGCGGCGAGGAGATCGTTCCCTTCTCGTTAATGACATTCACATAGCTTCTCGGGAAGATACCCTCGCGGCCAGTGCGCTCGTTGCGGCCACGCCACCCTGCATATATTAGCTGCCGTGCCCATGTTGAAATCGCTATTTCCAAACATACAGTCGTCATTCATGTGCTCAATAACTTGAACACGGTCATTCGGCGCCAGCGCCAGATCACCCGCGTCAGTGGGAGTGTATGCATACATCGCCGAAGCGAGACCAAGAATCGGCGGGACCTGAGGGTAGGCTGGCGGCGCCTGTGGAGGCGGGGAGGCGTATTGATTGTGTACCGGGGCCTTTTCGTTCATCGACAGATTGGAAACCTGCGTCACCGGAGGCGAGTATGGGGCCGGAGGGGGTTGTGTTTGAACGGGTTGAGACAGGGGCTGCACCTGCAATGGTGAGGGAGGCACCTGGTTCTGGCGAGCGGCGGCGGCGCGGGCGTCGGATTCGGTGGGCAGTTGGGCGAGGATAGCATTGAGCTGCTGCGGTTCAATGACAGAGGAATCGGCGAGGAACTCCAGTTCCTGTTTTGGATCGCGCGTCAGTGGCTTTCAAGCCTCTCATGGTTGCTGAGGGGGGCTATACATTCTTAAGTATGCGGAGCGACCGGATGGTCATGGCGGATTGGAACTCGCTCGCCATGGTGGGCTGAATCGCGGTGTGCGGGTAGAGGACAGTGTTCGCAGTGGAAGATAAAGAGAGATTGTTCCGATCAAAGAAACGGATTTGGATCGAGGGACAGGGGAGGGAAAGTAGTGACTTGGTGGAGATGGGAAGTCCGGCGAGTTGCAAGGTGTGGTTGGATTGCCTAGCCGGTACATGTCTTGTCTGCCTTGGGGCCAAGACTTCCGAACTTCCAACGTGTGGACTGGTCAATTCCACCCTCGTTGCTAGGGATAAAAGGGGATATATTTTCTGACCAAAATAAATCGCTTATAATGGCCAGGCTACGATTTAATGTAATAAACGTAACTCCTTCATCTTTCCAACTCTTTGTCACAGAGTCGACCTCGTACTCGTACCTGGTGCCTGAGACGCCACTAGGAATGCATAACCCGGAATAGATCCGGATCGAGTTTTATGCTCCTCATCAGCGGAGCTATTCACACAGGTCTGTGAATATGGTTCCCTTTATAGCCGGAAGTTGTCGGAATATGGATCCTTTGGAAGAAAGAAATTTCTCTTCGCGCATATTCTGCATGCTCGGTGCCTCGTATACCCAAATTATATATATCCTTCCGGCTGCTTCCCCGGATGTGAGCGGCTGTTATTTAGTCGAGGAACATTTCCATCCATTGAATGATCAAGACTAGGTAAAAATTTGGGAGGCCACCACAAAGTCTACAAACGGCCATGATTTACAATGATTTATTTAAGCCTCTTTAGACGACCTCTTCCCCCACAATCTTCGTGATCGCTAGGCCATCCTATAATTCCTCTATTAGAAACATTTTCTTTCGAAAGCATTTCGGCAGCTAGGAGACTTACCTTTCCCCAATCAGTCTGAAATTGCGGAACATGAGTGTCATACACCAAGTTCGGATTTGGCTTCAGAGGATGCACGTTCAGCTTCTTGACGATAGCCCGCTTTTGCGCTGGCGTCGCCTTCACCCATTCCAAGTACCTAGGCGCTCCTGGCATGATCACATTGTCTGCGACCAGCAGAGACTTGTCCTGGGCGAGGACACCCATATCTTCGAGCAGCCACAAATCAGGAAGATAAAGTTCTTGCCAATGGTCCAAAAACAGCATCTCGATCTGATCGATCTCTTTGCGCTCACGAACAAGTTCAACAAGTAGCTTGTCGCTAGATCCAACAAGCACGCGTACCACATCGCGCAAGCCGGCTAGATCAATCAGTTGGCTCGAAACAGCCGCCATCTCGGGATTCTTCTCGAGACTGAGAAACTTCTTTCCACCATTTGCTCGGATAGCGTCGCCGAAGAGAATGGCCGAGTAGCCAATGTAACCCCCGAGCTCGACCATAGTTGATGGCTTATGCTCGGAGATAAGACCGGTAATGTATGCGCCTTTGACACCACCGATGTTCATAAGCATGTTGTGGTTTGTGTGGTATTCATCGATTGCAGCGAGAACTTTCTGCGGGTTGTTGCGCAACTCCTTGATATCGGGACGACCATATATGTAATGAAGGAGGTCAACTTCTCGCCCATCCTGTAAATTGTGAGAATGGTTGTGTTCAAACTATATAAAACTCACTTACCAGACAATAGGAACGGGGCTCAGGTGCGTGCGGCTTCGCGATGGTAGACATTGTGTAGGGTGGAAATTGAAGGAGCAGAAATGTTCACGGAGTAGAGAGTTTTGATCTGGAGCTCTTGTCGTTAACCGTGATTTATGGATGAATCTTGCAATGGCAGTGTTGTCTGTTTTATAGACTGTTTTCCTCGTGATCTATATATCTCGGACTTAACAGGACTTAGAAGGACATCCTAAATAGGCAACCCCGGGTCTTCGGGGCTGAACTTGGTAACTATCAACTACCCCGAACGGTCGCTGGGTCCGAAGCGGCAACGAGGGCTGCCTAGGCACCGTAAGCCCACTTACGGTTGGATCTGATAAGAGTAGCATACGGCTTCTGGCCAAAGAGCGTGCCATCTTACAAATTTTGTGAAACGAGACTCTCTGGTAAGGCACCAAGGCAGCACTTTCCGCATAGAGGCTCAGCCTCGTGGCGGGGCAAGGGGCAAGGGGCAAGTCGGGGACCTGAATGGGATAAACGGGGTAGGTTTGTTCAGCGGACTTCATTAATCAGGCAGATTAAGTGACCCAGTGATCTGAACGAGTCGTAAAGGATAAATAATTATTGATGTCTGTAATTCTGCCAGCCCTTACGTGTTGAATTGATTGCACGACTGGAGATCCCAAGGAGTATGACATCAAGTGGGTCGATGAGATTACTTGAGTCGGCTATTCGATTCAATAAGATGGATGTAATTGAGAGCTGAACTTCACGAATAACATGCCTAGCATTGGGTACATACACTATGAAAAAGCCTTACTCAACTGGCTAGAATTGAAAGCATCCGGAATGGTGGCTGACTTCTGGTAGGACAGAGACTGGGACGGTGGCGGCATACCAGGATATTCCGCACCGCACAAACGCGCTTCTACCCTCGACATCAGAGCAACGGTTGCGTATTTCTGGTCATATCACGGATTTATCTATGGAAATAAAGCAAATTGATTTCTCAGCAACACTATTCACAGAGTAGAGACGGAGTTAACCACTGAAAAAGAAGGGCACTGTATGGCAAATATCCACACTAAACCCAAAGTGGACTAGCGCATGACTCCCCTCCCTCTTCACTCGAGAAGCTTCTGTGCTGTATAAATTGCATCTTCAACCTCACACGAGCATCGTCATACTCCGCCCTCTCTCCAACCACCCACACCCCTTTCCCCACTCAAAACAAGCACTCCGTCAAAATGGACGACTGGGATACCGTCACGAAGATCGGCAGCAAGGCTCGCGGCGCCGGTGGCGGCCCTCGCGAGACCGTTGTCAAGGGCAAGAGTGCCTTGAACGCCGCCCAGCGCTCTGGCCTGGTCCTCGGCACCGAGAAGAAGTACACCACTGGCAACCTCGTATGTTGAATCCTTCCTTGAGATCCCTTTCAACAAGTAACAGCCTCGCTCACCAACTTCAACCCTCCAGGCCGCTAAGTCCGGCGCCCCCGAAGGCCAACACCTGACCAAGGTGGACCGCAGTGACGACATCATTAAGCCCAAGACTGTCGGCTACGCCGTCGCCGACGCCATCAAGAAGCGCCGCACCGAGGACGGCTACAAGATGACCCAGAAGGAACTCGCCACCAAGTGCAACACCACGATGACGATCATCCAGGACTTCGAGCGTGGCACCGCCGCCCCTGACCAGAAGGTCCTTAGCGCCATGGAGCGCGTGCTTAACATCAAGCTGCGTGGCACTGACATCGGAGCCGAAAAATTCGCCAAGAAGAAGTAGACTCGGATCGGGAGTGAGCCCGCGGCTTTTGTTCCTATTGGGGATGGGACTGGGACTCAATGTTCTGCATCCTTTCTTTTGGATTTTCGCTTCTGATGATTGTCATGTCGTTCCTAAAGTTTGCGTTTCGATGAGCTAAGATGCCCTCTTCTGTTTCGTTATGGGATTTCTTTTCTGGTGGCCGGATTAGCGTCGGCCGTTGCATGGAAATGGGCTTAGAGAGAATTATCATGACAAAATGTATAAATGAGATACCTCGATATTTGTTGCTGAATCAGCGTGAACTGGACTGATGTAGATGCCCGGAAAGCCTCCGTATGACTCGTGAAGATGGCATAGTCTGGAAGCATACCCTGGGTATCAAAAACGTATACGGCCCAGAGGAGCCGCTAGTCATTATTTTACGCCCTATCACGTGCTATGGCATGCAACTTATATCAAACTAAGACTTGAGGCAACTGACGCCACAAGTTTCGATGTTCATTCTTGCAGCAGTTTCCTCGACTCGTCTGCTATCGTGACATGAGGTATACTATCATCTACAAAATCCTAGCTACCTGAAGTGGATCAAATTGAACATTTTGCAAAGCTTCGTATTGTCTATTTCGTGATATGCACATCCTCCGCTGGCCACACGTGCCTCCAGCAGGAATGAGCGCTACCCCGAGAAACCCAGAATGGGAAGCATGCCGTCTTTTATTAGAAACCAAATCAATAACAAAGGGGGTACCAACTCCAGTTGATCATGTAATCAAGTAATGAAATGAGAAACCGTGCCTTGGAGGGTCATCATCTCATCCCGTATGCCGGACTCGGGGGAGCAAAGCAAAAAAAAAGTCCCGAGTCTCTTGTTCGCATCATAAAAACACATTCAGACAGACAGCGCAATGATTGAAACCAATCATCTTTTCTTTTCCTTCTCTGTTCATATTTCTTCATTTCACCCTCCTTACTTCCGCTGCTGCTCCCGCTCGACCTCGTACATGAAGTCGAAGTAGGGCTTGTCGAAGTGGTGAACACGAACATAACCGTCCTCACCACCGGAGGCATACGCGGTACCGGCGGGGTGCACGTCGATGGTGTTGAGCGGACCGAAGTGACCGCGGACACGGCCGATCTCGTCTTCGAAGACCTTGTGGTAGAAGCGGGCCTCGAACTTACCCTGGCGGGCAGAGGTGGTTGTGACATCCATGGCGGCCTGACCACCACCCAAAATAACGTAGTCCTTCTGGGCAGTGATCGATGCTGAGTTCAGAGGCGTATCGGCGACGTAAGTCTTAAGGATGGCGAGGTTGCTGGCAGAAATGAGCTAGAAACCTTGTTAGTGGGCGCTATAATAGAATTATATGTCCCAACCATGGTGCATACCTTAGCAGACTTGTCTTTGGAAGCAGTGATGAAGTAGGTGCGGTCGGGAGAAAATTGGAGGTCGTTGATTTGGTGGTCGAACTCGTGGGCCTGGACGTTCTCCAGCTGGTCACCGGTCTACAGGAACAAGTCAGTATCCTGGTGAAGCCTGTCCATGTTTGATCGCGCAGTCAGAGGTGTTTCTATCGTACCTTAGGGTCGTATTGGCTGACACTGCCATCCTCATGTCCCGCAATGATGTACTTGCCCAGGTAGCTCCACCCTGCCACAGTAGCCTTGCTCTCGTCGCAGGTAATGCGCAAGCTCGGCTCCTCGGCCTGAACGTCGAGGTCGTTGAGGTTTCCGTCGCCATAGGCAATATCGAAGACCACAATTGTACCCAGGAAACCCATACGCTTCTCCGTCACGGCCAACAGCTTGCTCCCATCCGGGGAAAATGCCACCCGCTTCACGGCCGTGGGGAAGTCCCAGGTCTTCACACACTCGCCAGTCTTGATGTTCCATAGCCGCACAGTGTTGTCTGCTGAGCCAGTGGCGAGGAGAACGGTGTTGGGGCTGACGTCGACAGTCCAGACGGCACCCTGGTGGCCAGAGTAGGTTCCGAGACGCTCGCCGTTGGCGGACCACCATGCGCACACCACCTTATCCTTGGAAGTCGAGAAGATGAGATCGCCATCCTTGTTGAACTTGATTTGGGTCAGAGACCGTTCCTGCGGAGGACCAAGACGGCTGCGGTTAGTTTCTTCGAGGACCCAGACATTGGAGTAGAAATCGCACGCACATGGCCCGACAGCAGAATAGGCCGCATCTTAGAGGTGCGACAGGGGTATTCGGGAGATCGGAAAGGAAGTCGAGGCGATCGGCGTAGAAGGGGGGTTCAAGGGAGGCGGGTATACCGGAGGGGTTCAATCTCGTCAACCTCACTTTCTTTGACTAGTGAATTTCATCGCACACTCGGCCACCCAGCGCCAAGACTTGGCCGTATCGAATCCCGCTTTCCGGAGAAAAGAATGTTCCGGTATCTACACGTGATGCTGCCCCTCCAGCCCTAACCCTACATTGGTCGATCGGTCTACTGTCTATCTGGAGATATGTTACTCCGCTCCGATGACTCACGAAGCCTCTGGGCTCGGCGCCTGAGGTTTTCATGCGTATATGCCTCAGGCCACAACTCGCGGTGCGCTCAACCGGCCGCTGGACCGCCACGAGAGCCTCCCTCCCACGAGCAGGAAAGAAAACGCAGCGGAATAAAAGGAGTACAAAGGGAGAGGGGGACAAATTACCGAGGACATGCGCCGTGTGAAGCTTGTTATCCCAATCATTCCTTTCGTTTTGCTGCTTTGAAACGCTCCCAATAGCTCCCATCCCTTGTGATCCCGAAGTGCAGCAAGCAGCTCCGAGGGTTCTCGCCCCTAAAGAAGCAATAATATTCATGCCAGTCTTCCCCGCCACGGGACCCCGCTGTCGATTTTACTTCCAGGCGCGCGCGGGCAATTTTCGTCTTCCCCCTTCTCTCCGTGGTTTTCTCTCCCCTTCAACCACTTCTCCTCCGCACGAGGGGTTCGAGGAATTGCTCTACTGTCGCTGTCGACTTCGCCGTTGAACGGTCGCTCTCCACTAAGCTCAGGAGTAAAAATCCCCCGACCCGCCTCTGTCCATCGCACGTTCGGCAGCTCCGCCACCATGGCGTCCAAGATTGACGGTACCGCGATTGCCAAGAGCATTCGCGAGGGCCTGAAGGCCGAGATTGAGAAGACTCAAGTGGCCAACCCTCGATTCAAGCCGAGTCTGGTGATCTTCCAGGGTAAGCCTGCTATATAAAGAGCAGCGATGAAATAGCGATGGCCATAACTAATATGTTAATCTGATATATAGTTGGCAATCGGTCCGATTCTAGTTAGTTTCTTCTGCAACTGTGTAAAGGGAAGTACAAGCTAATTTGCCTAGGCACCTATGTGCGCATGAAGCTGAAGGCCGCTGAAGAGGTGGGATTGCCCCTCCCTGACGAGATCTACCTGATAAGCTTACTGGTGCCCACTCCCTCATAGACCAACATCATCTGCACCCTCATCAATGTCCCCGAAACGAGCACCGAGCTGGAGCTTCTTCAGGAGATCACACAGGCCAACAATGATCCCTCCGTTCACGGTATTCTGGTCCAATTGCCTCTACCCGGCCACATGTCCGAGCACACCATCACTTCGGCCGTTGCAGACGAAAAGGATGTCGATGGATTCGGCGCGATCAACATTGGCGAGCTGGCCAAGCGTGGTGGCCGGCCCTTGTTCGTTCCTTGCACTCCGCTTGCTGTCATGGAGCTGCTGAAGGCTAGCGGTGTTGACCCCGCGGGCAAGGAAGCTGTTGTTCTGGGCCGTAGTGATATTGTTGGCAGCCCTGTCAGCTACCTCCTCAAGAATGCCGACGCTACCGTCACTGTGTGCCACTCCAAGACTCCTGACATTGCTCGCGTTGTGAAGAACGCAGACATCGTTGTCGCCGCCATTGGCCAGACCGAGATGGTCAAGGGTGACTGGTTGAAGCCTGGTGCTGTCGTCATTGATGTCGGTATCAACTATAAGCCCGATGCGACCAGGAAGTCTGGTCAGCGTCTGGTTGGCGATGTCGATTTCGAGTCTGCTTTCCAAGTGGCCTCGCAGATCACCCCCGTTCCTGGCGGTGTTGGTCCGATGACTGTGGCTATGCTGCTGAAGAACGTAGTCCACGGTGCTAAGGCCTACTTTGAGAAGCAGAAGGACCGCCACATCACGCCTCTGCCTATTCGACTGCAGACTCCCGTTCCTTCCGATATCGCCATCTCCCGTGCCCAATGCCCCAAGCATATTACCAAGGTTGGTTCTGAGGTTGGCATTGCTCCCCACGAGCTGGAGCCCTACGGCCACACCAAGGCTAAGGTTAGCCTCGAAGTCTTGGACCGCCTTACCCACCGTCGCAATGGACGATATGTTCTAGTCTGCGGTATTACTCCGACTCCTCTTGGCGAGGGCAAGTCCACTACTACTCTGGGTCTCACCCAGGCCTTGGGTGCTCACCTGAATCGCATTGTCTTTGCCAACGTCCGCCAGCCCAGCCAAGGCCCTACTTTTGGTATCAAGGGTGGTGCTGCCGGTGGTGGTTACAGTCAGGTCATTCCCATGGATGAGTTCAACCTGCACTTGACTGGTGATATCCACGCGATCACCGCCGCCAACAACCTTCTCGCGGCGGCAATTGAGACCCGCATGTTCCACGAGTCTACACAGAAGGATGGCCCTCTCTACAAGCGGCTTGTCCCCGCCAAGAAGGGCGTGCGGGAGTTCAAACCCATCATGTTCCGGAGACTCAAGAAGCTTGGTATTGAGAAGACCAACCCCGACGACCTTACCGAAGATGAGATCCACAGATTCGCCCGTCTCGACATCGACCCGGAGACCATCACCTGGCGCCGCGTTCTCGATGTCAACGACCGCCACCTTCGTGGTATCACCGTCGGCCAGGCTCCCACTGAGAAGGGCCATACCCGTGAGACTGGATTCGACATCTCCGTCGCCAGTGAGTGCATGGCCATTCTGGCGCTCAGCAACAGCCTGGAGGATATGCGCGAGCGTTTGGGCCGCATGGTGGTCGCTACTTCTCGGAGCGGCGACCCCGTCACTTGCGACGATATCGGCGCCGGCGGTGCCCTCGCTGCGCTGATGAAGGATGCCATCAAGCCCAACCTTATGCAGAGTTTGGAAGGTACCCCCGTCCTAGTGCACGCCGGACCGTTCGCCAACATCAGTATCGGCGCCAGCTCGGTAATTGCCGATAAGCTGGCTCTGAAGCTGGCTGGTACCGAGCCTGACGAGGACCACGACTCCAAGACCGGATTTGTGGTCACTGAGGCCGGCTTCGATTTCACTATGGGTGGTGAGCGGTTCTTCAACATCAAGTGCCGCTCGTCAGGTCTGTCTCCCGACACCGTCGTCATCGTGGCTACAGTCCGTGCTCTCAAAGTCCACGGTGGCGGCCCGGAGATTAGCCCCGGCGCCGCCCTGCATGAGATCTACCGTACCGAAAACGTCGATATTCTCCGCGCGGGCTGTGTCAACCTGCGCAAGCACATCGCCAATGCCAAGCAGTACGGCGTCCCCGTCATCGTCGCGATCAACCGCTTCGAGACCGACACTGAGGCTGAAATCGCCATCATTAAGGAGGAGGCCATTGCTGCGGGTGCGGAGGATGCCATCCCGGCTAACCACTGGGCCGAGGGTGGAGCCGGCGCCGTCGACTTGGCCAAGGGCGTGCTCGCGGCTAGCTCCAAGCCCAAGGACTTCAAGCTGCTGTATGACCTGAACGGCAGCATTCAGGAGCGCATAGAGTGCATTGGCAAAGCGATGTACGGCGCGGCGAAGGTCGAGTTCAGCGAGCTCGCCCAGAAGAAGGTTGATACCTACACCAAGCAGGGCTTTGCCAACCTGCCGATCTGTATCGCCAAGACGCAGTACTCGCTCAGCCATGACCCAGCCTTGAAAGGCGCCCCAACCGGGTTTACTGTACCCATTCGGGACGTTAGATTGGCCGTGGGTGCTGGATATCTGTGAGCTTTTCCCTCCTTCCTCTACGGAATAGTCCCAGCCTTCTAAGGTGCGACACGACTGAAGCGAGATCATGTGCTAACCTTGATGATTCTAGCTATGCTCTGGCAGCCGACATTCAGACAATTCCCGGCCTGCCTACTGCACCGGGCTACCTTAATGTGGACATCGACACCGAGACCGGGGAGATCGACGGACTGTTCTAGAGTGATGCCAGCCCTTTGATAAGGTTGGATAGTGGATCGAATTGGTAGGTTGTACATACGGAGGCGATTGGTGCCTGGCTCTTCGTGGTTCCTAAATTTTTTGGAGCGGATCCTGATGGGGACTTATTTCAACACATACATTACGACGATAATCTGGCGTCTGATCGGAGCAGGTCTTTTAGACGGAGAAATTTTCAACACCGGACGCGAGCTCGATCCATAGGAATATGAAACAATTGGATAAACATCATTTCCTCTCTCTTCTCTCTCTGCTATGTATCGGTAAATTATCGCTGTGTTCTAGTTGATCGACACCAGTGAAATCTCTCATTCCATCGTGCTATTCGGGTGATGGTTTCCCGGGAGAGAAAAAGTGCTTCGGTGAGGAGGCCGCGGAGAGACGCTCCGAGCTCCGGCAGACCTCCCGCAAATCGCATGAGTGGCGGGTCGGTGGATAGCGCCACGCGCTCTCTCACTCGCCCTTGGACCGCACCTGATCAGTGAGTCAAGAGCTCGTTTGGAGCAGAACAAGGGATCATAGACCAGGGAAAGATCCATGCCTCCACCGAAACATAAATAAACGACGGTGAACCTGGGGAACTTCAAAGAGTGTTGCTAGTGGCCATACTTGTCTGTCTCGTGACGTCCGGCTTCGGCGCTTCTTCCAGCGGAGTTCGACGATTAAAGAGAACGTTCCTGCAGCAGCAACCCGGACAAGGCTTTTTCCTCCCTCCTCCCTCGCGACTCTTCACCAGATTCGCCAGATTCGCCGTCCTCGCTTCGTTGGCCGCTGTTCGCTGGCTCCATCCAACTGTCCACTCGGTAATTTCCCAGTCCCCATTTGCCTCCTAGTCAGTGTACTGTTCCGGGCCCTCCGTTCTGCCCCGGCCCTCCCCCAAAGTCTTGCCAGGTCTTGCAAGGTGTCCCAGGGCGCTGGCAGGCCCTGCGCACCCAGGAACTTCCGGAAAAAACAGTGTTGCAGACCGCCCGGCGTGAGGTGAACGGTGGAATCGCAGAGCGATGCGGCGGGAACGCCGGGGATAGGCGTTCGGACTCCACTGCCGCGCCTTCCTTTCTGCCGAATATCGTTCCCTTGTCCCTCGGTTGTTCGTCACGGCGAGAGCGGCCAACTGTTTCCCTCCGGTCCCTTGCCCAACCAGCCAATCCGGCCAAAGAGAAAGGCAGAATCTCGCGCTGACCCTTTCCCGAAGCACAGCACCGCGATTGCGATTGCTCCCACGATGAACTCCCTTCGGTCCGCTTCCGCTTTCGCGCGCCGGTCCCTTGCGACCCCTCCTCCCACTGCCCCTCTCTCTTCTTCTTCTGCTCGCCTTCTTTCTTCCACTTCTTTCGCCTCTTCCTCTACTCCTTCTCAACGATCTTTCTCCTCTGCCGCCCTTCGCCTCCCGCGCACTACCCGCATCGCCGCGTCTTCCCGCTGGTCCGGATCGACTCCTTCTCTGTACCTGACCCAATCCCGCACCATGACTTCCGACAGCAAGATCAAGGTCAAGAACCCAGTGGTGGAACTGGACGGTGATGAGGTATGGCTGAACCTTCCCCTCCTTTTTATAGTTCAAACTCTGCCTCGGGGCGTATCACAAGCTCGCTCCGCCTCGTGGCTCCTCGGGTGATCATACATTTCGTCTCGTCGGTCCCTGCCAAGGTGGGGGCATTCGGGAGATCCCGTACTATTCATGTGTTATTCATCCGAGGGATGACGCTGCGAAAAACGATGCTCTCGACCGACTTACCTGCCTGAAGCATGTGCTAACCGAGGAATTATTAATTTAATGTAGATGACCCGTATCATCTGGCAAGAAATCAGAGAAAAGGTAAGCCGCGGATACTTCCCCCTCCCCGTCGTTGCTTTTTCTACCCCTCGCCTCATCGGCCTGGTTCTGGCCTAGACCTGCATGATCGTCCCGGTTGCGGCTCTGCCTGCATGCGGGATTGATGCATCACATTGGCTCGTTGCGCCTCGAATTTAGACCGTGACTAACTTGGCTTTGATAGTTGATTCTGCCGTAAGTGCCTCCCACATGTTGGCGAAGTAATCGTCCCGACATGTCGCTAAGACCAAATCAAGTTACCTCGACATCGATCTCAAGTACTACGACCTGGTAAGCTACTCCATGGCGGGTCGATGACGTCGCTAGGCGATATTCCGTGCTGATCCTTTTCGCTTTTTAGGGTCTGGAGTACCGTGATGAGACCGACGACCAGGTCACCGTTGATGCCGCCGAGGCCATCAAGAAGTACGGTGTCGGTGTCAAGTGCGCCACCATCACCCCCGATGAGGCTCGTGTTGAGGAGTTCAAGCTGAAGAAGAGTACGCTTCCGTCCCTCCCCGAAATTATATGCTGCTGTGTCTCCACGGCCCGAATGCTAATACTTCCCTAGTGTGGCTGTCCCCCAACGGCACCATCCGTAACATCCTGTAAGTGGACACCTTTAACCTTATTTTGAACCGACTATTCCCTGATCGATCGACTAATGATCTTCCCCAGTGGCGGCACCGTCTTCCGTGAGCCTATCATCATTCCCCGCATTCCCCGTCTGGTGCCTGGCTGGAACAAGCCCATCGTCATTGGCCGTCACGCTTTTGGTGATCAGTACCGCGCCCAGGACCGTGTTATCCCCGGCCCCGGTAAGCTCGAGTTAGTCTACACCCCTGCTGGTGGTGAGCCCGAGCGCGTCCAGGTCTACGACTTCCAGAGCGGCGGTGGTGTCGCCCAGTGCCAGTACAACACCGATGAGTCCATCGCTGGCTTCGCCCATGCCTCCTTCCAGATGGCTCTCATGAAGGGTCTGCCCCTGTACATGAGCACCAAGAACACCATTCTCAAGCGCTATGACGGCCGTTTCAAGGATATCTTCCAGGAGATCTTTGAGAAGGACTACAAGAAGGATTTCGACGCCAAGAACATCTGGTACGAGCACCGTCTGATTGACGACATGGTTGCCCAGATGATCAAGAGCGAGGGCGGCTTCGTCATGGCGCTGAAGAACTACGACGGCGATGTCCAGTCTGACATCGTCGCCCAGGGCTTCGGCTCCCTCGGTCTGATGACTTCCACCCTGGTCACTCCCTCCGGCGAGGCCTTTGAGTCCGAGGCCGCCCACGGCACCGTGACCCGCCACTACCGCGAGCACCAGAAGGGCCGCGAGACCTCTACCAACCCCATCGCTTCCATCTTTGCCTGGACCCGTGGCCTCGTCCAGCGCGGTAAGATCGACGAGACCCCCGAGGTCGTTGCCTTCGCCGAGGAGCTCGAGCGCGCTTGCGTTGAGGTCGTCAACGACGAGGGCATCATGACCAAGGATCTGGCCCTTGCCTGCGGCCGCAAGGACCGCGAGGCCTGGGTTACCACCAACGAGTACATGGCTGCCGTTGAGCGGCGCCTGAAGGCAAACCTCAGCGCTCGCCTGTAGATTTCCCTTGTGATTTCCATTTTCGTCAAAGAGTTCTGATGCATTTTCTATATCATATCTGCGCTACCCCAATTTAGAGACGGGGCTACAGCACGATTGGCCTGGTCTAGCTTGAGCAATGTACAGCTGTGGTGAATCAAAAATTTGCTCTTCAATACCACTTTTTTTGCTTCGTTCTCGTGCTTCGTTCTTCTCGCTATTTGTGACTTAAAACTTGAAACGAACCTAGTAAAAATACGATTCTCCATAAAAGAGTAGTATTCAGTATCCTTCCATAGAAATAAGAACGGAGAACGGCAACTAAGATATTGTTCTTCAGTGTACCACCTGCTTTCTTTGCTTCATTTCTTGAGCACGTTCATTCACTGCGGGTCCAAAATCACCGACTTAACGGCAAAACGCCCGTAAGAAGGTCCAGCTGGGCCCAATTCTCGAACCAAGCTTCACCTCCCATTAACCCCCATCTTTTAGTGTTTTATCAGTATGACACTGGAGGCTTACTGTGGGTTTGCCCCCAACACCCCGGAACGCCATGAACCCCCACTATCGCATGATCAAAGGGCTGTCTTTGCCCCTACAACCATCGAACGGAGTTCTCCGGGTCCTTCTCCCCGAGTCTGATATTTCAGGCAAGCCGTCAAGCAGAGTCCATCCTCGGCCTCCCCGAGTCCCACACCGTGTAGGCCCGATCTCATGAAGCGCCGCCACCCTACCAAGAAGAAAAGTACACCCGAGTGGTGCAGTGCCTTGCCATGGCACAGATAAACCATGAAACCACCATCAAGTCGAGCCAAGCAGAACCGTGACTTGCGATTCAGGTCGCGACAGTGCTGTTGGACGGAGGCCGCCCACGAGTCATGAATGGCGAGGCGACATGGAGACGAAGCTTTGTTCAACGTTCAAACAGACCATCAGCAGGTGAGCATGGGGATGACAAGGTTTCACAGTACTTGGGCCAGCCTCAGTCAATTTCAGCGATGATTCGACGTCCATCGTTGCTCTCTCGTACCGAGAGATCCACACCCCGGACGACACCCTCGGAAACAGATCGCGACTCCACGACCTTATCCTGGTCCAACTACCGCGCCAAATTTATGGGTTTCGGTCTAATTGGCGGGTCGAAGTAAGGTGTGGCTATCGAGGCGGCGAGACTGCGGATTCTTTACGCAATCGGCGATGAGACTGTTGCCAAATGCGGCCGTCTGGCAGGTTGGATGTGCATGGTACGGCCAACCATACGTCGGCGATGAGATCACTGCTTTTTGGGAAGTTCAGTGCGAGTCGCGGATTTTTGATAAGCCATGCAGAACCTTTGCACGACTTTACCCGTAATTCGGCTTTTGAAGAACTGTGATGAGACCGATCGATATATAAGATAACTACGATCGAAAACTCTTAGCCGGTATTACATGAACGACCATATCAACTACTAACGACTCACTCACTTCTTGTCCATCTTTGAATGACACATTCGTTTATTCGACTTGCATTTGTTGCGCGTTCATCATAAAGTGGTGGTCGAGCTGGGATACGTCGCTGCTGCACTCACCCAAAGGGAACACGCCTGTCCCCTGCAACAAATCTTCACCTGAGCTCGTAAACATACTATTCGATGGAACTATCGACGTTACGGATCACTATCCCTGAATATGCGGGTGCTATTGATCACCACACTCTTCACCGTCCTTGCGAGCTTGTTCGTCGCTGCCCGTCTGTGGACGAGGTTCAGGATAGTCAAGAGCCCGGGGTATGACGACTTGCTTGTTTTATTTGCATTGGTAAGTCTGTTATCATTGTCTTCAACAGAAGGGGAAGGCACCCTTTTTCTCTTCAGACTGGAGATGCAATGCTAATATGTCCTACCTAGCTATCTTCCATCACATTCTATGCCTTCATCCTTGTCGGTACGTCAGCCCTGAGTGCGATCGTTCTGGACTAATGAAGCTGACATTGTGTCAAATAGAGCGTCAGCATGGTCTTGGAAAGCACAGACAACAACTTCCCGAGGACGTGATTCAAGACCAGATGCACGTACGTCCAATCCCTTCGCAGCCCGCATTCCAAGCTGAAGTACTAACGGAACCTCCTCAGTACCTCTGGCTTTCTGTGCCGTTCTACAACCTATCCCTCATCCTGGCCAAGCTCTCCGCGCTTGTTCTTTACATACGCATATTTCACAACCGAAGTTTCCTAATTTGCACATATATCACCATGGGCTTTCTCATCATCACCGGGCTGTGGATGGTGATTAGTGGATTCTTCTTCTGCGTACCGGTCCACTATTTCTGGAGCGCGAATCATCAGGCTCGTGAGAGCCATTGTCTGTCCGAGGGTCCTGTGTGGTATTCCAATGCGGCGATGCAAATCGTTACGGACATTGTTATTTTGATTCTCCCTATGCCTTTGCTATCCAAATTGCAGCTGCCACGTCGGCAGAAGGTGGGGGTTATGTTGGTTTTTGGTCTCGGAATCATGTGAGTTTCTTATTCCCCAGATTTGGGGGTTCCCTCTGTGCTAACAACTCCCATAGTGTGATCGCGACTAGCTCAGCCCGACTCTACGAGCTGAGCGTCATGGTTAAAGGACATGACTTCACCAGTGAGTATATCCAGACTACCAAACCCTACACTTCATGTTCGTCACCTTACTAATATTGCGAAGGAACAAACGCCGAAGCAGCCATTTGGTCGTCTCTTGAGGCTGATGTTTCCATAATCTGCGCCTGCCTCCCACCCCTGCACCCTCTCTTCTCGCGCATCTTCTCCTTTTGCTTCCGCCCGCAGCCTCTACATTCTTCACCTGCCTCAAAGACCCCCTCCACCACGACACACCTCACCTCCTCCCGCAAACCGTCCACCTTCGACCCCCATAGGCCCGACGGCGGCATCTTCTACAACGATTTTCTCTTCGTGGGACCATCATATACCGCTAGTATATCTAAGCTCCGTACGGAAGATGAAGAGGCCAATCGCCAGGGTGCGGATGAGGATGGAATCCGCGTCGTGAAAGAGTTGCGAATGGTCTCGGATACGGCTGCGGCTGCGACCAGTCCGAAAATTGCGCCTCATGATACCCAGGACCGGGAGTTTGAGATGGAGATGGGATTGCGCAGGGGCTCGGCAACTGCAAGTGGGACCGGGAATACTGGTATCGAGTGGGATCTGGGAGACTTCGAGTTCCCCGACTACAAGGAGAGAATGAACTCTCCAATCGGAATGAATAATGAATGAATGACTTGAGATTCACATGTTTTGCACTTATTGGTTGCGACTTGCTTGGTATTGGTTGCATATACACGAATTTAACGAACATCATGCAATGTCTTCGGATTCTATCTATCTGTCAAGTTGTAAAATTTAGATGCAGGTCCACAAAATAGCACAATCTGCGCAGTCTCCTCCATCATGATGCATACTGAATATGCGATATCTGTCAAAGACTCGGCCGGGCAGCATCCTTCCATCTCATAGCCTGCTCAATTGCCTTTGCCACAGACACGCACTTTTCCTCTCCAAAGCGCCCACCAACAATCTGCAGCCCAACAGGCATGCCATCAACTAGATCAATGTCATCTGAAACCAGGTTAGTAGAATCCTCTTCTCAGGGCTCCTGTGAGGCCTTACATTGCTCCTTGTTAAACTTATCGCCAGCATTACGCGGAACATGATCTATCCATTCCTGGTCGATGACTTCCTTCTCCTTCGACACCGTTGTAGCAGGGACCGTCAAAGCGGCATAACCCAACAAGTTCCAAATACTTGTGTATCCCACATACGCGCTAGATTTGACCCATGTCCAGGGTTTGTATCCGACCCATGGCGTATTCGGCATGATGAGGGCATCAATGCCAGACGATGTCCAGCGGTCGAGATACTCACTCTCGTAGAGATATTTATCGGCATTGAGCTGGGAGAGTAGTTAGCACATAGCCAGAGAACTGCACGTCGTAAGGAGGCAAGAAGTACTTGATGTGTTTCAGAGGTCGTCATAATATCTTTCTCAGTTCCCACCAACATGCCCTCAATAAGTGGCTCTCCCGTTAATTCGATTTTCTTGCGACAGCCCTCGCCGCCGTCGGAGAGGATGGCCTTTTCCCAGAGTTGATATGCGTATCCGTGGGAAGAGGCATCCCATTGGACAACTGGATTGAATGGTCAGAGAACCCTAATGCACCGAGATGAATCACTGGGCATACCTTCATGACCAGCCGCCTTCAGCGCATCGACAGCTTCCCAGACAGCCCTTGCAATGGGAGGCTGTACCTTGACAACACCGTCATCAACCAAGAATCCAATTCGGAGACGCTTGGCCCTTAGCGAGGCCATGTTTCGCCTCCATGGCACGGGAGCGGTATGCTGATCAAGCTCCCATGGCGATGCACAGGATAAGGCTTCCATGTATCGCTCAATCGAAGCCAAACTACAGCTCATAGGACCCGCAACCGAGCGAACGATATCCTGACCGGGACTATACTCGCATTAGTGCCCTGTCACGAAGAACACAGAAAAAGTTTGTCACTGACTTTCCGCGCTCATAGGGATGCCGCCCGGGAGTTGGCGACAAACCATACAGCCCGCACAGACTAGCTGGGATCCGAATGGAGCCACCAATATCAGTGCCAATGCCCAGCACGCTTCCCCTGGCAGCAACAAGCGAAGACTCGCCACCAGAGCTACCGCCAGAAATCAAATTGCGGTTTAGTGGGTTAACACATTGCCCGAAGACGTGATTGTATGAATCAGACATCATCATTGATTGCGGAAGATTGGTCTTCACGTATAGTACGGCACCGAGCCGTCGGAGGGTGCGCGCGACAGATTTGTCGGCAGGGGCGGGGCTATTCGTCAAGCCGACCCATCCTGAACAAAGGATTAATATATAGGGGATTTAGACTTGGGATGAAGAGGGGGTTCTCTACCGATCGAAGTATCCACACCCTTGACGGAGAACAAGTCCTTGATAGAGACAGGCAGCCCATGGAGAGGTCCGACAGTCTTGCCCGTCTTGGTCAGATACTCGTCCATCTCCCTCGCGGTCGCAAATGCTTCCTCGAAGAATATCTCGGTACAGCATATTGTGAGTTGGTGGGCTAGTGCTGCCCGCTTAGCGAATGTGGTGGTTAATTCTAGCGAGGAGAGCTCTCCGGAAGAAAGCTTGCGGAGTAGAACTGTGATGTCCGTTTCCTCTGTAAGTGCGAGCTCTGCAGGTGTTAGGACGCGCCGAATATAGGATAGTGCATCCGGGTGTGATTCAGCCGAGGGGATTGGAGAGAGTCGCCACTCGGGTGGGATGAGGGCCAGCTGGTTGGCGCGCTTTTCGGCGGCGCGCTCTTGATACGATGATGCAGTTGTAGTTTCTTCCATTATGCAAGGGTGATCTGCTTATTAAAAGGGGCTAAAAAAGGAGAAAAAGGCAGCACCTGAGTAGATGGGATCATGCTGCGATATTTAAAGTCAAGCAGTATAGATAAGCCGTGCGGAGAACTGGTTGATTGCCTTCCGCATCCGGTAAGCAATCAAATCCGCGCCAGAAGAACCCGCGGGGTGACGAATCAGGGCGCACTTTGAAAATACATCAACTCGTGTCATTAATCCTTAGATAATTCCCCTGTCCCTCCACTTTTGCTCGCATTGTTTCTGACCATCCGGATATCTCGGAAAGTCGCACAGCCGGCAATTCTGCCAGTAACCCCGCAGCACATCGCACTGGGCCCCGGTACCGGCATGCATGCCCGTCAGATAAGCGGGCGTAGCTATGTGCACATAGAATCGGGATGTAGTAGGCATCGTTGATATGGCAGCACAAACCTTATTTACCATGGAGGAAATTACATCTGCATGTATCGGAGGCGTGGGTGACATGCTGCTCTCCCCCGCTCGGGCGAAAGCGACGATTGCAGCGGAGCCTCGATACACCACGTCTGCAAGGCTGAGATCAGTCGAGTTATCGTTGCTGATATTCAGAATTTGCTGCATTGCTCGGGAGCTAAGTTCGATTGTGTTTAGATCGTTTTCGCCCTTGGCCAGGTACACGAAGAGGTCGAAGGTATCGGATGGACAGCCCACCGAGTCGAGGAATTCCTGGGAGAGGATCTCGCGGTGCCAATCGTCAAATATCAGGGCGCCGTCATCCCGATTCAGCGTGCCAGTGACATCGAACCAGACCAGGTAGGCGAGTACATTCGCTAGCCCAGGTATTCGTCCAGCTAGGCTATCTAGTTCGGCCTTGTTTGTGCAATGGAGGTCAAGCAGCGAGCGCGCTCCATGTAGATGACGCTGCCACTTGCCAAAGGAGCCACAGCACACTTCAAACATGGCGAATGTAGCTATCCCAAATAACGCGATGGGGTGTGCAGAGCCGATGACTTTGCTCAGGTTCGTGAGGGCGATGAGATGCGACTGGATAGAATCGTCATCGCTCGCTCCTTGAAGACGTGAGCGCGCATAGCCCAAAGTTTGAGAGATGAGCTCAATGGTTTCGTCTGGCAGTTCCTGGTTGCTGGATTGGATCTCTTGATAAAAGTCAGATAGGAGATCGATAAAGCCGTATAGGTTGATAGGTATGATCTTGATGGACTGTGCTTTAGGTTGATGAATTTCTTGGACAGGCGTATATCGTGTTTGTACTGCAGGGGATCTCAATGATGGCGATGCTTTCGAGACTATTTGCCTTTTCTCCCTATCTCCCATCCAAATCACTCGCTGTGGGTATTGGCATGTCGCTCCAGTCTGTACACAAGGTTGACAACGAGGGCGATTTAGATCACACTTGATACCTTTAGCTCGGCATCGCCCGCAGTGACGATCATGGCGAATGCCTCGGGGCTTCTTTACACACGCCATGGAGCTCCGGGATTGTATGATGACCTCTGAACTCCTCTAGGGTGTCGTCAAGATTGCCGGGAGATAAAGAGTGCGGGGGAAGCGGCAGGTTCCCCCTTTTGGTATTTAGCGGGAGATACGCATCCTGAGACGACTTGAGCGGCTGGTCCCTTCAGGCAAAAGGGTAGAAATCAGCAGGAAAATCTTCATCATCAAGGGAGTGTGATTTGGCAAAGCCACTCGGTGCAGCCCAAAACTATCTAAACTATCTAAACTAGCTAATGGCAAAGGAGCGACAGATGCATGTGCAGTACGGAACATTAACGCAAGACCTAACATAAGGGGACCGCCAAACAGAAAAGGAATGCTGGATACAAAAGGAGTGACAAAACTTGTGGCAAATACAGAAAGACCGATAAGAGTAATGGAGCGACAGGACTCGAAGGGGGTGACAGGCACAAAAGCAGCGACAGCTCGATGTACAGCAATGATCGTAAAACGGTCATGGCAGCATAAGCTCTGCGACACGACAAGAAGATGCGACAGACTTATATACAAGGATAAGCACAATACAGGGCACGAAAACGCCGAGACCCGCAACATGAACCAAAGCGAATGACTCGGTGAGCGGAACAGAAGCAATGGGCGAGGCAATGAGCGAAGACATAAGAACAGCTTCAAAACCATGGATATGAGACATGAGAGAGACCAACTGTACTTTGAAAATCTTGTAGAAGTCTCGTCGCACCAAACGCAATCCATCTCAACGCCTCAGCGACGAGGGCGGTTGAAGATGTACATTCTGCATCCCCATCGTTTGACCGAAGCGACTTGGGGCACCAGTATCCTCCTTGCTTCGTTTCAACTTTTCCCGGCGGTCGCGTCTCTTTGTAGCGGAGTTTTGTTGCTCAGGTTTGGGCCCCTCACTCGTCTTGAGTGCTTCCGATTTGGTTTTGGAAGGTCTATCTGCACGACGACGGCAGTGGCGGGCACGAACACGCTTTGGAGAAGCTGAATGAACTTTGGTTGTCTTCGAAAGTAAGGGACCATCCGACTTAAAGCCAGTTCGATGAAGACTTCTGAGGTTGAAGTCGGGACGTCGATGGATATTCCGTTCAGCTATCAGCTGCTCGAGTCTCTGAACCGCCGCAGTGAGAGATCTGGTAGAAGCAAGGCTCGCACTCAAAATGGTCGCTGAATCAGGAAGACCCTCCTTTGGGAAGGATTCCAGGAGGGACGATGCCAACTCTGCAGCAGGGTCAAAGCCGGTCCGAGAGTTTGGGCTGGAAATGTGTTCCACTCTGGGATCTGGGGTGTCAACTCTTTTGGCTGGATTTGGGACAGGCGTCTTGCAGGGTGACTGGACTGATCGCTCTGAATCGGCGTCTGAGCCGGACGACTTCTGAGTTCTGCGGTGATTTTCTGTGAATATTTTCGACACTCGGGTTATATCAGAGCCCAAATAGGAACATGTGCTTGCGATGTCCAGGGCTTTTTCTAGAGCTGCAGGCGTTGGCATGACCGACGGCATAATATTGGCAGATAGTGTCGGCAATTGAACCATGCACATGCCGACAAGAGGGTTTTGACGCGCTGATTGCAAAGGAGGCTCGCTCAAAACATTGATTGATTGAACAGCAGGTGAAGCATCATGGTCTGGCGCTGGAGAGAAAAAAGCACCAGGGCAGCTTTTGATCCGGCTTGGAGGAGACTGAGGCGACTGGAAATCCTCATTCCGTTCAGAAATACTTTGATGCAACGAATCGACGCTGCTGGAACAATGGTGGCAGATCACATCGTACTCGCCCTCGCGCGGGATGAAACTGAGTGAGACTGGCTGCAGACCCAGGAACATGTCTGGACTGAAGTTGCATATCTGCAACCAAGATGGCAACTCATCGATGGGTACAAGTGGAGCGAGAAGACCACCTGGGCGAAAAATGCAGAAACGCGGACGCAGCCGAGCGTGTGAGTATGTAAGGGGATAAGACGGTTGGTACTGCATGGTGACAGCTGAAAGGCGAGATAACCGTAGATTAAAAGGAGTGAGAACCGTGTACTAAAGGCTGGAGATAAAGAGCGTATGCTTTCCGAACGAAAGGCAGCCGAGGCTTGGAAGATGAAAGCAGATCGTGATGGGGAGGGGAGGAGGAGAAGAGAAGAAAGGAATCTATTCAGGTGGGTGGTATTTCTGTGTTGGATCGTTTATCGCTCCTGCGATCTTCACAATATAAACAATAACACAGAACCAAGAAAAACAGAGAAGTGCCTGACTGGGACGGGAGGGAGTGGCTGACTACCAAGTACGATCAGCCAAATCAGGCAGGGGCAAGCGTGCCATTCTTGCAATCAATCCCAAGAAGCGGGTTCAACCCAGCCGTGCCATTAATGCACATCACTGTCGGATTCACCATGCTTTGCGGAACACCTGGATGTTGCTTCACTGGAAATCCTTGCACGAAGACTCCGTACTGCGCTCAATAATGACAGCCTATGCTCCAGGTTTGGCAGTCCAATATTATGCCAATAAGGATCCGACGCACAAGGTCCATCGCAAGGTCGAGGGCTACTGGCCGAGCCTGTAAAGTCGGACAAGTCAAGTCTTCCATCATGACAGACCCATTGTTTACGCGTCCAGTAGTTATCCCATTGCCGAGCTGGGTTTGTGATGAGCGCTGATTGCAATAGCTTTGGGTCAAAAAGATCGGAAACGCGACATTGTACACGGATACCTATACTTCCAGGTAATGTCCTTTACGACTCCTTGAACCCCCATTCGGGCTTTGAATCTGGCTGTATAGACTGCGTCAATCACGGTAACATCTCCCAAGCGGATGATGGAGACGTTGGTCAAAGTCCGTCTGGTCCTGGCCGAGAGAGCTCCCTATCATCGCTCTTCGAGACCTAAGGCCTTGGATGGACCGAGCATCTGAAGCATTTCAATGATGACAAAGAATTGCTGGGAAGCACTAGTTATTTGACCAAAACTATCAACACAGTTATGATGTAAAGTGAAATACTTATTGACTGCATTCCTTATGTCCTAGAACTTTCTTTTTCAGCTTCCCTTTCACAGTGATCCTTGGTCCGGCCTTTTCAAAATCGGCATGGCAAGATCCTTGAATAGTGCCACCATATTTGGCCAACCTTTCTGGAAATTCCTCACCATGATTCGAACCGTTCAAATCCCAGCTCGGACCCCACGCTTAACAAACAGGGGTCAGTGGTTGATGTTGTTGGTGCCTCAGGCATAAGTCAGCCCGAGCTTCGGAAACTCCACATAAGATCATGGCTCACGGCCGTCCAAAGTGGGGGCGAGTAAGCATAGCTACCTAATACCCGAGACGAGAGACCCATTTGTCGCTATCCAGTCTCGTTCTCGTCGGTAGAAGCTTTGACATATTACGCCTGCCTCCAGTCATATGCATTTATCAGCGAATTGGACGCGATGATGCCCCCCTGATCTCTCTACCATCTGAAATCCACCACCTTATAACCGAGCACTTGGACTATGCATCAGAAGTGAACGCGCTGGGGCAAACATGCCGGACCCTGTACGGGCCAGCCTATCTGCGCCTCTACTCTCATTTTGCCAGGGATTTATCTCCGCGAAGCTTCCGACGCATCGTCGAAAATGAGAATGTGGACGCGCTACGGAGAGTGCTCCCTGTTTTCATAGATCTCGGGTGGAACACAGACTTCTTCGAGGATGATTACAACGCCGGGAAACTAGAAGCAGCAGGAACACTTGTGGACATTATCCAGATATTCGTGGATCTCTATGGGCCTGGGCAGACTCTTTGTGACATTGCCAGTGATCCCGAGTCCGAGAATGTTGCCCTAACCGCGGAGGACCGAGTTGTTTTTAAGGTCTTGACTGATGCTGCAAAATCAACCCGAATCAGCGACTTAGCCTTGAGTGCCGCAGCAATAAAAGGATCTCTAGATTGCATCAAGTTTCTACTTGATTCTGGCTGCAAAGTGGATGGTATTGATTTCGATCGTCGGACCGCTTTGGTGAATGCGGCAAAGCATGGCCACTTGGAGGTAGTAGAGCACCTTCTCGAGGCAGGTGCAAATCTGAATGGCCATGGTGTCCCGCATCGGGTCTTCCCTGAAACTCGTCTTTTCTATGCTGCAGCAAACAACCACGAGGCTGTGGTACGGTGCTTGCTTCAGAAGAATGCCCATCTGCGCACTGCTGGGGAAATCAATGCCCGTGAAGTGGGCTGTCTAGCTGAACAGGGTGGGGAAGCACTTGCTACGCTCATTTTGGAGCCCATCGATTTAAATACCAAATTGCTCCAGCTTCCTGCAGATCAAATGAGCTACTTTCTCCGCTATGCAGCCGCCGCTGGAGATGAAGCTACTATTGAACGATTTGGCTGCCCTCCTACTGCAGTCGAGCTTTTCTCAGTATTGAGGATTGCCGCACGATGCGGCCGTGCAAATATTGTGAAGACTTTGCTTGAACGGTCTGCGAATGTCTTTCCGGAAAGGGAAGTCATACAAGATGATTGCCACGAAGCGATTCAGATGGCCGCTCAAAACAATCGACCCTCCGTGGTCACTGTGGTGCTTCAGCATGCTGAGAAGCATGCGATAGACACTGCAGCAAGGGTCGGGCTTCTAGCGGCCGCAACCGCAGGCCACAAAGAACTGTGTCAGATGCTGGTGGAGAAAGGTGCCCTGAAAAAACCACTCTCGGGTCAAGTGGATCTGCCCCGAATTTTAGAATTCGCTATCGAGTCGGGTGATTGTACCCTCGCTGAGCAAATCCTGGATGAAGACAAACTTGGTCCCTGGACTATCTTACCACAGAGGCAGACTGTCTTCGAGTTGGTCGTCTCCAGCAGCACATTCGACATGTTCGACTTGATTCTTAGGCGCGGTGTGACCCTTGATCCAAGTAATGGCATGTGTCGGCAAGTTCTGTCGCGAGCGGCGGTCTCCAGACAGACTGAGATTATCTCGCACTTCCTACAAAATGGATTTGATGCCAATCATCTCTATACACTTAACGGTTGGAGTGAAAGATTGCTCTTTAGAGCTATCTCAAGTGACACAGTGGACAGAGAAGAACGAGTGTCCGACACACTGCACAGAGAAGATCAAGTATTTCCGATCATACAGCTTCTCATTGATCACGGTGTCAAGGTGGACGCAGTGGGGATGGCCAATCGAACTGCCTTGGCGGCTGTTGTGATGGAAAACCGAAGCATAAATATTGCCCGGGAACTTCTGGATCGAGGTGCCAATCCCCTACTGGGCTTCCAGGATGATGCGAGTGCTCTACAATGTGCCATCAAGATCCAGAATCCTGAAATGGTGGGGCTGTTTTTGGAAACTATCGGGGCTCAGGGATACCGATGTGGTGATTTGATTGCCTTCATTGCGCGCCATCTAGATGAATTCAAGATGCCCGATAAGAGATGGTCAAGGAGCGAGTGGTGGAATACTTTCTTCGTTCTCAAGGCATTGAGGTCGTATTATTGGCGGGCAATAAATTCAGTCTCGATGGCATAACTGCTTTGATTCAATTTGGGTTTTAAATAGAGAGCGCCTATTGCTTGCCCCACTATAAACGAGTCCATATAGCACATTGTATGTTTATACTTCCTTGTGTCGTCGATTATGCGATATACACCTTTCTCCCGCGGGAGCTGGCCGCGGCCCGCCGATAAGACCCACCGATAGCAGCTGCCAGCTTTATCGGCTCCGATGCAAGCAGCCGGCGAAGTACGTAACGTCTAGCCTCGTCCGTCCCCGCGACTCTCTCCAAATTCAACCTCATTCCATCCAGATATTTCATAATTGAAGCTCGCCAAATCATCACAATGGTCGCCCTCGAGGACCCCACGAATTCAACGCGACCTACACCCGGCATCGCCGTCGCAGACGCAGACTTCCAGCTGGGTAGCTCCATCTTCATTGCTGCGCCCTCGACACGAGTCTGGGAGGTGCTAATGGACACATCAACATGGCCTGAATGGAACACATTCGTTCCGCGCGTGACAATTCGCGAACAAGCAGACACACAGACTTCCGACCCCGCCACACTCTCCCCACACCTCCGCAAGGGCACAAGGCTGACCTTCCACGTCCGCATGGATTCCACCTCCACAAAACCCCAAGCCGCCCGAGACGTGCACCTCCGCATCACTGAATATGCCGCGCCGAACCCCGAGACCAAGACGCCTGGTCGGATCGTGTGGGTCGCGGACCTGGATGCGCCGGGCGCGTTTCCGCGGTCTCTCTTGAACGCGGAGCGAGTGCACGAGATTACCGACGTGGAGATTGGGGAGGGTGAGAGTGCTGTGCAGGGCACTGAAGTGCGGAACTGGGAGTTGCAGGCTGGGTGGTTGGTCTATGCAGTCAAGTGGATGTATGGGGCGAAGCTGCAGCAGAATTTCGAGCTGTGGGTTAGTGATTTGAAGAAATTCATTGAAGGTGGGGAGAATGCTTCCAATTAGGCGACAGAGTCTACGAAAACGGGTGGGTATAAGCTCACTTAGGTTGCTCATATGGTCATGATGACATGTGGTTATTTACTTGTGTTCCCGAGATGAACGGGGCTCGCTGTATGAAGCGGTTACGAGCTTATGGAAATATAATCTCCATTTTGCACTTCGGCAATCTTAATCAAGTTCATCCATGTAGATGAATATGAGATTCACGACATGCGGCTGGGCTTGGTTAGCATATTGATATCCGAGAGCTTAACGTGATCCTTTGTTTTTCAAGCCAGCCAAATCTGTCTGGTGAGGCTAGGGCTCTAATTTCCATGCAGTGGCAGGGTGTGGCTAGCCAGAATACTTTCACAACTGGAGCATATTTGCCATAACGGAATGGAATTTTGGGGCATTGGAGAGAAAGAGGGAGCCCCGCGAACGGCCGAAACCGTGGCTACTTGATAAGTATGTTGAGCAGCTAAATCTAACTCAATTCAGGTCAATGGGTTACTGAAGAAACATATAAACATAACAGACGTGTTTCTGACATTAAAACTAAGGTTCTTGCTTCAACAACTCCATCTAAATTTCCGGGTATCTCATCTATGCCAACCGAGCCTCGGGTTTGACGAACCAAGCTCAAAACCAAAACCAAATTCCAGAACAAATGCTCACCAGATGCAGATCTATTATACAAAAACAAAAAAAAAAATGTAAGAATAAAAGCAAGAATATGCGACAATATTAAGGGTGTAAAATAGCCGTCGCAGATCAACAGAAGCATTCGACACACTAATAGACAGCTTCACGAAGATGCTAGCACCAGCCAGTTCTGCGTAGGAATACGCTGGGTCGGGTCTTTGGCAACAGCTGGTTGGGTAAGTTTCTCGACGAACCCTCTGCATGGCACGCGGCAGCCATTTGAGCCGGAGCGAGTGAAGTCAAGGATGCGGTGTCCGTCGCGTGCCATAGCTAGACGCTGCATCTTATTTGCGCTAGGATACAGAAGAAGATCCCCAGTTGCGGCGGCGATCAACGTAGCCGCAAGTGAAAAGACGTCCGAGGCTGGTGTCGACAGCACGTCGCCGGATTTCAAAGATGCGAGCGTGAGTAGCTCGGGCGCGGTGAAGGGCGGCGTGAATGCTGACATCGCGGCGTGGTTTGGATCCGGGGTTTGCGCGGAGTCTGAAGGTATGGCGATCGCGGAAGAGAAGTCTGCGAGAAGGGGTTCGTGAGGGAATGCGCTCTCGTCGGCTGCGATTGAGCGGAGGAGGACGTTGTGAGGCTTGATGTCTCCATGGATGATACCTGCAGTATCATGCAGCCATGCCAGGCCACTGATCAACTTGCGCGCCATATCGCGCCATGAATCTGGTCCTTGGACGGGGTCGTACATGGTCGCTGTTGAGGGCTGCTTCTTTCGCAGATCGGCTTGGTCTTCGATGTATGTTGACAGCGCCAGGGGAACGGCGGACATGACCAACGCATCGGAATCTGAAAGGAGGCCATGGAACGGCACGACATGCTGCTCGTAGCCCGGGGTCAAATTCAGACGCGTCAATGTCAGCGCCTCGGCCTGGAGCACTTTTCGGGCATCGCGGCGCAATGGCGCTTTCACCGCAAGAATGCGACTCGTGGTGATCGGCGAGCTGGGCGGAGTATGGAGGTTGGCAGCGGGAGCGCTGGGAATCGAGCGCGCCTTGTATACTATACTCCACGCGCCTCGACCAAACTCGATCGGGCGATCCGCGCTGTCGCGACAAATTTCCACATCGTCCGAGAAGCGCAGCGGGGTGATCACGTTCCTTTTCACCTGCGCGGCTGTTTGCTCGGAGTTTGTTTCCTCCAATGGACTTGGGATGGATCGCTCAGGGTCCCCGGCTTCCTTGCCGATCGGGGTGACCGGGGGCGTCAGACTGGACGCCGAGGTTTGGGTTGGAGTTTGCAGCGTGACGCCTTGTCCACCGTGTGTAGTACTGAGGGACAAGCGCATTGGCGAAGTTGAGGGAGCCATCGCGGCACCGTGAGTAAAAATAATTGCAGTCGCAAGGCGGACTACTGCCGGCGTAGTAGGTGTAGATAAATGGTGGACGAGAAAAAAAAGCAAGTAAGGCGTCTCACGCTGCGATTCGCATAGATAAGAAACACTGCAAAATTAAGAGCTGCACGCCCGACGCAGGTGAGATTATCACTAAAGCGATAGCAGCGCCACCCTCAAAAACGGACAACAGCGGGCGTGAGTCTACTGCGTCCTCAATATCCACGGTTCAGGGCTCAAGTATGACGTGTGGGGCGGCGAATAGGGGACGAGTCAAAATCCTTCCGTGGTGGCCAAATACGACGACTCGGACCGAAGGCGAATTATATAGGCATAGTCGGCAAATAATCGGAATGAGGAGGGTGAGACTTGAGAAAGACGGCAAAGAGGATAAAGAGCAGGCCAAACAAAGAGCAGGTCAAACAAAGAGGTCAAAGAGGGCCAAGGTTGCGGCGGCGCGTCGCAGCCATGCTGGGATGTGATGAATGGGCACAGGGACCGCCCACTTTAGAAGGAGCTTAGAGACGAAGGAATCAAATGACTAGGAAGAGAGCGAAAACTTTGAAGAGAGAGTGACCAAAAGGAACCCACCAGGGCGGTCGATTGGCCGGTCTCGACCAGGTGGAAGACAGCGTGATGGAGAAACAGGGTCAATCACCGGCCAATCTCGACGGTAGCAGTGCGATAGTCCGAAGGTGGCCCTGAGGTGGTCCAAAGGTAGCGCCCGAGACCCTCTCGAGGGGTCTGATACGACGGTGGTAATCGTAGATGCCCTTTCGAATGGCCGAAGGGAATTTACCGGGTGGCTCGTGCTGATCGGTTGGGGCTCCACTGGTTCATTTCCCTATTTCCTTCTTTTTTCCACTCCACCGGGGAAATGATTGGCCTTGTTTTCTTTTCTCCGTTTGTCTTGGGATTTGTTTGTTTCTTTGTTTCCCTATCGTCTACTCCTCTACTCCGTAGTCTAGTGGTCTTAGCAGGGAGTCGATAGGACGAGGCTGAGATCCGAATGCGTGCGCAGAGCGGCTCCACCGCATGCGTCTTTAACGCCCGCCACTTTGGGGAAGGGGAAAATCTGGACACCCCTATGACTCCCCGCTAGATCAGCGGTCATGGAAATCAGTCGGAAGCAAAGTATCGGACCCCCACAAAACTAGAAGTATACATGCACGACGGCATGTCTGAAACTACTGCGCGGAAGCCGGGATGGGGCGGGCGGGTTCTTGCAGGATGCCCCAGGAGTTTGGGCCAATCGCTCGGCCCCGTGCGGTCCCTGTTGGGCCCTCTTTGATAAGGCCAGGCCGGTCTATGCTTCCTCGGGCATCGACGGGGGCCTTTTGATTGGTAGGATGAAGCAGGATTTTGATAGGAAATGGTAGAAAATTGATCAAATGGCCAGAGGAGGCAGAGGCGCATGCCTTTGACGTAGTATACACGTGGAAAAGGGGGATCGCTAAGGTGCTGATGTGCTAATCGTACAGTAATTTGGTGATGGACATAGAAGGCGGCATATTCACGTACACTCCGAAACCTGGGGTATAGGGTGTTAGTGCAGGCGTTTCGGCGGCACCATCAGGTTACGTCCGGCTCGGAACGAGGTCAGGGTGGCTCCAATCATGCGGCTAAATTGGATCGCTGTGGTGTCTGGCGCCTGCTTCTGGTACTCCAGCAGGATGTCCCAGAGCGTGGGGATGGGGATGCACCGCAGTCGCACGTCGCCCACGTCGTAGTTGAGATTCTCTTGGAAGCAAGCGTTTGGATCAACGGTGGGGTGGGCCAGCGGGATAGGCCCACTGCCGGGCTTCAGGCGCTTCATCGCGAAGGGGACGAGCCCGGGGATGGCCTGGAGGAGCTCGTTGGTGGGACGGTCCAGAAACAAGATTTTGAACAGCTCGCCCACGGTGATGTGATTGCGCGGGCCGAACACAAGCGATAATGCTTCGAAGAGCCCGAAAATCTGTCCCCGCTTTTCGTCCGACAGGTGGCTGATCTTTTGGAGGTACACGGGATTGGCCTCGGCCTCAAAATACATGATGGATCGGGGTTCACGAGGAAACAGCTCAAGCTTGTCGATGCGCAGTGGTTCCCATGGCCGTTGATCCCATAACAGGACGGAGTCATCGAAGTTGTTGGACACGTTCATCGTGCGATAATCATCAACAAATCGATCCCAGCTTTTATACAGACGATGATGCATGCTAGCATACTGATCGGCTAGTCCCGCTTCTTGGGCCGCGATCGTATTATCAAGCTGCTCCAGATCTTTCACGGTCTTGCTGGGATCCGCAGCTGCTCGAGAAAGGGCCCGCATTGTCTGATCGATCTCGACCCTACGGTGTGCAAGCTCGAGACGGCTGTGTGCAATCTTATTCTCCTTGTAGAAGGCGGATTGAGCTTTCTGTCGCGCTGTTTTGGCCGCCGACTTTGTGATAGGAATGTTAGGGTCTTCCTTATTCCCAGCCTCAATGTCGGCCAATAGGACCTTGTGTCGCTCGGTGAGAATCCGAGGAGAATGCGGTACGTCCGACCTCTCTCGTTTTAGAGATACTGGAGCCAGCTCCAGGGGCGGAGGCTCGCGACCCGACGGGGTGATAATCTTTTGCGCCGCAGTCCGTTCGGCGACTCGCTCCCTGCCCTTGATTGTCACGTCCAATGGCTTTAGGGTCACCCACGACGCTTCTTCCTCGTAGGGACTTGCGACCTCAAGGGCATGTAGCGCTACGGTCTCTGTCAAGAGGGCCGGCCGTCTGCGTTCGCCCACTGTTCGAGGGACAATACCTTCCACCTCCAATGACGGAATCGATGCTAGAATCCGTACACTGCCGTATCTGTGTATCCCTTTCTGCTGCATACAGGCTTCCATCATCGCACTCCACCACCGTTGCGGTGTATAGTGGTCGGCTTTCTGGGCTGGAAGGGGTGGGCTGGCCAGGACGAGGAGGGTGTCGTTCTTGGGCAAAATTTGGTCTATTGCCTGCCTTTTGTGCGAGGAGACTTGCTCTGGGAAATGCTCTTCAAAGACATCGCCCCAGTCTGCTTTGGTGTAGAGGTCCATGGACAGCAGTTTATAGCTGGGACTGGTGTCCACGAGTTGCTTGAGAAACGGCTCATAGGAGGGTAGGTCGGGCTCGATGAGGACATGACGGCGAGGACGGAGGTAGTCGTTAATCTTTGAGGAAAAATTACCCGTATTGGGCCAGAGGTCGAGGACGTCGATTGGGGAGCTTCTAGATAGGTAGGGAGACACTCGCTGGAGGACATCCGCTGTGCGAGGATGGTATCGGGTCAGTGTACTGGAGCTCTAGCTTAAAATCAAGGAAGCTCCATACACACCGCAGAGTTCGTCGCTCACAATGCTGGACTGGAGCGCAGTCCGCCTTTTGAGCTTTTTCAGCACATGCGAGTTGATAGCTTTGGTGATCGGGTACTGCTCTACGGGCATCCACCGTTGCGCAAGGACCCGTTTGGAAATGGACATGGTCGCAGTCCTAGGCAATCATCACCGCTCTCATGAGAGGCAGATCTGGCGACAAAATACACATGCTTGGGCCATGATTGGCAGGTGACGGTCGGGGTGGAGGAGTTGAGAGAACAGCGCGTCCGCGGGTTTTTTTGGGGGGAAGCGGAGCGACCTTGCGGGATCCTCGGTCATCCCACCAGGCACCTCCCCGTTCCCCTCGCTCAACTTCCGTCGCTCTTTACTCGTCTGCCTGCCACAAATCCACCCCTCGCGCCTGGATGCGCCCTCATCGTCGATAGCTGCCTGGTCTTGGCACCAACTGTCGAAGATCGCCCCATCTGATCCGCGTCAACCATGCCCCTTGGGACTCGCTATGCGTGAAGAAGCGTGAAGAGGGGTCGTGATCTCGAAAGTCTACTTGCTCGACCAGCAACTCCCAATTCTTTGACACTGCATCTTGGCAATGGCATCTCAAATGAAGCTCTCCTCTACCGAGGGAGGTCCGCCCCAGAGCGTGGAAAAGATTACTCGAATTGCCCAAGACTACGAGTACAACGCGGCCGTCCCGCTACGATACTGGCTGCGGACCGCTGCTACACTGATGCGAGAGGTCAGTGGACTTTTCCTGGCTAGTTTTCATGTAGCAAGGCAATCGATCTTCTAACTTCTCTTTGACATGGCAGGCGCAAATCTACGAACGCGAGGGACACGACGAGCAAGCCTACCTCCTCCTCTTCCGACATGCCCAGCTGGTTCTGGTACACCTATCAAAACACCCAGACGCCCGGAAAGATGACAAGGACCGCAAAGCACTGATTGGAGCTGAGAAGGAAGTTGAGAAAAATCTCGCCAAGTTGGAGGTCCTCAAGCCGCGGATAAACAAACGATACGAACGGTATACCCAGCTGATGCGCGAGCGTCAGTCTCGGAAGCTTTCGTCAGAAATCAGCGCAATCCCCGAACCCCGAGAGCGATTCACTGATCCTGCGTTGGCTGGTGTTGCGGAGCCGTTGGAAGCAGGGGAGAACCGAGACCTTGCGGTTCGGTTGGCGCAGTCCGAGCTCCAGCGCAGAGCTACTGTACGCAGCCGCCGTGCCGCTGGTCTGTGGGGGGATTGGGAAGATGCATATAAGACCGATATCCGGTCGACTGATCAGGACTTGAGCCAACGGATTCAGAACATTAGATCCAATTTGGATCACAAGGCCCCCGCTGGCACGACAGGACGTCTTCAGGAACCTGGTACGGCGCGTGATGGATCCACTACGGAATCGACCTACAAGTACCCTACTGTACCGCGCCACCAGAAAGCATTGGGACCAGTGATACCTCCAGCACAAATTGCCATTCGAGACAATAATGCTGAGCGCCATCCGCCTCCCATTTTACCCCCAAAGGAACATCTTGAGCCTAGTCGAGCATCATTTGTTGATGGCCCTCTGGCCTTGGAGCCTCCACCTCGCCCATTGAAGTTATCGCCCGCCCCTCAACTGCCAGAGAAGGTCCGGCCTTCTGCAGAGACTTCCTCCATAAAGCCCGATCTCGATCCCTCCAGCTACACATTTAAACCCTCTGCCTACTTGGAGAACGGCACTCCTCTGCGCTCAGTATTCCTTCCCGCCAGCCTGCGCGCTCGTTTTCTCTCACTGGCAGCTTCCAACACCAAGAATAACCTGGAAACATGTGGCATTCTTTGCGGTACACTCGTATCTAACGCTTTGTTCATCTCTCGGTTGGTCATTCCCGAACAGATCTCCACATCTGACACCTGTGAAACAACCAATGAGTCGGCGCTCTTCGACTACTGCGACTCCGAGGACTTGATCATGCTCGGCTGGATCCATACCCACCCATCCCAGACATGCTTTATGAGCTCACGCGATCTACACACTCATTCCGGCTACCAGGTTATGCTCCCCGAGAGCATTGCCATTGTCTGCGCGCCTAGCAAGACACCTGACTGGGGTGTCTTCCGTCTCACGGATCCTCCGGGTCTGAAAACGGTTTTGAATTGTACTCAGACGGGCTTGTTCCATCCCCATGCAGAGGAGAATATATACACGGGGGCCTTGCGACCGGGTCACGTGTTTGAGGTTAATGGATTAGAGTACGAGACAGTAGATTTGCGTCCCAAGGGGGAGCAATTCTGATTACTTATGACTAGTTTATGTTATTCAATTGACTATGATACCCACTTTTCCCACAAAACTCCCTACCCTGGTGAAATGCATAACTGTCACTTTTCATTCTGCATCTCACACTGCTTTATTCCTCTGGCCGATGCGAATGCTCGTTCTTCGACGCGGTTCGTCTTTTCGACGCAGAGCCCGAACTAGCTCGCGCCTTGTTTGAAGGCGTCGGTGAGCGGCGCCTTTGCGGCTTGCGACGACTCGTCCTGTGGCTCGTCTACATCTCTCCAAGGTCAGCCTCTCGCCCTTACACATTGGCCGGGATACCAGGCATGAACAGCATCAGGCACAGGCAGCTGATCGGCGACGACATTGTCAAGATCTATGTACGTACCATCGATTCTGGGTCATAATCGGCGCCGTCGTACTTGTGGCCGTGGGTACGACCTTTGCGCCCAGCTTGGGTGATTTCGTCGACGGTGAAGTCGGAGGACATGCTTGTGTTGACCATGATGTGTATTTGCAGAACAAGAGCAACGTGTACCTATATCTAGTAATTGGTGGTCAAATTCAAAATTCAACTGTGATATACTCTTAGGAAGTGCAGATGCATTCCTCGATGTATATAGCCTTTGGACCCGCCACAATTTCGTCATCTGCTTTCAGGAGGCGAAGGCGGGGCTGTAGTCCGTGTCAATAAAAGAATAGATTGGTCTAATCGATGGAATAGATCATCGAAACTTAATCTCGATTTAAAAAACAATATAAAAAATGGCCATGTCGGGAGCGCTTAGCGTATTGGACGATCAGCTTGAATACGTGGCTGCGAGCTCCCATGGGAAAGCATCAAGATGATTCACTTGGTTCGACATTATCTCGCTGACGAAACTGCAGATAAGCTCCTCATGATGAATATACATGTTCAAGCTCAACGATGATCAAATCAAAGCTCCCCTTCGCCCTGTGACGGGGCTGGAACCCCCACATGATAAGCGATAAGTCGGGTTTACCTTAACCCCATACCTCCTCTGTCAACTGAACTCCAACTCCACCGCATGCCTTACCTTTCGACGACATTCTTCACCCGGTAACCTCAGTCCAGTGTGTCCTCCAGCCATTAATTCCAATTGCCCTCATGTCGTCCTCATCACAAGGAGACCGCCCCTCCGACACCCCCCCCCCAACACCACCACTACTTCCGGTTCTCACACGCCCCATCAAAAACCAGGCGCACCCTCTTACACTCAATACTTCTCCTACCCAGTCAGCCACGTCGTCTCAGGTCTCTACCGGCGCCTAACAGATCCCGTCCCGACCGCCATGCCCTCGTCCGTACCCTGGTCTACTTCTTCTTCCTCGTCCTCAATCTTTACGCCACGCCGAACAGCCTCGCCCTTCCAGCCTCCGCCCCTCACCCCCCTCACACTCACAATCCCCAAGGGCGCAGACCTCCTCCAACAGCAGCTCCTAACACGCGCGCTTGCCGAGGAAATACGGCTTCTCGTGCCAGCGCGCCTCCAGCTCGTCGAGACCTGGCGTCTCGCCTACAGCCTCGATCGCGACGGCGCCTCCCTCTCGACCCTCTATGACAACTGCGAGCAGGTCTCTCACCGCAGCCCGCGGGCGGGCTATGTCCTCGTTATTCGCGACTCATCCCCCTCCAGCGCCGTGTTTGGCGCCTATATGACCGACGCGCCGCACCCCAATTCTCAATTCTTCGGTACGGGCGAGTGCTTCCTCTGGCGAGCGAGCGCGCTGCCGCCACCCACCAGCTTGGGACTGGCATTTTCCGGGGACGGCCCGCAGACGGAGGAAGCTCTTGAACGTGCTGGTCTCCCGCCGCCTCCTTCTGCGGATACCACCCACACCGGACGCTGGAGTACCTTCCGTAGCGACCCACGAGCGAAGGCGCGGACCGAGTCGCCAGCCCACAACCTGAATATGAATATCAAAACCAGTCTGGCTGCGGCTAGTGGCGGTGCGCTGGCGCCCCCGTCACCTTCGTCGATTGACACGCCTAACCGGAGTGGGGCCAGCACTCCGGAGCACATTCGCTTCAAAGCATTCCCGTACAGCGGGGTAAATGACTATATGATGTTTTGTGAGACTGGATTCCTCAGTCTTGGAGGCGGGTGAGTACAGTCTTCCAAAAATCCTCTCAAAGTGACCCTAAACTTACGAACATTATTCTCAGCGATGGACGCTACGGCCTTTGGGTAGACTCTGGTCTCGAAAAGGGAGTCAGCTCTCACTGCCAAACTTTCGGCAATGAGCCCCTCTCCGATGAAGGGGACAAGTTTGATGTGCTTGGTGTTGAGGTGTGGTATGTGGGCTCGTGACCAACTGCATATGTTGCTGCGCACTCCCCCTACTTAGAATCTGAGCTCTGTGGGAATATGGAAAGCACAGAATAAATATGGGGAAGAAACACGACAAACAGAGTGAAAAATGTTCGAATACCCAGTGCTTGCATGGTTTATTGCAGAGGATCCGATTTGTTTCTTTCTCTCGGCGCATCTTTTCACGACTTACTGCATTTCCTTTCAAATACCCGGGCAGCAATGTGACGCCGAATGCTCTCATCGTTGCTCTCGTCCCGCCTTTCCTTATGGATGCCAGATCTACCGTTCATCTGTTTCTTCTGGTCGTGGGTGCTTGTACATAAGGTCATCTTTGTGCCTAGTGATCAATTACCCGCGAGTACTCATTCTAGCGCTGGGCAATCTGGTTAAAGGAGGAATCCCGAAAATCAGTGACAGAATTAATTTCAGTCAAACTCATACTAAAATAAAGATGTTAAGAGAGAATGATTGGACCAAGTCTCACCTTCCGAATCACGCTGGACTCATGTTCCGAATTTTTTCCAAGTCTTCTTTAGTATCCACACTTAAACTGAGTGCCGAGCTCGTAATTGATACATGAATTTTCTTGCCATAATATAATGCTCGTAATTGTTCCAGCTTCTCGGTTTGCTCCAACGATGTTGGTCTAAGTCTCGGATACGCCCTCAGAAACCCGGCGCGGTAAGCATAGACGCCGATATGCCGAAGCAATCCCTCTTTCGCGCAGTTGAGATCATGGGCGTCCCGGTCCCAGGGTATCATGGCTCGTGAGAAGTACAGGGCATTTCCATCGGCATCTAGCACGACTTTCACGACATTTGGATCAGCAGCATCCGTCGCGCTCATAATGGGGGTGGCTAATGTAGCCATCTCAGTACCATGCAATGACAGGTCCCGAGCCACTTGCGCAATAAGATGAGACTCGATAAAAGGCTCATCTCCCTGCACATTGACGACTATTGCATCGTCAGAAATTTTGAGCAGATCAACTGCCTCTGCCAATCTCTCGGTTCCGCTTTCGTGGTCGTCCCGGGTCAAGAGTGCTTCGGCATGTGCTGCTTCAGCTGCTTTGATAATATCGGGATGCTCGGTGGCAACAACAACTCGAGCTGCTCCAGATTCTTGCGCCTTTTGGACAACATGCGCGATCATAGGTCTTCCATGGATGTCAGCTAAAGGCTTGCCAGGGAGACGAGTCGATGCGAAGCGAGCTGGAACTATGACAATAAAGTCCATTCTGCTGGTGCAAGCCCTTTGCTCATGAATGTAGGGGGAAAGTATCAACTAACAGAGCGCTCTATGAGTGAGGTTATGTAAGTCAAAATTGCCTGGTGGCGGGGCTATGTTGTACAACATGAGCTTCATGCGGCGTGATGTGGCCATGCGCCTGCATGAGCAGCTACATTATCACCCGAATATTGCATGCAACCTTCAATGCCAGTAGTTAGGCGCAACACCTTTCACTAAAGACCAAGCCTCTTCCACAGCCTCAATAGTATCATCCGGTAGCGAACCTTTCTCCAAATCCAACAAATTAGACTCAAGATGGCTGACTCGGCTTGCACCCACAATGATAGCATCGCCCAAATTTTGATCCAGCTTCAAGTGATGCTTCAACCATCGCAATGCAATCTCAGCATCAGTCAAGCCATGCTTTGTGGCAGTTGAGCGGATGGTGTCGAGTGCGTCGAAATAGGCGTCGTTCCAATAGCGATTTCGAGCAACCTTTCCGGCGAGGACTTTGGGATCGAAGCGGGATCCTTCCTCGAATTCGGTCTGATCCCTTGTGTACCTCCCAGTAAGAAGTCCGCCGGCAAGAGGCTGGAAGGCGTATAGAGATATTCCGTATTTGCGTAGGCAAGGAATTAGTTCGCCCTCGATACTGCGCTGGAGAGCATGGTAGACCCCCTGGTAGACCGTTGGCATGACCCAGTCGTTCTTCTTGCAGATCTCACATATCTGGGCCACCTCCCAAGCCATATAGTTGCTCAGGCCGAGGCGAGAGAAACAGCCTTCCTGGTACATTTGATTGACTTCGCGCAGGGTATCTTCAAAAGGGGTATTCCGGTCCGGAGCATGAAGATAGAAAATGTCGACGTTTTCTGTCTGTAGCGCGTTCAAGCTATTCGTCAACCCCCGACGAATATCCTGGGGCTTGTGCGTGTATCCCTCAGCGAAGGCGGCTGGGCCTCCAGCATTGGGGTATAGTTTGGTATGGACGATGAGGCCACGGTCTTCCCACCCGAGGTCAGCGAGCATTTCCTCAGAGGACCCGCCGCCATAAATTCTGGCTGTGTCGACCTCGCTGTGGCCATGACGCTGAAAGAGATCGAGAATGTCGGTGGCCGTAGTTGTATCATGGACACGAGAACCAAGAGTATCTTTGTTTCATTAGTTCTCTGCTGATTCCAGAACTGGGACTAGAGAGTGATAGTGGACAGACGTACTTGGCTTTCCAAATGCCATGGCCCCAAAGACGATCTTTATTTCGCCGCTGTTCGTCATTGTGGAGCTGCAGACGGATTCGATAAAAATTGGAGATTGAACCCGGTCAATTGATCTTTCACTGCTAGATAATTTGCAGGCCATAGTAGCTGTTATATGTATCTACGCGCAAGTTTCATCCCGCTGGGCCCACCCAAAATGATGCCGCATGCACGCTGCGCCACGAAGTACTATGTCCGGGTCTAAACACCGACCCAAGCGGAGAGACTCGCACTTAACCCCCGCGTAAACGATAAAGTCCGCGCTAACTGCATACCTTGCAGACGCAAAACTCATTGGAGCCGAGAATGTGGTATCAAGCTTTTTTCTACCTGACTTTCAGGTCGTGGTGTCATCTAACTCCGCTGAACGAGCCCGCGAAGATGTCCGCGGATGTTGGCATTCCGCTCATGCTGGATCTAGCCACAAGCAGGACCAGGAATTCCAGTCAGCATATACTAAACACATTCGACATTTTCCAAATGCCATCAAGTTGTTGTAAAGCAAGGTAACTGTGTTTCTCTTGTCCTTCCACTGCTTTTTCAAGATACTTCAAACGACTTTTTGTAGAGAGTTTGCGAAGAATGAAACAAGTTCTTTATTTAAGCTCATCCATCAATCACTCGATCAACAATTGGACCTCTGCATAAAAGCAAATTTGCAAGTGAACTGTCCTGGTATCCCAAATTACTGCAAACCAACCCTTATCCATGTAGTCATCTCCTCGAAAGGGACCTCATCACGGATGAACCCACCATGCATCAGATTCATATGAGCATAGATCGTATTATTCTAAACTTCCCACCACAGAAATAGAACCGCCACGCTCCACACTCCAGGACCGCACATCCACTATGTCCACGTCCAAAGATCTTCTGCTTGTCCCACAGCCATGGCACGGCTTGATGCCAGCCAAATGCTGCTGCTCGGTCGCATGATGAAAGGCATTGTGCCGACGCTCCGCATCTTTCAATTCCTTGTTCATTTTGGTCCAATACGCGCATCGGCGAGGACCTGCTCTGCTTGCTCGAGCTCCTGCTGAATGCGTCATCTTTCCACAGCTGACTGCACTCTTTACACTCTCGAAGATCTAGGGGAGCGCGGCCAACGCAGGTGCGCCCATATAGTCCTTTACGATATAGGAGTCGCGACACCAGGCATACATCAAGGTTCCTTCGTTGAGGACCGCGTCACTCTCTTCCAGGATAGCCATCCTGACCACTCGATCCAAACTCGGGCCGCAGTAGTTCCGATGGGACAGCAGAGCGATTCGGAGACTCTTTCTGTCAGTGAAAAATGCTAAGAATCTGGGTAAGGGAGGTGCTGAGGGAAATGAGGTAAGTAGTCATCGAGGCCGAGTACATGAGAAGGTCATGTTCCTCCATTTGGAGCAGAACAAGGCGGAGGTCCTGACCTAAAGCATCCAATTTCTTTCTGCCATGTCAGAATAAAGCGTTATGGCAGTATTCAGGGATAAATGCTCCTTGATTCACGCATTGAAGTTGAGGCTGAGATCCGTCTCTCAATCAGGACGCCCAGGCGAGAGAGGTGGCGGATTTAGAGAATGGAGGCGACCCTCCTACAAGCTTTCCGGGGGCGAGGGTAATTCAATTCACTCAGTTCATTCGGGGTCTATGGAAGCACCTAGCTAGCTACCTACGCATGAAACTCAGGCCAGCGTGTAGTCCGACGAGAAAGAATATAGCTGCGTAAGGAAGACTAAAAGCACCGCCAGCGCGAAAAGTCCTGCCAGATCTCGGGAAAGACCTTGTAGAAGAGCAAAAACCAAAAGATAGGTACGAAAGGAAGTGGAATGGAAAGCATCAACAACAGGGGGTATGGGTAATGGTACAAAATCCAAAAAACCAGATACAAATGAAATCAGAAGGGGGAAGAAAAACAAGCAGAATTAGTAAGGCGAGTTGACGATGTCGTTCTTTCCAAGACGGCTGCTCCATCTGCCGCTCTTCGCACGACTGGGAGTGACAGGAGCAGCGATGCTCTCACGTGTAGGCTTCTGGAAGCTGCGCTTGGCGACCATGTTGACCTCATTGGGCAGAGCCACGATCACATTTTTGTCTGAACCGAAGCGGAAGTTGTCCGCCATGACGTCCTCTGCGTAGCGCTTGATTGTGTAGGGGTCCTTGCGACCAGCAAGAATCTTCTTCAAGCTCCAGGTGACAATGAAGGGGCCAGTGGCAGTAACGATCGATGTTTCCTGGGACTCAACACCAGTGTTGAAGCGAGCAGGTGTGAACGCCAATGGCTGCTTCGTTTCGTGTTGGAACTGAGCGACGTGCGCAGGCTGCAACCCAAGACGACGAGGTTGGGGCTTGGAGTCCTTAGCGAATGACTTCTCAAATCCGAGCTTGCCCTCGTTCTTGCCATCCTTCTGCAGCGAGTCGATCAGAAGAAGATACGTGCGGCAGGTGGCCAGAACCCAGCGGCCATCAGCAGACACGTCCAGACCAATAATCGGCTCACCCAGAGCAGGGATATGAGTCTTCGCGTTGATGCCAAGGCGGTCGAACATGCGGATATCACCCTTGTTGGAAGCTACAGCGAGATAACCCTTCTCGGTCGTAGCCATTGCAGAGAAGTCGTTCTTGCTAGCATACTGCTTGAGGTTGGATTCAACAAGCTTGTTGCCCGCGAGCCGAGGATCAATACGGTACAGCGCATTTTTCGATGCACCAACAAAGGGCTGGGCGGAAGTCATCTGGGCGAATTTCTGTCAAATAGATTAGTAAATACAACGTCATGTCATCTCAAGAATCTAAGATGAAGACTCACGTTCTCCGGAGCAAAGGTGTCCACCGGGATATCGTCGTGCACTTTCCACTCGTCAACGACCTTACCATACTCAAGATCCATCCGGTAGAGAGAGTTGGGGTCGTTCCCATTCTGGAGAATCATGTTGCTATCCTCCGCGTGCAACATAACCTTCTTGGGGCTGAAGAGCTTGCCGCCAGGGGTCTCCACTTTGGAGATGGTTGTGGAGAACTCCAAATTGTTGTTGGTAGTGTGCTTGAAGACACCAATCTTGGATCCGCGAACCACAAATGAGCGATCGTGCTTGTAGCCAACAGCCAGTTGAGAGTTCTTGTTGCCATCTTCCTGGCGGGTAATCACATCTTCCTCCTCCTCGTCGCTGTCGTAGTGTTCGCTGCGCTGACCATCATCCTGGTCTGTCTCGTCTTCATCTTCTTCTGGTTCTTCCTCATCCTCTTCTTCGGCCTTGTCGTCGGCGTCCTCCATAGTGAGATCCTGAAAGGCATCGAGCACGTACTCCCTGTCATTCTCCTTAACCTTTTCCCATTTCATCTCATTGAGCTGCTCCCACAGAGCCTGCATCAAGCCCTCCTGAAATCGCTCTTCCGAAGCCTGATCTTTGAATCGGAGAAGCCAAGAGTAGGCAGAGCCATCTTCAGCGTAGTGATTGAAGATGAATGACAGATACTCGAAGTTGAAGACGGGGTTGATGTCTCCCACAACCGCCTGCCCCAGCCAGTCCTTGTCATTGCCACTAATCTGCAGCCAGTATTGCCAGTTGCCGATTTCCGATACGGTTGCAACGATCTCAGAGTCCTGCAGCACGAAAGTACCAGTAGGAAAATCGAAGAGATGCAGCTCAGCCTTCTCCTTGGCGAGAATTTCCGTTGATTCAGGCTGGACTGCGGACGGCGGGGCTCTGGTGGGCTCGTCAACTGGCGCGGCTGACTTTACCTGGCCCTTGGACTGGGAATATTTGACGTCCTGCGCCATGGCAGCTGCGGACTCACCCGATGTCACAGGGGGCTCGGGCGACTTGGCGGACGGAGAGGACACGGGGCTTGCGGGTGGAATAGGCTTCGCCTCTTGGAATGAAAACCCCTGCAGCTCCTCTTCCGTAGCCTTCTGGGCGCTGCGACGGAACTTGCGCTCGTATTGACACTGTAAAGCGGCCAGCTCAAACGTGGCAACTTTGTCGGACGGGACGGAAGGGTCGCAGATGAACTCAAAAAGGTCGCCCTCGTCACCACTGAGATCGTCCCAAGCGAGAATCTTCACACCACCCTCACGAACTTCGGAGCGGAAATGCAGTGTCTGGTCGAGCAAGAAAACCTTCTCGTCCTTGTCCAGACTATTCGCCACACCCTGCTCGTCTTCGTCGTCCGCAAGTTCTTCCTCGCCTTCCTCGTAGGCTCTCTGGATCACAAGTTGGTATTGAAACTCTTGCCCAGTGCGTCGAATCGTCGCCACGGCGTCCTTGAAAATGAGCTCTGAATAGCCCTTGGGGGAAATGGGGCGGACCAAATAGAGCTGGCCCTGAGGAATTTCGATGATGGCCTCTTTCGAGGTATCACCGAAGAGAAATTTGCCCACTAGATGTTTTAAATTGACAATATTAGCTGGTTTGATTCCTTGGTGACGAAAAATTGGGGCTGATATGTTGGTATGGAGGGGTTCGTGGCGGGGCAGAAGCGCGTTTGCTTACCGTTGCGGAGCATAAACATCGTTGCGAGGGGCAGCTACCGAGCAACAGGGGTGTGGGAAAAGGTCAGGGAGTGAAGGAGGCGGGGAGGGGAAAAGAGTAAGATATATAAAAGAGTGAGAGAATGCAAGACAAGCACAGTAGAAATGATCTCTGCCACCGTCGGGGAGCGATGAAAACGAAGCTTGGAAAAAAGAAAGATAATTGCATAACAAGAAAATCGCCTCCGTCATAGACTGTGGCGTTGGCCCTTGTGTGGCTAGTGTATTATGTAAGTGGCGCGGGTATCACGGGAATTGATCGGGACACAACAGAATTTCTGTTCGGGGCACAACATTTTATTATGTAATCAGTATCAGGAGCTTTTACATAATCAAATCACCTGATCTATCTGATATCGCTATAGCAACCACTAATGTTTATAATATCTCTCTTTCTCTCTCTCTCTTTCTCTCTTCTCTATAGCTATCCTGTTCAGTTTTTACCATATAAACCATACAAACCAACCAAACCAATCAAACAACCAATCAAACAGCTATATAAACCACTATGCCTACTACCAACCCTACTATCGATCTGATTATCGACAACCCTACCACTGCTACCACTGATCTGATTATCGATAACCCTACTACCGATCTGATTATCGACGAACCTACTACCAATCAAGTTAGTCAACCATCTGATCTTCTACCCCCGCCAGAGCAAACCTTCGCATCTCGCGATCTATTGGTCGATTTTGTACGCCAATTTGGTATATCGCAGGGATATGCCCCTACTATCAAGAGTTCAACCGCAGATCGGGCAGTCTATCTGCATTGTGATAGGTCAGGGATATATTCAGACCGAATCAACGCACAAGATGGGATGAAACGACGGAAAACAAGCACTCGGCGGCAAGCTTGTCCGTTTTTACTATATGGAAGCCGAAAGAAAGATTCTAATTGGCTACTAAAGGTTAAAAATAGTATGCATAATCATCTTGCTGATCTAAATATGATAGGGCATCCAATCACACGCCGATTTACCCCATAACAAGATGATTTAGTCCGATCTCTCTATCGTGCGCAGATTAAACCAAGATATATTGCCAATATACTACGCGAGAAAGCACCAAACCAGCCAATCATATATCGAGATCTATATAATAAACGACGTAAGATTCAACAAGATGAGATCGGACCAAAGAGTAATCTTGAATATTGTGACGCATGACAGAACGATGGACGGAGATCACCTGATGGACGCGGAGTGATGGAAACACCCGACCGAGCTAACCTAATGGGGCCTGTTTGCATAAGCTCTCTACAAGATAGTTGCCAGAGCCTCCGTAGTTTCTTCCTTCTTCACCTTCGTTGTTTCGTGAATGCACCTGGTTACTTTCTAGTTGGCTCTTTCCATGATCGTAACATATAACGAAGGTCCTTTTTCACCCTTTCCTGTTATCTTTGAGTTATACAGACATAGACAGCACGCTGTTACCGTCTCACTTAGAGCGACGCCCTACCCTGAACCGAAACCGACGAATCCTAAACGATTCTAACCGAACCGAACCGAACCTTCCCCTACTAAGACAAGCCGACGTTATGGTACGATCCCGTTTAACGATCCGACGCCGTCAGAGTACTACGGCTAATGAGCCTTACGACTAGACCCTAGAGAACCTAGCCGGAGAGTATAAAACGAATAGCGATGACGATGAAATCGCTAGCGCCGAACCTACTAGATAGTAAGGACTGGACGAACCGATCTCTTTCCCCTCTGAGGGGGACCTTGACCTTAATTTTATCAAGAATTATACGCCTAAATAACTCCTTGATCTCCTCCGCCGAGAGTGCCGCGAAATTCGAACTCTCACTAACTAGCGGGATGCTATAAACGCTAAATACGGGGAGGTATAACGGGATCTTGAGACTATTACCCTAAGGGCTAGTTAGCTTGCTATAAAGGTTATCGACCTATAGGAGCGTAGGTAAGACCGTCCGTCGACCTACGAGTCCCCGATGGCTATATCTCGCCGTACCGCGAAACTCCCCGACCCCCCTCTCTTTAGCGACGGCAAGACCGTACGCTTCGACTAGTAGGCGAACTAGATTCGATATAAGCTACGTAGTAACGCTAACTACTACTTAACTCCGTCCGACCGAATCTACTATATTTCGAGCCGCACCGAGGGTAAGGCCTTACTCTATATTAGTCCCCGAATGAGAGATAGAGCGTCTAACCCGTACGGCGACGTAGAGGATATAATTAAGTATCTCGAGAGTGTCTTCTTAAACCTAAACCGAGCTACGGAGGCACTCTACGAATATACCTACCTAACTATAAAGCCTAAGGATGATTTTAGCGACTTCCTTACTGATTTCTCTCGCTTAGCTAAAGAGGCTCAGTAGCCTAAGCAAAACCGACTCCGCGACCTTTATAGCAAGCTACTACCGATACTCTAGACCTAGACGATATACCTACTCGATGACCTAGACGTTAGCTTTAAGAGGTTTATTACTACCTACTAGCGTATAGCCCTGAACCTAAGCTTATTTTATAAGCAGAAAGAATCTCGTCGTGCCTAAGCGGCCGTAACCGTCTCTAGATTAGCCTTAGGCTTAGCTATGACTACCGCTTCGCGTAGACGCCCTATATTATCCCCTTTTATTAAGCGTAAGGGTGCTACTCCGGCTTATAAACTAATAACCGCAGAGGAACGAGCGACCTACCTAAAGGAAGGTCGATGCTTTAAATATTACGAATAAGGATATACCTTACGCGATTGCCCGAAGAAGCCGATAACCGTCGCTTCGATCGATACTGCTAAAGAACTCGCCGATTACGAAGCCCCTACTATTACTAATACCCCTAAATCGGGAAATGCCTAAGCCTAGGGAAAGTCTCCTTCCTAGGTAGTATAACTTTATCACTTTTCGCGCTGAATCTACAGAAGTTATTAGGAAGAGGAAACAGTTTATCTTTTAATACCTAAATAGCCTATAATAGATATTTATTCTCGATTTCCGCGCTTAGTGATACTAGAGTAGATAGATTTATATATATCGATACCCGATTAGCCCTATAGGCCGCGAAGGCCTTTAGGTAGCTAGTGATACGGCTAGAAAAGGAGGTGCCGACCCGAGGGTTTAACGACTACCCTAGAAAGCCGATTACTTATACTATTAAACTAACACTAATAATTAATAGCTACGTATAACGCCGCTTACTAATATTAGTCGCTAATCTTAGTAAGCACGACCTAATCCTCGGACGCGAGTAGTTTACAGAGTATAAGGTCCTTCCCGACTGCGCGAAGCGCCGATTAATCTGGCCGGAAGAACAGAGCCTATAGGATGAAGTAGCTAGTTAGCTATCTACTATCCTCCCCCGGACGATCTTACGACGGCCTAATCCTAATTACTAACGAGATACCGATCGACGTAACTAGCTTTTTAAAAAGATCGATCGCCTACCGTAATATAAGCCGATAAAGACTACGGCCGAAGACTATAAGAGTGTACTAGCTAAAATAGAGCGTGTACTAAAAGAGGTATAACCCCGTCCTTCCTTAGAAAGATAACGACTAACTCCTTAGACCTATACCCCCCTATTAGAAGCTATCGCGATGATTAGTGCTGTAGGATTCTACTGATATATATAAAGGGGTAGTAGCGAAGTCTTTCTAACCTTACTTAAGGAGATTAACCGGATCCTAGAGAATAAATAATACGAGCGTTAATCAGAAGAACGTAAGATAAAGCGTATTATTCCTAAGGAATATTATAAGTACACCGATATATTTTTATAGTAAGACTCCGATACGCTACTACTACACCAAGAGTTTACCGACTATCGAATCGTCCTCGAGGAAGGCCTAACCCCTAGATACTGCCCGCTCTATAAATAATCAGAAGAAGAGCTTTAGGCGGCTAAGGCCTATATTATAAAGAACCTTACGTAAGGGTTTATCGAAGAAAGTAAGGCCCCCTATACTTCCCTAATCCTAATAGTCCGGAAGCCTAGCGGAGGACTCTGGTTTTACATCAATTACCGTAAGCTTAACTCGATTATAAAGAAAGATCGTTATCTAATTCTACTAATTAATAAGATCTTCTAACGGCTAGATAAGGCTAGATACTTTATAAAATTAGATATCCGGTAAGGATTTCACAGAATTCGTATAGATCCTAACTTAGAAGACCTTACTACCTTCCGTATATAATATAGGTCCTATAAATATAAAGTAATACCTTTTAGAGTGATGAATAGACCCGCTACGTTCTAGCGGTTTATTAATATAACTCTTAGTAGATACCTCGACGACTTTACTACCGCCTTTATCGATAATATCCTAATCTATAGCGAAACGATAGAGGAATATATCGAATATATTAAGAAGGTACTTTAAAAGCTTCGAGAAGCCGGACTATAGGTAAGCCTAAGTAAATGCGAGTTTTATACGTAGATAACCCGGTTCCTTAGCTTTATTATCGGCACTGATAGTATTAAGGTTAATCCGGAAAAGATTATAGTAATTATCGACTAGTAGTAGCCTACTATAGTTCGCGGGGTACGATCTTTCCTAGGATTCTGTAGGTTCTATCGACGATTCGTAAAGAACTATAGTCGGATTACGAAGCCACTAAATCGCCTCACCGAGGATAAGACGCCGTTCGAGTAGAGTGCGCAGTGTAAATAAGCCTTCTAAGAACTTAAGAAGATAATAACAACGGCTCCGGTATTAGCTTACTACGACGCATCGGCCCCTATAAAGGTCGAGACCGACGTATTAGATAGGTATATCGGAGGAGTCCTCTTATAGCTCTAGCCTAATAGCTATTAGCACCCTATCTACTTCTATTCGTTAAAACTAACTACTACGGAGTAGCGATAGGACACACATAACTATAAGATATTTATAATCGTTAAGGCCCTTAATCTTTAGAGAGCGGAGCTAGAGGGACTATAACGGGACGACCGATTTAGTATCTTCTCTGACCATCAGTCGCTTCAATATTTCATAACTATAAAGAAGCTAAACGCCCGTTAGGTACGTTAGGGAGAATTCCTGTCGAGATTTCACTTCCTAATACGCTACTTTATAGGAAAGCGAAATATCATCGCTGATACCCTCTTACGAAAGGACCCTAGTACTTATAATAGGCAGAACTAAATCCTCCTCCCGCGCGAGTGCCTCGAATAAGGTATACACCCCGATAATAATGACCCTCAACCCCCTCTAGCTAGAATCGCTCCGGTAACGATAACAAACCCCGACGACGGATCCTAGACTATCTCCGATATAACCGGGGTAGTCGTGTGCGTTCTCTATGCTAATCAGACTTATCCCTCCCTCGACGTAAACCGAAACTAGGCAAGAATAAGCGAGGATGGATATTAGGAGATAAGAGGTAGTCTTTTGCTCTACGAAGGAAGACTAGTGGTGCTAGATAACGGAGACCTTAGGGCGCGCCTACTTAATAAGGTCTATCGTTAACTATACACTACGTATCCTAGCGAGACTAAAATAAAGGCCCTTCTCTTAAGTCGCTACTAGTGGCCTAACTAGGTAACCGACGTCGAACGATACGTAGATAATTATCGAATTTATAAGCGGATAAAGATATAGAGAGACCGACCCCTAGGGTTATTATAACTACTCCCTACCCCCGATCGGCTATAGTAGTATATTATAATAGATTTCCGGACATTCCCTAAGGATAAGTATAGCTACGACGCGGTATTCGTAGTGTACTGTCGCCTTAGCAAGCGCTAGGCCTCTATCCCCTATTATAAGACGACTACAGCCGCAGAAATAGCTCGATTATTTATTATATATCTCTTCCGATAGGTAGGCATACCTGACTTAATTATGTCGGACCGTAGAGGATAGTTTATATCGGCGTTCTAGACTAAGTTCTGCCGAATTCTTTGTATTAAGCGTAAGCTATCTACCGCTTACTACCCGTAGACCGACGGCCAGACCGAGATAGCTAACCAATAGATAGCCTAACGACTAAGGGTAATAGTCAATAAGTACTAAGATAACTAGTCCGAATAGCTACCGATGATTAACTTCGCTACGTCCGCGCTACGCTAAGACTCGACGAAAAGGTCCCCTTTCTTTATAGAAAGAGGATACGAGCCTAGAATATTATTCGATTAGGACCTACCTACCGACGCTTCTCTTTCGCTGTAATTAACTAGTAATACATAAAACTTTGTAGAACGAATCGAACGAATCTAGAAAGAGACTACTAAAGTAATCGACTACGTATAAGGGCTCTAACGTATATAGGCGAATAAACACCGCCGCGAGGTAGATTTCGACGTAGGAGATATAGTCTATATTACTATACGCTATTAGGGACTAGACCGCCTAAGCCGGAAGCTATCGGACTAAGCTAGCGGGCCGTATAAGATTATCGCTAAAGAAGGCTATACGTTTAGGCTCGAGCTACCCCTATCTATTAAGGTATACCTAGTCTTCTCGCTAAATAAGCTACGCCGTACATCGAAGACCGATCCCTTACTAGGTTAGATCGAAGATCCTCTACCGCCAGTCCTAGTTAATAATCAGCAAGAATGGGAAGTCGAAGAGGTCCTACGGTTACGCCTATACTACCGAAAGCTATAGTATAAGGTTAAGTAGCTAGGCTACGATAAGGACGACGCTTAGTATTACGTAGCCGACTTCAAAAATGCGCCGCTAAAACTGATAGATTTCCACCGACGATACCCTAACTCCCCCGGACCCCTAAAGAACCTACAGATCTGGCTAGCTGCAGCAGAAGTCGACGAATTCGTTGGTAACTATATCGACGATAATATCCCAGAGTCTCGGGGCGAGCCTCTTTAAAAAGGAGGGCTATGTGACGCATGACAGAACGATGGACGGAGATCACCTGATGGACGCGGAGTGATGGAAACACCCGACCGAGCTAACCTAATGGGGCCTATTTGCATGAGCTCTCTACAAGATAGTTGCCAGAGCCTCCGTAGTTTCTTCCTTCTTCACCTTCGTTGTTTCGTGAATGCACCTGGTTACTTTCCAGTTGGCTCTTTCCATGATCGTAACAAATATCTTCAAGAATTACTCGATTCGGAAGGATATAAATATGAATTTAGGCAAGACAAAGATGGCCATATTGAATTCTTTCTATTCGCTCACCCCTACGCAATCCAATTGGCTAATCTCTATAATAGAGTCTATATATTAGACTGCACATATAAAACTAACCGTTTTAGGATGCCGCTTTGTCATATAATTGGTATGACTTCATCTAATACTACATTCACAATTGCTTTATGTTTTATGCAAAACGAGCTTCAAATAAGCTATACGTGGGTCTTAAAGACCTTTTTTGATTGGCTAAGTTTACCCCTAAATTATCATCCAATCTTAGTAACTGACCGCGATCTAGCGCTATTGGCTACAATTAGCAATATTCGATCTGATTATCCACATCTATTATGCATTTGGCATATAAATAAAGCTGTCCTAGCGAAGGCAAAGCGTCTAATAGTATCAGATCAATCAATAGACCAATCAACTAAAGATAAATTTGATGATTTCATACGGAAATGGAATGAATTAGTCCAATCACCTACTGAGGATGATTATAAGATTAATCTGATTAATCTTAATAAGATCTACGCTAAGCCTTACCCCCAACTAACTAACTATATTAAAGATATATGGCTAATCTATAAACAGAAGTTTGTTTACGCATAGACTAAGAACCACCTACATCTAGGCAATTCAGCATCCTCACGTGTAGAGGGGGCCCACGCAGCACTAAAAAGCTATCTAAATAGCTCATCTGGTGATTTATGCACTATTTGGAGGGCTATTCATCAAGCTATACGCGCACAACACACGCAGATTAATCTAATCTCTGCGCAAGATAAGATAACTAAGCTAAATCTTGCATCTGATTGGCTATATGTCTATATTAATAAGCGAATATCGCGGTATTCGCTAAGATTAATCGATAAACAGCGATTCTATGCAGATCAGGCTACCCCCCAGGCCCCTATTAGTGTATGCACTAACTATTTTACTAGTACAATGGGTTTACCATGTAAGCACCGATTGGCTAGTCTAATTAGATCAAAACAGCCAATCTTATTGGCTGAGATTCATCCGTTCTGGCGGATTGGATCAGATTCATCTGATCTAGCTTATTTACCCTTACTAGACCCTCTGATTACCACGGCAACGACGCAGAGATCTGCTAATCAGATCGATAATACTACCCAAGATCAGATTACAAAGCGAAGGGCGCCAGGGAAGTGTTCGAATTGTGGGGAAATTGGTCATAGATATAAATCATGCCCAGTAGGTAACTAGATCAGGTGATTTGATTATGTAAAAGCTCCTGATACTGATTACATAATAAAATGTTGTGCCCCGAACAGAAATTCTGTTGTGTCCCGATCAATTCCCGGGTATCACGTGGCCAGAATTTTCTGGGAGAGTAGATCCGCGATCTTTCGGACAGGCAGGTGCTTGGAAATCACCGGATTGTAGGGTTTATCAGGTTTCTTATCGCTTAATGTATTGCACTCAGTATATTTAGAGTAATGCAACCTTCCGTCTCGACACAGACGGTGTTATCTTAGACACCTTACAAAAGGAACTGTATGGAGCAGTACCTACCGGAGATCAGAGTTGAATGTCCAAATCCAAAATTTCCGAACTCACAAGTTGTTCTTTTTGGTTAAGTAGATAATACACCTAATTGTGCATAATGATATGTGGGTGCTATGTATGTACATTCATGACTCAGCTTCATCTTCGTGGTCATCCGCTTGCTCAGCCTCAATATCTTTGGCAATATCTTCCAGCGTTGACTCTTCCCCTTCCTCATCTGCCGATTCGTCATCTGTGGCTTCTTCAGTAGCCTCATTGCCAACCTGCTGTGCCTTCAACTTGCCGCCCTTTCTCGGCGGAAGAACTTTCATGAAAGCTTCTCCCCAGTCGCCCAGCTCCAACCATTTCAGCATAATATCCACCACATGATTGGTGGTTAGCACCCGGCGAGAGTCCATCTGAATGTAGTCGCCAATGGGCAACTTTGCTGTTTTGATTCCCTTCGCAACAGCTGACCTGTAGCAGACTGCTTTGTGACGGTTCTTGTCCACAAGACCTCCGATGATATAGGTGCTGTAGGGCTTCAGCTCCGTCAATATGTTTTCACTGTCGCTGCTAAGGTAGATAACCTCGCCGTCCTCGGGCTTGGCGTCGGTCTTATCAGCAAATGGTCCAGCCATCTTGCCCCCTTTGGGGGAGGCCATTTGTTCTTTGAGAAGCTCGGATGCATGTGCAAAATCCTCAGGGATCATACGAATGCCCTTCCAATTGCGATACTGCGAGAGTACGGTATCAAATCGCTCCTTGAGTTGTTTATCGAACGAGCTGAATATCAGGTTCGAGCGCCAGATAGCACGGGCATTTTCCGAGTATGAGCGTGTGAGCTGACTCGCAAGAGAGGAACGCTCGCTTGGATTCATCAAATCGTCGTAACCGCAGTCGATCACGATCGATATGGGTAGCAGAGTCGACCGCTTGGCCCTGGAACGAGTGGTTTCCCATGTCTTGCGTAGTGCCTGCACAGCTTTCCCGCCGCCCTTTTCTCTTGCTTCCTCCACCATTAAGCGTCGTCGCTCTTTTTTATTTGCCATTTGTTCCTTCCGCCTTTCCTTGCGCAGCTCGCGTTCCGCATCCCATTTCTCTTTCCTGCGAAGCTTTTTGAGCTGGTTCTTCGACATTTTTGGAGCGTCTTCGGTGCTCTCAGCATGACCAGATCCTGTTGCTGGAATTGCATTTTCGGCCTTGGAGAGGTCTGACGGCTCAGGCTGGGAATTCTTGTTCGTAGGTGCGCTAGTTTGGGTCGGTTCGTCGACTGCCACAGCACCGGTCATCGCAGGGCCGAGTTCGTCTTGAGTAGCTTCGTCGTCATGACCAAGCTTGGGAAGTTTCCTCGGTCTCTCCTCTTCATCCATTGTGTCGGCGAGGACTGTATTTCCTCCGGGGATGCTTGAGTGGGCTGTCAGCGCAGTCAAGTAGATCGTCGGAAAAAATGCCCACCCAGGCCAATCAGCCAATAGCAGCCGCCATAGCCCTTATTACTGTACATGATCACGTGATATGCATCACCAACTTCTCCGTCCGCAACTCCTCGTTACGTCCACGGAGCCTCCAAACCCCAAATACCGCCATCATGCCTCAGGATATGCCCCCAACGGGGGGCTATGCCCAAGTCCAGTACAAGGTACGCCATTGACAAGGGCTAGCAGACAGCCTGCCCCTTCGTGGCAATCACACAGCGACATCAACTAACCCTCGCGCTCTCAATCTCAGCGGAACATTCCTGCCCGTGGCTTCAAGCCCTTCTACTACATGGTCGGCATGCACATGATCATGGCATACGGTTTTTACAAGTACTTCCACGGTGTCCGCGAGCAACGGTATGTTTTGCGCAATTGTGGAGGTTCCTCTTTCCGATGATCCCGAAACACTGCAATTGTAGACTGGCAATGCAGCCAGTGGCCCCAATTATCACAAGACACTAACAAACGTCTCGCTGTGTTTAGTGAACTTGCTCGTGAGAAGATGTGGGGTCGCCTCTACCTCACCCCCTCCTCCAGGCCGAGGAGGACCGCGATCAGGTCCGCCGCTACTACGCCGACAAGGCTCGTGAGAAGGAGCTTCTGGGCACCGAGCACAAGGTCTACCACTCTGACCGGTACGTACTGCTAATCCGATTTCACTCCGGGCTTCAATTCCTTCTTCACTGTTGCTAATGGCCTTGGCTCTGTAAAGCTTCGTCCGCCCTACGTTCGCCTACACCCCCTCCAAGGTTACCCAATAGACGATTTTGCCGACGCAATTAGCCATCCTGTGCCTCTATTTGTTACCACCCTTTGGTTGGGTACGGCGCTGCTATTTGATGAGAATACTCCACCGAAGAGGGTTGGAGTTCGATTCGCGGGATGAAGCGGAGCATGTGGAAAGATCACGAGGCAAGGATTGTTTGTCTCAGGGAGCCGGGGGCTCGAGGAAAACATTGTAGATATACCGTTACTATGAAGGGTCTAGTTTTGTCTTGCAACAAGTCATTTGTCATCTGTTACACAACCGTGCCAGGAACACTGCTTCGGGTGAGTTTAACCCAGGGCAAAAGTATCAGGAGAGATTTGGATCCTAGGGGATCGTGGTTTGTAATATGTTTGATGAGCCTGGCTGTGCACGCTCATATTGTCTTTTAGCCTCCTATAGATACATAGAGGCCCGTCTATTCTGTTGGTCTCAAAGCGCCGCCGCTAGGGGTAATCCGGAAGGTCTCAATCGAAGAAAGGAAAAGGCCATGCTAGAGAAACAGAAAGGAAAAGTGAACATCATGAACATTCGCTCAGGATGCAATCGAAGAATCAGGCCACCAAGCATAAGAAGTCATACGAAACCGAACAGATCTCGTCTGAGCATCACAGTCAACCTTAGTGTATAAAAGGTGACATGGAATCCTTGATAAACCAGCGCACCCAGGACAAGTTGCTAGGACGCGTGAGTAAGAACCACGAGTAGGACTAGTTCCGAGAAATGGAGTAACGAGAGTAGAGCGCAGGTGAAAGATGGTCGGGGGCAGGTAGCTCCAGCTTATCCAAACATATCAGCAACGCCCGAGAGATCAGGACCGTCATTGATATCAACACGATGATTCTCCTGCTGCGTCTCCATCTCATTGGTCATGTACCTCTCCTGGATCGCGCTTCTCGCCTTGCGGCGTTCCTCGCGGGAGCCAAGAATCTTGCCTTGCTCAGCAATGCTCACTCCCCGAAGAGGTTCTAGGAGCTCGAGGATCAAAGCACGCTGCTGGCGCGGGGATGTACACCGTTGGAGAGCGCTCTCTGTTTGTGCAACCTTCTCCTCAGAGATACCAGGGAGAGAGAGGAATGTAGACCGCGGCGTCGAGCTGCAGGAGCCGTAGAGGACCCAAATGGCCGCGATGAGCTGCGCCAGGTCCTTTTGCATATCGACGAAATAAGATTCATGCACAGAGGTGATGCATGCCTGCAACACATCTGTGCAGATGAATTCGCGGATGGTAACCGTCGTTTGGCTATTGTTCGGGGGCGCGAAGTCCGCTAGGATGGATCGGACCACGCGAGTAATAATACTGCAGCACCGGGTATCGCGCATACGGAGAGCATGGGTGCAGAAGAGCATGACTGGTTCGAAGATCTCCGGCGAGGAGAGAACAAAATGACGAATCGAGTCAGAGGGGTCAGGAGTCGGCTGCGGCGCACTGGGATCTGCCTCTGTTCGATCGGGATCTAGTGAATATAATGTATCAGTATACCAATTCAGACAACCTCAGGTTTTATGAGGTTTGACTATGAGACGCATGTCTCAGAATTTAGATGAGTAGGCCGTAAAGTTTCTTACCTCCTCTTTGCGGATCGAACAAACTGGCAACCATAATAACCGCAGCATACGTCAACTGACGAAGAACACTCTCCGACTTCATCTCATCAGTAAGGTCACCGTCTAAGCCACCAGTCTTTCGCTGCTCGATCAACTCCCATTCAGTTGTGATCTTGCGATCAATGCTCTGGAACAGGGTAGCTAGCATTGGAGGCAAGAATTGTGCGCGGTATTGAACGGGACAATCGTCGATTAGGCAGCGAGATATATTGAGCAAAACAGAGAATTGGTGGGAAGAAAGGTGCTCAGCATCCTTGAAAAGAGCCGCAGACAAAGGCCCTGGGAGCTCAGCAAACCCATAGAATTGATGACGCAGCCTGCTCATACTGAAAAGCATCGAATAGCATGACTCGCGAACTGCTCTGATTTTGCCTCGAACCGACGACGCGAAGCCCTCCAGGGTCGCCTTAGATGCGGTAATTTTGGCATAGAAGTCATCACGGCTACCGCTAGAAATTCCAGCTTGCCAAAATCTATCGGTCAGGATGCGCTCAACTACCGCCCGCATGTCATCGCTCACAGTCCAATTGGCCGGGTTATGGAAGGCATGGGCATTGGTGAGAAGTTGAACCAGAGTTGGAAGAATCTGAGGAATCAGCTCTTGCCACATATCACAAGCAACTTGATATGCGGGAGAGTTTCTCTTCAGCTTGTCCGTGGACACCGCCAGCATGGTTTTAGTACCACGCAACGGGAGCATCTGGAACTTCTTTGTCATTTCTTCCTGAACGAGCTTTCCCTCGTTATCCAAGGTAAATGAAGACCAATCTGCGAGCTTTTGCGCTTGCTTGGCTTGCATGTAGGAACCCACGTTCTCCAGTCCCAGCATGGCGCAGAATCCCTCGAATGAGGAGCTCATGCGGCGGAAATCATCATCCTGCCATGCGTCTCGGATGGGGGCGAGGAAGCCAGCTAGCCGGCTATGGCGGAGGTTTGGATCAAGATTGTTCGCGCGTTGCATGATAATCAGCAGAATGGATGTCAGCTCCATTTGGAGTTTATCGTCCACTCGGTTGGCTACTGTGATCTCCCTGATCTTCGGCTCGAGCAGATCGTAGAACGTGGAGAAGTAGTCAGCATAACGGATCGCGAGGCGACGGAGTTCGTGGCTAGCCAGCCCATGCAATTCCTTCACAGCTTCAGAATAGACGGGATACTCAGGCTGATCCGGAAGGCGTGTCATGAGAATGTGCTCAAGGACCTTCAACGCAAATGCGGGGTGGTTGTCCAGTGCTTTAGAAGAGATGTCAACCACCAATTTGATGACTTTCTGCTTCAAAACCGGATCCTGGTACAGATATTAGTTAGCCCAAATCTTAATCACTGTACTTGCACATGTACTGACCTCATAACTCCTTTGCATTAGCTTAGAAGCCCAGCTCTCCACTGTGAATTCCAATTCTTTCCGCTCCTGTTCCTGCTGTGGGGATTAGTGACGGGGCTGTCGCAAGAATCACTGATGGAACATACATCTTGCTGGGGTGCCTTGCCGTGCGCCTCAATCCACTTGTTGAAGCCCTTAACGACTGCTTCGACAACCGCGAATTGAGCATCCGCGCGCATAAGTGTGACAGATGATTTGTTGTAGTTGTGCACTGTGGCTTCTCTTTAGCATGTGAAGGAATGGTGAAAGGCATTATCAACTCACTTTGGAATGGCTCAACTCCACTGTACAGATTGTCTAGATTCTCGTCTACTCGTCCAAGAATCTCACGCACCGCTTCTTGCGCACGCTTCTGGGTAATGGTCTCAATGATCGACGAGCAGTACCGGCGATAGTTGCCGAGAAATGCGTGACGCTCTGGGATTGTGTCAATGTCCTCAATCAGGAACTGGATCGTCGGATCCTCCGACTCAGTTGGGAGGGACTCCCAGCGTATCAAACGTTGGGTGCAGACGTTCAGGAAGATTGGGGTCTGGTTCACGACAAATTCGGAGGTACCAATTCTCTGAACACCCAGAAGCCTTGACCAGAGATGTAGACAGGGGATAGATACAGTCAAGCTCTGGTGCTGCATGACGTTCAACATGAAGTTGAAGAATGGTGGGAGGTCCAAACGGTGCATTGTGTCTCGGAGGAATCTCTCGTCTTCCAGACATCCAGCAACATAGGAAAGCATCTGCAGAAGTCAGCTTTAGGGAACAATTTCACGGAACTGACATGAGTCCCACCTCCGAGAGCTTCTTGGAAATCAGATATTTCGGCTCATCGACATCATCTGGGCCCACAATGGACCACTGGTATAGATTTTGAAGAGTGTTGAGATACTCGCTCTCAAAAATCAGGCATACCAGGCCGTGGGATTCCTCATTCCCCATGTTGTTCCTTCCGTAAAGCGCATGCAATGCCTCAATTGCGGCCTAGAAAAAATCGTTTAGCACCAAAGCCTGAAAATACCTACGAAGCATGCAACACTATCTTACCAACAAAACTTGGTCATCTTGGCAGGTCAAGGCTCTGAAAACACTAGCAACAACCTGCCCAGCAACCACGGCTTTGTAGATTGACCAAGAAAGTGCAGACCTGAGTGTCGTCAGGGCTTTAACAGCCGCATCGCGTGCTTGACTTGAGGTAGAAACGTTCTGAACGCAATTGTCCAGGAATTCGCAGATCCGCACCAGCCAGCCCTCTAGGCCACATCGCAGAGCGGCATTTGTGTTCTTATCAGGGTTGATCTGTTCAACAATTGTGGAGGGAGTGAAAATCTCCACGAGCGCGCGATTGAGCTCAGAACCTCGCAAAGACGACACTGTATCCTCGCGGAAAAAAACATCCTCCGACAAGGTCTCAAGCACAGAGAGCACCAACTCATTGTGTACCAGAGACACGTCCCAAAACTTGACAAGCGCCTCATCCATATCCACCCAATCCAAGCCCCAGCTCTTCTTGGCAGCTTCCGACCATAGTTGCGGGATCTTGTTGCGGAAATAGCTCGGGTCCTCGGGTCGAATGTTCTCGGCCAGCTGGAGGATTATCGATCTGAGGTTCGTGGATTCCTCGGGGTTGGTGAACGACAAATGGCGCAGGACGTGATCTAGCAGAGTCAGGCCAAAGTACCGTACCACAGGCGCGTGGTCTGCGCGTGACGCCAGCAGAAAGCCGTTACGAGCTGCCGCATCGTTATCTTTCAGAGACTCTACAAAAGACAAGGCCTCTTTGCGGAGCTCATTTGTCGACGTGGGGCTGTGGATGACCTCCAAGGCACGAATGATGTCGGCCATGCCAGCCTCCGACAGCTCCTCGGCAGCCATCTTGTCCGCGCGCCGAGAGCAGAATGCTGGGAAGAAAAGTAAAGGGTGCCGGAGGAGCGATTGAGGCGGGAAGGTGTATTATGCAGGAAAGGTAAAGATATGAGTGGCGCGGCCCGGCTGGTAGAAGTGGTATGCCCTCCAAGGTATAACCAATGCCGTTCTTCAAGAACCTGGGAATCGAGCTTGAGGAGAGGTCCGCGGTGGTTGATATGGCCGTTGACCCTGTCCGTAAGATGTTTAGCAGTCGGACACAGCAGCAACGGCCATTCAAGGGTGATAGTCTCGTTGCGCGTCAGCAGACAGAGACGAGTGGTATGCGGCTCGGTCGGAATGGATTTGAGAGGACTTCGAGGTAGGGTCGAAGGCTGAGGTGCTGGCGGTGGATTGCACACGTTGGGCTCACTGGGAAAGAGTTGCGGGAGACGGCCGATGGGGAAGTCTGGGAATTGCCGTGCCGGGCTGAGAATTTTCCACGACGGGCTGGTGCTTGGAGGCACACCGCTCCCCCTGGCTTAAAAGAAACGATAGCAGATAGAAAGCCTCTATCCTGTACAATTTTCCAAAATTATTGTCAATGCCTATTTTCTCTATTTCTCTGTAAATTTTGGCTGACCCCCGGCTTGTCATTATAGCTCTGCCCCTCACCGTCACCGGTTGTTTATCTTATCTCCCTGCACGCGATCCATGGGTCCTGATTAGGCTGCATAGCACCCGCCTCGACGCAGTGAAGAAGCAAATCAATATGTTATGCATTAGGAAGGGCCCTAGGCGTCCGTAGAAAGAAGAAAAGGAAAAAGAAATATTGGCATTATACCATTGCATCACATCACAAGGCAAGCGCCCTTCTGGCACTGTTCAAGATACGTAATGTCGTCTCCGGATGGGTTGGCAAATTCCCCTGCTTTGCGCTTAACTCCGTCAATCTTGATATCCTGTTCTCCTTCAGCGTGCCACCACCGCAATCGCTGGATCTTAATCGTCTGAATTTCGTGATAGTCAATCTCCCACTTCCCTCCGCTGACTGCGACGACAGCGCAATTCTCTGGGAAATGGAATTCAGGTAGGTAAATTTCCGTCGGGGCTTCTGATAGCGTGGCTACTTTGGCAGTCAATGCCATCGAGAATGTACAGTTCTGAAGATCAAATACATGGCTGTCGAGGGTTCCGCTCACGTAGATTGGACTCGGGCGAAGGAAAGCTTCGGCAGCGCGGTAGCCCTTGGGTGTTTGAGAGCTAACGCTGGAAATCGATAGATTCGTCAGGGCGCCCTTCAGGTTCCGCGGACCGACCTCCGACTCGTCTCCACTGCTATGACTTTCAGAGTAACCCGGGGACTGTGGGTTGAGTGATCCGTACGTGGCCTTGGTTGGAAGTTCCAGATCGTCCCGGGAGTAGATAGATAGATCCTCTCCATTCCAGAGATCGCCCCATTCATGGTTGTTCTGAAGCAGGGTTAGCATAGCATAACTTGACTTGAGCGAGATGAAGCCCATACCTCTGTCTGGTATAGCCACAAGGTGAAGCCATTCGATGTACTGCCTTCCAGTGCGAAATGATTGGCATCCATCGCGCTTGTTTGACTGCTATAATCCCCCGTCTCGTAGGCCTGTTTATTATCCATATCATATGGAATCCCAATTTCGGTAAAAAGCAGCGGGTGATCGCCCATGTAGTTCAAGCTTTCGTCGCGGAGAAACTTGAGCTGATCACGAAGACAATTGCGGATCGCCGACTCTCCGAGTTTCACAGCAAACGCAGGAGCCCAATACTTGCCGCGAAGAACTCCAATGACATCCACGTTGTAGAGACGGTTCCAGTGTTTGGTCAAAAGAGTCAGACCGTCGTAGTAGTGAACGGCGTGTACCATGTTCGGGTCGTCATCTCTAGTTCCTTTAAGGTCAGGCGGAACCTCCATCACAGGAGGTTGGCATAGCAAGATCGCGGCCGGCCAGATGCCCCTAATCGCATCTCTATATTTCCGGTAGTGTTCCAAGAAATAGGTATTGGTGAATATCTCGTAGTTCAGTTTCTCTCCAGTGCTAGGCACCTTCGAGAAGTAGTCCTTCTGAAGAAGCGTGTCCGTATCCGGATCCCAGACACCATGTTGAGCCCAAATACACTCTCCGAGCTTCCAGGCGGAATCTCGTTGCCAGCCATACTTACTGTCATCATAATCGGCAGGGAGCCAAGCTGATTCTCCCTCTGGGTCCACGAGTTGTCTCCCAGTCTGGTAGGGTCCAAAGCTGCCGAAGGCCCATGTGGTTTCCTCACAAGCTCGTCCCGCACCGGTCAGCATTGCCTGAAAAGCTGTGGGTGATGTACCAAGCTGAAGCTGCTGCTCTGGAGGAACGATGGAGATATCTTTTATGCCAACCAGACCACGATGAGGCTCATTTATACTCTCCCAGCCAATCACCACGTCGTGCTCAATATCCCCAGCCTCGTGGATCCTTTGTGCCAAAAGCTTGCACGCTGCGATAAAATGACCCTGAAGATAGTCTTGGATGTTCATGCCGTCGATGATCGCTTTGGGTGCAAAATCTCGGCCTGCCCAGAAGAGTGTGAACATGGTCTGGCATACAAGACGGGTATAGTTCGTGCTCCAGATCATCTTCGGGAACTCGACAGGGTTATCATAGGTGTTTTGAACGAGCGCAGCTTCAGTTGACTTGAATCCTATAGGGTTAAGGCCTGCTGCATGGAGTGTCCACGATGGTGCACCAGATCCTCCAGACAATCGAGACCACTATCACGGTCAGTACGCAAGCTGAGAACGAAGATGCAACAAAGCGACGTACCACATCCTGATGAGGGTCCATGAAGACATAAAACTCATATTGCTTCGCTATTCTCAGAACCTCGATGGTGAATGCTATCCACTCCTCGTCGTAGATACCAGGCCCGGCATGCTCGATTGCCTCCCAGGTGAAGATATATCGGATCGCATTATACCCCCACTTACGCAGTCTCTTGAAGTGTGTGTGTGAGTCCTCCAGCGAAAATGGGCGCCCCACGAAGGAAACATCGTCTGCTTCGAAGAACTTGTCTGACACAAACGAGGGAATATCAGGCGTTTTGGGGTATTTGGCATCCCCTGCAACGTTGATCCCCCTTAGCACAATCTCTCGGTTCTGCGGGTCTTTAAAGACCTTCCCATCAATGTGAAGACGCAGCAGACCCATTCCGAAGGTCGTGATGGATGAACGGCGGCGTCAGAGGATGGATTCGGGCTTGCGGGAAAGCTAACGAACAACGACACCAGGAGTCCGGGTCGAGGTGGCCACGTTTCAGGTGATGGCGAACTGCTTTTGATACCATTTATTGGCCACCGGAAGCAAAGATGACTTGAAGTATTCTGGATGAGCTCTCTTAAGCTCAAACCAACTTACCCGGGGGTGATCAGCTGCCAGGAAAGCCAGCGGTGCGTAGCGACAGACGTGCCTGGGCTTGACCCACGATTTAGGGCACCTTCAGAAGCAAAAAACGTCTAGGAGACCTGAGAGAATTCCAGGCCGGATATTGAATGACGAAGAACTTGGGACAAGGTGATGATCTTGGTGACTGCAGCTGGATGAAGCCGGGCCGGGGGGCCGATAGCAGATAAGGACGGAACGTATCGGCGCTAACCGATCGCGGTCCTCTACTCCACCACACCGAGAACCTCCCCGCTCCTCCATGCTGTGCGCGCACGGGGACCATGTCGAGCAAGGCCGCATTGAAAGCTGTCCGGACAGCTTTGGACGCAAAGGATTTTGAAGCTGCCGCCGAAAAAGCCAAGGCTTTAGTACAGCAAGACCCCAAGAATTACCATGCGTGAGTTTCGGATCCTTCCTTTCACCTCTCCGACCCAATCTAACATTCCCTCTCTCTTCCGACCAGAAACGTTTTCCTTGGTCTTGCGAATGCCAAATTGAACAAGAACGAGGCTGCAGAGGAAGCATACCTTACTGCGACGCAGATCAAGGATACTGACCGCACCGCTTGGCAGGGACTGATTAGCTTGTACGAGAAACAAGGCAGTTCCAAGCTGGATGCCTATCATGACGCTGTTCTCAAGCTCGGGAAAATATTTGCCGATAGGTACGGCGTGATGATTGTTTATGCGTTGCTTTGAAAGTCAGGAAATAGCTAATCAGATCTTTCTTTTCCAGTGACGAGCAGGAACGTTGTCAGGATCTTGTCGACAAATACACAAAGCTAGCCCGGAAAAGCAACGACAAAGCCAAATACAAGCATGCCCTTGAATTACAAATCCCGAGCTCTCCTCTTTACAGCTTTCTCGAAGGCCGGTTACCGCACCCATCCCTTACCTACCTCCGTCTGATTGAGATCACCGAGTCCGAGGAGAAAGAATACATCAACCGGGAAATTGGCGAACGAAGAACCCGTCTTGGTGCACGGAAAGAGAATGTCACGCTTGAGGTGAAACGTGACGCATTCAGACAGAGCAAGCTAGAAGACCTGTATCGGGGCCTTATCGACTGGACGACGGATGATGCTATCCGACGCCAGTACGAGGAGAAGCTCCTCGAGCGCGCGTGTGAGGAGCTTGAATTTCTCCCCGTGAGCAAGAAACCTGGCAAGAGGAAGGAGATTCTTCGCTCTGCACAGGATATGGTCATTATCAAGCATCCCTTTGAACTCGCCTGGAACATTGTGCTTGAGTGGAAGGATATCGAAGACTACTCCCAATGGGACGTGGGTGTGTTGCGCGAATTCGTCGAGTTTTTCCCCGACACTGGATTGGCCAAGGTCCTTATGGGCTTTCTTACCAGCGAACTGTCTCCATTTCCCCAGGTAGACTCAGACGATGACAAAAACACCACAGCCATTGGCAAAGACACGGAGGCTACCGAGGCGACCGAGACGGGCGCCGCGGATCAGCTAATCTTGATGACCGAGGGCCTTGAAATGGCCCAGAAATCAGTTATCGCGCATCGGATCATGGCAGATCTCTATCTCCTCCTTGAAGAATATGAAAGCACCGTCGAGGTTGCCCGCAAGGGACTCCGGAATGTTGCAGACTTTGTTACGTACACCGGATGGAAATCCATCAACACAATGGATGCCTTGAATATCACGCTCGCCAATGCATTGATATTTTATCAATCTCCTCGGCATCACGCAGAAGCCAAGACGATCTTTGAGAGTATTCTCCAACAAAAGCCAACATCAACTATCTGTCTCCTGGGTATTGGTCTGATCCTAAAGGTTGACCAGGACTACGCAGATGCTGTCAACTTTTTAGAACGTGCCCTGGAGCGGGACTCTACTAACATCAAGATCCATAGTGAGCTATCCTGGTGCAAGGCACTGAACGGTGATCTGGAAACTGGACTTGATGGCCTTCGAAATGCTCTCGACCGCCTGAAGGTGGCGCAGCCTCACAACAAGGTGTTCAAAGCCGAAATCCTTTATCGGATTGGCTACTGCCAATGGGAGCTGGACCCGTCTCCAGCTGCACGCAAAGACCGCAATGGGGCATATGCGAGCTTCCTGGCGTCTATCAAGGCCAACATGAATTATGCCCCTGCATATACAAGCCTCGGCTTTTACTATGCGGACTACAAAAAAGATAAAACCAGAGCACGCAGGTGTTTCCACAAAGCATTTGAACTGTCATCATCGGAAACCGAAGCCGCGGAGCGTTTGGCTCGAGGGTTTGCGGACCAGAAAGAGTGGGATCTTGTCGAGGCCGTTTCACAGCGGGTTGTGGATTCGGGTAACGCCAAGCCTGCTCCAGGATCCAAGCGCAGAGGATACAGTTGGCCGTATGTGGCTCTCGGAACGGTCCAGATTAACAAGCAACAATACTCCAAGAGCATCGTGTCATTCCAAGCTGCACTGCGGATTAGTCCCGGTGATTATCATTCCTGGGTCGGCCTAGCGGAGAGCTACCACCACTCTGGTCGATACATTGCTGCAACGAAGGCTTTTGAGCATGCACGGGAAATGGAGTCTAATCTTTCGGGTGACGAAAAGGACCATGTCTGGTTTGCGCGATACATGATGGCCAACGTGAAGCGTGAACTTGGCCAGTACGACGACGCCATTGCTAGCTATGAGGATGTGTTGACCACTCGACCCAATGATATCGGTGTTACGGTAGCGCTCCTCCAGACATTGGCCGAGAGTTCGTGGAAGAGTCTGGATTCGGGTCTGTTCAACGACGCCGCTGAGCTTGCATGCAAAGCCATCCAAGTAGCCCAATCACTCGTGACTGTTCGGAACGACATTTTCAATCTGTGGAAGTCGGTTGGTGATGCCTGCTCCAATATGTCTTATATCAAAAAGAAGAGTGGAAAGCTATCAGTCGCGAACTGCAAAAATTTGCTGCTCGCGGGAGTTGATTCCGTTGCGCTCAATCTTATGACTGAGCTAGATGGAGTGGGCCAGTCCTGGCTAGATTCAAGCGATAGTGACGATTCCACCTCACCTGATTGTTGCATCTACATGTCTATTTTGGCATACAAACGTGCGATTCATGTTTCCATGCAAGATTCCCACGCTCAGGCTGTTGCATGGTACAACCTTGGCTGGGCTGAATACAGGGCATACCGAAGTGTGCAGGCTGGCTCCGGGTACAAGAGCACGAAGCCCCGGAAGTTCTTGAAGGCGGCAATGCGGTGCTTCAAGCGGGCTATTGAGCTGGAAGCTGGCAATTCCGAGTTCTGGAACTCGCTGGCCGTCGTTACTACAAGTATGAGCCCCAAGGTGGCCCAGCATGCATTCGTGCGAAGCCTGCATCTCAACGATCGCAGTGCACAAGTCTGGACCAACCTGGGTGCCCTGTATCTCCTGCACAATGACATTCAGCTTGCGAATGAAGCGTTCACGCGTGCCCAGTCAACCGATCCAGACTATGCGCAGGCATGGGTTGGCCAGGGCTTCCTTGCGCTTCTTTACGGAGATGCCAATGAGGCACGGGGTCTTTTCGAGCATGCATTTGATATTTCCAACTCCTCTGGCATGGTATCGAAGCGTCAATACACCCTCACTCTGTTTGACCACCTGCTTGCAGACCCCTCCGCATCGAATGAAGTTTCCCAGCTCATTCAACCATTCTTCGCTCTTCACCAGCTCTGTGCTCAAGACCCATGGGACCTGCCATTTATGCATCTGTCAGCTCTACTAGCAGAGAGAATGGGTGAAGTTGCGGATGCTGACGCCAGCCTGGAGGTCGTCTGTTCAGGAATGGAGGCCGAGTTCGAGGAAACCGAGTCACCTGCCTCGCTCTCGCGATTTGCACAGGCAAATGCAGACATGGCTCGAGTGCTCCTCGCGAATCACCAGTATGAGGAGGCCGCGGGGAGGGCGGAAACTGCACTCACACTGTCTGGGGAAGAGGACGCTGAGAAGTTTGATCCCGAGGCATGCAGCAAGCTTCGTCTGTCGGCGCACCTCACGGCTGGCCTGGCATACTACTTCACGAAGTCCATGGACCAAGCAATCGATATGTTCCGCGACGCTCTTCAGGAAGCCAACAACGCACCGGATGTTGTGTGCCTCCTCGCCCAAGTCCTGTGGGCGAAGGGTGGAGAGGAGGAACGATCTGTTGCTCGCCAGCAACTGTTTGATTGTGTTGAAAATCATCCCGAGCACATCGGCGCCGTGAGTCTTCTCGGAGCTATTGCACTTCTCGACAAAGACAAAGACGCTATCGAAGCCGTCGAGTCCGATCTCCATAACATGGTTACTCGCGACGACATCGACATCCATGACCGCGGCAAACTCCTGAAGCTTTTGGCTGCTATCTCAGCAATGGGCTTCACGGAAAACGCACACCTTCCCGAAGACATTCGTCAAATTGGCCAAGCTACCGCGGCTGTCATGCTTTCTCCAGGTCAGCCACAGGGTTGGATGGAGCTGTCCGCTGTTTCAGAAAGCCCGTACCCGGCAGAGATGTCTGTTCAGCGGGCTATCCGCAGCGTGCCCCCCTACAGCAACTTGGAGGCACCGGATCTTAGCCAGGCCTATGTCCAGACTGGCAAGGCCGGGGATGCGTTCAGAGCTATTATGGTTACGCCATGGAGGAGGGAAGGCTGGAATGAATTGGACCACTGTGTCTCCGGCCTGGTGGCATAAGGTCAACGTCACCAGGAGTATGAGAAATGCGAACGTGTTCGAGACATCTGTACCTGTTGATACCTTGTCGTGAGTGCATTGAATATAATATTGCATGCCTTTAATCTCCATTGCCCCTCGGGTCTGTAGAAAAGCTTTTCTATAACGAGTTTGGTTCATTCCTCATCGGCCATGGCGAATGGAGAAGGAAGAGTCACTGGAGGGGCGGATTCTGCTCATATGCTTCTACCAATCTCAATCTCGCTGGCGCCGGAACTATCATATGTCGTCATTCGTTTGATTTGCCTCCGCTTCCATAGAACCAATCTTTTGCAATAACCTGGCCTTCCTCCCCTCCCTCCAAGGCTTATCTAGGGCTTCAATTTTGCCGCCGAGCAGGGTGGCAGAGTCCGGGTTCATCAGCACCATGCCTCGCGCCACAGTCGCGTTGCGAAGCAGAAATTTTGAGCCGATAGACAGGTTCTCCAATGATATGCCCTCTATGCGCTGCATTTCAATTGCCATTGCTTTCGTCCCACCCGCATCTTGTAGAATTAATCGATGTGGTCCGTGCCCACTGCTCCCAGACGCACTGGAGGTTCCAACGGAGCTGTTGTTATTCGAGCTACCGTTTCCTGTCGCTTCATTGTCTTCGCCAACACTTATCGTGCGTATAATTTCTCGGCCTCGTATGGCTTCACCGCGCTCAACGCGTTCAATTGCTTCGACCTGGCTCCATAGACTCGTGCCGATATCTTCAATGTCAAGAACTTGAACGGGAATTGGGCCGGGAAGGCGCCTTTCTTGTACGTTCGGGTCCGATACATCCACTGGGAATACGGAGGTTGGATTTGTCGCCAGTGATTGTCGAATATCAGAGGCGAGAACGCGAAATAGAGCTGTCTTTGTGAGTGCGGAAGCGGGGATGTTGCGTTGTGAGGAAGCCAGGAACGTGTTGAGCCATGAGGAGGAGACACAAAGGGATTTAGCAGCCAGTATCTGGGCAGCGATCTGTTCTGCGTTGGCCATTATGCATCCAAGTTTTGGTAAAGCCGGGAACAAGGTAAGCAGGCAAATGTTAGAGGCGAAAGAACCTTGAACGAGGCTTGAAGCTCGAACGCGAAAGGAAGCCAGCACGGACCACCGCTTAAAGCCGTTGAGCCGGCTTCCGCGCCTCCGCCATTCGACTCTCCCCATCAACCACCACAATGTCCACGCTATCTTCTCCCCGGCCATCCATTGCCTCTTCGCGCGCCCATTCTCCGACCCCGGCGTCTTCCAGACCATCTCTTGATGCGCTGAACACTAATGTCCCCGGCGGGCTGAGCGCCTCCTCAACGCCATCCACCGCACGAGCAGTCTCCCCGAACCCACGCCGCAACCGTTCCGCCCTGCGCGACTATTACAATCTCAAGCCCCCCGGCGCTGACTCTGGCAATCCCGGTGGAAGCTATCGATCTCGCAGCGTGCCGCGAAACACCGATGCAGGTGACATCTCCAATCCCTCTACGCTGGCATCAGGGACCGAGCTAGACAATGCGGACTTCGACCCGCAACGCTACGTCGACCACCTCCTATCTACGTCCTCCCTCTCTACGATCCTAAAAGCTGAGAACACCTTGGTTGGAGATATCCGTACTCTTGATGGTGAACGGAAAGCGCTGGTTTACGACAATTACTCCAAGCTGATTCGCGCTGTCGAGACAATTGGCAAGATGCGAAAGAGTATGGACGAGCGCGGTGCCCCTTTGACTATGACCAAGACTCTGGGTCCAGCTATTGCGTTTGTTGCTGAGACTGCGAGCGGATTGATCAAGGAGGGCGAGGAGCAAAGGCGGCGGATCAAAGAGGAAAGGGGGGCAGTGAGCCCGCCCAGAATAACAAGGCGGAGAAAGAGACAGTGAGATGGGTTCTTGCCGCACCGGAGCGCCTGGAGAAGCTTCTATCAGAAGAGAAGCAGGCCGATGCGGAGGCCGATTGGGAGGAGGTCCAAAAATTGCTCGACGCTTGGGGTCAGGTCAAAGGTGTTGCCGAGGTGCGGACGGCTTGCGAGAAGATTATGAACAAGCCCAACAACGACGACTGAGCTCGCTTTTTTACACCCCTCTTTTTCTAGAGGCAATGAGCTTCTCTGACTCCTCGTCATCCCCCAACATTACTGTCAGTCCCGAGCAACATTGCGGCAGGAAGCGCCTGCCAAGCCAATGATCGCGAGCTGCTAATTCCTCAACCGATCAGGGCTGCTCCCAGAAGACCCTGCTCGGCTCACGCTCACCATGACTAGATTAACGATCTGTGGACACGATACTCGCATTGAGTACATTCCCCTTCCGCTATGCGAGAGCTTGGTGGCTCTTCTGCGACAGGTGAACATGTACATATAGATAGATACCCCAATTTGTTAATGTCCGACTTATCATGGATTATCATGGATCATCTCATCATTAATCGTAGGAACTGTCTCTGCCTACCAATTCCAATCTCAAAACTTTCCGGTCAGCACATCCCGGCTCGAGAACAAGCTCGCCTTGAGTCCGTAGTCATTCTTGGATTTGATATCCAGATAGGTGTAAGCATCGCACTTGTAGTAAATCGGCCGCGACTGCGCATTCACGAGTCCACTATCAACCAATGTCCTCAACACCCGCGTCACATCCTCCTTGTCACTAAAATCCTCCGTGTAGACGCAGACCAGCCGCGGCTGACCGGACCCATCATCCGTCGCAACCTTGGCAGATTCCCCCAGCTCACCCCTGTCAAGAGCTGTAACGACAGTCTTCCAAACCGAGTCCACATGGTCCACCGTGGGGAAGAACATCCACTTGCCAGCTATCACACCAGTCTCTCTAGCCAAGGCAAAGATATTCTGTTCCAGCATGCGACGCAGCGGGTTTAGTTTGCGAGTGAGTACAGCGGTGGTTTTTGCGCCGGACTTGTCGTGTGCGGCGCGGAGAGCGGCGGCCTCTTCCTCGTAGCCGTGGAGGAGCTCGTTGCCTTTTCTTAACAGCGTCGCAACGTCGCCCGCTTTCGCTTGAGGCTGCCTTTTGCACATCCAGATCCAGGGACCAGCTTGGGAGACAGAGGTTTTTGATGGAGGAAGGCGAGACAGGAATGCAGGTATGGACTCTTTAGGTCCCCGTTTCTCTACTGGCTGGTGTGTCGATGGCCCGTCTTCGTCTTCCTGCTTCATAGACAACCCGATTTCGCTTTTGATGCGCGGGGGTGGCGCACTTAGTTCATATTGAACTGTTGAGAGCAGTCTAGGATGTATTTCTGCCCAGAATAGTTCAGGGTCACAGGTGACTGCTCGCTCTTCGAGGCGTGCTTGTTCATTTTCATCGCCTAGGATGGGTTAGAGATGTTTTGGAAGTTGGGGGCTTGGAGGCGCTGGTTATGTGGACTTGCCGTAAAAGCTAGAATCGTCCGAGAATACCTCTTCAAGATTTGTCCTTGCCGAGGCCATTGTTTTCCCTTTCCGAGTGGGATGTGTTGAAGCACGAAAAAGTTGTGATATGGACTGAGGGGCGTAGCGGATAAGAACTACAGCCAGTGTGGGGAAGCTATGTCATTGCCCCGTTCCGGTTCTCTATACTAAATCATACCTGTCCGTATAATTGGCCAATACAATAATGCCAGAAATTGACTTGCCTCGCTTATCGCGCTAGTAAAGAGATGAAAACAGTAAATGGACAGCAAGACTTCCACCTTCAAGGTCTGCCTTCGCTTTTTTTGTCTTTCTATGTCGATGTATTATTCCCTCAGAGACGTCATACACATTCCCACTTAGTTCATAATGTGATTAAATAGAAATTGCTAGAATCTTCCATTAAGTACCAGCAATGCCTGGCCAGACCTTTTCCTCGGATCCGGTCACATCAGCTTTCACGAGATGGTCATCTGAAATGCCTCCGGGGCGTGACATCACACACAGGCTAGGATGGACGGCTAAACTATAGTCAGATCACGCGTAAATGGATGGGAGGAGCGTCTAGCTCATATGCACCTTTGCAGCTTTCATGGTCTACAGCTAGATTTCGAGCCACTCGACTGCCAATATCACCACCTTGAGCAACATAGCCACCTCAAATCCGAGATGCTTGATCAACTGATCCAGCACTCGAGCAAGATCTATGATATCAAATTTCTGGGACAGAGGAGGGCCCGCGGAGAAAGTGCAACCCGGCAGAGAAGGAACAAATAAGTGATTCGGGAGGGTATTTGGAGTGTACTGCTGGCCAATGATATCGTTAATTGGAAGGAACTCCCAGAACTTAGGAATATTCATATCGCCCAAGCCATCGCCCCAAGTATAACCCATAAAACACTAATTAAACTTATTCCTCCGGCAGAGAGGCTAGCACCTCCACTAACTCCACGACTTTCACAAAAATATCCCGTCTCGGCGGCAAGGTCTTCCTCAGATTGGGGTAGGCGACCCAATTTCTGCAACTGGTCGAAGGGCGCACAATCGAGATGAGATTTATTCGCAGGTGTAATGCTGAAATAACTTAGGCTGGAAGGGCTAGCTGTATCGTTTAATGAGCCATTTTGTTGAGCCACAAATGTGTCGCTGTTTGTAAGTTAGCAAAACCTCACTGTTCTTTCCATATGGAAGGCCGATGGGGACTTAGACTGGGCGTACAAAAATGAATTTGCAATGATAGCATTGTAGATGCTAATAGACGAGACATTGGTAGGCCAGAACCAATTTTGAACACGATTCCCTTGGTTGTCGAGCCCATATATTGAGGAAAAATTGAGCTGTGGGCTCCAATCGATATTGAGCTTGAAACCACCGGTCCAGTTGACGGCCTTAGCCGGAAGACGAAGCTCCATCTCGCTATTGTACGCCTCTTCCCTAACTGATAGCTCTCGTAGATCATCAAATGGAACATCAATCTGCGAGATTCCATTGCCAGGTCGGATGTCAACGCTATCCGCTGTGAGTATGTTCAAATGTGAGCTGCGCTGTAGTCCTGTCAGGTTAAACAATTGAACAGCCCCTAGCGACATATTTGTGGCTGACGAGCCACCCAGAATCACAGTCAGATTCGAAGACACATATAGCCGACTCGCTGATCTGAACCCAACGGTCACATTCTTCACATTTGGTAGTCCATAAATATCTGCCCCAGAAGTTAGATTTAGCGGGTTGTTGAACAGACTGTCGATCGAGTCCAGGCTATTATCATAGACCCATAAACCAGTGGCATGGCTCAGTTTGGTATGGCGCAAAGTAGCGAGGTTTGTGCCCCCGATAGTGAGTTGACTGACATACTCCAGACTAGTAATGTCTAGATATGTGAAGTTGGCTGCGCCCAATCCCATGGAGAAGCTTCGAAGCACAGTGGCTAAATTTGGCATAGTGAAATTCTGTAGGCCCGAAACATCGATGCTCTCGTCAAAGGTAACGGAGCCTCCGACTTCTTTCAATGTCAAACTAGAGACGGTGAACGGCACCTCTGTAACCCCGACGTCTGAAATATCAATGCCGGAGTCGTGATTGAGATTCCCCGTAATGGTCTCGATACCATCGAGGTTGATGTATATTGAACTTGCAGTCTGGGGGAAAGGGCCGAGAGTCAAATCTCCCGTAATCACTCGACAGGTTTCTCGTAGGGTTTTGGCGCCGCTTTCGGATGTGATTGAGATTGTGCTGCAGTTCGCGGCCAAGCCTTCTATGAAAGCATTATTATCATGATTTTGACATAATTCTAATGACCTAAAACACAGGGCCAAGGCCTAGCTCACGCGTGGTAAATAGAACAAGCCCCAGTATAAGGGCCTGATCAAGTCGCACGATCATACTGGATGTCCCTGAGGCAGGAACTCTTCTAAGGAAGGAACGAAGCATGAATCCCGAATTCAATTATGGCTTATGAGTAACTAAGCTATAGCCCCTGAGTTTCTAGCAGATTTCTCTAGACATGGGGTCTCTTTCAGCTGACGAGGCTATAGAGGCTAAGCCCAAATAGATTAGCCATCACTTCGCTTAGCCTCTTGGCGCTATTGGATCACAGCACGCGTTTACACTTAAACTAGGCTAAGCCGGACTTGGTGAAGGATTGGACCTTTACAATAATCCTATGTAATGTCCAGTTCTGCCGTTGATATCCATTTCAATCCTCGACCCACAAATCTTTCTACTACCATATCAGTGGACCCCTACGTCGCAGGTGGAGGCATACATAGTGCTTCTATTATAGGCCCTACCTATAGTAGCCGATAGTAGGCACGACTGACGAGGGAATCTCTACGGACAACAACAGCTTTCTCTAGCGTACTTCCCGCCTGAATAGGTCACCCTAACATTTATAGTAGATGCGATAAACTACAGTATCATTTCTTACCAACGATCAGTCTAAAAGGTAAATGATGGTATGCATTGTAAGAATATACGTGTATAGTAGGCGTGGATCAAGCCAGTTCCTTAGATCTACCCCGCCCTTTCTAAAGCCCTACCGGAACAAGGAGATAATAATAGAGTTTCTGATAACTAAAGCCTTAGCAATCCGGATAGAGCATAAAGACTAAAGTTATAAGCACCAAGGCGGTAAGCAATTGCGAAGTGGTTTGTGACAACAGTCAGACTATATCTCCTCAACCGTCAGGCCTGCGTGCCGAAAGTGACCTTCAGCACTTTCCCCTCTTACACACTACTCGAGAAAGTGATTAAATCCTTGATCAGGATTCTGTTCGTATGTCTGCCAATGCCGCCGAATGTACGCGTGTATATAAATAGGTAATTTGCCTAGTGGGGACCAACCCGTTCGCCTAAAGCCTATCCTTTTATTATATCTAGATTTATCCACATATACAAGGCGGTACGAATAGAAATCCGAGATAAAATGAAAATGTTTATATTATAGATCTAGATTGCGCTCTTTAGCCTTGACTCGCTTTTGACCAGCCTTCGGATACTAGGGCGCGGCTGATGCTGGATTTAGTTGCCCGAATATTGAATTTCTCCCATAGGAAGGTCCCCTTCTTAAGGTACAGGGTGGGTTTTACGAGCAGATGATCACAGAGGGCTTCTACCATAACTAGATTAAAGATTAATACTTCGTGGTCTACTACCTTTGTTCGGGGGTACTTTGACGCTGCCAAACTTTCGTATATTGGAAGAGATTCTCAGACTTGCTACAGCCAGTAGCCTGGGCCATCTACGATATAGATAATTCTCCACTGCGGATTATGTCATGAATGAGCTCATGCTTCGAAGGGGCTGCGTTAGGCGCCATCTTTGTATGCCCGCTTGTCATTGATGTTCAGATCTCCACGTACCAATCAGGAGACGGTGGTGTTCGTGGTGGGGCACCGAGGATACTCCGGATAAACCTCTAAAATAGACTAGCGTCTCTTGGCGGTTGCTGGAGAAAGAATTGAAGAGTGTAGGTGGTGACACCAGTTGCGGGACGTACTGTGAGGATCTCAAATCAAAACTTAAATTTGTTATTTGAGACGCATCAAAAATTGGCAGTGTTGCATGTTTGACGGGCGAACAATCAGACTACTCTACATAGAGTCAACATATAGCTCGCGCCCATTTCACCATCGACCCCACCAACTCCAAAGGCGAATTAGCACCCTGAATGCTATCTTCGCATGCAGGAGCCCTTCTCATCCAAAATGACAGAAATTCAACGTCCAAAGTCTGCAACAACGGTTTTTCTAGACCAGCCGCCCAGCTGTCTCGAATTCTGCCCCGAAATTCCCGATCACTTCGTCGTGGGCACGTACCTCCTCTCAGAAACCAAGAACGAAGAGGATGAGATCGAACAAACGAAAACCGGCAGCGTGCAGCTGTGGAAATTAGATCCTGCCACAAACAATTTGTGAGTCGGCAAGCACTGGCATTAGCCCAATGCTCCATGCACCCTCCCGCGTGGGATCAAATTGCTAACAGCCTTCTGCAGATCATTGGTACAAAGAGTGTCGCTTCCATATGCAGTCTTTGATTTGCACTTCCACCCCAGAGACAAAAGCAAATTTGCCATCGCAAGCAGTACGGGGTGCGTGGCTCTATTCAGTGTCTCTGCTACGCAGCCAAGCATTCATCACTTATGGACAAAGCAAGTCCATGACGACCCTTCGATCCCGGCGCTTTTTCTTGCCTGGGCTTCACAGGACTGGTTCTCCCAAACTGGCGCCGATGGGTTCGCAGTGACCTTTTCAGACAGTCGGACAGCCATCTTCGGTACAACCGGCGATATCGCAGATGACAACGCAATTACCGAATGGAGGTCGTTCGAAGCGAGACAGATGATTGAAGTCTGGTTTGTGGCGTTGGCTGCGGTGAAATTGTCCGAGAATGAAGATACGATCCCATTCATATTCACTGGAAACGACTTCGGATCTCTTCATACGCACCGACTTGCATCACACAACCACAACGAGCAGGATCATGATGAGCCGCTCGCAAATACACTCCTTGATCACGACGATCGAGCCCGTCACCACACCGCGGGCGTTACATCTATATTACCCCTCCCAGTACCACTAATGGATGATGCTCCCATTCTATTGACCGGTAGCTACGACGAAGGGCTGCGTGTATACCACGCCACTCGGCGCGGTGAAGTCCTTGCTGAGCAGCGTCTTGATGGCGGTGTCTGGCGGTTGCAGCTGCTCAGATCGGAGGTATCTGGCCCACAGCGACAATTTTGGGTTTTAGCAAGCTGCATGCATGCTGGCACAAGAGTTGTCAAGGTCACTCAAGAGCAACAGGACCAGGGCGCGGAATGGGGAATTGAGGTGTTGGTAGAGTTTACTGAGCATGAGAGCATGAACTATGCGAGTGACGTGTGGAAGGGCTCGGGCTCGGTATCATCTGAGCTGCTCTGCGTTTCGAGTAGCTTCTACGATCGCCGCCTTTGCATTTGGCGGGCGACTGTATAACTCAAGGTCTACGAGGGTCTGATATCTGATAGCAGAGCCAAAACAAAGACTTCCGGGCATTATTCTTTCCGTGAACACGCTAGATCAAACCATAATGCAGTATACGAGTACATCCGGACCCGAGAACCAGTGATCAAGATCCACGATAAGGAAAAGTAACCATTCATGTCCAGTGGTGAAATAGCCACCATCTCAAGCGTATGCCATTAAACAATCGTCTCCAGCTCCCGAGCGTAGCCTAGTGTGTTCTCGATAACAGTGCCGCTGGCCACCAAGATGTCCTTCTCGGACCTCGTGGCCGCCTCGGGCTCAACGGGGAAGTATATCCGTCCATCACGAAGAATCCAACCACGCTGCTGAGCAAACTCAATCACTGCACCCTCGGATTCCAAAAAGAGGAGGTTCTTGGCGTTGGAGATGGGGAGGGAAGGATAGGCCTTCTCGGAGCAGTCTGCGATCTCGCTGCGAATCGTGCCGATAAGGACCTGAAGAATGCGAATTAGCCACGATCATAGGAACAGCAGTCATAGTCATTCAAAAAGTTGCGTCACGTACGTTTGAGAACAGCCCAAAGTCCTCGGATGGCACACGCTCCGATTTCGTCTCCCGCCACACCTTATCATAGCTGCCCTCCATCAAGTTCCGCTCAAGCTCAACAGGGTATTTGATATAGGGATCATCCTCAATGCGACCGCCCTTCAAGCTAGCCTCCTCGACCAACCCCTCCAGCACAGTGTGGAAATTAGCGCTGTCGCCCATGCTAAGCAGAAGCAGCAAGTACAGTCCTGTGATCTTGCGGCGCTGGCTGGTGCTGAAATCGACCTCAGGGGAGCTCTGTCCGGGCACACCGGCATGGCGCTCCAGGTCGTAGAATGGCTGAAGCTGCTGATAGTATCTTGTGAAGGTCTGCGCGTCGGTTTGCCGGATCGACGCGAGGGCACCGAGCTCGAGGACTTGCCGGGCGAGGGCGACGAGCTGGGGTGTTGTGGAGGGGGTCGGGATCAGGGCATTTTGCATGAGGAGGGCACGCTTGGCTTGACTCAGGAGGTTGTTGGCGGCATCCAGCTGTTTGCGCTCCAGAGCATTTTGGAGCTCTTGAACAAGGGACTTGAGGTCCGACATGATGGGTGGCGCTGTGAGAAGACGGGTATTAGGTAGGCCAGAAAGAGGCCACGCACACAGATGAAATAGATGACTGCAATAGCAAAGATGAAGGTGTTAAAGAGTGCTGGCTTGGTTGATGAGAGTTGGCGGAACGTTCGCCATGACGGAGCTGCTGCCGTGGGCGGTCAGCTTCAAGCGCCACGTGACCTCAAATTGTGGGTAAATAATGGACGGAGTTGAGCAGTTGTACGTTGCCATATCTGGACATTTTGTTTTTTTACTTTCCCTCTGGATAAACGATTGCTATCTTACCCCCCATTTATTCGCGATCTACTATGGCACCTCCTTATTGAAAACCACGTATTTTGTCCACGCCAATTCATCACTTGACAAAGCCAACTGGGCTAAATTCGGAAACCAAGGCGTCCCTAGTCCTGTCACGGGGTCCCACCCTTTCGTGGCATTCCAACTTGCATCTTGGATGAATACTCCCTTGGCACCAGAATCACTGGCTCCATTACATCCTCGGGAACCACCGTCCACAATATCAGTAAACCCCGATCTGCCGAGGCCATATAACCAGGGATTTAAAAAACCCATCCGCGGCTTGCCATTTGCAAGGCGAACCGCATTTAATTGAGAAACTATGCCCGCAAAAACAGGCCCCGAGGCGCTGTAAATCGTTAGCATATAGCTTGGATTGGTCGGTCAAAGTAACGAACCTGGTGCCGCTTATTTTCAAATAGGTCTCGTGGTCTCGAATGATGAAGCTCTTTGCTTGGGCGGCAACGTCCGGGATACCTCTACCATGACGATTGAAAAGACCGCTCCATTGATCGTTTAGTTGATCAAGATAACCGTCCACTGCCCGGTCCTGGTATTCTGGACGAGAAAACAGGTCGGAGAACCCACCACTAGAGAAATCGATGGCGCTTTCGGGCTTGATTCCTTCAACTCCTCCGACTGAGGTAACAAATGGACAAGAAGCCGGGAAGATTGCCTGGAATCTTGCCCGGCCACTTCCATCGTTACTGAGACATGAGTCTCCAACGCCAGAGTCTCCGCTACTGAAAATGACTGATACACCCCGGGCACCGAGTTGCGCGAACAAATTGCAGACGGATTTTGCATATGATGCAGGTACAGTCTGTTCCGACTCACCATACGACGTGGAGAGTACAGTTGGGAGCTTGTCATCCGGAAGACCGATGAGGTAGTGAAGTTGCTCGAGAAAAGGCTCATATTCCGAGTCATTCGGCTTCAACTGCTCCGAGTCAGGAACCCAAGATGCCCGACCTCCAACTGTATAAAATGTTACCAAGGCATTGTAGGCCAAGGAAGCTGAATACTGTATATCCAGACTTGCTTCCGTGCTGCTAACAGGAGAGTCCTCCGGGTTAACGCCGCCGTTGATGGCAACCACATCGAAATTGGCGTCTGGTGTGTCTGGAGAGAACCGCCGCATGAAGTGATGGAAATCACCATGGCGGGCATACTGATCCAGGAATCCTGACACCCCTAACCGATTCCGCGGATCAGGCTTTGATCTCTTATTATGGAGACCATATAATTCTCGAAGGCAGTGAGGTCTGATGGCAATGCCACAGTCCGCAGTCAGATCTTCCGGCGTGGCAACAATTGGCTGGTCAATAGGCAGACCGCTATGTGAAGCAAGTCTTCCAAATCTGGTCGTTGGCTGAATAAGATGGATATGCGGGTGAATCTCACTGGGTAAAGAGTATTCAAGAGTCCTGATGAGCGTCGTTTGGCTGGCATCGTGGTGATAGTAGAAGAATTGTGTATTCAGTAGTTGCTCAGCTTGGGATATAGAAGCCGTGAAACTGATCCAGTTGCCGTAAAGTTTGATAGAGTCGTTGAAAACATGGGAGTACAACCAAGTGAAGACTTGCTCGGAGACAGTAGGGAACGGGCGCAAAAGGTCTTCCACCTGCTCACGCTTCATATGTTGCCCATATTTCGGATGACCTGGGGTCGAGAGATCCATGACCTCTTTCTCTAGGCTTATAATGTTTGGCACCCCTAGCTCAAGCCGAAATTGCATGAGTGTTGATGACGGAGGCTTGTTTCTTTTTGACCAACCATCGGGCACATTCTCTAGTTGCTCGACAATCTCGTAGCAAAATCCAAGTGTCAGAAGCAGCAGATTCAGCCATACTGCAAGGTTTCGACATTCTAATCGCGCCGAATTCTTTCCCATAGTTCAATTTCTCGACGCTGAGTTGCAAATGATAGTCAACAGTTGATCACCGTCCCATATCGGTGAAACGCCGGGCTTGAAGTTTCAGAATGGCTATCGCTGCTACAGTCCGGATTGGAATTCCCGTATCATCTCAGATGGAGTGGACTGGGATATGCCGAGAAAGCTGTATCAAATATATAATTGTGGATTTCTCACGTGTGCGTCAAGATGAAGATGAAATTGGATCGCATCGGTCGACCTGAGCAAAAGCAACCAATACAGGAATCATGAGTTGGAAATGTGCGAATTCAAATCAGGGCTAACTCAAAGCAGGCTTCAATAGAAAAAGTGGGCAAAGACATTGGATTTGACCAGTCCCGAGTTTCTTTGTTTGGACCCCCTGAATCCCCAGCCGGACCACCCCAACCCCAAAATTTGGCTCTGGATATTTCCTAGGCCCAAGCTTGAAGTAATTCAACCTGATTACTGAGGAAGGTCATACTTGGAAATACCTAATGATTCCTGTCAGGCCGGCCTCCTCCTCGACAGCTGAGGAATTTTGGGAAACTGCAATGTTCGATTACCACGAGATTATTCTTAATTATGCCTTATGCATCATAATAAACTTGAATGATTGAAAGGTTGGATTCTCACTAGTCAAGGCAATAAAGAAGTAGAAACTCTGTTAATGACTGCCCCAGGCATGCATATTGATGCCTTGTGGCCTGAGGAATTACGGCGGATCATCACAAGCTCCGATATCCGGCAATGCGGGATGATCGACGTCACCGCGAATGAAGTGGAGGAACTACCCTGAAGCTGTGTACTCCACAGTCAAGCAACATTGCTTGTTCTATCTACGGTGAAGCTGCAGAAGAGCCTAGTGTGGTGCTGTGTTGCTGCCGAACACTGAGGAGTTGATAGCTTCGCGAGCTGCTGTGTTCGGAGCTTTCCCAAACCCCGCTTGTGCGTGGAGATTGTCGATTTAAAAGCTCCTGGCTGGGCCACGCCCTATTCTGCACGTACCTCGCCTCACGTTGATCTGGTGAAGGACTTGATCTTTCACCTTTGAGGAGCAGTCCCTTCAACAGGCTCCTCGCTGACTTGTTGTGCACTGTGAGGTGGTATGATCCGCTTGAGATCGTATCGACGTCATTCCTACAGGGCATCACCCGCGTGATATCCTCTCCGCGCCCGAGCGTCCCCACGCCCCCGTCCTCAACTACCCTGCCGAAGCTATTACTTCCCCATCATGGCTGAGTTGGAGCCACAGCAAATTCGACGACAGTCGGCTGATAACCAGACCGTCTCGAAGTCCGACATCCCGTTGAAGGAACGATTCTTCCGCTATTTCCAATATGAAATCACTGGTACTGCTCCATTTCAATAGCACCTGGCAGGTTTAGGAGAAACGAAGAACCCACGATTGCTAATACTCAATTTCTAGCTCTGCAACAGCAGATGGATCGCCTCGCCGATACCTCGCTTGTAGGTGGTGAGCGAGCTGATGCGACGGATCACTGTCTGGCCGGGATCGTGCGGCTGTCAGGTGAGGTCAAAGATTCGGCCAGTTACATTCCTACCTATGACCAGAGAGTCTACGCAGAGGTATGACAAGAAATAGGCCCTCGGGATGTTCAGTGTTGATACTTGCATTATAGGCGATCAAGGCCTTACAGGAGAAGTTGAGCGAAACCCGTGCAGCATTTGAACCCCGATCCAAATTCAGTTTCAAGACGAAGAAGAACCCATCGGCTATATCTTTATCTGATGCTGCTACCCTTGCTGCCGAAGGCCGCCGTAGTATTCCTGGGTATCGCTCGCCCGGTGCGTCGTCAGTCGGCTCTTCGGCCAACCAGACCCCGAACTACCCCTCAACTCCATTGAACGAGCCGGATAAGCAGCATCAGGAGAGGCCAGAGATAACACCAACTTCTTTCCCGGTATCTTCTGCTGGTGAAATGGAATTGAAATTGCCAATGCAGACAAAGGCACCACAATCGTTTGCCGCCCGAGGCATTTCCAATGTGTCTGTTGACAACCATTATGGCCTTCACATCATGCTGCCTGCTTCGGGCTCTACGTCCAATGTCCCGGCCTCAATCACCTCTCTAGAGCACTGCATTGTGCACATGTCTATCCCAACCGCCAACGGCAAGCCCTTTGCTAGCTTGACGGTAAAGAGCATCTCGGAAAGCTTATTGATCTGCGGTCAGGTTAACGGGCCAGCACACATTACCGATGTGGATCACAGTGTGATTGTTGTCTCTTGCCGACAATTCCGCATGCACAACTGCACCAACGTCGACGTCTACCTCAGTTGCTCAAGTAATCCCATCATCGAGGACTGCTCCAATATCCGGTTCACCCGGATACCGAAGGCTTATGTATGTTTACACCCTGGTGTTCCTGCTTCAGTCACGTATACTTATCGACCCACTCTAGGCCTTGAACCACGACCGCCCCGACCACGAAGATCGCTGGAGCCAAGTTGAGGATTTCAAATGGATCAAGCCGGAGCCCAGCCCCAACTGGAGCCTTCTGGACCAGAGCGATGCAGTTCCGGAGGAAGTATGGGCAGAGATTGTTCCCGGCGGGCCGGGTTGGTCACTCGACGACATCTTGCATGCCATCCGGCTGGTGTAAGGCTAAGGTAGTGGCTTTTCTGGGTTCACTTACCCTGGCACCTGGCGTTTCATGTATCCGAAATCAAAACAGGGATGTGGCGTACGATCATTCAAACCTATCTTAGTTCTCTGATTAGGTATTTTCTGTTCATCCTTTTACACGCAATATGTTACATTTACTTCTACTTCCACAGTTTGTCCTATTATAGGCGATAGCTCTAGGCTGTCTTTCCAACACAAAGTAGGCGGGATATCGCCAAGGCCATCAATAAATGTGCTCGACGAATCAAGGAAGCTATTTTGGGGGTAATGGGCTTATTTATGGCACCATGAAAGCTATATGCAAGAGAAAGTAATATGTCCAGTAACGACCTATCCCATATGCCATCTCATCACGGTCGTGGAATAATAATACAGCACGTCAATCCATATCTTACGCCAGCTTCGAATCGCGCGAATTGCTATTCCTATTTATGAAAAGCTCGTTTAGTGAATGATGTTCCACAATTCAAGAGTTCGTAGTTTCATTTCTCAAAGAGGGCCACGGATATACATGAAAAGAGTACAGTCCAAGAAGTATGTACAACCCACACAGGCGCCGAGATAAAAAAAAAATATCAATGCAACAATGGATCAAACGCTTACATCTGCTTGAAGTATTCATCAAAGTTATCCTCGGCAACCTTCGTGCAGTCGAAGCCGTAGATCTCCCGCTGGACATCCGCATCGGCCCACTTGTCTGGAACAGGGCCCTTGCCCTGGCGAAGAGCGGCGAACTGGCGGTCGCGCTCCTCCTTAGCGGCACCATCACCCAAATGCATGGCACGACCGGAGGCAGCGGCCATTTCGACCAGCGCCTCCGCGCGGCCCTTGCGAACCTTCTCGTAGACACGGAGAGCCTTGTTGATGGACTCGGGCGTGGTATCGGGCAGACGAGCGAGAACAACGGCAATCACAGCACCATCTTCAATGGCCTGGGCGGCACCCTGGGCCAGATGGGGCAGGGTGGGGTGGCAAGCATCGCCAACCAGGGCGACGTTGTCGTAGACCCAAGTGGGGAGAGGGTCGTGAACGCGCAGCTTCCACTCACAAACCTCGCCCTCGGGAACGTAGTCCAGCATGCGCTTGACCATGGGGCAGAAATCGCCAAAGAGTTCCAGCATGGCCTTCTTGGATCCCTTGGTAGTGTAGGTGGCATTGGTAGCAGCGGCGAAGTTGGTATCGGGCTGGGTGGTGGAGAGGTTGTAGATGGTATTGTTGGAGACCGCGTAGGCAATGATATGGCGCTTCGCACCAATCCAGCGGGTCACACGCGTGTTGTTAATGAGGGCCAAGAGCTCCGGGTCGTCCTTAATCTGGTCCTTGTGGATCATGATCCGGTAGGCGGCTTGGTTGGTATCCTTGACGCCGACGTTGACATTTAATCGCTTGAGCATCTCCATGCGGGCCAGACTCTTGATGCCATCGGCAGCGAGGAGAACATCACACTCCACCCTGAAGGGGGCCTTGCCCTCGTCGCGGGGCACGGCAGTGAAGGATGGCCGGGAGCCGAAATCGACATCCTCGGCCGTGATAGCGAAGTGGAACTTGATCGCCGGCTGCTGCTTGCATCCCTCGAACAGTCCGCCCGCCAGCGATGCGCGGTGGCCTACCATGTGCTTGTAGCCATAGGTCTTCTCAATGTAGTCCAGTTCCACGTGCGCAAGCTCCGTATCGGTTGCGCCCTCTGTGATAATTCGCGGTCAGAGATAAGCCTCTTCGATGCCATAGGAACAGTTCATTCGGGTGGATTGCATACCTCGGACAGACGTGTCTGAAATGTTAACCGCTTCGGCCTCGATACCGCGCCACACATCCAGACCATCGAGCACGCGGGCCATGTTTGGCGCCAGCTGAATACCCGCGCCAACGAAGCCGAGGTCGTGCGCATTCTCATACACATCAATGTTCTTGAACCCGCGCTTTGCCAGAGCAAGGGCAGTGGTCAAACCACCCATGCCGGCGCCAATAATGGCGATTTGCAAGTCCTGTGGGACCTTGGCCATTGTGTCGGATTTTAGCGGAGATATGTTGGGGGTGGTTGTGGAGGAAAAGGCGGGAGAAGAGAGGAGAGGGAGAATAGTGTCTTAAGGTGACAAAGAGAAGATTCCAGCTCAGTAAAAGGTCTGGAATAAAGCGGCGATGTGCGATTCTTTAAATTTCCCATTCCTTTCCCCCCGAGCGCCTGTGCCGTCGCATCTCAACGTGCTGCCTCAGCATGACATGGCGGGAGAGATTTTTCCCGCTTCTCCCACAGCTCCCCACACGTCCGCGCTGGAGGGGCGTTGCGAACGACCGCCACTGGATCGTCCATCGGCGCCCGGTTGGAAAATTACCCGCTTTGGCCCAGCGTGCTTGCGCGGAGGCCACAAGGGAGAAATCATTATCAACACGGCGATTCGTTCGCACTTGCAGCAGTCCTCGAACCCCCAACCAATCGGTGACGAGGATGTGCAGCTATATAACCGCTCTACGGAAGAATCCTGAGTGGTTCAAATTAGCGGTCCATCTGTGATCTCATGAGAGAGAACGGATCTGAATAGCTGCCCGCCAAGCTATACCAGCAAATGCTGGACGGGGCAAATCTTGCTCCATGACGCTTCCCGCGCACCTTTGCCCCGCTCCCCGGACGCTTCCCCACATTTCGCTGCTCTCCGGACTTGACGCGGAGTAAGTCTGTTTCCTGTTCCCAGCACAAACTGCCGAGGTGTAACGGTGTTGCCGGTCTGCTCCCCACGCCCGCTCGATGGTATTCGACTGGGGTCCAGTGCACACTACCAAAGAAACACTGCGGGTTTTTGGAGAAATCCACCTCACGGCCCAGGCGGCACTGTCATTCAGATGTCTTCAATGCGGGGCTGGCAGGCTTTTCCGGGCTAGTGTTTCTACCACGCCAGGGAAAAAGGATATCCGTATTCCCGAGATCCCCTGAGCTGACGATCAGAGTAAAGTTGTGCTGGAAGGACTCACGGAGTTTGGAGCCAACGAGGTTCACCCCTCCTGGAATATCAAGTTCTTGATCGCGGCACCAGGAGGGGTTCAAACCTCATGTAGTCCTTCGGCTATTAATAGAATTTTAACACCATTCCGGCCGTCACTGCGAGACGAACCTTATTGTCCCTTTCAGGCCACCTGCTCTGCGCGGATTCGACGAGCTACTGTACGACTCCTGGATTCATGGACACAACACCGATTGCAAGCAACTAGACATAAGTTGATTTCTCAACCCATTGTTGAAATTCTCAAGCTTCACGCTTTACATATAATAGGTACAGAAGAATATATGCCCACAATAAAAAGAAAAAACGGGAACTCCGCATGTTCGGTCGTTGCTTGTGTTAGCTTGACAGCCAAGCCACAGCAGCAGAACTCTCCAGACACATCAACAGAGAACCCATAGAAGCGAATGGTGCCCTTCAAGGGTAGTATACCAGGTCATTTAGAGGGAGGTGACGGGGACGACGCTGCCGACGGTGGTGGTCAGGCCCTGCAGACCGAGCGTGGCCAGCAGGCCGGTGGCAGTGCCCTCGACCTTGACGAGGAGAGCGGAGGTTCCGTCCTCGCCGAGGACACCGAAGAGCTGGGTGGGGTCTGCGGCGACGTTCTGGGCAGCAGCAGCGAGGCCGGAGACAGCAGGGACCTGGGCGACGACGGTGCCAACGGTGCCCTGGATGGAGGCCAGGTTGAGGCCGCCGAGAAGGCCGAGAACGGTAGGCTCAACCTGAACGAGGAGGTTGTTGCCGTTCAGGTCAGTGATGCTCATGACGTCGGAGAGGGGGTCGCGCTTCAGGTTGCCAGAGACAGCACCCTCAATAGTGCCAACCAGGGAACCAACGAGCGAGCCAACCTCAGGCAGACCAAGACCGGACAGGAGACCCTCGACGGTGGAGGTGAGCTTGACGAGAGCGACGGAGCCCTCACCGGTAGCAACGGTCAGGAGACCGCCAGTGGCGCCGTTCAGGTTCAGATCGCCAACCGTAGGGGCGACCTGGATAATCTGGCCAACGGACTCGGTGACGCTGCCGAGGTTGAGGCCAGAGAGGAGGCTGGCAACGGTAGGCTCGAGCTCGACCAGGACACTCTTGGAAGCTTGGTCGGTGACGGTCAGGACGCTGTGGACCTGGCTGGTGGCCTGGCTGGTCATCTTGGAGGTGCCAACGCTGGGGATAGCAGAGGCAGAGGGAATACAGGTCGGAATGCCTGAGGGGATGGTGACGCCGGCGGGGAGGACACCGGAGGGCAAGCAGGAGGGAATGCCCGAGGGGAGGACGCCAGAAGCACCACCGGGGATGATGCGGGTGGGAAGCGCGGCGACGGTGGATGCCAGGATGGCAGCGGAAATGGCGAAAGTCTTCATCTTGATGGTTTGAGAGAGTGACTGGTGCTTGAAAAGCAGTAAAGAGTGGACGGTATAGAACCGGAAAAGGAATGGATAGGGGTGAGGAATGGAAAACGAGAAGAGCTTCTTGGGAGAGTAAAGGAAAGAATCTCAAAAGTCACCTGGCAATGGCTGCCCTTTATACAAAGTAGCCCGTCCATCATCTCTCAGGGAGTACGGAGACAGCCAGTCCTTTGATTCATTCCGTCCATCAACGTGTACCTGAGTTCCAGGGTTCACCCCACATCTGCCAGACAAGGCAACAGGAATGACGGGACCCACCGAGGGGTGGGCAAGCAGCGGTCCAATATCGACAAGGAGTGAGGGGCCAGGCGTCCTATCAAATCAACCGATATGAATCTAATTCCTGAAAGGAAGGTAGAACAGTCGATGCAGGGAGAATTAGGGCCCGCAAAAGTCTCCTTATCCTCTCATAAGCTTCGTTGGGTGCTCATCGTCATTAGCCACTCCGCAGATCTTTTCAGCTCCGCTGTTGGACCTGAAAGTTGCGGGCAAATCCACTTTCCACACGAGTAACGGCTTTGGAGAAAGCTGTCAACTGTCAGCTGTCAGACAGAGGATCAGTGGACTGATGCCTGCCGTCTTCCAGCGACATGGTCTGACTGAAGACTGAAGACGCTGAGTGAATAAGGTGATGACGCATCATTCCCTCGTGGAAGCCACGAGGCGCATATTTGCCACATGGTTCACACTAGGAACACCCGAGGCGCCCAGGGGTTTGAGTCCAAGCACACCCCTTTGCTCTGAAATTGGCCCTTCACTCTATAGAATGCGTTCAGGCCTAGAGGATCAGCAGTGGCACCGCCCGACTCCACAGCTGTCACCAATGGGTGGGGAGGTTAGGAGGGGCAGTGTGCTAAGGACTCCAAGGATCTGCAGTGGTGTCCCGGTCCCAGCCACGGTCAACAGGAGCGTTGAACCCCACACGGGGGTTTATAGAGGGTTTAGGGTTGGATGGCATTAAGCCTTCATCACTAGGCAGTTGCTATTGTCAAATAGTCCCGCGAGTGGATCTGTAGCGGCTCACGCGGTGTCAGTGCGGTGGGGCCACGCTTGGCGCCACACCCGAAAGGGAGCCCCTGCTGGCGCTCGTAGGATGATCTGAATTCCAAAAGGCAGTAGCTAGCCCGGATTGCATCATAAACTGGAAGTTCTTCGGACCCCGAGCGCAGGCTTCATTTCCAGGAATTTGAGCTAGGCTCAGGGGTCCGTCCAGAAAGGTTCCTCGCGTCGTTGATTTTATCCCTCAGGGTAAACAACCCTCAGAATAGCCGAAACAACGTTGGATCTCTCTCCACCTCCGAGACTCCGAGAACGTTAAACGGGACAAAATAGTGGCACCCCTGACAATCCCCCATCTTGTGGGATCGCACAGGCTCGGTAGTCTGGAGAAATATCGGAAGCGCCTGTCCAATCCCTTGAAACACAGTTCGACGGATAACCTGGTCTGCGTGGGAGAAATTCCAAGTGTTCTACTTCCATGGAAGCTCAGGGGTGGCATGGCCATAAAACTATACTGCCTACCTTGCACTAGCGACGTGAATAGTTTCGGGGGACATCCGTAAGCAGTTAAGGTCTCAAAGTTATAATGCGGGATGAAAGCATCAGCAGCTAGTTCGAAACTTAATCATGCAGAATGACAAAACAGGTGAATTATAGAGGCTTCGTGTATTGCCTCTGCAGAACGGAGTATGGAGACTCTGGAATACCAAGGAGCAATAATCAATGGTGCATCCCACCCCAATAGCTCTCTCCGTCTCCCTCATAGGGATTGGAGGCCTCCCTACACTGTGGATTCTCATAGTCGGACACGGTGCCCTCAGGCCAGATCGGCACAACGCAGATCTCATTGACTTCGCAGCCACGGCACTCTTTCCAAGTCGTCCAGTCCAAATGGTCAATCAAAGCTTGAATCGTCCGCACCGCAGAATCTAATTCTTCCTCCCCCCATGCTGCCAACAACGTCGAGCAAACGCTGTGCGCAACGCTGTGCACGGCTCGCGCAGCCAACAGCTGCGAGTCCTGGGTCTCCAGCGGCAGGAACTGCGTAGCACATCTTTCAGTCTCCAATGAGGTGTTCCGCGCGCTATAGTCAATAAAGGGGGACAGGAGGATCTCGATATGATCGTGCAGGCTCTTCGCGTCGGTGAAGTTGCCAGATACCAGGTATGACAGCTCATCGGCGTACCGAGTCACAATCATATCCGTGATTGCCTGCCAGTTGCGTGGGGATCCTGTTGCGTCCTGAGCCAAGATCCGTGCAGTCAATTCCTTGCGGACAGCGTCCAGTTCCGAGCTGGGGAGATGTCCCAGACGAGGCAGAGGCGAGTCTTCAGGGAAAAGGTCCAAATCGTGTGAGAAGGCGGTCACAAAGTTTTCATAGTTGATAGACACGCGGTTTCCCCCGATCCCACCGTACCGTGCACTCACTGCACGCATCCAGCGAGATGAACCGTGGCCAGGGCCCCCGTGAGGAGGGCCCTTTCTTTTCCCATCATCCTCGCGAGGACCAGCATGCCGGTCATTTGTGCGACCACCCTGGCCCCTGGCCCTCGAATCAGACTTCACCTGTGTGATCCGCAAAGGCGTCAAGCCACGCTCAAACGCACACAGGATGATCTCAAACCCAGCCTCCATGCGTAACACGCCATCAATATGACCGTCCCATTCATTCTCTGCCATCTCGCATGCTTTCTTGGCGCGCTCAGACTCGCCCATTGGTCCACGTTGGCCTTCCTTGGGCGAGTCGTCGAGTGTGTTGTTGAACAAGAGCACGTCTTGCGAGTCGAGGGTCCCCTTGGTCGTCTTGGCAGCCGACATCCCGTCAATATACACAAGACGAAGGTCTTTTGTCGTGGCATAGATGTGAAGATACCCGGAATCATTCTCGTCGACAGCTTCAACATGTGGCAGCGGCCCAGGAGGTCCATTACCCGGGCCATGGGGTTGGCGGCGACGGAGTTCGTCACGGTGTCCACGGTCGTTTTCGTCGTCATCACCTTCGTCCGGTTGTCGAGGAGGTGGGCCTCTATGCGGGCGCGCGAATACCATCGCATGCTCCGGTTCGAAGGCGAGCCATTCGGTGCCGTTGACCGGGGTCGACTTGGAGGTGCCATGATATAGCTGCGTACCAGCTGGGACAGTCGCCAGGAAGAAAGAGACGCCATTGTGGTGCAGCGACGATCCCCACTGCCGCATAGAGTCGTGAATGACGTTAAATATGTGGTTCGCATTCTCGATAGCTGCATCAGCGTCGCCAGACGCTGCAGAACCAGCCGATAAGATTAACAACGAGCATATCGCCCGCAGAGACTGCGCCGAGCGCATTTTGAACGAAATGCCTTGAACGAAATGCCTTGGGTTTAGTGATGATCTTACTCCAGGGTGACAGTCTAGGAATCAATCATGTTTCCGACAGAAGAAAAGCTCCTGCCTTGAGGCCGCTAGCGCCTACTGTTATCTGATGGGCTTAGGGCTGTTCGGATGCTCAAGACGCGTCATCACGCCAGACGCTAGCCACCATCCGCTTTTCGGTAGTCTTCTCCGAGCTTGGACGATTAGCCGTGCATAGTGTGGCTTCAGGATCATAATGCTCGGGCGAAATTGACGTGGCCATCGTCAGTGGCCCACCCACAGTAACCGGCGGTTAGAGAAGTCGGTACGCATACATGTGCATATCGGAGACTTTGTATGGCTAGCTACCCCCTTTTCCTGGGGTGAGCTTGGCCGGAGAAAATAGAATGACTGCGTTGAAGAGTCTGACTCCATGTTAGCACAAGGTTTCTACTCCTAGTTGGCCCAAATCCGGTTCATTTTCTCGAAGCATGTACTGTAGGTTTGCAGTGTGCGAAATGGCGTCCATGGTTATAAGCTGTTGGCAAAGCATCGCTCAGGTACTAGATTGAGTCCATGTAATAGAGGTTTCACGCCGTTCATGGCTATTTGCCTTCAAGCGAGAACGCTCATTTGGTCGTCTGTATTCCTAGCTGCTCGTCCGGCGCAGGCGTAGCTTCCCCGCGTTGACGGGGCCGATTGCTTGCAGTCGGAAAAGCATCGGCGAGATCAGATCGCGACCGCGTCGCCCGCCGAGAAGTCCAACAACGTTCATGCCCCACGTAAAATGCCCGCCGGCACACTCTACATGGGCGCTCGCTCTTTTACACCAAACTCATCTCGTCATCCCCGGACTCTTCTCCTCACCTTGGACGCCTTTGAAACCCTGTTCTACCCACGTCCCCCAGTCCCCAACCAGTACGCTGCGATCGGCCACGAGTTCGGACTCTCTCGGACTGTGGTGACACCAGACAAGCTCAAGGCTGCTTTCAGGGACGCGTACCGCATACAAGCCAAGCTATATCCGAACTATGGTCGCGCGGACGTTCTCAAGGGTCGGTATGGAGGGCCAAAACAGTGGTGGGAGGAGGTGATCCGGGGGAGCTTCGGACAAGTGTTGGCCTCGGGGGCAAGCCAAGATTCTTCGCAGCATAAATCTCCGGATTGTGGCAATGTCAATCTCCCCGCTGGCATGATTGACGCTCTGCTTGATCGTTTTGCCGGCGATGGGGGCTACACATTGTACGAGGATGTGGCACCATTCTTCGCCCGTATGCGCGAGCTAAGAGCGTCCTCAACGACTCCCTTTGACCGTATCTTGCTCGGCGTGATATCCAATTCAGATGACCGAGTTCCTGAGGTGCTGAAGGCGCTGGGGCTGCGAGTTGGGGATATGCGAGCTGACCAGGACATGTCGAGCATGGAGCTGCCGGGGTTCGAGGAACGAGTCTCTGGGCACACGGCCCGGCCACAACAACCCAATACGGCGAATCAGAGGGCTCAAGCGGATGCCGACCTGGACCTGGTGATTACGAGCTACGAGGCTGGCGCGGAGAAACCGAATCGGCTGATCTTCGATGTTGCAAAGCGACAGGCCCGATTGTTAGCACGGCGTGATGCGCACGCACACGGCTCAACCCCAGCTGGCCTGGATGAAACCGATGACTGGACATGTGTCCATGTCGGTGATGACTATCAGAAAGACTATGTTGCCGCGATTGACGCGGGCTGGGGAAGCTATCTTCTTGAACGCGATGGTGGTCACGGACGCCCTCCGGGAACTATTCGCTCGTTGATGGAATTGCTTGGCCAGCTGAAGCTAGGCTTCTAAATCCCCTTCATACAGCTCTTATTCGAGAAGACATCGATGGCTAGGCTCTGCACCCAAATACAGATGGGCGGTGATATTAATTCTTATACCCGAACCTGCAAATCCGCCGGTGCGCGGCGCATGCATGTTTTCTAGGAAGCTAGGTTAGCAACTATATACTTATGTCTGGGTACTGCATTCTCTAGTCCTCTTGGTTGAAAATTTGTGTGTCCTGGGTAGTTGTCCATGATTCAATTAAAGTAATTCTCACAAATGTTAACAAACATGCTTGATATTCCGAATCCTGCCCATTGACCTTGACGCCGAGTCATTACACGCTATCCCGAAATTGTAAAACAGAAACCGCCCGTGCAATCCCAACTTGCCACGGAATGCAACCAATACAGCCCTCTAGTTGTGACTGCGTGCACTTTCCTCCTAGTCCCACTGGCCTTTCCCAGCTAGTGCACCCAGTCCACCGCCCGCATGCTTGCCTAGCAGCTTGGCTATGTTGGAGCCGCCGTTGCGTTGTTTCATGCGGAGTTCTCTCTCGCGTTCCTTCTCACGAGCAGCAGTGTACGAGTTGACAGCTCCCCCTTTCTTTGGACCTGAAGCAGCCGGCTTAGAAACACGGTTGGCGCTTGATGCTGAGCTCATGCTGGAGCTGGATGAAGAAGAGGAGCCGGTGTTGGCGCGGCGCAGAAACTGAGGAGGGCGGAATCCGATGGGACCGTCCGAGTTGCCACCGTTGTGGAATGCGAACTTGGTGTTGGAAGAGGACCCAGATGTTGTAGCAGAAGCTGAGTTGGACGATGCTTGGCGGAGGAGAGCAAGGCGATCGACGACCATCCCGCGCGTGCGTCGTGGGTGGCTGGGCACAGCAAAGCCTTCTTTCGACTGCGACCCTGCGTCCTCGGAATACGCGTCTTCGTTGCCGGAGGTGTTGGTGTCATCCTCGCCCGCGGCTAGCTCTTCCTCATCAAGGGACGCATCTTCATGGAAGGAGTCGTATTCAGGAGTTTCGGTCAAGAAAGACAGGGTCTCACGGATCTCAGCAAGAGTTGCTGGCTTCTTGGACATGGCACTGGCAGGTGTACGGCGAAGATGAGGTGGAGGGCGGTTAGTAGCATCTTCAGCAGATGGCTCAAGTGGTCGCTTGCGCTTGCTGCTGTCCTGCGAAGGGTCACCCTGCTGTTGCGCGACATCCTGAGAGGCTTCGTTTTGGGAATCGCCTGCTCTCTCTTCCAAGAACTCCAACTCGAAGTCATCCTCAATATCGCGATCTTCGATAGCCTTGAAGAATGCAGCCTTCTTAGGGTTCTCGGCGAGTTCACCGATCTTGTCATCGGCAAGCAGAGCCCGGCGCATCTTGGCGAACTCGCGTTGCTTCTCACGCCGACGTGCTAAGCGCTCATCGTCCGAGTCGTCAAGATCAAAGTCATCATCTCCACCACCGCGGCGGCGGCGCAAGGCTCCAGTTGTGATGTCCTTGTACAGCTTCGCAACATCTTTCTCGTCACGGTCTCGTTGATGGACACTGTAATTAATATCGTCAGCAACCCATCTCCTGTGTTAGAACAAGTGTCAACTTACGCGTTTAATGCAGCCAGCTGTTTCTCATCGACCACTTCACCACTCTGGTCGTTGATCATTTGCTGGTCGTAGGCATCCTCCTCGCCGTCACTGTCATCACTTGCACCTCCAAGACCAGCATACTCATCTTCGGACTCCTCGGCAGCTTCGTCAACAATATTCTTAGCTTTGCTGTTCTTTTTGTCGTATTGAACTGTCCGTTTCTTGACTGCCTTTTGCATGACGTTGAAGGCATTGGCATTCACCTCAATGTCCCCCTCGTTGTCCTCCTCTTCCACGACGGACAAATTGACTGCGCGTCCACGTCGGAGCTGTCGATGCTTACGTTCTGCAACAGGCGACTGGCTCTGGCCAAGGAGAACAGTATCAACAGTCGAAACGGGCGGAGTTCCGCGGAATCGCTTGGCAGGATCGAACGGAGAGAAAACGAAGCCTTCATCTTGAGTAGGGTCCGGAAGTTGCGAGAATTGCGAGAAAGTGTGTGCGGCAGGTGATTCCGATACTCTAGTCACATTTGGACTATAGCCAGTCATGAAGTCGGGCTCGTGGGACTGTTCCTGGCTATCGCAAACTAGAATCTCCGAGTCCTCGGCGCGCAGCCCGGGAACAGGGCGGCCGGGATCAGGAAGGGAAAATGGGATTGCTGTAGAGCCGGGCTGGCTACTAGTGTCATCATCATCGGCCAATGTACCGGCAAATGCTTGAGTTAGGCCCATAGGCATATCGCCAGGGGTCTGCATGTCGGGGAATGCGGGTCGCTCCACTGACTGGGAACCATGAGACGGCGGTCTGACTGGCGTTGAGGGCACTTGGGGTTCCTCATCTTCGTCGTCGTCCACCACCCGAGTTCGTCGCTTTCGCCGACTACCAGGGTCCTCGATCTCCACGTCTGCATCTGAGAGGATATCCTCAGCTTGGTCTTCAGCAGACTCATCACCCTCATCTGCTTCCTGGTCAACGAATTCAGGATTCTCATCGACACCCTTGCCGTCATCGTCGTCGTTGTTGCTGTTGTCGTAGTCACCCTCGTCGGACGCATCTTCATCAGAGCCAGAGAAGGCGTAGTCGTCATCTTCCTCCTCATCATCGAGACCCTGCGCCTTTTTCTTCGCAGCTCTTTCCTGTCGTCCGATCTCGTTGGCTTCCTGGCGGGCTTTCTCCACTAAGTCCTCAACATCGTCTTCCATGGCAGCACGCTCTTCGGCAGTCTCAATGACAACGCCCTTAGCTCTGAGCTCCTCAATGCGTTCACGCCTTTCTTTAGCAGCCTGCTGGCGGGCTTTATACAACAAGCTAGCAGAGAGTTCCGCCGAATTCATAGTGGTCATCTTGCGGGTGGGGGAGGTCAGGTGAGCCAAAGCCTTCAGCTTGAGCATCGAGGCGGATTCCTGAAGCTTTCTCGTGGGCAAATTCTCAAAAGCAGCAAACCGACGAGCTTTGGATGGGGACGTGACAACTTCCAGATCGTCGCTGTCTGAATCTTCTTGCTGGTGCCGCGCGACTTCTTGTCGGGACATCAGGACGCGAACCGGGGGCTGAGTCGGCCGTCGGGGCACTTTCTTTGCGTTGAAAACAGAAGAGACTTTGGGCCCTTGTGGCGCGTCTTGGGCAGAGGGCATGGTTTCTTTCAGTGCCGCGAGACTGGCTGCATCCAGCCCAGGCGGGACTTGTCCAGAGGCATCAACAACGAGAGGTTTGTCTGCATCAGAGGGACCGAGCACGGGCGATGTGTGTGGCGTTTCCTTGGTCTTCTGGGGACCTTCACCGTCGGAAGAATGTTGTGACCCAGCAGTTGAAGACGAGTTAGTTGTTGCGGCTTCCGCAGGGGAAGGCTCGGGCTGCATGAAGTTGAACCGGGCGAAGAGACTTTCTTTAGTAATCTTCTTCTTGGTCTGAGCCTGGTGAGCCAGTTGCATGTTTCGGCTCATGCGTTGTGTCTCCTGCCTCATCTCCTCCAAGGCCTTCTTGCTGGCTTTGCGGGGTTGGCGTGCTTTCTGGCTCAATTTACGAGCAGATCCATCCTCATCTCCCACGCTTTCCTCACCAGACAGGATCTCAGAGCTGAACTGCTCCATCTGAGCCCGTCTGGCAGCCTTTTGTTCATCCTCAAAGCGTTCGCGCTGCTCGCGTTCCTTGCGCTTCTGGGCCACAAGAGCAAGGAATCTCGCCTTAGACTTGGATTGTTCTCCGGGTTCATCAGCTGCTGCTTGATCCAGATCGTTGGCATCGTCTTGTGGGGCAGCTGGCGACGAGACAAACAAGGGGGAAACAGTGCGTGTGCGCGGTGGTGAGCTGAGAGAATCGTGGTCGGCAGAGGCTGTCAATTGTGTTGACTTGGCATTCTTTCTCCTCCGAGGACCAGCGGCGGGGAGATCATCGTCACTCGACTCATCTACAGGCGGGGGTCTTCGACGTGTTGGCTGTAGTCCTTGCTCTCTCTCGGATTGTAGGGCCTTGGACAGGCGGGAAAAGGCAGAGTCTTTTTGAGGTTCAGATGAAGTCGAGTCACCAGCATTGCCCTGCATGCGAGCAGCCATTCGACCCTTGGGCCGGACAAAATCATCAGCATCCTCCAAGTCGTCTTCAGAGTCGATCATCTGTTCAGATACGCGCGTCTCCGTGATTAATGTGTTTTTGCGTGTGAAGTCCAGCTTCGGTATGGAGGCTTTGGAATTTGTATTTTGGGAGTCAGACTCAGAATCACTATCAAATTCAGCCATCATGGCTTTGATCTTCTGTCCTGGGGTGAGAATATTGGGCGAATTTCCAGCGGACGACGCGGAACGCGTCGAACGGGGTGTAGATGGTGAGGACATTTTGGATCAGTCGGAGGAACAATCTGAAAGGAAGACGTAATGCTTAAATGGGAAATGGATCATGACATGACGGAGTCAATTGAGAACAGAGAGAAGGTTGGAGGTGGAGGTGTCGAGTGCGGATCCCGCAAGGGCGCATAGTCAAGACGCGATACGCGTGTTTCGCGTTGCCCGGTCGCGCCACGTGATTTTTATCTTATCGCTAGCTCAAGATCGACAGTGAGAGCCCGGAAGTACGTTCATGTTAGGACGGGGTTGAAGTTAGCAACAAAGAGAATGACGATGACTTCATCCATTTGTTGGCCAAAAGGAGGCCAGATAATTTACAGGCCTGAGGTAAAGCAATGACTTCTATTAACAAGTTGATTGTATTCTGAGTCTGTGCTACTATGCCCCATTTCCATTGTGCTCATAATACAGATTGTTTGTCCCATAAAGATTTTCAGGAGAGACGCCGCAAAGATCCTGCGCCGATTCCTGTATAGAAAAGACAGAAGTACAAGAGTAAAAAGACCCACGGCTCATCATCGTGTCCGCCGCTAGAACGATCCTCCGATGAGTAAATAACCACTACAGCCTCCGGTTCAGAGTCTGTGGCGGAAAGCACGGCTCTATTAGACGAAATAAGACGAGAAAGGCAGGCCCTCTAGATATCAATGTCGATATCCATGTCCAGGGCAGCGATGTTCTCGTCATCGGTGTTGCGATAGCTGATCATAAACCCGCTCTTGGGCTTCTTGGGTGTGACGCCAGAGGACGTCGCCGCTTGCGAAGGACTATCGGTGCCAGTCTTTGGTGAGTCTTTGGGTGTTTCAGTCAGGATATCATCAGCAGCCTTAGCATCCTTGGGCTTGTCGGAGACGTCATGGTGTGTCTTGGCAATAGTGCGAACACGCATAAAGGGATCTGCAGTAGCCTCGCCGCGAGCGACGGCGGCGGCCGCCTTGCGAGCAACTTTGCGCTCCTCGAGCTGGGCACGCCGAACGTTCTCGTAATTGAGTTTCTGATTGCGAAGGTTGATTTGGTGGACTCGCTCGGCTTCGGAGAGCTTCTTGTCCGAGGCTGGCTGCGGCTTGAGAAGGGACGTCCCCCAGGACAGGTTGAGGTTCATCGTCGAATCCAGTTCCTGCTGAAGCCTCTCAGCCTCCTCCGTGTTGCCGTTGGCTCTGGCGAACTTCAGGTCGCGCTCGAGATCGGCGCGTCGAAGGATGTCCGACTTGGCGTCCAGGGCACCCTGCTTACGCAACTTGTGGCTCAGCTCCTCAGCGGTAAACTGGTGGTTGATAAGACGGTTGATGTCCGCAACCTTGGACGCCAGCTTGTTCTGTGTGGCCATCTTGCAGTCTTCAACTGCCATGGTCTTGCGGTAACGGCTATATTCGGCCTGCATAATCAGTTAGCCTCCGGAATTGTCATCCTCTGTGTAGGGCCGACTTACTTCGGTGATAGGAGAGTCGGAGCAAGCAATGAACGGGAATTCCCGTACGGCCTTCCCGTGCGCTAACTTAGCATACTGGTCGGTAACGAAAGGACGGCCATTCTTGGCCTCCATCGCATAGGGCTTGCCCTTGCTGAATCCCTGAATCAAGCAAAGGCGGTACTCGTTCTGGCCAGTCTCCATGTTGGGCCCGATGTTGACACGTGCGTAGCAGCCAGTAATGGCATCGTCGAATCCAGGGTAGAAGCAAACCTCCGCAAAGTTGCTGCGACCGACACGAGCGCGCTGAACGTCGCGAAGGTCGGCGGGGGGTCATCTTTGGGGATCGAAGGAGAGCGGCGATCATCCAGATCCAGGTCACTCTCAACCTCTGCATCCTCATCGGAAATATCGGAACCCTGAGAGCGTGATCGGCGGCGCGCCTGGGTGGTATCTCGGCGGCGGAGTTCATCCCGCTTACCCTTCTGCTCGCGCTGGCGCTTGTAGGCCTCAATAGCGCCAGAGGTTTCTCCCACTTTGCGGCCGCCCAGAGTCGTCTTCTGTCGGGAACTCTTGCGCTGAGTATCATCGAGGCCGGCGGAACCCGCCTTGCGCTTGGCCTGTTTGGCGGCAGCACGCGCTTCCTCACGCTCACGCGAGGCTAGCAGTCGGCGCAGAGCCAAGTCCTGGTTGTGCCGATCCACTTGCTGGGCACGCTCGGAGAGCAGCTCTTCCCGTTGAATCTCTGGCATTGCCATGATTTCTTGCTTTTCCTTTGCAGAGTAGTAGAGCTTGTCGTAAGGAAAGATGGGGCGGTCCTCGTCGTCGGAGGCATCTCCAGCTTCAGAGTCAGACTCGGACATAGGAGCAGACTGGAGAGAGTCTTGGGAGTCAGCTTCGGACCTGTAGTGTGAGACAGTGTCAGTAAATGTATCGTCTTGGGCCTAGTCATAGCGGTAGACAACTCACACTTCACCGTCCTCTTCATCTCTCCTAGGCTTCTTGCCCCGGCGAGCAGGCTTCGCGGTTCCTTTGCGACCCATTGTTTCCGGTGATTGATCACGATCTGGTGAGTGAGGGGAGGCAGAGGGTTCTAGTGATTCATCTTTCTGAGGGGGTGGTGAGTGTTCCTCTTCCGAGTCACCAGCCAGAGCCAGCAGCTCCGCATCCAAATCGTCCGCCATTATGAATGCCGCACGACGTTATACCAATTCACCGATCAGGTGGTATATAATAGGCACAAAGAGCGCTGCAGGTAGTTCTCTCCAATAGAGATGACCCTGTTGCCTTCGGAGGGACCTGCTCAAGCAGGCGAAATCCCTTCTGACGAGGAGTCGCAAATATTCAAGGATCCCCAGGTAGTGGTATCAAATTCCACAGCTGAGGCCTTTATGCTAGTCGAGACAGAGTCCCCAGCACCAACAGACACACTGTACAGACGGCAACGAACGGGGAGGTGAAGGTATTGGCGGAGGGCGTAGATGTTCGTCGCAAGTTAGCCTTTGCCTTGAGTTCATGACGTCCAGACGCCAAGACCGCAAGCGCGCGGCTGGCGCCAAGACCACTTTGCCCGGTGGCCTGAGACTTGGATCTCAACAACTCCGAGCAACGCTGCGAGCTACAGACAATGGAGGCCATTCCTACACTACGAAGATATGCTCTGGCACAATGCCGACGCCCAAGCCGTTTTACGTCACCGATTTACCTTGACTTCCTTGCCCCGACGGCCCTCCGGTCGCAACGGCGACAAGCGTCCAGCAGCGGGTCTACCGGAGCCCCGAAACCGCGATATGTCCTCAGCAGAAAGCAGCGCGAATTCTTGGACAGTGCACTGCGCGTCAATCAAGCTGGTGAACTCGCTGCGACCCTGATCTACAAGGCTCAGAGCCCGCAGGTGGTTCGCTCCTACCCACACCTTCGACCCTTGATGAAGCACATGTACGACCAAGAAGCAGGCCACCTGAAGGTCTTCAACAATCTTGTGGCTAAGCATGAAATCCGCCCGACTGCGATGTACCCGATATGGGAGGTCGCAGCCACATTCTTGGGATGGTCGACCGCAGCCCTGGGTCGCGAGGCGGCGATGGCATGCACCGAAGCAGTGGAAACCGAGATTGGGTCACATTACAACGAACAAGTGAGGGAGATCTTGATGTGGGAGGCGGATGCCGAGCGCCGAGGGGAGGAGCTTGATGAGGAACTCAAGGAGATGCTGGCAACCTTCCGGAGGATTCGTGATGAGGAGCTGGAACATCTGGATCACGCTGTGGCTAATGACTCCAAGGAGGCCAAGCCATATGATCCATTGGTGGACGCTATTCGTCTGGGTTGCAGAACTGCCATCAAGATTAGTGAGAAGGTTTAATTAGGAGGCTTCACTTCTTTGATGCGCCAGTGGCTGATCGGAATCTGTATATTGTGTGCTATATAACTGTATCATAAGTGTACACCCGATGTTAATTCGCATATTCAGTGTCTAAGATTCTCTTCTGAGAGTCTACTTCCCACCTTGTAGTCCAGTCATTATTTTTCATAAGAAAGCGTTTCGTCCTTCAAACAGCAGGGTATCATTGTAGAAACAGTTCGCACCTTCCACGCCTTATTCCTGGCTCTCGAGATAGTCGATAAAACCTTGTGAGAATCTCACGACCTGCTGGTAGACCTCCTCGAAGCCGTTTGCACCGCCGTAGTAGGGGTCCTGCACGACCTCGCCGCCGCCGACGCGATCGTGCAGCTTTCCGCCTTTCCCAAAGTCACCAAACAGGCGCACCTCTGCGACCTTTGCATTCTCTCCCTGTGTGCCAAGGGCTGTCTCAGATGCCGCCCGAGTGTTCTTCGCGGCAGACTTGGGGTTGCGGCGCAGCGACGCGATGACCGATTCTCGCACGTCCAGCAGATCCCGCAGGTTGTGCTTGTCCATAGCGAGCAGATAGTCGAACTTCAGGAAGTCGTCCTTGGTGACCTTACGAGCGGCATGATCATAGGTGGTGATGCCATGGCGGCGCAGGGTGGACATGGTCCGGCTGTCGGGACCTTCGCCGCTGTGGTAGGCACCCGTGCCAGCGGAGTCGATATCGCCGATGATGGAATGGGCATCGGCGACATTCCGGAAGACGCCTTCGGCCATCGGAGATCGACCTGGGAGATTTACCGCGTCAGCAGACACGAAAGCAGACCGGGACAGGCTTGGCGGGAAAGCGCGGCAGTATTACATACAGATGTTGCCCAGGCAGACAAATAGGACGCTGACGGGGCGTCCGGTGGATTTGGCGGACATGATTGGAGGCTAATTGAAATCTTGGAGGGGGGTGGTCGGAATCGAAGATTGCCCGGAGCAATACTTGTCGCAGTCAGTCGATGAGGCTGTGTGGCTATGCGGTAGCTGAAGGGGGGTGTCGGCGGGGCGGTTATCGATAGGCCCAACCCTAATCTCTTTGCCTTGCGATTCCCCGGCTCTCTGCGATTCGTGCCCTTGCCAGGACCAATTAATCATTCAATGGTTTGATTATTCAAACTCAATCAATATGAACGCGTTAGACTTAGCAGAATCCGGGGTACAATCTATTCATAGGATGTGAGACAGTGACGTTGCTAGACAGGCAGCGACGTTCTCTATTCTTTAGCCTACGGACCAACAAGTTGACCAACTAGGCTTACTCCGAACTAAAAAAAGAAGTAACTCAGAATCTGCAATGCACATAGCGAGGGGGTACGGCCCCGCCACCACCAGGGGCGCAGCCCACGAACCGTGGCGAGTGCGGCGTCCGTGCTTTCCGTTGGCCCAGTGATGTCCGGTGGGGGTCCTGTGATGAGTGCAGATGGGGCCAAGGCCCGCTACTCACCACTCTGCAACCCGTGGATCGTGGGTGTTTCAGGATTCATGATCCCTATCCTGCTTGGAATTCGCATTTTTGCAAGGGCCCTACAGCACCCTTGGTTTTTCCCTTTTTTTCTTTCGTGCTTTCGCGCTTCAATATCGCCTATACGAGCCACCTAATCAGTTGCAACTCGGCGTTATCCACTAGGCAGTGCGGGTCTGCGCAAGACCGCCTATTCGTCTGCCTCCTACTCCACCGTCATCGTTGCGATCAGCCTACAAGGCATCGTAAACACCAAACAAGAGGGGGATCTTTTCGTCCCGGCATTTCACCTCTTCTTCTACCCTTCTCTTCCTATCCTATCGTGCGACAAAGGTCCTACGTCGTCCTCTAGGTCTGGTCCTCTCATCAATCTCGCTTGGGACTACCGTCCATCCTGAAACGACGCCGAGAGTTTGGGTCCGTCGCTCAGACTAGCCATTCACCACTTGACATTGGCCTTTCCACTTGGCCCTCCTGGCGCAATCACCAGCTGACGACCACGCCTCCCCCCTGCTAGTAGCCTTAGGGGCGGGATCTTTTTGCTGATCTCAAACCCGAGACTAAGGTGTTAGGCGCCATGGCGTATAACCGCGTTGGTTAGTTCTCCTCCTATTTCTTCCATCTCCTCTCTGCAGCTACATAGTGCGCGTTGCACCAAAGACTGAGCTTGTACTGTGGTGCTGGCCATTGATAGTACAGGATTGTCGCGCGGCTGGAGATCACGGCATTGGCACTGGAAAATAGTGTGCGCTGGAGCACTGCTGGAATCGAAGGAACTGACACATGCGCACTCCAGACCCCTTCGGGGACGAGAATCGTTCGCCGATGATGGATCCTCATCAAATGAACAACTATCCCAACCCTACACCGTCCCCAGCACGACCGTTGGACACCTACCAACTCCACGATAATCCATATGGACAAACGAGCCACTTGCCCATGCCCTCGAGCGATCGCCTTGCCGAGCAACCTACAGTGAGTGGAGCTTTATCTATGCGCGCAAATATGCGACCGGGGGATTAGGGGACCCTTCTAACACCTGATCGATCAATAGTATTCCGTCGAGAATGTTCACAACTCCTACGGCCACCATGATGCCTACGAAGGACACGCTGGTTCCCAACCCTATGGCTATCAAGACTACGCGGTTGATCCCGAAGCCCACCATGACGCATACTATACACAACCTTATCAGCCGTCGGCCACGCCCCATGATGATTACGACCTAGGCCAGTACCCCGAAGGTGGCCATACTCCTTTCGACGATAATGTCCCCATGCTGCAGCAAGACGAGAACCCCTTCGGGCCAGACCCGTACAGCGCAGAGTACCAGGATGAGCCGCGACCTACCCCCAGCCCGGCACCCATCAAGCGGTGGAAGACGGTCAAGGAAGTCCAGTTGTTCAATGGCAATCTCGTCCTCGATTGCCCAATTGCTCCGAAACTTCTCAGCCAGGTGCCGCACGCCGAACCCCCTGGTCGTGACGAATTTACCCACATGCGTTATTCGGCCGCGACTTGTGATCCTGCGGACTTCTTCGAAGAGCGGTTTACGCTGCGCCAGAAATTATTCGCCAAGCCGCGTCACACTGAGCTTTTCATCGTTGTGACCATGTACAACGAGGATGACTTCTTGTTCGCGCGGACAATGTCCGGTGTATTTAAGAACATTGACTACATGTGCTCGCGCACCAGCAGCAAGACCTGGGGCAAGGATGCGTGGAAAAAGATTGTGGTTTGCGTCATTAGCGATGGTCGTGCAAAGATCAACCCACGGACTCGCGCTGTGCTTGCTGGTTTGGGTGTGTACCAGGACGGAATTGCCAAGCAGCAGGTCAACGGAAAGGACGTGACGGCACACATTTACGAATACACCACCCAGGTTGGATTGGAGGTCAAGGGTACCCAGGTTCACCTGAAGCCGCGCTCGGGACCTCCTGTGCAGATGATCTTCTGTTTGAAGGAAAAGAATCAGAAAAAGATCAACTCCCACCGTTGGTTCTTCCAGGCCTTTGGTCGCGTGTTGGACCCCAACATTTGTGTGCTTTTGGATGCTGGTACCAAGCCCGGCAGAGACTCGATCTATCTCCTGTGGAAGGCATTCGATGTGGAGCCTATGTGCGGTGGGGCTTGCGGAGAGATCAAGGTCATGCTTTCGCACGGCAAGAAGCTGCTGAACCCGCTGGTGGCTGGTCAGAACTTCGAGTACAAGCTGAGCAACATTCTTGATAAGCCTCTTGAGTCGGCCTTCGGTTTCATTTCTGTGTTGCCCGGTGCTTTCTCTGCCTATCGTTTTGTTGCGCTGCAAAACGATAAGAACGGACAGGGTCCCCTCGAACGATACTTCTTGGGAGAAAAGATGCACGGCGCCAATGCCGGTATTTTCACTGCCAACATGTATCTGGCCGAAGATCGTATTCTCTGTTTCGAGATTGTCTCCAAACGCAAGTGCCGCTGGCTCCTGCAGTACGTCAAGTCCTCGACCGGTGAAACTGACGTGCCCGACCAAATGGCCGAGTTCATTCTGCAGCGTCGTCGTTGGCTGAACGGCAGTTTCTTCGCTGCCGTCTACGCCATCACCCATTTCTACCAGATTTTCCGCAGTGACCACAGCTTCCTCCGCAAGTTCATGTTGATGATCGAGTTTATCTACCAAACGATTGCGATGATCTTTGCGTGGTTTGGAATTGGAAATTTCTTCCTGGTCTTTCACATTCTTACCACGTACCTGGGAAGTGATGAGCTTTTGGGTACTGCGGGTAAGATTCTCGGCATCGTCTTTGAATGGCTATATCTTGCCACACTGGTCACCTGTTTCGTGCTCGCGCTGGGTAACCGCCCTGGTGGTTCGAACAAGTTCTACATGACCATGGTGTACTTCTGGATTTTCATTATGTTGTATCTCTCCTTCGCGGCTGTGTTCGTCACGGTCAAGTCTATCCAGACGGAGGTGAAAGAAAACAGCTTCTCGGTCAGCGAGCTATTCACCAACAAGACGTTCTTCTCGATCATCGTGTCACTCGGTTCGACCTACGTCATGTGGTTTGTTGCCTCGTTTATTTTCATGGACCCCTGGCACATGTTCACCTCGGTATGCTCTCTTTTGCTATCCGTTTCTTTCGGTGCGATCAGTCTAACAACTACCTCTAGTTTATCCAATACATCCTCCTCACCCCAACTTACATCAATGTCCTCAACATTTACGCCTTCTGTAACACCCACGATATCACATGGGGTACCAAAGGTGACGACAAGGCTGAGAAGCTGCCTTCTGCGCACTTGAAGCCCGGCGGCAAGGTTGATGTCAACATTCCCCAGGACGATGGCGACTTGAACGCCCAGTATGAGGCTGAGTTGGTGAAGTTTGCCACCAAGCCTCCCAAGGAGGTTAAAAACGTCTCAGAAGAGGAGCGCCAGGCCGACTACTACAAGGGATTCCGAAGTGCGGTCGTGTTGGCCTGGGTATTCTGCAACTTTGCCCTCGGCGCAGTTGTCCTCAGTGCCGCTGGGCTGGAGACCTTCGACAACACGAGTTCTACCAGCAGCACCAACCAGGATACCACTCAAACCGAACGGTCCTTGATTTACATGGAAGTCGTTCTCTGGTCCGTGGCCGGGCTTTCTATGTTCAAGTTCTGCGGCGCAATGTGGTTTTTGGTGGCTCGGATGGTGAGTTCTTTTCCCCTTTCCCCCTTACACTTTATTTAGTCTGACGGTTTGCAGTTCCGCGGCGTTTGATTTTCGCATTTCCCAAGCATGATTATTGTGCTTCGTTCAGCCTTGCTTCCATCTTGTAATTTTCAATATATCCCCACCTTGAGGTGAAATGAGTGCTGTTTTGATACCACGGCGGGCCCGATCTGGTACGGAAAATGGAACCTGGACATGAAAATGGAAATGTACTATGTGTGTGATGAACCTCTCTACCCAACGCCAGTTCTATCTTTGCCTGGTGGTCATATAGCTGGTATGTCATCTTGTTATTTGCTTTCGACTTGCCTTGGGGCCCCATGGATGGGTGAAGGGCTGGGGTGGATTCGTGTTGGCATCTGTAGATATGAGTTGTTTTTGCTAGATCTTCTTCTTCTGTCATTATTGTCTATCTATCAAGGCGAGTGGGATGGTGCTGGTATAGATGAATAGACACGTTGAATATTCCTTGCTTCCAGACGTAGAAATGGGAAGCTTTCAATGTAATCATTTCTATGAGTACCTGATATTTACCAATCAACCGCTCTGATTCTTCGAGTGCACGCACAGCGCAATCCCACCAAGCACCAAGATTAGGCCCACCCACGTCTCCTTGGCGATTACCTTTCGCTCGACGTACCATTCTCCGAGGACCGTGAACAAGAATGCACTTGAGTTGGCAAGGGGCACGGTTAGGGAGAGCTCTGCCGGCCGACACGTTAGCATATGATACTGCACGCGCCACTCAGATGAACGAGTCACAAGTAACAACATACCGTGTTTCCCAACGAGCAGGAAGAACCAGATACTGCCCGTCAGATTGATGACCAGCGGAATGGAGTACGCCGGCGTCCGAAGAAGGTTCACAACCGTCCAAAAGATCGAAACGACCCTCGTCCGCAACCAAGATTGCTTGGGCGAGGAATGCATCCAAGCAGCGGCAGGTGTATTGTCCAAGTTGTCCTCCTGTTCCTCACCGGCAGCTTGACGAGCACCATCCGTCTCCTGGCGCTGCCGACTGCCGCTGCTCCTCCGAGCATCATCGGCCTCCTGCTCATCCTGGGAAAGTAGCTCCTGCGCCTCATCCTCACCCCCAAGTCCCGATTGTGCTGACCCTTGGGTCTGCGATTGTCCGCGATCGGCAGCCGCGCCGGATTTCTTCTCTTGTCGCGCGTTGAAGTCGGCGGCGGCGCGACGAATAAAGGGGGGTGGTGAAGCCCCATGCTACGCCGACGAGAAGGAAGGAGAGGACGTAGTTGAAGACGGAAGGGGCGGGCTCGGGGACACTGACGTCTGGATCCATTGCGGCGAGGGTGTGGGGGCTGGAGCTGGACGTTGCTGTCTGCATCGTCTCCTGGAGATACCGCGGAGATGGCGGTCCCGTTGGTCCGAGCGTCCTGATAAAGCCGGGCCCCCAATGCGGCCCTCTATACAGGATCTAATTCCGGGTATACAACACGTTCATTATAGCTACCTGATTGGATTGATGAGCCGTACATTTGTGGATACTACGGGGGCTCACCTTGAACCTGTCCAAGGCTGAACTTGAGCTTCGTTGACCGGACAGTTTATTATTCATGGCGTCGTAGCTCTAGCCACCAACGGGCTGCTTACTGGCTGGGTCGCACCTGGAAGCTTTTACGCCGCGCCAGCTCAACTTTGTGCAATCAGATATTGGGGCTGTAATTGACTGGCCACTTACTACTTAAAGGGTGGATAGGCTTCATTTCCCACGGCGTGATTCGATCAGCTGAATGTCGGGATATCCAAGGGCGCAATTGTGATGCTTCGTGGGCGTCAGGATAGGGTGGTGCCGGTGGGGGCTTCACTTTCTTGCAGATCAGATGTATCTTTAGAGTTGCATTACTCTTCTGCGAACCAAAGACAGGGCTAGCAATCTAACTAGCAAATTAGAATGACAAGTCTCACCATCCGGATGAAAGCAACGGCATCATTTCCTTCTGGCTCCTGTGTGAATTAACGCATTCCAAGCCTTCTTTCGATATATAAATCAGGCAGCGTATTCACATATTTGGTAGTTGGAATAAGGCTGGTACGTACACCTGTAAAGTCCCGACGCGACTCAAGCTCTACTTTTCTCTCCCTTATTATTCTTTTATTGGGCTTTTGCGTCGCAGTTTATTCCATTCAGCGAGGAAATACTGACGTGAGAGCTTAATTCTTCTAGCATGGAGGCAGTGTCGCCTTTGCCAATTCACGCTTCATGCCTTTCTACTATGTCTCTTCTAACCACACCCCATTCAAAAGGTGATTTAAAAATACCAAGCTATTCCTCCATTTATGGACCCTCTCTTCAGCTAAGGAGATTCGGGCAACACGAGGGTTCATGGAACCTACATATCGGTGTGCAAATGTGATTAGACAGCATGCAATCTGTAATGATTTCTGAAAACTCCCTAATTTTGAAAGGAAAAAGTTCTGAACCAATCCACGCTTTTATTCAGAGCCTAGGGCCACCACGTCACTGCCACGTACCAAGGTCTCGCCTTCAATGAACCCTCAACATTCGGATAATCGAGCTGGGGATCGACCTGATGATTTGCCACATGAAAAAGGCCGAGTCGCGAATTGCTGTAGTTTGGTATTGGAGGGGACGCGAGACGACATCCGCAGCAGCGAGGACTGTATTCACCAGCGGTACTGGGTAGTTCTCACGGAGATACTCAGCCACGAGGTCGTGGCCGTTCGTGATGCCGCCTACAGGAAGTCAGCTGGCGCAAGGGAAAGTCCATATGGTTCAAGACATACCGCACATCCAGAGATTCCCATCGTGCGTAACCCGCATCGTATCATCCCACAGCTTCGTGTCCGGGAAATTCTTTCTCAGGTAGGAAATTAGAAACCGAGGTGATGTGCCGACCTTGCCCTTGGTGATGCCGGCATGTGCGGCGATTAGGGCTCCGGTGCAGATGGTCATGATGGTCGCACCCGCCGCGTTGTGCTTCCGAACGAAGTCCAGGTACTCTTCGGCCGGGGGCATGAGCCGGGGAGAGGGTCCGGGCAGGAAGAGAATGTCAAGCTTGCTAGGTGCGACGGCCGAGTCGTCCAGTGAGTTTGTGAGACGGATGGACAGTTCTGATGTGACTGGCGCCAGGGCATCCGGGCCATCGCGACTGATGTAGTGAATCTCGCAGGGCCGGCCAAGGTCAGCGAGAGTCTTGGGCATGCCTATGTCCTCAATCCACGCTGGGCTCGCCATGTATAGAAGGTCCAAAGGTGCGAGGTCCAGCAGTTGCACGCAGCTGACGAGGAGAACGCCGATGCGGAGGGGTCCAGATGCCATTTTGCAGGACTTAATATTGATTGGAGGATTCCCAATGTAACGATATGCTCTAGCTGTAATTGGAAGGGATGATAAAGGGAATAGCCAAAGAGTCTTTGCCTGGAATATAAAGTAATGTATCGAAGAGCGAGTCTGAAATCACAGAGATGTTTGTATGGCAGTCGCGATGATTAACAGGCCACTTGCTCTAGGCCGATGAGCATATTTGCGGTTACCCATCAGATACCAGAGTGCTTGGAAAGCAATGAACAGTCAACCCATGGAAAGCAATATTTCGTCAGCATGCGTCGCTTGAGTCGGGCTTTCTAGTAATCCGCGCAATTGAGCGCAGTGCGCCCCAGGCTGCTGTCGCACCATCTAGCGGTGTGATCGAGGTGGTCTGCATACGCAGAGAAACATTGTCTGGACTCCAATGGATGGTTGTGGTACTTGGACGTATACCTGTGTGATGCGAATGGCACTTCTCCGTAGGCGCAACGCCTCATCTGCAGGTCAACCCCGCCGACCGCCTTGTGGGTCGGGACCCTCTGCATACCACGATCACACATGCCTGTTTCGCGTCTCTTGCCCGGTGACAGGGGCAGAGACCATCACGCATTATACGGGCAGCAATTTCCTCAAACAGGCAACTGCTCAGAGGGAGGCTCGGACGATCTCCGACGGCAAGCTTGAACGCGCCTGCTTCCCCATGTTCGGGCCCTGACGCCCCCACATCCCAAGGCGAGTCCGCTCCACCTCCCGCCTCCCGTGTCTCGGCCCCGGGTTTGGCCCTTGTTGCGCCAGGCCTTCAGGGTCTACCAGCACACCGCGCGGGAAGAGGGAGTGGTTGGATGGGGCAAACAAGCACACCGTTGAAGTCTTCGCCGTACGACGCCTGTGCAACCGCCGTGGCACGGCCGGCTGGTGTCTTTTCCCTTCGGGAAGGCACGCCCCCTTCTCCAAAACCTTCCCCGCATCGGCCTCACCTTTAATCAAGTCGGACCATCTAGCAAGTGGCCGAGTGCCGATCTTCCCCAGTATTTTGTGTCGTCATTATTTATTGGCCGGAGCACATCAGTCCGCAGGATACTGACTCCGAGCACGGAAAACCGGAGCATCGTGGTCCTATAGTTCTGTCGTCTTGTTGTTTTCTTGGCCTGGCAGCTGGCTCGAGGCTCGTCTTCTGCTTCCTGGCTAGGGATCAAGGCGCATATATAGACCAGCTTCCTCGCGCCCAAATATCCTCGAAACCTGGTATCGATTATCGGACGGGTAGTCAATTTAGTCGCTATCATGGGTTCAACGGTGAATAATCCATCCAAGGGCGGCTTTGGCCTGGTAATGCAGAATCCTTACCTCTGTGGTGTAGCTTCGGTAAGTGTCAGACCTGGCTGTGAAGCCGAAATGCTCATTGATGCGGTGACAGTTCTCGACCCTCGGTGGTCTGTTGTTCGGCTATGACCAGGGCGTGATCAGCGGCGTAATCACCATGGAGTCCTTTGGTGCCCGGTTCCCGCACGTCTTCTCTGACAGCAGGGTCAAGGGATGGTTTGTATCGACTCTGCTTCTCGGTGAGTTCTTTCGCCTGTAGAATATTCAGGTGAGGGAACGGGAGCATACTGACCTTCTCCCAGCGGCATGGTTAGGATCGTTGATCAACGGTCCTGTTGCCGACCGGATTGGACGAAAATTATCAATCAATGTGGCCGTCGTGATCTTTGTGATTGGATCTGCTGTCCAGTGTGCCGCCGTCAACATCCCAATGCTCTTTGCTGGTAAGGGCCCTGAACAGATGAGCATTGGAGCACGACTGAATATCCGATCATCTAGGACGCGCAGTTGCTGGACTGGCGGTTGGCATGCTCACAATGGTCGTCCCACTGTACATCTCTGAGGTAAGCCGCTCTTGGACCTGGGCTGGGATATCCTACTCACCTATGGATAGGTTTCGATCCCTGAAATTCGTGGAGGCCTCGTGGTCGTGCAACAATGTTGGTTTTCATACTTGGATATCGTCCTACACAACACGTACTGACCTATACAGTATCCGTTACGATTGGCATACTGATCAGCTACTGGATTGACTATGGCACAAACTATATCGGTGGATCCCGCTGTGCGCCGAATGTACCCTATACCGGTGGAACCGCCTCCAAGCCCGCCTTCGATCCATACCGGGATGTACCTGATGGAGGTTGCACTGGCCAGTCTGAAGCATCATGGCGTCTCCCCCTGGCTATTCAGATTGTTCCTGCGGTCATACTGGGAATCGGAATGCTGTTCTTCCCGGATTCCCCACGCTGGCTGATGATGAAGGAGCGTGACGATGAGTCGCTTACCGCGCTCTCGAGGCTCCGTCGGCAAGATCGCGATAACCCTGCCCTTCAGAACGAGTATCTCGAGATCCGCGCATCCATCCTGCTCGAGAACACATTTGCTCAGGAGCACTTCCCCAACTTGTCCGGATTTAAGCTGCATGTTGCTCAGGTTTGTGGCCCGGGTCTGCGCTTTAAGAATCATCAATGCTGACAGCGGTAACAGTACCTGTCGTTCCTGACCACCTGGGCCCGCTTCAAGCGATTGGCTATTGGATGCTGCGTCATGTTCTTCCAGCAATTCATGGGCTGCAACGGTATGTTTTCTATTTTATGAGACTCCTGGACCACCACATACCAATTTCCTACAGCCATGATCTACTACGCCCCGACCATATTTGGCCAGCTCGGCCTCGATGGCAACACAACTTCCCTTCTAGCCACCGGCGTGTACGGCATCGTCAACTGCCTGAGTACACTCCCGGCGCTGTTCTTCATTGACAAGGTGGGACGGCGTGTGCTATTAATGGCCGGTGCCACCGGTACCTGTATTTCGTTGGCTATTGTTGGTGGTATCCTTGGAGGCTATGGCTCTCACTTGATGGACCATAAGTCGGCTGGCTGGGTCGGCATTGCCTTCATCTATATCTATGACATCAATTTCTCATACTCCTTTGGTAAGTAAGCCCCAGGACTCCCCGGGCTTTACACTAACTATCGGTTTCCCCGAAGCTCCCATTGGCTGGGTCCTTCCGTCTGAGATCTTCAACCTTTCCATCCGATCCAAGGCTATCTCTATCACAACCTCAGCTACCTGGATGTGCAACTTGTAAGTACCCGCCTTCACAGCCCATCCCTGAACCCCTATAACGTACTAACGTGCTGTAACTAGTATCATCGGTCTTGTCACCCCGGATATGCTTGACTCGATTACCTGGGGCACATACATCTTCTTTGCAGCCTTTTGCCTCCTGGCCCTAGCGTTCACCTTCTTCTGTATTCCTGAGACTCGCGGAAAGGTACGTAAAGCCACAGCCCTATCTACCAGAATTCACTATGCTCTAGACTTACCAAAAATCTTTTTCCAGACCCTCGAAGATATGGACCTCATCTTCGGAGATACGGCTGCACATGAAGAGAAGGAGCGCATCAAGCACATTGAGTCGGAGCTCCGTGGAACACAAATTGATGAAGATGACGACCTGAAGCCGGTGAATCATCAAACAGAGATTTTCAATGCTGCTTGATACTGTTACGGCGGTGCAAAGTATTATAAACGCTTGAGAACAATACCTGAATACCCCACATACTTTCCAATGTGAAGAGATTTTGATCTTCAATGGATCGCTTCCACCAGAGTCCATAAATGTTCGTTAATTAAACGTTCTGGGAAGAGAATTTATTATACCTAGACTCGAATCTAATCTAACATATGGGGAATAATGTTCAGTATCAACATCTTGTCATTAGTTTTTTGATCTCGCTATATCTCTCACCTGGCCTTTCATAGTAACATGTTCATATTCGCTACGTTGCTAGTATGAACAGCTGAAATTCGAATTGGATTTTGTGACCTGCCGCGTATCTTTGCTTTCGAGATAATGATCTGAGAACAAAACGGAGAACAGAGGCGGCTCAGCCCCTCGAGAAGTAGCCGGGGCAGCGATCGTCGGGTGGTGGAGCGCGCAGCCTTATCGGCCCCCGATAACTCCACCTCATCAACTTCCATCACTTCCTTTCCCTTCTTTCCATCATCACCACCGCCATGTCGTCGCAGAAGCCCCGACCAAGCTACGTCTCGAACGGGCAGGCCCTTTCGAGGTGAGTATCTCCGAATCAACTTTAACTTTTGGCCTCAAAGGTCACTGCTAACCCGCTACGACGCACACAGCCCACCACTGTCCGTTCGCCTCAACCGCTTCACTGAGAGCGTCTATCTCCTCCTCGGACTCTACATCGTGAGCCTCTTCTCGGTACGAAACCCCGCTACATAATCTCTGTCGCGCTGCCGCCTGGCTGGCGCCGGTTTTCCCCCCTCCCTCCCCAACTTTCTTGGCTGCCGTGATGTGCTGACACTCCATTCCACCCACAGTTCGACTCCTACGCCTCCGCCCAGGGTTCGCAGTTCAATATCCACAATAGAAACACTGCATCAGGCTCGTCATTCGGCTGGGGTGCGCGTACCAGCTCCTCCAGCTCCAACGTGAGTCGCGGAGGTGGTGGCAGCGGCCCGCGCATTGGACGGGTGGACGATGTCCGAGGGCCGGAGTGCAAGAGCTGCCGCTGAGGCCACTGCTGAAATGCTGAGTGAGATTGATTATGGGAAATAATCGAAAACGTGCCTGAGAAAAAACGCTGTGATGGTTCTTAGTCACGCGTCTACAGTCCTACGCGATTGAATCTACGTACAAACGCAACCGTTCAGTGCCTGGATTCCTGTATTCTGAGTTATGGTTTCGTAGAGTGCTAAGATTTCCTTCTAGATACCCTTTGCATTCCCCATGGGCTATCTATAGCATGTAAACAAGATCCGTATCGTATCTATACCTTTGTTTATCTGTTTGATCGTTGGTGTATGCCTTGCATAGGCATGGATCAAAGCCGCCACAAAGTACCTGATATCTGCCCAGCCACTGAATCCGCCTCTTCCGCCACATCATCGCCGGCGTGTCAAGATGAATCACAGCTCGTCATGATGAGCCTCAACCCCGCACGTGACAGCGACCCCCTCCTTCTCGCAATTGCGGAGTTGCGGATGTCAACCCCATCATTCTGGTGGCGTGGATGACCTGCGCGCAAACTCTGCAGAAACGTCCAGCATGTCGTGCATTCCATCCACTGACGCCGAGTGGACGGCGGCGATTTCAAAGGTGAAGGAGCGGGTGCCCCAGCGGTCATTATCGCTGCCACCAGTCCCCCTAGGAATTCCGGGGATGATCGACCACACTCTTTTGAAAGAGCCAATCGAACCGGAGCAGATTGATCTCCTTTGTGATGAAGCGCGGGAGTACGGTTTTGCTTCTGTCTGCGTTCGACTCGGATATGTTGCCCGGGCTGCTGCCAACCTCCAGGACACGCCCAGCGTCGGGGTGGCCTGTGTGGTGGGATTCCCGGAGGGCACTCATGATACACAGAGCAAAGTTCGTGAAGCTCGCGAGGCGGTCGCCCACGGAGCAACAGAGCTCGACATGGTTATCAACTACCCGAAGTTAAAGGACGGCGGATACGCATCGGTCTACGACGACATTTTCGCGGTGCGCAAAGCCGCACCGGAACCCATTATTCTCAAAGCTATCATCGAAGCATCGGAGCTAGACAAGGACCAAATAATTGCTGCTACCATTGTGTCCTGCATGGCCGGCGTGGACTTTGTCAAGACAAGCACTGGATACCAAGGTCCCGCCACGACGGATCAAGTCACGACCATGCGTCTCGCTGCCGAGGCCAGCGGTCACGCCCACTGCAGAGTCAAGGCGAGCGGTGGAATCCGAAATGCGACTGACAGCATGCGGATGGTGAAGGCGGGTGCAACGCGCATTGGAACCAGCGCTGGAATCACCATTGTGCGCGAGCTCGATGAGGGGGAGATCCTGGAACAGGGAGCCAGCCATGCTGTATATTAAGTTTCCTTCCAGGGGCAGCTCCGTCGGAAGAGGGTATTCTCGGTTGGGATGCTGACACCACTGGACCCCAGTGGTGCCAAAGACATCGCGTCGCAAAGCCACACGCTACAAGAAATGCAAATCTCGTTGCCCAATCTACCGACTTGGACATCGTCAGATATATTCCCATTTCCCCTTATACGTAGTTTAGTATCCCATGAGATGTTCCATGAGTGTCGCTGCCGCGCGGAGGGTGGAGTAAGACGCAGAGCTCACGACGTTATTGCGACAATGCTTTCGCAATCAACACTGGCGATGACGTCTTTACTCATTTGAAACTTTGTGGACCATGTGCACCCCTTTGTTCCAACCGCATGACGTGAAGGTATAGACGGGTTTTTTGACCTTTGGTGCTGGCACGGGTGTCGGATGCGATCCTCTGTGGTTCGTGACCGGACCTGAAAAACAGTTATTAACTACTGTATGCCTGGCAGGCTCGCACGCCCAGGGGCGATTGCAGTGTTTCGCGCATCGGCGAACGGGATTTGACCCCCGACTCTGCATGTTGTGGGTTCGGATCCGATCCTTGGCCGGTCCGGGCAGTGGGTCCCTGGCGATCTCGGCGGTCCCCTCTCGTAGGGCCAGGCGGATCGGTAAGAGTACGTCCCGGCCTTTGCACTCACTACCTCCGATCTGAGCCACCTGCGTTTCGACATTATTAAGCGGCTCGACTTAACTGCTAGCCTAATGTTATTAAGGTTCTTTACGCTCACTGCCCGGCACTTTTCCCAGCCCGACCTGTGCTGAGGACTATACGAAGTAGATCGCTGATAGCGTGATTCAGATAGGTCTAGAACTACAACGGTCATCTCAGGGCACCTATATCAGCATAGCCTCTTCGTTCTTCTGATCGTTATGACCAAGCCAAGAATTGTTGTTGGTCCTCACGTTCGGTGCCTTAACGCTCGTTCGTAGAGTTGTGTTGTGGCTGAAGGCGATCCACCTCGGGTAGAGTGAAGTCAAGCGTAACAGTCAAAACAGACGCTGATGCTTATTCTTACTGTAAAGCATCTTCCAGCTCGCGTCCCAGGCAGCCATGCCGGATCGCCCGTATATACAGCCCGACAGCCCGACAGACCGGAGCCCCGTAGAAAGAAGTACGGGCAACCTCCTTTTTCCGGGGGACCAAGTGCCGCTGAGTCAGCGGATCGACGTCGCGATTCGACCAATCGATGATGGTCGACGCGTGCCAGCGCCACCACCGTTTGGGCCTGGGGGATGCCGAAGCCAATGGGTGGCCGGCATTTCAGGTTCCTGTTGCATGATGGGGCACCGGCTGGTCGAGTTCCCGAAGATCATCTCTTTCCGGCCTTAAGATCTCCACTGTTTCAATAGACACACCCGGGAACACTGGAGCCTTTCCGAAGCCGATGTAGTTTCACTAATAGTTCCAACTCCATCTAGTGGCACGTTGGGTCCATTTGGGGTTTAGGTTTTTCTCAGCAGTGCTCAAAAGTTAAATCGTAGATAGTAACTAGCTGATACTACGTATATAATCATCGAATCCCCAATTGACCTGGTCGCCTTCCTTGTCCCTTTGACTACATTCATTGTCTCAGCCCTTTCACACTCGCTCCTGGACGTCTGGCCGGAACGTCAGATATTGATTTTCTCGCCATGTCTTCAGACGCCGTTTGCGAAGAGAACCCGTTACATGAAACTGGCGAACTAACCTACGAACCGATCAATTGGATTGAACCGGATGAAGTTGAAACCCTCACACACATTGCGACCCAGCAGTCTCGCCGCCAGTCTACCCTTGGGCATCGTTTGGCGTCCATCGCGGAACATGATGAGTCTCTCAACCCCCAATCACCAGGCTTCGATCTGCACAAATGGCTCAAGGCCGTTATGAATGATCTCCCTCGGGAGGGTCCGCAGGGTCAAAACATGGGCATCGTCTTTAAACAGCTCAACGTGTATGGTTCAGGGGCAGCTCTGCAATTCCAGGAAACAGTCTCGACCCTCCTGACAGCGCCCCTTCGGTTGCCACAGGTGATTCGTGATGCCCATTCTCCTCGCAGACGCATCCTCAAGGACTTCAACGGTCTCCTCAAGAAGTCCGAGTTGCTTTTGGTTTTGGGTCGACCTGGTGCTGGCTGCAGCACTTTCCTCAAGTCGCTGTGTGGAGAGCTGCATGGCTTGGATCTTGATACACAAAGCGTCATCAGTTATAATGGTGAGTCCTCCAGTACTGGAACGGTGCCATGTTTCTTAACTGATGCACATCTTTTAGGAATGACCCAAGAGCGGATGACGAAGGAGTTCAAGGGCGAAATGGTATACAATCAGGAGGTAAGATAGAACATCATGACCACCCATCTTCCACGATATGATCCAAGTTACTTACCAGCCTTGTCGCTCAGGTCGACCGACACTTCCCCAACCTCACGGTTGGCCAGACTTTGGAATTCGCCGCGGCCACTCGCACCCCTGCCCACCGGTTCGACGGTATGTCGCGCTCGGAGTTTGCTAAATACATGGCTCAAGTCGTGATGGCAGTGTTTGGCCTCAGTCACACTTACAACACCCGAGTCGGTGATGACTTCATCCGTGGTGTCTCTGGTGGGGAGCGAAAGCGTGTCAGTATCGCTGAGATGGCCCTCGCGGCTTCGCCTTTGGCTGCCTGGGACAATTCCACCCGCGGACTGGACTCGGCCACTGCGTTGAAATTTGTACAGAGTCTCCGACTCCTATCGGATCTCACTGGTTCGGCCCATGCCGTCGCGGCCTACCAAGCCAGCCAAAGCATCTATGATGTATTTGACAAGGTGGCGGTATTGTATGAAGGACGGCAAGTCTTCTATGGCCCTGCTTCCATAGCCAAGGCATACTTTGAGCAGCAGGGCTGGGAATGCCCTGCACGACAGACTACCGGAGACTTTTTGACATCGGTAACCAACCCGCAGGAGCGTCGTGCTAAGCCCGGTATGGAAGGTCGCGTACCACGTACTCCAGATGAATTTGAGAGTGCGTGGCTCAAATCCGCCGAGTATCAGCAGCTGCAACGCGAGATAGCATCATACGAGGAGCAGTACCCGGCCGGAGATGACCAGGCTGCTGCTGTCGAATTCCAGGAGCAGAAGCGCAACAAACAAGCTGACCACACCCGGCCCAAATCCCCATATATCATCAGCGTTCCTATGCAGATCAAGCTCAACACAGTTCGGGCCTATCAACGACTGTGGAATGATGCTGCATCAACAGTGTCTACCATTGTCAGCAACATCATCATGGCTCTGATCATTGGTTCCGTGTTCTACGATTCCCCCAACACTACCTCGGGCTTCATCTCCAAGGGTGCTGCCCTCTTCTTCGCCGTCCTCCTGAACGCCCTTACAGCCATGAGTGAAATCAACAGTCTGTACGCTCAACGCCCGATTGTTGAAAAACACAACTCCTACGCATTTTACCACCCCGCAACCGAGGCTATAGCTGGCGTGGTTGCTGACATACCTGTTAAATTCTGTTTGTCTGTGGTGTTTAACATCATTGTCTACTTCCTTGTTGGTCTTCGACGGGAGCCAGGAAACTTCTTCCTCTATTTCCTAGTCACCCTCCTGGTTACCTTCGTGATGAGCGCTGTTTTCCGGACATTGGCTGCCATAACGAAGACCGTCTCACAAGCTATGGGTCTGGCTGGTATTATGATTCTTGCTCTTGTGGTCTATACAGGTATGATTCCTTTTCTGGCGTATCCTTGAGAATTATTCGGGCTGACTCTTTCCCAGGCTTCGTCATACCCGTGCCGTCCATGCATCCATGGTTTGAGTGGATTCATTACCTAAATCCAATTTTCTACGCCTTCGAAATTCTGATCGCGAACGAGTTCCACGGGAGGGAATTCCCTTGTTCCCAATTTGTTCCCAGTTACGCTGATCTATCCGGTAATTCATTCGCCTGCTCTGCTTCCGGCTCCATCGCAGGCGACACCACCGTCAGCGGTGACCGATATATCATGGTCAATTACGAGTATAGCTATAGTCATGTATGGCGCAACCTCGGCATTCTCTTTGCATTCCTCATCGGCTTCATGGCAATCTATTTCATTGCCTGCGAACTGAACTCCTCCACAACAAGTACCGCAGAAGCCCTGGTGTTCCGTCGCGGCCACGAGCCCGCGTACATGCGCCGTGGCCAGGGCAAGTCGGAATCAGATGTTGAGAGCGCCGATACAGTGCCTGCAAGGCTATCCACCACCGAGGAGGCAGGTGGAAAGGGAATGTCAGCCATGCAGCCTCAAACGGATATCTTCACCTGGCGTGAGGTGTGCTATGATATTGAAATCAAGGGGGAACCTCGCCGGCTTTTGGATCATGTTTCCGGGTGGGTCAAGCCCGGTACCCTCACAGCGCTCATGGGTGTTAGCGGAGCCGGAAAGACAACCCTTCTTGATGTCCTAGCACACAGAACCTCGGTTGGAGTGGTGAGTGGTGACATGTTTGTCAATGGAAATGGACTCGACGCGAGCTTCCAGCGCAAGACGGGCTATGTGCAGCAGCAGGACTTGCATCTCGAGACCGCCACTGTGCGCGAGTCTTTGCGTTTCAGTGCTCTGCTCCGCCAACCTGCGAGCGTCTCGATCAAGGAGAAATATGACTATGTCGAGGATGTGATTGGCATGCTCAACATGGAATCCTTTGCAGAGGCTATCGTCGGCGTTCCTGGCGAAGGATTGAATGTTGAGCAAAGAAAGTTACTCACTATTGGTGTTGAATTGGCGGCGAAGCCCAAGCTTCTTCTGTTCTTGGATGAACCTACTAGGTATGGCTTACGTGTTATGCCTGATATAACAATCTCATTTACTAATAGCATGAGATAGTGGTCTGGACTCACAGAGTTCCTGGGCTATCTGCTCATTCCTTCGCAAGCTAGCCGAGCACGGACAGGCTGTGCTTTGCACCATTCACCAGCCGAGTGCTATTCTATTCCAACAGTTCGACCAGCTCCTATTTTTGGCTCGCGGTGGCAAGACCGTTTATTTTGGGCCAATCGGCGAACAGTCGCAAACTCTGCTGGGCTACTTCGAATCTCATGGCGCACGAAAGTGCGGCGACAGCGAGAACCCGGCCGAGTTCATGCTGGATGTTGTGAATGCTCGTACTAACCCCCAAGGCGAAGACTGGTTCGATGTTTGGAAGCAAAGCAAGGAAAGCCACCTGATTCAGTCTGAAATCGATCGCATTCACAAGGAGAAGCAAGGCGAGAGTTCTGGCCCTGAAGATGCAGCCGCTCTTCGTTCTGAATTTGCCATGCCCTTCTGGTTCCAGCTGTATCAGGTTACCCGTCGAGTCTTCCAGCAATACTGGCGGATGCCTTCATACATTGTGGCCAAATGGGGACTTGGTATTGCTGCAGGTCTCTTTATTGGGTTCTCTTTCTACCAAGCCAAGCCATCACTTCAGGGGATGCAGACCATCATCTACTCCGTCTTCATGCTGTGCACGATCTTCACGTCCCTGGTTCAACAGGTTTGTCTCATCTACACTGATTGGCCACGAGAAATAGTCCACGAGAAAGTAACTAACTGTTCCCAGCTAATGCCCCTGTTCGTGACCCAACGCTCTCTCTACGAAGTTCGCGAGCGGCCGTCGAAGGCCTACAGCTGGAAAGCGTTTTTGATCGCCAATATTCTTGTTGAAATCCCATACATGATTGTGACTGGCATTCTCATCTACGCATGTTACTTCTACGCCGTCGTCGGCATACCGAGCTCGGCGAGCCAGGTGACCGTCCTTCTGCTTTGCATCCAGTTCTTCATCTACGCAGGCACCTTCGGACAGATGGCGATTGCCGCTCTTCCCGATGCCGAAACCGCCAGTGCAGTTGTCGTCCTTCTTTTCGCTATGTCGCTCACATTCTGTGGAGTTATGCAATCCCCATCCGCTTTGCCCGGATTCTGGATCTTCATGTACCGCGTCTCTCCTTTCACATACTGGGTGAGCGCCATGGTCTCGACCCAGCTGCATAATCGTGACGTCGTGTGCTCTTCAGCCGAGCTTTCTATTTTCAACCCCCCCTCTGGCCAGACCTGTGGGCAGTATCTTGGCGATTACATTCAGCTCGCAGGGGGCCAGTTGGTGGACTGGAATGCTACTGTGGACTGTGGCTTCTGCGCAGTCCAAAAGGCGGATCAGTACATTGCGGCGTCTGGAATCTATTACACCGAGCGATGGCGCAACTTTGGCATCGGCTGGGCATTTGTCGCCTTCAATATCTTCGTGGCCACGATGCTGTACTATCTGTTCCGGGTGCAGCGATGGAACCTCGAGAGCATCAAGCAAAAGCTTGTTTCCTCTCGACTTCCCACGTCTAAGGACTAATCACCATATTAATCACCTCACGTTTTTTTTTTCTTTTTTGTCCATGTTTCACTCATTCGTCTGTTCATATCGTGACTGCTACTTTGCACACTTATTCTCTTCTGTCTTTCTTGGTGTTCTTCGGACTGCAATAGATTTAAACCGGCTAGTTAGAAATACTATTAATCGCCATTAGGGTCCTCGCAAGTTTTACATCCCCCACTTGCCGTCACTCATCCACCATGCTTCCGAGAGTCTCCTTATACTCTGAAGGGCGTTTTAAGCAAGAGGGTAGTATATCAAAAATGTATAAACTCTCAACTGCATATCTCGCCAGGGTCGCAGTCCGCAGTTCTAGTGCCATCTAGATTGAAAACCCTTCTTGACCTTGCGACCATGCGAGCGCGTGTTTTGAGAACGAGGCGTTTGAGAGTGTCTACAGTGTCTCTAGAGAGCTGTAATAGATTGCTATGCAAGCGGTTTATCTGTTCTAGCCAGACACTAAACCCAGTGCTGGACTAGGGGTGTCTTCAAAGTTTGAACGGTTGAATGAGGCCTTCAGCAGTGCACTACAAGATTCGTTCAGGAATGATCTATAAAGGTAGGTACAATGACACCCAAAGGCATTCCGAAGGCGGGCAAAGCGGTCCTGGACCATCGAACTTGAACCTGGTTCATGGCAAGGGTCCACACTTCTGAGGTGCCCTGTCTACTGTGGTAATTATGTATTGTTTAGAGTCATAACATTGGTGGTATCCATGCTTCTCATTCTCAGGTGGAATCGATCGTAATGGAGATGCTGGGTCCTAGTGGATCTCAGAATTCCATATTACGCTCGGAATACAAGAAACATGATCCGTCAAAAAATCGCCTAGGAAACATGAACACCGGACGTCATCCCGAGGTCCGGTATCACCTCGTCTGCAAAAGCCAGCCAGCCAGCCAGCCAGCTCCATTTCTTAACAGTGCCTTAACATTAACAGCGTCCCTCCAGAACCACATGCATCGAATATCGCCAAGCTCGCACTCTACATGCCGAGCAAGCTCTCCATTCTAGTGTTCGTCGCCTCGCCGCTCGACGACGCGCGGTACCGGCACACGGCGCTGTACTTCGAGTTCGACGCACAGGCACAGGCACCCAGCACCGGGTTCAATATCAATGCCGGCACAGACGGAAGTGCGGGCGAGATCAGGTCCTCGATGATGGAGGTGGTCGGGTCCACTGGGTTCTTCAGCTTCTCGGAGCGCGTGAATGCGGCGCTACCTGTTGAAGCTACCGGTATGTTATACGGTCCCGACATACTCGACATACTGTACGTCTACATGTCTAAGCTGTCTTCTAGGTCTTGCGCGTGCAATATTCGTGTCTTGTATACCGGACACGGTGCCGGTGTCATCGCTGCGGGCGACGGTGTCAGGGACGCCGATCGCAGATGGCGAGGGTGACTGGAATAGTCAGAATTGGGTTGGCGATGCGCTGGGGCGACTCGTTACGGCGGGCTACTTAGAGGGCGAGGCGCGGGATCAAGGACTGGAGGAGATGGTGAATGCTGTGTTGGAGGCCACGGATGAGGCAATTGCATAGGCCCGGGCCCAGTCCTGTCAGCAACGCCGCTGGTAATATACCCTATGTACATAGTGCGGTCTCTACTGATAGACAATGAGGGTGGGCCATGGAGAATTGTTAAAATTGCCTCCACTTCACATCAACTGTTTCGATTCTTAGCTTAGGGAGTACACGTATCGCGTGTCCTTGGTAGAGCCACTCGGACGTAAGTAACAATTTGGAAATTGGAAAGAGGATAAAGGGCAGGACAAATGCTCAGACCATGCAACGCGCTGCACCTCACGCTAAGAAGACTGTCATCAAGGAAAGCCGGTAAGAGAAAGCGAAAGCGAAAGAAGCGAAAAGGCAACAGTCAGGATCGAAGGCGGGGCTTCATAACAATCCCGAAAGATGCACTTCTAGATGCCCACGTGAAGGAGAAGGGTGGGCGAAAATGGAACAAAGAGGTTGAGAATGGAAACCAAAGGGAGAGACGCTAAGTCCAGGTCTCGGACACACCACACGCAAAACAAGATGGAAAGAAACTGAAACAAGGACATTCCCGGTGGGAATCTGCCGCATTTCCTTTTAGAAAGGGGGGGGGGGGATGGGGTTTCGTGACTTCATCTTCGAGAGCCGTCATATCTGCGGGTGTCGTTCGGTTCCCAATGGATCGGCTCAAAGTCTTGGTTCTGGAAATGTGCCTGGTTGTACGGCGAACTTCTAACCAAGTCAATGACCATACTGACGATGGCACAAATGGACAGAGACACTCACTTTTTAAACGGTGCAGTCACCGGGAGCTGGTTCAAATTCGGCTTCATAACCAACGGATTCAGCCGAATCTGCGGGCCATCCGATGAACGGCTGGGCAGGGAGGTCATCGGCGGTGGCGCCGCAGACGGCAGGACAGGCGGAGGGGAGGGGACCGGAATTGAAGGAACGGGTGCATGGGCCTGCATGGGAGACTGGTACATGTCCTGGGTAGGAGATATTCGATATGTTGCTGGAGGGGGCGAGAGCGAGGGCATCGGGGACATTGGGGCGCCCATGCCGAATGCCGGGTCGGCCATCAGGTTGGGGATCGACATCAAGTGCGAGTTGACGTCGAAGGAGAGAGCACCTTGGTCCCAAGGGGAATAGTTAGAAGTCATTGCGTATTGGTAGTTGACCACGGGTGCCATATTCACAGTCTGTTCGGCGCGGTAGATGAGATCATAGTGGCCCCTACAGGCAATTAGTCAATTGCTTCGTCGCCGGGTTAAGGTCTGGGGATGAATCGCCTTACGGTCGGTACAGGAGACGGATGGTGGCTCCACTGGGGCAGTTGGAGGAGAGCTGGTGTGGTGTCACCGCGTCGCCCTCGCTCCGATCGAGATAAAGGATCTCGATTCCAAACCCAGCGCCTTCAATGACACCGTCGACCAAGGCTTGCAGACCCACTTCATCAATTTCCGTCCTCACCGTGTCAATCTCCGTGGCGCAGTATTGTTCCAGTGGCAACGACAAGAAGGCCTGGTACCGGACTGGATTGAGCTTCATCCAAGCGCTGGTCAAAAGCTACCACCGGGTCAGTGTTATCAACGGGTCATCCTCATCCGACTGGCGAGAGTGGCATACCCGAAAGTGCATTATGACTGAATTCGACTTGTATTCGTTGTTGAAGGCATTGACCAAGAACAATTCGTCCTGATCACCATTCTGGATCGCCGCAGCGGTTTGCGCAAAGATCTCTTCCGTGGCATCGATGAAGATCTCATAGAGATGGTCGGCATAGCCCACTCGGTCCAGGGTATAAGTAAGGGACTTGATGCGAGCCAGTTCCCGCTGTACACGCAGGGGATCTCGAAGGGCAAAGAGGGTTTCAAAATAGCCAAAAGCCACCGCTATACAGACATTAGCGGGGAGTCCTTTTTGTTCGGGTGGGGCGATGTTCCTTACCCCGCCAGCCACAGTTTCCATCGCCCTTCATGACGCGCGTCATCGGATGTGTCACCGCCAGGGCCTATTCTCTGTCAGTATCACAAGCAATCGTCGTCGGTCCGACACTGACGTTGGTTTTGGTTGCCAGAGTGGGGTCTGCATTGGCATATTCCAGGGCAATGTTATGGCTCGACTGTTTGGGCGACACAAAAAGCCCCTATCACCGCGATCAGTCCCGGCTCTCTCTTGCGCTTGCTCTTTCTCTCTGGACGTCTTCTCATGTCCCTACCGGTACTTCTGGCTCAAACTCATTGGACAGCTTCTGGAAACGCTGCATCTCATCCGGGGACAGCGCGTTCATGTTGCTCGAGTTGCTCATCGTGACGGTTCCTGGGGGCGCAAACGCGGCCGATAATGACAGGCCTAGCGGAGGAGAAAGCGCTGGCGGGGCAAGCGCGTCCCGGTAAAAGCCGTGGAACTTCTGTTTCTCCGGGAAGGGATGGTGAGGACCGAAATGACTCCAGACTAGTTTTGACAAGGACATCGCATACAGCCGAGGAGAGTGGAGAGGAGAGAGATAGCTAGGCGGCTTAGAAAAGTCGAGGCGATATCCACCCCCGGGAGTCTCTATGCTTCAGCGACCTGGATTGTGAATTAGTATGGAAACCCTAGACCAACGGCATCGCTGTACTCACTGCAGGCAACTTGACATCTCCCCTGGGGCCTTCCTCTCGTTGTGCAAAACACGGCAGTGCTCGTTGTGCAACGCTGCAAGTCCCGGCACTCTGGATCTAAACTATGTGTTAGTCTAAGGATGACGATCCGAACAAATGAACTGACGGAAAACAAAAAAGGAAAGACAAAATATGCAGGCAATGTGATCATCCAAGGTACATCTAGAGCACGATTGCATGAAACATCGGGCCGCTAATGAGACCAGGGGCCAGGGAATGATGGATTGCCGGGCGACGGCAGGGAGATGGTGGACAGCTTTGTGCTCCTTCCTGATATGCTATGTGATTGGACTGGGTGCTAAAAGTATTTTTGTAACGAGGGGCCTAGGTCCGAGGCGGGCCCAGGAGGATCTCACCGAACCAGAAACAAAGCAGAAGCAGAAACCGGAGGTGGGGGTGGGGAGGGATGACAAGGCGTCACATTTTGAGGGATAGGTTATAGGCTGACTCTTCCAGCCTTGCAGGTAAAAACAATGAAAGGATCAACATGAGAACATGATGTCAGGGTGCTCGTGCTCGGGGTGACCTTCAGCGGCTGCAATACCCGCCGGGGAAATGTGGTTGGCAGCGGCAGCGAAGGGATCATCCGCGCTCCCACCTCGGATGGGGTGCACGAACCACCAACGGGATCCACCCTGGGCTTTGGAGCTTGGAGGCAGGGATTCCAGTTAGGCGAAGCCAAGCGATGGTTGACCGACGGAGAAGATTCCCGATTCCCGAGGATGGAGCCGGAGGGCCAGCCAGACAGACCAGATCGCGTGGGGGGTGGGTTTGATCGGTTGGTCTGGAAGTTGGAACGGAACGTCTTTGAAGAAGAGGAGGGGGGACAAGAGCCGCCCGGATTGACCAGGGGGATTGGATGACGCCAGAAAAGAAAAGAAAGCAGCGATCGGGGTGGGGGAAGGGCCAGAAACCAGGGGGAGAAAGGAAAGCTCAGACCTTAACGAGTTGTCCGTTCGGGCACAATTCCACGATCGTGGATGATCTAATCATGGAGGGGGGAAAGGAGGAAGAAAAGGTAGTTGAGAAGGGGAGGAAGAAGAAGGAGATTGGAGTCGAGAGGGAAAAAGTGGCAGAGATTGTTGGCGAAGAGGGGGATGTCCCCGAGTGGCCGACAGTCACGATCGGGGATTGGGTTGTCGAGACACTTCCAGTGGACGAAACCACACGAAGCAGGAGGGGGGGGTTCGATCTCCGGCAGTGCGCGCGATTCACACAGCGCGGAGCTATCCCGATGCTCCGGAGGAAGGATAAGGAAAGCACGCCTGCAGAGGCCCAGAAAAGCCCGTCTGCTGGAAATAATCCCGAATCCAATCCCCGTGGAGCGTCAGAATGAAGCGGGCCTGTCCAGACCATTCAGCAACATGCGATCCCAGGCTGAAGATGCTGATCGGAGGTGCCAGCACAACCCTACAGCCAACTTGACCCCAACAACCCGCTGCAGGGGAACGTCCACATTGCCACGCCCCAGTGCCTTCTCCTCACCGAGGACTTCCCCGTTCTCTCCTCCGATCTTCTCCTGCCAATTCCAGTCGCGACTCGCCATGCCCCGTCCATGATCGCCTCTCCACTCTGTACGCCTCCAACCCTAGGATTGAAGAGCCAGAACAAGTACTTGAAGCCCCCCAGACAACAGGCGTTCCCTTCCGGCCACCCCCCACCCCCCCCCCGTACCGAGGACGTCCCCTCGAACTCGTCGAATTCGGTCTTGGTCGATGCCTGCTCCGTACTTCTTATGCTTCAGCTCGATCTCAGTCCACACATCTCTCGGCGCGCCAGATTGCCCTGTACGAACTCCCTCTACACACGAGAGGTGGCAATCCTAGTCCCTGGGCTAGCCACCCCCGATGCGAATGCGAGGCGAGCAGGATGCATTGCCAGTCTCATGCTCATTCATTCCCGAGAAATCCCCACGGCGCATCGGAGACCACGCCGCCGGTGCATGCGGCGCTCGATCATTCGTGAATTGGGGCGGGGCGTGTTGCAGTGAGCTCGATCAAACATCGCACAGGTCGATCCAGCAAACCGCAATTCTGCATGGCGAGTCAAGGACCTGGTCCTCCGTCTCATACTTTCACTCCATGTGCTGTAGGACCATCCGACCCGTACGATTGGCCATGGGGCCACCGCCCCATGGCGAGAGGATATACGATTTCAGGATGGCTACTATCACCCCAGCTATGGTCTGTGGCCTTATGGTTAAACTCTCGCAAAGTCTCCATAGACAGCACGGTGCCTGTGCTTGGCTCCCATCACCCGACTCCGCGCTAGGATCCTGCTGATACGGGGGGAGGCTGGATGTGTGATCGGAATCGCAGGGACGTGCGCCTGGGCGACTCCGGCTTTGTGAGCCGATCTGTTGGCTCCTGCTGGTAGATGCGTCATGGTCGAGGTGAACCCTTAATGAAGTTTAGAACCCATCCGGCACCTTCAACCTGGGTGGGATCGATTGGGCGTCCCACCAGCCCCACAACCACAACCGCCCTCCGCCCCATTACCAACTCGAAACCCAACGACGCCTCCACCTTGCACCACCGGCCCTTCTGATGACCGTTAAGAACATGGATCCGCTCGTGCTGCGATCAGTGCGGGGCAACAACCGCAGTTGACAGGTTGCCTCCTTGCCTCTCTCGCTGGACGTGCTGGAGCTGAGCATACCCCTGCTGCTTCTCTTCCCCGGGATCAGATCCGTCATTTGATTTGAGCGGAACCAGCGAGGCAGAGGCCGAGCTCAATACATCCTACATCCACCATTACACAGAACCGATCAGCCCAATGACCCCAGCCGACCTGCCCAGCGTTTCGATCTCGTAAACAGAAATAGAAGCGCCCGTACCTGCTGCGCTAGACCGGCCCTCACGGCGCATCACCGGACCTCCAAAACTCAGATAAGGTCGCAGGAAGCCCGCAAATCATCTAAGCCCTGCTCATGACTCAGGTTTTGCTAGTCATGGCGTACATACCTTAGCTCCGGAGCTTCTAGCCAGCTTGGCCGTGGACGTTTGACAGAACTTCCATGCAGCGCACATCGAGTTCCGTGCCGTGGCTCCAGCTTAGACTCGGTAGGGCAACTTAACACCGCCTTCACATGCATCCCCCATCGCGTCCACATGTTCGGCTTCGGACCCCTTCCTTTGTCCGTCAAAGTTCAGAGTCCACCGTCCACGATCAGCATTCCAGGATCCATGCACCGGAGGGTCTCCGTTCTGGCGCAGACCCGACACGCTGACAACCCTAACCCCCAACCCCAGCGAGAAACGAGCCATGGCCCGCTTACCGGATCTCTCCCACTGGCTACTATCAACTGTCAGAAGTGCCGGTGGGGCTAGCAGTTCCCGCTGGCGGGACGGGTTGCATCCTACAAGCGCTGGTGGCAGAGCGGGAAGGGGTTGGGTGACGGGGCACTGTGGAGGGGCTGGGACTTTGCATCCTGGACAAAAATCCCTGCTGCCGAGCCAGCCTACGATGGCCGAACAGGACACATTGCGTGTTCGGCTTGTCGTTTCTGGAAGGAAAAAGAAAACTACACCTCCAGGAGGGCAACCGGGATCCCGACACCGCCGTGATAGTGCGGGAAGCGGGAAATACTATGCATTCACTGGATGTACTCCGTAGTCATATTTCACGTAGCCAGGAGTCCAGCGCTCAAAGTTCATCTTATCATGAGATTTTATCGCCTATGCTATGCCACAGCAACTCTAAATTGCGGGGGGTGGTTCACGTAGAGCGGACAACTGTCAGGGAGAAAAAAAAAAAAAAAAAAAAAAAAAAAAAAAAAAGGCCTCCCGTGCTGCCCAGCGCGTGCTCCCGGACCTCCTGCCTGCTCCGTTTGGAGACCACCCGAACGGCGAGGGGCTCGGCCGCCGTTCCAAAACGCGGGCAGCAAAACTAAACAAAGAAAAGCGCGGTGTGAGGTGTGAGGTGTGAGATGTGAGATGTGAGATGTGAGATGTGAGATGTGAGACGTGAGACGTGGGATAGACAGGGGCTCGGGCCCCCCTTTTCCACGTGGACCTCATCCAGCTCGACCCGTTCCAGGGCAGCCGGGGTGGCCCGGTGTCTAGACCCAGTTCCTGCTTTCTGGCAAACGTGCAAAGTGACGAGGAGGTGAGAACTCGCGCGGCCCAAGCCCTCGAAGCAGATGGTGAGCCCGCCGGTCCCAGACACCTGCGGTCGTTCTATCCAACCAGAACCCATGCTAGCGTGGCATTGCGGTCCGGCTGGGCCTTCTTACGACGCGCCTGCCAACTGGCCTCCGAACGGCCGGCCGCGAGTGTCCTTTCTCGGATGCGGGTTCAGGTTCAGCGGCCGGTAGCCGACAGGGGAGTCGTCACCAAAGCCTGAGGGGAAGACCGGACCGCTCTGGCCGTGGCCGTGGCCGCCCTCCTCGGGGCGGAAACCCTCGCCGTTCAGAGCGGTCTGCCAGAGGCTCTTCAGGGAGGAGCTCCACTCGTCCAGGGCGCGCAGACGCTCTACGTCGCTCGCGCTATCCACCACCACGGTACCGTTCTCCTGGTCGATTTTGGCATTGAGTTTCTTGTCGAGAATCAGGAAGCTGAGGATCTCGAGCACCTCGGGCACGGAGATCTTGATGTGCTTGGAGATGAACTGCAGGGAGAAGCGGGTGTATGGGGCAATCAGCTTGAGGATGGCCTTCGTGCGCATGTTCCGGCTGACCTCATCGATGTTCTCCGCGATGAAGGGGTCGGCTAGCACGTCCGGGTGCTTGCTCAAGACGGCTTCGTAGGCGTGGATATCGTCGCGTTGGAAGGCATCCACCAGATCGGTCATGGCGGATATCCGGGGGTCGTTCTTGTAGGGCTTGGTCTCTTGCGAGTCGAACGGGTTGATGTCGGACTTCATGAGCATCGTGGTCAGAACGAGGTATTTGAGCACTTGGATTCGCTGCATCGAGCCCGCCTCGTCGTAGTTGCGGAACGACTCGAAGAAATCACTCTGCGCCTCCTTCCAATTCTCCTCGCTCATATGCATCTTGCCGCCGCATTCTCGGATGATGCCCATAATCTTCGGGTGGGGTACAGCCGACCGGACACGCAGTGCTCGTTGGTAGAGTGCCTTGAGGCGTTTGTTGTTCTTCATTTCGGCGTACATCTGAATCTCCAAGGCGTACAGCTCGAGCAAGTAGGTGCCCTTGCTGCTATCATCGGTTCCATCCTCCCGCTGGCATGCCCGGTGCAGCTCCTTCACCTTCTTGCCCAGCTGGCCGTATTCCTTTCGCTCCAGCCAGAGCCGGGATAATTTGATATTCGTCTTCAGCCAGAGTCGCTCGTTGTTGGTATTCTGGAAGGAGTCGAGGGTGAGGGAGTAGAACTGTTCCATGCATTGATATGCCTCCGCATCGTCGGAGCCCTTTTCGATGTAGTCGAGCATATTATTGATAGACTTTTCGGAGTAATTGCGAGTCACCGCGGACTTGACGTATGTGAGGAGTTCTCGGTAGTGTTCGACGGCCTAGAAAAGGAGTGAGTAGACGTTTTTCGTGAGACCGTGGGGTCGTGGAGAGTGATGGCCTACATCGCTATATCGTCCGAGCTTGAATTCCAGCTTGATGGCTTGTTTCAATCCTTTGAACCCCCTACCCACCGTGGGTCAGCATGCCGACGGCACTGTGGCTCTGGGGTGATGTTCGTACCATTCGCTTTTGTCTTGTTCCATCGCAGGCAGGCCGAGGAACTCGTCCACCGCCTCCTCCGGATTGTCCACCTTCATCTGCTTCGCATTATAGTATTTGTTTTCGATTCCGATATCGCCGGACTCGTCGTCTTCATCGTCCTCGTATTCAAAGTCATAACTGTGTTCACAAGCACCCGGTTAGCCTCGAGGAATGGCACGAAGCGGAGAAGTGGCGGGGGTTGGTACTCTTCGTCCGCCGAGTCTTGCATGAAATCATCGTCATCAGACATCCTGTCGAGCTGGTGTGCAAAATACGCTAGAAAAATCAAACGAAAGAGGTGGCGAGGAGAAGCGGAGAGAGGGAGGTGTGACGGAGTGTTTGGAGAAGCTTTGGGTTGGGGAAGATAACGAGTGAGCAGAGCTGCGAGTCTCCGCCTTGGACCTAGTTATCGCAACTCCCCGCCTGAGGCTACCAACTGGTAACCAGCCACCGCGACCCGCGAATGTTTTCGGTTTTCAAGTGTTTTTTTCAATTTTATCACTAACTCAGAGACAATTTGCTGTTGTTCTATCTTCTCCCTTTATCCGGCGGGGGGCCTGAAACGGGCAAAATCATTGCGCACCCGAAGCCGGTGGAGTACGGGACCCCTGGGCGCATGGCGCTGGTCATCGTTCTATAGCACCGGCACGCATGAAGCTAAATTGGCCTCACTTCAGGCATGAATCGTAGTCTCAGTCGGCAATTGATTCAGGTCCATGCCCTGGTAACACTTGAGCGGCAGCAAGTTGCAAATCAAACTGGCGACAAGCAAGGTTGCAGAACAATAGCATAGACCGATTGGTGGCCCCCTACACCTGTCAAAACCACCGACAGGATCCGTCATGAATGCAACGCAAAACACAATACCAAAAGCATCGCCAGGCACAGAACTGGTCCATGGAGTGACTGAGTGAACTTGGCGACTTTTGTAGCCGAGCAGAGTGGACCAGAAGAGGGGGGGACGTGGTACCTTTTTCGCCGATCCCGTTCAGGGCGCGATGTCATCGACTCGGGCAGTGCTGGAATCCTCCTCCTCCCCGATCCAACCTCCGCTCGCCTCTCCCTCCGTGCCCACGCGCCCGAGACCGACCTTGTTATAGATTCTTTGATTCGGACTATCTTTCTAGCGACTTCCACTATTTCCCCCTGGGCCACACTAGTCGCAATGGAGCTATGCGGACGTCAGAAGGTCGTCCAGCGCAAGATGGTGCTGCTGTCAGTTTGGCCGAGGTTCTTTGGGCGTCGGAGCAGGTACTAACAGATATCCAATAGAGGCGACGGTGCCTGCGGCAAGACTTCTGCGCTGAATGTGTTTACAAGAGGGTGCGCAATCCCAGCAGCCTCTTCCCCTCTCGAGCTGCCTCCCCCACGCCTCCGACAAGAGAAGATAGCTAACGCCTGTCTACGCGGATAGATTCTTCCCAACAGTTTAGTAAGGACACCCTACTAGAACTCAACGGTTCTAAGCCGGGTGTGCGAGATATACTAACCGCTGTATGGCCTCGCGCAGTGAGCCTACAGTCTTTGGTATGCGCATTCCCCTAAGGGTCGAAGACACAGTCAGATCGCTAACTATCTGGCTATAGAAAATTACGTCCACGGTATGACGCACGCATACTACCCCTTTCACGCCCCTCAACTCACGCGCGCAGATATCTTTGTCGATAATGTACATATGGAGCTTTCGCTATGGGACACGGCCGGACAGGAGGAGTTTGATCGGTTGCGCGCACTGTCCTACGAAGACACGCATGTGCTCATGCTTTGCTTCAGTGTAAGACACTGAAAACCGGCTCATACCAGGGAAGACCCCGGGCTGATAGCTGGATATACCTATAGATCGACAGCCCCGACTCCTTCGAAAACGTCGGATCCAAGTGGATCGCCGAAATCAACGAGAACTGCCCCGGTGTGCGAGTCGTGCTCACCGCACTCAAGTGCGACTTGCGGAAGGATGACGAGATGAACGATAACCCGAACGCAATCACGTTTGATCAGGGCCTGGCTAAGGCGAAGGAGATTGGCGCCGTCAAGTACTTGGGTATGTAGCACGCCGTTCCGTCGAGTGGGAACATTCTAGTTGACAGATGGACAGAATGCTCGGCCGTCCAGAACCGCGGTATCAGAGAAAGCTTCTATGAAGCGGCCAAGGTCGCCCTGGAGGTTAAACCGGCCGGGGGCAACGGATCCGGCCCGTCCTGTGTCATCCTTTAAAGCATCTGATCCGACTGTCCCCATTGTGACGCGTATCAATGACGTTGTGTCTTTTTCGCAGAACGTGGATTCAGGCCCAGCGTGCTCTGCGGTTTCCCCCTCCTCCCTCACGTTTTTGCTCTCGAGTTCGTTGATTCCCCCATGCATTTTCTGTTGATGAGATTTTCTGCTGTGACGACAGCTACCACTTTCTTTATGGGGCACAGGCACATTAGGTAATTGGCTGGGTGTGCAGTACCTTCTTTTCTTTTTGCATGGCTCCACCTTGGGGTTGTCGAAGCATTTCAGCGAGATTGGCTCTCTATTTTTACTATTATTCCACCTGCCCTTCAGATACACCTATATAATGCTTATTGGATTGACTTATATTCCTCGGGGTGTTCGAATAGCCCCCAGTCTGTATGACTTCCGCTACTCTAGTTTTCCAGGCGCAAATCTCGTCGTTCCAAGTTAGGTTGATACCATGAGATCCATTTTCACTACAATACATGATCTCATAGGAAGCTCAGGAGATCCTTCTCCCGCACGGGGTACACCTCGTCTATCCTCTCGCCCAACGCGCTCTGACCACACGCAAAATCCTCATTAATCCGACTAACAAACCTCTCCACAAAGCCACTAGCAACCTCATCCACGCCTACGCCCTCGACGCCCACACCCTCCAAACTGGTCACCTCCTTCCCCTCAAGCCCACACGCCACAATCTGCCGAAAATACCACATCGGCTCCTCCGTAACATTCAGTCCAATGCCAAAGCTACTAATATTCCGCCGCAAATGCACCCCCACCGCGGTTATCTTCTTCGGCGCAGAGTTACCCGCCGCAGGATCCGTCACCCACACGCCCGGGTCGGCCGTGACGAACCCGTTCACTCCGTACTGCTTCAACAGGTCGATGACACTATTCTCCAGCACGCGGATGTGACACCGCGGCGTCAGACCCAGCCGCTTGAGATCCAGAATCGTGTACGCGACCATCTGGCCGGGCCCGTGGAAGGTGGTCTGGCCACCGCGGAGGGTGGGATGGTACTCCGCCCGCGGCGCATTGGACCCCGACGGTGTGAGTAGGGAGCGGATGGGTTCAAGCGCCGGCGGCAACGACAGGTTCTTCGGGTCTGGCGGACATGTGTTGGACGGAGGCAGATCGCGGCGGCCGGTGGTGTAGACGGGGTTTGGGGTAAAGGTGATGATTGTTGGGTCGGGAGGGGGCGGGGGCGCTTGGTATGCGAGTCGATTTGCGTGGCCAGTGTTTTGGGAGGATATGGAGCCTGGGGAGGCAAGCTTTTTGTGTTCGAGGAAGCGGGTTGTGAGGACTTGTTGGAGGGCGGAGACCCGGGCAAAGGGTGTGGTGTGGGGGGAGGTGGAGGTGGGCGAGTCTCATGGCGGTGGTGGTAGGAGAGTATTAGGTGATGAAGCACGTATATAAAGATAGTGGTCAATAGTGGTGTAGTAAGTGTTGCGGCTCATTGTAGAGCTGGAGGTGGGAATTGTGTTTCCCTCGGAGATGTGAGGTCAACTGGAATGTTGGGTTGCGGAGACGCTGGGAGACCCGATAAGCTTTGATAACTGCCACGCTATTCGACAGGGCGAGCTACGACGTATTTACTACGGCGTGGATTCGTCGCAAATAGATGAGAAAAAGCTCGAAATTTCCATATTCGCATTGCTTCATTGCTCATATCATTCTCTTACGCCACCGATAATGCTAATCGTAATCTTCGCAACACTTATCAAGGCAACATCTGGCTTTTGCAGGCATGACACAAGGTGCCTGGGATTCGCAGCAGAGAGAGAGGCCCCGAGAGCATAACATCTCCGATAAAGCTGACTGTATGACAGAAGGTCGGAATCGACGTTGATAAAGCAGGTCATGGCGAGTTCTCGTGTCCTATGGTTTCCCGACTAGATGCCATTGACCAGACCAGCTTGCGCATTCTCCGCCGGGAGCAAGATCCAGTCGCGGACACCACCCTTCCAATCCGCAATACGACCCTTACACACTCGCACCGTGACTACCCGCACGTCATTATCGATAGACATGCTCGGCCGACGGGCACTAGGGTCTTCCCGTTGCTGCTGGCCGAACAGGTTGATTTCCTCCTCCTCGAAAGTGTTATTCTCCAAATGCCGCTCCTTACACCAGGACTCTTCATCCGATCCAGACTCCAGGAAGCGTGCCTCGCCAGTAATAGTGGTGGAGATGCTGGACAGTGCACTGGTGTTCAGGTTGAGCAGGAGGCTTGCGAGGGAGGATCGGGTGGCCGCGGGAGGGGGCGACCCTTCCCGGTCTCCGTGGACATTTGGAGCACGGGTCGGCGGGCGATGGGATACCCAATCGTGAACCAGGAGCGAAACGCGCGGGTTGGACATGAGGTGGTTGGTCTTACGCGAGGCGGGGTTGGTTGTCATGATAATGGTCGGGTAGGGGTCATAGGGAGTCGACGGGAGGTAGGTATAGGACATGAGGGAGATGTGCGGGGGTGAGATTATCGCATGTTGCCAGATGCAGCTGGGGATAGCGATCGAGTCAGCTTGATATCCAATCGATACCGATTCAATCGATTCCGCGGGTCTTGGGGCGGGCAGGTACATACGAAGCGGGAGTTTTTCAGGCAGGAAACCACCTCGGTAGGCAGCGAGGTCGCCTCATGAGGGTGGGTGGTGGTGGCCGAGGCCTCGTAGGAAAGGGGAGGGTTGAGAGATTCAGTCATGATGGGAGGAGAAGAACCGCTCGACAGGCAAGGAGCTCAAGATCGAACCAACGATTGGAGATCGACTGGAAGTGGGTTGATCAATCTGCTGGGCGGTGAGCCCGACTGGTTATCGACGTCATGCGCGGATTGGCCCACGGCGCATCTCCAGTGTGAGGGTGGCGCATCCGCTAGTAGCCGTCCACAAGTCTGACTCTGGGGCATCGAGCTGGCCGGACCATTGTGGTCGCTATCACTCCAAACACTGCGTCCGTGAGTGGCCGTGTCAGTATTGTGGAGTCTGGCTTGACGCCCGCGGCATAATGGCGAACATCGAGCGAACCCGGAGTACAGCGACGATCATCCGTTGATCCGTTTATCGGGGGCAAAAAGCTTCCCCGGCTGCGAGGGATGCAGGGGTGAAAATCGCCGATATCCGCCACTTGTTTCCCCAGCGACTTGGACGGCAGATGGAAGAAAAATGTATGGAGCTTGGGGGTGTGCTTTATGATTATGGGAATAGCGTACGGAGTGCTCCTTATCCGCTGTTATGGAGCCCATCACTCAGCCACAAGTATAGATACCGGACCCCCGCGTCATCGTTACCCCCCCTTCCTAGGGGGCCCAGCAATGCTAGGGAGATCAACAAGTCGACGTGACCAGCGAATAGAGTACTTCTACCTAATCTCTAGTACGGGACGGGATCATAACTCGTCATAAGCTAGGTAATCACCCGGTCTCAAACTAACGTTACCCGCCTAAGCTTACCTTTCCCCGCACAACTCCAGCTTCCCCCATCGCCCGGACTTACAAAGTTGCAGACCGACAATCAAATCAGTCCACGCCTCTTCGTCCGCCGGAGAGCTGCCTTCCATAGTCAATTCGGCCGACTCCCCCGGATTTCTCTCGGCGCACGCACTCGAATCTCTTGCATGCCTCCCTCATCCCTGCAACTGCAACTGTAACTGCTGCGGCTACTGTAACTGCTCCTCCTACTCGACCCGCGAGGCCCTCCTCTTTTCATCTCCCTGCCCCTCTTCCCAATTCCACCGTTTTGCCCTCCACTCCTTCTTGTCTCTCCTTCGGCTGATTTGCTCCCCCCTCCCCACTTGTGGGTGACTATCTCCCCGACTTCTCCTTCCCCACACCCCCTTTGACCCGTCCTTGCCACAACAACCTCGTCATTCTCCTCCCGTTTGTAACCACCCAAGAGTCTCTTCTCTTTCCTTTTCACATCTTCCTCTACGCTATACTATTCCACTCCTTCAATCCTTCCCACCCATCTACCCTCGGGTACCTCTCATCCATCATGCTGGGTCCGCGCTTGATTCGCCCGGCGACAGCCTCGCTGGCGCGGCCCTTCAGCTCCTCCGCCGCGGCCTACCGCGCGCCCTCCATCAGAGACCTCACATCCAACTCGGCTGAAGAGTTCTCTCGCCGGCAGAAAGAGTTTCGCGAGAACCTCGAGGAGGCCCGCAAGAGAAAGGAACTGCAAGAGAGTCAGTCTGTCGCTGCTTCTAGTTCTGCCCCTTCATCTTCTATTTCCCGTGAGTCTGCTCCCACTGCTCCGCGTGTGAGCAATGCGAGCACTTATGTACAATATCGCCCTGCTTTTGATGCGGCTGAGGCTCTTGATCACGAAGCAATGGGCTCACTCGCCACACACCGCTTTCTAGGAGAAGAACAAGCGTCCGAGACAGCATCGAAACGCGGCGCTCTGTCCTCGCTCATCTACGGCACCAAAGAAGGTCAACATTTCGACAAGGACATCGAGCGGTCTTTCTCGCAGGTGTTAGCCCGCGGCAAGTACGTTCATTCCGTGGTGTTCCATGATGTCAAACCCGACAAGGTCGATGAATATGTGGAGCTAGTGGGCCAATGGTACCCCCGCATGGCCAACGCCGAGGAAAACCGGGTCAATTTGGTGGGCAGTTGGCGCACGCAAGTTGGTGATAACGACACGTTTGGTAATTATTCTGTTTCCGTATATGCCCCAGAAATTCATGGATAAGTAGCTGATCGTCTCTTCTGGACAGTTCATATCTGGGAATACCAGCGCTACGAAGGCTACCATGCCTCCCTACACAACATCGCCAGTCACCCCGAGTTTCCCGAGTTCGACCGCAAGCTCAAGAGTCTCATCAAGAGCAAGAAGACTTCCTTGATGCAAGAGTTTTCGTTCTGGCCCACCACGCCGCCGCGTAAGTTGGGTGGACTGTTTGAGCTTCGATCATACACCTTACATCCGGGCAACCTTCTGGAATGGGAGACGCACTGGCGCCGTGGGCTGCATGCCCGTCGAGAGGTCATGGAAGGTGTTGGCGCGTGGTTTGTCCAGATTGGCGACTTGAACACGGTCCACCACCTGTGGCAGTTTGCCAACCTGGAGGAGCGCAAGATCCGCCGGGAGCAGTCGTGGGGCGTCGAGGGATGGGCTGAGACGGTGCACAAGACCGTTCCCCTCATTCAGAGCATGCAGAGTCGGATCCTGGTCCCGATGCCCTGGAGCCCGGTCGGTTAACTTTGGACACGCCAGGAGAGCCACTGAAGGGCGCCCGAAGAGGGCCTGCCCTCTTTATCGTGCCCCCGTCTCTTGTTTTTTTTACAGCCGGCCTCTCTCTGTCTGGATCTCCGAGCGTGGCAGACCCCGATCTTACGCGATGGCCGCGGCCCTCCCGCGCCAACGTGGGAAGGGCACGCTTGTTTGTTCTGGAGATGTCACCCCGGCGAGTCTGTTCCCCCGCTGCATCTATAGTTCTGTATCATGTAACTAGCCGTGGCGCATCAATCCACACCAGCATTCTGCTATACCTCCACTCCCCCTCGCGAGAACCGGGCCCCTAAACGTAAGCGAAAAGAGCAAAGGCCTCGGGTAACCCCGCCTCTTGGATGGACGATCACATCCCAGCGATGCATCTCATTGGCACTGCGGCGGACACTCCCGAGTACCGCAACCACAACTCGCTGCTGCACGTGTTCCCGAGCGGGGACGAATGCCTCGGATCCTCAGGGGTAAAAGAAGAAACTCGTTGCTAGCGATGAGTCTATTCTCTGCAGATGTATGTCCGGGCGGGCCAGCAATAAACAAAAATTCACTGGGAAAGCGATCAACACGGCGCGAAAAAAACACCAAGTGGCCATTGTTGTGGCCGGGAAAAAATTTTTAAAAAAGCCTCGCCGATCTCGACAGGCCCCGGTCTTTGCTCCGCTCCCCAACAGCGGGGCCCTTTAGTTTAGATTGACCGTCTCCTACTTTTCCTCTTCTTCTTCTCTTCCGACCAGTTCTACCTTTTCCTGTCTCACGCCCTAACGAAACCTCCCTCCCCTCCTCCACACAACGGCCAACCGCCCTCCTCGATCCGCTTCCCTTGGAACCGTCTGCAGCCCGCTGCCTCCTTAGCCTGGCCCCCGGCCGAAGCTTATTTGGGACAAGACCCACGTCAGAGCTAGGGATACATGCGCTGAGGGGGGAATAAAAAAACGGGTCTTGGACACCGGACAACAGCTTCTCAGGGATCAGGAACAAGGAACCAGACTTCAGGACTCAAGAAAACACCAGTCGACGCGTCGCAAGAATGGTCTACATCCGACAACATCTACTGCCGAACCTGCGCAACTACAAGTATGCGGGTATCGACCACTCGCTCATCAGTCGCTACGTCCTCAAGCCGTTCTATGGCAAATGCGTGATACACTTGTTTCCCATGGGCATGGCGTGAGTAACTCCCCTCTCCCTGCACCAGGCGATGGTGGTGCTCGAGCTCTCCCCGAGCTTCAAGACAGCTGTTTATCCGCGTCCGGTTGGCAGCTGCCGCGGTGTTTTTCGTCTGGAATAGTCAGGCTAACGAGCTTTTCCCTGCTTTCCCGCGCCCAACAGACCCAATGCCGTAAGTCTTCTGCCTCATGCACCTTCACTCTGAGCATTTTTATCGCATGCCGGAGCATACGAACCTTAATTAATGGTCGTTGGTGTATAGATTACCCTGACTGGATTCATGTTCGTGGTCATTAATTTCCTGACCGTGATGTGGTACAACCCCGGTATGGACACGGACTGTCCGCCGTGGGTGTATGCGAGCTGCGCGATAGGCATGTTCTTGTATCAGACATTTGATGCTGTAGATGGCATGCAGGCGTACGTGCAATCTGATCTTGCTATCTCGCGTGCTTTTGCTGATCTGGTGCAGACGGAGAACAAGGCAGAGTGGGCCGCTGGGCGAGCTCTTTGATCACAGTACGTTGGATATGAAACTACTTGATGCAGCTTGAGTGGATGGAGGCTGATGGCTTTGCTTTGTTTAGGTGTCGACGCATGCAACACCGGATTGGGCGTGCTAATCTTCGCGGCTGCGATGAACCTCGGAAACTCATGGATGACGATCATAGGTCTATTTGGATGTACGTTGGGAGAGTCCATGGCGCCTTATAGTCTGATCTAACAAGCCCGCACAGCAACGATGACGTTCTACGTGCAGACTTGGGATGAATTCTACACCCAGGTCCTGACCCTGGGCATCATATCCGGCCCCGTCGAGGGTGTTCTCACCCTCTGCGCCGTCTACGCCATCACCGCCTACATGGGTGGCGGCAGCTTCTGGCACCAGCCGATGCTCGAGACCATCGGTGTAGCCAAGCCCAGCTTCCTCTCGGACCAGGTGTACCAGATGCCCTTCACGCAGTGGTACCTGGTGTACGGCGCGTTTGTGCTCTTCTTCGCCACGGGCTCGAGCATCTGGCACGTCGTGCAGGTGCGCCGCCAGCGTGGCCAGGACCCTATCGCTCCGCTGTATGGTCTGCTGCCCATGGTGGCTATCTGGACACTGGTCCCCGCGTATTTGTACCTGCAGCCCGTCATCCTGGAGAACTACACCATTCCCTTTGGGCTGTATGTCGGCTTGGTGAATGCCTACGCCGTGGGCCGCATAATCGTCGGCCATCTGGTGCAGTCTGGGTTCCCGTACCACAACATCCTGCTCTACCCGTTGGCTCTTGGTGTGCTAGACAGCGCCGGCGCGGCGGTCGGTCTTTGGGCCAGTCCTGTGCTTGGATATGGTAACGGCCAGATCATGTTCATGTTTGGGTGCCTGGGTCTGGCGGTTGGTATCTATGGTAGCTTCGTGGTAGGTCTCGCCGTTTTGTTTTTTCTCCCGTCCCGTCCTAGATGTTCCTTTTTCGGCTAATGGTTGCTAGTTTGACGTCATCACTACTATCTGCGATCACATCGACATCTGGTGCTTGACCATCAAGCACCCATACGTCGAGGAAACCGAGTGCAAGGATGGTGCGGCGGTCAAGGCACAGGTTGAGGGCGCCTCGAAGAAGAACAAATAAACCGCAAACGACAGACTAGCAGCCTTGGTGGGTGCACTGTCACTTGACTCGTGCATGCAGGACAGTTCCACCTGACCCACCACGGGCAAACCCAGCATCTCGCCGTGGGCGAATGCGGGGGGGGGAGATCGAGACCGCGATGGGAGGGGTGCGAAACACCATTTCGGGAGGGGCGGCAAAAGATATCCGGGGGAGTCCTAATGATTTGATTTCAGCCAAGTACATACGTTTTGAACACCGGTTGTTTCGTGTAATAGAATTTCAGATTAATGTGTGACGTTATAAGATATACAGCCTTGAGGATTAGCGAACACCTGACAGTACGATGTAGATGTAGCATTGTTGAAAAGCACTTGACTGCCTGTTCGATTGTCCAGGCAGATCCTTGGTACGGGCCGGCAAAATCAGAACGCAGGCCAGTATCACGGGCAAAATATGATCATATGTCAGTAGGGCCCTATCGTCCGCCATCCTAATCCAAGAGGGGTTAGTATTAGTCTCTTGAGTCCATCGTCATCCTCTTTTCAGCAGACTGCGCCAGGTTTTCCAATTACCCCCTCTTCTCCAGCCAAAAACACAGCGTAATGGCTAGAATTAAAGCTTGGCGGGAGACTCCGCGTCCCCAATGTGTTGCTCAACAATACCGAGACCATGCACAGCAACCTGCGATTTTCATGACACTCAAAGAGACCAACCCGGAAGCCTTACCAGTTCGTCTTCCGCAAATCGCCATTCAGGTCTACAGCACCGTTCCCCTAAGCTTGGAATCTGAAGAAGACTCAGAAGATGATTACACCTCTCTCTGTCGGTATCTCTCTTCGATGGTCTCTTCCTATCCCACCGAAACCATGTCATTCGAGATCTATGCCCCCCAGCCTAATGTATTCGCTTGTGTGGAGCATCAAAGACGCGAAATCCGCTACCGAAAGAATAATATTCCCGGAGAGGATTTCTTCCCTGGTATTGCGAAAGTGGCGCCCGACAACAAACTTTTGCAGGGGTTTCTTCTGGTGATCACTTCCTATAGCTTCCGCGATACGTTTCTACCGCAATATGAAGCTGAATCCGGCCCGCTGTGGGTAAATTTTGATCGATGTTTCCGCTCAAAACGAAAGTCGATCTTCCGTCTCGAATTGGGTCCACTACCCGGTATGGATTTGATCCTTCAATCATCAGTACTGATTGCCAAGTATACTCCGAGAGAGAAGAACTTGTCGTACGAAAATGCCGACATGTGGATGATAAGTGCCGGGAATTGTCCTCTCTTATTACCGGAAGCCATAGTCATATGGCGGGGCAAGAGTTCGATTATGGTCTAAATGAAGACGAGACCCGTCCTTATCCAATCAACTTCTGGCACCGCAGATGATTGAATTACTACAGAGCAAAGCTGATTCGTTGGATGATGACCAATTTGATATTAAATCACCCTCCGATAGTGCTGTTACTATCAAGTCCAACACTACAGCCGTGATATCGGAAGCAGAGCTTCGGTATATTATTTACATCGCCTTCCCTTACGAGCAACTCGAATTAGGGACAATCGCCAAGGCCTTTACTAGTGCGATCATCGAAAATCTTCCCAGGGGAAAGACCGTCAACTTCGGGTTCTTTTCGGCGGGTCAATCCCTAGCTTCTATCCTAGCGTCGCACCGGGATCTCATAAACTCTCGCCCGGATATAGCCATAGGGGCGCTTCATCAAGGCAGTCGGAGTTTCCCACAGAAGCGACACGAGCCCGAGGTCGAAATTCCATCGGACAGGGAGCCATACCGTACACTCTTTATCATCCTCGACCGTCCAGATTTCGTCATAGGGCCTGGTGTACTTTTCTTCCTAACCGATGGAAATGAAATCACAGACGAGGCGATGGAGCGCAACATTTGTAAGCCTAAAGACCAACGTGCTGATTACGCGGTGTACCAGGTTTGGCGGAGTGTAGGAATGTCTGAAGCAGCGGGGAGGTTGGCAATGATGCCTACAAATCTAACTAGCTGGGTTGAAAGTTGAATAGGTTAGCTAGGGAACAATCGAGCAACTATGGTAGGTTTCAAAATTATCACGCGTTATTTACAGCTATGAGCCTCCTGAGAACGCCGGATCAATTAGAATTTCCAATAACAATAATCTGAGATGATGGTCAAATAACTTCTTTTATTTACTTGGCTTATATATGTCGTTCTTTATACTGAGATTCTCGCTCATTTCAATCATATTCCCAAAGCCCCTAGGCCATTATTCCCCCACATACCGTACCTGCTGTTCGTTGTGGTAGTACTACCGGCAGTGCCTGGAAGGGGAGTAGACCCAAAATTGGCTGCTCAAGGGAAGCGCATTTGGTTAGCGCTCGCTAGCCCATTGCTACCCATATACGTAGCAATAAATCGAGAGGCTAGCTAGTTGGATCCCTTAATTAAAGCTTGTAGGTAGGTCTTCCCCGTGTTCAACCAAGGGCCAACATTAGTCTCGATTTTTGAGAGGTGATTATCGATCCAATAGCACCAAGCAGTCCGCAATCCCCAGCTGGTTAGCCCGGTTGGCATGGCAGGACCTGACATCGCTGTTCCGGGGGCTGCGTTGGCAAATGCAGACTCCCAGAAATTCTGGTCGAAAGCGTAACAGTTGGCCTCCATTGAGTTACCGGGCTTCTGCCAGGCTGTAGTGATCTGTGAAATCCGGAGGTAGTTGAAAGCACTGGCACTCTGATGGAGAAAGGGGGCAAAGTCAGTATATCCAATCCAAGGTGCGCTGGTAATCATTACGGTCTGAATGGCTTATGCAATATGTGCAGCTTTTGATGTATCAACTTCTGCCCAATTTGGGATACCCCCACGGACCCAAACTCCCTTGACGCCATTGGTCGCTCCCCACAGTAGAGCCATAAGCTCTGGGTGCCCATTTGAGCCCACATATAGGAGCCAGAAAATCAATTTTGATGGGGGATTGGTAATCAGATGCCTGATGGGCCAGGCCGAAGAGAGGAGGCCCTACTGACCTGCGTCCTGGGGCAAAATGAAGGTGGCCTTACACAGGCGGTGTGATTGGCGGTACCCACTCCACTGCACCTACCCGAAATGAGCAGTCAAGCGAGGGCACAAACCCTACCCCATCAAATCCTCGCAAACTTCGCCTACCCTTCCATTCCGTGTTCACACAAGGCCATCGCTATCAGCGCCACTCATCAACCCCTTCGCTGATCAATAACCGTCAAGATGGTGAGTCCTCAACCTCGCATGCCCGATTCCTGCACCTCCGGCTCGATCCCGAAATCCCGAAATCCCTAGGCACGGTCCGACCGGCAGCACCGCAAAATACCCCTAGCCTCAAAATCTTCACCTGCTAACGTGACACCTTGTCATAGGTTCTCGCGGTCGACCTCCTCAACCCCACGCCTCAGGCTGAGGCCCGCAAGCACAAGCTGAAGGTACGATGAACCCCGAACCTGATGGAAATGGAAAACAAGTGGATGTGGATGGGGAAGGGAGGCAAAGATGGACGTGGACGGACGGACTCCTCGACCTCCGAACATGGATCATCAAGCCTTTCCGACCACACGCCTGCAACCCTTGGAAGAGATGGAACCAGATATAGTAGATGGACAAATGGAAATGGAAATGGGAAACATCATGGATGGAACAGTTTTGCTGACGGAATCCTCTCCACTCTACAGGCCCTTGTGCCCCAGCCCCGCTCCTTCTTCATGGACGTCAAGTGCCCCGGCTGCTTCACCATCACCACCGTCTTCTCGCACGCCCAGACCGTCGTCATCTGCGCCGGCTGCTCGACCGTCCTCTGCCAGCCCACCGGTGGCAAGGCCCGTCTGACCGAGGGCTGCTCATTCCGCCGGAAGTAAACGAGACGCGCAAATGAAATCTCTTTTTCTTTTTATGTCTTGTTGAAACGCACAGAGGATAGCATGGAGCAATTAGGATGAAAATACCAGTCCCGGGTTTTTGACCTCCGCTTCGGATCGGTACTTACGGAGACCGCCGTCAAAATGTCACATACCAAATCAACCTTTCTCTTTTCTCACCTTCCGCTTTGTTGATGGGATAAAAATGGGGGCGCCTTGTTACCGACGATGAAAACCCTCGTTGGATTCGAAAGTGTCGAATGAGGATTTTTGGAGGCCGAGGGCCATGATATGTTATGATCCATACCACCTTTTTCTTTCCCTGAAAACCAAAAAATTTGAAATGTGGCACTTTGACATTCCGCGTCTCCGAATTTTAATTGCCTCTCATCTGCTTGATGATGCTTATACAGTGTTGCTCTTTTTATCCTTGTTTCTGTTGTTTTCTTTGCGGATTGATGGCAGATAGAAGATGGAATGACTCTGTTCTCTCGCACAGCCAAAGGCATTCGACAACAAAACGCACGCAGCATTTTGCTGAGGGAGTTCCGGATATCTGGCACGCAAATGCACTTTGCTTGACTTGGTGCCGCGCTTGCTTCTTGCTTTTTAGTTCATGTACTTGCATGTCCTGTCACTGGTGTCATACTCAATCGAGGTGTACGCGATACTTGAGCTGCTCACGTAGAAAATCGACTATAGAGACCTGCGTAACAGTAGCCAGGCCGACGGTCGCCCGCCATGAATACCCGCCCTAAATCTAGTGTATATCATTGTTCGTACAAGCTATGACTCCATGTGCTCGAATCTTCGCCGACTCACCATACAACGGCGTAGCCCACGTGCTTCTCTCTTGATCCTAACCCTAAACGGCATTCCACAGGTCAACCTCCAGCAATTCAACACCCACGCAGAACCCGTAGCCTGCCTCCGCTCCCCCCCCCCCCCCCACTGCTGAGGAGGTGCATTCCCCACCCCGGCCGGCTACGTAATACCACTTGGGTGACGATCTTGCCCCAATGTACACTCTCGATGCATGACATCATTTTCGATGGCACATCGACGAAGGCTCTGGAGCATTCCAACAACCGCGTGCAAGAAACCAGCAAAAAGTGTTTCCGCGGGGAGGCCAGATGCTTTGTCGGGTCAATTTGAATCGCTGATATCTCGCCCATTGACGAGGGATTGAATGGTACTCCCTGTTTCTTGCCATTGAGGGATGCCATTTTCTAGATGTACTGTATACTTGGGATAGACTGTTAACACCAGGGTCTCTCTCTACATGCGACAGCTGCAATAAACAACTCATGTGATATTTGGGAATGACGTTTTGCTCTGTTGATATATATATAGCCGAAAAAGAGATTCATGGGGTGGGAAGAGGAAATAAAAGATCGTAAGAAAGAAAAGCACAGCGCGAATCCTAGATTCATCTTTATTTCAACAGAAACGACTGGAGTCCACCGTAGAAGAACGCTGCGCTCGGCGGCAGACTGGAACCGAAAAGTAGAAGGCAAGGAAATGAAGCGCTACCAGAGAGAAACTGTACGAGACCGCTGAGATCACTGAGTTCAGGCTGCGTTCAGACCCCGCGCTTTAGCTTTGATATTCGCGCCAAAGTCCACTGGGTTAGAGGGGTCGCCGCCTGTCATGGCGGCGAGCTTGCCGGACATATCTGTGACCAGCAGGCCGGTGAACTGGTTGCGTCCGATGACATCGTTGACGACCTTGCAGGTTTGGGAGTCCCCGGAGGCGTACTTTGCGGCGTCGACTTGCTGGAGCGTATTGTAGGAATTCTTGACGAAGTCGAACATGAAGAAGACAGTCGGATGCGGGGTGGGCGCCTGCAGCTGAGGGTGCGCTTCAAATGCTCTGTTTGAAGGTCAACTTGTCTGGTTATCCTGGATAGGGCTGAGGGGAATTGTGTGATGTCGAAGCTCAATGAGCGTAGTGCGACTTCCAAGGTATATCATGGCCCCTTTGGTTTTTTTGGAGGTACTTTTCAAGGCTTGTGTAAGAGAACGTACTCGATCAGCTCCTTCATCTTCGCCTCGGTGCTCTCGAGGTTGATCTTGTTTGCTGTCGCCATGCTGAATATGAGTTGTGCTGTAAGATGAGAGAGGAAACTCGAAGGGTTGGGTTTGGGGTTTGTTGATGTGACGACATCTGTTCAGCCCCCGCCGCTCGAGAGAACACCTTATCGAACCTATCTTATCGCCGTATCTTCCAATGCCCTCGTCTTCTGTTAGTCTGCGCTCTCCCCTCTCCCCTCTCCCCTCTCCCCTCTCCCTCCTCCTCTATGTCCAGGGCTGTTGCTCAGAGACTGTCGCTTATATCAGGACATTCAATCCGACTCGGCCGTGCATTCGCTACCATGGCTCCGAACCCGTCAGCCTCGGCGCGTACACCATTGAAAATCCTCATGCTACACGGCTACACCCAGTCTGGCACCCTGTTCCACGCAAAGAGCCGCGCTCTGATCAAGCACATCCAAAAGGCGTTTCCACTCCACGAGGTCTTGGCAATCTACCCGACTGCCCCCCTGCGCCTGAGGCCGAGCGATATCCCCGGCTACGAGCCGTCCGAGAATAATGACACGGAGGAGATCGAATCGTATGGCTGGTTCCGCCGATCCAACACAGCCAACCCGCCTCTCTACCAAGGACTAGAGGAGGGCATTGCGGCCGTGGCCAAAGTGCTCTCCGAGGAGGGGCCCTTCGACGGCGTGATTGGGTTCTCGCAAGGCGCTGCCATGGCGGGTATGGTCGCCGCGTTATTGGAGAATGGACGGAAAGCAGCCTTTGGAGAGTTTGAGAAGGAGGTGTCCGAGGGAGCTGGAGGGGTACCTTTCCCTGCGTCCTTTGCTGCACCTGGGTTCCAGCACCCGCCATTCAAGTTCGCCATTGCATACAGTGGGTTCCGGTCTCCGGGGCCACGGTACAGGGCTTTCTACGAGAGCCCGCCCATTCAAACGCCAGTGTTGCATGTCCTGGGGTCATTGGATGCGGTTGTGGAAGAGTCGAGGAGTCGGGCATTGATTGATGCTTGTGCGGGTGACCCGGAGAAGGACGGCTTGGTGGTCTGGCACCCGGGTGGTCACTTCTTGCCTAGCCAGCGGCCATATCTGGACGCGGCAGTGCGATTTATCCGAGAACAGTTGGATAAGAGCAATGGCAATGGAAAGCCAAAGGAGGAGGAAGATGTGAATGATATGGATGTGCCATTTTAGAAGGGAATTGAGTGGTTATATATAGAAAGAGATTTGGTGACTAGACTAGATCATATCCATTATCTACATAGACAGCCGTTTTGAATGTCTTAACTTCCATTACTCAGACTCATGTGTTTCTTTCACGTGTCATGAGATGACTGATTAAAAATCAATCCACTGAAACAGTGGCTGGCTTCTTCATAGCAGGTCTACCGGCGATATTTTACACACGGAGCAGCATTCCCACGTCTACCTAACACCGTCAAATCAACGGGCCTTGGCCTTCTCACCACGAGACGGCAAGATACGAGCCATCATCTCCTCCTTGGTGATCAGATGATCAATCCGCTCCAGGAGACCCAGTAGGCTCTTCATATCACTGCTCCACTCGTTGAGTACATCATCCGCATCCCGCGGCTTAGCAAAGTTGACTAGCCGCGCGGGTCGGTCAATCTTGGCATAGATGGTCTTCGAGGTGACCAGGTCGCTGATGTACTTCTCCGTCTCCTCCTCAGTCAGATCCAAAAGCTGAGTCAAGCGGCCCATTTGAATGCGAGTGTAGTACTTGGCCACAACGCGCACGTTGTGCTCGATGACCCGCTTCCGCAAATCTTGCCATCTCCGGTTGGCCTGGTTATCAGAGGACTGCTGGGCCTCGGCATCGAACACGTCGGTGCCGCAGAGGTGAGGGCCGAATTGCTGGGCGACCATGGGCCAGCGCATCAGCTCGGGGATGGTGAACAGCTTGACCAGGCGGGCCTCCTCCGGAATCTGGGACAAACGCGAGTCTTGTTGGATGCGGTGCAAGAGGTCTGACTGCTCGTTGTCATAGGGTGAGAGGACAATATAATAGACGACGCGTGCCAGGGTCTGGAAGAAGGAAAGGACTATCAGCATATTGGAAGAAAAGACTTCTCGGAACAATAAGAAACTCACGGCACGCAGCTGCTCTGGGCTCTTCTCGACCGCCTCGGTGTCCAGGACTTCTCGGTAGTTCTTGCAGACATCGAGGTACTTGTAGTCGTGGTTGGCCAGGGTAATCTGCTGGTCGTAGTAACGCAGCTTGAGATCGGTCACATCATCGTTCACCTCCATCGGAGCCTCATCCGGTCCACGGGTTTTCTCTCGCTCCTCTGCCTGCTTCTGGAGCTTCTCGATCTCCTCGGCGCTCTTCTTCGGTTTCCGCGCGAAGTAGCGCTTGTTAATCTTGCGGATGAGGATCGAAGCCTGGGTCCAGTCTCCACGCTCGATACACAGAGAAACCTGTTCCAAGATGAACTCGGTCTTTTCCCTTCGAGTCATCGATCCAAACGTCTCCACTTGCAACTCGCACAGGATGTCCGCCGCGGCATTCAGATCACCTTGAGACTTCTTGATATTCGACAGGATACGTGTGACGCGGGCTCGTTCGACTTCGACGAAAATCTGTGAACAGTGGTGTAAGTAGGTTGTCCAGCTGAGGGTCCTCCCATAGGTATCCTACCTTTCCTTCAGTGACCGTCCGCAAGGTCTCGATGACCGTGAGCTTGACTTCGAGACTTGGTGTGTCATCCAAAAACTTCATCACCTCCTGTACCATTCGCGTTGTTGCCTGCTTAAGCTGGGCATGTTTCTTAGAGAGGAGGAGCACTTGGTCATTGAGAAGGTTCCAGTCGCCGGAGTTCTTGCTAATGGTGACGATGGCAATCAGGAGGCGCGAGGTAGTAGCGAGATCAGAAGCCTATCATCAGATATGGCTTTGGTCAGCCTGAGATAACTGGGGGATGGGCGACGACGAGACGTCCTACCTGTCGTGCTTGCTTCTCCAACACCAACAACTTGTCGATCGCACCTTGAACATCGGTCTGAATAAATACAGAGTCAGCATTCACCATTGCTACTTTCGGTGAAATAAGCCTTTCGCACCTTCGCAAGGGCCTCAGCTTCCGGGATAAGCTTGTCGGCGTCCTTGGTGAAGTCCTTCTCGGGCTTCAGCAGGCCGGACATGATGACGAATGTAGACGCGGGATTCGTAGATCGTTTCAGCGGTAGAAAGGAATGTGAGACAGATTAGGGGTTTGTAAGGTGAGGCACCGACAAGGCAATGCGAGGCAGAAGCAGAACAGGAGATGGCGGATGACGGTGATGCTGGAGCTCTGGGGGTCACTCCGCCCTTGGGCTTGGAAGCTGCCAGCTCCGCCTCACGTGATCCCATCAACACCTGGACTGCAGCGAGTCTCTAGCCAACGACTTTGACAAAGCAAACATGTTGATTCTACTTTACTTGACCCATCTAATTCTCTGTAATGGCTCTATAAGACCTTGGTTCCTTTCCCATTTATTTCCAGAGAAAGGGAATAACTGCAGGGGAAAGCAAATCCTACGGGTTTGAATTCTATGGCGACTGGGGATTCGGATATGATTTTGAACACTCTAGATCAAAGATCATCAATGTAGTTTTCTAGCAGGTCTGATGTCCTCCGAATAGGTTTATAGAACCCCAAGTGCAAAGCACAGAATGCCAACTGGAGAGCCCGCAGCCAGGAACCGGGCATTAGGTAAGTTGCAATCACGCAATTTCCCTCTAGGCCGCTTTGGGCTTGTAGATGTATAGAAAAATTTCGGCCATAAAATTACGACCGGCCTGTTGGAAGCAAATTGCTTTTGAGATTCGGAACTGCTTCTCGACTGAAGACTCTAATCAACACTCGACTGTCAACTCATATATTCTGCGTGGTGGCGTTGGCAACTGTCCACTCGATAAAACGAGGGTCCTTATCGGTGGCTTATCACCAATCGTGACTGGCCTTTTACTCAGTCCGGAGTAATCTCTCGATCTCCGCGGAAGTACCACAGCTCTGTGCAAAATTGTGCCAAGCAGTTTTACCGAGACTCTAATCCACACACCTGGGTGCTTGCTACCTCTTTATATCTCCCTTCGGCCGCTTTTGCCTATCCAGAAGCATATATAACCGCCATCTTGGAGCCCCGCCACCTGGAGGGGTAACCTGCACTTTGCGGTACTATACGACACGATGAAGGACGCCTCCAACGGGTTCGGTCCGGCGCCGTTAATGACAGCCTGGAATGTCGAGTCTCAAGTTCATTTGATCATTGGGTCTAATCCTTTGGCCGCTGCTCGATGCGCCAGAAGTGTTGAAGCCGGCGCGAAACCTGTCATCGTTGCGCCGGAGACGGCCGACCTGCATCCTACCCTTTCAGCGCAAATTTCGGAAGGCTCCGCACAATGGGTGCGTCGCGAATTTCAAGAAGATGACCTGACGAGCCTGGGACGAGAGGAGGTTGATCGCGTGGTGGATACGGTCTTTGTCACTCTGGGCGGCAGGAACCCATTGAGTAAGTGTGCTCGGTGGTTGGTTTGGATCGACATGTTACTAAATATGCTTTGTTTAGGCGCACACATCTCGAAACTTTGCCGACGCTTGCGGATCCCAATCAATGTGTCTGACGCCCCCGAGTTGTGTTCATTCACACTACTTTCTACCTACTCCGACGGCCCTCTGCATATTGGAATTACAACTTCGGGTCGTGGCTGCAAGCTCGCATCTCGGCTGCGCAGAGAGATTGCTGCTTTCCTCCCAGCTAACCTGGGATCGGCTATCGATCGACTTGGTGGTGTGCGCCGGAGACTCTGGGAGGAAGACCATGATGGCGAACTCGGGGATTCTACCCTGGACGGCGATGATGACGATACGTCGGGCCAGAAACACACTTTCAATACTTTGGTCACGGCAGACGATAGTTCCGCTGCGAAGACTAGGCGGATGCGTTGGTTGTCACAGATTTGCGAATACTGGCCTCTCCGAAAACTTGTGTCGGTTACTGACGAGGATATTCTCGCTATCCTAAAAGCATACTCGTCTGGTAAGGACATTGCAAAGGAGACAAATGGAACGAGTGGTTTGGCAAAGAAGGGAAAGATTGTGCTAGCAGGCTCTGGACCTGGACACCCGGACCTGCTTACCCGCGCCACATACAACGCCATCCAGAATGCCGACATCATTCTGGCTGATAAGCTCGTTCCGGCGCCAGTTTTGGAGGTGATTCCCCGCAGGACGGAAGTCCATATTGCACGCAAGTTTCCCGGCAATGCCGACCAAGCACAAGAAGAATTTCTGCAGATGGGTCTTGCAGCCCTCCGAAAAGGACAGCAGGTTCTCCGTCTGAAGCAAGGTGACCCATATCTTTATGGTCGCGGAGCCGAAGAATTCGAGTTCTTCCGGGCCGAAGGCTATACTCCAGTTGTGCTGCCAGGTATCACCAGCGCCATGAGTGCGTCTCTGTTTGCAGATATCCCGGCTACTCACCGCGGCGTATCTGATCAGGTGCTGGTCTGCACAGGAACTGGCCGGAAGGGCGCTGCCCCGGTGCCTCCAGCATACGTGCCCACCCAGACTGTTGTCTTTTTGATGGCCCTTCACCGACTCTCTGCTCTGATTGAGTCTCTCACCACATTCCCCGCCGAGGACTCGAACCGTTCACGAACGCTTTGGCCGAAGGAGACCCCTTGTGCGATTGTCGAGCGTGCCTCCTGCCCCGACCAGCGTGTCATTCGCTCAACCTTGGAGCATATATGTCTCGCATTTGAAGAGGCTGGCTCTCGGCCACCAGGCTTGCTAGTTGTTGGTGCCAGCTGCCATGTCCTGCATAGACCCGCTGACGGCCAGAAATGGGTGATTGAGGAGGGCTTTCATGGCCTGGATGAACTGCACGGTGAACTGGACACTGTGGTGTCACTACACGAAGAGAAATGATGGGACATACTGCATATAAAAAGCGACGAGATTCCGGAGCGATGGAGTTATAAGGTGTTGTACATAGACAGGATCCAGATACCCATTGAGTGACTAAAGCGCTACAACAGGTCGACGACCTTTCCTGATTTGAAATTGCCCACATCCCGTTTTCCATTCAATTGTAGACATGTGTAGGTTATCGATTTAACCTTAAAATGATCCGCGTTGTTTATAATCCAGCCCCGCATCTGATTTGCCAGAAGCTATGACGCCATACGAACACCAACACCGCCTCCACCACTCCACAATCTTCCCTGAGAATTCAAGGAAATTCAAGGAAAGCAAAGCATCGCAACATGGCGCCAACATCCCATCTTCCTCTCTTCGGTGGAGTCCGGTATGTGCCATGACCTTCTCACACCCATTTTGCGGTATAGACTAACCAAACCAACCCGCAATTAGAGCCTGGTCTCCAAACGACTGGACCTCCTCCGACGACCGCGTCCGTGGCGGCTCCTCCCAGTCAGAGCTTACCTGCTCTCCGTCCTCTTTGATCGCTAAATTCCACGGAACTCTCGATATTACGGCCCTAGGTGGCGCAGGTTTTGCCTCGCAGCGTACAACAGGCGAGGACCGGACGTGGGATCTCACTGCTTACGACGGCATCGAATTGGTCATCGACAGTGCAGATAACAAAGTGTACACCTTCACACTGAAGGATGAGATCCTGCCCAAGCGCCCTGATGGCCGGGAGCGAAGCTCAGTGAGCTGGGAGTTTAATTTTCGGGCCGAGGGAAGTCGGACCATCTTTGTCAAGTGGAGTGACTTTAGACCGACCTATCGTGGGAAGAATAAGGATGACGCCGAGCCATTGGATCTCAAAAAGATCAAGAGATTCGGCATCATGATCAGGAGGTAGGTGTTTCTTGCTCTAGTTGGGCTTTGGCTGGTAGGTACTGACTTTGTCTATTAGTTTCTTCGGAGAACAGGAAGGCGCTTTCTCGCTCAACATTGTCTCTATTGCAGCCATGCGGACAGAACGATACCTTGATGAGCCCGATGACGACTATATTGATAATGTCATGAATGAGAAATCTGCTACCACTACCGCCTCGAGACAGGCAGGGAGATGTCGAGGGTGGTTCGGCTGGTTGACATCGTGCCTTGGGTTCTGAAAACCCTGAGTAGGCTTCATAATACCTGTCTACATAAAAGAAATTTGCATTGTCTGAGGAGTTCGCGAGGAGTTCTCATATTTCGGTATATGACTATTATGCAGGAGGAAATGCCCCCTAACCTATTCAAACACAAATGCTCCAATGTACAATCCCCATTCTGACTGTCAGTATAGCTAAGCAAATGCTAAATCACTCTGCGCCTGGGTAATTGACCCATTCTGAAAAGTCCATGCCGCCCGGGCTTGGCATATGCTGCTCGATTGGAAATAAACTGCCTCCAAACCCGGGGTCGTTGAACAACTGCTCCGGGAATGGCATGAAACCTTGCTGTGGCTGCTGTTGGGGAAAGGACTGTCGGGTATCCATTTGACGAGGTGGCAGACCAGACATTATACCTGAGGGTGAGCCTAGAAGTCGATTGATGACCTCATAGCATCGGATGGCGAGTTGATTGTTGCTAAGGGATGGGTGTCTCAGAAGGGATTTGGTGGTTTCAACGTCTTGCAACCAGCTTGGGGCATCTGCATTCGAAGGGTCCGTCATGAGGAAGACAATGGGGATAAGACCAGCTTGGAAAAGGAAGTAGCTATTAGGAGAGTCATGTCAGTCAAGTGGCGGGTGATTTGACTTCTCAAAATAAAACGTACAGCATGTACCAGGCTCCGATCCTAGTGCAGACATAATGGTCCATATACTCGGAGATCGAAGAGATGGTGAGTCGTGCATTTTCAAGGCAGCGTATGCGGCATTCTGTTTCGCAAGGGTCTTCATTTCCTCCGTCGGATGATGCAACGGATGACCCATCAGAGCCTCCGCCATGGGGTCCCCAGCGTCGAGCGGCCCAGCGAAGGAGGATGGGGCGGTAAATCAGAATTGTCAGATTCCAATTCCGCCATAGTAGACGATTGCGAACGAGGGCGAGGTTGTCCGGATCTGGATGGGTTGGATGCATGGCAAGAGACTGTAATGGATAATGCATGTAGGATGGTAGGCCGTTGTACCATTCTTCCATGGGTTTCTGGAGGTTTAAGGTTTCTGCGGGTGTGATGCTAGGGCTGGAAATCAAACGATGGTACACGCTGTTGGTCAGGAGATGGAACCGGGCTTGTGCGATTAAGCCGGAGTAGAGAGTAGGCCCGGGAGATTCATGAGGAAGTGTAGTTGTTGCGGGGGTCAGCGCCTGAGGAAGATCCCATTAGCTTTGAACAGTGGCATTTATTTCACCCTTGCATGTTTTCAGAAGAGGCACTCACATCGTCATGGATATTCAGGACCTGTTTGCAGTCCATGACACTCTCCTCCGGTAGAAGAATTGGTCTGCCAAAGGTTTTGGCAGCACCGCTGTCAAAAATGAATACGCCCCACCATAGTCGGCGACGGATTTCTCGTTGGAGAAGACTGATCTTCCAGCCCGGGAACTCCTTATGTAAACCCAGACTCATAGCCATACGGACAGCCAGACCTAGATAATTCCAGCCTGTGTTGGGTTTGTTCCGTTTCTGAGCATAGTTGCTCAGCAGCAACAATGCTTGGACCAGTGTCAAGTTGCCTGTCTCGAAGACAGACGATTGCTGCAGACATGCTCGGGCTTCCTGATAGAAAGTGATATCAAGATCGGAGCTGTCATCTCCAATACTCCATGCACCAAGTGCTAGAATGGTATTGAGTAGAATCTGCCAGGCAGTGCCGTGAGGACGCAGGGAGGGTTCATTGAACTGCGCTCGGAAGGTTGGTTCGTGAACGAACGGATAGCTAGTGTGATAGTTGAGAAAGTAGGCATCAATAAATGCTTGTTCAATCAAGCCAGACGGGGCACTTTCAAGAAGTTGTGCTTTGAGTGGCACACCACCAGACCTTGACGCGCGAACTGGTATGTTCAGGTCGAATCCGTGGTCAAAAAGCGCTCTCAGCGGTACAACACTGGATGAAGATCCTAAGTCAAACTGTCAGATTGTCGAATTTGAATATTTGTCAATAGTGAGCATGTACGAACCGAAATAGCCAGCTCCCTCTGGCTTGATCGACAATGCGGCCATGCCATCTGCCAGATCTCCTAGTGCGAGTTCTTTCTCGGCCCAGTCAAAACCATCGGCCTGCTGCGGCAGAGCCTCGGGCGCAGGTTCAGTACGCTCTGCTTCAGGCCTTGCCGGAGTCGAATGCCTTGAAGACGATTTGGATGAGGGGGCCTTGGGAGGCTCTGGGTTCTGCAAAAGAGATCGAAGAGTTGCATCCAGATCGCCTCCAGGAAAGAGCCTGCTTAAGGCTGTTTCAAACGCATGCAAGCGGTCTTCAACATAGGTCAAATGCCTGAAGCGCATCGTTAGCCTTCTCTTTCGGCTTCCTCGGTATAACACGCGAATGCTTACTGCCGCGTCAGAGGGCTCCGGGTGACTTTCGGGCTGTACTTGCACTCCTTGTTCAACTGCTGGCATTGCAAACAAACTGGCCGCCCTTTTGAGCACTAGGAAGGAGTGAGTGGTAAATCCACAGACTGCCGAATCATTCTTTCTTCGAAACTTACTCTCGACTTCCTGAGTCGGCACTCATCGCACTATATTTGTATTAGATTTCTTTTATGTCTCTAAGAAGAAGGTGCATCCATCTTTTCTTCATTTCAGAGAGGTCGGCACATACAGCAAACGAATGGGAATCACGAGTACTCGCCATCTTTATCAAGACGAGGTGGATCGTTGATATTGGGTGTCTAATGCGCTCTGATCATGACACAACTCGGGAGTCATCTTTTCGAGACGGTCAGCTAGTCATATTCTGCATGGATGTCTAGGCAATATTTCAAGTTTGCTTTTGTCTTGGGAGGGGCTGATGTATAGCGCAACCACGCCGGTTTGGGGGGAGCATATATACATGTAGAAGGATCGGAAGGCATGCGGTGCATTTATATAATGGGATATGAAAACTCACGATTGGCGCTAGAGTAATCATTGATCTACTTAGACCGGCTAGCTTCGCGATGCGATGGACGAGACATGACACCCTGCATTCAACAATCCCCTCGATGGTGGGGAAACGTAGGTCATGTGATGCGCAGAAAAAATTTTGTTGCTGCCTCAGGCAGGGCTTAGAATGGGCATGAGCCGTAAGGATTGATTACAAGAAATCAATCATGGAAAGGAAGGTATTAGTTCATGACTTGTATTTAGTGACAAATGGCTGGGTTCGGAGATAGGTACAGTGGTCCAAAGCCAGAAGTCCTTTGTATAATAATCATGTTGGATAATGGTGAACTATATATTTGAGAGATAAATCAAACTCATCACAACTGGCACTTGACAAAAATTTCTTGAATATATATTTAAATGAAGGATAATTGTAGGAAATGAGCACTTTCATTAGAGAAGACCATTTTTAATTGGAAAAATAACCTACGTAGGTAGATTCCAGAGTTGTCAGGTTCTTACTTCACATTCGACTGATATGCTTGGCATGGATGCCAACGCGGGCCGGCCAATCCCATTATCCTTTCATTTTTTTCTCTTCACTGTCACCAGCACCGCAACCCAAGGAAAAAGCTAAAAGCCATCTCCATTCGAACAATTAAAGTGCCTAATAATTACCAGAGCCTGACTGAAGGTTTTTCGAACGGGAGCTTGAGCAGACCGAGGCGCAATTATGCCCTCTCAACCCCCACTACCACCCCTCCTTACACCTTATCTATCAACCCAGCCTGAGTCTTCCTTGACGCTGATTTCTTCGATTCTGGGTGCAACTTCAAACTGGCTGGTCCTAAGATTCCTTCATGCAGCACTCGGTGCCTCTTCAAGCTCTAATGCTTCATTTGGACTCGATGAGCTACCTAATGGCATTAAGCGAAAAGTGGTGCTCGTGAGCTTTTTGCGCGGCTGGGAGTTTTGGAGGGCAGAGGCAAAGCGATTGGTAAGTTTGAGCAAATTAACATATTGTCCTTCATGATCCGTGCTGTTGTTATGTTCATTCCTACCCGGGAGTTCATACGACATCTCAAACTCGTTATCTAACATCTCACCAGGGCCTGGATCTTGCGCGTTTGGCGGACAAGCACCAGTTTGCATTCGTGGACGGCTTATCGGAGCTCTTCACTTCAGCTGACGCTGCTCCCATTGCACCTTCAACGAACACGGGAGGCGCGGTGCGCATATCACTTCCTCTCCGATCTCAACCCGGCGCCGTTCCTGGAAGGGGACCTCCCTCTACAGTACGAGCTGGGCGTTCTGCAAATGGGGAAGGTAGTCAGAGAGAGCCTGGCATAGCAAAGAAATTACATTTCAGTGGGCATGGGGTTGCTTCCCTGGATGCTATGGAGAAGGATATCATTTCTGTGATCGATCAGCAAAAGACCTCCATGGAAGATGGCGATGAATTAATACTGGTAATTGATCAACCGGATTTCCTTCTTGCCGCTACTGGAGCAAGCATGGGCATCGGAGCGACGGAGATGGCAGAGTGGGTGACAGGTTTACAGCAGGTACGGCATTGAACTAGACTGCTCTTTCTGATACGAAAGTGAACTAACTTGCCTTTAAGCACGTGCACGCAACTGTTTTGACTATGGCTGCTGATTCCCCATTGATACATAACGCGTCTACTGCTGGGAACCAGCTATCTACGCCCATAGAGACGGAACATGCGGCATTTGCTATCGGTATGGCCCACCGGGCTCGATCCGTGATGCAGCTTCGCACTCTCGAAACTGGCGCCGCGAGGGATGTAAGTGGAGTGCTCAGGATCAGCCGAGGGGGCGGCTGGACTGCCGAAGCGAAGGATATTTTGGTCGAAAGGGAGTTACTGTACTACATTCAGCGCGATGGCGGAGTCCGGGCATTTGGGCGTGGCGAATCTTGAGTTCGGTCAGTTTGTCGTCTGCGCCTCTGGCATGGTTAGATATGACCCTTAAGTTTCCAACAATCGATAGACTGTGACAGAAGCTCTGTGTCCGGCGAAGTAGACACCGTACGCAAGATATACCAGAAATAGAAGAGAAATATCCTCGCATTGTTATCCGTCACGACATGGGGATATTCGCCAGTCACAAACGAGGAGAAAATAAAGGAAATTCATGCATGCTTCAAGGCCGTAGCCTTGATTTTTATGCCGCTTCGTCCTCGCACAACTGTTCATCCCCTCGGCCGTTTGCTGTCCCCAAGGCTATGTGCAAGTGACAAAACAAAGGACGAGATCGACGATCGTGACCACACCAACTCCACGAAAAAAGCGACTTTTTTAATTTCGGAATTGCCATTTGCATTTCGAGTAAATCTATCTCGCAATGCTAGGCCATGTCATGCCAGGATGTCCGACCCACCCCTCATTCCTTTTCCAGCCTCTCCGAGCAACGAAAACGCGACGCCGATTGGGAAAACATTGGTAATTTAGGCGGTCTGGGGGCCGCGGGCGCCCTTGGGGGTACCGGTCTGGAAGCCGTTCTGGAAGCGGCGGTGGACTTCGCGGAGGGAGCGCATGCGGCCGGAACCAGTGGTCTTGCGGCGCTTGGCCTTCTCACTCCAGTTGACTGTTGTAGAAAGTCCAGGTAAGCTGAGGTTCTGATAACCAAGATCGTATCCTCCACAGCGTCTGTTCCATATTCGAACCGCTGATGCTATCTGAGAGAAGGGGGATATGCGTACACTTGCGGGTCTTAGCAGCAGGGTAGCCGCAGTTGGAGCAGGTGGACTTCTGGATGTGGAAGGACCGCTGGCCTATGAAGTCGCAAAAAAGCCCGTCAGCAACCTGTCTTGATACCCGGAAAATGTCCACCCGTTGTTGTCCATCGAGGTTTCCAACACCAATCACTCTCTGTAGAGAAATTCGCGAATTCGGGACCGGACGGGTGGTTCGAAAAGATTCGAGGGAAGATGGGAAATACTAACCACAACGACGGCACAGAGTGTGAGTCTTGTTGTGGCGCTTGCCGAAGCTCGAAGTACCCTTAGCTGTTGGGAGTTGTCAGTCTTTGAACGAGTTCGATGTTGCCGACGATCGCGCCGAGCGTGGCTTCGATAGAGGACGTACTCATTTTGAATTAGGGGAACTGCAGGAGGCAATGCGATGTTAGTTAAATGAAGAGAGGATGATAACCGTAATGGGCGAAGGGGGCAGCATGCAAGCGTACCTGGCAATTCCGTTGAAGGGCTGTTGTCGGGGTCGTCGTCGCTAGGCGTATCGAAACTTCCACAGAGTGGTGATGGTGTCGGCTAAGCGATGGTGTGGGCGCGTCACGAGACCCAGGGCACAAGCCCTGACGATAATAACGTGATCTAAGTCACATGATATCTATTTGGTCCGTGCACAATGTACTACGTGATATGCTTATTTCGGCCTGGCGCATCCGCTGGACCCATCCAAGGTTCATCCGTCCAGTCACAGAACACAGCAGATCCGGACGAGGCTTGGTGTCTTTGGGGATACGAACAAATATTGTGTAGAGATTGACATTATGAGCTTGCATTACTAAATAATCAAATCATAACGGAATTATCCTTGTTCCATTGTTAATGCAATATCATGGAGGGGTATTTTAAACTGAGACGCCGAGAAGTGGAAAGGTAGACAAAAGATGAAGACTTGCTGAAGACTTTAGTCAGTTTCTTTCCCAATAAAATTCGCCATGGGATCTTCGGCGGCCAGTCGACTGCGCTTGTATGACTCAATTTCCTCCTCAGTAATGCCGGACTTCAGTTCCTCCAACGTCCGCTTCTTGTTATTGTTCGCGGCAGACTCCTGCTCCTCTGTCCTCTCGAGCTCGCGAGGGTCATTTGGGGGTTCCAGAGCATCATCATCATTACCATCCGTCTCTGGTAGCAACAACATGTTGCCCTCTTCCTCAAAGGCCTTCTTTCCTTCTACACCCGTGCAATAGCTGTTCTTCACAGTCGAGAAACAGCATGAATAGCCCCACTTGAATTCATACCACCAACTGCCCCAAACCGATGTATGATTGTTGACCATAATGTCTTCGGGGTACTTCGACTTTGTGGCTGTTTTGGGAGCGCCCTTGATGGCACCGGATTCATCATATTCAACGAACCGCTCGTTCTCGACAACCATCGTGTCGCGCAACGGGGTTGCATTCAAATGTTCGTCGCCTCCGTATTTGTTTAGGAGGGCTTCGCGCTGGGCTTGTCGTTTGGCTTCAGCATCCTCTTTCTCCTTTTTACGGAGAACTTCTCCAGATGTAGGGTTTGCTTGCAGATGGATCTGAGCCCTGCCTGCCTCTTGAGCATCCCATGCATAACGCTGAGCCTTCTCAAACTCGGCGGCGTCGCCGGAAGCACGAACAAAGTTCTCCTCTGCAACCAGGGCAGAAGCCTGGTCCTCCTGTGCACCCATATCCACCATTCGTCGAGTTTTCGGGTCATATTTGGCGGAGTCAAGGTCCAGGTTCAAAAGATACTTGGCAGTATCTTCTCGGATACGGAGGTTGCGCGTGGCGGTGCTTTGCTGTCGGCCCATGTCGGACTCTTCGGCGTAGCGGATGTCCTCCTCTTCCGCATCATCCTCATCCTCTCCGTTTTGTAGCCTCTTGAGATCAGCCCCCTCTTTCGCTGCTCGCTTCATCGTCTCGAGCTCTTCATACTCGTCAACGACTTGGCGATATTCACTGGCATCGTAGCCGTTCCATCGATCTCTCTTCGCATCCCATCCCATATCAACCTTCTGGATCACCTCGTCTGCCTGAATGTCCTTGCCCGTCCACTTGGCACCAAGTTTTCTGGGTCGACTGAGACATTCCTTGGTCTTGTGTGTCATTGCGCCGCAGTTCTCACATGCGCCCTTGCGATACTTGGTTGCGGCTGGCCCGGCGCGCTTTCCTCGGTCGTACCATTTGGACTGATCCTGGGTCGCCTTTTGGAGACGCTGATGCTCGAGGTAATCATTGTTGGAATCATCATCGACGTAAAACGGCTTCTTCGAGATGAAAGACGGAATGTATTCGTTGCGCTCCTTGGACGCCACATCGGCCGGTTTCCTTGACATGATGGGCGAACTAGCCTCCACAGGAGGACGCAGGATATATCTGCTGAGGTATCAAGAGAATAACACAACGAAGAAAGGCCAAGTGGTTTACCGCAGCCCGGAAGGAATGTTGACGTGAGACTGATTGGAGAAAGAGGTCCGAAGTGATCGACCAAGCTGGAATTTACAGGCATGCACGTGATTGGGCGTCCCACCCGCGCTCCGCTGGCGCGCGTTGGACCTGCTGTAGGACAACTCGGTTTAGCATTTATCGGCGAGTGGCGCGAATAAATCCAAAGAAGGGGGTTGAATCCGCATGGAAAGCACCCAGTTCAGTGCCTGTCCGCGCGATGTCGCTGATACTTCCTGGTGAAGCCATATCAGACCGATGGAGCCTTTTCGCGTACGCCTCAACTGCACCGATCACTACCAGGCCACCGCGTCGGAGCTGGACCCTCCACTGCCATTTCGAGATGGCGTCTCGGAGAAAGACTATAGGCCCAGAGTACCTGTGATACGAGTGTTTGGGGCAACTGAAACCGGCCAACGAGTTTGCGTCCATATCCATGGTGCATTTCCTTACCTATACATCGAGTACAGTGGATCGTTGGCGCCTGAAGCAGGTATGTTCAGACAAGATAGCCTACATACGTTATCAATATTTACTTACTAAATGAAATTCTTCTATAGTGAGCTCAGCGATTCGTACTCTCCACCTCTCCATCGATCATGCCTTGGCAGTCAGCTATCGCCGTAATGCCTACGACAGAAAGACTGCGTATGTCGCACACATTACCCTAGTCAAAGGGATTCCATTCTATGGGTACCATGTCGGCTACCGGTCTTTTTTCAAGATTTATCTTCTCAATCCTTTCCATATTACTCGCTTAGCGGACCTGTTTCACCAGGGAGCAGTCATGAAACGACCACTCCAGCCATACGAGAGCCACCTACAGTTTGTCCCACAATGGATGTGCGATTACAACCTATACGGGTGTGGATATATGGACTGCAAAAAAGTCTACTTCCGGCCACCGGTACCGGAATACCTGGAGCTCACCAATTTGGATCACCGCTGGCATGACCGCTCAATCCACCCTGAGAATATTCTTGATGACCCGGCCCTTCCGAAGCAGAGCCACTGTCCCTTGGAAGTAGATGTTTGCGTGCAAGACATACTTAACCGTTCCGATATTAAAGAGCGCTCCTTGCATCACGACTTCACAGAGCTCTTGAGACCGGCTGCGTTCAACGAGCGTTTGGTTCCCAGTGTGGCTGGACTCTGGCAAGATGAGACGAGAAGACGCAAGAAACTTATGGGAATCACGGATCCAGACAGTACCCCGTTTGGCCCCGAGGAACTGATATCCATGTCTGCCGACCCACGGAATCAATCCAGGGCAGGCTGGGTTCACGAAGACGAATTTCGCGAGTTGGCACTCCAACTTGTTGCCGATGAACGACTTGAAGATAACGCCAAGGAAACTTCTTTTGAAACTTTCCTGGCTCCCGATGCGGAGAAAGAGAATATCAAAACAGCCTTGGCCAGTGTAGAAGATTTCTATCCTGACAAACTGAACGGCTCCACTTTGGATAGGCACCATCGTATCTCGCAGGCAGCTGACGAACAACTGCCTCAGATTTCCGTTGATGAAGGCCTGTTACTATCTTCCCAAGTGGATGAAAACTACGTCTCGGATCATGGGCAGGAGCTATTAAGAGAAGATGAGAACCTAGAGGAACCTCAAGAACAGTTTCAACCCTTCCAAGCAGCAGCACTTGAAGAGAGCTTCTATGATTGTGTTTTTGATGAACTTACACAACCCGTTGAAGCACAAAAGCGTGCACAGGCGGATAGCGCTTCAGGTCTGCAGACAGATGATGATTTTCTCAGGGCGCCCCCATCTTTTATGATTGACCCCAGTGCTTATTGCGAAGCACATCGTGAAGTCAACGCACGCTCAACAAGCTCAAGACGATCGCATAAAGAAACTGCCGATGGTGAACAGCTGCAATCGGTCAAAAAACCGAGGTTCTGGAGCAATACAGACGAGACCAGTCCGCAGAAAGAGCTGATCGAAAATTTCAACCATGTTGAGACCACAAAAAGTGGCAATTGCCTGGCCCAAATCCGCACCAGTCCCCACATGGAAGCACTGCCATCTTCCGACCCAAAACGCTCCTCCCAGAAAACAATCCGTTCATCAAAGGCAATGGTGAAAGCACCCAACAGCAGACTGAACTACCCCGTTGTCAAGGATCCCAATGACCCAATGACAATTCTACGATTCAGCCAAGATGAAAGCAGTTCTTCAAAGAAGGACTCAGCATCACAGCTCATGCCAAGCTCGTTCCCGTCAGGATCAACCACGAGCGCCAAGTCAGGCGATGCTAGTGCCTCTGCAGATTCCTCAACGCTGCTCCGATCCTCCTCTACAGCAGTAGAGGCTCGTATCGCACTTGATCCACATGTGGCCCATATCAAATCAAAACTTCATGACTCGTTTCATTTCCACCGGGACACTACTTTATGCCTTTTCAGATTGGCCAGCCCAAGCACCAATGAGGCAGTGTCGACCTTGAATGATTTTGGTCGCCCATCTGTCGTCTATCAAAAAGCATACTACAGTACTGAGGCGGATGTACCTGAAAGACCTCGTTTGTACGCTGGCCGAGAATTTCGATTAGAAAGCGACACAATCCATTTTCTACCCCAGTTTGACCCATCAGGAAACTCGCCTGCGATGTTTGACGAGCAGCGACTTTCGGCTGTGGTTGATCAAGGGCAGCAAGAAAAGATTGATCAGGAATTGCGGGAAGCTTGTACCTCCAGGGCATGGGAGTTTGCGCCGGTACCGCCCAGTCGGTCTGAAGTAGTGGCTTGGTTCGAACAAGTCGAAGCCTCATCACGCAAGGCTAGCGCCAGCACCAGTACACCAACCATTAATCAGCCTCTTTCGGGGAAGAAGCTTGAAGCTTTATCACAAATCGAAGGTCCAACACAACGGAACCCCTACGGCGCCAAATACTCTCAAAAGGCGAAGGCCACCAGCGTGGAGCATCAAACGCAGTACATGAGCACCATGAGCCTGGAAGTGCATGTAAACACCCGCGGAGCTCTATCATCCAATCCGGACGAGGATGAGATATCTTGTCTTTTCTGGTGCCTTCAATCTGAAGACGATGCTCTCGAGGTCAATAGCCATCTGCCCGGCGTTCACGTCGGGATGATCTATCAAGGGGAGGGGGTAGACCCGAAGCTAAGTTTTCCAAAGCGCTGAGAATTGAGGTTGAGCAGGAACCGACCGAACTCGACCTGATCAACCGGCTAGTTGACCTTGTTCGCTACCACGACCCGGATATCATCACAGGCTATGAAGTTCACAATGGTTCCTGGGGGTACGTGATTGAGCGAGCTCGGAAGAAGTATGACTTTGATCTCTGCGCGGAGTTGTCTAGAGTCAAATCACAGTCAAATAGCAAATTCGGCAAAGAGGATGATCGCTGGGGATTCGAGCATGCTTCGTCGATTCGAATGACTGGCCGACACATGATCAATATCTGGCGTGCCATGCGAGGGGAGCTAAACCTGCTGCAGTATACCATGGAGAATGTTGTGTTTCACCTTCTGCAGCGCCGAATTCCTCACTACTCGGCCAAAGACCTCACACAATGGTACCAAAGCGGAAAGCCTCGCAACATGCTGAAAGTTGTGGAGTACTTTACATCGCGAGTACAAATGAACTTGGAAATTCTCGAGGCCAACGAGTTGATTCCGCGGACCAGCGAGCAAGCGAGATTGCTGGGGATTGACTTCTACTCTGTCTTCGCTCGTGGATCTCAGTTCAAAGTCGAGTCTTTGATGTTCCGAATTGCCAAGCCAGAGAACTTCTTGCTCGTCTCTCCAAGCAGAAAGCAAGTTGGACAGCAGAATGCTTTAGAATGCTTGCCTCTGGTCATGGAGCCGCAGAGCGACTTCTACACCAGCCCTCTTCTGGTGCTTGACTTTCAATCACTCTATCCTAGTGTGATGATTGCCTACAACTACTGCTACTCGACCTTTCTTGGCCGAGCTGTCCCGTGGCGCGGCAAAGATAAAATGGGCTTCCTAGACTACAAGCGGGAGCCTCGACTACTGGAATTACTGAAAGACAAGATCAATATTGCGCCAAATGGCATGATGTATGCAAAGCCAGAAGTCCGCCAGTCACTGCTCGCCAAGATGCTTACGGAAATCCTTGAAACCCGAATCATGGTCAAGACTGGAATGAAGACTGAGAAAGGGGACAAGACCTTGCAACGATTGCTCAACAATCGACAGCTGGCTCTGAAACTTATTGCCAACGTCACGTACGGATATACATCTGCTTCATTTTCTGGTCGAATGCCTTGCTCAGAGATCGCAGACAGCATTGTGCAGTCGGGTCGAGAGACGCTGGAAAAAGCCATTGCCTTCATTCACTCCATCGAGAGATGGGGTGCAGAGGTTGTCTACGGTGATACCGACAGTCTGTTCGTCTATCTCAAGGGTCGCACACGCGATCAAGCCTTTGACATCGGCGAGGAGATTGCACAGGCAGTGACAGACATGAATCCGCGCCCAATAAAGCTGAAGTTCGAGAAGGTCTACCACCCCTGCGTACTTCTAGCGAAGAAGCGGTACGTCGGGTTCAAATATGAGCATCGCACACAAACCGAACCCGAGTTTGACGCCAAAGGCATTGAGACCGTGCGACGGGATGGGACACCCGCAGAGCAAAAGATTGAAGAAAAGGCTCTGAAGCTACTCTTCCGAACTGCAGACCTGAGCCAAGTGAAATCCTACTTTCAACGACAGTGCAGCAAGATCATGCAAGGCCGTGTCTCGATTCAAGATTTTTGCTTCGCTCGTGAGGTCCGTCTGGGTACCTACAGTGAGCGTGGCACTCTCCCCGCCGGTGCCATGATCAGTACCAAGCGCATGTTGGAGGACCCTCGGTTAGAGCCGCAATTAGGTGAACGCGTCCCATATGTCGTCGTTACTGGGGCACCTGGATCAAGACTTATTGACCGGTGTGTTGCGCCGGAGATCCTCTTACATGACGCGCAGCTTGATCTCGATGCAGAATACTACATCACCAAAAACCTGATTCCACCACTGGAGCGAATCTTCAACCTTGTCGGTGCCAATGTACGCCAATGGTATGACGAAATGCCCAAGGTGCAACGAATCCGACGAGTTGACGCATCCTCGATTTCAACTTCATCCCGCCCGCACCAGCAGCTTGGAATCCAGAAGAAGACGCTGGAATCATACATGCGGTCCTCTTCATGCATCGTCTGCCGAGCTAAGCTGTCTGATGCTGGCATCCCTGTTTGTCATGAGTGTCTGCAACAGCCACACCTTGCACTTTTTGATGTTGTCTCCCGACTGCAGCAGGCCGAGAAGCGAGTTGTTGATCTAGAGGCAGTGTGTCGGTCGTGCATGGGTGTTACAGCATGCGACAGCGTTGCGTGTGATAGCTTGGATTGTCCCGTTTTCTACTCCCGGACTAGAGATGCGGCCAATTTGCGGCATTTGAAGGCTGTGCTAGAGCCAGTAGTGGAACTGCTGGAGAAGAAAGGTCACCAAGAACTCGATTGGTGAGAAAGATGTGTTTTTCACTGGCTGCTTGCTCATTTTTTTGGAGTTTGGGCTTTTTGGTTGGCTAATTGGTATTTTGATATCGATGAATGATCTTTACGGAGGCGTTAGATATACCCCCCACACGGCCAAAATGGATACCGGCGCGTGCTGTCTTTCAATAGTCTTCCGCCCTTACATAAAGAATCAGAGTATCATAATTTCTGCCGAGGCTAATGGATATAAAACGAATCTCGTCAGTCAAACGGCAAATGGCGGGAACACATGTCGCATGAACATCGATCGCAAAAACGCTGACTGCCCTCTCGCTGCTCCATAATCCATAATTACGAAAAAGGCCTGGGTTGAAAGTTCACGGTGTCAAACCACCTGCCCCATTCGCCAATCACCGTTCTCTTCATCGTCGCCGTCCCCTAGCAGTGCGATCAACTCATCCATCGCAGACGGCTTCACATCTCCCTCAAGCTCAACGATATCCACGGCTTCGTCATCCTCATCGACAACCTCGACACCATCCTGAGCATCCTCGACCACCCACCCACTTCCCTCAGACGACTCGTCAACTGCCGAAGGGTTGACAAGCCGCTCGGCCTTCACGACATCTTGGACTTCATTGGGTGCCAGAGAGAGATCCCCACCCGCCACCTCATAGAGCCTGTCTTCACAGAGATTGTTCTCATAAAGGTCCTCGTCACCAAAATACTGTGGTTCATTCATGCCAAGTTTCCGGTCTAACTTCGCAGGTAATTTGGCCTCGTCTTGATCTCCCTCGAACTTGGCAATGAATTCAGAATCTTCGATTTGGCCCATGATCTTCATGACCTCCGCATGCGAGAAGGTTTTAGCTATGTTGTTTTTGGCATCTAAAGCCTTCGCCTCCATCTGCGCAGGGCGCAGCTCACCAGCCGCACTCCTGGCAATTTTACACAGGATACCATCGAAAACCCAGGGGAAGCTGATGAGAGGCATTTTGATGATTTCGGTCTCGCGTTCATCGGGTAATAGGCCGTCGTCATCGTCATCATCATACCTGTTTTCACCTCGCCGTGCAGCCATCGTATCCTGTACCTCTTGATGAGTGATGCGGTACATGGAAACGACCAGGGGCGCAATTTGCCCAAAGTCCCGCTTGCCGACCTCCTTATAGCACTGCTCTCGGAAACCTAATCGAAGACTACTCGCCACTGTGCCTAGTTCTTCGTGTAATTTGTAGTCCCGGCACATACCGCTGTGTTTAAGAACGAAGGCTGACCAGATCTCAAACTCGGTCTGGATACCATACTTGGCCATGATTCGTCGCATTGATGCATCATATTCTACCTTCAATTCGCTCGCGAAATGGTCGTATTTCTTGCTGTTTCCCACCAGGTCGCATTGAAGAATCCGAGAGTCGAAAGGGTTACTCAGGCTGGGCGAGAAATCCTCCATCTTTACAGCATCGTACAGTTGACCCAGAATTTTCTTTGATTGATAGGTTCGTTTGTGCCTCTTATCCATGAAATGCGGCCAGATATGTGGCTCGAGATCGCGCCCCATGATAGCAGGAGACCCTGTCTTGTTGTAGTCCACAGCATCTGAGTGTAACTGAGCGAGACGAATGCACTTGGGCTCACGGACCCCATTGGCAAGACGATCTGCATGTGCCATGTGGGCATGGGCAATTCGGGGTAAGCTATCATTCTTCATGTACGTGACATAGAACGAAGTGATATCGTCGACTGTCACATCGCGATCAAGGTCCGGGGCCTTTCTGGTGGCATATTTCCAGGGCCGTGTGAACCAGTCTCTTGGAATAAGGTCCTTGTCCCAGATAACGAGGTAGTCATCCCCGTCCAGATCCCCTCCAGAGCACATGCTAGTGATGTCTCGGTCACCCGTTTGGGGGAATACGACCACATCGACGAGGTGCCTTAGTTCATGGCAATCGACAGCATGCACCACACGAATGTCGCCTGGATGCAGCGATGGGTTCCGGGCCACAATGCAAACACCCTGGATGACCCTCGCCGAGACGCCCTTCTCCATACTGCTAATTTGGACAAAGATTTGCGGAAGGGCCGCCAGTTTCTCTTTTTCCGTCACCCTTTGTCTTGTCACCTGGCGGTCAAAGTAGCCCTTCAAAGTTCCAGTCTCATCAAGAACGCCAAGCAGAGATGCCCCGTGTTCGATTAAGATTTTGGCCTTCTCCTTGAGATGTTTCTTATGCCAGGATTTCCACAGACCGAGAAGGGAACTGACAAAGGGCTCCTTCGTGCTTCGGAATCCAGCAGACACCATCTGTGACAGTGATAGGGTTATTTGGTTGGGATCAACGAACTTCTGGAGCAACTCAATAGCCTGATTGTCGTTGTTCATTGCATAGTTGATGCTCTCTAACATGACGTTGAGTCTGTCGTGGAAGACTTGGTTCTTCACACCCTGAGCTGAAAGAACCAGAATCAGCTGGCGGTTCAGAGTTGCGGCGGAAAACTGTGACCACCGAATAATTTCGAGACGATTGTGTCCAGCCTCAAACTTGAACTGGCTCGGACGAATGTGCACATCGTTTACTGTAGGATCCGATGAATAAGTCAGCATGCCTTTGCACCCACCCAGTCGAAACTGGTAAGCGGATGGAGGCCTGCCGTAAGGATCTGCGACGCCCATCTCGTTTGAGATGATTCTGGTTGTGAATTTGGAGATTTTTCCCACCCCATCAGAGAAGCAATGGCCATTGCGAAGAATGTCCGGGATCCTCTTGACATTCACTCGACAGCCGGCGAGCGCTCGCGTGGTTGAGAAACACTGACCCAAGCGTGCTGCGTATCGAGCGACATTTCGGATGTGATTGAATTGACCCATCCAGGCTCGGATATGAGCAGCCGTGAGGTTACTTGTTGGGGCAAAGAAGTATGCACCGTGCTCGCGGAATTGAGAGTTGCCGAATGCTAAAAACTCGTAGTGACGATCGCCGATGGTGATCCCGTTGGCCAAGGTTCTCTTGACCCGAGTGAATATTTCATCATTTGAGCGGTAACTGGTCGAATAGATCCGACCCTGAGACTTTTCATCTGTAAATCGAACACGGAGGAAGCGATCAAGGTACTCCTGGTAGTGACGAGTAACCCGATTCGAGGCGTCGAGGGTCGGGGTGTTATAGTGAATAGTGGTTGGAGTAACCCGCGCAGAACGCATGAAACAGCAGTAGGCTGGGATGATCGAGCCCGAGACCCCATTACCATATTTTATGTTGAAGATCTTCATGGGATCAAGATACTGCTTTCTCTCCGTAGCGACGTGCTCCAGAAGTTTTACGGCTGAAGCAACCCCAAGGTCCATCAGATGCACGACAAATTGACGAGACATTGTAAACTCGGAGAGGTGTCCATGTGAAATGCAAACTTCCAGCTGGTAGCGGACGGCAAAGGGCAGGTGCACATAGTCCTGATCTGCGATCTCCTCCAGCGTCGAAGAGAAACGTGTTTTCGAGTCGGGGATATCAATCCATCGCCACACAGGATCCGGGCGCTCAGGACTGCTCTTGAAATGCTTTCCACCCTCGATGAAAACATTGTGGTCTTTCAACATCTCCTGGACGAGCTTGAATTCAGTCTCAAGGAGGTGATCAGTGGAAAATGTAAACTTGAAAACATTCCATCTACCTGTGAAGAGGGCGGGAAATACCAAAGTCAGAATTTCTCATCCGCACCGACTCGGGATCAAATTTGCAAGACGGCGGGCTTACCAAGATCAATGATCTGACCTACCCTACGTAGGCTAGTGGGGGCTTTGACCTGGTGGCCCAAGCTGTGCGCGATAGAAGTCTGACGCAGCCATGCATCACTGTCCCGCCAGGTGGTTTGGGTACTGAAGGTAGTAAGGATGTCTGTGGACTGTCGGTGATAGAGAGGGGGAGAGTCCAGGATTATGACAAGAGACACCTCGTGAGAGTCTTCTTCGTAAGCCTCCCACACGCGTGCTAGCTGAAGGAAGGGGATCTTTAGCCTGTAGGTGGAAGCACTCATTTCGGGTACACCGGCAGCAACTGGTCGGGAGTGGTGAAGAACCACATTGAAATGTGCGAACAGTGCCTTTGCTCGGACATCCACGACCATCCTGGGCTTTGCCTCATCTGAGAAAGTCCGCATGGCGCAGGTGGTGGATCCGTCTACCAGGACCCCAATATCACACCTCTTGCAAGGTAGCTCTTGCTTTGTGCAAAATATTGTCAGTTTTCTAGCGAAGCAAGATATGGAAGACATTGTGTCCAGATTGACTTACACTCTCTCGAGGATAGAAGACATTCTCGCGACTCGGGCTCTTTAGGAAGGGACTTGGGCAACTTCGGTCAAGTGCCACTCCAATATATACGACACGCCTACCTGGCAGCGGGATCTGGTAGACGCCACTTCGCCAGAAGACCGTTGTCGGAGGCCGCCTGTTTGAAGGTCAAAATTGATCAGAATGTCATGGTTTGAAACCGCCAAAGGTGGGGAACCAGCAAAGATTAGATGAAAGGCAGACCAGCGAGAGGTGAAGACATACTTGAACCGAATCCGGCCCTTCAAGCTACGGGCTCCATGCCGGTCATCGAAAATGTCGATGGAACGGATCTCACCTTCCCTGGAAAAGGCATTCCACAGGGCTTTGGTATCTGCCTCTCTCGGCACGCGCGAGATATTGACTGCGACGGATTCCCACTGCTCCCAGGGTAACCAGAAGGCTGAGCTCTGGGAGGCGGGAACGAAAGCTCGTGAAGCAGACATGATGAGCAGCGTGATGTTGTAATGGGAAAGAAGATGAAAGAGAAAAGCTTTACCATCAGTAGATCTCGATAAGCTGCATGGAAATAGCCCTAAACATCCACGTGTGGCTCGTGCCTGCCACCTCATTTATCTTCATGGGTAGACGTCTAGTATAAAACCCAGCGACTAATACCCAGTAAAGCTGCATATCTGTGAGTATCGGAAATAGGCAACAATCTCCGAAGACGGGCAAATAACTTAGGCTATTGTATCTTATCGGCTGTATAGCACTATAGTCAGACTTCAGCGCACCGTTGTCATCTGAGGAATAATGTTAACTGGACAAGCAGACGTAACATAGGAGGGCCAATTTTGAGGATGATAGATATCAGCCACAGATAAAACTTCTGAGCTCCAGAGCAACTCAAGATAGGGGCAGTTTCATTGCTTAGTTGGCGGGTTAGTTGGCAAAGGTGATACAGAACGATGACCGCCTACTCGCGTCAGTTAGGAAGGCAGAGGGGCTCGCGTTGCGACTATCATTCAGGAAGACGAGTACATGGGCATCAACTACGTCGAGTATGAAACCTGGCTTACAACTGCATCAACGGGAGTAGAATAGAATTCAAGCAATAACAAAAGTGGCAAGGGTATTAACTAAGAGGAAAACCACAGAATCTTGTGAGAAGCTCTGATACCGCTGTGGCAGCTTAAGAGGAACGTCCAACGATATTGTAACAATGAGTGACATCATTGGGGAGCTAGCAGATCACTGGGGCCAGAGAAAGCTGTGCTCGTAAAAATGTGGTCCTTCGAGAACTCCAAATCCATATCCAGGTCTAAATCATGGAAGTGATTGTCATCTAAAACCTCCGTGGATGCAGAGCGATATTGGCTGCCCTTTGGCCCGACGCTTAGTTGAGGCTTAAGGGGACTGTTGAGGTCAGCCTCAACAAGAGGTTGCCGGGAGATGGTTCTGGGGACAGTTATATTCACTGTTGAGCCAACACCGGTGGGTGTCTTGGGAGCAGGCGCCGGGGAAAGGTGGATGTATCGTCCATTATCCTCGGGTCTTCTGGGACTAGGACCCTGAAGATGAGAGGACAAAGAGCCGAGCGACTCTGCGAGCTGGATATCATCATCGCCGTCCCACGCGGCTGAGTGGCGTTGATCTGAAGTGAGGACGGTATCAGTGTCTCTGCTTGGTTGCGGCCTGTTTGGGACCTGCTCATTTGGTTTTGCAGAGAAGCCCATGACATTTATGAGCCGGCTGATATGCTGCTGGGCTTCCGAGAATTCCCTAGCCTTTGCTGTTCTCGCATCGCGAAGAGATTGGATCTGGAGAAGGGATTAGAAAAAAAGTGAATAAATAGAGTATCTGTAATCTCAGATATGACTTGCTCACCTTGCTTTCTAACTGGTGAATGCGCTTATCCTTGGACTGTAGCTTCTTGAAGGCATCGTTGGCGGCTGTCTGCATGACCTTTTGTATCCGGGCGCTCTCTTCCTGTTGTTTGGCTACCTGTAGCTTCTTTGTTAGCAAAGCGATTTTCTTTTTGACCAATAGATTTCTGAGGGACGCCATACTTTTGAAGCAAAACTGGCGATTTTCGCCTCTTGCTCTTGTTTCAGCATCTCAGTATCGGTCCTTGCCTTTTCTTCAGCTTCTTGCAATTTTGAATAGAGCCGCTCAACTTGTAAGTTTTGCTCCTCAATCTGCACGTTAGGTGAGTGATCATTCGGAAATAATATCCATAGCTAGGAAAGGGGGAGAGGGGTGGTGTACCATTGTTTTCATACTACTCAGCTCTATCTGCAAATCCTTATTGTCCGTAAGAAGACGCTTGATTTCATCTTCCTTTTGAGAGCAGAGCAATTGATTTGCTTCCAAAAAACCTTTGACTTCTTCGATCTCATGCTGCAAAGCTGCCATTGTTTTGGCGGAGGCGGACTTATCATGGGTAAGCGTCTCCATGACTTGACGGCGGCCTTCACTGTCCGACTTTAGATGCCGCACTTGCTCTTGCAGCTCTTCGAGCTGATCATCCTTTTCAGTACTTGTAGCAATCAGATCGAGCTCTCGGGTTCGAGCTTTTTCTTGCTCCATTCGAAGCACTTCTTCCGAGTGGTGCTGTTGATCGTGCAGCTCTTGCCGGGTAGATTCAAGCGCTGCTGATAGCTCCTCGACACGAGTGTTTGCATTATCAGCATGTGCTTCAAGACGTGCCAGCTCTTGCTGAAGCGATGAATTTGCATCTAATGATTGGTCCAATTGTCTGTGTAAATCTTCATTCTTTTGTCTCAGTTGTTCGGCTTCATTCGTTTGTCTGTCGCGCTCCTCCTCCGCAGACCGCACAGGTCCTTCGATATCGTAGCATCGACGTTCAAGATCAAAGCAAATGTCCTCGATCCTTTTCATCATATTGCTGTGCGATATTTCGGAATCTTGCCTGTGCATTTTGGTGATAGCAGAACGCCAGTCCAAGGTTGAGCGGCCCGTTAAGGCAAATTCTTGCCTATTGCGCAGATCAAGGCAGCCTCGGAAGTCTTTGCAAGCAGCTTGCGTAAAGCTGCACTCACTACTGTTGATCGTTCTCGTAGCTCGTTCCACAAAGGTTCTCATTATAACAATATCTGTACTGTCGTCGCCATGCGACAGAGCCGCAGCAAAGTAAATGTCAAATAATTTGAGCAAAATACTGTTTTGTAAGGCGCTGTATGCACAGTAGCAGACCTGTGAGCCCTGGCACTGTTGCTGACCCGGAACCAGGGGGAAATTTCCGAACAGGCTGGCAATAGTCCGCTTGGTAGAGGCCGAGTTTAGTAGCGACGCAATCATAGGCTGCGACAAATTGGACTGAAATTCTGAGAAGAGGAGATTTGACACGTGGAGATTAACCATGGAGTCGCGTCCGAGGCTGTCCTCTTTCAAGGCCTCAACTGTGAACCGCAGGAGCTCGTATATGACAGACTCATCATAGCCCTATTTGTGTCAGTGTCAAAACTCCTGCATCTGATTTGAATGAAGCCTCACCACCAAAGAATCTGTCAGGCGTGAAACAAGTCGTGTCGGCATCGCTCCAAGTACTACTCTGCTGTCTTTAGAGACAAGCACACGGAGACCAAGGTCCCGAATGTGAGAAGGCAAAGATCCCACGGTTTGAAGAGAAAGCAAAAATGTGACCCCCTAAAGGTAAAAAACAAACTCTACGTGTCAGATGATAGATAGACTGAGGAGTGGAAAAGAGGTCCGCACCATAATTTGTGTCTCCCTGTTCAAATTCTCCCTGGCCACCTTCTCGCATAGCTTGGCAATCTTGGCTGAATTGCTAGTAAGCCAAATTCTCTTCTGCTCTGGTTCAATAACATCGGCAATGCAAATGGCAAGACGAATGCTTTCTGCGGCTTGTGACGGAGTGAGATTGTTGCAGCTCGAGGAACAGGCGAGGATGACGCGCAAAACGATCAGGTCTAAAGTCTTGAGACCACGCTTGGGGCCAAAAAAATTCTGAATATTGAGAAGCCAAGACGGCATTTCCGGCCCGTGTTGGTTGCGAGGCTGCTTCTGTTGAGTTGATGCTATCTGCGCAAAAGTGGCCAGGCCCAAAAGGTTACCCATGTGGTCGTCGAGGTTGCGCAGCATTTTAGTAAATTCAAGCTGAAGGTTAGACATGACTTCTATTGGAACATCGTTAATGAAGTTGGGAGATCCCTGGAGGCCAGTCATCAGGGCATGCAAGGGCGCTATTGTCTCTGCTCCGGGATTGGCCGCCATCATGGACACTAGCTTCGTAATAAAGCCGGCGAGACGAGCGGGAGGTGTAAAGCCCCGTGGAAGAGGCGACGAGAACAATGCAACACATGCTGGATGATACTGATAGTTCTTTAGTCTACAGTCACATGAAATATAGCCCAGTATCATGATGGAGCATGCACCTACCTCGAGTTCCCCGGCAACAAGAGCTTTTTGGAGGAAAGCATCCAAGATCACTGGTTGACGATCCAATAACGCATCGCGAAAACCTGTATTCAGTGCTAGAATATGGTGAGTAACAGATCCTTCGATATGGGATAGTATCACAGTGCCTACCAAAAGCCGCAAGCAGTGGGAGGGCGACTCGCGAACGGGACAAGCCCTCTACCAAAACATCGGCCAACAAGCCCACCTGACAGGGCTTATGAAGCACCCAAGAGTCGACTATTGAAGAAGAGCTGGCCTGGACCAGGTAATGTAAATTCTATCCTCACGTGTTATCGCTGTGCTTCATCCCAATAATGGCAGGTTCACGCCTTACCTGGAGTGAGGGCACGTAAGGCGCTGTCACGACGCGTTCGATCTCGCTCGTTAGGCGAGTGAGTTCCTCGGCCATGATAACGAGTCTTGCATTCGGGGATGCTGGATTTTGTCGCGGTCGTTGTCGGCTTCTCTCACCATCTTGGTGGCCGAGAATTGTGTTGCCGTCGTTGCCCCCTCAACGGGCTTGAGCATAGTTCGGCCAATAAGGGTTTCGAGCGCTTTCGGCCATTTTCGGTAATCTTCAATCTACAATCTACTCGCCAATTCTGCGCGACGTGAAAGGGGTATTACAACAAATACAGCCTCGGTGAAAGAAAAGGATGGAAACGACATGTAATAGCTCAAGGTAGCGGATAAATTCATTTCGAGGCTCAGGCTGATCCCCCACACCCCCACGCCTTTCGAGCCGCGGAATTAAAGCCTTCTGTTCTCGGCCGAAGTCCGAGGCCGGCATTCGCTGTTCTTTCCCCCCATCGAGCACATCATTCAAGCTCGCCATGTCGTCTACAGGCTTGGTTCATATTTCTTTCTGTAAACCTTTCATAACAGGCAGCCATACGGTAGAACTTCCCGTTGAGCTTTCTCCAACTCTTCCTACGATCTAAATAGCTACCTCGCCACTATGCGAGCGGCGTTCCTGATCCCTCGTGGATCCCCCACTCCCCCGCATGCCCCATTGCCGCCCCCGGATTTCGCAGTCTCGGAGCGTTATAGCCTCCAGGAGTATTCGGGCAAATGCTACGAGCAGTACGAGTGGAAGCCAGCACCAACATCGCTCAACGAGTTCCAATTCACCGAACAATGCCTCGTCCTGGACCCTTAGTCGCACGCTGCTCACCTCCGCATTTGCTGCGGGGCTAGGCTATGGCTACGCTTCGTACGGACAGACATCACCAAACGCAGCGGATAAGCCACAGTATGGTTCCACAAAAGACTTCGAGAAGGTACGGCCATTGGATCCCGAGCTTGACTATGAACATGGATTCACGATTTCAGGCGATCGCAGAATTGAGAGGGAAATTAGGCGACGACACAATTAGCACCGATGAGGACGATCTTCTGCAGCACGGCTACTCGGAATGGTCGAGTCTTAATGCCGACCGACTCCCCGTCGCGATTGCATATCCCACCACCACAGAAGATGTCGCTGAAATTGCGAAGGTCTGCCATAAGTACCGGATGCCGATGATTCCTTACTCGGGTGGTTCCAGCCTGGAAGCCAATTTCTCGGCACCTTACGGCGGACTGACCATTGACTTTGCTTCGATGAACAAGGTCCTGGAAATTCACCAGGATGACATGGACATTGTCGTACAACCATCCATTCAGTGGATGGACCTGAACGAGCAGATCAAGGACACTGGTCTCTTCTTCCCCGTCGACCCTGGTCCATCTGCGATGATTGGTGGTATGGTAGGTACCAATTGCAGTGGGACAAATGCAGTGCGGTATGGTACTATGAAGGATTGGGTGATCAACCTGACGGTTGTGCTGGCTAATGGCCAAATCATTAAGACGCGCAGACGTCCCCGCAAAACCTCTGCTGGCTACAATCTCACGGGACTGTTCGTGGGATCAGAGGGAACATTGGGTATCGTTACGGAAGCCACGTTGAAGCTAGCGCCAATTCCTGAGCTGACCCGGGTTGGGGTTGTTGCATTCCCGACGATTCGTGACTGCGCATCTACTGCGATGCAACTTATTAAGAAGGGTATTCAAGTCCAATGCATTGAAATTTTGGATGAGGTCCAAATGGATGTGATCAACAGGGCAGGTGGTACAGGAAGAACCTGGGGTGTCTCTCCTACTTTGTTCTTCAAGTTCAGTGGAACAACAGCAGGCGTCGCTGATAGCATCACCTTGACGAAGCAGCTTGCCAAGTCTAATGTATGTTCTCTGGACATGGACAGGGTCTTGTGAGCTCAAGTGACTGACACGAATACAGAACGCGTTGACATTCACCTTCGCAAAGGACGAAAAGGAGGCACATGACTTGTGGTCTGCACGAAAGCAGTCCCTATGGAGTATGATGGCTTTGCGCAAGGAGGGCTCTGAAGTATGGTCAACGGATGTGGCCGTACCAATTTCCAGGCTTCCTGATATTATTGAAATTTCGAAGAAGGAATTGGATGACCTCGGTATTTTTGCCAGTATTCTTGGGCACATTGGCGACGGTAACTTCCATGCGAGCATTATGTACGACCGCCACGACCCAGACGAGCGAGCCCGTGTTGAGAAGGTTGTCCATGATATGGTTGATCGTGCTCTTGAAATGGAGGGTTCTTGCACGGTATGATACAATAAGCTTTCGGTGACTTCAAGGGCATCTCACTAATGGATCTTACAGGGTGAACACGGCATCGGTCTGGGCAAGAAGGGATCCTTGAAGAAAGAGCTCGGCCCGGGCACAATTGATGTTATGCGGAAGCTTAAGCGGTCCCTTGATCCACACTGGCTTTTGAATCCTGGCAAGATTTTTGACTCGGAGGAAGATTCCTGAATTCATCTTTTGCAAGGTAAGCATATATAAGATGTGTACCTAACACCAAAACATCATAAATAGTTTTGCAATTCAAGCCAGCGGATTATTCTTTTAACATTAAGCATACTAAAGCCACGAGATGGGCATGTGCTGCTCCAAGTCTAGTTCTTGAAAGGATCTCTCAAAGAGCCCTTCATTCCATTGACAGGCTGTTCCAGCGCTAGGAACGGCTGAAGCCCCGGCGGTTGCTCAATGAGTAACAAGTCATTGATTTCTCTTGATACGGTCGTTCCAGTCATAGGTTCCCAAGTACTTCGATGATACTCTTGTTGCTCGGGATTCTTCACCAACACATTGGACTCGGAAGCTTGGAGAGGTGCCACTCTCTGAGATAATGAAGGTGCAACACCGTCTGATCGAATACCACCTGCCATTTCACCTCCTGTACTTGCGCCCGTGTCCGCATAATTGTCGGAAACGGTGCTATCAGTTGGCAGTGCGAAGAAAGTACTCGGTTCCCTTTGAACCAGGTCTCTAGCAAACAAAGCCTGATAGCGTATCTCTTCGATGTGCTTCCAACGGCGATCAAGGCAAGTATCACTGTTCTTCTTCCAGTACTCATGAATTTCTCCAGCAGCTTCCCAGGCGGAGTCCACACCGCCACCTGATGGAACCAGTGACAAGTTGATGGAGAGATAAGATATAGTATCCCACTCTAGGTAAGTCTGAAAGAGCCAGAGCCACTGCTTCCCCTTTTCATAATGTCGAAGCAAGCGGCCACGTTCCAAGTTCTCCACTCACGTCCTTCGAAAGCTCTGTTGCACGATGAGGTCTTGATTTTGTCTTGTTCGAGGCTTGCTAATGGCGAGCTTGACCTTGACAAGAATCAACCGAATAGACGTGGCTGTAATAAAATCCAATGGAATGCTTTTGTCCATATGGGACAAATATTGAGGCCGTGATCCAGCTGTTGCCTCTTTTCGGGCAGAAGAAAGAGCTCATAGGATATTTGAAAAGCAAGGAGACCGAAGGCTTGACCTGGACTGGCATTGCCACTTCCGGCTTGTTTGATTGGGTAAGTATCATTTGAACGCTATCATTAGCAGTAACTGATCCGAAGCGTACACTTCAACAGGGTCTTAGGAAGGGCTTCTTAATCGCACGGCCACCATCTGGGATGGCGGCCACAAGAGCTTCACTCTCATCAATGAGAGGCCTCTTGGTCAAGCAGTCGTCTCTGCCCTGCAGAATCCCGAGCAAACCAGAAACCAGTACCTATATGTCGCCTCCGTGGAGACCAGTCAGCAGGAAATCCTTGCAGCGCTGGAGAAGGTGACCGGAGGCAAATGGACGGTTAATAAGACCACAACTGAGGCCCAGCTTACCGCGGCGGCGAAGAAGCTCACTGTAGGTGATTTCAACGGTACCTTCATCTTGGTTCGAGCGACTATTTTTGGCAACATGCCTGGGGTTAACGCGAACTACGCGAAGGAGACTGTGCTTGCGAATGACCTTCTTGGTTTAAAGCTAGAGACTGTGGAGGAAACCGTCAACCAAGCTGCGAACAATTAGAGCATCTGGTATATTCCATAGACAATCTCACGCAATTACTTCGAGCTCAAGCAGACGACACCGTTCCCTGTCGCATACAATTCCGGAGAAAAGTGCCCAACTCCGGCGTCGATGGGTCCCAAAAAGTCAAAATGCGCCAATCGTGGGCGGTAAAATTTTGCCCGCCCCATGGGCGCTGAGTCAGCGCGGGGCAGCGATAATTGGCCGCGATATCGCAGTGAACCGGAGGTTGCCACCAGCAATTTATCTTCATCAACAAGTCAAAGTGGTGAGTACTGATTGTTCCCGATTCCTTTGCGTGCAGAAATATCATAAGAAAGTCTGCCATGAGTTCTATCTTGCAATTCAGCTTGCGGTACGCTGTCAATCACTATGCGGGGGCAGTGGTCGAAGCGTTGACTCAGAAGATTTTCGTGGCAGGTGTTCCCGATTTGATACATCAAGGGCCCCCATCTCTTCACTCATAGCTTATCTGGCCCAATTGATTCGGTGGATGCTGACCGAGGCTCATAGTCACATCCTTGACTGCTAGATACCTAGAAGATGGCAGCCTCTTATCCCAAGAAGAAGTGCGGTATGGCTCCGGAATCCCCCCGGGCGATGTTTTCTTTCATGTGTTCTAACAGATATATGTAGGTGTTCTGGGTGCCACCGGCTCCGTGGGCCAGCGCTTTATCCTTCTGCTGGCTGATCACCCCTTCCTGGAGCTCCATGCCGTGGGTGCCTCTGAGCGCTCCGCGAACAAGAAGTACAAGGATGCCGTCCGATGGAAGCAGTCTGCTTCAATGTCTGAGAAGCTCAGCAACCTTGTCCTGCGAGAGTGCAAGGCTGAGTTGTTCACAGACTGTGACCTGGTTTTCTCCGGGTTGAACAGTGATATCGCCGGCGAGACTGGTAGGGACATCACCTCCGTTCTTATATCTTTGCCAATACTCATGATTGCGTATTAATGTTTGAAATAGAGATGGCATTTATCAAGGCCGAGATCCCGGTCTTCTCTAACGCGAAGAATTACCGCAAGGACCCAATCGTGCCCTTGGTGGTTCCCACCGTCAACCCGTCGCACATGGACCTGATCCCCCACCAGCGCAAGCACTTTGGCCTGAAGAAGGGCTTCCTGGTTTGCAACTCCAACTGTGCCGTCATTGGTGTTGTTATTCCCTTTGCTGCCCTCCAGGCCAAGTTCGGTCCCGTCGATGAGGTCGAGGTGTTCACTGAGCAGGCCATCTCGGGTGCCGGGTACCCCGGAGTACCCAGTATGGACATCGTCGACAACGTCATTCCTTTCATCAGTGGTGAGGAGGACAAACTGGAAAACGAGGCTCAGAAGATCCTCGGGTCTCTGAACGCCGACGCTACTGCATTCAACGAGCAGGCTGGCCTGCGCATTGGTGCTACCTGCACCCGAGTCGGTGTCACCGATGGCCACATGGCTTTCGTCTCGCTACGCTTCAAGAACCGCCCCGCCCCTAAGGCCGAGGAGGTGGTTCAGGCGCTGCGTGAGTACCAGTCCGAGGCCCAGAAGCTCGGCGCTCCCTCTGCTCCGGATATGGCCATCAAGGTCTTCGACGAGCCCGACCGACCCCAGCCGCGCCTGGACCGCGACATCTCTCATGGCTACACTGTTAGTGTGGGCCGTGTCCGTGATGGCGCTGAGGGTGGCTACTTTGATATTCGTTTCGCGGCTCTGTCGCATAACACCGTGCTTGGCGCTGCCGGCTCGTCTATTCTCAACGCCGAAGTGGCAGTTATCAAGGGTTACATCTAAATATAGATACGAAACAGGAAAGTGGGCTTTTTCAGCGATGTCACATAGTTTCATTTAACAGATCTTTATAGATGAGCCACTTGTGAGGAAAGATCCGAGCACACGCTAAAAGCCGTACGTAGTTTCACTAATTTTCCTTCCTAAAATAGAAGGGCGTCTGTGATGACATAAGCCGATTGCTGATTCCCATTTGGGACTAGTTAGTCGGGGCTAGGGCACAACCCACACCCGAGCTAAGCGAAGTCCCTTTGATAATATTGCGCTACCCGTCCTCCTTCACATCGCGACTCTTCGACAACTCAACACCGGGAACAGGTCGACAAATCCATCACAATGGCTCGCGGACCGTAAGTGCCTTGCTATTCTTTCTTCCTGATCAGTGGCAAGCGACATCACTGGACTCGCACCCGGAATTTTCACTCGGGTGTCCAAACCGTCGCTTCGGCGCAAAGATCAAAATTTTTCCATATCGAAATTAGTTGCAATACTGACCTCCATGCCTTTACAGTAAGAAGCACCAGAAGCGCCTTAGCGCGCCCTCGCACTGGCTGCTGGACAAAATGTCCGGCACCTACGCGCCCAAGGCCTCCCCCGGTCCTCACAAGCTCCGGGACTGCCTGCCCTTGATCGTCTTCATCCGTAACCGGTACGACTCGCATCTATTTCGAAGTGGATATCCGAATCGAGAACAACCAAAACTAACACTATCTTGAATAGTCTGAAGTACGCCCTCAACGGTCGCGAGGTCAAGGCCATCATGATGCAGCGTCTGGTCAAGGTTGACGGCAAGGTCCGCACCGACACCACCTACCCCGCTGGCTTCATGGACGTCATCTCTCTCGAGAAGACCGGCGAGCACTTCCGTCTCATCTACGACACCAAGGGCCGTTTCACCGTCCACCGCATCCAAGCTGAGGAGGCTGAGTTCAAGCTCTGCAAGGTCAAGCGTGTTCAGCTTGGCAAGGGCGGGATCCCATTCTTGGTTACGCACGATGCGCGAACGTGAGTGCAAACTCTCCACGAAGTTCCGTGTCATTCAGTCGTTGGACCAAGCTTTGGTTGATCGGCGGAGGACGAATCGAACTTCGGTATGATTGCAACAAAGACAGAACAAAGTTTTGCTAATTCGGGTCTTTTTCCTTACAGCATCCGCTACCCTGACCCCGCGATCAAGGTCAATGACACCGTCAAGGTTGACATTGCCACTGGCAAGATCTCCGACTTCGTCCGCTTCGACACCGGTGTTGTCTGCATGGTTACTGGTGGTCGTAACATGGGTCGTGTCGGTGTCGTCACTCACCGTGAGCGCCACGATGGTGGTTTCAACATCGTCCACGTTAAGGACGCCATTGACAACACCTTCGCCACCCGTGAGTCCAACGTCTTCGTCATCGGCCAGGACAAGCCCTGGATCTCCCTGCCCAAGGGCAAGGGTGTCAAGGTAAGTTTTCGAATTATATCCCGTCGTTCTTTGTCTGTGCTTATCACTAACCATCTCAATAGCTCTCCATCTCTGAGGAGCGTGACCGCCGCCGTGCTAACGTTATTGCCGCTTAAATGTCTTCTGACATTGGCAAATAGCATGCCGGCCATCTTCATTTTCTGGAGATGAAAAGCAAAAAGATGAAATCATTAACCACAAAACAGTAGCTGGGAAACGGCGTCTTGTCTTGCTTTATGGGCTTGGATGATGCTGCGTTCCGTAGATTCGAACCATAGCAAACAAACCTGGGACGGGATCACCGTCTCATTTCCGAGTGATATGATACCTATTTTACGTTATCTTTTCTTGAATGATTTAATGACCGTACTTCCAAACTCCCTCGACTTGCAATCTCTTCCCCTCGTTCGTTGAACTTCTCTCTGCCTACTATCTGCCTACTATCCTTCGTCCCATGCCGCTCAGTTGCGAGTTAGCCTTGGTATCCTTGTCCGTATCATCGCCGTAATCATTTCCATCAGCTGATACGCGTTCCGGGAGTTTATACTATAGACTTCTGCGCTAGGTAACTTGACATTGGATATATACACGACACTTCATATTGCTGTTCAACAACCATGAGGATAATCATTTGCACAGTAGATGTTGATCCAGCATAGCTGCATCTACCTTAGTTTTGTCTCCACCAACCCCTCTCCCTCGCTGAATTCCTCTTTCCATTTGACTAGGTCGCTCTCAAAAGTCTCAGATCGCCGGAAGCTAATCCTCCTGAGTTCCAGGGAGAGGAAAAGAGCTCATCTCACATCCGTTGCTGTTCCATGCCGTGTGTTCTGGTTTCTTAGAGGATACGAACTTTGACGCAATCTGCCGCTTCGTTGACAATTCAACTACACTACTCTTCTTCCTCTTCTTCCTCCTCTTCTCCTTCATATTCTTCTCCTTCATATTCTTCTCCTTCATATTCTTCTCCTTCTTCATCATCATCCTGATGAGTTCAAATTGCCCTCAAGATCGGAAAGAACGACACCCTGCCGCAACGCGACGGTGGACGGCAAACGTAGGCATCCACGTCGTTAAATATGCCTCTGGGATCAGGCAACGAATGACTCACGGCTCTCTTCCCGAATGGGGTTGGGTTGTCAGGCAACAAGAGGGTCCGTATAATGAGTTTCGCGCCGCAATGCATGACCATGGACGAGGTTTGCTGAGACCATATCTCTTGGGCACCTAAGGTGGGTCTGGAGAAGGCAAAAGATGTGTAATTATGCTTGCAAGGCCAGCGAATAAGATCAAAGATAGTAGCGGAGTAGAAGGGAAAATTAAGGAAAAATAAAGTTATGGGGACAGGGGGGATAGTTTGAATGTTTTTGAGATCTCGTATCCGCTTCTGCCTGAATTTTCTCGATCGGGAGTCGGTTCACCGACATTTACCCAAGTAAGGGGTCTAAAAGCTTGTGGTTATGATGTTCAATCTAAAAGAAAACTACTGAGTAGTTTAGCTCCAAGCAATATTGACCGCAGCGATTTGGGTTCAGTTTATGGCCAGGCTGTCTTGGACTACCCACTTCCATTAACACGAGAGGGATCAATAAACCATCAAATAGTCTCGGGTGCTAAGGAACTAGCTTTCATTGGATTAAAGTTCATTGGGTCCCCCCCGGAAAGCCCCTTGCATTCGCCTTACCGCCGATCAAGAGATACCTACTGGAGGCTATGTTGAGCTCTTTCTGTACAGTTGATATAATTGGGTGATTGTTGGAGATATCAAATTGTGTACTATAGCAGGTAGACGTCGTAGCACCTAATGCTGTTGAATTTGATGTAAATCTTCGGCATTGAATATGATATATCTTGCCTGCAGGACCAAGCCATATATTATACAAGTTGGATTGAATCACCCAAATCCAGGGTATTTGTCATTCTCGACGCTTTCGTGTTCTACGTGTAACGAGCGCCTTTAGCGCTTACCGAGTAACGTATGGGAGCTATGCTTCCCGTCTGTTAAGCTTCGATATCATGTCGTTTGAACAGGGATCACTCGAACCCTACGAGTTTTTTCGGTCTGGGACGCATCCTCTCATGAAGGTCGGGTGAATCGAGAGAAGCCGGCTGCGACTTGCAACAGTAGCGGTTCGGCTGGGTTGGAAGACTCCATCCTGTCTTCAGTCACGAGTAATTAAAGAGTAGTACCTACAGTATATCTGCATGTATTGACATGATGGGTAGGACCCATATGTTTACACGGGATAGGCGGAGAGGTCCCATCTCGGCGCGACCCGCTATACGCTAAAAAAAGAAGGCATCTCACGGGGATCGATTCAAAATCAAGTTTTGGCGAGGCCGTGTCTCTCGCGAGGTAAAGCGGAGGTGGTGCACGAGGAGCAGCAGCAGCTCCGATCCTCTAGGTTCCTTCCCTCCAACGAGGCCTGCCGGTCCAATGGGTTGCAAATAGTGTCACAGTGCTGTCTTATTGGCCTTCTTTCAAGAGACCCGGCGCTCACTAATGCAATGCATCAGCAGAACCTTCCGATGTGGAGATGAGAAGTCATTGTGCGCCGCGGCTTACTCCGTGCTGTACGAGAGCGAGTCCGCTAGAGGCTAATAAGAATGGGAAGTATGGAAGTCCACCGCGCGTCAGACGGACCGCTTCCACTAGTGGGTCCCGTAAGCAGCATTGTTGACGATGATTCATGAAGGAAAGGCCCTCCTTTGGCGGCCAGCCTCCCGTGGTCTAGAAGGGGGCCATGCCCGATCGATCGATCGGCGAATAAGAGAAGAGGACGGTATACAATCTCACGTCGAGACAACTTGCCTGCTCTGTAATTTCCCTCTAATTGACTCGATAGAGTCTTCTCTCCTGGCACGGCTTTGTTTTGGTATTGTTGTGGAGTTGTGAAAGCGCTTTAGGGTCGGCCCTCGACATGGGTACCATCTGCCGGCCCGGGGCGGATCACGCGGGTTTTGAGTTGACTAAGCCATTGTTTTGCTTTTCTCCGATGGCCTATGATCTGCTCGCGGTACGGCGGAAATCTGATGCGTCACCTCTTGGACGGACCGACGCGCTCCCCTGTCGCCGGGAAACTTTATCCGGATTCCAGTGCCACCCTCTCGGAATATGCACGACAACATAGCGCAGTTGAAATTCCAGGGCGTTTTCCCATGCAACATGGCCGCTAGGCCTCATAGCGCCCGTTCATATGGTCCAGGTACTCCGTTCCTGGTACCTAATATAGTTCCTTTGGCCATTATGTGCCCAGCCATGCATTCTGAGTGGCTGGATGCCTTGTGGCAGCCTTCCTGGGAGGATTCGTGTATGCTACACCAGACGCACGGCTGGGGGACTATATGGGAGGCTGCAGAGGCCAGAGATCGTCCTCATCCCCTTTCTCCCTTCCCACTCTCCACCTGGAAGAGGATCCTTGGCTCATCGGCGTTGGCGCGCTCCAAATACACAGGGGGTGGCCGATCGATCACTGAGGGGAGCAAATCTATAGGTTGGGTCAGAAGAGGGATATATTCCTTTTGTTACAAATTCCATCAGAGATCGGAGGAAGGGTTGCAGCACGATGAGAGAAGTAGTAGCCGTATCTGGCGGGCGGACCGGGCGGGGGCTAGAACATTTCCGCGGAAGTATGACGATGAGGCAGCATTGACCTACTGGTCCTGAGAAAATGCTCGTGCATGAACAATTCTCCAATCGAACGGAGCTCAAACCGACCAAGACCAGAAGCGTTGACGGAGATATCGTCTGTCAAAGCAGTTACCATGCTCTCCCAAGATCCACCGCAAGTTCTGGGACATGTGGAGCAACCGAGATCCGCTCACCCAGTACCTTGGGCCTGGGTTCCTGTAGCCGCTCCCATCGAATTCCTGACCTTCAACGACCTTCACGTGGCAAGAGAGTTCGGATGACGTTTTCTGCGCATCATGCGGCTTTGCTTGTACAGATGAGCCATCGAGGATCCGGACCCCCCCTCAGACTAGGTTTCACCGGCGGGTCTCATCCTGCGGAAACATCAAGTAGAATGAATTCGACGGCCGATGATATGCGGTTGACGGGGCCTGAATCCCTCGAGCGACCGCGAGTTCCGGCGGTGTAGGAAGAGACGGACCCAATCACACACGCAGCCTGGGAATAGACTTGGCCACCAGGCTTCCAGTGCTCCGTAGTGGGTTGTTTTCCCCACGGTGGGGGGAAAGAAGAAACACTGAAGGCGAGAGGAGTGCTTGACGTCGTACTTTCATACCCAACTTGCGGCCAAAAAAGTATCGCCGTATTGATCAGCGTTCAGGGCCCAAAGTTTAAGAGTTTGGACTGCTCATTTCTCATTTTTCGGATTAAGTTATAGTTACAAGGCTGTCTCGCCCGCCACCCTCCTCCAGCGGTGGACCAGAGCAGCCTTGTCTATCTCGTCCGCCGCTCCTGGTCCTCCAGACCGCCAGCAATCGGAGGACGATCGAGCCTGGTGTGACGGAAAACTGCCGGGGGCGAGTTGGGCTGATCAGGATGGAAGCCACCAATGGCAAATCTCCATGAAATCATCAGGAACCGAAAGGGAAAAGTAATCCACTGGTTCCCACCCTTCCGACCGCCTCACTCTCGACGGACTCTTCGCTCTCTCCTCGATTTGGATTCCATCATGATCGTCGGTTGCCGCCCCTCGCTCCGGCTTAGTGTGATGGGTCGGGGGCCCACCCGGCTTCTATGAAATTATGCGATTTGACGGCCCGCGATTGGGGTGTGGTCACAATGTAAGACCTGTAATAATGATGGTCCCCCATTGATGTCCCGAGGAAATCACAAATAATGCCCGTAACATGCCTGAGCCACATTGTTTGTACTGTACGGAGTACCTGTGAGGAAACGACTAGCGGAAAATGATTTGATTTTCGGACCGAACCTTGATAGCCGTACAGCTCCGTACAGGATCTTGCGAGATACTTCTAGAAAACCCCTAGCGAATTGACCGCTTCCCCACCGACTCCGTCCAGGAAGGTTCTGAGAAGATCCAAAGCACGGTCGTATTGGCAACTCGCTCGACGGCGGCATCGAAAACGGGAATGTAGTTCGGGAAGCCAGGTGAGACAAGAGGTTCGCCAGGGGACCATTCTTTGCGGTGGAGCATCCTCCCCGGCCGATCTGGGACCAGTTTAAGGAAGCATACGTATTTGGCGACGGTCAATCATTGCCCCCCTTTTTCCGTATTCGCGCTGCCCATCGGCGGGTCTCCCGGCAGGCTGGTACCAGGATTCACGCCCCTCCCCGTTTTTAATGTGGCCAGTCATCTTTTGCTGCCCGTCTCCCCAATACAATTCGCCTCGTGATGTGTCTAACGTGGCGGTAGTCAAGCAGGGATAAAGAGAGATAGTCTGGTCCGTTCTTAAAATCCAATCACGCCCCTTCCAATCGCCCGAAGTCCAGCCTTGGATTCTATTCTATTCTTCCCTGGGAACAATCCCGTTCTCCTACCCTAATTTTCTGCAGCCACTTTATTTTCTAGTACGTCCTTAGCCTATTCTACAGTCAGTTTACTCGACAATCTTTCGGATATTGGGGTTCTATTTTCTTCGGTTCGATTTGTCACCTTCCCAGCGCTGCGTCCCATGCGGCACGATCTCTTGTGTGAATCAATGAGTTGGTCTCTAGGACCCAGTCTTCGGAATGTGGTGAGCGCATAAATGCAATATTCAGGACTGAGGAGCCGCTATTCGACCCCTCTCTTCAGTTGCGACTGGATCATCCCGCGTACAACACGCCGTCGCGGCTCAGAAGTCTCGACATGTCGCAAGCTATTTCCCCCCGGACGGGGCCTCCCGAGTCCATACTGTCTTACCCGACTCTCTTCCAGCCCAGCGCGGAATTCCCCCGTTTTGCGGTTCCGTATCGATGGTGGGAAGACGAGGCGACGACCGTTCTGTGGGCTTTCAACATACCGGAGATCAGCCAAGTGATCCGCTATGGACTCTTTCGTGACGAGAACTTCCCACGCAGCTCTCTTTTGAGTCGCAACGCGGATACGATCGACGCGTTTCTCGTGGCGATGGCAGAGCCTCGCGAGCACCAGCGTCTGGGGAACCTCTCCCATGTTCAAAGAGTCGAAGAGATTCTGCGGCGTTCGAGTAACTCGCCGTTTCAACCAGTGCCGTGGACCTGGTTTCCTCCTCAGCCAGGCCATTCGCTAGACGCCCGAGCCATTGCCGGCGCAATTGAGGCGGAAAGTCATCTTCACTTCCGCAGACTCCCATTCGAAGAAATCGTGCGAGCCTCTCTTGGCTATCCTGCGATCTCGGTCGAATGGTTTCTGCTTCAACACACCGTGTTCTTCATCTACCTGTCCAATCACCTTCAAATCTACCCAGAAGAAATCCCCCTCTATATAGAAGCGGAGAAGGTAAGCTGGACCCGTACACGAAATGATTCCAAGAGATGAACACTAAACTGGATGCAAGCAATTACGAACGAAGAGTCCCTTCGCCCATCGAGCGTTGATGCAGTGTATCCGCACTCTACGACCAGACGCAACCCGCGATATGCCCCAACCGACCACTCCAGGCTTTGAATTCATCGCCGGACCCGTCCAGCTGTTATTTAAAGATCAACCTCCGAGCTTGACCACCATACTAAAGATCTTCAGTGTCTTAGCTATCCGTTTCCGTCGCCAATACATCCATACAGCCAAAATGGAGTGGCATCGGCCGTTTGACACCACCATCCTATTTTTGGAAGACTGCTTAAACTCGTCTTCGCCAAAGGACCTGGCCCGTACGATGACGGAGACGGCTGAGCTCGAATTCTCCGGATTATCCCGACAGCATATTACCGCAAATGATGCCTTCGTCAGAGAGATCCTGGCCAACTGGCATTCTCTCAGCATCTCGGTCTGGGAATGCTGCGCGGCATTGCCAGAAATTGCCCCATACTTGCGAGAATGCGCCCAGGTGATTATATTCTCCATTCAATTTACCTTTGGGGATAAACCTTAGACTCTAACCAGGGTGGTTGCAGGCCCTCCTCAACGCCAAAAATTACCACTCACTCACGGCCCTTTCCGACGGCCTCTATCGATACAACGCCACCACCGCGCGATCCCGGGGCCTGAACAGCACGGTTGGTGGAATGGTCGTGTTGGACGCTTTCCTTCCACCTGATGTCATCATTCTCACCAACCCTGCACAAAATTATACGTCCTATCGGCATCATTACGGCGAGAATCCCGGGCTTCCGTTCCTTATCCCCCATCTTCGTGACTTCCAGCAGCATGGCGAAAGCGCCCTCCAGCCCCTTCTTCAATATCTGCAAAACCCAATGTCGGCCGAGAAATGATCAGTGGATCGACCTCGATTCATACTTCGCGCTAGTATCGGCAAGGGAACCCAAGTGGCCTGCCTCTGCTCCGCGGGTGGCTGCAGTGGCTTCCGGTAATCAAGCCAACCGGGCATGACAAGGGGCTGTTTCAAGTTTTTGTTTTATCTCTCACTCCCGACCACGCCCACGCTCTTTCGCCTATGGTGCATCAAATAGCATGCCTGAATCTGGTTTAGGGGATCTACGTTGCTTTTAGATTGCTTTGGGTTTGCAAGATTTGTGTACTTCTACGCTATATCCATGCTGACATCTGCAGCGCTGGGCGTCTGGCGTTGTTGCGGCCAATTCATAAGACTGCCTTCTTTTTGTTCTACCATTTGATCTAATCCATGAGGGATGATGAGTGGGCCACTAGACGCCTCTTAAATTCCAGGCAATGTAATCCGGCGCTCGTCATTGCAACACATTGGCGCCAATGCATCCCCCATCAGGCAATTAAAAATGAGAGAGAGAGGCGCAGAAGGCAGTGCTCCAGCGACGACTGTCCCGTGCCATTGTAACCCTAAAGCGCTAAAACATGAAGAATTCATCAGGTGTATCGCGTCCGAAACACCAACCCATGCCGTTCTTGAAACATCATTTGATTCTTATATAACAGCAGATCGGATAATAAAACCAAACTATTACATGAGTGGATGCGCAGATTTTTATCGTACAGCACAGCGCAGCTGTTTCACTCATCACGGCGACTTTATTCTCTTTTACCTAGAACCTTGGGCGCTTTTGCAGTCCCGAAGATACCCAAAAGATACGCGACGCGATTGAAGAACAAAAAGGCGGTCGCGCCGATGTTGCCCCAAGTCAGAGCGTTCCACGCGCCAACATCCACAAATGCATTCCAGCCCATCCCCAGATAGGTGGCGTAGACATGACCCACATCGGCAATGGCCAGCGCAATCAGGTAGTTGCGCAGCACTTTGGGCTCCGTGGTCGTATGCAACACGGCAACACCGATGAGGAACAGGAGGGAGTATAGGTTGCCGAGTTGGTAGGCTAACGCGAGGCTGCTGGGATGGGCGGTGGGAGGTTCAGCTTGGGGCGTTTGACCGGCGATAAAGCCCTGTAGGTCGTACAGTGGGGCGAGGCTTCCAAGGACCCTGTAACACCGCGAATAAGTGAATTGTCTGATTGGGTGGGTGGGAGAGATCTGGACGGAGTCGTAGTTACAAGGAAAGAGGCTCAAGGACGCCGAAGAGAACATGTGGCCAGGCTGGAAGGATGGTCGGCATTTTATACTGAATCTGCAAATGGTCAGTCCTGTTCTGTGGCGGTAAACCTATTGGGGCTGCAGTTGGTTCAGGAAACTGCGGCTTGTTTGGGGGGCCTCCGCGGAGAGGAGTGGAGAGGAGCGGGACGCTCACTTTGCGGCAGTCTGAAGCGACACAGTTGACAAGGGAATGAAACCTCAAAGGACGCGGGAGCTCAAGAGACGATCTCGTACACACAGTGTCTTTAAAGCTTGAGAATTGGAAAAAGAGCTTGGTGGACCTCGCTGAGGTCGAGGGTTGCTGGCTGACGCACGCGCTACGCCTGTGGTCTTTCGCGCCGCCCGTACAGCGTTATCGGGTCTATCAGCTGGCGTTTATCGAAGCTTCGACTTCGTCTCCGCCCATCTCGAAAAAAGTGGCCGACTGGCACGCACCTCATGGACGGCTGAATGGATTCGCTATTCTCTAGGATTCTCGCAATCTATTAGCGAGGCTCCGTTGTTGAATGAGCTACGAGCATGGATTCTACTGGGGCCCTCCGGCCCCTTGACGAATCCCTACTGCGCGAGCTTCCCCAGCTGTCTCTCCGTATCGCTCCTTTGCGGGAACCGGTCTCTTCGCGAACTCTCAGCATCCCATCGCCCTTAGAACCCAATGCCAGTGGTACTAGGGAGACAAGCACTATTTCCAAAACCTCCGTGGGTGGCGGAAACCTCCCGTCAAACACGAAAGCGGGCCTTCCGACAGTGAAGGAGTTCCTAAACGCGGCGCGCACTAAAACGGCCGAGCCCATCAGCACAGACTCTCAATCGAATGTGGAACCACCACCAAAACCTATTCTTCCAGCATTCGTAAACTTGCGTGCTCTAGAAAGATTCCCATTCTCCTCTTCTTTTGACGATGACGCCCTCCATGGGCAGCGCAAGCGTCGGCGCTTAGACCTGCAGGCCGAGTCTTTCAGCGAACACTTGCAGTTGCCCATTCCTCAAGCACAGAAAGAGCACCGCCCGCCACCGTTCGGCCCATTTGCGATCCTAAACGGACTGAATGAACCACCGCCAAATGCTGCTCTTCTTCCCCCGATTGAAGCTGGCTCCTCTATCTCCCAGCTTTTGACAAAGCCTTCTAAGCGGGATGGTGCGGCTGTTGACCCGAGCAATTCGGTATCTACGAATGCCACCATTGCTGAGAGCCCGACTGTAGAAAGGAGAGAAGGAAGGATTGAAGAGCTTCTTGACGCAACTCTTGATGACGACGATAATGACGACGACGTCGACCATGATCATGACGTCGTGCAACGAACCACTCGCTCTGATTTTCCAGAGGCTTCCAAACAAGACCGTGAAAATGGGGTTCTTGAGAACAGGAAGACCACACCATTTTCTGCGCCAACAGGCGATGAGCCCCTGTCTCCTAAATCTCGTGGCCGATCGCGCAAGAATTTGAGAAAGTGGACAGACGAAGAGACAACAGATTTACTCCGAGGGGTGGTCAAGTGCGGAATAGGTAATTGGACGGCGATTCTCTCACAACCGGAGCTCAAGTTCAACAAGAGAACTGCTTCGAACTTGAAAGACAGGTACAGTCCATCTTGACATATATTATATCGTTGTCTGTGTTGACCTTTATTCAAGATTTCGAGTCTGTTGCCCGTGGGCGTATCGGTAAGCTGGCCTGAAATAGAAAAATATGTATCAATTTGACTAACTTTGTGCAAGCGCATCTGATCCAAATGAAGCTACGAAGCAATTGCGGGATAATCTTGCCAACACCCTTCTGAAAGCCCAGGCAGAGTGCCTCGATAGCAAACCTGGCAAGATCCATCTTCCCAACCTAAACCCTGTACATACTGGGTCCGAGCCGAGCCCTAGCCCCGGAAGTCCCCCAAGCAGCTCGCATAAGCCATCAACGTTAAGCATGCCATCTGCGACGCCAGAGACCGATCATGGAAGCCTCAGTACACCGCAGCAGGGATATCCTTCGGGCAAGAGCGCATCGACTGCATCTGACAAGTCTCAGAAAAATCTAGCATCACTGGGTATTCCAGAAGCTCATATCACGATAAAATCCAAACGACGTTCGCGCCGTCCATTCACTACTGCAGAGGACGAAGCACTACTCAAGGGCTATGCTGTCCACGGCTTCCAGTGGACTCTAATTCAACAGGACAAGCGACTCGATCTCGGCCACCGCAGGGCAACTGATCTCCGCGATCGCTTCCGTACAAAGTTCCCGCATGCATACCGCGATGGGGGGTCCGTGAGTGGGAAAACCGCCAATTCGCAAACTCCAAGCCAGAGCCCAGGTGCCGGTAGGTCGGGGTCTCCTCAAGACCGTATTCTAAGCAACGAGCCAACCCCGACGAAACCCCAGTCCTCAAGCCCTCGTCGGCCCAAGGCACATAGTCGTCGCCCATCCAGCATTTCAAATGCCAACGCGGGGCCGCTGGATCCCGCGTTCTTGCCTCCACCGCAGGGTTTCCTTGAGTCCTCTGCCAACATGGTGCCCGCCGCGCTGTCTTTTCCCTTGGAAGACAACCCCACAGCAGCTGCATCTTCACCTTGGGAGGACAATACTCTTGCGCCCATGGTTTGGGATGACCTCGGTTGAAGAAACCTTCCCAATTATTTGGCCCGGAAATTTCAGTCTTGTGTTAAGTTTTCCCGTTTTGCATTTCGGGTATTGTTTCGTATTTTGTTCCTTGATATCCCGCAGTACATGATGGCTCTCTCTACTCTATATGAAGTTACATTTCACTGGGTATATTTTCAAGATCGGTTTCACTTGTGACTATGATCTATTTAGGTGCCAAAAAGGTGTCCCAAATCACAATCTTAAGCAGATAAGAGTCGTCCCCACTATGCACAAAGAACAAGAAGTAATGCAAAATGTCGGGAAAAAGTGTAGTCAAAGAGAAGACTGCAAACATCAACAGGCACATTCAAAGGAATAATAAACCGTGCCCGTCTCAAGAACCGATCTGGTGAACTCAATCGATCAAAGGCTAAAGGTCACGCTGCCTTCGTTTGCGTCCGGTGACACGAGGAAAATAGTTGCACAAAGAACCGAAAACAGACAAATGCGGAACAAAATCGGATATCAAGCTATCGAAAAGGCAAGGATGAGACGACCAAATAGCATACATCTGTTTGTTCCTTTTGTGGACACAGCGTTCCTGCGATTAATGCAGGTATACGGAAAAAAGAACATGACAATCGACAATAAATCACCACGCTCAAGTTGCTGAGTGGATGGAAAAGACAAGAAAACAAATCACAAAGCAAAGAGGAAGCGAGTAGACGGTAATCTACCACGCATTACGGTCCCAGTTCGGGTCTATCGATTATCAACAATGTCAGTCGAGGCCCATAACGTACTTCAAAAAGTAGGAAATTGTAGAGATTAATCCACGCACCCTGTATGAAACTAGCCAGGACTTTGCTGCCGGTCTGCAGCAGCGGATGTCCTGCGACAATCTGCAGGAACCGCTGAAGCCCCTCACGTCGATGCTCAATGACGTCGTCGCTAAAGCGGTTGGTAAAGACCTTGCCCGGCAGTGGGGGGATAGTCACGCGCGTGCTCTCCCGCTCCAGGATATCGCGGAAGTATTCGAAGTCGGAGTAGCGGCGGCGCACGACAGAGTGCTTCAGCTTGAAGGCGGGGATGTTGGTTCGGCAAACGATCTCATAGGAGGTGTACATATTGCGGGAGGTTCCATGGGTTTGAGGGTTGCGCACCTATGTGACTAAATTAGAACTGGGGGACGGAATGGTGATGTGGTGCGGGCGCGGGGGGGTTGCGGGTATAGCTTCCGTCGCGGGGTGAGGGGAATGAGAGCACGAGACCACCAAGAATATTGATGTTATGTGACATGGGCCTCTTAGAAAAAAGGGTCAGACTCACTTCAATCTCGAGGAAATTCTCCGGAGGCCCGTAGATCTCCTCAAAGGTCTGCTGGCGCGACTCGGGGACGGACTGCATGGCGGGCGGGGTGCTTCTTGGATATTAGGCGGTCGGAGTGGGCTGAGGATGCAGGCAGAGATTATGTCTGATAAGAGGACAACAATCAAAGAAACCCTCAGGAGCAATTTCGCTCGACGTTTAGCAAGTCTCCGCACCGCAGCGTCGAGGGAGTGGAGGAGCGGGGATCAAGTCGGATCTTCTATCAGTGACGGCAGGAAAATGGTTGATCCGCCGTTGGTGTGCTTATCAGCGGAGTCAATCAGGTTATTGTTTTCTTTTCTGCGGAGCACACAACCGACCTGTGATCTATCTTTCTTTAATATTTGGCAAAATAGTTCACTTTGCTCTATGTTAACCTATGACAGAAATTGAGCTAAGAACCGCTAGCCTCCAGGCGAAAACATTTGCATTTTGAAACACAGGATCACATCACCCCTGATGGAGAACATTACAGGAACCTCGAAGACGACGCCGATGGATCATCCTTGTTGCGATCAAGTGGGGTTGCCTCCGTTGAATACGGTGGAGGCGGTGTAGCTGCTCGATCTACCGGCGGTGCTCGAACACGCCGGGGTGGTGATAGCATGCTTGATGCTGGTGGCTGAACTTGATGCAAAGGCAGCGAGGAAGCAGCAGACTCATGGTGCTCAGCCACGGCGCGACGGCATAAACAATATAGCCCGATTAACAGGAAACCACCACCTAAACATCCCAATATAATGCCAGTTGTTGCACCTCTAGATAGTGTGCCGTGGCTCGATGAGCTACCGGAGCTTGATGAGCTTGATGAGCTTGAACTTGACGAAGAACTGGACCCATAGCCAGATGAAGAGCAATCTGTGGAGTTGACACTCAGACCCTGAACGGATGCAGCCGAGCACCAGCTGTGAAGGGTGCTCAACACCTCTATATCGCAGTATTGGAAATTAGCTGAAAGAGAATGGATTGAGATAAAAGTAGGGCTCACCCTCCATCTCTTCGTTGCAAAGATAGGCAATGCAGCAGCTAGTTTCAGAGAAAAAAGTTGGGGACTGGCACCAACATGCGGCCGTCTCAATAACGCAACTCGATGGAGTAGTTCCGCCGCAAAAGAACTAGGTGGACCAATATCGTTAATTAAGTGTCTACTCATAGCTCAAAGAATTGCTATGTGCTAAACGCCGCAAGGAAGGAGGTGTCATCAGAATACTCACGGCGCAGTCATTTGGGAACGCTTGCGTAAGGTTGTATAGAGTATTGGCAGCGGCTACAGACACCAAGGTCGCCGCCGTGAGCGACAGCAGAACGAGCTTCATGGCCCCCACGAGGGAAGTAGAAAATTAGGAGCAAGATGCGTTGGAGATGTGGAGGCAGTATTATCGAAATTATCACAGTGAATTTGAGACTGGATCATCCCTTGGTTTTGTTCAACAAGGCCGACTCCAGGGTGGCTATGAAAGGCCGGGGAGGCCGCAAGCGCCCGGACATGCACGGCCCCGTCGGGCGACGCGCAGTCAAAGCAGTCTGGTTATTTCTGAAACGGCAGAGCAACTGACTTGAGAAATGACCTAAAAAAGCTGTGAAAAGTGGGCCGATATGCTTAAACGATACTGCAACACTAAAATTTCCCAGAGCCTGGCCAGACATGCAATTGGCGATAAGGCCTTTTAGAACAATTCTTTGATCTGCCTGCCTCTGGGCATTACACCATAATTCCCCCTGACGTTGCTTTTGGGGGCCGATCAATTGAGTAGTGCACATGGCCCCCAACTATGAATTTGATTGGGTCGATCGATTCATCGCCACGCCTGCGCAGGTATGCAGGGGTAGACCTACACCAGGGGGCAACACCCCGGGGAGTTCACGTGGGGAACCATGAGCCAATACTTACAATTAAGCACACAAGGTGAGACCAAAACACCTCAAAATCTCGATTCTATAGGAGATCATCTTTAAATTTGATGGCCTGTTTAATAAAAGCCGAAGTAGTGTTGGCCTACAGAAAAACAAACACAGCAAGCCGAGGCTTTTGAGAAATCATCATTTTTTAAATCAGAGGGCTACGACAAATTTAGCGTTGTTGTATCTTAACCCAGTACATAGATAAGAGATAATACTATAGCTTTAGAAGCCTACTGATAAACGTCTATGGCTTTCCACCAATGCGGATGCAGCGGGAAAGCATTTAAGCATGATCGTAATCCGCATCGGCGCGAGCCTTTGTGTTTAATCTCCACCAAGCTTCTCTTCTCCGCGTATAGCATGAGAGGTCGCGTGCTAGGTTCAAGGTACTCGGCACTTAGATCACTTAAACTGCCTTCAGATGTGCCTCCCAGCTCAAAGTACAAAATTAAACTTGCTGACGATTTGGCAACTGACATCCCCACCGTATGATCTGTTTCAATATCGGGATTCATAATGTTGGCCCTCACTGCCATTTGGGAAGACATTTCCCCGATCGATCGCCTTCCTATCCGCCATTTCCGCACTGGTGAGTAGAACCCCAAGATCGAATGCAGATTTTATCTGATCTGATTCTGCCGATTGCTAGATTATTTTTCCTTCACTCCAATGTGCATTGTTTGGTTTATTATGAATCCCGGTCCCTTCTTAGCGAAGAGATCTTCATTATGGATCTTGTTCCAGTGTCGCAATGCCCGACACTCTGCGACCTTTCTTCAGAAGCATAGAAACACGGAGCCTTTGTTCCTAACCACATCTGAATATCGGACCGCATGGCTTTGGAAGCAATCTACAGTCGCTACTCAGGTTTCATGGAGGGCCGCATCTATGAAGATAAGTCAGAGTTTCCTTCCAGTCTTCTCATCTCGCCTTAAAATGCTAGTTTTCCCTTTCATAAGGTGAAGCAAGTCCTATTAAATACACGAAGTACGTGAGGACACCAAAGGAAACAAGAAGCATCTTAGTCCAGCATTCTCGGCAAAGAATCTGATTGACTATATGCCGCCGATGTCCCAACAAGTTGAGAAACTAGCGACATGCATTGATCGTCATGTTTAAAAACTAGCCGAGCCCATCTTTATCACATATAGAATATGAAGACCTGTGGAAGGGACGCTGAAAATAGCCTATTCGGTGGCCAGAAACCGCCGCCTTTTCGTGAAGAATAGCGAGTGTAGAGTAGAGATCACGTGGAGAGTGCTGTGCGTGGAGAGCCAATGGACAGGATGGATCAGACCATATTTCAATGTCTGACTGTATCGGATCGAACCTGTTTAGATAACGGCCATGCCAACGCATTTTGATCGGTTTGAATGAAATCACGATCAAAATTCGTGATCGGCCGGTCCCCACCCCCGCGGAATTAAAGGAGTTAAGATGACATAGCCGGTGAGGGTTGGAAGCAGCGGTAACGTTATCACGCTATCGATAAGCCCTGTCTCCTCATCACCAACACCTCACTTCCCCCCCGGCACCATGGCCTCCCCAGGACTACCATCCGAGGAGGCGAGAGAGCTAGCAGAGGGCCAGACGATCTGGCACACAGCCCAGGAATGGCCTGACGAGGACGATACTACGACGGAACCGGATTACCAGCCCACCCTATCGAGGTCCGATGACGACGAATGGGAGGACGACATTGACGATGAAGATGACGGTGTTTCAGATGGCCACCACGATAACACGAGCACGACATCTGCTCCAGATGAGAATGCACAATTCAGTCTCGGCAATATTCAAATCGAGTTCACCACAGACGGTCCAGATGAAGGTGAAGCGGCGGCGGACGGGGAAGGCGATCGTGCACCAGGTATGTCCATGCGAATGCTTCCTCTTTCTTCTTCTGAATCACTTGTCTCGAATGGCTTCTCACTATTCCTTTACAGTCCCCACGTCTCGGATATTCCAGCTATTAGCGTCCACCGGTCTACGAGAAATCCTTCGTGCCAATGGTTGGCCAGCGGGTCCAGATGGAGACGAAGACGAAATGGACGGCGGTGACGATGAATTTCTTTTTAATATGAGACTCAGAAGGGGAGCCAGGCGTGGCAGGTCAGAATACGTGTGGCCCAAAGTTCCCAGCGAGGCGGGTACCAACTTGATGGGCTCGGGCAACTTCGGAACAAATCAGTTCTACGTCGATCGACTCAAGAAACGCAAACAGGCTTTTGCAACAAATCTCATGTGGCGAGAGCTCGGCGTCGGTTCGCACGGAGTCCGGAGAAGGGCTGATCAATCCATCTTTCAGGTAAGGGCGGATCGCCGCATATGCCAATCCCAATATGTACATTGAAAAGTAGTTCTAATATTGTCGTATTTGATGAAAAAGAGCATGATTCCGGGCTCCCAAGCAGACAAAATCATCCACTTTGATTCGCGAAGCTATTCTGGTCAATTCTCCGACGACGGCAACTTCTTTTTCTGCTGTGAGCAAGACTTCAAAGTTCGGATGTATGATACATCCAACCCCTACGAGTGGAAATACTACAAGACCGTCGAATATCCGTATGGCCAATGGACCATCACAGATGCTTCGCTCAGCCCGGACAACCGCTTCCTTGTCTACAGTTCCATCCGTAGCGCCGCCTACCTCGCCCCGACAGATCCGGATGATGATTCAGATCCGACCGAACTGGATTTTTCTCTCCTGCCAGGTCAAGGGCAGCGACACAGCTGGGGGTCTTCTCGGTCAAGGTTTGGGGTATGTTTGGGCACCGATGCAGTCCGGTTTGAAATCAAGTGGATCGCTGACACTTTTGATAGATATGGTCTCTTCGCTTTTCAGGAGATGGGCGGGAAATTGTCGCAGGCACGTCAGAGGACTCCGTCATAGTTCTTGATCTCGAGACAAGAACGCCGGTGCTTAGTCTACGAAATCGTCACCAGCATCACGTAAACGCGGTCTGTTTCGGCGACACCTCATCCCCACACATTCTCTACTCCGGATCCGATGACACAACTTTGCGGGTTTGGGACCGACGTTCGATGGCCGACGGACGTGAAGCCGGCGTATTTATGGGCCATACCGAGGGATTGACCTACATTGACAGCAAAGGCGATGGCCGCTACGTCCTGTCCAACAGCAAGGATCAGACCATGAAGCTTTGGGATCTGCGGAAGATGATGTCAGCTGCTAAAGCGGACACAATCGACTACAATTCCTACTCGACCGAGTTCGACTATCGCTTTGAAGAGTATCCTGAGGCACACCGTGAAGCACACCCAGACGACCACTCGGTCGTCACTTTCCGGGGCCACAGTGTCCTCAAGACTCTCATTCGTTGCCATTTCTCGCCACCGGGAAGTACGAACTCGCGCTATGTCTATACCGGCAGCGAAGATGGCCAGGTCTACGTGTATAATATGGATGCCACGTTGGCCGGTACCATCGATGTTGGAACAGCCACACTCAATTCTCGGCCGCGTGGACCAGATACACTCTCCAATGTGTGGGAGATGGGGGGCGATATGATGTGGAGAACATGCGTTCGGGACGCAAGTTGGCACCCAAATGCTCCAATATTGGCAGGTAAGCAGCATTGCCTTCCCTTGAAATACAAGATTGGTCCTTTCCGATCATATGAGCTGACACTGCTGTCTGTTTCAATAGCAACCTCCTGGAATGGCTGGGGTCTATCCAGTGGGACCTGCACCATGCATTCCTGGAATGACGGTGCTGACAAGGATGAAGGCGACCCGCCCATTGGTAGAAGCTACGATCATAAGCTGAGGCCTCTGCCTGAGTTTAATCGATATCAGGATAATCCTCCGCCTACTCGCATGCATAGACGCACGCGACGCCCACTTCGCAGCAGGCCTGTATCCCGATGGGTCGCAGATGAAGAAGAGGAGGATGAGAGCCTGTGGTGAACGACGACAAATACTTTGCAAGTCTTGTTTCAAGAAGCGAGAAAAGTGATGGTTTGGAATCGACATGTTGGGAGCTCATTGACATAAAATGTTCGCACTTGTGTCGTAGTAAGTACCGATTTGACGAATCTGAAAATACGATCACATTCTGCCATGAGAGTTGCCAGTAGTTTCTTGTATCGGGTGTCGAGTCGGCGAGAAAATGAAAATGGGCATGGAGGGTCGTTGATTAATCGAAAGCAAGGTAAATGACCCCTATTGGTACAGGAAAATGGTATGTGGTATCTCAAGGGTAGCGATGATGTACTCTCTCCCATCGCATCCCAAATAAAAAATCGCCAATGAATGTTAACTCCGGGTGACGAGCAAAAAAACACCATGGCGCTTCCCGCGCACGTTCACCGGCAGGGGCTCAGTTCGTGGGCTCAGTTCGTCTCCCTTTAAGTCCAACGAGCACGCGAGCATGGGCACCGGACCGATTCGTTCGAATTCGTACAGCATGTGCCCTTCTCTGCTCTCAATGTGGACTTCTCTTCTCCCTCCATCGTCTCCCAAATATGCCGGTTCTCGGTTCGCTGAATTGGCGGTTCGTTGCGTTTATGCGCCACCGACAAGGACCTGGTTCACAGGGATGTGGACTGCAGAGGCAGATGCAATGTCAGCGGTATGATCAGTACAGGGTAGTCCGGCGATGCGGCGTATCTCATGGGCACACTTACTCAGCTTGACGAAGTAACCAATGGCACCCTGGGTTTCCATGTCAGTCAGATTGCACCACCGCTATAAGAACCTCATGAACTGGGTTGAGAACGGGTGAGAGCATACCATAACCAGGAAGCCCATGCCCACAGCCTGGCTAATCTTAATGAACTCGCGCTTGTCGGCTGCGCAGAATGTCAGCATCTTTCCAGTCGGCCACGGGGGGATCGACATTACGCTTGGTGCAGCGCCGAATGAACAGGGATCCCTCCCGGACGAAGTCCTTGGGGATATCAGCAAGCTCTTGGAGGGTCTCCGACATGATGACTGAGTGAGGTGAGAGAAGAGAAAGATGGAAAGGTAGAAAGTCTGGGGGAATTGAATTGGGGGGAAATACCACGAAGCGGAAGGTTGGCGTGTCCTTTCTGGGGAGCGGGAGCCCGCAGTCCGGAAAATCAATTCAGCCGGCCGCAGCTTGGTAGCTTTGTCGCGCCTCGCATTCACTCCCTTCATCATCCGTCTCGACTCTGTCTCTCCACGAAAAAAGCCTTCGGGTCCTGTCTAATATCTTGCAGTAGGAGGATTGACCCATTTCCTTGCTCCTTTGTCTCTGCAGCGCAGCTCCTGTTCTCTGTCCTGCTACTGCCACTGCCTGTCTGTGGCAGACGCGCTTCTCTTTTCCCTGTCTCCCGATTCTCTGAGCTCAAGAAGAGCAATCTGTACGTGCCTCAGCGGCTGGCACTGGTCTTGTCTACACTCACAGGGGTGCAATTCGTCCGCTTTGGATTGTACGTATGGTCATGTCTTTCTCTTCTGTTTCTGTTCCGCGACTGTGATACACTTCTTTCATCCGCTTCTCCGAAGCGCCTGGCTGCCTCTATGCACCAGCTCTGTTCTTCCATTGTTTCGTTGAACCTTCCGTGGTGGAATGTCGGGAATTCATTCTCCATGCTAATTGATGGCCTGTGTCTACAGACATGTACTGTTCTTGAACCCAGAAGCAAACAGAAAAGCAAAAGATCAAGAAGGGCCTGTGTATTATCCAACCTCACATTAACCAAAATCGAATTGTTGCTCCTGAAGCCCGCGGTCCCTCAGGACTCCTTCTAATTGCACAATGGCGACAGAAGATGATAACTTCGATATTGACATCTACGGAGATGGCGGTGGCTTTAACGTGAACGATCAGGGTGACTTCAAGCAGGATGGTGAAGATTTGGAGATAGACCCCCCTCAGACTGCATCTGAGGCACCGACAAACAACATATCGGCAGAATCCAAACCTCAGGCCGAACCGGCACCCGCCGCAAATGGCGACCATACCATGTCCCACCACCAGACTCCGATGCAGGAGGCTCCGGCAGCACCACACGGTGTCAAGCGCAAGGAATATGATGACCGACAGTCAGATCCCGATGCGACCACAGCTTTGCTCATCTCAGACCTCTTCTGGTGGACAACAGACGACGATATCCGTGGCTGGGTAAATCAGGCCCATAGTGAGGACGAGCTCAAAGATGTGACATTCAGTGAACACAAGGTCAACGGCAAGAGCAAGGGGTAAGATATTCCGTTATCAGTCCTTATTTACCTTCTCCAAGGGAGATAGCTAATCTCAGCCGTCAACTTGGTCTTCATAGCCAAGCCTTCGTGGAGTTCACCACCACCCAGGCCGCGACGGCTACTAAGCACCTGCTCGAGAACGCCGGCGCATCTGGCCGCAAGCACACGGTCAACTACACCAACCCACACGCCAATCCATTCCGCACACTTCCAAAGGACGCCCCGATGCGCAAGGATGCTAACCGGACTGGCGGCTTCAACGCCGGCGGCAACCAGAACATGAACTTTGGCGGCGCCAGCGGCGGCGGTGGCGGCGGCATGAATATGGGCGGCGGATTCCGTGGTGGCCGAGGCGGTTACAACAACCGCGGGATGGGCGGCAACATGGGTAACTTCAACAACCGCAATAACTTCAATAACAATGTGGGTGGGTTTCAGGGTGGTTCTGGACCGGGTGGTGCGATGATGGGTGGCTTCCAGGGAGCACCTATGGGTGGCATGCAGAATTACGGGTTCAATAACCGGGGCGGTATGATGGGCGGCATGCGCGGTGGTCCCGGTGGCATGCGCGGTGGCCGCGGCGGAAACATGGGCGGTTCTGGCATGATGGGCATGCCCGGCATGAACCCTATGGGCGGCATGGGTATGAATCCTATGGCTGGGGGAATGAACCCAATGATGGGTGGTATGGGCAGCAACATGGGCATGCAGGGTGAGTGATGGTGTTTCAAGTCTATGCTCTGTTTCCAAATTATGTTCTTCGCTTCTGGAGATGAACGCATGTTAACCTCTCTCAAGGCCAAGGCTTCCAAGGCCCCAATCCTGCATTCAACCAGAACTTTTTCAATGCCAACCAAGGAGGCGGTGACGCCTCATGGAACCCCCACGGCGCAAAGCGCAGTCGCCAAGAGTGAACAACATCCCTCGTGCGTTTTATTTACTTTCTATTTCTTGCGGCGCAATCCAGAGCTGGCTACGGAGTCTACCAGTCTTCATCTTTTTCTCTTCTCTTTCATCCCTTCTTTTCTGATCTCCCGTCATATTATCTCTCAAGTTGGGTGCCCTCTTGTGATTGCTTTCGATCCTGATGAGGATGAGAAAAAGAAGGGTGAGGAAACATTCAGGGCATGTTCCGGCTTGGATCGGGTTCGAGATTTCTTCTCTTTTTTCTTCCTGGTGTATTAGATGCAATTCAACGGTGTTCATCCTCTTTCATGATGTGTATTTATATCATACGGGAAAATGGGCTATTTGCTTGGGCGTTGCTCTTCCACAGACCAAGATTTGGGCCTTCGGTCTTCGCTTAACTATTTTATGTCTGTATTATATCTTCAATTTGGAACAAGAAAATCTTTCCACTACAACAAAACAATGTTCGGCGCGTTGAACATGATCGGCCTCAGCGATAAGTACTTTATCATTGAGTGTGAGAAGTGCCTATTTGAGTACTACTACGCAGCAACATCTAGTTCATTCATTGCCAAGGACTAACAAAGACGATCATATGATTGCTACGTAGATCGCTACGTAGATCCGGCCAAGTCCGTTCTAATTACATTTCCACCCTCGAAGGCTGCCTACAACGCTTTGAATATACATGGCCATTCCTATAAAAGAAAATACGGCACAGGCATCATAAGCAAAACGAGACAACTCAATACGGTAAGAGACAGTGTACTCCCAGGTTTGCATCTATCCGAATCGACACGACAATCAGGGACCCCACAAGAGTTCAATGAGATATGCATAGCTGGACATTAAATGAATTGGAAGGCAACCGATGCAATAAAAGGTGACCAATATGATACATCAGAGAAGCTAATCCAGTTCATCCAGAACAGAGACACCGAGAACCACGGTGCGCCGTACTTCACAAACCAAAGTATAGACAGTTGGGGTTCTGATTACGTGAACTTTGCAGCTTTGAAAAAGCTCGCGGTTACTTCCTTAACTTAGGAAGCCCAAGCCTTGGCAGTCATCTTCATTATCATTAGTAATGTAGTCTTCCGGGCATAGTTCTACGTCAACGTGCACCTCTTTTTCACATCATTTACGAACCCTTTAGAGGTCTAGGCTAAGTCAGGGATCAAAGTCTGCTTTCTTTTACTGATGAAATCGACCACAACAACCGCCAGCACAATGCCATGGTGGGATGCGAAACCTCGCTATCTTAAAACTCGCCCGACCGAGGGTGATAAGATGTCACCCACCAATTTTCGAATCCTTCATTAATACATCGCAACCAGCTGGGCCTAGCTCGACTTTGAGTTGAAAACGGAGATGTACTTCTGCATAGATAGATCGCGGGTTACTACAGTGGTTTATAAGAGTTGCGGGAAAGGGTGTCATCCGGCATGTGGTGATTCGTCAACGGCCGCCAATTTTGGAGTGCCACCAGATTCTATCTCCGCACTTTTCAACTGAGAGGACCGCACAAAGTATATTTGCAGAGGAAAAAAATTGAAAAAGCCGTTCATTGTGAGAGGATTTTGGGTTTCCATATTCATGCTATACAAATTGCCATCGGAAACTTGCTTCTCAAGGCCTTGCCAAGACGAGATTATTAATCCTATATTATTACCGTAGAAAGTACATGGTCGGAAGAATCTATACCTCAAATGGAACCTGACATAAATACTGATAGTCGTCAATAAGCAGACCTTCCATATATCTTGTCAACAATTCTGCTAGGTCCAGTAGGAGTTATGGCAACTTGCCTGAATAATCCTCACCCGAGGTATAGATGTCATGGTCTCCAAAGTGAGGGCGGCATCACGTTGTCGATCTCTGTGGCCATCCTACTTCCAACGCATCAACCGGCTAACCAAGTTAGTTGAATGAAATATGACCTGCATTACTCAGCGATCGGAAGAATCATCCACTCAACGACGTGAAATTCACGAAAAGCCGCAATGCAGTCGCACGGCCATCACACCACCCCCCACACACCACACCGCCCGCCCCTCCTTCCCCATCCGACCACCCCACCTTTTCGTCATCATATCCCATTGCTCTTTCTTCATCTTATCCCGACTCCTGAAAGTCTCTCCACTTCACCATCACAATCTGCCATATTCCACCTCTCTCTAATTCACTGCCTCGCCTCACAACCCTTCATCATGCCCGTCGAAGCTATCAACAGGTACCCACCACCACCCACACATCTCTCCGAGAGCCAGCTCCCTTATCTAATAACCACTCAGCCATGCTGAATTCCTAGAGCGGGTTCTCAATACAGATGACCTTGTTGTCCTCGACGCCTGGGCAGAGTGGTGCGGGCCCTGCAAAGCCATCGCCCCCAAAGTCGAAGAGTGGAGTAACCAGTACCCCCAAGCCAAATTTTACAAGGTCGACGTGGATGAAGTCCCCGAAGTCGCCCAGGAGCTGGGGATCCGCGCCATGCCGACCATTATGTTCTTCAAGGGCGGCGAGAAGATCAACGACGTTGTGGGCGCTAACCCGCCCGCGATCGAGAATGGCATTAAACTCCTTGTCGCATCATAAAGGCTATCCGTATGCTATTCGTTGACTCGCCGACCTCGCGCAGTCAGTCACGACCTGAATTTATATTATCCCGCCTTTTTTTTTTTTCTGGTCCGCTACGTGTAGTTGATTAGATCTGGATCTTCGGGCCCCGAGTCGCAGCGGAGCGCTCGGGCTCGGCCCTGGTCGTAAGCTTAGAGAAAGCCTCCGGGGCTATGTGACCATGCGGGACTTGCTTTGCACTGCCCCGGACGTGATGATTATCACCCCGAATTACATGACTCGTGCGGGCGACAAGCCTTGCTGCGCATTGCCAGCACGTCGCTGTAACGAGATTACCCAGGCTCACCGACTCCGCGACTAGGTGGAGGCTGTGCAGAGGACGATCTAAGCTAATGTATCATAAGGGATGTGTGAAGCTACAGGCGTTAAGGGAAGGAGATAGCAGTTTTCTTAAAAAGGGAAAGGTAAAAAAGGAATTGTGATCGCTTTGTCTAGCCGATGTTATGCTCCAGCGCAATGGCATAATCGTGAGGACCGTCGCAGCGTAATCGCATAAGCAAGAAATCGTAACATCATGAATCGGCCCTCCCTAATGAGACACGAAAGAAGAATAAAAGGAAAAAGTAAAAGAAAGTCAAGAAAGATGGAGAACCCCTCGTACTATACAACCTGACACATGAATGTACAGAATGTACACCTTCCCCAAGGCAGTGAGGTGGAAATCAAGGGCGCCCACGTAGACTTCGAGACTGGAATAGGTCCAGTGCCAGGGACCAAAGCCGTGGCGAGGGGCGCAAGGAAGGGGATATCATTTGCCTGGGGTCTTTGCCAGGTCAAACAAAGCACGGTCCCGCGAACGTGCAAGCGAGAAGATAACAAAGACCAAGTATTTCATGAAATACTCAAAAACTTGATCCGACTGCCGGAACGATAGACCAGAGCAGGCATCATCGGTAGAAACTCCACTCCAACGCGCAAGCTTGTTGAGTGATCCCGGGAGATCAAGGTCAAAACCGAGTTCCAACTCCTTCTCCTCTTCTGCAATGAGCTCTGAATCTTGACCTAGCTTCCCATCGCCACACAGAGTGTCCTCGTCACAACTCCACCACGTGGGCGAGCTGGGCCGCGGGGGAGAAAGCAGCGTGAGGTCAGTGCACGAGGACCTTCTTGAGCTGCTTGCAGAGAAGGAGGAGTCAGCGATCGAGTCGACATCAGAGTCATCAGCCGAATCGTCAAGATCCTCTTTGGTGGTGATCTCGGAGCCGTCTAGGGTAGACTCAAGAGCCTCCTTAAGAGCTGCCTTGGCCTCCTTCTTGTGCTGGCCATGTGCTGTCTTGGCGACGGAAGAACGCAGCCTCAACATCCGGACGACTACTTGGACACGTGTCTGGAGTGGATGCCCTGTGCCATGGCCTCCACGCGCCAGCTTGAAATTTATCTCGACCCTTCTACCAGGAGCGAGGTCTGCGCTACCGGTGCGACATTGACACTGACACTCCGAAGACGGGGTGAATGAGCCAAACGTAGATGGGCCGATGGCCTGTCGGGTCGCAACTTCCAGGCCTGTACAAATCAGTAAGCCTGCTGTCAGGTCCAAACCATTAGAGCGCATGGGAGCAGAGAGAAAAGGTTCTTACCGCCAAACGGAATCGTGCTCACTCCCTTAAGAGGCTTATGGAGTCGCGGAATCCGGTAGGGGAGGATAACAGGCCATAATCCCTCCATTTGCGCCTTTTTGACGCCCCGTCCCGTCTTGGAGGCTAGGATAGCCGACTCCATCTGGGTCTCGGACATGCCGTGCACAAGAACATCTGACAATGCAAGAACCCGGACGGGGCGATTGTCTCTGACGGTGCTCTGCTGGGTGCCCATGGGAGAGGCCATGCGGTGCGGGGCGCCTTCCTGCTGCCGATGCCGCATGGCTTCATAGATCCTGTGGGCAGAAGGGACCATCGTCGGCATTATTTGGTTCAGAAAGCCGGCCTCTGGGCTTAGTACAGAGGGATCTATGTAGTTCACGACTTGGCTGGCGGGAGGCGTGTCCACAATGTATGGGCCGTTTTGAGGCTGAATGACCTGGCCGACAGCAACAACTGGGGCATCGAGGCGCACATGACACCAATTTGTCGATTGCGGGTTACTAGAGCAGCCAGAACAGTCATTTAAGAGTTGACGACAATTATTGCACATCCGCCTAGCCGGAGTGGACGGCTGCTCTCGTGGACGTTGCACAGTTGGTCGCTGCCTTCGAGGCCGGCTGACACCGCCCCGTGGGTTGTTGCGCGCGGCGGTGGTGGGAGAGCGGGGAGGATTTGCCGCCCGCGCCCTCGGCCTCACTCGCCTTGCGGAGGAAGTCCTGGGCACAGAGGGGGTGCAAGACCGATGTCTCGCATTGGTCCTCCATCGACCACTCGTCTCAGGGCCCGAACGACGGTAGCCCGATTCCCCAGCATTGCCGGGTTGAGAATTCCCTGGCATAGACAAGGAAGGGCCACCGGCACTGTGGCCGTCCATGTACGAGCTGCCACCGAAAGGATCTCGGTGGGGCCCATTCCCATGATTGTCGGTTCCTTGGGAAGATGAGGGGGCGTTGGACGGTGGCACACTGATCAAACAGTGCTCTAGATAGCACAACCAGAACGCATCCCAGTCGGGGGTGATCACCGTACAGATCGGACAGATGGGTGGGCAAGTAAACGGGTTCTTCCGCCGTTCAATTGCGTCCTGCACCGCAGTTTCATGGTGGGTTTGGTTGCAGTGTTGCTGGATCTTGTCCTTCCTATACCTCACATATGGGCAGCGAGGAAAAGGACATAAGTACTCGCACTCGTGATAGTGTTTGTCGTCGACATGGCGCTTGAAGACGTGGCGATTGCTGCTTATGAAACCACAATCTGGGCATTGATAGGTGGGTTTGATTCGGTCAACCTGCCGGTTGGGAGCTTCGGGCGGCCCGGTGGGGAGCTGCTCGACCTCGTGGTCATCAGCGGCGCGGTCCATTATGGTCTGCAGGCATCGTTGGATTTGGGAGCGTTGCTCGGGGCCATGATGTCTGTCAATCAGCCTTATGAAAGATTCAGAGGCATGGCCAAGCCCCGAGACGAAGCTCTCTTGGCCTGGGATGCCCCTCTCCTCTCGAGTGGTGGGCCTTCTCGCCGGGTCCGGCTCCGGGGGTTGGGCAACCGTCGTCGCCGGGGATATTGCTTCCCACTCAAGATCGGCCGAGGGCCGGAGCTCTTCGAGCGTAATCTCATTGGGGAAAACCTGCGGGACACGGTGCCTGTCGTAGAGATTCGGATCGATCCCCGCGACGATAGAATCTCTCTCGTCACGTTGCGGGATGTCGTGTGTTGTGCTCTCAGAGTTCAGCAGTTGCCATTGTGCAACATGATCTTCTGTCGTGGATATACTGGTGGTATTGCCAGTGTAACCTAAACTCGGAAGTTGAGAGGACTGCGAGGAGTTCTGTAACAGCGGCATTAGCCATGATCTATGACACAACCCGATGTCCGAGCAGGGGCCCGTCCGAGCAACGGCGACGACGACGGCGAGGGCCGGTGGTTGAGCTGTAGCGGGCACCTAGCAGCACTCACAGTATCTGGGCCTGCCATGACCTGGCCTGCCATGAGGACGGCGTGAGGTTGTCCCTGGTTGGGATAGTCGTCCAACTGGGTCTTGATAGTCGACTGTGATTCCGTCATTGCGATGAAATCATCGCTCTCGTCAGGGTTGGACATGGGCGGGTCCTCATCCTCATCCCCATTCAGAGGCGGCAGTGGTCCAAGATATGGGATACTGGGCGGCCAATAATAGCGAGGTTGAGCCATGGTAGAGGAGTAAAGCAAGTAGTAGATCCGATCGGACGGAAGGCCCGATGGAGTGGAAGAAGAAGGGAAGGGGAGGGAGAAGAAAAAGATCAGAGGAAAGCCCAGCTCCTTTTATGTTCGATCCACGAGGGGGGGAGAGAGGACGGCCCAACGAGAACGACCACCACCCGGGTTGAGAAAGAGGGTGGAGGGTAGTTCGCAAAGGGTCAAACCCGGTGGAGAGGCACTGCGAGAAGGACCGGAGGGGAGAGATGACGCTAGTTGTTTAGAAAGTAGACGGAGTCAAGCATAGAGGACAATTTGAAACCAGGCGATGCTGAAGAAACCGCCAAACTATGGCATTCTCTTGATTCTTATGGGGGATGGGGGGAATTTCCAAGTGACAAAAGGGGAGCGCTGGGATTCCAAGTGGGGTTTAGCCGTCGAGAGCCTTGCGAGAGAACAAAACTGCAGACAAAAAGTGAGGCAAGCCACTGAGCATCGACGGGATGGGACCGGCATGGGGGATCCGACAGGATCAGACGGTAGGGTCCTAAACAGTCCTCTTCCGCAGTACCAATATCAGGCGTGCTTCCACAAGCCGGCATGGGACTCAGCCATGCTGCTGGAGCAGAGCTTGGGAGGGACAGCTCGACAGTGCTCGGCACTGGCTAGATTATAGGATGGAGAACCGCTGCGCCTCCAACGTCCAGCGACGGCGGAGGATCCTCACGATCGGCGCCCAAAGTCTAATGGCAGAGCCCAAGAGCCGAGAGGTGTAACGCGCGAACGTCATGACTATGACGGCTTTGATGCTACCATCACGACTACTGCTCTGCCCCCTCCTGCGCCAGTCACCCTTCACCCATTCGAAAGCATGGGATCGGCGCCGTTCCATCACGGCCAGTGTTTACGCAACGCGCATGACGTGGGACCCCCCAACCATCCTAGCCAGCATGAACGCCGAACCTGGGGGCGCGAAAGATTGACGGAGGCCATGTCTAATGTGGGCAGGTCCCTTGGGTCCAAACGCGCTTACGAGAAGCCAGGGTCGGGCTGGCTTCGTGGAGGAGCAACTCCTCCGACAGGGATTCGAGGATGTGCTGATCCAGGAGCGCGACACACCCGGAAATCATGTCACCGGAAGGGTCCTCTAACCGTTGAACAGCGAGCCGGGCGAAACGAAATACGGATTCACAAGCACCAAACATCGCGGATGACGGAGGAACGAGGGAGCGATTGAGAACGACCATGGACAATTGACTGGTTCGCCAATGCAGAATGGTCGAAATCAGACCCAGCTCATTCGCTCGAACAGTTGCCCTGGCGCAAACTCAAGGTCTAAGCATGCCCCAAGCCATGCCCTCACTAGCCCACGGGGATCCACTTCGGACCAGACGTCCAAACTGGCAGGCCGGAGTACGAGTCGCAACGAGACCCTGCCGTGGGATCTCCCTCGCTCTCGCATCGGATCCAGCCTGGGTTGGGAGACATGGCCGCGCCAGAGGAGGACCTGCTCTTCCCGACCCTCGTCTCCGATGCGATGACGGCGGACCCAACTCAATCCATGGGCAATCGGGCGCTGCCAGTGACATCACCCGCAGTGGATACTGTGCCTAGCGCAGAGAACAGACTACACCATACGAAGACTAGTTCCTACGGAGGGGGTGGGCGCATCTCAATGGCGATCTAATGATCCCCGTCTCCATCGCATCTGGACCAAGTGCCGGCGCGGGGGAGGAGCTATCGCACATCGTCACCACACGCGCCCCGTTGCTAGGAACCCCTGCCCTCGTTCTCGACGCACGACCTGTTCCCTGGCGCCCGGCTATCAATGGAAACTTCCATGCAGCGTGTCCTGTCTGAGTGGCCCGGAGATGTGGACGCGCAGACGCGGCCGGGGAATTTGGCAATGTCAAGCGGGTTCTTTGGTCGAGGCCAATGAGCATGATCCCGACCGGGCAATTCGACAAGCGGGGCTCGAGCTTTCTCCTGACGGGCAAGATCACACCCATCCGGGGCACGAGGCAGGACAGGATGGTGCTAGGAGAAGACTGTGAGGCGATAACGCAGGTGAGGCGATAACGCAGGTGAGGCGATAACGCAGTTGCGCAGGGCGAGGAAAGCGGAGGGAAGAGGCGGGATGTGCAAGCCGAAAGTACCTCTCTCCGCTCCCGCTTTCCCTCTCGTGTCCCTCTTCCCCTCGTCCCCCCGTTCGCCCTTATCCATCCTCCTGCTGGTCCTTGTGGGCCACACAAAAACTGGAGGAGCTCTGGAAAGCGAAAAGCCATCCAACTCAGGGCGCGCCGCCCCCCAAACCCCCCAAAAATCTCTGCGGCCTCATGAGGACTTGCAATCGGACCCTCGGACGCCAGCGCCCGGATTACAGGGTTCTTTTCCAACGGGGATGATCATGGGAAAGGCTTCCGCCCCGTCGAGCGTGAGTGGGCAGCCGAATTAGCTCCGGAAATAAAGTCGAGCAACTCTCAATCTACCCGCGATTCGCCGCCTATGCTCCACTGCGGTGTCGCAGACGCACATCTATCAGGCCCGCGGCCGACGAATCACGCTCGGGAATCGAGTGGTGTACGGGCTGACACGAGAAGGGGGGAGGTGGAACAACCGATCCCATGATTCTGAATTTGCTGCCGATCTTCTTTCACGGGCCTTTCTGGCGGCTTAAAATCTTGGCGGAGAGGGGGCGACGCCTGTGCGGAGCGCTCCCCCCGAACTCAGACTCTTTTTTCTCAAATAATTCCTCCCCTCGGGCCGGTCGCATGTGCTGGCCGCATTTTCTGTGCTGGTGGTGCTACGGTATTGGCTTGACCCTGGCAGAGGGGGTCAGGGGGTCTTCGTCACTGTACGCGTCAGAGCGGTGACTTTAGATGGGACTCAGCAAGAAGGCGCCCGTCTTTCAAGGTGCTGGCTACTTGCACAAACACATAGGGCCATTAAAATTGATTGGGGCGAGCTCGGTCCTTCCCTTGGTTGATGTCCTTCTGGGGTTGGCGGGGAGAAAAAGAAAGGAAAGCGCGGATACACACAAGGAGAACAGAACACCGATCAGGACAGGAAAAGGTGCAAGAAAAATAAAAATAAAAAAAAAATAAAAGGCGAACACGAGAATCAAACGCAAGTAGCCAGGCCCCTCTTTGCCGTGTGCACGGAACAATCGGTATAAATAAGGCAATTAAGGAAGTATAGGAGAGTTTGCTTGGTCCACGATCGACCCACCAATCCGGGACGCAACCATGGCTCGCAGAATTAGTTGTTCCAGAATCTCGGGCCAACGTATCCCAAGTGCCTCTGAGGGGAATTGACATTGCGAACTTGGCCCGGCGTTGCACAACATGCACCTGCAGGCTGGGGTATCTACACATTTGTCCTTTGGCTCAGGCGAGAGCCTACGGACGAATGAGTGATTGTGGGAATGCGATTACCGGGTGGAAGCGGCAGGGAGAAATTGCCGGCCAGGTAACAAAAGGCCCTTCAATACCCGGACTCTCACCGAGGATGAGAAATCAGAAACAGAACCCGCTGCAAGCAAAGCCAACCCCCATAGTCAACGACTGAGATGGCTCACGACCGACATGGCTCACGAACTGACATGGCTCACGAACTGACATGGCTCACGACTGACATGGTGCAGGTCAATTACTGCGCCCAGCGCCGGCTCGCACTCATACCGGCGTTCGGCGCACTGATTGGACACCTTAGACCCCTGGCAGCAAGACCCGACCTGACATACAAGCTCGGAAAATCCTGCATGCACCCAACCATGAGCCATGACGATGAAAATTCTGCAGTCAGCTGTGAAGGGGGCCAAACCGTCGCGAAGGGGGGGAACAAAAAAATTCATAGCCGTCTCCCTGGTTGTCGGCGAATGTATCGTTCTTCGCTGAATGCGCTGAAATGGAATGGTCCGCGCTGCCCGGTCGGTATGCCTCGGGCATGGCTGCGTTTGGTTGTGAGTGGGCGTAGATCATTGGCTTGTTGGCGGGTTAGGGGGATGCGCGCTCTGAATATGCATGCTTGACGGGCTGCTGGTGCGCCGGGTACTGCACGGGCGATGAGACCTGATCGGGTCGCCGTCGTTTGACACTTGACAGTTGACAGTTGGACTCGATACTTTCTGAGTGTGGCCGGTTGATCCAATTGCATTTAATTGTGAATTGATGGTTTTTTTTTCAAATTATGATTTAGCTTCCCTTGTTTTTCCTGCGATGCGCGACGAAGGTTTCAGGTCTTGACACAGATTTTAGGTCTCGATACAGATGTTAGGTCCTTGGCACAGCTTTTCAGGTTGCGACAGAGATTTCACGTCTAGCGCTAGTCCGTGTCTCCGTGGTTGCGGCTCTAGTTCCGTGTTGGCCCGACGAAGATAGCAAGATGGTGGTAGAGTCGGCTATTGGAATGACGCGCAGGTCTAGCAAGATCGGAGAATGGAGAACGGAACATCACCTGACTCCTCTCTTCTCTCCGAGAGATTGGGGAACGGTTCAATGCGAATTGCGCAGATGTCGCCATGTATGTCTATCTATTTAGCTTTTGGGGATAATAAAACACGTCCAGAGAAAGAAAGGTCCAAAAACAAACATCGCCAAAAGATCAAACGGGGAAATGAAAAGCACGGAGATCCAAAATCAACCAAATCAGACGTTCCAAGAAAATACCCCAATGTCCTCAAGCTCCCGTCCACTCCACTTGTTCCTTTGCGGGGCAGGCCGACGGGGATGCCCCACCGACGGACTATCTTCTCCACACCAAACCCCGCCAAGATAAAAAAGAATATCAAGACCAGGAGCCATACCATCGACCGATCACTCCAGAACGGCACCACATAACAGCATCCCCCCAAAACGCACCGGGACGCGCCCATGTCATTCCGTCCACGCCATGTGTAACACGTACCTGGCAAGACCAGCGCTGCCAGGAACAACGTCCACATGGCCTGTGTAAGGCACGGGCACTGCGCCGCGCCGCCGCCTTATTTGAGGCCGAGGGGTACCCACGGCTGGGATTCCTTCGGCGCGGCCAGCCAGGCCGACACGGCGGCGGAGCCCTTGGCGGGTTTGTTCTTGGGTAGGAGGGAGGCGTACGAGGGCTTGTCGTTGGGGAGGGAGAGGTTGTAGTCGTGGCCGGAGATGTGGGGGGCCTTCAGGCCAGCGCCGATGTGGCGGAGATCAGAGGAGGACCTGGAGCGAGACAGTGGTCAGCGGTGGACGGGGAGAATAGCATTGTCGATGGCGGTGGTGGGAAGGGAGCTTGGGGGAGCCCTGGCAGTGGGAGGGAAAAGATGTGAGTTGCCACCGCGGGCATGTGAGGGCAAGCTAGCTTACTTGGAGGAGCTCATTGTGTGGTGAGGCAGTATGATGCTATTGTATCGGTACAGGAATTCGTGCGTGGTGGCGGCGAGGGCAGCGGACTTTCTAAGAAACTGTGATGAGCCAAATGGAACCAGACGGGGGAACGAGTCGTCAATGATCTCGACTCGGGGAGGCATTGCATACTTCAAGCTTCAGTTATCAAGAAGGCAGGGTGGTGAATAGCATGCTCTCGACGGCGCCGGCGGCGATTTTTATATTCTGCTCAGGTCTATGACGTCCAGTGCACGGCAGGCTCCAAGGCGAACCCGGGTTTTCTCAGGGTGAGGGAGGATAGCCAGGAAAGGAGGGTCCAATATCGCAAGTGGATCGTCCCACCACCGAGTTTGGGGTGGTGGAGGCGCCTGGGTCGCGCCATGGGGGTGTTTCTGGAAGCTTGCCAAACCTGGGCGATGGGCGAGGGGTGGAAGGGTAACGGCTGCCTGGGGTGTGGCCGAGATTAATTTAGGAAATAAATCAAAAAATAGAAATGAAAATTTAAAATATGGGTACATAGTAGATTTAAGAGGAGTGGAATGGAGACGATTGCTGAGATAAAGCTCAACCCCTGCAGGCCCCAGAGGGGAAGTATACTTGTGCCCTAGAAGCTGGTACGAGCTAGTACGGACTAGGCAAACAGTCCCTGGAAGTACCGCCGTTACGGCCAATACCGACACCATTCCATATCCCGCTGGGATGTTCCTGGATTCCTCGTGTGTTCAGGATCTCGATCTCGGTCTCGTCTCGTTCCAGTTCCAGTTGCAGTTCCAGTTCCATTCGCGTTGCGGTTTTGGCTGCGACCACCGCGGCTGTCCATCTCACGGGCTCGGAGTTTTCTCTTTTGGAAAATACACCCGGTCCATTGAAGGAGATTCACCGAATGGTGTGCAGTTGCAGGGTGCAGCGGATCGACCTGACATGTACATGGTGTCATGACAGGCGGGCGGAACCTTATCAGCAGGCCAAATGTCGGTGTGTCAGTGTCGATCCTACTGTATCAGCGTGGCTTCGAGAAACCGGAGATGAGATGATACGATTTCAGACCGCTTCTGTGCTCATCTGATCAGGAGGTGGGCGGAGGTCTGAGGACCACAGATGTAGATCGGATCGTCTCCACTATGGTGTTCACTGTAAATCTCCCAGGCCCATTACCATGCCGAAACACCTGCAGTAGTGACGGGTCATCAAAGCCCCCCGCACAGCGAGGAAGGCGAACACTAACACCGATTTGGGGTGGTTGCCTGGATCACCAGTGGCGGTGCGCCAGGGCCGACCAGAACCATGAAGTCACAGTACTGCGCGCGAGGGTCGACCGTCCAGGATAACGTCCACCCTTCCACCCTCGCTGCCTCATGGGTCGTCATTATCATAGGGGAGGTCGAGACAGCCCAACCGCAACCCGGGCTGGGGGGAAATGGTCCCGCCGGGTTGGAGTCTGCCCTAGGCCCCTTCACCCTTCGTCGACCGAGGGCGAGGGCAATGTCAATGTCAATATCCTGTCAATGTCAATGTCAATGTCAATGTCAATGTCTCGGTATCTACGGAGAATGGCGTACGAAAGACCCAGCAGGGCAACCAGTCAAGTCGATTCTACAGATAGACCAGCCCCACCGCACGCCCCAGGACCCGTCCGCGGCCATTAACCACCTGCAACCCGCCGAACCTGAGCGTCCACCACCGCAACATGAAACACCAGTCGAGCCGGAATGGCCGGTGCTGGGAGCTTGAGTCAGATTTTGGCCCCTCCGGGACGCAATCACGACCGCCCACGTTGGCGTGGACCCAGGACTCCGTGTTGAAGGACCAGCGATTGCGCTTGCATCCGCACTAGTGCCAGGGGGAAAATGAGGAGGGTGGCGAAACGGCAGTTCAGTAGGTGATCGCAACAGATCGCAGGGTCTAGATGCCGATGCAGGTCTAGTCTAGTCCGGGAGGAACACCCGGGGATGGATTGGCGCACGCTCTCTGGGCTCAGGCACAGACGTCTTGGGATCCCTCGGGTTGGGGGCCTCTCCACTGGGAAGACGTCGGAACGGTGCAGGGAGTAGGTTTTCGGGTGTCTGCATTGGAGGGGCGTCTCTCCTCACGCTCCGGAAATACCAGAAACAAGAAACACTAAAAACCCTGAGCGGCAAGTCTGCTCGAGAAGAATAACTCACGGCTCGCGCGCCATCGCCTGAGCCCGGGACGAAGTTTCTGGCGTCTAACGTCAGCACCATGTGCGATGATTTTGCGCTGTGTGACGGAGGAGTCAGTCCGAACGCTCCAGCATCGAACAAACAATGGCAGTGGTTCGACCAACAGGAAGGACAGGTCAGATTCACTTCTACTATGGCTGTTAACTACCGGAAGGCCCCCAGGCAACCACTGTGGCTATGCCCGACTGTGGCACAGCGCGCTCGCGTGGCTTGTCTCCCCCGTCTGCGACGTCCTCTGACTTCTGTGGACCAATTCGAACGGCTGCACCAACCATTCCCCCCGTATTCGTGAATCCTGCACTAAAATGGGTCTATCGCGATCACAGTCATCCTGGAAGCCCGCAAATTTGCCAGTCCAGCATCTCGACCGAGCCATGGAGACAAAAATCGCGCATTGTCCACCCAATCCACCAAAGTATATAATTGCTTTTTGGCTCGCCTAGCCCACCCTTCACGAGTCCTTCTGGAAAGAAGCATGGCCCGCGTAATGCCAAGACCAATAACGCCGTCGAAGTTAGATCGCCGAGGGAAAATCAGCCTTATAAACTCACCCTCGTGCGACTGCCTGAGGGCGAACGTAGCCCGAGGAACGACCAGCTGAATGACAACCGGCCGAAGGACTATCGGCCGCACACGATCCCCACAGGAAACCCGCGCTGACCGACAGCGACAAGGCAGATCCGAGGGCACTGGCACGCACAGCAAGTGCCGACTGTCGAGACAAGGCGCACCCTAAAAAAACAAAACCCAGACAAGGGCAGGAAAGAGCACCTTCTGGCGTCAGCGCTCCCTAGGGAGCGGCATCCGTGCAGAGACGCAGGTCCACCTGCCAATCCCCGAGACGAGCGCACAATCGCCTGGTCGCACTAGCGGGGTGCTTCATTACCGGACTATCCACTTTCCGGATTCTGCCTCTGCCAGAATTCCCGAGCATGGCCTCGTCCGCAACACGGCAGACGGACAATATTCTCGCGGGCGTGGGGAGGGACCTTGTGGAGCGGTCAGACAGGCTCACGCTACTGTGCACCTACGCAATGCCGTGCCGATCCTGAGGGAATTGGAATTTGATGTTTCGCAGTCTTATTCTCATTTGATTTGATTTTGATTTTGATTTGATTTTGATTTTGATTTGATTTGATTTGATTTATTGATTTTTTGATTTTCGGATTACCCTCTCTTCCCTGAGGGACCGGTGGATCTCCTTCTCCACAGTGATGCGCTGGTGATCCGCCATTAGTCTCCTTCCGATTAGAGTTCCTTCTGTCTTGGGGGGTTCCCTCAACCCCGTGAATAATACATCGGGACGTGCGGTACGTACGACCGTCGAAACATGATTCGGGACCCTCAGTCAAAAAGAGATGGCATGGGGGCAAGGGAATTACCCAGGGAAAAAAAAAATCAGGGTGTGTTGCTCAGGCCGCCTGTCTTCACCCTGGCTATTCTCCCTGGGCTCGGAAGTGTAGCAGCCCAACGTCCCCCGAGGGCCTCGCGGTGATTGATTTCCATTTTTTTGGTGTGGCGCAGTTACCCATTGTACGGCTGCAGCAAAATTCACCGAGCAGTCTGTGTAGACTCCGTCCGGCGTGTGGGAGGGGATGCCGGGGAGCCTCGTGTGGCTGTGCGGGATGTCTTCGCTGCAGCGCTTCTCGTACAGGCGATTCTGGCCCCGGCCTACGACCTGGACGGTGTCGCCATGGACTTGATGATCGGATGATGGCGTGGGCGATGGGCGATCCTAGTTCTAGACTGTTTCTTTTTTTTTTTTTTCCCCTACTCCTTTTCTTTTTCTTATTTGTTTTTCTGTTTTTTTATTTTATTTTTTTATTCTTATTTCATTCTTTTTTTATTCTTTTTTATTCTTTTTTATTATTTTATTTTATTTTTTACTCTCCCCCTCTGGATATGCCTCCGTTGGCCTGGACGGCGATCGAGCGGTGGCGGTCTCGCGGAGTCTTCGGTGCCCCTGGGGGTTGGGGGGAATTCAAGTCTAGACCTTGGGTCATTTCCAGCGGAGAAGGTCGAGGTGCATGGTGCATGAACCTGGATGCCGCCAGCGGAGGGAGCAAGCAAACAGATGAAGTCATAGGCATGGTGGCCGAGGTTGGTCTGTAGCACATGGGGAGTTGTAGATCGTGCTCCCGAGAATCCAAATAAATGATTTCGGTGACAACCATGATGATTCAAGGTTCAACCTGGTCCGCGAAAGGCGGGTTAGTCCCCGGGAGGAGATGAGATATGGAGAGAGCCAGCGACGAATCCCATCACAGAAGATCACTTCGTCAAGGAGGTACACAGGATATACGCCGGGCTGGTCATGGTGGAAAAGAAATGCATCGAGACCGATCAGCAACTAGCAGAATCGAAGGCTGAACTCCCAGGTTTGCAATGGTAAGCAATGATATTCTTGCATCGAACCCTACTTGGTGAACACCGTGATTTCTTCCTGGCATCCCAACACCCGTCCGCCAGTCCGTGGAAGCGCTTGGCCGAAAGTATGCCATGCCCGCGCGGATGTGGCGATATGGGATCTATTCATTCTGGGAGCTGCTCCGACCAAAAGCTCCCGTAATCGGGGGACTACATGTTGGAACGGCATGTATCTCGCATAGCTGGATAATGAGACCGCTGTTGTGAAAGCGTGGTAGCGTCTCGCGGGACGTGGATCGAGTGTCTGGGAGATTTAGCACGATATCGCATGGCCGTGGAAGCGTCTGATACGAAATTAAGTGATAACTCGGGAAAATTTTGATTTTTGTTTCATTCAGGGGAATCTATGCACAGGCGAGAGAATGTGCCAGGGCGATTGGAAACCCTTCACGCGTCGTCTCATGCAGCCAGAGGTCTGCCTCCTCCCCGACTCAGGGCGAGGAAGACCGGAGTAAAAACCCAGTTTTGTAAAAAGCACAACACCAAACAACCACGCGCACCAAAACCCAGTAAACCCCAAATTCCGCGCGAGCCGCTTAGATGTGGGTGTCGTAGGCGATGGGGACGACGGTCTCGGGCGCGTTGCCGGCGATGGAGACGAGGTGGCCATCGCGGGGGCCAACGGCCTGGCGCTTCAGGTGAACGTGGATACCCTTCTCCTTGGCCTCACGCTTCTTAAGGGCGTTCTCCTTGACACGGTTGATGAACTCCTCGCGGGAGCGGGAGTGCTGGACGTGCTCAACGCGGACGTTGATGCGCTTCTCGAGGTAGCGGTTGCCGACGCGCTTGTACAGGAGGACACCGACGGAGGACTTGGTCACGTTGTAGACGACACCGGTCTTGCCGTGGTAGACCTTGTGGGGCATACTGTAGAAGGACTGACAGTCAATATTTTGGGGGGGTTCCTGGTATCAGACTGGCGTGGCGGTTGGGGGGTGGGGGGCTGTTTTCCACGAAAACTGCCGTGCAGAGGAGTTGGAAGGGCAAATTCGGATTGTACTGACCCCTTCTGGACGGCACCGTTAACCTTCAGGTCGACAATGTCACCAACACTGTAAAAAATTTCGTCAGTCCCATTTCTTTGTAACTCGTCTCCATATGCGGTCTTGAAAAAGGATGTCGATCGTACCGGTAGGTCTTCATGTAGGTGGACAGGCGGATCATACCATGCTCCTTGAAGGAGCGGCTGAAGGCATACTATAATTCCTTCTCGTCAGTACGCTGGTCTCGCTCGTTGTCCCTCAGGTGTGCCAGGCGAAATGTCGTGCATCGAGGGGCGAAAATCGAGGTGGTGTAGACGTACCCGAGTGCCGGCGCGCAGACCGTACGAGTGAGGCATGACGGCGGTGTTGTGGTTTGGGCGTGTTGAAAAGTGTCGACAACGGGCTGCCTTTCGTCAACCTGGAAGTTGAAGCGGCGGAGAGTGTGGTATCGGTTGGTCACGTGTTAGGGTTAGCGCACATTAACCCTGCGTACCTTCCATATGTGGACTAGCGTGATCACATAGCCGAATAATCCAAAGACCTTGGAACTTCGTGCGAATTTCCTCAAGTGTGCATTCGACAATCCCGCCAACCCAGGACACCCAGCAGCCATGGCTCCCGCTCCGTGAGTGACAACGAGATCAAAATGCAGTATCGCATGATTCTGACCTGCTTTTCTACAGCCGTGTCTACACCAAGACCTACAAGGTCCCCCGTCGCCCTTTCGAGTCGGCCCGTCTGTTAGTACTCTCCGGCCACTGATCAGAAGCGTGCTTCTGGTCATGTCGTGTGTTCCATATCTAATCCATTGTCCCTAGTGACTCGGAACTGAAGATTGTCGGCGAGTACGGCCTGCGCAACAAGCGTGAGGTGTGGCGTGTCCAGCTTACCCTGTCCAAGATTCGTCGTGCTGCTCGGTATGTGGAGGAACCATATCTGTGTCAATGGGATGGCTGTGGACTCGGCGCGACCGAACCACAGTCCTGCAACAACAGAGCTAACATTCTACTTCACTAGTGAGCTGCTCACTCTCGATGAGAAGGACCCCAAGCGTCTGTTCGAGGGTAATGCCCTGATTCGCCGTCTGGTGCGCATCGGTGTGCTCGATGAGGCCCGCATGAAGCTCGATTACGTCCTCGCCCTGAAGGTCGAGGACTTCCTGGAGCGCCGTCTCCAGACCTGCGTGTACAAGCTTGGTCTGGCCAAGTCGATCCACCACGCCCGTGTCCTGATCAAGCAGCGTCACATCCGTGTCGGCAAGCAGATCGTCAACGTCCCCTCGTTCATGGTCCGCCTCGACTCCCAGAAGCACATCGACTTCGCTCTGACCTCGCCCTTCGGTGGCGGCCGCCCCGGCCGTGTTCGCCGCAAGAAGGCCGCTGCCGCCGCTGGTGGTGACGGTGAGGCTGAGGAGGAGGATGAGGAGTAAATACCTCACCACTACAAAAGAAAAACGGGAGTCCGGTCGGGTTTCGCTTTGGGCAGCTCAAACACTCTGGGAGGTTCATGGTGACTGCAGCATAAAGCGTTTCATGTTGTATGATCATGCAAATCAAAATGAATCAATAAAACAGCCAGAATGGCTTCAATTCGGAACCCCGATATCTTTGTGCATCGCATTATCATTGCCTCATGCAGCATTGGGCCCTTTTATAGTCATATGTACATACAGTATGGTAGATTTCCTGAACGCCCTTATCCCCATATCCCCATTTCCCCGTTTCCCCGGAATACCTAGCCCGTGCCCGTCTTGGAAATATCGCCGAACTCCTGTAGCGTACTGCGAAGCCATTCATCCCTCAACATCCACCATCTCTTTTAATGTCTTTTCCGCGCCTCGGTACCAGCGCCCCATCTCCTCGAGTCCATCGCTCTCTCCTTCCTGCTTCTTACGCTGAGCCTCATGCGCCTGTGTAATTGCTTCGTCCTTCCGTCGCTCTAGCACCGTGCACTCCCGCTCGAGGGCCTCGGCCTCTCGTGTCTTTCGCGGTAATGTGTTCTGCACGGCAGCAATTTGACGGTTCAGTGCGGCCAGTTCAGCCTCCCGTTCTGATAGCAGTGCCCTCGTGGCGGGAAGTGGTAGGTTCTGGGAGGACCGAGGGTCCGAAGAGTCCATTCCGGCGACCTGTTTAGCGCGGAGGCCCGCGATGGTAGACTCGAGGTTCTCAATGGCGTCCGGAAGCGTCGAAAGCTGTTTCATCTGGACCTCGACGTTCTTATAGCCTGTTATACATGTGTTCAAGGTCAGCCACTGAAGCAGTAACGTAAGAAGGGAGGCCATACGGCTCGCCAGCTCTCGACCCATCGTCTCCATTTCCTCGATCATGAGGCGGGCTTCTTCTTTCTGCGCCTTGAGCTCGGCTTTGACTTTGGCCAGTTGTGTCTCCATTTCGACGTTTTCATTGTGCCCGACCACGAGGGGCGGGTCGCCCACGATTGCGCGGAGGAACTTCTCCTTCGTCACTTGCTCGAGGTAGGAAAATCGCAGCTTGGAAAAGAGCTCCTGGATCACAGAGAAGGGCACATGTCAGCAATTGCAACCACGCCATGCGAACCATAGACCTAGCACCAGGTTCGTCGCGCACCTTATAGTGTGTAAGATCAGCCTCGAGCGAGGCCGGCGTGGGGTCATTCCAGTTTGACATAGAAACATCGGAGCGTCGCTTTGAGGGAGATGGATTGGAGTCACCGGCGTCAGAGATGGGCTCGCTGATGCGAATAATCGCAAGACGTTTCTTCAAGTCGCCCTGCTCTTGCTCGAGCTGCTGGAGGGCACGCAAGGGATCAGGAGTTTCTGACGCCATCTTGCAACGGCAATTGTGACGGATTCGCAGTTTCTTATGAGCTTAAATGAAGTTGCAAAGGAAACGCCTAAGAAAGTGAGTGTTCGCCAACTCCCACGCAGGCGCGGGACGGTAAACAACTCACTTATCGCGACTGATAACTAATGGGCCAAGGCGGTGAGCCGCCAAAATGTTGGAAGGCGCCAGCTCGTTGCTTCTTCTCTCCCCTGCTGCTTTCTACAGTGGATAGTGAGCCCTTATTTTCCATGATGGCCCAGTAATTCCTGTTTGATTCTTCTCTTGTCCTCACGGCACTTGCACAACTCACTTGGTTCTGTCCGGCCCGCACCTCCGCAGTCTGCGGCTTGACGACATCATGGACGACTACCACGTTGCGCAAGTCCTCGCCAGCGAGGCGCGAGACAGCTCTCAGAAATATGAGAGTCATGGACTTGGCGCGTATCTGCTTCGGAAGTAGGTTCACATCGGTGTCGTTATTTTCTCTTCACTGCGAGTTGCAAACTGACTTGGAACACCTCCAGACCGGCCGGGAACGCTCCCAAACCCAATACCCGATTCCTGCGGCACTTGATCAAAGAGACGGATAGTCACAACACAGCGCTCAAACGCAAAGAGGAGAGAGAAGCGAGGGAGCGCATGCGTCAGCTGAAAGACCAGCCCAAACATGACTCGGCTCCAACAACTTCTTCAGCCACGGGAAAGCACGATCGCCGTTCCAGAAGCAGAGACGGAGGAAGAAGTCATAGAGAGGATCGTGACAATCGCCACGAACGCGACGGTCGCGAGCATTCGAATTCTCGGCGCCGACATCGCAATCGTCCTTCGTCTACTGAAAGAGATCGAGCACGCCGCCATCGCCGTCCGGACGAGCCCCACGAGCGAGCAACGAGAGACCGGACCGAGCACCGTCGAGATCGCCATGAGTCTTCTCGGAAAAGCCGTCGAGGCCGCGAGAGATCATCCTCGCACTCTCGCAGTCGGTCTCCTCGGCGAGACCGCAGTTCTGGACGCCATCACCGATCAGCGTCTTCGCCAGACCCTCGGTCATCGCAACCACGGCGGACGCGAACAGGCCACCGCCATGAGCGCTCTGAGCTCTCTGAGCGTGCAAGACATCTCTTGCCTCACGATTCCCGCTCCACCACGACTCAGGATTCTGTCAAACCTCGCAAACAAAAACGGGGGTCGCCGTCCCCGGGCGAGCCTACCTTTACCACTCTACGTCGCGACCGTACCGATGATGAATCCGATCCTTTGGAAGATCTCATTGGGCCCCTGCCTCCGCAGATGGATGGTGATGGTGCTGCCCCGATTCGCTCTCGGGGCCGTGGAGCGTATAAACCCAGCGCCAGCACCATTGACGCTCACTTTGCTCCGGACTACGACCCTACCATCGATGTTCAGCCTGGTGACAATGAGGGACCTTCTCTAAACAAGATTTCTCCTCGGCCCGTCGCGGGTCTTATGGCAGGGGAAGATGACTGGGATATGGCTCTCGAGGCGTTGCGCGACCGGCAACGTTGGAAGCAGAAAGGCGAGGAGAGACTACGCGCCGCGGGAATGAACGAAGACACCATCGATCGGTGGAAGAACAACGCTGCGTTCACCGGGGCAAACAGCGGCGAAGGCAGGCCGGAGAATGTGCGATGGTCGAAGAAAGGCGAGGGCCGAGAATGGGATCGGGGTAAAGTCATGGATGACGAAGGCCACATCGATGTCCGGGCTGCCTGGTAACCTTTCTTCTTGTTCTTCTGCTTTGGAGCGTGGCGTTTAGAGGCTACTTTGTTTTTTCTTGATACCAGGGGATACCTTCGCATCTGTCGCACCGGATACACACGGTCACCATGGACACTAGTGTAGGATGAGACACCACTGTATTCATATCTCCAATATCATTAGGTTATGTGGGGACGGCAAAACTTATGGATGCGCGCCCATAGAAGGTGGCCTGAGCCGACAGGTAGTATCAGCGCATCTGTTCTCAAATACCTCGAAAACAGCTATCTAATCGGAGTGCGGAACGGTTCCGCGCTGGCGGATGGTGATTCTCAAGTCAAACTGACGACATCAGTCATCCTGCCCGCGATTGCAAATGCTTAGAGATCCATGGGTCTTTCCACACATACCCTTCCTCGTGCCACTGATAACCTTCTTTCTACCCCCTTCGCCTTATCTCTGTGCCTCCGAAGCGCCCATCAGTAAGTATAAATCGCGGAACATCACCGATTGAGCTCTTCAATCCTATTTACCCCGAACATCTACTCGGGAGCCCGGGACGTCCTTCAAATCTCCACCACAATGACAGACCAATTTGCCTTCTCCCACCCGTCCCCGCTGGAGGGCTACGAGAACCTTGAGCCACTGTCCGAGTGAGTGCCACGCGACCGACCGCGGGCGGAAACATCCGCCCACTCCTCACAACGAGTCATGCTGACCCTCCGTCCAGGGAGCGCAATGACGATGGCAAGTCGTTCAAGAACCCCCAGCATGGCATCCTGAGCAAAGCCTACGAGGAGTTCCCTGCCCCACTCCAAAAGGGGCCCCGCGGAGGCTTCGACATCCACATCTACCACTTTCAGGTGAGTCAAGACACCCTCTCCGAGTCGCCCGATCCGACTAACACACAGCAGAACAACCCAGACCAGGTCGCGTACGCAAAAGCCCTATGGGAGCGCATCCGCCGCGAATGTACACACGCCCCACTGCCCAACCCTACCTTCATTTCACACAGTTGCCCACATCCCGTTCCCCACGATGCTAACCCTTGCCTCCCCCCAGTCCCCGAACTCCGCATCTACACCTTCTTCGACCGGCCCATTGGCCCACACCCAGTTGCCATGTTTGAAGTCAACCTGTTCACGCCCGCGCAATTCGGTGCGTTCATCCCCTGGCTGGTGATCAACCGGGGCCCGCTGAGCGCACTGGTGCACCCCAACACGGACGACGATGAGGAGGAGGAGCGGAACCACACGCAGCGGGCGATGTGGCTGGGGGAACGGATCCCGTTGGACTTGCGGATTTTCAAGCTGATGAAGGAAAAGCAGAAGCGGGAGGAGGAGGCGGCGGAGAAGGCGAAGCGGGAGACGTTATAGAGGAGCTGTCTGCTCTTGTGAAAGTATGCTCGTTATGGCTACGGCGTATACGGTAATGAGAGAAGGGTGGTTGCGAATGTAGCGCTCGGGACCGTGAAGGGCAGGTTCAGTCGTTGGAGACTTTGGACATTAAAGAACGAGAATCCTGATTTCCTTGTAAATAGATGAATAGATGCAATACAGAGTCCTATGGAATCGCAGGAGAGCAGGGGCTGCTATCAGGGCGGCTTGTTATTGGCGGATCGGAGCCGTGGTGGTACGGCCACTCTCCAGCTGCAGCTGAGCATTCGCATGCCTTCAGCTGCCACTAGGGACAGATAGAGTACAGTCCCAGGCAGTGCGCTGTGTATCCAAATGACTATACCAGCGATATCTCCATTGCAGACCTCGGCTCAGCCTCAGATGACCGAGTCAGGAGGAGCGTATCACCAGGCCGCATAACCCAAAAAATAAACGAACCCATCCCTATCCACTCGCCTTGGGGCGTGCAGCGCATGCAAGCAATTCGAGCATGTCCTCTCCGTCGAATCACACGCTTGAACACGCCTCCAGGTTCCTGGGCCCGTCGATCATCCACATTCCAGGCCACGCCAACCTCCACTAGCATGGTTATGCACCTGTGGATCGGGATGCTACCCCCGACCCTGCAGGCTCAGGTACGGTGTGATCGTGCATCCCGGTCGGACTCGCCGCGATCTTTCCTGCTCGGAGGTGATGTGATCTAGAGGATCCTGGTGGCATCCGGACTGAAGAGCAATGCGATGGACCCTGACAGGGACAGGCGGGGAGCGCACTTGCCAGTCTTTACTGCTCACCACCTCTTCCAAGGTATTTACCTGGTCACTCCCCCTGTCTAGCTGGACTGCCCTTCTCATCCGCTGTCCGGGCTCCCTTGGTTGACGGCTACGCCCGCGTCTTGTGACAAGATCAGACTGATCGACGTAGAGATAAAGTCTCAACGGGATCCCCGAGTCGCTGGTTTTCACCATCCGAACATCTTGACTGGCGCTTTCTATACTAGCCTCCGGGTTGATGGTTGCGATGCTGCACCTGATATCCCATCTGGTGGCGTTGGCCCTGCTGGTGGCCCCGGCCCGGGCCACGGCGACCATTCCGTCCTATGTATACGACTATGGTGAGTGCCGAGCTGGGTCGCCACCATCACATCCAGTCTAACCTTCGACAGCCCCTCTGATCTGGCTGCATAGCCAGGATGCATACCGACCGGGCGACCTCCAAGCACAGCTCGACCACACCACGCCCGAGGTCAACTGGACCGCGATCCAGGGCGCGCCATCTCCGTTGACGCTGAGCAACCTCGACCAGCTCAACAACCTGGGCAATACCAGTGTGTACCTGACATCCCACGAGGGCATCGCCGCATACCCTGAACCAGCCTGGTTCCGCGGTATCACGCCGGACTCACAGGGACGTATCGGTAATGGAACAGGGTGTGCGATTATCGTTGTGGACCATGGGAGTGGGAATGTCGATGCTTTCTATTTCTACTTCTACCCGTGAGCCAGCTGAACCGAATATTGGATGATATCAGCCAGCGTTACTGATACAGAGGCTAGCTACAACAAAGGCGACCTGGTGCTCGGCTTGGAATTCGGTGATCATATTGGTGACTGGTACGTCCAAGACAGATCTTCATCTGCATCCTCCTCGCCCAGCCCCTATGGTACAAGCAGCCTGACACCACCAGGGAGCACAACATGATCCGCTTCGCCAATGGCACCCCACAGGCCATGTGGTTCAGCCAGCACTCCAGCGGCCAGGCCTTCACCTATGGTGCCCTCGAGAAGAAAGGCAAACGGCCATATGCCTACTCCGGCAACGGCACACATGCTAGCTATGCCGTCGCAGGGTCCGTGGCCCCTCCTCCCTCCTCCAACCCATTTCTCACAGCTAACCAATACCTATCATAGCCAACACGACCACACAATCCCGGGCATAAACCTACCCACCGGCTTCCTGCTCGACTACACAGACCGCGGCATCCTTTGGGACCCCACGCTCAACGCCTACGCCTATACCTACGACCCGTCGACGCGCACCTTCACCGCCAGCGGCGACTACCCCGTCTCCTGGTTGGACTTCAACGGCCGGTGGGGTGACGACCAGCCGCCGGGCGAGCCATCAATCTTCGGCGAGGCCAAGTATGTGGCCGGACCTAATGGGCCGAAATTTAAGACGCTGGATCGGACGCTGGTTTGTCCGTCGACGCCGTGTATTGTGTTGCCGTTTAAGATTTTCGCGGCGACGGCGAGTAGGACGACGTAGTGGATTTATGTAAAGAAGGATGGAGGTGTATATATGATGTGGTTTGTTGTTCTATGCGCTAGAATACCCTCTTGATACCGGCGGCTTAGGCACCTCCAATGAATAAATACGGTTGTGGGTTGGGCCCCTAGTTGGAAAGGTGACGGATATATATATCAAGCAGATTTCAGTCGAAGTCCAGACTAGCCGCATTAAGGGAACACCATCAAATGCCCGCAATATATTGAATAGGACATCTACCTTCGACCCGTGATCGCTCTCACGATCGCATATGGTGATGGCCCGGCAGCTCACGCTCCGCCGCGCATTATTTGGTCACTTCACAATTATCCTCTACTCAACGACATACTCCGTACATAGAACCTAATCTCGGCAATTTCGCCCCCCTCCTCTGGCCCTCCCACTAAAGTAATTCCAGCACCTGCACGCAATGAGCCCTGGCCCCACCCGGGCTCCACCTTCTGGAACGCCGGTTTTGCGAAAGGAGCACTTTTGGCTGGTGAATTGAGGGAGTGCAGTCGCAGTACTCAAGCGTAAAAGAAGCCATTGAGGTTCCCCGAGAATATTGATCTTGCCTTCCGGTAGTCATGTTTGCGTAAAATAGCAAGCGGGTAATGTTTCCGTTGTTCGCGATTTCATAGCTCGCGGTTAGCTGTTTGCTGGACGTGTGCCGTAGACGAGCGTTCCGTGGGTTGTGCGTGGCGCGCCCCGCGCAATGTTTTTGTTGTTGCGAGGAGCTCACGTGATTGACACCGAGGGCTGAAGGATGATTTAGTGGGATGGGGGAGTTTGGTGGAGAGAGAGTGGGTGAGATCCTGTGGCGGCTTATGGGTGTAGTTTATCGCGGTGCAAGTCTTAGAATTTTAACATTCTGGTGATATAGTGTTGTCGCTGAAGGGCGTGGTGCATCCAGAATGAGAATGACCGTGTTCCTAGAAGAGACGGTGCTCTTAATTGAACCGCTACTCTGTGCACTGTTGAAGAATGGTATCAACCTATCGACCTACTCGGCCATTTTAATCTCGATCACAAGCTAAGCAACGTGGTGTTCATGCAGCTTGAAGATCAGGGCATCCCACATTGTTTCCACGTGCCGGGCTTATCGCCCCGTGCTTAAATTGGTAGTGTTCATGAGGCTGGCAGGACCCAATCTTTGCAAATTGCGAATCTTATTGGGCCCCTTAGCTTCGAAGTTAGAACCCACCGGTGAGGTCCAGCAGTGGTTCGGAGAAGGCTCCATCGGTGTCTTTGGGCAAGTGGGCTGACTGTATGTTCCGCCGGCCACAGCCGGGCTCAAGGTGAGCTTGGAACCGGCGGGCACACAATGCTTCTGCGAACCCAAGGATTCGCAACAGATCAATGGAGCTCAAGTACTTCTCCGTGAGCAACCGACAAGGGCCCAACCCCCAACCAAAAACCCGAAGCACGCAGTTCGCGTCAGCGAAGAAGCAAGTGGGGAAGCAAACGGCCCCTGGCATCCGTTTGTGCACGTGCCCGCTGCCCTTCAGGGGGACCTCGTGCGATTTCTCGAATGGCACAGCACTTCCGCACAGCACTTCTCGGAATCAGAATAGTATGTGCTCTGTCCATCATCGCCTCTTCTCTGGTCTGCGGACTTCTCAACCCCGTGCCCGAGGAATACCAAAGTTTGACCGTCCAGAGTTCAGCTGCGTCTTCTGTCAGCTCTCGCTGAAATTCATCGACAAGCGTACTTCCCGTCTGGCCCTAGCCGCCCGCCGGCGTGGAACGAACCGCCTTTGCTCCATCCACACAGCGGGCACGACCAAGCTCCAAGTGGGGTTAACACCTCAGCGGTCTTGGGCTCTGGACCGCGCCGCGACAGGTTTACCCCTGAATCTGAACTTTCGAGACCCTCGACCCTCGACCTTCGACCCTCGACTCTTGACCCTCGTGTGGCCAGAGAAAAGAGGTAGAAGCTCAAGAAGAGCAGAGCCAAGTCTGCCCACACTGGCTCATTGCATGCATGGCTGCAGGATACTTCGAGTCTATCACATCGGCAGAGCACCAATGGCAACGGGACAGCCGGTTGACGGTACTTTCCAGCAATAATAAATAAAAATAATCTACTCCGTACACAGTAAAGCAATAAACCGAACGAGCCCGGCCCATTGGCCCTCCGCATCACCCCAAAGTCCTTCGGCACTCTTCTTCCTCCCTCTTTCCTCCTCCACGCCCTAACCCTCTCTTTTTTCTTCCCTTTTATTCTCAATCACTCCAGCAGCCGCGGTAGTCGGACGCTGTGAGCAGGCCATTTGTCAATTCCACCGAAAAAAGGAGCCCCGCAAGACAAAACCCAGGGACGTTTCGAGCACGAATTCCTAGTCGAACTCCCCTCTCTCCCTTTTTTCTTCCCCTGTCCAAACTGTTCGTCCTCCAGTAGCGACGTGCAACGGACCGACAACCTCGCACTGGCTGGGAGCTATTGTCGCCTTTTGATCCCACTCTCGCTTTCGCTTTTCCCCTGCTGTCGCAGTTGGGATTACTCTTTCCTTTTAGTCTGAAACCGACCGAGTCCGCCATCGCATTCAATCGCCTCCGACCACGACAACCCCTTCTCGAGGCCGATACCGACGAATTGAATTCTCCTGCGGCAACATATATTGAACCCGCTTCAACTGCGAACCATTGGCAACGACTCAGCTTTCAATTTTCAATCGCATCCGAAATCTCCGGTCTCGAATTCTTTCGATCGTATACCTAGGGTGCATCTATATGACCCGTGGCGCAACTGGCATAGATTCCTTCTAGCTCTTGTACCCCACGTTGTGAGTGGCAGCTTTTCGTTTTCTTGTTTCCACTTGCGCAAGACCCCCTTGCGTGGCGGGATGTCATAAAGAGGTGGGAACTCCCGCATGCCACTCCGCAATGCGGTAGCAGCGGGGAAGTACAACCTCAAGACGTTCGAGCGCCGGGGCATGCCCGCATTAGCTGTATAACGAGAGAAATAGCAAATGGACTGACAGATTGGCCTGAAAATGCAGTCCGGTGTATACTTCCTGATACAACCCAAGGTACACCAGCCCAGCCAAGCAAACAACACAAACCAGCCCGACCGAAACAGGCAACTGCGACCCCAGCTACCGTCCCAAGATGGCAACACCCACCAGCCGCGCGCCTTCCGATGCGCCGGCCATCCCTGAGAACGGCCAATCGCTCAACGCGCGTCGTACCTCGCTTGGTTTCCTTCGCCGTTCCAAATCCACCGAGCCCCTTGGTGAACGCAAGCCGTCGGGCAGCCGCAAGAAGATGTCCAAGACCCAGGCCATGGAAGAGGAGCTCCGCCGTCAGCGCGAATCTTACGCCCCCAAGAGCGCCCCCCGCTTACCGGATCTTTCCCCCACTCCACAACTGGAGACCTTTGGTGGTGAAGGGCGTGACAACTTGGCTCCGCCGCCTGCCATACCTCGTCCGCACTCAGGCTTCGCGGCTCCCGCCATGTCGTTCAACTCACCCGGTGATGCAGTCGATCCGTACGCTCGCACTGAGAGCATGACACATCGCGGCCGCTACAGTTATGCCAGCAGTGCTGTCAGCACTGTCAACAGCCCCCGTCGCATCCGTCGCCGGAAGGATCCCACTCCTTACAAGTAAGTTGTGAACTCGTTTGGCAGCTTCCCCCCCCTTCTCCCCTTTTCTTGGGAGTTGTCATGGAAAAGGCGAAGACTGACGAGATTGTACCACAGTGTGCTGGTTGTTGGCGCCCGCAACTCCGGCAAGACGGAGTTCCTCAACTTCTTGCGCAAGGCACTGACCATGCCCCCGCACAAACACCCGTCTCGCAGTCCCGAGGAGCTGGAAGAGCTGGAGCGCCAGACCTCCGCCTACGAAGGGTTCACCTCGCAGTATCTGGAGACCGAAATTGACGGAGAGCGGGTTGGACTGACCTTGTGGGATTCCAACGGCCTCGAGCGTAACATTGTCGATCTGCAGATGCGCGCCGTCACGGGCTTCCTGGAGAGCAAGTTCGAGGAGACACTCGCGGAGGAGATGAAGGTGGTGCGCTCTCCCGGCGCGCGCGACACCCACATCCACTGCACATTCCTGCTGCTGGACCCCGTTCGCCTGGACGAAAACATCGCTGCTGCTGCGCGTATTGCCAACGGCAACCCCAAGGCCACCGATGCTCCCGTGGTTGGCGTGCTGGATCAGAACCTGGATCTGCAGGTGTTGCGAACCATTCTGGGCAAGACCACCATTGTGCCGGTCATCAGCAAGGCGGACACCATCACCGCCACCCACATGGGATACCTTCGCAAGGCCGTTTGGGATAGCCTCAAGCAGGCTAACATCGACCCGCTGGAGATTTTGACTTTAGAGGACCAGGAGGAGTATACTTCCTCAGAGAGCGCGGACGAGGAGGAGTCTGCGCAGGGAGACATAATCGAGACCCCGGCCGAGCCCACCGAGTCTACACCAGAAGAAGCCAGCGAATCCAAGGAGGAGCAGACCGACACCCTGGTCGAGACCGAGGAGACGAAGCTGGAGCAGCCGCAGCCGCCCGTTCCCAGTGCGCCCGCGCCGCGCAGTCAAAGCCCTCGTGGCGCGCAGATCGTCAACCCGCACGTTCCCTTTTCCATCCTCTCGCCAGACCCGCATTCCTTGGCCTCTGGGGAAGAGCCGGTCGGACGTCGGTTCCCGTGGGGCTTCGCCGATCCATACAATGCTGAGCACTGCGACTTTGTGCGTCTGAAGGACTCGGTGTTTAGTGAGTGGCGGTCCGAGCTGCGCGAGGCCAGCCGGGTGATCTGGTACGAGCGCTGGAGAACCAACCGCCTCAACCGCAACGGCCAACCTGCGCCGCTGCCGTCCAAGGCGAGATCTAGCGGTCGCATGGGACCGATCTACAATGGTCGCCGCACGCGATAAATGAATGAGCCGGGTTCCCTGGTTCATCTTGTGTATCTGATTTGCTGCTTCTTTATTCTTGTCCCTTCCGCCTGTTCGCATAGCTTGCAGTTTCCGCACATACCCCCCAACTTTTCTCGCCTCGGCTGTGTCTCTTCGACCGTGGACTTCTTTTCTTCTTTTTCTTTCTCTTCTTCCTCCTCTTCTTCTCTCTGTTCCCTACAACTACCTTTCTGTCTTTCCTTTCTACCCCCACCTCTGTATTTCCCTTCTGACAAAACGTGTCACTCTGTGTGGAGTGTCCGCAACCTGTACTCAACGCTTTTCCAACGGTCCTTACATGCTTTGCTTATGGTAATCTGCTATTGACTGTGTGCCTGTGCCTGTGCCTGTGTATGACCTCGACTGATTGGGAGACTGCCCGTAAACCATTCTAGAGCGTAGAGAGTCGACTTTGTTGCCTCCTCGCCTCGGCCAAATTGCCAACCTCACACCTTGGCGCCTTGGCCCTGCGAAGCCTTGAGCGGCTGAAATGCACCGTAATGCACCAACAGGTCGATCGCAAGCCCAGCGCCTGCATACAGCCAATCAGCGGCTCTCTCACGCGGCTCCTTGGGGGCCGTTCGGAGGTGCAGAATTGCAGAATCCCAGTGGGCTGGGTGCTGCATGATTACCACGGAGGTGCCGTAGGGCAATACGAGCTGCCTCCAGGCCCGAATGATTCTCTTAGCCCCATCCCTTTTCTCCTTCTCTCTCTTCACTCCATAGAGCGTCAAGGTCATCAAGCTTCAGGTCGTCGTGATACTAGACCGGCCCTGTTGCGACACAGGTGGACCTTCTTCCGCACCCACACCCGCTTCTTCCCCTTCCCCGCCTCACGCACAGATCGACGAGCGCAGCCTTGGTTGCACTGGAATCAGACAGACTCCTTTGTGTGCGTCGGCAGAGGCTGACACCTCCTGTTTCACAAGAGCACCTCCTCGCTCGCTTGTATACTTCACACCTGGTAAACACATCTCCAATTCCGGCACGACCCCACCAGAGGACCCTGGATCGCAATGTCGCTTCATGTCCACGACCCACGGTCGGGCGACCGCTCCAAGTCCCCTGGCCGCAGCCGCGAGCGCTCCCGGTCGCGCGACGGCCGAGCCCCCGACCCCTCGCCCTCGATGCCTCGCTCGCGATCCCCGGCCGTCGAGATCGCGCCCAAGTCCTCGTTCTCCAGGGACTATGACCTCCCGCGCTCGCGCTCCCCGGTCGTCGAGATCGCGCCCAGGTCGGCCAAGTCGTCGCGGGACTTCGACCTCGACGAGGAGGCCGAGATCGAGCGCCAGTATAAGCTGATCAAGGAGAGCCGCCTGCGTGACCCGGATGAGGTCCAGGGTAATGTGGTCGCGCGCATCCCTCGAAGCCCGGGCCGCTATGATGTCGAGCGTTCGGGCTCGGACTCGGACCGCAGGCGGCGCAACGGCCGTGAGCCAGAGAAGACGCGCCATCACCGCGAGGATTCTCGGTACGAACATTCAGACTCGGAAGATGATAGGAGAGTTGTGCGGCCGAGAGACTCGCGCGATCCTCGGGATCCGAGGGACTCGAGAGAGTCGCGCGAGTATACGAGCCGGTCGCATCAGCGCCGGCCTTCGTCTCCGCCTGGCCGTGATACCCGACTAAACGACTCCGACGAGGATTCAGAGGACGGGCTGGCGTATGGGGATAGCCTGGGCAGCCATCCGAGCTACTCGCGACCGAACAAGTACCAGTATGCGCAGCCCTCGCAGCCCTCGCACTCCCAGCCCGGTGCGCCGCGCCAGCATGGCCATCCGGATCCCAAGTTGGACTGGGCTCCTATCCCGGAATGCGAGCGCCCAGGCTTCGTGCCGCCATCATCCCACCCCATGTCGCAGCCCGGTGTGCCGTCTACGATGCCCGGAGGGTTCCCTACGAGCTCGACGTATGCCGATATCCCCGCGACGACGGCCCCCTCGTTCCCAATGCCGCAGTATGCAGGTCTTCCTGCGCAACAGCAGATCCCGTATGCATACGCTTCGTCTGGTCCTTATTCCCCGTCGCATTATCGCACTGCCTCGGCCAGCGATGCTGCTTACCCTTCTCCGCCTGGCCAGTATGCCCACCCGGCCCAGTATCAATATGCACAAATTGACCCCAATATTCGATATGCCTCCAAAGCGACCCCCAAGCAACCCTATACCGCATCACCGCAGGAGCAGTTTGCCAAGCCACATGAGCCACAGGCGGTCTACCCGTACAAGTATAGCAATGATCCTCAGTTTGGACAGAAGCAGCCGCCGCCACCGCAGCATCCACCGCAGCATCCACCGCAGCAACTCCAACCCCAGTACGGACACGGTCACCCACCTCAGCACCAACCGCAGCTCGTGGAGATTACTCCTGGCGGGGGCCGGGGCCGTCCGCATAGCCTGTCGGTGTCCTCGGCGAATACCCTCATGGTTGGCGGAGGCCACAGCCTACACGCGGGCCACCCGCCAGCTAGCCCGTTGCTGGAGGCCTATCACGGCACCTACCAGTCCATTTCACCCATGCCCTCTCCCATTGTCATGCCGGCGGGTGACGACGACATCTCCGATTTCGAGCAGCTGGATGGAGGCGCATCGAATTCCGAATCAGGACGCCGCAAGAAGCACAGCCGCTCCAAGTCCTCCATCAGCGAGAAGGAAGCCCGCCCCCGCAGCAGCAAGGAGAAGATCAAGGAGAAAGAGAAGGACCGCGATGATCGCAGCAAAGACGACAAGCGTCGCAGCCGCCACGACCGCCACGACTCCAGCGCCGACCGCGACCGGGAAAACATGGTCGTCATCTCACCTACCTCCGGCCGCAAGCGCGTCTCCTTCTACGACGCCGGCGCCGACGCCGCCGACATGCAAGCCGCCCTCAATCACACCCGCACCATCGACAACAAGGCCATCCTCCAGATTCTCCCCCGCCTCACTAGCGACGAGATCCTCCTCCTGCGCACCGAATACAAGAACCGCGTCAAAATGCACGGCAAGGGCATCAACCTCGCCAAACACCTTCGCCTCAAGCTCGGCAATTCTTCCTTCGGCAAGGCCGCCTACGCCACCGCCCTCGGCCGCTGGGAGTCAGAGGCGTACTGGGCCAACTGCTACTACCAGGCTGGCACGTCGCGCCGCGAGCTGCTGATCGAGTCGTTGATCGGCCGCTCCAACGCCGCCATCCGCGAGATCAAGTCTTGTTTCCGGGATACCCGGTACAACGATAGTTTGGAGCGCTGCATGCGCGCGGAGCTGAAGGCAGATAAATTCCGGACGGCTGTGCTGCTTGCGCTGGAAGAGCGGAGAATGGAGGAGCGCGAGCCGTTGGATGCACGGCTTGTTCGGCAGGATGTGCAGGATTTGCATCGCGCGCTGGTCTCCAAGGAGGGCGGCGAGACGGCCATGATCAATGTTATTGTGCTGCGGAGCGATGCACATCTGCGCGAGGTACTGCGTGAGTACGAGGCTGGTTATCGGCAGAACTTTGCCCGCGCGATGATTGCCAAGTCGCGCAATTTGGTGGTATGTGGCTCCTCGCCCTTGTTCCCGTTCCCGAGTACCGAATATCCAGGCACGAGGGTGCATACTCCGAGCACGAACGACACCTGCTAACACTACTTCAATCAGGGCGAAACACTGGCTCACATTCTCAACGGCGCCATTAACCGGCCCATGCGCGACGCCCTGCTCCTCCACCAGGCGGTTCGCGAGTCCCGCACCGGCCGCGAGCGCTCCGAGCTGCTGATCTCCCGGCTGGTGCGGCTGCATTGGGAGCCGCGACACCTCGAGCAGGTGAAGACGGAGTATCGGCGACGGTATAATGAGCGGGTGGAGGAGGCGATTGCCGAGGAGGTTATGAGCTCGAGCGGGGGTGGAGAGTGGGGGGAGTTTTGTATTGAGTTGGCGAGGAGCTCGGCTTGAGATGGCTTGTGATTTGGTGTGGTGGACTTGGGCTACTGCTACTGGCTAGTGTATATGAAGGATTATGCGTACGGGTTTACTGTAGTTCGTTTTGGATATTGTATGGAATGGGTCTTGTATGTATTGCGTGATTTTGTTAGCTTCGCGTTCGATGGTCGTTTCCTGGAGAATGGCTCTCGATAAAATTTGAAATCTCCCCACAACCGCCCGCACCATTCCATCGCGATTATTGCCTTTCAGCATGGACCCTTGTGGTTTCCTTCCGATTCGAGCGGACTTGTATTCTTTCCCCTGCCTTTGGGGACATCAATGACTCGGAGATGAATCGATGTAGGTATTGCTTCCGGAGAGAGGAGCAAGAAACGCTATTATATAGTAGGCATAGGAGGCCGAACATGGAGACTATGAAGTTCGGCCGTATTCTGGATCTCTTTGAATCTTCTTCAATTATTGACTATTATGATTCTCTGGATTTTAGTAATGAGCAATGAACCCGTGCGAATCGTATATACCCGCCTTGGCTTTGACTGCCTCGCAGGCGAGCTCGGCGACAACGCCGGAGGGTGCGAGTCGAGATCTGCAGAATGCCTCCTGTTAGTTGACACCATTCTACAGTATGCTTGGCCCGAATCCCCTGGCTGGTTGAAAGCCGCAAACAAGACGGTCAAGGCCACTGAACCGCGCTATCTAGCTTCCTTGCTTGAAGCACTATCGGGTCAGCAGATTCAGTTCATTCTTTGAATCTGCCTCTCCCGTTTTCTATTTCCTTTCTCTTCTTGTACAGTAGCCTTGTATAGATTCGGGTAGATTGTATGCGGAACCCATGAACCGGAGCTCGTAGGCAGGTTGGAGCATTCTTGGATCAATCATCCCCAGGTCTTCGGCCGACTGAGCAATTGCTCACCGTCTTGGCGCTGTCTGTCTGGGAGTTCTGGGTTCAGGCCTCCGGTTCATGCAGGAAGAATGATGATCCCTCGTGCGAGTGACGAGCGTCGGCAGATAGACCCGCTGGGTTCTCATGCTCGTGGCCAGCAAATGATAACATGTGGGCACTGGTTCCACTGGCAGATGGGCGCGATGACCACGTTCTGGGCATGGTCTGGGCGTGGCAAGCTGCAGCGGGCAAGGGGGTGGTTCTGTGCTCCAAGACACAGACGGTCAGGACGATCAGGACGTGCCAATATGTGAATTTGTGATTATGCTCGGTGAGCTATGCAGGATTCCCACTCCACGACTCGGCAAGAACGGGGTCAAGGCTGGGCAGGCTTGGCCTTGACCTGGGCATAGAAGGGAGTGCGGTTATTTTCTATTTTACTATATTTCTCGGTGGATTTTGAATTGAGGTTAGTAGCGAGTACTCCTGTGGTATCGCCTTGGCGGGTTGATCTCGGTAATCCCAGTGGACTCTTTGTGCCCGACATTTCAATGGCGCTGCAGGGTGGTAACACATGCCGACTAACCAGATTGCCACCCTTCTAGCTTCGTCATGCAGTATTACTCCGTAGCACTGTCGGTGGGGTGAGTGCATCGGTCTGCAATTTCGAATAAATTGCATGCGTTGTGTGGCGTGAGTCCAGTATGTAGTGAAGTTATCTAGGAAGTAACTATATAACACCGTACCACGAGAGTCCCGGGGGCTGCACCGACCACACCGCAGATGTTACATCGGCAATCAGCCACCACTGCCGGCGCTTCTTCTTCATCTTGCTGCCTACCAATTGCAGCCCGGACCGGACTCCTTAGGTACGGTTTCCATCGGATATGCCGCTGGAAATGGGATGGTTGATGAGGGGAGGGCCGAGTTGCGTGCGACGTGGCCGAGCCCTCAATTTCCCCCGAGCAGCGGGCCTGACGTATCATAGGCGATTCCAGCAAGGAGGTGCCAATAGCCGGTGGAGATGTCCGAGTAGCCGATACCTGCACACGCGACACCTTTCTGATGACAGCGGAAGTATTGAGGACTTGTGGAAGTGTGTTCTCCGATCGGCCTCCTCCGCTGACGCGTAGCTACGAACTCCCTGCAAGGGGAGGCTTTGTGATTTGAACACTCCTGAACGCCCACCATTTCCATCCTCCGCTGCTGCAGGTCCCTGATATCCTTTTGCTCGATATCGTGATTAATGCCTCTCCGACCGTAGGTCGCGATAGGCAAACTACGGTATTCAGAGCGGGGGTTCTCTGGATGCGTGCTACGAGTCTCCCCGGCCATCATCCGGGCTCCTCTACTGATCGCCGTCCCCGCAGATTCGCCGGGCGCTAGCCTGCCATGATTTGGAGACTTGACGTGGAGATGTGGAGAAGGGATCACTAACTATGTTCAGCCTTGGTGTGAAGACCACTGAAGTAGAGGAAGATGATAGGGGGGAAGAAAAAGGGAAGAAAAAGAGGGTGCGCATGAGCCCGCCTGATAACATCACGCCCCTCCAACGTGCCTTCTGACGTGACTTGTTGCCTCTTTCCGCCAGCCAGTCTGGTGGAAGCGTACTTGGGGATGACTTCAACTGCTCTCTCCTCTCCCTCGTTTCTTTCCCTCCGTCCATCTTTTCCACCCTCGTTACTCCACCTTATTTCTTATTTGCGCCATCCCGCTCAGCCTAGTCAGTCGCTCAGTCACCTGCAGCCCTTTCGGCCAAAGGCTAAACTCGCTTTGAGCGCCACTGGGTCGATCCCGCATAGACCGCTGCTTGTTCCATGCGACCTGATGTCTCTTGGCCCACTTTCTTGATCGCGTTTCTGGCTCGGAGTTACGGCGGCCTGATTCGACTGGGACTAGCTGGACTCGGAGCGGTGGGACCAGGTCAGTTGGATCGAGTCGGACGACAGAAACCCCATCTTTCTGCTTCCGCCCTGTCATGCCTGCCCCGATCGTTCTGTGCCCTAACTGGCCCTCATGTCCACCTCCATGGAAATGATGCCCCCCTCTGCTCCCTTTCCCCCTATCCCCCCCCCCCTATACTCCCCCTATGCCACCTCCCTCACATCCCCTTCCTCCCTTGCCATATGGCCGAAATGCCCGCCTCATTCGGAGCACTGACGATGATCAGCCGACCTCGCTCGGAACTTTGCTCTACACATGCAGGTCTGCTGCTTGGTGCCATTTCCATTCCCTAGCACGCTAAACCCTCTCCGTGGCCGTGGAGGGAGCATTCTGGCATGCGGGCCCGGGCTGGGGTCTCTGGCTGCGACCCCCTCTCTTGTTGGCCTTGGCCCTCGACTATAAAAATGTCCCTGACATTCCAGTAAACACAACGTCGATCTTTTCCCTGCGTCCCGCCTCCATAGTCAGGTTGATGCAGCTTCTTTTAACGCGGTAGCTTCTCTCTCTCCTTACCTCTTGACCGTCCTTTCCCTTCTTTCCTTTGGTCGTTTTGAGTTTCAGTCGACAATTATATTATAGTAACGAGCACATGCTCCTGGGTTGATCGTTTCGATCCCGTCCAATCCTTTCTTTTCAATTTTTGAACTACCGGCACGATGCAGCTGTCCCACCTCGGTCTGCTGGTATTGTCCCTCGTCGCCTCCATTGGAGCGAAGTCGACCTTCACGCCCGCGCGACCCCCGGCCCTGCCGTTGGCGGTTAAGTCGCCCTATCTCAGCACCTGGCAGAGCGCAGGTAGCGATGGTGGAAACGGCGGATATCTGGCCGGTGAATGGCCCACCTTCTGGGCGTACGTGCCGCGTGCAGTGGAATTGTGATTGACTTGACCGCGAACTCTGTCTGACAATTGACAGGAACCAAGTTACGGGATGGTGTGGCTTGATCCGCGTTGACGGGAAAGCCTATACTTGGATGGGTCTGCCAGGGTCCACGACGGTCGACCAGACTGCATTTGAGTACACGTCAACAAAGAGCATTTTCACCATGAGTGTTGGTGGTCTGGTGGAAATGAACATCACCTTTATGTCTCCGATTACGCCTGATGACTTCAAGCGCCAATCCCTTGTTTTCTCCTACTTGAATGTTGAAGTTTCGTCTTTGGATGGCAAGGACCACAATGTTCAGGTCTATGCGGATATTTCTGCTGGTGAGTCACGACACACAACTGGTGCGAATAAATAAATAAAAATGCTGACTCGCTCTAGAATGGGTTTCTGGGGACCGTGGTACCACTGCACAGTGGGACTATGGTACCACCGACGGTGTTGCCTACCACAAGGTATACCGACAGACTCAGCTGGCATTCTCTGAGATCAACCAGCAGGCCGAGTGGGGCTACTGGTACTGGGCCACTGATGCCGCTAAGGGCATGACCCATCAATCTGGTCAAGATACCGTTGTCCGTGCTCAATTCTCATCTAACGGCACTCTGACCAACGGAGCCGACACCAACTACCGGGCCATTAACAACAAGTGGCCTGTGTTTGGATTCTCATCCAACCTGGGGACTGTCAATTCCGCCCCTGTCAGCACACTGTTCTCCCTCGGTCTGACCCAGGATGAAGCTATTCAATACGAGGGTTCTTCGGCCTATGCCCCAGTGCCGTCTCTGTGGAAGAGCTACTTTGATACGGCGCTGGATGCTGTCACCTTTTTCCACAAGGATTTCACCGAGTCTAATAAGCTGTCCAGCTCATTTGACAGCCAGGTTGCTACGGACTCGATTGCTGTCGCTGGTCAGGACTACCTCACGCTTACTTCCCTTTCGGCCCGACAGGCATTTGGTGCGACCCAGCTGTGTGGCACAGAGGACAAGATCTACCTGTTCCTCAAGGAGATATCATCTGATGGTAACATGAACACCGTTGATGTTATTTTCCCGGCGTACCCCATCTTCCTGTACTCCAACCCGGAGTTTTTGAAGCTGCTTCTCGACCCGCTCTATGAGAACCAGGAGGCCGGCAATTACCCCCAGAGCTATGCCATGCACGACCTTGGCTCAAATTACCCCAATGCCACTGGTCACAATGACGGTAATGACGAGGCCATGCCTCTGGAGGAGTGCGGCAATATGGTCATCATGACCCTAGCATATGCCCAGGAAACCGGGGACACCGCCTACCTGAGCGCCCACTATACTATTCTTAAGAAGTGGACTAGCTACCTCGTCGATGAGGCACTGTACCCAGCCAACCAGATTTCCACTGACGACTTTGCTGGATCGCTGGCGTAAGTAACCCAAGACCCCCTTTCCACCATCCCAGCAACTAACCGACACGATTAGCAACCAAACCAACCTGGCTTTGAAGGGTATGATTGGTATCCAGGCCATGGCCGTCATTGCCAACGCGACTGGCCACACTGCCGATGCAGCCGACTATTCCAGCATAGCCCGGGATTACATTACCAAGTGGCAGGGCCTGGGTATCAACACGAAGGCTAGCCCGCCTCACACCACTCTATCATATGGCAACGACAGCAGCCACGGTACGCTGCGCTCCAACAGGACTTTGACTGTTTGACAGCTTGGTTAATAAATTTGCAGGTCTTCTTTACAATCTGTTTGCCGATGCCCAACTTGGCTTGAACCTGGTGCCGCAGTCCGTCTACCAAATGCAGAGCACCTTCTACCCGACTGTCGCCAACGAATATGGTGTTCCTCTCGACACACGCCATACCTACACCAAGGGTGAGTATATGATCCATTCTTCTATACCAAACTATCTAGCTAACGCCAAGCAGGTGACTGGGAGTGCTTCACCGCGGCTGTTGCCTCCGCCGACACCCGCAACATGTTCATCAAGCGTCTGGCCACCTGGGTCAACGAGACCCCAACCAACCGCGCCCTGACTGATCTGTACGACACTAACACCGGAAAGTATGTTCTGCACAGGTCTTCTCTCTGACCCCTCACTAATCTGGCTCCAGCTATCCTCAAAACACCTTCGTGGCCCGACCCGTGGTTGGCGGTTCCTTCGCACCCCTCCTCGTCGCCTCTTAAAAGGCGCCCACCTTCGCTTCTTGTGGATTTATTCTCGTAAAATTCTTTTTCTTCCATACCGTCCCGCGATTCTCCCGTAATCCTGGCGAGTATTCAGTGTGGCGCCCCGCTGAATCATTCATTATCAGTGGGGCCTCGCGATTGCCAGGTCGGGACGTGACGCGCGGGTCACCATTCATTCGCTGTCTTTTGGTGCTGGAAGCGTGTGATTTCGTTGCTACGCGCCTTGATACCCATCCGTAGAGCTGTTTTGCTTGTGTTGATGGCCTTGTGTGTGTTGGTTTGGTGCATTGTGGTTTTGCGTGGAGCGGGGTGAGTAAGGAGCAAGTGTTGTGTTGAGCGGTGTCGCAGTTGTGTATACGTACCTACTTGTCCTGTTCTATCACAATGAAGCCATTCTTTTCTAATGTCTGGTGGGCGTTGGACGCCTCGTTCAAACTCGAACCGCGGAGTACGTAATAGCACCTTTGGGACTGCTATTGTAGTAGCCTTTGGCGGCGATGGCAACGCCCGCGTCAAATCCTTCTTTGGTGGATAATTGAACCAAATTCATCCATAGATTCATTTTAAGTATGCTGCCTTATGAAATTCACCGCTCCAAGTGAAGGATCTTGAACGAGTAACTGTTGTCTTAAATTTGATCACATCATAGTTTAGGACAGGAGGTGTGAAATAACCTCTAACCGGAATCTATTGCAGGCTAACCCGCCTAGTTCGGAGGAAATAATTCGTAAGCATATTGGCCTAGTTAACTAAGAATAACCAAAAGATCTGTACTCTCCAGATTGTCAGACTCTTCGCACTTTGTACTAGTCATTAAGAAAAACCATTTAACCCTCGCCAATGAGTGAACTCCCACCACGGTATGCTAGTTGCTGCACTGGGAAGGGAGGAAAATCATCTCTGTTGTGCATTTCACATCCTCCTCGGGGAAGTCTCCCCAAAACTGTCGTTGATGTCAGTGTCGGGTTATCCAGCATGGTGCCTGAATAGCTCATGTGGGGGTCATTTAGGTTCAACTCACCTGAGCAACATGCTGTCGGATGCGATGCATGTTCTTGCCCGGCTGGATCTGGCCCACTACGCCTGGACGGTCCGACTCGGTCCTCCTGGGCACAATCATGGGTCGTCCGACGAAGCACTCGAGCGTTAGTAGTGCAAAGCCGAGGGCCTCTTTTGCGCCGATTGGGATCCCGATCTCGGAGATGGGAACGATGCGAGTGTTGGGCAAGCGCTGCTTCAGGTAGTTGATGATATTGGGGTTATACGATCCACCGCCGCCCATGTAGATCTCGTCCACGCCCCCTGGCGGACCCCAGCGTTCGTAGGCATCGGCCAGGGACTTGGCGGTGATGCGTGTTATGGTGGCGACACAGTCCTCGGGTGTAGCTCCGCCTGCAATGCCACATTTTGTCAGCCGAGAACCCGGTCACGAGGAGCGTAATCAGACTTACGAGCCAGCATCTCATCGCATATATCTTCCGCCATCCGATCCCCAAACGTCTCTCGGCCAGTCGTCTTGGGTATATCATGCACAAAGTACGGCCCTTGGAGCACTTTGTCTACTACAGACTGGTCAACCTTGCCCTTCTGGCCCATGGCACCATCCTTGTCATATTCTTGTTGACCGTTGGTGAAGTAGCGCACAGCCGCGTCGATAAAGACGTTGCCAGGTCCTGTATCGAAGTCATAGCACTCTTCGACAGCGCCTCGGGGTAAGATCGAAAAGTTGGCGATGCCGCCGATGTTCTGCACGGCGCGGTTGAGCGTCGGGTGGCTCAGTAGGAGGGAATCGAGAGCCGCGAATAGCGGGCAGCCTTGCCGGCCGAGAGCCATCTCTGACACTCGAAAGTTGCCAAGCGAGGTGATGCCAGTGTCCGCGGCTATGATGGCAATCTCAGCCATGTCGAGATGTGCCCGGATTTGGTTACCCTCAAAGAGCTCCGGCAGCGGTAAGTGCCAGATGGTCTGGCCCTGGCCGCCGATCAGGTCGACGTCCGTCGCCACGCTGAAATTGTTCTTCTGCGCAAACCAATGGACGGCCTCGGTAATGACCTCACCCAGCTGGATGTTGACGATGGCCATTTCCTCGGGTGTGGTGGTGTTCTCCTTAATGAGCCTCATGACTCTCGCCTTGAGCTTTTTAGGCATCGGGTATTCTCCATAGTGCAGAAGCTGCATCTTTAACGGCGTGCTCGGGCTATCCTGGGTGAAGTGGACATGAACGAGGTCGACCCCGTCCATGGACGTTCCCGCATTGTGACCGATGGCCTTCAGAGAACTGTTGGGAGTTTAGCCACACAATCGCAATGTTGCAAGAACAAGCGTTCTTGTTGGGAGAGGCGAGGTATGCAGGTGCAAACACTTACAGCGGGCTGCCGCTTGACTGGTTCAGAACGGAAGGCATTGTGTGGCCCAGAGTTTTCAGGGAATGCGCAGCTTGAAACACGGATCTGGGAGCAGAAGATACTTCGGCGGACAAGCAACTGGCACATTCGTATGCTTCGCATACTTTATATACCTCGTCGGGAGAAATCTCGACCTGGCCATGAGCCACACTCTGAACAGCGGCACATCGGACTCGGTTTCCTTCCGGAAACAGAATCATCCCACCTTCTGCCCTCCCCGCACTCCGCGTCGCACTCCGCGTCGCCATCGTGGTGGATCCCTGGTTCCGGGGCGTCGGAATTACCCCAACTTAAAATGGAGCCGTTTAACCGACTACGAGAGTCGTCCCCGGAAGGCAGTTGACCCCGAGGCACTTAAGGATCCGCATAGTTGCGTCTGTGCTCCCCCACGCCAATGACGGCAATCTACTCTCGGTGATGACTGCCTTCCGCGATGTCCAACCCTTTTGAGAAGCTTCCTCTGCAAATCATTTTCCACCTCGGCCTTCTTGGACGGCTGTGAAAAGGTTTCCCGGGGCTGGATGCCTTCCCCGTGGGTTTAGTTCCAAAACCCCAGAACTTGGTCTGGGGTTTACAACGCCTCCTCTAATTTTATGCTGAAAACTTATAAAGTCAAGTTGAAAGTTGGTATCAGGACGCTCAAGAAGCTGCTACGGGATCTGTCCTCAGGCTAAGTCGCGAAATCCCTCCAATTGACCTCCAACCAAGAGAATACCCAGATTACGGTCCCTTTCCACTTCGCCAGGATGGCAATCTTCCCATTGACCAAATACACAACCCACATGGGCGCGTCGGGTCTGAAGCTCAACATGCTCGTTGCTGGCGTTGCGACATGTGCATTTTGGCTTTTCGGCTACGACATGAGCATCATGGTACACTGCCCTTCCTCTAGCTTTCCCATCTGATACGCCCGGTCTAACAGCATCTACAGGGTGGTCTCATTACCGAGGAGTCCTTCACAAGTGTCTTTCCCGAGATGATCAACGCCAACGTCCAGGGCATCGTGATCGCCTCTTTTGAACTCGGTGCTCTTGTCGGTGCCCTCGCCTGCTTGGACCTTGGCGATCGCCTCGGTCGTCGTCTGACGGTCTGGTTCGGCATGCTCTTTATGCTGGTCGGCGGCACGCTCCAGACCAGTGCCTGGCATATTCCTCAGATGGTATTGGGTCGCATTCTCAGCGGCATCGGCCTCGGCTTACAGGTCGCCACCGTGCCGTTATGGCAGTCTGAGTGTGCGAAAGCGCATAGTCGTGGACGTTGGGGTAAGTCATAGTCCTCCCCCTTTCTCTCGTAGCCGAGGGGAGACGACGGCTGACTGGAGCTAGTCATGATTGAGGGTGGCTTACAGACATTCGGCGTTGCCTGTGGGCAGCTTGTTGGGTATGGCTTCTTCTATGTCAAGGGCCAAGCGCAATGGCGAGCACCCGTGGGCATCCAGCTCTTCCCGGCCTTGATTGTCTTCGTATTCATCAATTTTCTTCCTGAGTCGCCCCGTTGGCTGATCAAGCACGGCCTGATTGAAGAGGTGTGTTTCCTTTGTTTGCTTGCCCTACCCACGCTCCTCTGGATGGTGAAGACGCCTCGCTGACCGTACAATGCTTGCAGGGAACATACAATTTGTCAAAGCTTCGCGGCCTGCCTGCTAGCCACCCGGACGTGGTGTTTGAACGTGAGGCGATCATCGCCTCGTTCGAAGCGCAGAATGAACTCGTTCCGTTCTCCTACCGAGAAATGCTGGACATGGGGAAGTCCAAGACGTTCCATCGCGTCGCCATCGGAGTCTTCATGCAAGCGGCGCAGCAAATCTCCGGCATCAACTTGGTCTCGACGTACGCCAACAAGATCCTGCAGGAGTCGTTCGGTCTTGACGCCGGCACATCACACCTCATCGCTGCCATGGGCGGTTTGGAGTATGCTCTCTGCTCGCTCCTGTCCGTGTTACTCATAGAAGGCCTCGGCCGTCGTCGGGCCTTTCTTTGGACGACGATTGGCATGTCCTGCTGCTTTGCCATCATCGCCGGGCTTCAAAGCACAGATTCACGCACCTGCCGACTGGTCGCTGCTGGATTTCTGTTTCTCTTCAATACCTTCTTTGGCCTCGCCTGGGTTGGCGGACCGTTTTTGTACAGCGCCGAGATTGCACCCCTGCGATGTCGTGCGCAGGCTAATGCCATGGCGAGCGCTGCCAACTGGTTGTTCTGCTTTGTGGTGGTCATGATCATCCCGCCCGCGTTCCAGAATATCGGCTGGAAGACGGTAAGTCTGCTTCCTTGTACATTGTGGTCCGTGGCCAGCCTAACGTGTGTCTAGTACATCATTTTTGCCATCTTCAATGCCTGCTTCGTACCCATCATCTACTTCTTCCTAGTTGAAACCAGAAAGAGAAGTCTCGAGGAGCTTGTGAGTACCCCCAAAGGAGAAAGAGTGAAAACTGAACTCGGGCATTCCATGAGGAGACCTAGTATGCTGATTTTCTTCACTTCCAGGATGTCATCTTCGCGGCGGGTGGTAACCCGGTCAAACAAGAAAAGACGATGCCGCACAATATACCCATTGAGGAGGCCCGGAGAATCCTGGGGCTTTCTGAGAGTACGAACATCACGGAAGTTCTAGATCACGACGTGAAGGCGTCAGATTGAGAGTACAAGTTTCAACAGTCGTTAAGATATTAACAATTTTCACGGGTTCTATGTGTATGAAAGCTTTTTTCCTTGTTGAAGGCAACCCGAGGTGGCCACCTCGTAAATCGGGGCTCCGTTTGCAGGATGGGTCAGGATATGCGGTTGTAAAACAGATATGAAAATAATTCAGGGGCCGAGTACATTGAGGCATTTATATCGGGGACCACTCCAGACAAGAGCAGCTGCGTACAGTCCAGCATTGAGATACTGGAAAAGAACGGCCGCAGGCACAGGCAGTAGTGATCACTTTCCGTGGATCGGTTACTTCTCAAACATGGGAACAAGAGGTATATGAGAGAAGAGACAGATTTAATTCTGTCAAGCGAAGACAAAGCGAGTAGATCCATAGTTAATCAGTTGGAAGATTAAATATTTCCGATTGGAGGATGATGGGCCTGAGCAGTCAGGCAGGGAGGGTCGAGTGTGGGTGGGCGATGATTGGTTTCGGCCGTTTTGGCACCTCTGCCGCCCCGCCGTAGCTCGGACTAACCTCCCCGGGTTTTTCTCTCGCACGGACCTGGATACCCCAGTCCGATGCTCTCCTGGGTGGATTCCAAGAAATCATGCACGGTCTGGAGGCAACGACTGGACTGACCTGTGCTCCTAATATAGAACACACTTGAATTCGCAGAACTGCGCCATCAGCCCTCTGCAATGCCGCCCTTTCGGGAATCCTTGTCGAAACAGGTGCGAGGGCCTAGCTCAAGATCCAAGCTAGGTAGGCATTGACACATGAGATGCCACTGTTTTGTCTTTCATAATAGGGGACGCTGACGTTGGATATCAAGCCTGCGAGCAGTGTCGCAAGAGCCACCTCAAGTGTGATCAATCGCGGCCTTGTGCTCTATGCAAGCGACGAGGCCTTGAGTGCTCCCCTCATCAAGAGGTTATTTTCACCGCGCTCGAGTTCAAAGCACCCGCAGGGTGCCTGCTAGAGGAGTCTGTCTCCTCAAAGACAGTAGAAGGTCCAGGTTAGCAACACCCACGTGACGGTGGCTCTCACCCGCGAGAAACGATTGTCAATCTAAGGCCTTTTGAGGAACAGCGACCTTTGTGGATGAAACGCAAGAGGTCTCCGACCTATACCAGGTCATAGGAGCGAGCGACGAGACGTGGGGCGTCTCATCAGATCAGCATCTGTCACCGCGGCCTGCACTATCTGGCCACGCTACCCCTATCACGGATCCCACTGACGCCTTTTTTCTCTGGCGATACGTGGATTTCATCGGCCCGCGCTTCGACATGTTTGATGATGCGCCGCGATATTTCTCGACAGTCGTGCCGCAGCTCGCTCTAAATGACAAGCTTGTCCTGCTAGCCTGTGTCGCCGTTGCAGCCCGCCAGTACTTCCTCGTCAATGAACAACAGCAACACAATCACGAGCAGGCTTTGACATACTACAACGCTGCGATCCATCTGCTGTCCAAGCGACTCCAGGATAGCGGGCCTGACCCTGCGATATTTGCCAGCTGTCTGCTTATAGCTCACTGTGAAATGGTCGAGAGCAAGGCTGCGGATTGGGGCCTGCACCTCAAGGGGACGGGAGACCTTCTCAAGATGCATGGTTGGCATGGGACGAGCGGCGGTCTGGCACAGGCTGTACGTCCTCTCCTTCATGCTGTGATAATGTTGGCTAACGCGAATGTCTACAGTCATTCTGGATTTACTGCAGGATGATTATCCTTGCCTCTCTCTGTGCCGGCAAGCCGGTAGCATTAGAACCTAAGGAATGGATCCCTGGGGGTGTATTCCCGGATCCGACCAGTTGGACGCTTGAAGCATGGCAGAAAAAAATCGTTTTTCTTCTCGGGATGGTTCACGATTTCTGGAGTCGCACGCCTGACCATATCGATGAACACGCTGTGCAACTCCACGCTGCCCGATGGAAGGACCTTGAAGCTGAGCTGGTGCGCCACCAGAGCGAAGCGCCAGCTGTGTGCTCACCTCTCAGTATTCTACCTCCGAGCGGGGAGGACAATCCCTTCCAGTCTGTGCGTTACTTGAACGGCTCCGTGTCCGCAGCATGGCAGATGCTACATACTGCCTTCCTCATTCTCACCATTTGCACGCCGTGCTCGCGGGCGAGTCGCCTCTCAGTGCTTTCCAGCCCTGATTTGACTCACCGAGCACAGACGTACGCACGCCAGATCGTCGCCAACTCGCTGGCAAATCAATTTTCCATCGCATGGGCGAATGCCGTCCAACTCCTTACAATTGCGGGTCAATGTCTCGCCGTAGAGCCGGAGCGGAACGCATGCGTCCGTATTCTGCAAGAAATTCAGCAACAAACGGGCTGGAACACGCGGGCAAGCGTCGATAGACTTGGCACAGCGTGGAAGAATAGTTGGAGGTATGAGCCCGGCGGGAGGCACTCGACGGTTAGACACGTAGATGCTGGAAAGCTGCTGTATCATGTTTGGCTTGGTGAGGAGAGAAGCCCAAGCTAAATGATATCGGCTTGGACACGGCGCTTGCCTTGCAATAGATATTCGCCCAGAGACCAAAATGGCGGGCCTTCCGGTTTCTGTTGAATACTCGCTGTCGGCCTCTGACTTGACGCTCAGAAGATTTCCCTGGTCGATTCGATGATGGTGGTATGTTGGGATATGCTTTCCTTAATGCGGTCGATAAGTTGCTGAACTCCTACTTGGTGACGTGCATCTTGCCATCTTCACAAACTAGGGTTTTGGGCGGCGTGGTGGACATTCGATCTTTCTTACACCTGTGGGTGAATTAGGTCACCGTGGGAAACTGAACCTATGGATAACGACAAAATCCACAAGACGCTGCACGTTCTTCAAGCGCGCTGCGAAAAACACAAAGAACCTAGTGACCCCGTGGCGAACACGCGTTTCGATACTTCTCCTACGAATCCTGCGAGCAAATCTCCGGATGAAATGACCTTTGGATTCCAACCGTTCGCCTTACTTCCATCGGCAATATCCAACTTGCCCGAAGCACGCATCGTGAATCGACTAGATGCAAAGGATGCCCTAGCGTATGCCGAATTGGTGATGACGGAGCGACACAACGCTACTCACACACCATGGCACCCGCAGGTCGGTGATCTAGTCTATGTGCGCCGACACAAAGGTTATCAGGTCCCGCCAAAAATTCACCACAAATTTGGCGCTCAGCACACAGGACCATTCAAGGTTGTTGACCCAGGGTGCCGAAGGGCACAAAAGCAGCATCCAGCCAAGATTTAAACACACTTTTGCCCGCAAAGAAAGCATTTAGCGACAAATAGCCTCCTGTGAAGAATACCCAATCGCTGAAGGTTTGCATTTTTCTATCTGTGTAGCAACTCATTGACCGTATATGGTACTGATGCCGGAAGGAAACCATTGCCTTGATAAACTGGACTGGTGCCGCAATTGATAGCAAAGATAGACGACCGAGTATATACGAGACCAATATCTAGCTCTCCCCATGACCTAGCTTGATACCAAAAATATTGTCTAGCGTAGCGTTTCCTGTCATATGAACGGTCACCCACTCGTGAGCCTCTGCGTGTACCCTGCCTCCGCCCCCTTTCTTTCCAAAGTGCTTCTCGTGGAATCTGACCAAGTCGGAATTTAGGAATAAAATAGTTCATCAGCTGAGCGAGTAACCTTTGGGCTTGCTAGGATGTTTACCTGACCTAAATTTCATTTGTGGAAGTAGGTGGGGTCTGGATGTTTTGAGAAGGAATGAGCACATATTTTCAGGCGAACCGAGCGCAAGCCACGATTGAAGCTCTGAAGACGGGAAAAGAACTGGCCTCGAACAACGGCGTAACGATTACCAGCTAGAAGAGCAGATTATTGTTATGCGGGGTTTTGAGTGATTTGCTCTTGTTCGTTGAACTACACTCCATACTCTTTTCCTTGTTTACCGAGCGCTACACCAATCCCGTCCTGGATCGAAACCGCGAAGACAATGCATATGCTTTCGTGAGAAGGAGGGGTACGCTATTCAAGAGCAAGTTGGCTAGCCACATTCTATCGTCTGCCTTGATCACACCAGGTAGCAGTTTGTCGAATCTGAGGGGATTGCTATGGAGAAAATCCATATTAAGAAACTGGGGGGTAAAATGGTGGCTGCAAATATCCCCACTTGGTAGTCAGCACATAATGCCCATCAATCTGGCCCTTGCAATTCACCAGACACCTTAAAAAGGAGTATTGCCCATTTTTGTGCCAGTGTCAGAGTAATGCTCATTGCCATCACAGCGTGACCGCTCAACTACGACCCCCCTCTCCTTGCACCCTTGGAAAACACGGCTTCGCTCAGCATTGAAAGCGAACGGAAATTAGCCCCCTCGTCGCCAGAAGGGCTTTATGACCATGACGGCAATCAACCATACGGGTAAATCTAAGGAGGAGATCGACATCCGAACGACGACGAGAGAACAGCCTGGGGATGTCGACGCCCAGAGCTTGGAGGAAAGAAATGAGAGAGAGGTGCACGAACACCCCGATGAAATTACCCACAATGCCCAGATCGGAGTCCAAAAGGCCGAGGCTATAGCTCTGGTCTGGTCCAAAACCGCCTTATATGCTACATATGCCTGGTAAGTCACTGGCCGCCCCGAGAGCTTGAAAAATACCGATCAATCGAACTCCACCAACCGGCACCTCTTGACAAGACTAAATGAGACGATTTCTAACGGGAGACGTTCACTGTCAGGATCTGGCTATGTTTCTTCGTTCTGTCTATGCAATCATCAATCAGCAACAACATGATCTACTACGCCTACGCAAATTTCGCTTCAGCACCTCAGATATCTCAGGCTTTTATTGTGTCCACAATCGTTGGAGGAGTTCTTCAACTTCCTATCGCAAAGACTCTCAATATATGGGGTCGCGCGGAGGGCTTCCTGACATTCTTGGCGGTCTTCATCATTGGTCTCATTGTGATCGCCTCATGCAATGGTCCTAATGGGTTTGCAGCCGGATACACCTTGTACTGGATCGGCTTTACGGCCTTGAATTTTATTCTCACAGTATTTGTCGCCGACGCATCCGGGCTACGGAATCGAGCTTTTGTCTACGCGTTTATCGGTACGCCCACGATCTGTACAGCCTTTGTTGGGCCCCTCATTGCCCAAGCATTTGTGGCCCATTCTAGCTGGCGCTGGGCTTATGGCTGTTTTGCTATCATCACCCTTCTCGCCTTTGTGCCGCTTGCACTCGTGTTCAAGGCCTACCAACGCAAAGCTGAGAAATTGAATCTTTTCATTCGGGTTGTGAGTGATCGAACGACCGCCCAATCGTTCCTTCATTACATTCAGGAGTTTGATATCGTTGGCGCTTTCATTCTCATGGCGGCCTTTATTCTATTTCTCCTACCATTTAGCCTTGAAACTTATGGCTTTGGTGGATATTCCTCGGCGATGTTTATCGCTATGGTTGTCATTGGACTCCTACTCTTCCCAGTCTTTGCTATTTGGGAGCGGTACTTGGCTAGGACTCCTTTCATAAAGTGGGAGTTGTTTAAAAAGCGCACAGTTCTTGGAGCTTGTATCCTGTCAGCTGTGATTTTCTTCAACTACTACGCCTGGGATCAGTACTTTTACTACTATGTGCAAGTTGTCTACAACCTTGACACATCAAAGACTGGGTATATGACACAAATCTATGGTGTTGGCTCGACAATCTGGGCAGTTTTATTCGGTATTTGGATTCGCAAAACTAAACACTTCAAGAATGTGTGTCTCTACTTCGGTGCGCCCATGTTGCTACTTGGCGCTGGTCTTATGATTCACTTCCGAGGCTCCCAGAGTGACATCGGATACTTGGTGATGAGCCAAATTTTCATTGCCGTCGGCGGTGGCACTCTTGTCATCGGTGATGAGATGGCTGTTATGGCTGCCGCTGACCGTGACGGCGTGCCATTGATGCTTGCAATGATCAGCTTGTCATCTAGCGTTGGCGGAGCTATTGGATATGCTGTTGCAGGTGCTATCTATTCAAATACCTTCCCTCAGGCATTACTCAGGGCCCTTCCTCAATCGGCCAAACCTGATTACACGACTATTTACGCCGGCGGCTCAGCCGCCCAGCTCTTGTACCCCCCAGGCAGTGAGACAAGAAACGCAATCAACTACGCATGGGCATACAGCCAGAAGTATGAGTGCATTACGGCAGCCTGTCTTGTTATCCTTGCTTTTCCAGCGATTGCTATGTGGAAAAATTACAATGTCGACAGGAAGCAAGTGAAAGGCACGGTCATCTAAAACAACACTTTAGGTCTGTCGGTATAGAGAGACTATATAGCCGCACTTAGGTTGTCAGTTATCCTCTAACAGGAGGAGCGCTGAACAATTTACAATTAATCAATTCTTGTTATGATTTGCATAACGAAGTCAGCTTCAAAAAGGCATTAATTTAGTGGCTTTCCCATAGGATATTTAGCCCGCAATGATTGCGTCCCTCTTCCCTTAGGTCTATCTGGATATGCTCGCTCTCAGCGGATGTCAAAAATCTTTAGCAACGTCACATCGGCTAGGCAAAATAAGACAACCTATCGCCATCCGCTTATGTGTGTGAAAAGGCGTTCTTAGCTTCAATGGTGGAAAGGATATTGATTACCGTGGCTGACGAAACTGCTTCTGTACAATTAGCATGAAAAGTCGAAAAATCAATTATGGTAATACTGATAATCTCGGCTACCTAGAAACGAGAATATACTCCATACGCATGCAGCTAAATTAGTTCATATCGTGTATGCGCGCGTACGTGAGAATAATCCATCAACCCACCAGGTACATTCATCATACCTGCGCCTTCGTACCTGGACTTTTCTCGATTGAGCATGCTTAGCCCGAACTCCCTATCTCCGCCGAAGTTGGTGGAGCGGAGGTTGTCGCTTTCATTCGCGGAGCATTCTTAGTGTGTGCTGTTGGGTTGAATACTCACTCGTAATTATCCAGCTAGCTACAAACCATTTTCAGTTAGTCTATTGGCGTAAATATTAGTTATCTGGCCACCTTCCCCTATTTTCCTGAATACACACCCTCTTAATCTATTGGTCTACACACCATTAGGTAATATACCCTTCCTGCTGAGTTCGATATGTACAGTAAGTGGCACTTTTTTGTTCGTGAAATCGCCCCCACTTGTGGAAACCGTGTTCAATTCCACTCTTCTTCTATTTCTTGTATTATTCGGGATCTTGGAAACGCAGCAGAGATATTGCGATTCATTTTCGGTCAAGACTACGCTTGGCAAAGATGGTCCTACTGTAATACTAAATGTAGACGATAGCCCGAAAATTCGCCGAGGAAGTGGTTCAGGGGAGCCTGACAACCTTGGGGACTGCTATAGGAAACCGTATTGTTGCCTGTGATGGGTAATTTATTAAGAACGATCACGCGAGAAATAAAGAAGACTAATTCGTTCACACTGTTGGTTTTGAAAGGGAGAGACTAGTTCACGTGTTAGATTTCAGATCAGTACCAGTCAGCGAACAGGCATAAAGTACCATCTGAAGCCACGTTTCCTCAGTAGGTTGCGGTTGCGAAAGTAAAGGCATTATTGGATTTCTTAGTATGTAAAAAATAAATTTCTCATCTTCTAAGCTCATTTAGTCTGTGCTTAGTGCCTGAAAAGCCTTAGTGCCTGAAAAGCCCCCAGACTCCCATTTTATCTCATCAGGCGCAACATATTCACTACTTGCTCGAACTGCAAATCACGTACATTGCAACTATCTCATGAAGAAGCGATTATTGTATCATCATTCGAAGCGTTGTCGTTGTTCTTGACGCTCTTCCACTCGACGAACCAAGATGTCACAAACGCGGCTACCATTAATGCCAAGCTAACGCGATAGGTGTCTCGTAATCCGTTCACGTATGCTTTTATCACGCCATCCAGCTGATCGAGCTGGCCCAATGTCATCAATACGTGCCTCGTCTCGGTGGCCCCTGCGCTAATGATGGCCATTGGATCAACATTGGATGTGTATGCGCGAATGCCTGCTTGCAAGCCATTCTGGAATACCGACTGACCCACCGCGATGAAGACGGCACCGCCCAGTGTTTGCAAGAACATGACGGCGGCTGTTCCCACTGGGATATCCTCTGGCTTCAATACCGTCTGCACGGCTGTCATTGGGATTTGAAGACCAGCACCAATGCCGGCACCGACAACAATTTGATAGCCGATCCATTTCCCCGGAGAAATATCCACATTGTATAAGGTGATCAGACCCGTCCCAACAGCAGCAACCCCAGTGCTGGCAATCAAAAATGGCGTATAATACCCAAATGCAGTGACCATGGCACCCACCACTATAGATGAGACTACAGTGGCGAGCATGAAGGGTAGAACCTGGAGTCCCGCAGTCATGGCAGAAGATCCTCTGACAATCTGAAAGTAGATGGGAACATAGTAGACCAGCAGAAAGAAGCCACCACTAAAGAAAAATGCATATAATCCAGCAGACCAGATGGTGCGCTGCTTGAGTATTGAAGGTGGCAAAGTTGCCCTTCCGCTCTTTTTGCCGGTCGCATTGTTCTCATGCCGACTAATGTAGATCTGGGATGCGGCAAAAAGAGAAATCAACAGACCAAACCCAACAAAAAGTCCGATGATTTGAGAGCTGCCCCAGCTATAGGCATTTCCACCCCATTGCAATGCGAGAACCAAGCATACAATGGCCGGGATGAGCAAGGTTGCACCTATCAAGTCAAGCTCCTGGGCAAGTTGGGAGATAGATAGTCTCCCATCCTGATTGTTGCTCGGTAGGCGAAGGACCAGGAGAACAACTGCGATAGAAACTCCACCCACAGGAAGGTTAACATAGAAACACCATCTCCAAGACGGACCATCAGTCAATGCTCCACCAAGTAGTGGTCCGACGATCGAAGCGATTCCCCACACCATGCCATATACACCAAAAACCAGCGGTCTCTTTGCCAGGGGCACAGTCATTGAGATGATCACCAGAGCGCCGGAAAATATACCTGCAACGCCAATTCCTGCTATTGCGCGACCCACGATCAGAACCGTGCTGGAAGGCGCAACGCCACAAACCAGTGATCCGATCTCAAAAATGCCCACCGCAGCTAAAAAGGACCATTTTACCTTCAATGTGTCAGAAGCGTCTTTTGGGAGCGGTAAAAGTAAGGCTGAGAATGGGAGAATGGGAGAATGTTAGGATGTCGAAAACTTACATTTAAAATCTTATAAATGCGGCCGTACGACGGTTGTAGAGCAGTTGACGTCAAGAAGTATGCACTACCATACCAGGCAATATCCGGGATGCTGTTGAACTGATCGGTGATTTTTGGAATGGCCACTCCGATGATAGTTTGATCAAGAGCTACCAGAAAGGCCGCCAGGTAGACTGCCAGAACAACAACAATCACTTGGCCGAGGGGTGGATATTTGGCCTTTTCATTGGAGACTGAATTTTCGATGTCGGCTTCTTCACAGCTCATCTGCTGGGTAGTCTTCTCCCGGATAGCCTCAAGATCTGGAGCAACAAGAGCTTCGCTCATGATGAGAGGTGTACTTCTTGTAGGGTGAGATGTCGAGTTGGGCGGAATACACAAAGACTAAATTATCCTCGATTTAACCAACTTGATGATGTACAACACAGACTGAAAAAGTAGAACGATTGTTTCCTCCGCCTGATAACCTTCAATTTTGCGGAAAGAAAAAACCTAAAATAAAATAAAATCCTACTGTGTGCCCGACAAGCCATCGGGCTTTACACCATCTTCTTCGACTAATGATCTTTGATCAGAATGATCCGAGGAAGAACTAAAATACGATAATTACCTCAAATATGCTCGCATAAGCGATAAGCGAAAACTTTGACACTGTATTTCTGGGCTTGTCATCTTGATACTATTATGATTCAAATTTCGCACCTTCCTATAATGGGAATTATAAACGTAACGTGTAGTGTGGGCTAGTAATTTATCAATGCGTTTCCTGATTGGTGCACGAGTAGAGGTAGTCAGCTACATTGCACACTGACATACGAATCATTACGCAGTCCCACCGAGTCACGATCCTGATCGAACTTACTTGGATTTCGAGGTCTTCCATACCTAAAATTTTGCTCGGACCCTTCGTACTGAACACACCGTGCCTATTTTGGCTCAGTGTAGCGCTTTCCCGAAATACCCAGGAAATGTCCAAAATGGCCTCAAACACACTCGGAACCACCTTTGAAAGTATTTCCACCTCGTATCGAAGTCTTCATACTGAGACATTTTTCCTGATGACTGCATCCAGGGCCCAAAGAGGTGGATAGGAAAGGGTCCCCGGTGGTGGAACACTTTCCTGCCGCAGATGCTGAGTCCGCGTCCTTGCAGAGTTATATGTCCGACTGGGCTCACAATAAATGTCAGGACAGGTCCACTAACCACGGAGATCTTATTTGCTCTGCTCTTTGTCACATTTTACCGTCTGTTGTGCAGTCTCTGCGCAGTTTGGGACGCTTCAGCTTCCACCTATAGTCTTCCCAATAGCCTGGCTATATTGAAGCAACATGGTGTCACTGGACCCTGATCCTCGCTCCGGCCAGGAGCAAATTTGTTTAAAAGCGGAATCCGATGACAGCCCTGTCGTGAAATCCTCGCAATATGCCAGTGACGTGAAAGAAATCTCCCGGCACATCTTGGATATTTTCTTGGAGTGTGCACTCAACAAGTTTGAGTATACAGAGAATCATCTCGACAGCAGTGGAGACGACTTTCTTTCTTTGATAGGTCGCTTTGTCGCCCAGGGTGCGCGTGTGCAGGCTTGTCTCCCTGCATTCCCCTTCAAGTCGGCGAACAAGGTGTACAAGGTGCTCGGTAGCCTGCCAGACAAGGCGGAGGAGCTGGCACTGGACCGATTAAATACCCTGTGCATGCGAATTCAAGACATTTATTCTCCCGGTGCTGAGATTGTCGTTATTTCAGATGGAATTGTCTACAATGGTACGTGGAGGATCTCACTTGTACTCCACTGGCCAATTTGACCAGTCCCTGACATCTTTGTGGCCGATGGTAGACTTGTTATGTATTTCGGATCAGGAAACATGGCATTATGGCGAAGCCCTGCGTAAGATGGCGAGTGAGCAAGGCTTCGACAACATTTCATTTTCGAGGATTCGAGATCTGCTCAACTTCCCTGTTCCCGAGGAACTGACTGAGATTGTCTATGTCGCCAACTGCACCAACTTTCGCCGCTTGCTCCTGAACAGATATGGCAAGGCCAAGCTCGACATTGATCATGAAATTGCCACAAACCCAGATACAAAGTTGACTTATCTTGGATATAAGCGATTCCTGGAATCCGATCTTCAGTACATCTTTCCTCGAGGGGAGCATCGCTCTGCCCACAGTTACAAACGAGATTGCAAGTATCTGGCGAAGCAAATGCTCACAAGAGGATATGTAAGTGGTGAATAAGCTTAAGCACGCCTCTTTAATATCCTTGTCATTGATCTGGAGTGATAGGCTTTTGCAGGGGCCGTCAAGGATGCATTCTCCAATCATCTACGGCTTTCCATCCACGAATCCATCAGCGGTACCAAGATACCCATTAGTTTGCTGAATACCAGGACGGGCTTCACTACCCCATGGCATTGCGCAGTGGCTCAACTCGCAGATGGATCATGGGTCAGTGCTCCTATGGGCGAGTTCAGCCAAGATAGTCGCCTGGAAGTGGTTCATGTCGATGGAACTCCCAATTACTACCGAGAGAAGATATCCGATGCGGGGCATGTCGCCATTTGCGAGAAAACGGCACGCTATCTCCAGTCGGCTAAATACATCAACGCCACTGCGTATGTCAATGGCGCATTCCAGGCTGCATTATCACTTACATCCTCCCCTAGCGAAGCTTCACTCTCTTCATCTGGAATTAAATCACCTGACAGTACTTTCACCACCCCAGAAGCTCAACTAACGCCACAGCTTTCGCCTTCACAGTCTGGGCTGGGTATCACTTTCCCTCTGAAGCCTTACATTGCGTCAACACAGTCAGAGGCAGAGACTACGGTTTCAGAAGCATACGGCAGAAGGCTCATCCCGCAGATAATGGATAGTCTTGCTGCTTCCGAGCCTGAAAGGGTCGTTTTCCCCTTGCATCACTCTCGAATGGGCTCCTTCAGCTTGACCCCATTTCTGCTAGACAATTCACCCGAGCAGTCGACAAGACCGCCTGGTGGCTCTGGGATCAAATTGGCACCCCTGACATAATTCAGCCAATGGCTTATATTGGACCACGTAGGTTTCAATCAATATGAAGAACCCGGAATTTACTTTTGATCTTGCACACTGACGCCACTGATTGGCTTAGATGATCTACGGCATGTTATTTTGACATATGCATGTGTCAAGGCGGGCTACGCAGTATGATCTCAACCAGATCTGTGTTGGGACGTCAATGGATCTGACTTTCTTCCTCCTGACAGGCTTTGTTTTTGTCACCGAAAAATAACACAGATGGAATTCTAGCAGTACTCACAGCAACGGACTGCAATATCTGGGTTGATCCAGTTGACACTTCTCCTGTCCCTGTGGTCAAGGACGTTCTGCAGAAACGGCCAATGAAGTCTTTGCAACTTCCCATGCTCCACGAACTTCTTGATGCGGAGTCCACCGAAGCTTTCCCGTACACTAAAAGTTTTGATGACGCTATAAATGATCCATTCTGTTACTTGCATACGTCTGGAAGTACTGGGTTGCCGAAACCCATTCCCTGGTCCCATGGGCTCATTGGTACTATGGATGCAGTACGGCTACTGCCGCCCGTGGGCGAAAATGCCGATTTGGTTCCTTGGACTTCAGACTGGAATGAAGGGGACATGATATACTCATCGTTTCCAATGAGTCACGTACGTTAAATTCTCCTGCAACTACATTTCCGGGGCTCAATGTGGAGTGGAAGGACTCATTGACTGACTGACTGAGTTACCAACAGGGAGCTGGAATCATTATGGATATTTTGATGCCTGCACTTTTCAATCTTCACTGTGTGTTGGGGCCAGTGGGTGTATTGCCAAATCTTAATCTGGTCGAAAGACTAGCAGTGGACGTGAGGCCTGACATATGGAGTATGGTCCCCTCTCTTGTCGACGAACTGGGTGAAACCCCTGAAATCTTGGAAAAGCTCCGGCCGAGCAAGTTCATCTGTGCATCTGGAGGTCCCGTTAGTCCTGTTAGCTCCGGCAAGGTAAATGAAGTGGTCAGAGTTCTTAACTTGACCGGTACGACAGAAGGTCTCTTCATTGGGAATTTGAAGCCGGAGCGAGAAGATTGGTTCTGGTTCTGCTTCCATCCATTCTCCGGCTTCGAGTTTAAAGAGCTTGAAACGGATACCTACGAGCATTGGGTACATCGGAATGAGCATTGGCCTCTCTTTCAGGGGATCTTCCACACATTTCCAGATAAAGATTCGATCAACTTTAAGGACCTCTACATGCGGCACCCTACCAAACAGAACTTATGGGCCTTCAAGGGAAGAAGTGATGATCTTGTCGTCTTGTCGAATGGGTATAAAATTTCGCCCCTTGAGACAGAGGCATTTATCACTACTCATCCTGCTGTCCGTGGTTGCCTCATCTTTGGAACTGGGAAGCCTCAAGCAGGTCTACTCATTGAGCTCAATGATCCGTTCAAGAAATCAGCCGATCTCATTGACAGCATCTGGAAAACGGTCCAGAGGGCTAACTCTATGTCTCAACACAAGAATCAGTTACTCAAGGACTTTGTCACTTTCGCATTACCTGACAAGCCCTTCTTACGAACAGACAAGGGGACCGTGAAACGAGCAACAACATTGGCGCTGTATTCTGAATACTTTGAGCGTTTCTACAGTTCGCGCAATGATGATTCCGATCAAGCTATCAGTCTCGATCTGAGCTCTACCAAAGCGACCGAGGACTCCATCCGGACGATTATCAGCTCCTTTCTTTCGGACAACCAGGACGTGCTTGCAGACACAGATTTTTTTACATTTGGACTTGACTCTCTTGGTGTCTTTGCGGCTGTGAAAGCAATTCGGGCAGCTTCAGGCTTGGGTGATAAAATCGCGCCTCGTCACGTCTACGCCCATCCAACTATTGCAAGCCTTGCTGCAACAGTTTCTACGCTAATTGAAGAGGCAAAAAGTGCTAATGATGAGAATCCTTTGGATAAAGTGTTGGATGATGATGCTTCTACGGTGAAGGATATGATTGCTCAGCACAAGGCGCGACAGTCTTTCCGCTTAAATGCATTCGATTACGTTAACCCCAATCATGGCATGGGCATCATGCTTTACTTTTCTATTCACGAGGAAATATCTTTTGAGCAAGTGTTTGGAAATCTCCAGGAAGGACTGAACCGCACATTCGATATGATACCAGCTCTTAGTGGCAAGATGATGCATTGCTCCGAGCAAGAAATTGGCTACAAAAAGGAGATCTCTGCGTGACAATTCCACCACTGTCCATGGCAGCCTCTGCGCGAAACCGTCTGCTGTACAAGGATCTCTCACATATTCTTCAACCATTTGAGAAGTTGAAGGAGGCGGGCTTCCCACCGTCTGCTTTCCCAGACGGCCTTGTTCTGCGAGACGATCCCTTCCCGAAATTCCCTGCAGACATATTCTCTGGCCAAGTAAACTTTTTTTCTGGTGGTTGTGTTATTGCGGTTGACTTCAATCACTGTTGTCTCGACGGTCTCGGAGTCATGGTTGTTCTCAAGGCCTGGGCGGAGAATTGCAGATATCTACAAGGTGATCAAACGGCAACATGCACCTGGTACGATTCTGAGAGCTTCAACCACGCCTTACCGGAGATCATCCACGAGCACGAGGGATGGGCCCGACCGGTGGAAGAGATTGACCCTGGTACATGGGGGTTCTTACCCTTTTTTCCACCTGTTTCCGTTACCAGCAATAACCATACTTTGCCTGCTGCGCCTGATTTCAAGTTGCATAATATCTGGCCACTGCCACGGGCTGAACGGTGTCCCAAAACTACGATGTTCCTGATCAAGCCGGAACAGCTTGAGAAGATGAAGCAAGATGTCGTTTCTGATCCCGAAAGCAAGGGGATCATCAAATCAATCAGTGATATTGTCCAAGCATTCCTGTGGCGAGCTTCCATCCGAGTGCGACACAGGGTGGCAACGGAGATCCGGAAGGAGACATTCAAGCCAGACGAAGTGTCCATTCTTGAGCTCCCCACTGATGGGCGTCCATACTTCTCTGCACTATTGCCCGAAACATATATGGGTAGCCTATTGATCCTCAATCGATCAACCATGCCGATTGAGACACTGTGCTCTGATCAGACCACCATTGGCCGTGTCGCGTATCTCCTCCGTGAGTCCGCCGCACGCATCACCCCTTCTGTCGTCCACGACGCGTTGTCAATTTTGCAGGCACTACCGGACCACTCACGATTCTCCACGGCAAATATGGGGCTTGAGCATATGCATGCTATGATTTCCAACATGATGCTATTTCCAACCAATGAGGTTTGTTTTGGAGATGCCTTCTTTGGTAATAGAGGATATCTTGAGTCGTTGAGGCCACAGCTGGAGCGTGGAAATGGACGGTTCCGATTCCTCGTGATTCTCCCATTCAGAGAAGACGGGGGCATCGAGCTTGCGTTTAGTACATATCCCGAGGAGTTGGAGATGTTCCAGGCAGATGAAGAGTTTACGAAGTACGCTGAGATTCTCAATCCTTGCTGCTGAGTTGAGTTTATTCCATATTATTATATTGTATAAGATGCTTATGACATTCACTGAGGCCATTCTCGTTCTTGCGATGTTTTGGTTGATAATGCCAGCCAGATTCAGTTCTGAAATTCTTTGGAGAATGAGTCGTATTGCGTACCCAGTTTGAATGTTTGTCTGTCGGCCGCCAACTAGTAGTTACCTCCTGGGCGCAATGCGTTCAGGAATGTAGTCTTTGAAAAGCTGCACCATACCCTCCTCGTCCGGTCCCTACACCCTGGCTATCCACAGATAGTTGCTACGGGCATCGCGTAATATATCGTGTCCAAATATTTTAGACTGATGGCATCCTTTCGTGCTCCTCTTTATTGGCTTATATACATATTGGCGAACACTGATTATAGTTATATAGCATTATTATTTGCGTGAGGTACGCATGTCCAGGCACGGTGACAGCCTCGATGAAGCCGCTCTTAGTTTCTGAGCACTCGATTTATCCTTCAAGTTCTATTACAAGTGGACTTGACATCCATTCGAGAGTTTTCCCAGATAGTCGATTTATTTATTTCCGTCACAAAATGCATGAAATGAGCATATTTGCGCTCATATAGTCTAAGTCCGTGTCTCCGCAGCCGCACAGCCACGAGCTAGGTCGTGGAGATTATCGCGATTCCGAGGGCAAGCAAGTATGTAACTACCTCTTGATTGCAAATCAACGGTTCCAGTGCCTAGTTTTGGTGGTCAGTGGGGTTTGCTCAGGCGTGCATATTTTCCTACTTGATGGCCAAAGTCGAAATGCAGGCACGACGGACTTATGAGCAGTGTCAACAGCTCCTACGTCGACATCAGGACCGATCTCCCAGCGCAAGATCCGTGATGGCCCAGATCGAACGGCTGGTGCTGAAACGAGACCGTTCGGGTCAGGGGTTGACCCCTCTCGAGGAATCGTTTTATCGTAAGATGCTTCCTTCCTGTGCCTATCGCATATCATAGAAGGGCTAGGCAGATCCGGTCGGATTTTACCCCTGCGACGGAACGGGTTGTCGCAGCCTCCCAGACCCCGATACTGAGCTCACGACACCACGCGTTTGGACATTTGCTCCCGGACTATCTTAGCAACCGATGCTTAGCTTACCCGAAAAAGATAAAGATCAAAATCAAACTTCAAATAAGAAACGAAATTGATGACCAAATCAATCATTTCGGTTGAGAAGATTGGTGGAGTTATGCAGCAAGGAGCATGGGTTTTGGTAGCAGGGCTTTGGCCCCATCGATACATAAATTCGGGCAATGGCAACCCTTACACGGCCTGCAAGAACTCCGTACCCGTCACGCTGTACGAACGCGCGGTCGCAACCCCGCCTGAGCGGGTTTGCGGTCATATCGACTTACCTTCTGGGTCGGGGGTTTTGACTGTTTCCTGTTTCCAGGGACCGACGACCCCTGCCAGACGGGAGCAGTCATCTTTGATCTTCTGATTCTCGCCATGTGGCCCTCGGCGATTAGCTGAAAGAACTTGCGTCGCATAGCATGATCATCTGACGTTTTATGCGCTCCCCTCCAACCTATTTTCTGACTTTCTCCGAGGTTTCGTACTTCCTCATGTGTTATGATTTTGTGACTTCCTTTCCCTCGGGTCAAAAATGAAGACATCAATACCAGAGCTGCCGTCTTTCCACGTCAGTCCATCGCAGCTCACCCACAGCGCGCTGGATTTGATCAATGATATTCAAACCGCAACAGAGCAACTACTCAGCAAGCTCACGCCACGGGATGCCACATTTGAAAACGTCGTCTTGTCGATGGCCAAGATCGACAATGAAATCAAGAGTAAAGTCCAATTCTTGGCAATCTTCCAGGCCGTTTCGCCCTCGTTGGAGCTACGTCAAGAATCCTCCGCCGCCGTGAGCATGGTCGACACAGCATATTTGAACCTGTTCCAGGACGAAAATTTGTTTGCATTGGTAGATGCTGTGCATACCAACTGCGATGGGGGTCAAATGGAAATCGAAGACCGAAAGTTTCTCACAAAGCTTCATTCGACCTTTCTGGATAATGGTCTTGGGTTACATGGGAAGAACAAGAAACGGTCTCATGAGATTTCCAAGCGACTGGTTGAGCTCCGAGTTGCCTTCACAGAGAATCTCAGCGTGGATCCTGGATATGTGTGGAAGAAAGAAGAAGATTTAGAGGGACTTGGTGCCGAAAGAATCCAAACACTTCCCTTGTGTCCCTCGAACGGCCTGCGGGGCATACCACTGAAAAAAACCTACGTGAATGGGGTCCTCTCCAGCTGCGTTTGATCTGAAACCCGAAAAGAGGTTTTTATTCAGAGCCAAAGGATATTTCCCGAAAATGTCGAGCTTTTTCGAGAGATTGTCTTTCTTCGAGATGAAAGAGCTCGTTTGCTTGGCTACGAGTCATATGCGCATCAACAAGCATGTTCTAAATTGCTGAAATCCCCTCAGGACGTCAAGTCTATGCTAGGCGATCTTTCGATGTATCTGCTCCCCATGGCGCAGACAGAACTGGAGGCTTTGCAGCGTGCTAAACATCCGTCCGGGGGCCCCTTCTATCTCTGGGATTTTGACTATTATCACAACAAGATGTTGCGAGACAATTACCAGGTCGATCATGATCTGATTGCCGAGTATTTTCCTGCCAAAGTAACGATTCAGCGTATGCTCAGTGTCTTTGAAACAATCTTCTGCTTGAAGATTGAACATTTGAATGGCATTCGAGGTGACCATATTTGGCACCCAGAGGTCAAGGTCTTCAGTGTACACGATAGAGATGACCAAGGATTTATTGGCTTTTTGTATTTGGATATATATCCTCGTGATGGGAAATTCAATCATGCGGCTAATTTTAACATATTCCCTGTATGTGAGGCCCCACCGACAACGTACCTAGTGGTTCCGTCCCCTTGCTAACACACGCGTTTGACAGTCCTACTCTGTCCCTGTGGGCATGGATCAACCTTTGGTCTGCACAGCTTTGGTATGCAACGTGGCATACCCTCTGCCTGACAAACCAGCGCTTTTAAAGCATCACGAGGTTATCACACTCTTTCATGAGCTAGGCCACGGTAAGCAATCTTGAATTTTCCGTGTTTATCCTGACGTTCACTCATAATTCACGCATTAGCCTTTCATGATCTCTTGGGAAGGTCCAAGTATGCAACATTTCATGGGCACAGGACAGTTGCAGATTTTGTCGAGGCGCCAAGCCAGCTACTGGAATATTGGTGTTGGGTGCCTGAGTGTCTGCAGCGACTCAGCTGTCATTATAGCTCTGTCTCTCCGGATGGCGGTGAAGATGATGAGCGTGACACTTTAACGAACCATTCGACCCGCACACCCGAGGAGATTCCTCGAAGCTTATTAGAAAAGATCGTCAAAGCTAGATCAGTAAATCAGGGGATTTTGACTATGAGACAGGTCGCCTTCAGCAAGTTTGACTTGGAGATTCACTGCCCAGCTTCCCATCGGGCCGTCAAGTCAACGGACATCGGTGAGATCTATAACTCTCTTTTGCAAAGAAAAACTCTTCTGCAGGGTCCAGAAAATGATTGTCAATGGGGGCATGGTTATGCAACCACCCCGCATTATATTTGGGGCCAAGAAGCGAACTACTATTCCTACTTGTAGTAAGTTCTTCCATATTTGGGTGTAATACCTCTGTTCTCTATCGAATGCTTACCTTAATTTTCAATCTAGCACCCGTATATTAGCAGCCAACATGTGGTGGTCGAATTTTCACTCCAATCCAATGAGTCAGGAAGCTGGTCTCAAGTATCGAAAGATGATTCTCGAGCACGGCGGCAGTCAAGATGAGCACATGGCCCTTGTAGAATTTTTAGGCGGGGAACCAACAGTTGAAGTATTTTTAAGATATCTCTAGTCAAATGATTGAAAGCGTGGTCCATCCTAAATATGGCTTGTAAGGAGCTCCATGGAAAATTCAGCTCTAAATTTCATATACCCTCCAGGCCCGTGTTCAACTCTGTTCCCCATTCAGTGCTAGGGTTGTTGAACCGTGTTTGCTTGTCACATGCAGTAATAGACGCAACCTCTTCGTCAGTCAAGATGACTCTCTGTGCTTCCAAATTTCTCTAGCACTCGCTCTTCGTGTTCACGTTTCGGGATCACAATCACCCCTAGACGCATAGACCAGGCCAATACCAGCTGTGCCACTGTGATACCATTTTGGTGAGTGATGGATCATTGGTATTCGTCCTCCAAGAGATGTGGCTTTTATGACTTGTAGATCGGATTCGTGGTTCCAAGCGGTGAAAAAGCAATGACTCGTAGCCAATGTTGCAGGGTCCACTTCATAAATTCGGACTGAGAGAGATATGGGTGGATTTAAAAATCGTGCACGCTGCGTGGGATTTGAGCATATCTCAGGAGCCTTTCCACTTGATGATGGGTAAAATTCGATGTCCCAATCTGTCGAACAAGTCCCTCTCGAACAAGCTCATCCATTTCTCACCATGTTTTGAGAATACCTACTTTTTTGAGTTTAATCTTGGCTGTTTCCCGGTTGAAACGCAACGGGCCAATGCATCGGACTCTAGCGAAGACCCTAGCCCTACTAATAAGCTTTGCAAGCTACATTTGTACTTCAAATTTCCTTTCTCTGCTGTGCTCTACTTATATTGCTCATAGGCTGTCACTGAATTATATCTCGATTGTGACATTTGGCAAGTCATCATGAAAGAGAAGACCAATGAACATAAAATCTCGAGTCTGAAAAAAGGAAAGAAGAAGAAGAAGAAAGAAAGAGGGATAGGCCCTCTTAAATACTATAGCTTATAGGCCGGAACCGCGCATGTCATGTAACCATTACATGGAGGACCTACAAGACGTCTCTTTCTACTGTAAGCCCGGCGATTGTTACCGCATATACCATACTCCTATGCGTATACCACGTTCCCGTCCGTGACTGGCACATTCTACATCAATAGCTTCGTACATAGATAGAGAATATCATCTTCCGTTATCACTCACCAGGCTAGCTTACGCTACTACCCGGGACCAATACTCCTATCCAATTATAGAGATTTTGCAAAGATGATATGATGCTCCAATTTTATAGCAGCGGCATGGAAAGCTCTATAAATCCATCGGCACGGTGTATGATTTTCCAATACCAACTATGTTATGGGTTGCTCCTCAGATATCTAGCGCGAGCAGCTTTGGACAAGATAGGGTTTCATGTGCAGTATGTACATCTAGATCGTCACGTTCTATGTGGACTCCTCATCCCAACCATCGAAGGAGCGGATTAGGTCTAGATACGATGGCGGGTTAGCAAGATGCAGCAGTCAAAACACGATAATAAGAGAAGGGAAGGGAAGAGATGAATTACCATAGTACAGCATCATGCCCTCCAGGTGTACATCTAGCCGGATCCGCTCATCCACAGTGTGAATGTTCAGAGTGCCACCCTGGCGCGAGGGGCTCCAGCGGTAAATGTTCTCCGAGAGAGACCAGTAGAACCGCGTGTCGGTATTTCCAGTCATGATGTCACCCGTCACGACAACCGTCGGGTTTGATTCGGAGTTGATGTTTGCCTCTGACTGCGATGTGACCATCGGGTTTGGGTGCGACTCGAAGACGCTGCGTGCGACGCCGGAGAATCGGGCCCAGGTCTTGGAGGTGAGCGGGTCGGTTGGGGAGATTGGGGCTGGGCTCAGGGCCTCCAAGAGCGGTGAAAGCGTGAGTGTGCGGTCACCGGAGCCGCCGAACCTATCGTCGGTCTTAGTAAGGCCAGGGAAATTAACATGTAGGGTGATATTGTGGGCCGCGGCGATGGGGCGGATGATGCGCACAGCGCGCTCGCGCAGCTGGTCGGGCGTCATGTGTAGCGCTACGCGGTAGTTCACAATGGCCGAGATCTTTTCCGGTAGGGCGTTAGTTTTGACCCCGCCGTGGATCAGGTCCGCGGCTTGGGAGGTCTGCAGAGTATATCGCACGGCGGGACCGCGCGACTGGGCTACTGCTTCGCCTAGGGCCTCGGCATCATCCTGGGCCAGCTTGTCGGATAGCCAGGACTCGACGTAATCAGGTGAGTACCGCGCTTGGCACTCGAGCATGCCGTACGAAGGGTGCGAAGGATCCAGGTGGGGAGAGAAGAGCTCTTGTCGCTCCAGCTCGTAGATGATCTCGGCCATGATGCCGATTCCCGTGTGAGCGGGTGGGACAGAGCTGTGACCTCCTGGGACGGCCATCTCCAAGACGAGATCGAGACTACCCTTCTCACCAACACCAGGCAGAGCGTACAGCACCTGATTGTCATCACCCAGGTTCTGGAGACCCATGCCACCTTCGTCCAGGATGAACTCGAAGCTGTCCTTGCCGTACTTCTTCTCGAGGGCCGCGGCAATGGAGCCCGCGCCCAGGAACCCGTGCGATTCTTCATCGTAGCCGAAAGCTAGCAAGACGGTGCGCTGCGGCTGCCAGTTTTGTGAGAGCAGGTCTTCCACGGTGGATAGGAGTCCGATCAACACGTTCTTGCAGTCACTCGAGCCACGACCCCAGATCCACTCGCCGTCGAAGACGCCCGCGAAGGGCGGGTGCGTCCAGTCGGATGGGTCGTCGATGGGTACGACGTCCTGATGTGCCATGAAGAGAATGGGCTTGCGGGTGGGGTCGACGCCCTGCAGCGTGAAGACCAGACCGAGTCGGTTGATGTGCTCAACATCTGCCTTGGCGTGGCTGGATGAATTATCAACGTCGCGCTCTCTCTAGCCTTACAGTGACCGCTCGATACTTACACGAGTGGGAAGAGTTCCTTCAGAAGTGCCTGGAACTCCACAATGGGCTCGAAGGACTCATCGTAGGGGTCAGTCGCGAAGTCGCCGACGGTCGTGGGCACCTGCACCGCCCGTGATAGCCGCTTGGCCTGGCGGGCGCGGAAGGCCTCGTCCTTCAGGAACGTCAAGGAAGAGTGCAGTCCGTCATGGGGCGGGGCGACTTTGGGCGCCTGCGGGCAGATTTCCCGGGCGGAGGGCTTGAGGGCGAGGTTCTTGTGGGAGAGGCCCGAGCCGGAGAATATCGCCTGCTGTGCGGGGATGCCCAATGCGAGAGCGGACGGCACCGCCAGTCCGAGGAGAGCGAGGGCTTTCATGGTCTCAGTGAAATACCTGACTATCCTACGCCCGATCAAATGAAGAGGACAAGACTCAGTGACCGAGACTTAGGAGGTGTGCGATGGCGTTATCAGGCCATCCCATCCCATCTTTATCTCCTCTTATCTTTCCCCTCACTTCTAATCACTTCTACTTTCCCTCAGCCGAGCGGGCGCAGCCGCGTCTTACCCCAACTGGAAGGGCTTTGCTGGGTTTGCCGATATGATCGGCAATGCTGGGTACATTGTTGAGGCTCGAGTGTTTCCTTGGTCGTTGTCACTTGTGGGATGTGTGGCTGACTACCACCTCAGATTCGCAAAGGTTGGAGGAGCAGACCTGCAGAAGCAACAGCCAAGCAGTTCCTGACCAGCCCAGTGGAACCGGCGGAAGGAGCCAAGACAAAACGTGGAACCCTACCAGGAACGGTTCTCGGCTATCTCGCAGTTTGCGAGGTAGCGAGGCACCACCCTGCGATCATCCATCCATAGCCCTGATATTTATGACGCTGATAAGGGTAGTCTCTCGGAGATCCTCCTATGCGTCACTTATGAATCCCGGGCCGTGCTGAGTGGCCGATCGCCAAAAGGGGGCCAATCCAGGAGGGCGGCAGGGGGTCAAGCTCACAAATGCAGCGCCCCGAGTTCCCCACACTGCGCCACCATCCGTTCCTCCCCGAGCGAAACGAACAGAGGTGGCAAAGGGTCGCGGCTGGGGAGTAGCCCTCCGCCGGAGTTTCAGGTTTCACCCGTGACTGCTCAAGCTCCGCCAAACGCCTGCCGAGCTGTTCGAATCAGCAACAAGGCATCCACTCCTTCACTCCGGGGACGACGATCGGGGCGATCAACGCTACGGTGGCCAATGAGCCGCCCGCGCAGAGTTCAATAGGGTATTGGATTAGTGTTTCAGGGCCGATCGTGCGGCTTCACGATGTCATCGCTCTCTGGTCCTGTCGTGTTTGTCTCCATAAAATAATGGATCCCGAGGATTCGGGGGCCGAACGAACGAATCTGTCAAGATTAGGGTTGCAGCAGCTTCTTAAGTGAAACATTTTGGACCCTTTTTCCTTCTCGTTTGTTTACTTTCGATTATCGACTCTCACTCGCTGTTGGATTTGCCGCGCTGTCCTTTACTTCCTCTCGTTCCATCCTCGACATTCCACAGACTCGACTCCTACCGACCGACCAACCTCCCCGCTACCTACCAAGCTATCGACCAGCCTTTCTGACTCTTGACACCCACTTCACGAAATCCGACTTCGCCCCTCATTCTCTTTTCTCCAACTGCCTTTTTTTGCAATTGCCACCATGCATCCCCACCATATCCTCGCCTCTCTTGCTCTTGCGCTGCCGGCCTTCGTGAGCGCCTCCCACACCACGCTTGGATGCTACTCCGAGGTCCCAGATCTGAAGGGCGATTCCACAAACATCTTCCAGGCCTACGGCCAATGCTTGAGCCAGTGCACCATGGCCGGCTATGAGATTGCCGCATTGAGTCAGGTTTCACACTGCGCCTGCAGCAACACCGTTCCCCCAGACTCGGCCAAGGTTGACGACGAGGAGTGCAAGACCCCTTGCCCCGGGTATCCTAGCAATTATTGTGAGTTTCTCTGCGACAGTGACCTGCGGTTTTCTTTCAACCGCGGAAAACGAGCACAAAATATGCAAGGGATTTGGTAATAAAGCTAATATATACTTTGAACAGGCGGCGGCGACGGCACCTTCATGGTCCTCAGCACCGGCCAGTATGCCGTCCTCTCCGGCTCGGATGACGGCTCGACTGCTACGGCAACTGCCGTCACCGCTGCTGGCGGCATAGTCGTTGCTCCCACCAACATCAACCCGACCTCCATCCCAACGAGTATTCTGACTGCACCAAGCTCCATTGTCTCCAGTGCTAGTGCTCGCGTCGCCGCCTCGAGTTCTGCGACCTCGGCCATCACTGCCGCCAGCTCGAGCGCTTCGCCGTCACCTACCCTGAATGCTGCCGGTTCGCTGCGCGCCGGCTCGTCATTGGCTGGAGCCCTGGTTGCCGGTCTGGGTCTGCTCCTGTAAGGAGCGGATTTTGTATCTATGGGTGTTGTATTGTTATTCTCTTTGTATACTGTACTACATAATCAGCGGCTCTCTGGTCTGTTTCTCTGGCGAGGGAGGCAGGATCGCTGATAGATCAGCTTGACCCGCAGGCGGGTTTGGAGGAGTTGGTAAGAGGGCCGTTCATTGGTGGTTGGAGCTCTTTACATTCGTTCCAAATTCCGGGCGAATACTTGGACTAGGCAAATGGCGCTCCGATTGGACTTCAATATCCTTCGGCATAAAGATATCACTGACTTAAACACGTGTATTGTACCCAGCAGGCGGAATTCCATTGGCATATCTCGCTGCTAGAATTAAGGCAAATTCCATCCAAAACCATTGCATGCAAATCCGACGATCGCCTGATTTCTATATCGGCTCGGCCACTGCAAACCACATCCTTCGACAGTGAAGCTTGGGCGCTTATGCCGCCATGCGCTGAAGTTTGAAATCCACTTTGGCCTTCTTGAGTGCATCGTGATCGATCACCTAGAGGAGGGGGGGAGGGGAACACACCGAAAAATTCGGCATATCTCGAAATGATTTTCGATTATGAACCCTCAAAGATTGAGTTAATGCAGAATGTTAACAACATTGAATATGTGCGATGAGAGCTAAAACTCGAAGCATAGAAATCGAGATATCATGTACAAAAGCCGAGGGCAAGAGGAAGGCCGTGAAAGAACGAGTAGCCCGAAAATTGACCCATGACGCAAGCAAATCAACCCATATAACCTCCAGAATCCTCGGGTATCACAAACATAGAACAGAACGCAAGATCGTAGCCACAGCGGACGCTGAAGGGCCAACAACAATAATCAAATTCAGTCAGCCTGAGACGCGGTCGAAATTTTTCGGCAGTGGCAATCCCTCCCTATTACGACATGGTGTTAGCAAAAGTCAGGACAGTTGGGAGTATGGTCTATGATACCTGACGTATTTGCGCTTCAGAGTTCGCGCCCTATCCTTCATATCTACTTGGGTTCGACCACCTAGCTTCGGCCCTCCATTACTCGCAGGACATATTTGGTCCTGGCGCTCGATCACCGCCCATTGGGTAGCGTGTACTCCCACAAGCATGAGGAGACGATCGTCTTCTTCCTGTGTCCATCTCCTCCGAGTACGGCTGCTGGGAGCAATCACGCGCTTAGGTCGGGTTGATGAGCGGGGAGTTGAGTTTTCCTCGAGCCAGCGAGACTCACGCTGAGTCGACACTGGAGGCACACGTTCAACCATTTGTGACCCTGACTGGGTTTGGCTGGCAGCTAAGCTTTCTTGTAGCTGGTTTTCCGGGCCGGACTCATCGTCGTTCACCCGTTGCCGCTTGTCAGTTGGACGGGTTTGTTCTGGTACTTGAGCTCTGCGCTGTGCAATGCTATGGTTGCGGTTGTCTTGGTCAAAGCTGCTGTCATCGTCGCTCGTCTCGTCATCTGAATCACCCCGACCGCGCTTTCTGGAAATTGATTGTAGGGTGGACTGTAGTTGTATGGCTGGAGCGCGAGGTCTCTCTGCACTTCGGGGTTCCTCAGAGCCCAAAGGTGAGACCCTCGAGGCATTCGGTTGCCGGTCAAAAATTGTACGACGCCTCGATGGCTGTGTCTGAGCTGCGGAGGGGGAGTCAAAGAATCGCCCTGGGTAGTGGCTAACTCGCTTGATCCGCTCAGAGCCCTGGGGACTGGTAGACATGACAGCTTCACTTGGCAGACCGAAAATAAGCTCCTCATCAATAGGATTCAGGACGGGCCCATCGTGTTCCGTGGCTTGTTGTGTGCCGTTACGCGATGCCCGTTGGGACTGAGATAGTTCGGGTTCTGGGGTCTCAGTGATCTCGGTGCGCTTAGCAGGTGTGTTTGCGCCTCGAGCAGAGGGAAAGGTGGCCACGCCTTTACCTTTATGGGTATTAGCAGGCTGTGTTCCCGGGGAGGCGAAGTCTCGTGAGTGTTTGGCCATCAGGCTGTTCGCGAGGAAATCCATGGCTTCGGCGGTACGCCAGAGACTTGAATCAAAGGTCAGTGACTGTAGGAAAATAATTGGAATTGCAAACATACCCCCTGGATGATTTCCGTCTACTCGGCCCCGGCTGTACATACTGCTTCGGTGCTGACTTTTCAGAGGCTGGTTCTTCACTTGCCTCCTCTCCATACCCCGGCTTTCCAATTTCGTGCTCGTCGTTCAAGGTGGCAGAAGGTTCTTCTTGATCAGGGCCGAACTGTGACTGATCTGGAGGTTGGGCAGCATTGGGGTGACTCCGCTTTTCGATTTCTTTGACCACAAGTGCGTGCACATCTTCGATTGCGGGCTGAGCAGCCATAATAGACTTGAATTCTTGCTCCCGCGCCCGGACAAAACGCGCCGTACGCAGACAGAACCTGGGCCAACTGAAGACGGTTCTAAGTCCCTTGATATTAAGGTCATCATTGTCATCAAAAAGATAGGTCTCCAGCTCGTCTATGCGGACGATAACATCATCCTGCATGGTATCGGGAAGAAAACCATTATCATCCTCGAAAGTCCCTTCAAGGTTAAAACCCCGAAGAGAGCCGGGGTCCAGTGCGGAGTCATTGGCATTATCCAGCGCAAGATCATGGTAAAACACACTCTTCAAGATGGATCGGGCGTTAAAGTCTTTCTCGCCCTGGCGTTTCTCCAGTTCCGCGATGACGGACTGCGTTCGGATCTCGAGGGCTAAGTCGACAGTGGCCTTCATGGCGGAGCTTGCGCCGCCAGTTAATGGAGCTTTCGGTGCGAGCATTCGATCCATAAAGGGAATTGGAAACTGCCTATCGAGACCTTCGATTGCTTGCGCGGGGGTCTGCGAGCCGACGGCAGCGGAAAGGACACTTAGCGCTAATCGTGCACAGTTTGCCCTGTACAGGTATGGGCTTGGGTCCCAGGAAGCAGAAGCGTCTTCTGTCGTAACAGATGGAATCGAACGACCGACGCTGGCTGCGTCTATGTAGGTATGGTGAGTGAAGACTTTCATACTGTCTGCGAGTTTCTTGTAGGCGCGCTTGAATCTCTTGTTTTCCGTGTTGGCGGGGTTGGCGATGCGCTTTGCGACCTCAAGAATGCCTTTGGCATCGGAGGAGTTCGTGCCAACCAGTTCCAGCAGACGAGTAGAGGCTTGTTGGAGATCTGGCATTTCCTCGGCCATGTCAATAAGATCGGGCTCGCCATCTTCGGAGTCTGAATCCGACAAGTCCTGGGGTAAGAACGTGGTGCCAGAGATGTTAGTGTTCCCCTCATCGTTCGCTGGTGTGTCTGGCACCCGCGAGGAACTCAGTGGCGACGTAGGAGCTGGACGCGAGCTCGGTGATGATTCTTCAATTACCGTTGGTAGATCTGTACAAGTCAGAACATTGTATCCATTTACGGGATGAATGATGCAAGCAGGCGAGGGCCAAGCAGGGAGATCGGAGAATGAGCTCCAAAGAAACAGATGATCATGAACAACAGGGGAGACTGTGGAACAAGAAAAGAAGTTGACTAGTTGCACTTCCCGCTACATGCGAGGAGGCTATTGTTGACTCGCAAACAAAATCATCTGTACATAGCCATACATGGGGCAGCTGAGGGACCAAGACTCCAATGGAGTAGAAAGCAATGGTATGCCACTCACGTTTTGCCTGGGTTCGTCCCTGACCGGAATTTCCTTGGCTAGCTTTGCAAGAAGATTGTTTGCCATAGGTTGGATCATCGAGTTCACGACTCTGGCTTCTGGTCACTCGGCGCTGCGGTGTGGCACTTGCAACACGCGCCATCTGGGCGGTGTACCCGGCCGGTGTCGTAGGACGCTTCACGTGTTTGTTTACGTATTGATTCCGACACGTTCCCAATATTCTCAGAGGGAAGGCGATGCTAGATGAGAGACGACGCCACTCTTATCTGTGGATGCAATTTGACGCGTAACTGGACTTAGGGTTGAATGTTTTGAGGGGTCTCAAGATTAGGGTAGTTAGGCTAGCTGGCGGCGCCGGAGCGGGAAATCAATATTTCCTTGCCACTAGTCCGCTTTGGGGACTCATGATCGCACTTACGCGTAGATGTGAATTTTCAATCACAGAAACCCTAACCCTTAAACCATTACGGTCACTGCCGACAGGCCGGAAATTGAGTGCAGCGAGCGCGTTTCCTCTAACTGGGAGTCTACTAATTCAACACCGGGTGCCTATTGCAGTGCGTACCCTCTTATTAACCTGTAGATTATAAATGCAGCTGTAGGGTGATGACCGCTGATGTGGGTGTTAGCCCCAGCTAATAACCCTCAATCCGAATTGTATTGTAAGTGATAATCGCAGGCACAACTGACGAAAACACGCACATTGTAAGAAAAATGACAGAGTTACATGCGCAGACACGGAGGACTGGCTTCGAGATCACGCACATTAACCCGCTGTTATACACTGCATCTGAAGCCACAGACGAACAGACTCCTGTAATTTCGCTTCCTCGTGATAACCTTGTACCTCGGCGAATCTGGTAAATTTAGTATTTTGTGATCTAGAAAGTGGTTGTACTTTCAGCCTACACTTTCGCTTTCAAGACATCAGTTGAAGTATCGATCCCAACGAACATCCAATCAAGCTTCTTTTGGGCATTTGGCTCATCTGCAGGGTCGTGATAACGTGCCAAATACGGAAACTTGAGAGTGTCCTCGGCAGTGGCTCGTTTGAGATCGTCAAAAACAAGTGTATTTCTGAGGAAGTCGACAGCTGAAGCAGTCAGCACAAATATCCCTTGATGGTGTGCAAGAGCATACCTAATGGATCAACGCCTGAAAAAATGGCAGAAAGTGATTTGCCCTCGCTCCTTGGGAACGAGTGGACGAGATTGCGAGTGTGCCACGAGGGTCCCGGAGAGTAAGATTGGTGTTTATCTTCTGTCTGGTGATTTCCCATCATTAGTGGGAACGTCACCACTAGGATATCCACCGTACAGACCCTTCTAACGTTTCTATTCCTTAGAATATCTTCCGATGGTGACCCAAGCAACTCGGTGATAGCGTGAAGTTGATGGATAGAATTCTCCCCTGGAAAAAGAGGCTTTCCTAGAATCAATTCAGCGAGGATGCATCCTGAGCTCCAGACATCAATCCGTCCATCACAGTCCTCCCAATCAAGTAAGAGTTCGGGGGCCTTGTAGTACATTGCCCGAACGTAGCCAGTATGCCACAGCTTTGGGCCCTGCGCCAGTCCAAAATCACATATCCTCAGATCACAATTCCGATTTACTAAGAGTTTACTTGGTGCCAAGTCGAGGTGGATCACTCCCGCTGAATGAGCATATTTCAGTCCACGCTAGAGACTCAGTTTAGTAGATATCATCAAAATGGGTGATCAAACAAACCATGACCTGGTAGACAAGGTACTGAGCAAATTCGTTTCCGATGGGCCTCGCTTCCAACAACGTCTTTAGGTCCGTCTCCATGAACTCCATGACGAGATAACTGAGAATGAGGTTCAGCACAGCTCACCATCATAATGGCGGGACAGCGCACATATCTTCTGAAGGCGATATAAATATATCCACCAAATTGACGATCTGTTGTGTTAGTCCCAAGGCTTGATGAGGAAATTAGAATACGTACATTTTGATGCTTCAAGTTTTTCAATAAAACTATCTCCCTGAAAGTGCGTTTCGCAATATTTGTAGTTGCAAATGGCCCTGCTATTTTTTTCAAAACGACGGTCCGCTGGCGCATTTGGTCCTTGGCGAAACTAGAATTGTGATCTTTGTTAGTCTACCCTGAACACTACGGACCATTTTCTAGGTGATGAGCCCCACCATACAAACCCGGAATGATCAATTCTTAAAGATTCTATGCCAGAGTACCTACGAATCTGGACGGTTATGTGCTATCCGAGAAGAGGGTAACTGATCTCGCACCTATTTGTTACCTCGGATAACCCGATAGGGACGTGTTGTGGCACGAAAAGCGCCATGGCTTTGCGCGGGATATGGAAATGAAAAACGAAAAGAGGTTGCGGATCTGCAATCAGCTACGGAGCCCGGAGTATGCCAGTGGCCTTTTACAGGCAGATTAACAATCGTACTTTGACGGAAGTTCATAAGTGACAGCGACGAAAACCTGTTTTTTTCACCTTTTTATCCAATGGCATTCTTGCCCATCACGGAGCCAAGCCCCTTTGACGCTCTTTGCTGGTTATTGCCACACTTTAATTGGGGGATTGTTTTCCCATGCAATGAAAGTCTCTACCAAAGACTTGACTTGTTCCAAACCCCCACCATGGTATCATAGGGTATACTTCACATAAGCAGCTGAGGGTAATCTCCAAGCGAGACGCACTCCCAAGCGAACGGCGCTGGCAGACCTCATATTCTATGTGTAGAGCGCTTAAGTGAGGAATGAGAGCCATTCTCCGTAGGATTACGAGATAACCAGCCGGTTGCTAATCCTAATGAATGGCAACCATGCGCTTGATGGGGAGTGGATCACCAGACAACTATTCAACCCCGTTGGTACACTTATAATCGGTGATTATTGAGATTCTCCCTCAGCCGCTCGATATCGTGCAATTAATCAACTCAGTTCAAAAGCATGCGCCCGTAGCTTCCTTTACCAACTCCCCTTGAAACCCCCGTGCTCTCAACTTTGACACATTCCAGACACTCCTCGCGATTTATACTTTTGGTTACGATAACACCTGGTCCTGAAAGCCTTTGTAGCATCTTATCTGCTCTCCCGAAATATTCTGTACATAATTTGACCATTTTCTTTGTCTTAAGCGTGTAAAAAAATTTCAGTTGCACGAAGTCTGTAATTTTCCTGTTCATTTCGGACACGAGCAACGTATGTAGCAAATTCGAATAAAATACATGCCACCACGTTGCTAAGTAGCGAAAGCCGATCCAATCATTGATGTGGAAAAAGATAGAAGCCAGGAGACAGTAATCCGTCTGATATATTCGCTTTTGAGGAGAGCTGAGCGGATGGAGCTATCAAGAGACTTCCGGCCATGTGAGAGAGAAATACCAATGAGGCCTGAAATCTCCCCATAGAGGAAGTTCATGTAACTTCTCACCAGCTATAATTACGTAAATCACAATACAATGGCAGCCCGGAAGTAGAGTACAGTATCTACAGTGGCGTCACATTAGTATTTGCACTATAGTACTTCCCGCCTACACCGCCATTTCCCTACCGCCTACCCTATTTATACACCCCTTGCTATATTGGTCGACGCGACGTGTTGATAGGCTATTTCCCCCTATTTCCCTCCCTATTTCCTATAGATATCGCTGACAAAATGGCGCGTGGCCCTGAGCTAGACCGCTATACGCGTGAGCGTATCTGTGAGCTCAAATTCACCTACAAATGGGGTGCCCGACGCATCAAGAAATACCGCTTTCCTGATATTCCACTGTCAATAATCCACTACACTCTACGAATAGAATCGAAGCGCGTTAATAGCGCTAGTTTACCTCGTTCTGGACAGCCTCGTAAGCTTACCGAAGAGGACCGCGATAGTATGTACGATGCTATTCAGTCGAATCCTTCTATTATACGCGATAAGCTACTAAGTGTGGTTAATTACAAGGTCTACGCTATGTCGATCTGGCGGTTAACTTATTAAATGGGCCTTCGTAAGTGGCGAAAGATGGAACGGCCCTACCTTACGCCTATCTACGCTGCGAAACGACTTTAATGGGCCCTTACCTATCGCCACTTTACACCAGAGGATTGGAAGAGGGTTTTTTGGTCGGACGAGACTATAATCGAGCGTAGATGCGGTATACGAAAGGAATAGAGCTTCGTTCCTCCTTGGAAACAGCTTTAAGAGCGAGAAGATAGCGTCTAGATGACTCTTTTAAAGGGGAAACAAATTAAGCAGATGTTTTGGGCTTGTTTTGCCGGTTTACCACGTAAGACTGGCCTAATTCCTCTATACGGTGATCCAAATACGGATAAAAAGGGTATTACCAAGGAGGTTATCTACGATCTTTACCAAAGAATACTCCCTACCTTGTTAGCCAACGAGGATGCGATATTTCAACACGATAACGCGCCTACACATACTGCTAGAATCGTATAAGCCCTCCTTGTTCAAATGGGAATTACTGTGATGGAATAGCCACCTTATTCGCCTGATTTAAACCCTATTGAGAACCTGTGGGCGTTGTTGAAAGCCGATATCTTGAAGATTCGACCTGACCTACGAGAGATGCCTAATAACGAAGCCACACTAGCCGAATTGGTAGATACAGCGCAATATGCGTGGGAAAATCTGACTGTTCGGCACTTTGTTAATCTAGCGGAGACGATGCCACACCGTATAGAGGAGGTTATTAAGTACGAAGGCTGGCACACTAGTTATTAAGTGGTTTTGTATGCGAATTGATGTTTTGAAGTTCTTCCGGCAGAAAAATAGTGGGTCCCTCAGCATACCAAGGTACTACAGTGCAAATACTAATGTTAGGTGACTGTATGTCCTGTACATGTACACCCCAATACTTCAGTCCCATATTTTTCTGCCGAAATTTTGGCCTCGCTAAAGCCTCCAACTGCTTTCCTACCGAAAACTTAGTTTACCAGGCTGGCCTCTATCAATGTTCTCGGGAACGAGGTGCTATTGCCTGTTGGATTGTACAGAGTACCGTTATAAAAGACGCGTAGCGCGTGTTGTATTGCGCCTATAGTTTGCAGAGGTAGACGGCGTAGGCGGTGTAAGTCGAAGCGGTCAGGATGCGGGTGTGTACAGATACTGTAATTTTGGTCCGTCACTGTACTTCGCTCACTTACAGTACTGTAAGATAATTCAGACAAGTACAGCACGTGACGATATCAATGACGTCCTATACATCATCTCTCATTAAACGCAGCTATATCCCATCAGGTGTTTTAGAAATTTTTCTGACACTACGTATCTTGTTTCACAAAATGCAGTCTGGACGTAAAGAGTCATATCCTGAGGTGGAGCAATGTTACTTCTAACTATGAAAGGAGATGCTAACTTTTTCTAAGCCATTGACGGAAAACGAGAAACGTCACTTCAGCAAATACGGGAAATGGCCGGGGGGAGCTGTAGTCGGTCAACAGCCCAAGGTACTTAAAGTGGCTTTTCATCTCGCGTACTCGCTGACAATCTCAAGGAAAGAATGTACTTTGACTCCGGCGATTTCGCCCTATCTGCTGCTCATCGAGATACCGATAATGGCACTCTCCAAACAGGCAGAGCTTATCCCTATCGCGGAAGTATTTCACACCCTTATGCTCCCATCCCAGCCACCAGTAATGTTGAGGGGGAAACAAACCAAGAGATGTATAGAAAGAGTGTAAGCTCAGAAAGAAGTCCTCTCTTGCAGCATTCAAGTTATGAAGATGGAGACCCTACCAAAAAGGAGGAACAGCGTTCTCATGCGTCACACAATGGTTCAAGTTCAAAATAAGTATGCCGTTCAGTAACTCAATGGAATCACCAGTGCGAAACTGAAGCTCGTTAAATGTGTAGCGACAGCTAGAAATAACTTACCGTATTGCAAAGCACTCTTCAAGCAGTGCGAGATTCGTATTTCCCATAGCAACTTTACCATCCAAGCTCCGAGGGCCTTCTAGCTGAGTTACTGCATACCGGCTTCTCTGCCTTATCTGTGAACCTATGACTGTTGAACAGCAGTGCCATAGAGACAGGGGTACTGATATGCGACCTAGGATGGTCATTGTCCAATGGATACCGATTCCTTCGTACACGGATGCAATGGCTATGCCACGGGCTGATAGGTAGCCCACCATGCCATACTTGGTCTTTGGCGGGCCCATCCATAAAGGCCAGGCGAAGCGAACGTGCCCATTGTGGTGCCTGCAGCGATGGCCCCAAACATGATCTTGTTTGTGCTATAGACGTGCTGCACGGCTTTTTGGTGTAGTCAAATCCAGATAGAAATGTAAAGAGAATGGAATAAAAGAAGTATAGCAGAATGAAATAAGCACCGAGCACAGAAATCGCAGGCTCAACACTGATAGATAATATAAAAAGCGGGAGAATGTCTTTCACTCGTCGAAAACAGAGCCTGTGGCCAGATACGTATCGTTTGTCGCCAGCATAATGCTTTAGTTGCCTCGATCGCGTTTTCAGTCCAAGAGAACCGGCAATTATTTCGGAGGGAAAGAAAAGTGCCACCACCCAGCGACGGCTGATATGCTGTGTTATATACTCTGTCACCGGCTTAGGTTTGAGTTAGAGACAACCCACCCGCCTGCAATTGGGCTAATCATTGGGCCTAAAATAAAGCCGATGTTAGTAAACTATCGGTCTGTCAACCCGGCGGACGCACCAGTAATATTTACCCCGGCAATCACAGGGAAATCGAAAGCGCGTTTGACTGGACGGAACTGATCACTGACGCTGGATCGATTTATTGATGGCGTCGCACTAGAGAAAAGACCCACGAAACGTTAACAAGTTATCTGTCTGGCGAATGTGGACGTATGAGCGGAGCCAAGAAGTAAAGGGAGATAAATGAAGGTCGACACCAGATACGTCGGGTTTCTCCCAATCGATTCTGATATTGGTCCAGTAAATAGAGATCCCACGCCCATCGCAATATTATGTCATTAATACAGAAGTATATTCAGAAAGACGTATCTGACTCTCACACCAGGTCAAACGCCCGAACTCGCAAATAACAATGGACGCACAATTTTCGACCGCCGAAATGCTGTGATTTAATACATGGCCTCTATGAGGTAGATGATGCCGAAGATGAGGAAAGCCGTAGCGCCGCCCAGAGTTACTGTGGCTCGAGTATTAGTACCGGGAAAAGCATATGATATCGATCGTTCGAGCACTTACCAACACGCATGCTGACACGGCCGGCGATGGCTCGTCCACCGATGACGGCAGCGGCGGTGCAGATTGCATGGCCAGTGATCGCTCCAACAGTCACCCACCAGTAATCTTGACCAGCAGCCATAGCGATAGTAGCTATCTGGCTGCGGTCACCCCATTCACCGAGGAAAGTCATGACAAACGTTTGCACCCACGCGGGGCTGAGAAGAAGGGAGAAAAGGTTGCTTACACCCACCACCAAGTCATTCCAGCGACGCCGAGGGTGGGGCGACGAGCCACGCGACGAAGACGACGAAATACTCTCCGGAGGCGAAGGCAGTCGGTTGCTAGAGCCGCGCGACTTGGCACGACCGCCCGCACGGCCAGCTTCCAGCGAGTGAGGAGTGATCGAAGAGCGACGACGGCCCATGCGCCGCTGCTCCTGCTCCTTCTCTTCCAGTTCCATCTCAACCTCGCGCATCTCCTCTCCAACGCCCTCATCCGGAGACATCTCGCGGCCTTCTTTCAGCATCTTCACGCCGAAGACCAGGAAGAGCACGGCAGCAATTAGCTTCGTGAGCGACTTGGGAATCAGCGTGGGAACAGCGTGGCCGAGAATAGCCGACAAAACAGTCATGACGAACAGAGCACAGAAGGCCGAAGAGAATACAAGTAGTCGCGGGTGTCTCATCGCCATAAGTGCCGCCACAAGGAATGTCTTGTCGCCAATCTCAGAAACGAGGATCATGGTGAAGGCAAAAATAAGAGAATGTAATCCATCGCTATCGTCAGGAGAGGTGGAGGTCGAGGCTTTATCGTAAGTGGATGAGCCGCCGTGCGAGCCTAGACCTGAGCCAGTTGAACCATGCCCTATGGCCAAGGGATCGTTTTTCGCTTGAGAGGGTGATTTGGGATGCGGGATGTCGTGGGGCTTGTTAGGTAGATCGGCCGGTTTCTACAAGAACGTATTAGCTGCTGCGTCATTTCCCCTAACAGCAATAGATAATTGCGGAAGAAATGAAACAATTACCTCGAGCATTCCAAGGGTCCCAGCACCATCGGCGGTGCGACCACCACCTCCACTTGTCGCATCACTGTCAGATGGCTGCTTCTGCTTCTCGCTATGCGGAAGCGGAGGAGCCTCCTTAGGGCTGCCAGGCACCTTTTCAGCATATAACTGATTCTCCTTGCCCTTTTCCGACACGCCTCCCTCGGTGCCTCTTGTGCCTTCCTTGGGGCCTGCCCGGTTTGGATCATCCATCACACCACCGTTGGAGTGCGGGATCATTTTTCCTTCTCCCATGCCGAGATGCTCGGATGAAGGATCTTTGACATCATACTTCGTTGAGACAAGATCGATATCGTCGCTGCCTTTATTGCTCTTTCGGTCGCGCTCCGCGCTGGTTTCCACCCATGGACCGGCATGCGGCCTGCCATCCTTGCCGTCTACAGGGGCGTCCAATGCTCCTTTGGCAGCACTGTTGGACACGATCGAGTCGGAATCGACATAGCGAGAATTCAGATCGGAGGATCCACTCGTGACTAGACCACTTGGCTCATTGGGTGCTTTGGGGTCTGCGGCCGCAGTTGTAAGGGCGGGAAGGAGGAGAAGAATCAAGGAAGAGGACAGTTGGATCTTCATCGTGAAGGACGGCGGTTTTAACCGCAGAAAGGAGTGACTCGGCGCTCTTATTCGGCTGGGATTGTTAAGAAAGCAGGTATCCTTGACTGCTGATCGAGAGAAGGTGAATCAAGTTGGTTGAGAAGGAATTGAAAGACACGAACGTCCAAAACCGTTGCGGACGTGGCAGACACGGAGTCGCGCGGCGCACGCAGCGAGGAACTCCGATGTGGGGGCGAAAGGCAAATTGAGGGGACCGACTGGGGGAAAAGATGATTAAGATCGATTATCGCAGAAAAAGCAACACGAGAAAGGAAGGAAGACACGAGGAGAACGAAAAACAAGCTATCGTGTTCTTGCTGCTTTTGCAAAGGGGGATCCACGTGACACCCCATTGCAAGCGGTCGCGCTGCTAATCCGCTGATGTTGATTGCTGCGCGGTCCAGGCCCGCACATAGGCTGTATCAGCTGGCGATATGGCGACTATCCCGATTCAGAGCACAATGCATCTGACGGTGATAATTATATCCATTCCACGTTTGCTGTTATTAAGGGTGCCTTCACTTTCCCGCACATCTTTTGGGGCTATTGTTCGAGTCATTCATCTCCTAGGCGGCCAGACGAGTGATACCTAACCATTGATTCTGGAGTATCAGGAGCCCAGAGTAGTCTTGTGAAGGGTGAGAACAGGAAAGCAGACCGACCACTGGTAACTTTCAATGGATCATATGTGCAAAGTGCAGATGCGTCTTGCCCTATCCAGCAATGATTCCAAGCCGGTGCCGGTGCCGGTGCCATGATTGCTCTAAGTATGCATATCGGGTCCGAAATCGTGACCGTCCATTTCATGCCTGGTTCAGACGCAAGACACTAAGTGTAACCATCTGTCAATAATAAGTCATCCAGTTGACAATGTACTGAGGTGGAAAAGTTCGTAACAAGAACACAAGTCCATGTTCGTCGTACCCAAGTAATTTCCCCGCAATGTATAGAAGGAAGGATTTTAGGATTATTATCCCCAGAGGTCTGACGCAAGTGGCGAGGACTTACATATTGACGGAACAGTCACCACCGTGCATGGGAGATGGAATCCTCGAATAGTGAATCGGAAACTATGATTGTGAAGGAATTGACCTGCATACGGCCCAGCTTTCGCATATCTCCTATCAGATGACCATGGTATATAACAACAAGGCCGCTCACTGCAATAATAGAAAGACAAAAGAGTATGTCACAGCCGGAGCCAAGGAGCCTATTTGGACCCCGATGAAGGAAACGCGCCTCTTCGGCGGGATAATGTCTTTCAAGAAGGGAGATCATCCGATAGTCAAGACTCGATATAAACTTGCAAATAGGATTGACCAACTGAACCACCAATGCGTGCCACATGGTCACGCTTAAAGCAGGCAGTGATGTAATCAATTCCTCCGTTGTGTGGGAACTGGGATTCTATTGATCCCGGGGGCGAAGGGGCCACGGGGCCTTGAACCAAGAATCATCAGTACGAGTCTCTCACGACAAAATCTAAATTGGTGTTCAGCCTTTGTGGGGCCGGCCTGAGTCTACGCCCCCAGGCACACAGCTTAGGGCCGAGGTACGATGTTGGCCCCATTAGGCGTACTCGTCAGCGCTTGGAGCCTTTTTGTTGTGAATTATACCTCAAAACAGACTTGTCTCAAGGAATGAATATTTCGTGTTTGATTCAAATATTGGATTATGCTGAGCCACCACTGAGCCAACATGGAAAGAATAGCATTATGTTGGGCACGGCGGCCGCGTTTGGGGGCCAATTATCGGCTCCAAAGTTAGCGACTGATTTCCCGACCGGCCTGCCTTAATGGTCGCATTCAATTCGCACCACTTTTGCAGCCTTCTGGCCAAAAGGCGTTTTCGCCCCAGGGGCGGCAATCTCGGGGCCAAGATGACTTGATCGATCCACAATTACTGTCGTTCTCAGGTACTACTCTGATGCTAGAGTTCGCTGTGTCGTAGGCATGGGTTCCGGGGCTAACAGGGAAAAAGCCCCATCGGACGATATATAGAGCAACTAGCTGTCCTTGATTGTCACATCGGTTATTTTTCGCTTCCTGAGTTTTTATTCAAGCGAGCTGGTTCCTCCGCTTACGCATTCTGTTCAGGCACTGTAGTTGTTTCGCGAACTCGCTGCCACATACGTGATCGTTGCTCACGACTCCGCTGGATTCGGATATTTGCATATTAGTTTCTTGTGGCGTTGACGATACGCAATGGGCTTCAAGAACTTCTTATTTCCGATGGCGTTGCTTGCCTCGTTGCAAGGTGTCGATGCTTCCGTCTTCGAGGAGACGACTCCAAAGATTGCCGCCTACTTGAGTACGAAGCTTTGCAAATTTGGCCCTGCAGAGGAAAAAGACCAATATGACTTAGATGGTGGTGGTCAGGGTATCACAACCTTTTGTCAAAGTAAGTCCACACTTCCTCGTACTATTCTGGCTGTTCGTGACTGATGGAACTCTATAGACCAAAACATCGATGTAAGAAGCAGTCCTCTAAGGAGAGACGGACATCATCAAGATCTGACACGCAGATATAGATCATTCAACTGGCATTCGTGAATGAGCTCCGAGGGGAGCCACAGGCTCTGTCTCTGTCAGGTATTCAAGGGTGAGCATCTTTGTTCCTGTCATTACCTGATGTTGAGGCGACAAACAAAAGGTCTAGCTGTTCGCGCGCTGATATATTAGTGCAGATGGGAGATCACACAATGTCAAAAGCAAGGGAAGACCATTCTCCTATCCCTCGGAGGAGAGTCCTACAAGGAGGGTGGTTGGAGCACCACCACTGAGGCCCAACGGATGGCTGATGCGCTTTGGAAGAAGTTTGGCCCTGGCGTCGAGACGATGATCCAACGTCCCTTTGGGGATGCCATAATTGATGGGTTTGACTTCGACTTCGAGGTGCCAATGTAGAACCTGCCGGCTTTCACTGAGCGATTGGTTACGCTGAAAAGCACAGCTGGGTTGAACAAACCATTCTACCTCACTGCCGCGCCTCAGTGTCAATGGCCTCACAAAAACCTTCAGACAGTGCTAGACAGCAACATGGGCGTTTTCGACGCCATTTTCGTTCAGTTCTATAATAACCAGGAGTGCGGCATTGGGGCTGGCTACCGTCGCCGGTCCGCAGGACCCTCTGCCCGTCGATCTGGACTCCTTGGGAACTTCAATCTTGCCCAGTGGTTGAATCTGGCCGCAACGAGTAACAAAGGTGTCTCCGTTGCTGTCACTACAAAATCTGGAAGCACCTTGTCAAGCAAGCCCAAGATTTATGTTGGGGTCCCAGGCAGCGAACTGGGTACCTCCACTCCCAAGAATGGCTACGTGAACCCCGATACTCTGAAGCAAGCCATCGAATCAGTCAGCTTTGAAAAGAACGAGTATTTTGGTGGTGTCTCTATTTGGAGTGCTCAATTCGCAACGCAGAATGCTGATTTCCTGCCGGGTGTTAAAAGTGTACTCAATGGCTTATGACCGGTGGTACGATTCCATGTCTAAACATATGGCGCTTAAGGAGCATGTACCATATCAATGGTAGATTTGACTTGGAGTTTCTGGCCTTTTAATCCATCATTCTGTGAATTACATTTGCTATTTGAGTAATATGGTCTCTCGGACAGTAAGGGCTCCCTGAGCGTAAGGTGGGCTACTTAAGAGTATAGTATCGCTCCGAAGGCATTCCGAGGTACCCCCTCATGGACAAGAAGTAGTCAAGATTTATGGAAAGTTATTGATAGTAGGTCACAGGAAACTCATGTCTTGTCATTGGCATTTTGCTCGGCTGCGTTCGCCGCCGAAGAACATTCCGTCGGCAGCATCACGATCCGTCTACTTTCGCGGTTGTCCACGTGTTGCATGCGGCTTGTACGGGTACGAAGTAGATGACGACAACAAGCAAATACCCACTTCTCAGCCTTGCCTGGTCCTATACTCTCAGCCCTTCCAAGTCACCTCCACAACCGCCAGTTTGGACTTGCCAGAGTGAGACACCTTCGTGAGCTCGAAGCGCGAGTCGGTTTGCTCAAACAACTGCGCCCAATCATCAGTAGTCCGCTCCTTGGCATTCTGGAAAGCGAGCATATACATATAGTAGTCCCTAAGGCATCGCAATTCCGTAATTAGTCAATTGGTCCCTTTCAATTCGGAACCGACCACGAACCGTGCTTCACGCTCGACCAAGTAATGAGCTTGACCCCGGCTGGGAATCACCCGATCGTTGATGATCAGTTTAGCGCCTCGCTTCAGGGCAGGAATTATAGAATGTAAGAGTCCCAGCTGCCAATGGCATGATTTCTCTGCCCCATTTTGCAAAGGCCCCATTGGCAAAGGCCCCGTGTGCTGTAAAAAAGACCCCTGCTGAGGTGACATCTGTTTCATTGTTACAAATGCGTACAACTATCGTAACTCTACAAGACAGTGGTTGTACTACTCCGTACAAATTCACGAGGCTGCATTGAGTCCATGTCGAACGCGCCCCTTTCTGGCTCTATTTCCATAAATGGAAAGGATCGTTGGGTCGGGAAGAACACTGAGGCGTCCATTAGGAACAAACAAATCATTAGTGGCCCCCTTCGGCCCCCAGGTCGCAGATGGAAATATTGGCAGCCGCCGGGGAGTCTCACAACACCCAGACATGGTGTGTATCCTGGGTAATTATCGGCCGATTAGCGCATAGCTGGAGCGATCCTGGGGAACCCCCGGACACTGGTGTGCTTCTGGTCTCGTCTCCCCTCTTTGTCGCTCCTCAATTGTGAGTCAGAGAAGCGGAGGCCTTTATGAAGCACATTGCTCTGTTTGAGCATTCCATTCCAATCGATTTTCCGAAACCGAATTGAACGATGCTTCTCAACTATCCCTCTTTCGTCCAGGCAGTTGTTGCCTCCATCTGTATTTACCTGAGCGGCTGGATCTTTTACTGTCGCTTTTTTCACCCCTACGAGCCATTCCATGGCCGTTCCTGGCGTCAATTACCCGAATATGAGTCGTGTACAGAACTGCGACCGGCGACATGGAATATACACAACGTGGACTGCACAATAAATAATGTAAGACACCACCGAGATCATTCCGTTCGCAAAATACTAACCAATCAGGATATCTTGTTCGCATTGCACCCAACGAAGTCGCTTGCTCTGATCCAAATGCCATCAAGGTAATGAACCTCCTCCCACCACAAAGGACTGACGCTGAGGAAGTAGACTATCTACGGTTCCAAACCTATATTTACCAAGGTGCGCATTTACGACCTGCTTTGAATCTCGGCCCTCATTCGCGGTGCTGACTGGTGAACAGACGGACTATTACGATGCCTGGGCACCCCCGAGTAAGGATGGATACTTCGGCCATTTCGCTACCCGAGACGAGAAAGCACATACAGAGCGTCGCCGTATCATCAACAGTGAAATTACTCTATGACAAGTGTATTGGAATCAGAAAAAGCAAATCGACTGGTGTACAAAGACTTTGTGTGAGATTTTCCGGGAATTTGCTCGGGACAAGACCAAGGTTGATCTCGCTCTATGGGTGGATATGTAAGTGAAGGAGCCCAGCGCAATGAACCAGCTCGGCTGAGGTGCTAACATGGGAAAAGGTATGCCTTCGATGTCCTCGGTGAGCTATTTTACGGCAAAAGTTTTGGTTTCATGAGAGAGCGTACAGACATCGGCAACTACATGAAGGCCATCGAATCGCTCCTTCCTGCCTTCCCCATTGGCGGCACAATGCCCTCCTACCTCACCAAGCTCTATTTCATCGCCACAGCCATCATCTCCCCGTCCTTTCGCGGAGCTTTGGGCGCGGTGAACCACCTTGCAAGTGCCTCCTCAGATGCTGTGGAACAGCGATTCGAGGACGTCTTAGAGAAAAGGGATGACCGACGCGATATGTTGCGAAAAGATGATCGATATCAGTACAGAGAAAGGGGACCAAATCAACTTCACCCGTGATCACATCTTCGTGGAGTCCCACAGTTCGCTGTGAGTTTCTCTAAAATAGGCCCCACTCTCTTCGTTGCCTCAGATATGCGCTGATGTTGATCCCAGCTTTGCTGGCGCGGATACAACTGCCGCTGCGGTGAGCAGCATCCTGTACCATCTCATGCGCAGCCCGACCCACTACGAGAAACTCGCTGCCGAGATTGACACAGCTATATCAGAGGGACGATTATCATTGCCTGTTGTTTATAGCGAGGCTATCAAGCTGCCTTATCTAAAGGCCTGCGTCAATGAGGGGATGCGTATCCACCCCAGCGTCGGGCTCACGATGCCCCGGGTCGTCCCTTCGGGCGGCTCCGCCATCTCCGGTGTTTACATCCCGGAGGGCTACCGTGTCGGGGTCAATGCAGCCGTTGTGCAGTATGATCGGGATGTTTTTGGTGCAGACGCCGACCACTTCAACCCTGACCGGTGGTTGGAAGGGGACGCGGTGCAGATGGAGAAAGTGTTAATTCCATTTGGTGCCGGGTCGGGCACTTGCATCGGGAAGAATGTGAGTAAGCGATCCATTTTGAATATGCAGAGATACTAATGCTGGAGATAGATCTCATTGAGTGAGATTTATGAACTGATCCCGCAGCTTTTAAGAGATTTTCAACTTCGCCTGGTAGACCCTGGGAAGGAGTGGGCAACGCACATCTATTGGTTCAACAAGGCGACCGACGTGCATGTATATGTCGCGGAACGGGACCATATGTAAAGTATAGCAATCGAGGATCTTGTGTTATTTTTTTCACGCAAATTTCTCTGCATCCATGGGGTACTCTCAATCGAGGCCCAGGTGTGGTTTAACCTATGACCGATAGCGGAGATGTATATCTGAGGGGTGGTTTGCCGACCGTCGTCCCAGTCCAACCGCGCGGCAACAGCGGCTCCGATCCACCACTGAGGCACAATGCGGGCCAGCAGACCCGTTCAAATCTCACCGACACATCAGTGTGCGGGGACGCCTCGTGTGTCATGAAGCTGATCTCAGGGGGCTTCATAGCTGCGAAAGATGTGCGCACTGGCAAGCCTGAACTCGAGCTGATCGGATGTTGGGGTAGTGCATACGGGCAGATCTACATGGATATACGTGGAAGATGGTCAGGGTGACGAGGGTGACAAGGGTGACGACATGGACAGGGTGAGAGCACATGGCGCGGAGCTATGCCATCAAACTCCACACTTTTCATTGTAAAAGCACCCTTTCCCCGCGACAATGAGACTGCACGATGACGACAGCCAGCCAATGAGTCAGCTGAGAGGACCACATTGGAATCATCTGCGCGGTATAGGACAGCTCAGACTCAGCTAAGTAGCCGAGTCAAAGCATCGAGCAAGGAAATAGCAGGGCCATAGCGTAGCTAGGCGGCTCCGATACTCGAGTCCGTACCAACCGCCAACCGGGGGGTGGGTTCGAGTGGGGCTTGGCGAGGTCTCAGGAATAGGCCGCGTGCAGGCAGTGGGCCTGCTGTGAGCTTTGCTCCTGGAACACATCATTGGGCAGTTGGTTGTGCGATCGCAGTATCTTGCGTCTGCTGCGGAAACAACAGTGATCGCCGGGATGATCCGCAGTCGTGACTGGGCACGTACGACGCACACCGACGCTACTGTGCTTTGATGCTTGGGGTAGCCACGGGCTGGCCGAAAACGTGCGTGGCTTATCGGACTCCGATATGTGGATCCCTGGAGTTGCGTGCGGTCAACCGCGTATTTGGCGGACCATAGCTTGACGCAGGTAGAGGGAAGGGGATGCCGGAGAATATTCAATCCCCTAAAGAATTGGTAACACAACACGCATGAGCAAAACAAAGGTGGTGCATGGCGCACGCTGCATCTGCGAAAGTGACCGCTGGAGTAATCAACTGACTACCCGGCGGGGGCCGCTTCTGAGTGGTTGCCAGCCTCACCGCCTCCTACTGTGGGGACCACGCGCATGCCGATCACTTCATGATGTCTTTGGGTTCAACCCCGTGACGGACTGGCGAAAGTTTTATTATCACTCTCTCCCAGCGCCCTCTTTGAAACATTGTGGCTGGCTGCCCTCTTCTATTTTCTCTCTCTCAAGGTCCAAACCAAGCTATGCCTTGGACTGCTGCCAATTTGCCGTTGCTTGGGTTCTATCGCAAGCGGTGATTTGCCCCTCGGACACAACCCTGCCGTTTACGTTGTCATCTTATTGAAGGACTCGAGAACCCGAGCGTACGAACTTGAGTTTGAATCTGGACCGCATTGTCTGTTCTTTCTCGTTCTCTTATTGGGGCTTATCAAGGCTTGCCCTGGGAGATTTCGCATTTGCCGGCGTTGATTTGGGATAGATGTGAGTACGCTATTAAAGAAGCTGCTATCGCTTCATGAAATTAGTTGGGGGCATATTACAACCACGGAGAAGCCAGAACTAATGATGCTCTTATCACAGTTGCGCTCGTATTTTCAGCTCTACATCCACCGCATACACCTATTGTGGATTTCTTTCGAAATGGAATCAGCTGAAGTATCCCCGCCATCCACGATACCCGAGAACAAGGAGAGGGATACGGCACAGAAGCAGACGGTGCCGCGATGGAGGCGTTTTTTTGGTGGGTCGTCAGACAAAGAAGCCGACAATGAGGTCGGCACGTATCGGGCGAAGTCGACGTTGGGTATTCTGAGTGATAGTCAGACAGACGAAGTACCTGGTATGTGGGACTTGGGACATCGTTATTGCAGTGTTCTCCAACACCTGAGAAAGGCTTCTGTTGACCGTCGATTCCGCATTGCCATTTAGGAACGATCCTTCTGCTGTCTTCCAATCGCAATGAGCCTCTGGGATTGAGGCATCAGCCCCAACGAACATCAACGTCGTCCTTTCACTCCTCCGCCCCTCCTTCCCGTGCCTCCTCTCGTCCCGCTGCTCCACAGAAGAAGCGAACAGCTGATGGACAGATTGTCCTCGACCCGCAGCCCGATGATTCAGTGAATGATCCGCTCAATTGGCCGGTATGGCAACGAGATGCTGCCCTGTTCTCCTTGGGCTTCTATTGCTTGATGGGCGGGGGAATGACGCCTATCTTGGCCGCTGGGTTTACGAACGTGGCAGAAACCTACGATATCACTAAGCAAAAGGTGGCTTACACGACCGGTTTGTACATGCTGGGTCTTGGTATCGGGTCAGTGATTATGTCCCCAACGGCCATACTTTTCGGTAAGCGCCCGGTATATCTTTTGGGCGCGGTGCTTTTCATCCTCTCTTGTGTCTGGTGTGCACTTTCGCCGAACTATCCAAGTCTGGTGATCGCTCGTATCTTCCAAGGAATTGCGGTGAGTCCGGTGGAATGTCTCCCGTCTGCCACTATCGCAGAGATCTACTTCTTGCATGAGCGCGCGTATCGGGTCGGTGTTTACACATTGTTGTTGCTCGGCGGCAAGAATTTGATCCCGTTGGTTAGCGCTGCTGTCATCGGTAGTCTAGGATGGCGCTGGGTGTTTTGGATTGTCGCTATGATTGTTGGCGCTTGTTTTGTCCTGCTCTTTTTGTTTGTCCCGGAAACCTTCTGGGATCGCACCCCTCGTCCACGGAAACATCACAAGCGCCCTCACATGGGCAGAAAGGTTTCGGGGCTTGTCTCGCATGGCTTCCGGGGTCGCCACCTGCATGCTCAGCTTCCCGAACAATCTGCTGAGCCGAAGATAGAAGCTGAACCCGATGTGCTACCAAGTCCAAAAAAGGAGAAGCACGCGCATTTCACATTTGCGGATACCGCACGGACCGAGGAGCAACACACTGAGACAGCAGGAGACAATTTTACACCTACCAACGTCACAACTCCCACTGGCGATGACCATATCGTCACCGGGTCGTCTACTCCAGGCATTGGGCACAGCGATGGCCCTCTCCAACCGCCAGCCCCGGCGGTCGTGCCGCCCCTGGATCCAGGTGAAATGGAAGCAGGACGGCATTCGGCTTTATCACCCACCCGCAGCGAGTCTCACTCACCAGGGATGCCACTTCCATCCACACTGCAATACACTAACAGACTCCGTGAACGGCCCAAAATCCCCTTCAGCCAGTTGTTGAAAGTTTGGAATGGAAGGATTGCCCAAGACGAGTGGAAAAAGGTTGCTATCCGGCCTTTCATTTTATTTGCATACCCAGCCGTTCTCTGGTCGTCAGTGGTGTACGCTTTGTCAGTCGGCTGGTTGATCGTGCTCTCCGAGTCTGTCGCAGTAATTTATGAAAGCTCGGATTATTATGGTTTCACCCCACTCCAGACAGGCTTGATCTATATTTCCCCCTTCGTCGGGGGTTTACTTGGCACCGCAGTCGCAGGTAAAGTTTCTGATATGGTCGTGCGGATGCTCACGAGACGCAACGGCGGCATCTACGAGCCCGAATTTCGTCTTGTCATGGCCATCCCAATCGCGCTGTCGACAACTATTGGGTTGATGGGCTTTGGTTGGAGTGCACAGCTGATGGAAGCATGGATCGTGCCTACGATCTTCTTTGGCGTCATTTCCTTCGGGTGCTGTCTTGGAAGTACCACCGCCATCACATTTTGCGTCGACAGCTATCGCCAGTATGCCGGAGAGGCACTGGTTACCTTGAATTTTAGCAAGAGTTCGTCTGACCCTTTTTTTGTCTCATGCAATATTCTAACCCATAATCTAGATGTCCTCCACGGCCTCATGTTCTCTCTCTTCATTGTCAATTGGCTCGAGTCCGATGGTTCCAGGACTGTTTTCCTCGCCATTGGCGGTATGCAGCTGGCCTGTCTGTTGATGACGATTCCGATGTACATTTATGGCAAGCGGGCTCGTATGTGGACCGTGCGAAAGCGGTTGATGGAACGTTTTTGATTTGCATGGTTGGTCTTGTTTTCCCTTTTGAGACCGATTTTTTGGCCTTGTTTATATATAACGCACGTGATAAGAGAGGGTTTGCGAATGATCTTTTGGGTATTCCTGAAATCGGGTAAACTAAACCGCGGCTGAGCGGAATGTCAAGCCCAGGAAGTGTAAGATAGATGCGTGCTTTTCTCCGATAAAGAAGTAGCTACGCCAGTTGAATCTGATCTGGTAGTCAAATAGCCCCATCAAAATGCTTGACATTTACACCAGATGCCTAATGTTCACTCCCCAGAAGGTTAGATAATCTAGCGTGTTCTTGAGTGGGCCTACAATCTCATCTAAATCAGTATGTCCACTGTGCCGAGCGCCAAGTCATGCGAAGCTGGACTTCTCAGGTGGCCTGCGCGGCTTTAATTTCCCAAGTCGTTTTCCGGATCCCATCCCACATTTAGGGAGACCAAGACCGGCCAAGACCGGAACTTCTCGGAAGACCTGTCGGCCCATGCTGATTTTACGGTCGGCTCAGCCAATAACGGGATGATAAGATTGATAAGCAAGGTCTCCTTACCCCAATCTGTTTTTTTTCATTTCCCTAAATGGGTGTAATGTGGTAAATATCCCTCATTCGCACAATAGTTTCGAAATACGTTATTCGAAACTGCTCACACAAGTTTTAAGCTTCACCACATGGCTCACGACGCGGATGAGTATTCTGGATTGCTACTAGTGATGTAGCAAGTGGTAGACTTGTTGATCTTGTTTTCTATATAGCCGACCGTCTAGCTACTGATCTAGAACGGCTTATAACTTCCGAGGAGAATGTGTCGATTCGCGACCGGAGAAATACCATAGAGACCTACACTGGAGGTAAGATATATAACTACAGTGGCCCTTCATTACTATTTAAACACAGTACTTCGCCCACTACCTAGGTAGCAGAAATATAAGTGGGGCATATAGCATATTCCAAATGAACGCGGACTATATATATCCACACTTGTTACTATAACAAAGCACTACGATAGTTCTGAATTGTTCAAAAGGAAGAGGGGGAGCAGCAGGCAGAGCGTAAAAATGTGCAAGGGTCTGTGTGTAAGAGGGTAATTTTGGAAAGTGGGTTGGCTCAGGTCATGTGGGGACGGAAGAACTTAAGGAGCGCTGACAAAAAATGCCCTAAGCCGACATGTAGCCTCGGCTAGTGTCGTAAGTTCTTTGGTATTAATTCTAAAATGACCGATGTTGTGCCGTCGTTCCGCCGTAATCGAGAGCTGCGCCGAAGCTAGGTTCGAAGCTGTGACTCTAGCACATTTTTGGGTAATCCGCCGGTCTTAACAATCTAATCTGATCGTTATCCCGCTGCGCCGAGATCCAGAAGCTCTGGGCATTGGGGCACTTACGTATTTAATTGGAGGCGATACTAGCTTTAGCCCGTATTCTCCCTTAAGGTTGTCGGACAATGGCCGTTATCTGATCGTGGGATCCACAGGTGCGGTTCTCTGCGGGTTAAGTTTCCTTTGGTTCCGCTGGGCTTGTGGGTGAGCTGTCCCTTCGTTACGGTATAAGTAGGGATTTAAGCCCGTGGCGTTCCGTGACTGGGGACTCCTTCACTTTTCGTTCTTCTCTTTTGAATAATGGGGGATCCAGTCCAGTCCAACGCGATGGCGACCAAAGAGACGGATTCGACATCGGCGCTGGATGGTGTGTCGGCCCCCGTCCCACAGGACCAAGATACACCAGAATTATCAAAATCACCATCAACAACACAGTCCGGCCATGGCAAGACGCCACCACCACTCGCAGCGAAGCTGTTTGCAGTGTTCTTGATCTCCTGCATCAGTTTCGGGTCCCATTGGAGTTCTGGCGTAACGGGGGCCATGAAAAGCACCATCAAGAAGCAAATGCACATCAACAATGTGCAGTTCTCGCTTCTGGAGGCAAGTGAGGATTTCATCGCGACTATCCTGCTTATCCCAAGTGGCCTGCTCACCGACCGGATCGGTGGTGCCGGTAAGTTTCACGCTCATCCTGCTGGGGAGATACTTGGACTAACCATGAATGCATGAAGACATGATCGTGTATGGAAATATGGTTTATACGATCGGATCGATCCTGGTCGCCGCAGCCGCGACTGCACGGTCCTTCAACTTTATGATCGGAGGCAGAGTGATTCTGGCGTTTGGGGATATTGCCACGCAGGTCGCGCAGTATAAAATGTTTTCTTCCTGGTTTGCTCCTAGCAATGGCTTTGCATCGACACTGGGGTTTGAACTGGCGATTGGAAAGGTGTGGAACTATACGAGAATACTGGACGTATGAACGCTCGGCTGACAAGAGGACAGATTGGCGGATTCGTTGGTAAATCCACAGCCAACGTGATTGCACAGGTTGGTGTGTTCGCAATGGAGAATAGAAATGCCGAAGCTGACGTTGAATCAGAGAACTGGCAACTTCGCCTGGGCCTTTTGGACGTCGGTATTCATGAATATCTTCACAAATGCAGCCACGGCAGTATTCTGGTTCTTCAGCCGCTACTGTAACCGACATTATGAAGGACGGCACGACTCAGCAACCAATGAGAAGTTGACCGAGAAGAATAAGAAGTTTGAATTCCAGAAAGTATTCCAGTTGCCATGGATGTTCTGGACTATTTTGGCCTTCTCTCTGTTCCAAACGAGCGCAGCAGTCATTTTTAGCCAGAATGCGACCGAATTGGCGGAACAGCGGTTTAGTATTGACTCAATTGAGGCTGGATGGTACAGCTCCTTGTCGCAATATGCAGGTATGTCTGGCAATTCCATAATCAGAAGAAATTCCGAATCCAATTTTAACTTCTTATATAGGGTTTTTCTTGGTCCCTTGCGTGGGCGTGTTTATTGATGTTATCGGGCAGCGTGCCTCTCTCCGTAAGTGTGAAATATGGTATCGAACCTCAGCCCCAGGTGTCTAATTTGTTCCTGGTAGTGTTCGCCTGTGGTTTGGGGATTTTCCTGAGCATGATTCTCCTCAATTACGCCCCCACCACGGCTGGCACAGGATCATCGTTCGGTATATATGCGATCGCCTTGTCTTTGGGCCCGGCATCTATTATCGACAGCATTCGCACAACTCTCTGGCACCAATCTGTCTTCGGCTCCGCATACTCACTCAAAGTCACCATGAACAATAGGTAAATCGAATTGCGTCGTCCGTCTTGCGTCTTCTCAGAAGTCACCGCTGATACGCTCTATAGCATGAACATTATCGTCCGTATCATCGCCGGGGCCTTGCAGGATGCAGATGACAACTCCTATCGCCGTGTGGTTCAGCTCTATCTCTTTCTCGCCGCCGCCTCCCTTGTTGTCGGCTCCGCGATCCTGATCGGCTCCTTCGTGACGGACAACCTGGCGCTGCTGCAGTGGACTCGGCACAAACGCCTGACGTCGGGGGCGGATATCATTCAGACCCTCAAGGAGCGCAGCCTTGTGACGCATGCTCAACGCACACGGCGGTTGTCTGTCGGATGCTTCGGGTCTCTGCTGCTGCTGATAGTTGGGTCATGGGTGGCGTACATCTGGGGTGCGGTGACGGAGCATAATTCATAGCGAGCGGCAAGTCGTTGATCGACTGGGCCGGCGTTCGTTTAGTCCTTGGCATCTTTTCGCTGCCTAGTTACCGAGGCCACAAAATGCAGTTATAAGTCAGCATCGCATGTTACACCACTCACGAGGGGGAACCTCCTAGCTCCGTAGCTCTGGTGTGTCCCCGTCTATCGATAAGCCTCAATTCTGCGATCGGCGTTCGCGGATATCGCCACCGCCACCGCGTCACGCCGGTATGCGCCACGCACGCGGTCCCGCGAATCGAAGGGGGCGTTGGGGGCGCCGGGAGGCCGCTAGAGTAGCACCCCCACCCCTCGATGACGCGATGGCTTCCGGTGAGAGTTGACTGCCCGAGACAGCAGCATAGCCTCTGACTGCATGGCTGCCATAGTCTTTAAGCCTTGCACCAAAGGAAAATTCAGTCCCCCGGTCGACAAGGCTGAATGGCGGGATTGCAAAGCCACCCGGCCTGTGGCGGCCACCACTGGATGCAATTGTTGGGTGGAGGAGTCTCCATCACTCCACCTGCGTTTGGTGCCTGGGGATCTCCAAGCCCGTCAAGGCGCCGATTGGGCGGTTTGAGGCCATCGCCCCGACTGATTCGTGTGTTTCACGTTGCATCCCTGCTTCCTCTGCTGCCACTGTATCCACTGCCCTTCGAAGCTCGCACGCTCAGGCTGTTGATCCCATCCGCCCCCCTCACTACCCCTCCAATGGCGCGCCCAGGGTCCAATGCTATTGTTCAAGGGCAGTGTGGGCGGCGGGTGCCCGTTTCCAGGGCAGGGGGCCTCTCCTGATGAAGCGGTGGAGAAAGGGTGGGCAGCCGATCGAGTCACATTGCGAAGAGCCTTCTCACTAATGAGATCGATCGCCTGGACTTATTCTCCCTGACTGGTCAATGGCACAGTCAGTCCTGTTCCCACCTCCCACCTTGGAGATCCTTGGACTCGCTGTGCGCTGGTGGCCGAAATTCCCCCTCTGGTATTCGTTCCGTGGTTCCGCCTCAGCGTTGCCCTCTCATATTCTATTCTTATGTACGCCGGTGGCGTGTTCCTGGTCCCGGTTTGTCCACCATTTTTTTCTGTGAATACCCTCTCAAACGACTGATCTTTATTTCCCCACACCTCGATGACTGATCGCGCTGCGCTGCCGCAGGTCATCGGCTAACAAAATTTCTTGCCCACCTGCTTCTCCTATTGCACCTCTTGTACTTCAACCAAACGCCTTTTGTTGTTGCGACTTTGGACTCGCGCGCATTCGGACAATCGCGATCGTGACAACCCCGATTTTGTCTCGTACCGAGGGACCTACGGTCCAAGGATGCGCCATTGCGTCCTGATCTTTCTGGGTTTAGCGACACAATATGGTGGTTTCAAGGACGAAGCGGACTGTTGAGCATAGCGCGGATCGCAGAGTGAGAGAACTATACCGTTACTATCAGCCTGCGGGCCCATCGGGCTTGATTCCTTCCTGGCTGCCCACGGTTGAGAACTTACATTCCTCTGTCTCTTCCGGGACCCCGAGCACACCAGTTACTGGCGACGGATCGACAAACGGGAGCGGCAGTGTCTCCTCGCGTTCATCCACTGCGGTAGGACCGGAGGCGCTGGTGCTCGGGGTGTCCAACAATACCTTGACTTCATTTGCCCAACTCGCTGCCCTACGCCTGAATGTGGAGCGTGCCTTCATCTGTGTGCTGGATCGAGACCGGCAATACATTCTCGCCGACTCTACGAAAACCGATAATCTAAATTCGAAGTCAGTGCACGATCAGAAAGATAATCTTTCGGTTGGGTCGACCGCCAGTCGCAAAGCATGGAGCTTGTGCCAGGTGAGTTTTAGGTATCGGAGAAGATCGCTGCATTTTCTCAGAACCAACCCCAAGCTATACCTTAAGTTCAATGTCCTAAACAGTGTCATTTAGGAAACTTCTGCCTTGCCCGCCTCGGATCGCGAAACCCCGCACTACGAGTACCTATCTATCAACGATTTGTCTGAGAATGAGCGGTATAAGCGACTCCCATTTGTGGAGAATGAACCCCATTTTCGATTCTACGCGGGAACACCTCTGACGACCGATAACAATATAAACCTGGGCTGTCTGTTTGTGTTAGACAAAAACCCCCGCGATGGGTTGACCCCGATAGAAAGAGACACACTGGGATCTCTGTCAATGTTGGTCATGGATTATCTGAAAGTTTGCCGACAAGCGTCCGAAGGCCGCCGGGCTGCCCGACTTTCCCGAGGACTTAGCTGCTTCGTCGAGGGAAGCTCAAGCTTTGTGGACAGCATCGTCCCATCTCGTGCGGGTAGCTGTCCTCCGTATTCCGTCACCCCGCCACCGACACACAATCGCATCAGCATGTCGGGAGGCTCCCGTGAGAGTCAAAGTGTTGGCCAGGTTTCCCAAGAGGAATCACAGGGCTCTCCGAAGGACAGATCGCTGAGCAATGATGCACGGTCTATGGACTCTGGCGTATCTGGCGCCTCCGATTCAAAAAACGACGTGGGAACGTCAGGCGCAGCAAGCTCTCTGCCTGAATGGCTCACAAGCAGTAGCCGCAACCACCTACCTCCCGATGACTCCCATGGCAACTCATGGTGCTTCCGCCGCGCGGCGAATCTGCTCCGCGAGAGCCTTGACTTGAGCAATGACGGGGGCGTCATTTTCCTGGAAGCAACCAATAGCCCCTACATGGATAATGATAGTGGAAGTGATTGCTCTGGAAATCATGCAGGTGGCCCGGCTACAATCCTTTCTATGTCAACCTACGATGAACCTTTTTCCCCTCGAGCTGGATCTGTAACCACTTCTCCTGCTGCCAACCTAGACCGATCTTTCCTCAACCTGCTCCTTCGACGATATCCCAGGGGAAAATTATGGTCTTTCCATCGCGATGGCTTGATTTCGACGTCAGATGATGATGATCAAAAGCCTCGCGACAAAGGCTCGTCTGCCAGCGGCCGCTCTCCTCCCCGTGCTCCACCTGTCGATGCTACGAGACCACTTGGCAAGAGAAGGAAAGCTGCAGAGAACTCATTGCTGAATCAATACTTCCCTGGCGCCACACAGATTATGTTTGTGCCTCTGTGGAATGCAGTAAGCTCGCAATGGTTTGCGGGCTGTTTCTGCTACACTACTCTCGAAACCCAGGTGTTCTCTACGTCTGTCGAACTGAGCTCCGTTCTCGGGTTTGGCTCGTCTGTCATGGCTGAATATAGCCGCGTGGAGTCCCTTATTGCTGATCGCCAAAAGGGAGATTTTATTGGCAGTATCTCGTAGGTTGATTCTGACTGAATGCCCTTGATTGAATCGATAGGTGTGCTAACTTTTCTTTAATTTAGTCATGAACTCCGAAGTCCACTCCACGGTATATTAGCCGCAGCCGAATTTTTGAACGGCACCAACCTTAATGAATTTCAAGATTCGCTGCTTGAAACGGTCAATGCGTGTGGCAGAACACTCCTTGACACGATGAATCAGGTCCTTGATTTCAGCAAGGTTGTTTCGCTGGAGCGGACCTGGCGCTCTTTGAAGCGGAACAAGGAATCACCACTCGACTTTAAGGGAACCGACAAGCTGGCATCCCACCTAGACTCCTACGTGGTCACAGATCTTGCTATTCTAGCTGAGGAGGTGATCGAAGGTATTTGTTTAGGTCATACATACGGCCAAAATTCATATGCCTCTGCCGATCTCCCAGTTCTACTCTCTCACAATCATACCAAACATTTGGGCCCAAGCTCCAATGTGGACGTGGTCATCGATGTTCAACACCGAGACTGGATATATCGAACTCAGCCAGGCGCCTTGCGGCGGATAATCATGAACGTTTTTGGAAACGCTATGAAATATACCGACCAAGGCCGAGTCACATTAAGTCTGGAGGCCGAGAGCCACTCCGAGGGCCGCACTCGCCGACAAGGCCTCGAAGACATGGTCACATTGACCGTTTCAGATACCGGAAGAGGCATATCAGAGGAGTTTATGCGTGGGAAACTTTACACTCCGTTTGCACAGGAGGATTCACTTGCGGTCGGCACAGGGCTGGGCCTATCAATTGTGCGTAGCCTTGTCAAGGCTTTGAATGGCAACATTCGTATTCACAGCCGTCCCGGGGAGGGTACTGTCGTCCGCGTGAGGTTGCCTTTGGCCAGACCCGTTGGGGAAGAAAGCCCACCAGTTGAACCACATGCCCATAACGTCCAACAGCGGGATCTGTTAGCGCAGAATCTGCTGCTACGCGATGGGTACGCTGGGAAGCGGGCTGCCATCTGGGGCGTTAATCCGGAGAACGTAACCCAGAATCAGACATGGGGTGAGATCGCAAGGTATCTCACTGAGTGGTTTGGTATAGAAGTTGTTGAATGGCCTTCTCCCATGCCATTGGATGTTTTGCTCGTTCAGGAAGCCGACTTGGAACATTTACGAACTGCTGGGCTTTCGGCGACTCTCCCATCCCTTCTGATTCTATGCAGCAAGTCGGTGGATTACAGCATGGCCCTGTCCGAGTGGCTGCCGCTCGCCTCCTCTGTGGACCTCATCAGACGGCCATGTGGACCCCACAAATTGGCTAGGAGTGTCTTAAAGTCCTTCCAAAATTGCGGCTCGGCAGTGGTCACACCTATGTCCATGTTCAAGGACCCAAGAGATCTGCCTATTCGGACCCCGCCCATGACTTCTATGGCCACGTCTCCTGTCACTTCTTCACACCTGAACCCCCTTGTTCCTACTTCCAGCCCGAAAGAGATTGTCGGTACTGGCCGGAGGTCACTCGAGAATCCTTCACCAGAACAAGCGCTCTCGATCATCTCCGGATCACCAAATACCATCCTCGCGGCCCCTTTGCCCCCGCCATTGGTCGACGGGGCCATCGAATCAAAGCGGCCGACGCGTATTCTCGTCGTCGATGACAACCGAATCAACCTTAATCTCATGATGACTTTCATGAAGAAGCGCAATTTGACTGAACTGGTGTCGGCGGAGAATGGCAAATTGGCTGTAGAGGCGGCCGAGCGGATGCAAAGTGGTTTCGACATCATCTTCATGGACATGTCGATGCCTGTCATGAATGGGTTTGAGGCTACTCGTGCTATTCGCTCCCTAGAGCGAGACAGTGAGAGCCGTAGACCCGCTATCATAATCGCTTTGACTGGGTTGAGTAGCTCACGGGACGAGTCTGAGGCGCTGGCTTCCGGTGTGGACCTATTCTTAACCAAACCTGTCTCTTTCCGGGAAGTATCGCGCTTGCTGGATGAATGGGAGAGGGATGGACTCACAGGGGAACGGAATACACCATGAAAACTTCACCTTGCGTCGGCGTGCTGACAATGCCTTTTTTCCCATGCATGAATGTTCGGAGAACTGTTCTCGTTGTCGCTCGCTTAATGGCTCTCATTTACCCTTTTCCCGGACTCGCCCCCTAGTCTTTCACTCCGTCTCAAGGACCCATGGGAATTCTTTCGGGGGGCCTTTAGCCATCTGCTTGTGTTTATGGGGATCTCTCTCCGCAAACTTTCGGGTTCGTCATTGGCTTTAGTCTGGCGATTACCCATGATCTTGCTATCATGGCAACGTCAAATATTCACCGCAGACAATGCTACGAGCTGTTTTGTCTGTATTTCCCACACATTCTGCTTAAACCCTCCCATTCTCATGTTGTTCCAAGCTGCTCAGAGTATACACGAATTGGCGCTCTGCATCGAGGTTGATAGCTGAATATACGGAACGCTACGACCAACGTTATTGCTTTCCCCTCCTGATCTCTTGTGTTGTACCTAGCATGATGTGGCGCTTGTCAGTTACAGTCTATTCTCTTTTGCTTCTATCTGGATGCTATCCAGATATCTGAGCGATGACTGGTTCGTGCTGGCGCCGCTAAAGATTTTATGTGTACGTGACGAGCCGGATTCCATGTGGATGGCACAATCATGAAAATATACCCATTGATCAAGTTGCTATGACGATGTGGAAACGTAGTGACTATCTTGCATTAATATAGTATATCTCCGGTCATTCCCTCAAAGTCAAGATGGGGAAAGATGTTGCTTGAGGTGTGGCCAAGGGTAGTCTCACAGCTGCCAAAGATACTGTCACCCGTGAGTATATTGGAAGACATATAGTTGTCGTAGAGCATACCGGTCATAAAACTCATTGACAGTATCAAGACCAATCAAGGATGCATCCAGATCCTGAAGGCAATCTAGGGGATCAGCGCAGTCGGGAAATAAACCCCATTCCGAAAGCTCGAACAGCACTTCGGAGATCATCCGCTCCCCGAAGCCCGTTGTTGAGAGCGACTGTAGAATTTTCAGGCATTTACATATATTATCGAACTGCTTCTCGGCTTTGGTGAGTGCAAAAATGCAGATAAATATTTGCAAGACATCCAAGGCGTAGAAAAAGTCCAGAGAAATTAGCTTGGAGTGGAATTCGTCTGCGACCATTCTTTCCATAATCTCCAGCATTGTCTCCGCTGAAGTGATACAAATGGCTGTGAATTGGTTCAGACATGGGTGTTGTCCAGTCTCTCGTTGCTTCTTCCAGCACAGTAGCCTGTATAGTAGAAATGGTCGGCCAATCAGAAGGCGCATGCCATGGTACCTTAAGTGAAGGATGGCACTGGGCCGGCGGAGGAGAGGTGCGGTCGGCGCAGAGAAGTGTAAGTGGGGTGGAATCGAATCCGCCCAGTCCCCCAGTGAACCGAGTATATCATTCACAACTGTCATCTTCAATTGTTGACTTGAAACCGGTGCCCCTTTGTACAGATAGGCACGGATTGTTCTTCCCAGCTGACTGAGGGTGCTGCATACGGCTAGATAACCGGGTGGGCTATAGGGACCTGAAGGTAGTATCTGTATATTATTGATTAAGCAAAAGACAATTGAACTTTGGAAGCAAACCTAGCCTTACCATTTCAGATGGCAGAGGCGGCTCCCATGAGTGCTCCATTGCAGATGGCTTCCCCAGTCTTAGCGCTATATCTTGATAGAATATCACGAGAGACCACCAGATGCGACGAGAATGTTCCTTTTCGACACTGCCATACGATGAGCAATACCTATCGCAGTGAATTCCAAGTGAACAAGCAATTTTAACTGCTAGGCTGCTATAAAGATACGCCGGGTTAGAGAAGCCATGGGATTGCATGGCTGTTGCCTATGAGCGATGGCTCCAGTCAATTGATGATAGATCTGCACCGAGGAAAACCGAATCTTACCAATAGAAGCATCGCTCGAATACTTTCAATGTTTCCTTCATCACATGTACCGGAGACAAAAGTTTTAGCATATGCAAGAAATTCTGTCGCAGTGACACTGTCACGAGGGTCGTCCGTATAAGGTGCTCCAGCCTTTGCGATGGCCAAAATAGAGCAGAGAGAGCATCGCCATGAAGCCGATAAACTCTCTTGCGAAACACGATATGTCTCTTCTAAGTGAGCATGAAACCGTTCTGAAGAATAGAGCCAGTACAGACAATGAACCTCTTCAAAGTATTTCATGACGAGTCTTAGACATGTATCCCATGGAGGGAAAGGTATGCCGTTTGGTACAGGGCTCTCTGTCGGAAGTGGCATTGTCACGGTGAACATTCCAGGAATCACATCTAGAGTCGGTGGAGTTCGGAGACCTTCTCTCTTGAAGCACCGAATGGCTGTGTTGAAAGGTAACCCTGACTCGGCCCCCATGTAGCCTACGCCTGTTAGGTCGCGCTCAAGTTTAGCCGGAGTTGGTTGACCCACGATATTCTCCTTGAGAGTCCGCAAGTAGGCATCCTAGTTTCTGATGAAGGGAAAACACCTCCTGTAGTATAGTATCTTCTGGCTGAATTTCATCGCTGTGAATAATGGAAGGAATATCGGAATTTCCCTTTTCGGCGCCTCCCTTCAGGCTGGGAGCCACTGGAGGTGATGATGAGATAGGCGAAGCCAACTCACCATGGAGAGTTGGATGGGTATCCTTGCATGCAAGTGCCAATGAACGGAGACCCTCTGGTGTCAGATCCGTATCCGGGAGGTGGTGTTTTAAAATAACCTGCATATTTTTGAATTCTTCCTCCGATACAAAGTAGTACGGTCTTTGCCTTCGCTTGTCGGGGTCAATGCGGCACTCAGCGTTAATGCTGCGACAGTAGTCGCAGGGACCGGGGACTATACGAGCAGCAAGAATGATTCAAAACGTTAGAACTTCCTTGTCATCGCATGGTGGGCTGCATCGCGGTGAAAAGAACCTGGATGATTGCACTGTGGATTATATAAACATTCACCGGTTAGTTAGAATTGGACGTCGTGGCCTATTGGCTAGCTTACTTTTGTCTTTCGACTCTTACAACGGTCGCAACTCATAACCGTCCGACTGATGCGATTCTTATTTCGACGAACCATGATGGATTTGTTACTGATCCACATCAGGAGAATTGCCAAAAGCTCGATACAAGTAGGTTTGTGGGGCTATGTGCTGAAAGCGGGAGAGAGATGCGGGGGTTGCGGGGAAATACTGCATGTACCCACCCCAGTTCCAGTCACAGAAGCTACCTGTGTTATCTATCTACTCTCGGAACATACATTAGTGCTCTTCTATTCAAAGATACAGTACTTTGCGAAATCAGTTATACCTCCACACTCTTATGACTTGATTACTTGAAAATATATCCTGAAGACGCTTAATCCAGGTTTAGCTCACCGCTCTGTAATTTTAGGGAGAAGGATGCTTGTAAGGATTGTCCTGGTATCGATGAGTCATTGTTATACTACCGTAATAATATGTACAATTACAGACGTAGTTATGTACTGTAGGATCGGCTTGCTCCGAATCGTTCGCCTGCTTCCTCCTTCCCGCCCGTCCCGGGACGTCTGGCCCCTTCCCCTCCGCTTTCCACAAGGTGTGCAGCCTTTGTCTACTCCCGCCCGTCATAATGCACAGGGCTGTGCTTGTGTAGTAGAGAGCTAAATCTGGTAGGGAAAGATATTTCAATTATTTCCACCGATCTTCCTATAGTACTGTACCTGTTGCTATCTGTGCATATCTCATCTCTACTGTCCCTTTCATCATACCCGATGTGCCTGATGAGCGATAGTATGCCTTACCATAATATCATCTTCCCTTGCTGTAGATAGATCGCAATGATGTTTATAGATCGAGAATGATAATAACATCTGTTCTTGTAGAGTTACTAAGACTTTCGATTTTAAATAATTTGTCCAGCTTCTCGCAATTCGGATTTCTAATCCACATACAAAATTAATTAGAATATAAAGTTCACACCCGACTTTCCTAATAATGATGGTGCACGGGATGGCTTAGCTGCTGTCTGAGCATAGAGCCTCGACGAAGGATATTTTCGAAAGCTAGTTAATTTGAGTTTAGCAAGACTGGTTAGCTTTGGGATGCGAGAAGAGTATGTATCCATACATTCTCGTGTTGGATGATCAGTTGACGAAGGCATTGACACTTTCCGATATTTAATAGATGTAGGCGGGATCGAGATCTTCAAGCAATAAGCCAATATTCACCTCTTTCAAAGGGAAAGACTGTCTCACGTTGTGGGCCTCGAGATCCGTATATAGTATTGCCGCTTTCTCCTCGACGTTGTGCATCTTTTTGCGAAGCTCTGCCGTCTGTGAATAAATAGAGAAGAGTGGTAGTTGGTATCTCGGGAGAAGCTTCTTGTAGCTATACCATTTCACGGCTGTTGACTCGAGATTGTAATTATTCTTCACTAGCCAGGATACCAGCTCCAAATGGGCATTGGCTAGGAACAAGGCATAATCAACACAGCGATTGATCCTTGCGGTATAGAGTAGTCGGCCGTCTGACTCTCCACGAGATGCGTACTCGCGTAAAAGCTTTTGAAAGGATTTTCTGTCCAGTCGATTATTTTGTAAATTTGTTGCGATGCTTTCTAAAATGATGGGTACGTGGGTTAATAAGTCAATGCCCGGTGGCGGGAGGGGCTGGGGGGATTCTTGAGATTCCATCGGGAAATCTTCGCATTCGTAATCATCTCGTAGAGAGGACAGAGAAATTAATGCAGGATGTGGGAAACTCGTACGTTTTGAATGTTCGGTTCGTGACGTAACCATATCGGGATTGAAGTATCATGTGATGAACGAGGAAGTGTGGTTGTGGTTGTGGATGGAAGGAGGGCGCAGCGGGAATGCTGTACATATGTATGTATAGTAATTTCGTGTAAAATACAATATTCCAGGGCCCACAATTGTATTATAAAATACACCTCTATGGTACAGTATGCAGTGAAGCGGTCTGAAAAGCAGAGGGTTGATGATTTATCCAATCAGAACCTGCTCATTTCGGATTTATCTTCCACCAGCCGAGTTATAAGAGCGTGGAGGTATAATTGATTTCAAAAACTACTGTAGAATCAAGATTGGTCCAGAAGATCATGTTATTAGAACTTGATTCTGAGTAACAGGTTGGTCATCCAGCCGTGAGTGCGCCCCAATTGTGCCGCATTCTCAGGCCCCCCAGTCTGTGATGGCCCGGGCAGGTGGGGCAGTAGTAGCATCTTCTAGCCACCTTGGGGCCTGCATGTCCTCCTCAGCCACCTCTTTCCCCGTGATCGGGTGCTTATAATGGAATGGAATCACTCGGGTATCAGGCCAAAGCGAAAAGTCCGGGAGTATCTCATCAGGGCCGAGCGGGTCGGCTGGGTACTGCTCTTTGAACAAGGGAACAAAATCATTCGCTTGTTTCCAGCCTGACTCGAAGGACCCGTGCCAGAAGGGATAATAGCGAAGGCGTAGGATCTTCCACACACCATCCTGGAGAATGTACTCGTTCTCATATACCCCGCCTTCCCACCACTGACGGTAGCCACCCGGAAAATTCCCCGGCAGTGACTCATGAGTTCCCGCACTCATGAAAGCACGGATTCTAGCTTTAGCCCTGCCTGCATGGGGGTCGAAGTCGACTATATCTTGTGCCATGAGGTGATCGAGGAGCCAACCATCGATTGGGCCATTTCGACCGCCAACAAATCGCTTTGCAAATCGCTCGATATACAAGCGCTTCACGCCCTCTTGACCGTTATAACGGCCATTCATGAATTGAACATAGGTATCAGGGTGATCAGCGAAAAGTTGAGCCACCTGATCATCCAAATTTGTTACCGACCGATGTCAAATGACTTGCACGGTTCTCTGCATGCTTACCTCGTTATATAAACACTTGTCCAGGTAGTAGCCATACTTGTGGTGAAGTTTGCGAACGTCAGATTCCCCTGGCATTAAATTAATAACGGAACAAGAGCAGACTGACTGTTGTATAGGCTTACCATTCAATTTAGTCAGTTCATTCGATAGCTTTTCCACTTGAGCCGCCAGGGCCGAGACATCAGGAGCTTGAGGGTTGCTCGACATTGCTATAGCAGTTCTGGGGATAAGTGATAATGATTTCAGAACGAATGTTGACTGTATATTGTAGCTTGAAATTCAGCGCAACCAATGTTTATTTATAGGTGGTTAAGGCCCGCAGTGGTATCTTAAGCCTTGTTGGAAATACCGAGGCGCAACCCTTAATCGGATGGTTGGAGCCGATGACATCCCCCCGCTAATATTGGCAAACATCCGGGAAGCCACACATGATGGAAGGCACTTTGTATGCGAAAAATGAGGGGTAGGTCTCTATTTAAATAATTGAAAGCGTCAAGGTCTCACTTGAGGAGGCTTTAAGAGTGCTATTTTCAACGAAATCTCAATTGTGTTCATTAATCATGGCCCACACCCGGGAGATAGATGAGGAGAAGAATATTTTCACGTTAGTCCGAAGTGAAAAAAGAATAATATCCATCTCTTTTTTCCTTGCGCTGGCCCAATTTCAGTATGGGTATGACTCAGCTGCAGTCTCTGGATTTCAAAGTATGCCTGGCTTTCTTTCAGTCTTTGGCTACGTGGATGTGAGTAGCTTGCACTTGTATAGCCGGAACTTGGCTAACTTGCGCTTGAGCCCACAAACCCTTTACGCTTTGGTATTAGCACATCCGTGCAGACCCTCATTCAAAGCTTGTTACAGCTCGGGGGATTCCTGGCGTCGCTTTTCATTTTCAAATTTGGAACTTTCATCAGCAACCGAAGGGGCCTATGGATTGGATCCGGATTCTCTATCATTGCAGTTATTCTCCAAATGAGTAGCGCTCACCTGGGCACGCTATACGTGGGACGACTCTTTCTTGGCATCTCAAATGGCCTTTACCTAACATATTCAGCTACATATCTGGGAGAGGTTGCCCCTACCTATTTACGTGGCTCTGCAGTGGGTCTTGTTACATTCCAAACCTCATTCGGCGCCTTGATCGGGGTTCTTGTGGACAATTACACGGCAAAATACCAATCACAAACCTCATATCTTATTCCATTGGGGGTGATGTTCGTCGTTCCAGTCGCTCTATCGGTCGGACTTTTATTTCTCCCTGAGAGTCCACGACACTATATTCGAATGGGGTTGGACGCGAAGGCAGAAAATGCGATTCGTATCCTGCGCGGGATAAACGACGCCGATCGCCTCATTGCCGAGGCTGCCAGTATACGTGAAGCATGGGTGATCGAAAATGCCCACAGTCAGACTGTGAGGCTTGTCGATGCATTTAAAGGGGACAACCTCAAGAGGACCGCACTTACTCTCTGCTGCAGTGTTGGCCAAACCGCGAGTGGTGTCATATTCTTCTCCGCCTTCTCGATTTACTTCTATGCCCAGGCAGGCGTGAAAAATGAGTTTGTCTGGGTCATGATGAGTTTGGCAATTGCTCTCACTGGCAACATGGGTGCCTTTTTTGTTATGCGATTTGTTGAGCGACGGATCCTATTGAGTGCATGTTCTATCATCAACGCCGCAATCATGTTCATCATTGCAGGCGTGTATACAAGACTGAGTACTGGCTCCTATCTAGCTGCACAGATCCTTGTCGCAATGGGGACATTGTTCACTTGGGTGTATGGAATTGGGCAGGGGCCAGTACTGTGGGCTCTAACGGTTGAAATTCCGTCCCAGCGACTACGCTCAAAGACAGTGGGACTTGCAACCGGCTGCAACTACTTGTTTGCATGGGTTGCAACATATTCCGCGCCTTACTTCATCAATCCGGAGGCATTGAATTGGGGACCTAAGTACTGCTATATATGGCGTGTGAGCAATCTGCTACTAGGGATCTGGGCGTTCTTGGTGATACCGGATGTTAAAGGAAAAAGTTTGGAGCAAATTACTAGCTCGATGATACGAAATTCTCAAGGTAAGGACGGGGAGGCTGTGGCAGCCACTGAACATTGCGAGAATGGACATTGTGAATAGCAGCGTCTTGGTCTGGAAAGGAACCTGTGGATAGCTTTTCGTGAATGAACCGATCTTTGCACATCATAAGTGCGAATCCATCAATAGAATTGAATATTTCAATATGCCTATACTATGGTCAAATTTCTAGTGGGAGTTTAAACAGCGCAATCGCGTTACGCCTCGCCACCATTTCCTTTTTCTCAGCGGCTATATCGACGCTTCTCCACCATGCCTGGGCCTCTTCAATTTGGTCGTAAGGAGTGTCTGGTTTAGGATTAGTTCATGTTTCTGTTATTATCAGATGTTACAGAGTCATACCAATTGAATATAAGCACCTCTCTGCCCCCAATTCGTCAATGCAAAACTTTAAACCGGGTGTCGAGAAGTTTCCCGAAGTTGTGATGAAAACATTGTGTCGGAAATAGTGCCTGTAGTCATGTTTCGATGGCCGAGCAACCATTTTGCTAGGCTTGTTGTACCAATGCGAAGCTCTCCACAGATTAAACGGAATGCTGTTTGTGTCAGTCTTGGTTTGGAGATAGAGTATGTGGGGCTCCAACTTCTCTCCTAGATGACCGACCACGATCTTTACACCAGGGAAACGATCGAAGACACCTTCAAGAAGGGTTAGTGAATCCCCTCACTGGTAGTTTAGATAACATTACCGGATGAACACATCGCATAGATATGGAAGGAAAGATCCAAGTGAAACTGGACCGCCGACACCAAGCATATACTTGCGAGGGGCGTAAACAGACCCCTCTGCTCGAAGTTCCGCGGCTGAGGGGTATCGAGGATGAAAATATATGGGCACATCGAGCTTCTCGACCATCTTCCACAGAGGATCGTAGAAAGGGGAATCATAGTATCTTCTCTCCAACCCGTCTGTTCCTGTCAGCTGAGAGTCATTCACAATGCCACCGTAGAACCCCAACCCGTTCACTGCTCTCTCTAGCTCCGATGCCGCTTGAGATGGGTCATGCATGGAAAGTGCCGCCAACCCTCCGAAGCGACTGGGGTTCTTGGCCACTTCTCCTGCTAGCCAGTCATTGAATTGAGCTGCTGTTTTTTCCGCCAGGTCTTGATCGGGGATTCCTTGGCATCCTGGCGATGTAAGGGACAGCAACATGTACTCGACCCCTTCGGCGTTCATTGCTTTCAGGCGCGAGCCATGAATGTCCATTAGGCGTGCTTTATGAGCCTCAACCGCGTGCTTTCCGGTGTTTCCTGGTGTCAGAATTTGTTGAGACTCTTCCAGGAGCCACGCTGTATCTGGGCTGATAACTGCTTCCTCAACCGCTATGGTGCCTTTGAAAGTCATATTGTTCCTTGCGGTCGTCGGGAATGACAATCAAATATGATGATTATTTTTCTTGTTGAATATGGAATTGGAATAAACTCTATAAGCTGGCCTTTTATGACTCGAACCGTTTGAGCAAAATTTCGGCATTTCTGTGCCTCAATAATCCCGACTTCTCGGAAGCAATACGCCGACACAGCCAGGGGAGGAAAGCCTAACTCCTGGCATCGGCGGCAAATCGCCGATCAATCAGTTAGTCGCGAATAAAAAGGATGGGCGACAGATTCTAGGTCGATCCGCGTGGACTTGCTTTCGTGGCACCGGTTGCAAAATGGCTCACATGTACGAAATTGCCAGCGCTATTGAATATCCCTACGTCGACGGCTGGAAAAAGGGTGAACAAGTTAAATTCCCCAACACTCCGGTTTTCCAAACGTTCAACGCACCGTCTCGACTCCAGGGGGACGTATTTGATCTTGAAGTTGATGGGACGATTCCGTCAGAGATCAACGGTACTTTCTACCGGATCCAGCCCGATCCCAGGTTCCCTCCTCTTTTCGAAGAAGATATTCATTTCAGCGGAGATGGTAGCATCACTGCGATCAGGATCCACGATGGCCATGCAGACTTCAAGCAGCGATATGCTCACACAGACAGGTTTATAGCGGAGACTGCCGCTAGAAAGAGCTTATTTGGCAAATATCGTAACCCTTATACCGATTCGGAGTCGGTCAAAGGTATTATCCGAACAGTGGCCAATACCAATATCACCTTTTGGCGAGGGATGCTACTGGCATCGAAGGAGGATGGTCCACCATACGCGCTAGACCCGACAACTTTGGAAACGATTGGCCGCTATGATTTTGAAGGCCAGATACAGTCCCCCACATTCACCGCACATCCCAAGTTTGATCCGACTACGGGCGAAATGATTTGCTTTGCTTATGAAGCTGGTGGAGATGGAAACGATGGATCTTGTGATATTGTGGTCTACACGATTGACCCCAGCGGGAAGAAGACTGAGGAGGCCTGGTACAAGTCCCCATTCTGTGGGATGATACACGATTGCGGAATTTCAAAGAATTATGTTGTTCTTCCATTGACACCTCTAAAATGTTCCGTCGATCGGCTTAAACAAGGCGGTCATCATTGGGCCTGGGACCCGGAAGAAAGCCAATGGTACGGAATTGTCCCCAGAAGAGGAGGTAAACCGGAAGACATCGTCTGGCTAAAAGCCGAAAACGGTAGGCTGATATTCATGGGCAATTGACAGAGAGAGGGCTACTAAATCGAATCCGCAGGTTTCCACGGGCATGTTGCCGGCTGCTACGAAAACGAGCAAGGGCATGTGGTCTTCGATCTGACAGTTGCCGATGGGAATGTGTTCTTTTTCTTCCCCCCGATGGTCAAGATACGACAAGTATAAGTGCAAGAAACCGACTACAGAGCATCACACATCGTTGGGTGTTTGACCCCAAGAGTAAAACGGGATCTCAAGTCAGGCCTGAGATTCGCTGGAACACAAGTGGCGAATTCTCTCGTATTGATGACCGATTTGTCACCAAAAAGTATAACCACTTTTGGCAAGCCAGAATTGACCCCACTCGAGAGTATGACGCGACGAAGTGCGGATCCCCAGCTGGAGGGCTGTTCAACTGCCTTGGCCATTACACATGGGAGGAGAAGATCGAAGACGTGCTCTGGGCGGGGCCGCGGGCAACCTTCCAGGAGCCGACCTTCATCCCCAAAGAGGGCGGTCGGGAAGGCGACGGATGGATCATTGCCCTTGTGAATCGCCTGGATGTTCTTCGGAACGATATAGTCATTCTCAATGCGCAGCATCTAGCGTCAGGACCGGTCGCGATCATCCACCTTCCTTTCAAGCTCCGGCTGGGTTTGCATGGGAATTTCGTTGACCAACGAGAAATTGAAGCATGGCAACGGCGACGGGAGGTCGGGGGTGAGATAGGACCCGTTCATGCAGCCCAAAAGCCACTTGCCTGGCAGCTGCAACAATCTGTAAATGCCTGAAGAGGACCTGAGACGGCAGTTGGTTGAAGATCACCAACAGTGTATCTATCTGCGAGATTAGTTATATCCCAGCTTCAGAATGCAATGTACAGCGCCATTTCAGAACCACCTGTTTCCGTCAGCATGCTTCACTATTCACTCATTTGCTGGGAGAATTGTCACCGCTCGATGCGACTACATCATGGAACAGCAGGCAGGTTGCCTAATCGTTATCCCACTAGCGTGCGGGGTTTTGTTGGGCTCCACTCGGCTTCCAAAACGCGTCGGAATCATCAGACCGGCAGCCAGCCTTCTGGAAGATCCTCAGTCTGACGTAAGATATTCCGGAAGCATTCACAGAGTTCCGTCTTTAAAACACGCATTCCGCATCGGAAATCGCTCTTCTGTCTCACGGGTCGCCAAAGTCTCACCAGCAGCAGCCACCGCCATGACGATCACACAGGAGCTGAAGGTCAAGTCTTTCGAGACACGGCTATTCATCAATGGAAAGGTTAGATCCACGAGATTTGGCCCATCAGAAACGTTGATCCTAATGTTTGCGAAAGTTTGTAGAGTCGTCGGACGGCGGCAAGTTCGATCTGATTTCTCCTACCACAAATGAGAAGTTCGCCGAAGGTAAATTGGTCCAGGATTGTGCCTCTCACAGAAATAAAACGCGATGGCTAACCTCAATATTATAGTCCCTGAAGCAACGGAGCAGGATGCAAATGCAGCTGTCGCCGCGGCAAAGGCCGCTTTCCCGGCCTGGTCCGCCCTCTCCCCGTCGGAGAAAGGGGTCTACTTCAAGAAGCTGGCTGCCCTGATCATCGAATCACACGATGAGCTGGCTGAATTAGAGGCCATGTCCATGGGTCGCCCCGTGTCGAATTATTTCGAGTCTTACGTGGCCGCGGAGTCACTGAACCATTACGCCGAAGCGGGATACCAGGCTCTTGGGACCTCGAGCTTGAACACGCCTGGCTTTGTGAACATTACGATGCGTCAGCCGTACGGTGTTGTTGCCGCTATTATCCCTTGGAATGTCCCGGTTCTCTTTTTGATTGGCAAGACTGCTCCTGCTTTGATGGCCGGCAACACGGTCGTCGTGAAGAGCAGTGAGAAAGCCCCCCTCACAGTAAGTTGCCACCTGAAAGCATATGGGGCCAAATACATGCTCACTGCTTTAGTCGGTGAAAATTGCAACCCTCGTGGAAAAGGCCGGGTTCCCTCCTGGGGTCATCAACATTATTTCCGGTCATGGTCAAATTTCGGGCAACGTGTTGTCGCATCACATGGATGTCCGCGTAGTGAGCTTCACAGGCTCTGGTAGAACCGGTCGTCTCATCCAACAAGCGGCAGCGAAGTCCAATTTGAAGAACGTCATTTTGGAGCTTGGGGGAAAGTCTCCAGCTATCATTTTCCCCGATGCCAACCTTGAAAGGGCTGTCAAAGAAACCGCGCACAGTATTCAATGGAACAGCGGGCAGGTCTGCATGGCAAACTCCCGCATTTACGTGCATGAATCTATTGCACCCAAGTTCATTGAGCTTTTCCAGAAGAGCTTTGCTGAGATCAAAAGTGGCGACCCGCTGCTGCCGAGCACGAACCATGGCCCCCAGGCTGATGGAATTCAGTATAAGCAGGTGCAAGCGTACATCGAGGAAGGTAAGAAGGCCGGTAAGATGACTATTGGATCGGAGCCGTCGGAGCAGAAAAATGGGTTCTTCGTTCAGCCCACGGTTTTCCTTGACACCCCCGAAAACGCCAAGATCATGAAGGAAGAAATCTTTGGCCCGGTTGTGAATATCAACACATTCAAGGATGAAGACGAGGTCGTCGCTAAAGCCAACGATACCGAATACGGTCTCTATGCTGCAGTCTACACGAAGGATGTCAGCCGAGCTCTCCGAATGGCGAAGAAGTTGGATTCAGGCAGTGTTGGTGTTAATTGTACCAGCCCGTCGGGCGCTCGCGACATGCCGTTTGGAGGCTACAAAGCCAGTGGTATTGGCCGTGAAGGCTGGACTGTTAGCATTGACAACTATCTAGAGCACAAGAGTGTGCTCATTCGAGTCGACGAGGAATAGGGGCTGGTTTGAAAAAACAAAAACAATTGCCTTCAATTCAGGATAGGCTCTTTTGTCTCCAGTTCATGCTACTGCTACAATAAGACTTTTTCTTCCAGTATTCTTGCTATCCTGTTCATATCCTTTCATATCCTCGACAAGCATCCCCTTTTCTCATGCACAGCATAGCCTTGCGCTCCGTTTCAATAAGCCTTCATTGCTCTTTTTGGACTTCTTGAGACAGCCATTTCCCCTGCTGGCAAGGACTCAACTTGTAGTTCTCCAGCGCAATTGCAGCAATATTGTCGGCATCTATGCCCTCGGGAAATGTGATGCTAAGCAAAAAGCCTCTGATGACCTCGCTGTACTTTGGTCTTCCATTTCAGTGAGCTCATAGGGCTTATGCATCTTGAGCCTTACTTTGAAACGAACAAGACTTCGTTCAATAGCGAGCCGCATAGCTAAAGAGCTTGACTGATATGTTGGAATCAACGATTCTTTGATGTGGCGTCCCCATGCGCCGGACGCAAAGCAAGCTCAATCATGACAGAAGAAAATTGAGTCGGGACATCTCCCAATAGGATTGCGCCTTCTAATTCAGATATGCGGGGAGTCGATATTTATTATGTGCAGCTACTTGTCACCCGTGTAATGCGTACCTAACCTTTACTGGACCTTGCTGGGCACCAGTATAAGAAGTGCACGTCCCCAGAATTTGGGCGCCTGGAAGCTGGTAAGTTTCCATGCAAGTATAGCAAACAAGACAAATATGTTCCTAATGCACATTTCCATCTCGCAGTTGTTTCACAGTAGGAGGGCCTGGCGCGTTCTTAGAGTTGATAGACACAGCTTATTAGTAAGGTCTGTTTCGTCATCACGACCGCTCCTTATTCTTCGGGTCCTTCTGGATATGCAAGACCATCCGGCTAACCCCTTTCTGGTTGTAAAACCAGTCTTTTCACATCCCCACATTATCCCAAATACAAGGCTGAAAACCTTTGTAGCAAAGGTGCAATCCGGACTGCCACTAGTTTCCCAACCGAGGTAGTTGAGGCGGTGGAATCAATTGACCCGACACCCCCTCCTATAATTGCGGAGGAAACCACTCAGTGCTAAGTCAAGGAAGCACGCCAACATACACCGAGAGCGTCTAGGAAGCCTGCAGCCTGCGCACTCCGCCATAGTAGATCAATCGCTCAACGTTTCAAAGACAATGGAGGCGGGTTTGGAAGATCAATTCTGTGTGAGACTTCGAGGGTTCGGATACTCTGGCGGACTCCCCAGAGTGTGATCCTCAATGAAAGGCGGAGTGGCTCCATAGCCATTTGCATCATGTAGATGCGCGATGTCTCGATTGACTCTTTCACGAGTTCCAAAATTAGCCTCATAAACAATATTAGTACTGCTGAGATGGACCACAATAACTGGAAGATCATTCTGATTCTCTCCAATCTTATGCCCTAAATCGACATCATAATCTCTGTTGGAGATATCAAACGTGAATAATATGCGAACGTTCCATCTCTGGATCGCTAAAAGCCTTGTATCCGGTGGGGTGTCTCCCCATGCACCTATTCCCTTTTCTTTGAGAAGCTGGAGAGCAAGTGGAATAAGGCACTCTGGCGAATTGGACGCTTCTGTCCAATATGAACTCCTGTTTGAGACAATGACGAGCACACGGAGTGGATTTTCTTGGGCCATTGTCAACTACACCCTTAGCTATTGTTCCGACGGTTCAGGGGCGAGCTATAAAACAATAAACCACATACTGATCCATGTGCGGGATTGTTTCGATATCCTTAGGCTTGGAAAAATAATTAATGGTGATGGAGAAAATTTGTGGAATGGGGATCAACTTTGAAGGAGAAGGGCAATGGCCATCCTTATGTACGCTCCTGCCAGTTCTATCCAATGATATTCAGTCGTAGCCTAGCTAAGAGGTACCTCGGCTGGATTGCGCGGTTCCGACCAGAAACTCATCCTCCTGCTCACCCTGTCTATAGCACTCTCACCCTAGGTGAGCCGGGTGACGCGAATCAAAAGCAGCGTCACACCCCTGCTCACCCAGGCGACACCCACCCGAGAATTGATTGAGCGGAAGCCACACGCCGGTCAGCTAGTGGTATGGTAGATTGACCACATGTAAATCTAGACTATTATTATGTTTTTTTATTGCTCTTTATTCCTATAACTTTGAGGGTACATATACCTCTTCCTCCGTGTATCCAGCACATACGACCATAGGGTGTGGAGAACAGGGCTTCCCGTCCGCTCAGCCGTACTTAAGCCACACGCCGGTCAGTTAGTAGTATGGTGGGTGACCACATGCGAATCCTGACTGTTGTATGTTTTTGTCTTTTTGTCTGTCATTTGTCTATTGCACATATTTCTTTGTTTGCCCACGTCGCCCCTAAATCCTGCTCTGGCCTCTTTATTCTGCACCTGGAATAGGCCGCCTTGTTAAGACTGGCGCTAGCCGCAGCAACTGCGAACATGACCGTTCGTCCGAGCCACAAAAGAATGCGTCTCAATCTACCGGAGCAGTGGTGCACCGCACCAGTAATTCCACACTTACAAAGATACCTTGCATAACAACTCATACTTGCGTCTCCCCGCTTCTTGCACCCAACTAGTTACCTACGTATATCACCGCTCTCAGTGTGACAGGCCTGTGCTCAACCTTTTCCCCCCTCCATTGTCGCCTACATACAAATTGAAATTTCAACATGCCAAAGAAACATGTCTAAGCACTGCCAGTACACAATGGAATCAGACACTCAGACACTTTCCAACTGTCTCCAAACATCGATAAAGATTGATCGTTTTTATTGCGAGCACTTTTCAGCTGCGACCGGTTGGGCCGAAAAGCGCCCATATACGTGCATTACCCTCAGTTGATAGGAGGCGGTGCTTTGCTAGTGGGGAAAGGAGGAGCAACGAATCCATGTTGTACGCCGATATTAATCTAGGCTTGAACCCGGTCGGACCCGGTCCGATCTTGTCTGATCTTGTCCGATTTTGTCAATCAGACTGTACTGAGCCGCACGAGGCAAACCAACAAGGGCTTGCCAGGAAACCATAGCCTCACTTTCAACATGCTAGGCTCAGGCCATTCCTGGCCACTACTTCGATTTGTCCCTCGTGGCGCGCAGAGATTGGCTCACTACGCGAGTAGTTGGCCTTGTTTCTCCGGTGTGTGAACAGAGGAAAAGCGGGGTACATGTTCGTTCCTTATCTGTGCATCTTAACTTAGGTCTTTGGGGCATTTTTGGGTGAACTGAATATGTGTAACGAGGCAATGCCTGCGAACAGTGGGGTCTGGGTAGCTGCTTCAGATTCCTATAGCTCACATATGAGGCTGAACTCGTTCAGTTATCTCTGACTTAGTTTTGTATTCTACGATATGTGTCTTAGAACAGCCTGGTTCATTGATGTGCGGGCGTGAAAATAAACCCCTACATATTGACCGGTCACTTCCATCATCCATTTCATTTCCTAAATATTTCTTAGCGACCTTTAATTATTACTTTTCCCTCAGAACCCCAAACGAGTACGGTCTGGTAAACCATGGCAGAGGCTCTTGCAATATTGGGTGTTGTGGGCGTTATATACCCTATTGCACAGGACCTCTTTAGGCTTGCCAAGAACATGAAAAGGGCCTACGAAGAAGTTGGCCATGCGAAACAAGATCTCTACAAAGTGATAAAGAGAACGAAATCAGTGGCCCGAACATATGACCTTTTTAAGGACACAATGACGAAAGTGAAGAAAATCGAAGAGCTTGCTCCAATGTTCAAACGGCATCGAAAGCTCATACGGGAAGTTGAGACAGAATCAAAACGAATTATCGGTAGACTGAAGCACATAACGAACATTTTCCGCTTTATGATAAATGTCGAGCCTGTCAGTTCGGTCGAAAAGTGGGTTGCACAGTTTGAATGGTTTAGAGAGAGCAAGAAGATTGTACCTTGTCTTTTCCAGGATATGAAAGTTTTGGAAAAATCTATGAGAACAATTGGAATCCTGGTGAATACTCAAATACTATCCCGAGTCTATCTAAGGGATAGATCTCATACGATTCTGGCACCACTGTAAGATTTCCCGAATATCCAGACAATCGGCCGGCATGGCGTTCTCTCCTAACCATAGGTTTGGCAGGGAATCTTTGAAAGAGATGCTCCGTATAGATGTCCGCAAGCTCCAACAAGCTCAACTTGTGCAGGAGAAGCTCCATGTGCAGCACGGTGTCTCCCCAGGTGATAACTTGGAGCCGAAATCTTTTGCCCAAGAGATTTTAAAGATTCTGGAGAAAGAAAATCCTCGACTACGCATGGACAAGCCCCTCCATAGCCCGTCCACATCTGATTCACGAGCCCCATCATCCTCGCCAGTTTCAAAAGAGGCTTCGCTCATTATACCCCCTTCAATCTCTCCTCCTCGCAGCGGTGGAGATCCAGCGTTCGTCATCGAGCCGCAGGGTGAGAATATATCATTGCCAAGACCGAAAGTTCCGCGGAAAAGAAAAACTCAGTCAGCACCTGCGGTGAGTATACTATTTTTTAAACTCTCCTGCCTATATTAATAATGTTAACAGAGAATTCCTCCGTCCATGTTACCAACGCCTTCGTTCCTTTCAAGTGTAGCAGAATTTAAAAGCCCCAACCAAGGAATACATGAGCAAGACGCAGATCAAGAAAAGCAAGGTGCATATATGCAAATGCCACCGTTTGGGCCACCAAAACTGGTTACCCGCCCTCGCGCCGGACGAAGTTCTTCTGATGGTCCCAATCCGTCCGGTGACGTACATGACCAGCAGGGAGACGGCTCCCGGCGTCATAATGGGTCTTCTTCAGCTTTGAAAATACGAAACAGCAGCAACATATCTGTATATGGCAATGAGGGAGAGGTGACTCCTTCTCATAAAACAGGATTTGCTGGACTGCCGCCGGGGAATAGAAAGGGGAAGGGCAGATCGGACCAGTAAGCCAGTGAACCTAGATTCGAGTCTGGTGAATGACGGTGGTACTAGCACTCTAGATGATCCACTATCAAGTAAGCTTCACAGCCGTTATAATTTAGACTGTCGATATAAAGATGATTGATAGTATACAGCGAGCTAATAGCTAGTCGGTAATAATCTGTATCATTGAGACTCTGAACATATTCCGCTAGTCTGTCTCCCTTCTTTTTATCGCTATGGAGTCGTTCCTCAGGCAGCGTGTTTAGTTAACCTGTTATCTGAAACAGGCCATCTTTTAACTTGCCCGGATCGTATTGTATGACTCCGCCGAATCTCCATTAGTTGACTCACGACAACATCCCCCAAAAGGATTTCCTTGTGGAAGGGTCCGGACCATATCTCGGGCATCATGGGCTGCTGGATTGGTGCCATACCGACCAGTTAGAAGACAATCAATCACCACATATTCGAGTATTACTATAAATTCACAAACGCACATTACAGATCTAAATGAAGAATATTCAGATGGGTGGACTGCTACTTAAAGCGGCTTGAAGCTAGACTGCGTGGAGCGTCGAGCCGCCCATGACCGAATGATTGGCGGTAGGTGAACATCATCATGGAATGGCTGTTGTATGGTTCTATTTGTTTTTCCTTTTGGTTCTTATTAAGCCTTATTATCTCACTCCTACTCTGTATATTATTGTTGTTAATTCCGGTTATAGTTAATGCTTAGCTCTATATCTTTCTAGTCTTTATCACCAGTATATATATATATGCGCTGGCCAAGAATACTTCTACTTATAATAAGATCAAGCTAAGATTAAGTTGTGAATCCGTGAACGCTATATACTCTAGCATTGCGCGACGATCATGAGTCTTCTTAAGTTTGTCTCTAGCACATACGACCATAGGGTGTGGAAAACAGGGCTTCCCGTCCGCTCAGCCGTACTTAAGCCACACGCCGGTCAGTTAGTAGTATGGTGGGTGACCACATGCGAATCCTGACTGTTGTATGTTTTTGTCTTTTTTGTCTGTCATAGATAGGTTTGGCTAGGTATTACACCGTTTTTCTTTGTTTGCCCACATCACCCCTAAATCCTGATCTGACCTCTTTATTCTGCACCCCGAATAGGCTGCTATGCTAAGCCTTGGCGCTAGCCGCCGCCGCAGCAAACGATTGTTCCAAAATCCGGCCCCGCACCGATCTTTCCGGGGTCCAGGACGGAGGCCGGGGCCGAAAAAAGCGACCTCCCATTGGACAATATATCGGTCCGCCCGACGAGACTCGGGCCCGACAGGAGCATGCGGGCCAGCTATTGGCTAAATGATGCACAGCTACCGCCATGTAAGACTATAAATGTTCACATCGGGGGACAAGCAAAATTGCTGGCTGTTACGCAAAGCAGCAAGTCACGCAGGATATTCAGTGTGTAGCTCTCGTTCAACCTAACCAGGTTCCACAAACACCTACGAGATGAGCGACGACATGACGCCGAGGGCCTCGCCGCCCAAGGACATCGTTGCGCCGTTTCCCAGAAAAGATGTCGCAAGCGATGCGATAAACTCCGACAGCGATAAGGACAAGGACCTCGAGGAAGCCAGGTCACCAATCTTCAACTCGAGCGATACGCTTGTTGACGGTGAGGCCAAAACAGACCCCTACCTCGTCACTTGGCGCGGCACCGACGACCCCGAGAACCCCAAGAACTGGCCCAAAAGCTTCAAGTGGAAAAACACGTGGGCCGTGTCCCTCTTCGTCTTTATCTCACCCGTCTCGTCGGCCATGATTGCTCCCGCGTTACAGGACCTCGGCAAGGGCCTAGGGATGCACAGCGATATTGAGGTATACCTGTCGCTGGGTATCTTTATCCTCGCCTACGCCGTAGGACCTATTTTCTTTGGCCCTGCATCTGAGCTGTACGGACGCGTGCGACTGCTCCAGGTCAGTAACTTGTGGTATTTGGCGTGGAACCTGGGGTGCGGGTTCGCGACGACCAAGTCCCAATTCTTCGCGTTCCGTTTCCTCGCGGGTATTGGTGGCAGCGCTCCGCTGGCAATTGGAGGAGGCGCCATTAGGTAAGAAAGAACACTCTAAGGACCATAGGGGCGGCCGATCAAGCGTACCTCAATGCTAAATCGTTCTTGTCTGTCCAGTGACATGTGGAGCGCCGAAGAGCGGGGCAAGGCCATGGGCATCTACACCCTGGGCCCGATCCTCGGACCAGTGGTAGGGCCCATTGCCGGCGGCTTCATCGCCCAGTACTCAACGTGGCGTTGGGTCTTTTGGTCGACGTCGGCGGCCGCCCTCGGTATCCAGATCGTCGGGTTCTTCTGGCTGCGCGAGAGCCACCCAGCCACGCTGCTTCGTATGCGGCGAGACCGACTGGTCAAGGAGACTAGCAACGAGAAGCTTTACGTCGACGTAAAGGTCGAGACTCTCATCTATAAGCTCGCACACACCTTTGAGAGGCCGCTTAAGCTGTTCTTCACCCAGCCCATCGTTTTCTGCATGGCCGTTTACATGGCTTACCTGTTTGGCACCACCTACCTCATGTTTGCGACTTTCCCCGAGATCTGGACCGTGGTATATCACGAGGAGCCCGGGATCGGCGGCCTCAACTACCTCTCCATCGCTATTGGTTCATTTATAGGCCTTTTCTTCAACCTCAAGGTCATCGACCGCATCTACAAGACCCTCAAGGCTCGCAACTCCAACATCGGTAAGCCCGAGTTCCGCATGCCCTCCCTGGCCGTTGGCTCCATCATTAGCACCATCGGGCTCTTCTGGTACGGCTGGAGTATCGGGCGCGTACACTGGATCATGCCGAATATTGGCGCCGCGATTTTCACCGCGGGCACCATCTCCTGCCTACAAGGCATGCAAACGTACATTATCGACAGCTACCAGACCCACGCCGCCAGCGCCATGGCTGCCTGTGCCATCCTGCGCAGCTTGGCTGGCTTTGGGTTCCCGCTGTTTGCTCCGTACATGTACAAAGCCCTCGGCTACGGATGGGGCACCAGTGTCCTGGCATTCTTCAGCATCGGCTTTGGCTGGATGGCGCCCGTTGTTTTCTGGTACTATGGCCCTAACCTGCGCGCCATGTCCAGGTACGCGGCTGATTGAGCAACCTCGATCGGAGAGGGGGAAGGTCGTGCAAAAATGATGCTGCCCGACGTTTTAAAAATTTATAGACGTGCAATGGTCTTCCTCACAAGCGCTTCACAGGCCGTGGGGGTCCTGGGGAATCGCGAAGTAGGCATGGCCAAATGCAAACCTGTAAGCTATGTACTTGATGGATGAACCGATAAATGATAGATAACTCTTCTCCTCACTTGATCGTTTACCCGCCCTTTCGCCTTCTTAACAAAACACGCAACGGGTTCCCCGGGCACAACAAGCGCAATCTCGATGTCATGATTTGAATTGGAACATGTAATTGAGATTTGTAACGACAACACCGTTGACTTTTCTCAAATTTCTGCCTGCACGCCCTTGACGAATCTAGTTTTCTGGGACGCCATACCAAAACAGCAGGCGAACCACATGACGGTCACTATTGGCTCCTATGCGTGGGAGCGCTACAAGCACCAAGGTCGGTTGGTTGTCGGGTTTTAACCGCCAGCAGCTCCGGCCCGGTCCGACTACTAGAAATACCCACATACATCGCCTGAGAACCCCGCAGTGTAGCTGTCTGAATACTGCAGACCCCAGCAGTTTACAAGCTGGAACTCGGTTACCAGACGTTGCTGGTGCTGGTAGCTTCTGCGGCTAATACGTGTCTCGCAAAATGCCATAATCCTGCTATACGAGACGGATTCACGCAGGCGGCTCCAGAGAGCCCCGGGGCCAATAAACTTGTCTTTGATGCAGTATTCAGCCCGAAGCGCCACCAGCTAGTGTCCGATAACCACCCAAACTAATCAAGACTGCCTGCCGTAAGCTCTCCAAGCCACCGCCGTATCCCGTATCCCGCCGGTATAGATATTGTGGCAGCCTAGCCCAGCAGCTATTTGGAGAAAAGGGGCTACTCCTTGGTCGCAGGGCAAATGCCACACGCCTGCTCCTGGCGGTGGTCGCTATGTCATGTCATAGATTCCGGCGTATTCTTGTAATCCGTACCCGAGACGGGGTGGGATGGTGCTCTACCGCGTGCAGGATGGAATAGGACATTGTACAGAATAGTGTCCCAGTCCTAATTCACACCCTATAAATCTTCCATATCAAGCCCAGGTCGGGCAATTGAAGTTCAACATGAGAGGACTCGGAACCGAACGAGATCAGTGGGCGAACGTGGCAGGCAAGGCAACCGCGAGACGATGTTAGGTGTAGTTCGCGAGAGCTCAAGTCGGCTTGGACCTGACGACGTAGCAATTACAAGATATAGCGTCGCAGGTGCAGCGGCATCAAAAAACAACATAAGGGCAGTTCCATTTATTTTCCATCTGCGATGGCAATATCCACTGCTCCGTCACATCAAGCAACAAGGTTGTCTCCATGGGCTCCATACCCCGCCGGGATAGGCATTTTCGCTTGCTGCTCGCAAGCCTTGCAAAATACGTCAACAAACTTTTTCGTCTTGCCCACGGCTGAGATTCATGGCCCCGCGCTGTCAATGGGCTCGCTACTGTTGCCTGCAGGGAATAATCGACGCTGGATCCTTGTGTTGGAGTCCTCGTCAGGTGTGACATGGTGGGAAGGGGAGCGGACCCTTTGCCGGATCAGTGTGTCGCCGACTTTAATGACTGCGGGGCCGGATTTTGGCTGCTGATATCTTCCAGTGACGATCCCCCAGGTCTGCAGTACTCATCGCCGTAACTATACCCATCCTGAGCGGAGTCAACTCAGGGACCAATGGCCCGAGGTGTAGGTGATGATCCGTCGGGTTTTATGTGCCGCTCTACTCACATGCCACGCAACGCTCAGGCTGTGGATTGCGCGTTAATTTGAATGACCCCAAACAAGCCACCACAGCCCACCGTTTTGGAGTTGAGATTTGACTAACGGTTGGCTGGTCACCTGCACCGTGACGTACAAGACGGGGGTGGTCCCTGCAACGGCCAGACCTTGTCAAAAACCGGCCGCACAGAGCACCTCAAACTTCCTCTATTATATTTGGTCAAGAGGGACCGGGCACAATGGCTGAATTTACTTTGTTTGCTTGCTTCGTTTCTCTTTGACTCCCTGAGGCAGCATCAAGCTGCGTATGTTGCGCATCGTTCATCACACCATGTCTCTTTCTATCCAAGTCGAGGACAAGGCCTGGGAGAAGAGCGGCGTCTGCAATGAGCCGATGGCGCTCGATTTTGGCAACAAGTTCCCAAGTGAAGGCTTGACCGACTTGTTTCGCCGCCTACAACAGCACAGCAAGGAGAGGGGGTTTCGGTTCCTCAATGCCCATTTCGGAGAGTCGACGCTTGTCCTGCAAGAGGAAATTTCCAAGCTGCCACCCCATATCAGGAGCCAGGTGCCGCACTTTGACAACATCGCAACGCTGTCGGAGAACGGCTATCTGCGATATCTTGGTCTGGGACCCGCCATAGAAAGCGCCCTACTCATTGTCCTGCAGCTGGGCCTGTTTATCAGGTGAGCATCCTCCTATCCACCGGGCCCAGGAAAATCGCAAATACAGCCATCCGACTGCTAACAGAGCACCGTAGGCATCATGAGGCACTTGAAAGGAAACTGAATAGGCCCGAGAAGGTGACAACAGTGGCAGGCAAAAGCATGGGTCTCTTCCCTGGAGCCGCAGTGGCCCAGTCCACCACACTCGCAGAGGTGGTCAAGAACGGAGCCGAGGCTCTGCGAGCTTCCTTCTGCCTAGGTGTGTACGTCGGCAACCTTACTCAAAAGCTGGAGGCACAACGGCCCGACGGCTTTCAGTCGATCTTGGCGCACGGCGTCACCGGCATGACGGAAGAGTCGGTGCGAGGCGAACTGAATCGAATCAAAGAGGAGCTGGAGAAGCCAGAACGCTCCACCTCGGGGCCGTCAAGAGCATTATTTGCCATGGAGGGGCGGACGGTACCTCCTCACTCATTGAGATGGCTCTCATATCCCAGCGCTCCTACATTTCTTCCGTTCGATCGTAGCGCCTCCGCTTACGTCCAAAGCCTCGTTCTCGGACCTCTCGTTCCGGTCCCGCGTAGGTCCCGAGGTCGGCGACGAGTCACCCATCGGGTGCAGCGAGAGATTGGGCACGGAGACGGGCAACAGGCCGCTGATCCGGCACGACATCGAGGCCATGCGCCCGCCGAAAGGCAATGCGGCCGATGCGTGCCACGAGTTTGCCCTCCACGACATGGTATGCCCTTCGGGCAAGATAAAGCCTGGCGTCGAGCTTCCGCTGGCCTGGAGGTTCGCCATCCACATCAGGCCGAGCAGGGTAGACGAGCTCACAAGCCAGGCAGCCGGGTCTTTATTGCTCATCGGCCTGCATTGTGCGCCGGACGCCAGCGATGTCGAGGGCATCGCCGCTCGCGTGACCAAGTCGCCGCCGTCGCAGGTCCAGGAGCAGCTGCTCACCCATGCTTTCTCCTGAGTCATGCGCGCGCTCGTACGGCGACGACGCGTCCTTGTACAACCTTGACATTATTCGCAGCTTTATCCAGGCATACCGCGCCCGCATCGTCATGCCCGGCACCACTGCCATTGAATGCTGCTCGGAGGAAAATTCCCGGGTTCAAGTTGTACGTGACCAACGACAACACGTCCTTTTGACAACATCGCGGCTGTCAGCCTAAGGGCCCCGATTCCATAGCAATTTTCGATGCCCCGCAAAGCGCGCAGATAGTTGTCTTGCCCATGTATGTAACCCTCTCGTGGGAACGAGGATTTCCGCGGTCTGCTTCAGGTCCTGTGGTGTGGACTTTCTGGCGTCGAGAAATGTCAGTGCGACTGAAAGATCGAAGCTGTAGTATATGCCACCTTGAAGATGATGATTCCCGTGCACTGGTCACGGTTAAAAGTTGCTCCAGTTCACATGATCCTCTCGCGTCGTGCGCATGTCGTAGGTTTATCCCCGCTGAGGCTGACAGCCACTGCGCGCTTACAAAACACGAAGGTTCTAGCCCCCACGCGGTCTAGGGTATGAGTGTGAATACATTGAATACACTTTTGAACCATTCCTAAATTGGGCCCTCACAGCATTGCTTCTTGAGCTTTTGGAGGGTCAGTTGGCTAAAAACAGCCTGTCAAGCTAGTTGGCATTTTGGATCCACGATCAAGCAATTAGACAGGTTAAGGACTGGGCACTGTTATTGACGTGCTCAGCGACAATTGACCGTCAGACGTAGGAGAGCCGCGTCTGTAGTAGGGGATACAAGAGAAGAGAAACTGTGTCTGAATGGTAAATCTGCAAGCGGGGCTGTATGATAAGCACATGCCGTTAGTCATCATATCTACTGCAATCCTGCACACCGTCACCTATTTCCCCAGTGCAATGCATAACTATATTCTGGTGATACACTTCCGCCGACATATTCATCATCGACGCAGCGAGCGGCTGGGCCCGTGCCCTTGACGCACTAGCCAGTGCATTGTTCGCTGGGGCTGGGGCTAACCGTAGTAGGCGCTCATCCATCCTTGCATTTCACCACCTGGGCTTGCGCAACGTGAAGGCGCTCCAGGACATATGTCCACGCCCATGCCACGATCCACGGACCCCCCGCACCGAAATGTCAGGGCTGCCTCGCAGCAGGTCCCAATCGCGCCCGCCCCAGCTGTGGCTCGCTTAGTCAACGCACCTAGTGGCGCTGCTACCGAGTTGACCACCACCATGCCCTTCAACTGCCAGGCTTGCGTGCGGAAAAAGATCAAGTGCGACCGAGGTGTACCGGTATGCTCGAGCTGCCGCAAGTCAAAACTGCAGTGCGTTTACAAGGCCCCCGCGCCGCCGAGGCGGAAGCGGAGGCGGAGCCAGACTCAACATGCGCTCGAGCGCATCTTGCCTGAAAATCCCGTTCCCGCGGCCTTGTCTGCATCAGCTTCCTCCACCTACGACGCGGCGACTCCTGTGCTCCGCGCTCAAACTCCATTGGCTGCGCCGGCTGCGCAACCGGCCAAGCCAGGCAAGCTGCTGTCTGGCGACGGCAAGTCTCGATACGTGGACAACGTTCTTCTTCTGGACGACGATGAAGGCAACTTGGATGAGCTGTCCAGTTCTGATCAAGGTGAGTCCTATAGTGATGACGGCGGGCCTGACGAAGGCACCCCCACCGGCCTACTTGGCCGTCTCGCAGCGCACGCAGTGGCTGGGGCGGTGTTTGGAGGCACGCAGAGCCTCACCGAACAACATCCGACCCGCCAGGACGCGATGAAGCTTTGGGACGCATACGTGAACAATGTCGAGCCTCTCTGCAAGGTCCTTCATATTCCCACCGTGGTAAAAATGGTCGAATCGGTCTCCCAGCAGCCTAGCACAGCTTCGAAAAGCGAAGAATGTCTGCTTTTCGTCATATACTACTTTGCCGTCTTCTCCATGTGCGACGCCGACTGTCTTCGAGAATTTGCCGTGTCGAGGAACCGCTTGATGTCCAAATATCGTAGTGCCGTCTGCCAGGCACTTGTTAACGCGTCGTGGCTCAGGACGACAGCGCTGCCGGTATTGCAGGCGTATATACTCTTTCTCATTGCAATGCGAAGTGAAATCGACCCCGATACATTTTGGATTTTGACAGGCATTGCGATTCGTCTCGCCCAACGCATGGGACTGCACCGGGATGGTGAGAAACTCGGCCTGCCACCCTTTGATATTCAAATGCGCCGGCGGCTCTTCTGGCAGCTTCTTCCGCTCGACGGCTACGCGGGCCAGGTTTCAGGCACTGGAATCTCTATATCCCCGGATAGCTGGGACACCCAACCCCCGCTGAATATTAACGACGACCAAATCTTCCCCGGGATGACGGAACAGCCACAGGAGCAAAGAAGGGCGACCGAAATGATATTTTGCTTGGCTCGAATCGAACTTTCCAACTTCTACACCCGCACTGGCGTCCAAATGAAGCATGGCGGTACGACAATTCAGTTTAGGGACGCAGAGGATGTGGAGAGGCTGATTGATGAGGTCGAAGGCCTCATCGAGACCAAATTCCTTCGGTACTGCGACATCTTGAACCCCTTGCATTTTTTGGCCACGGGCGTAGTACGGTCGGCCACTGACGCCATCCGACTACGTACTCGAATGCCGCCGTTGATCAAGCAAACCATTAATGACACCCAACGAAAGGAGCTCTGCGCACTTGCGCAGACTATCCTCGATAGAAACAGCGCGATTTACAGCAATCTGAACTTGAAGAAGTTTCGGTGGCAGATGCGGGCCTTTTTCCTGTGGGATGCGCTTCTGTGTATCCTGCTCAGCCTCGTTAAGGTGGGATTCTACTCGCCGTCCGAGCTCAATGCCACATGGGGCAAAGTCGGTGAAGTCTACTCGAATTACGAAGAATTGGCGAAGGGTAAACAGTCCTTGCGTGTGTCTATTGGTAGAGCCACGCTTAAGGCGTGGATTGCGAATCCGCCAAGTAACGCCCCTCGGGAGCCCGCTTTCATAACCGCTCTGCGCGCTCAGGCTCAAGGGAAAGAGCAAAGGCGAGAGCAGAGCGTCAACGCCAATGCAGAGGTTGACTCCGAGGCTGCAGATCCCGGACCGGTGTTTGATGAGCTCTTTGGCAACATGGATGGAGCAGATATGAATCACAATGGCGACTTTAGTTTAAGCTCTTTAGACTGGGCATTTTGGGATCAGTCGTGAAAGGGGCGAGCCTTAGCTGAGCTGCCAGCTTCCTTGACGGTGACATAATGCCTTCTCTTCGAATGTATATTAATTTCAGTCCATGACGCCATTTCTGGGGCTTCGATCACACAATAAAAAAACACGACGATGCGGATGACCTGAGGGAAGTTTCTATAATCTTTCGCTGTGACTGCCGCGACGCAAGCAGAATATGTGGCGGAAATAAGTCTACCATTGAGAAGAGGAAGGTTGTCTGGTTGAGTGATTGGATGTGTGTAACGTTAAAGAATGAACGATCGGAGTAACGAAGATTACATATGAAAGGTGTCGGGGCCGAGCGTGCTATTCACTCAACAACTACCATCATTGGTGCGTTGCGTGCAGCAACAAACTGGGTTGACCAAGTGCGCCAACGGGTGTTGGTGCGGTCAACAATTGGCCTCGGGTTTTACTGGGGTTTTGGGGCGGGCGTGGAATCGGTCTCACCGCCAGTGGGGGCTCGTTGCTGCATGAGGTGAGACGGCAGCACCGACCGTTGCAATGTCGGAAAAGAACCGGCGTGTGGCTCGGTCTCTCGCCAGCAAAAGAAAATTGGTGATACGAGGTGCCTATTGCATTTGAATGTGGTTATCTTATCGCTTTAGTGTATGTCTACTCGGCTGTTGGGGTGAAGCAACAGTGACAGTGCATCGGACTGCTCCGCACGCAATTAGATGCGGCGTGTGGGGTGCAGGGGATTATGCGTGGACGGGCTCCGAGTAGGTATCGGTCTACCCCGATTCTAATGCCTTGCGTCGGGGCTTCTCCAGGGACAGCGGGCGAGTGGGACCGCGGGCGAATAAGGCTCGAATCCTCCCCGTTGCCCCAGTTCATTTTCGGGACCCGAGGCTGACATTGAAACAGTCGTGAACACGGCTCCAGCGGACCAAAATAGAGTCACTTCGGCTTTTATTGGCTGACGAAGGAATCCGCAAAGATTCGTCTTAGGTGGTCGAAAGGCTAAGCACTATGCTTTTCTCCCAACCTCCGGTGGAATCGGCCAGTCTCTGTGCTACTACTGAACTATAACTCTGGCGCAGGAAGGCTTCTGTTTTTCGACCTGCATCCACCCTTTCTTCTCCCAGTTCGACAGGCTCACAACTTCTACAGAAATTATGGAGTCCATAGAGCACGTACTCAACAATTACGTGGACCTCGCAGTCCAGCGGAAGCTGTTGCTCACACCAGTGTACCAGTCAATCACCCTTCTGGTTGGTAGTGTGGCTTTGTATTTCATCGCCGATGCGGTTTATAATCTCTTCTTTCATCCTCTTGCCAACGTTCCGGGGCCCTTCATCAATCGCATTAGCAAAATCCCATGGGTATGAGTAAACAATATCCAAACCTTTCATCCAAATCAACCTCTAACGAACATCAACCACAGGATTACTGGCAGTGGTCAGGTCGCCTCCCGCAAAGAACAGCAGCTGTTCACCTGAAGTACGGCCATGTCGTCCGAATTGCTCCCAATGAACTCAGCTTTTCCAATCAGGAAGGCTGGCACGACATTTTCGCCAAGGTTCCAGGCAGGGAGCAATGGCCAAGACACCCTCGGAGAGTTCCTCAAGGCAAAGGCGGACCCAAAAGCATCATGAACACTGCCGGGTCGGAGCACGCTCGTTTCCGTAGACTTCTGAACTACGCATTCTCCGAGAAGGGCCTTCAAGAGCAGCAGAAACTCATCAGCAGGTACATCGACTTCTTCATCAACAAGGTCGACGGGTTCGCCAAAACTGGGGAAACTGTTAACATCACAGACTGGTGAGTGAACTACGCAAACAGTGGTTATCATGTCTCTGGGCTAACTTTGATTGACAGGCTGGTCATGGTTGGCTTTGATGTCATTAGCGACTTGGGTTGGAGTGAGCCGTTCAACTGTATCGAGAAGGGGGAGGTCCATCCATGGGTAGGCATCGCCATATTCAAGTTCGATATGTAATGAGCTGACCATGGTTGAAAGATGAAAACTTTCGCCCAAACTGCTTTCGACAGCCAGATGAAGTTCCTCTTCCGTGAACACGGCCTGATGTGGCTGGCCCCATACTGCACCCCGAAGCGATTTCAGCTAGCCCGCTTGGACAACTTCAAGTATGCTCGCAACCGCATTGAGGATCGCATTCAAAATGGCGGCATTCGGGGTGATTTCTGGGACCGAATTGACATCAAGAGCGCTGATGATAACGCCAGTGGCGAGGGTCTGACCAAGGCAGAAATGGTGGTTTCCGCCGTGACCCTGGTTGGAACCGGTTCTGAAACAATTTCCACTCTGTTAACTGGACTTGTGTACTTCTTGGGCACTAACCCCCACGCGATGAAGAAGTTGGTCGAGGAGATCAGGACCACCTTTTCCTCTGTAGATGAGGTTGATCACCTTTCTATCCACAAGCTGAAATACCTGACCGCGTGTCTGGAGGAGACCATGCGCCTATACCCCCCGGTCACGACCCTGCTCTGGCGTGTCCCGCCGAAGGGGGGTGGCTACGCTAACGGCCTGTACATTCCTGAGGGAGTGAGTGAAGACCCTCTCTGAGACTTTAGCGTGCATTTTTGAGAGCTGACACAAAAGAACGGCAGACCGGGTGCAACATGTCCCTTGGGGGAATTGCTCTGAGCCCCGATTACTTCCACCGAGCTCGGGATTTCTGTCCCGAGCGCTTCCTGGCCAACCCGCCAGCAGAGTTCAAGAACGAGAACCACAAGCCCTACCACCCCTTCAGCGTTGGTGCTTACAACGTAAGACCTATGTCCTCGTTGTATTTAGCGGCCAAAGACCCCCACGGCTGACATTTTGATTGATAATAGTGCCTGGGCCAAAACTTGGCTAACGCAGAGTCCCGACTCATCATAACCAAACTTCTTATGAAGTACGACTTCAAGCTGGACAAGAACACCCCTGAGGATTGGACTGATCAGCTGTCATGGGCTGTTTTTGTCAAGAGACCCCTCTATGTCACTTTCTCGCCCCGATAAGCTTGCAAAAGTGAGCTATTGGGATGACCATGGTAACAGGCAGTGACAGAACGGCATGGCACAGACGGACGGGCACTTGTCTTTTTTCCTTTGGGCGCAGATTGACGGGAATTTAGTTTGCCGACGGCAGGTGCACATCTTAAAGAACAGCTTGAAAAGTCCCCACTCTGCTTGGAACTCGACTTGTACACGGGCCAAGTGTCCAGGTGCAAAGAGAATTCTAGGATTCAATCAAGGCATTTCAAACTACTGTTTTTGAATGCTCGAATCGTTTTAGTTTTCCAAAGTGCCCATGTCTCCATTGTTGTAGAGCCCAAAGCTTCAGTGATGTAAGAGTACATGTGTACATATGCCTCTGCCCAAAGTTATGGCCCAGCGCGCATGCCTTGAATGGTAATTAGCTAAAGCGATTCAATCCCACCACGAAGCTAAAAGATTTGACGAAATGGGATGAATTTCTACAGCCTGGATCGAAATCAGATTCACCAGCTACACAGAGATTCTTTCTCGAGTCCTCTTTTAAAACGTCGCTATACCTATTACGGTTAATCTACCCCCAAACCCCTTTCTTGGCAGTATTCCAGTACGTGTGTAAATGACAGCGTAAAAATAGCATCAGTAATGAGCTTGTATGGTCTAAACGGCCTCTGAATGTTGATCCTGCAAACAAAGCAAACAAAAGGGAAATCCGCTTTGTTAGTGGTTATTTGGCCAGGTCTCGAATTCGCTTCCTCTACCAACATCTCATCCTCCACAGCTCCACAGGAGTCTTCTATTTGCAAAGCCAGAGATGTTGAAGAAGTTTTAAAATGTGGATTCTGATCAAGAACCTCTTTATTGACAGCCCTACGCAAGCTAAATTTCCTGCGACCCCGGGGTGGCTCCAGTCCAAGTCATGAATTGCCCATTAGAAATGGAACCTCACAATATCTGGATCAATCAATCATGGTGTCAGAGGATAACCAGGTGGTCTACGTCTAGTCCTAGGTGTCGATTCACCAGCATTTGAAGGATGAAGGATATTGCGTAGATAGCCCTGGAGGTATATTCTTGCTTTCTCATATGTAACATCATTTTAAATGTTGAGCAATCACTTAGCAAATGCCACTAACCCCCAGCCGACTTAGAAACGGTCTGCATAATTTCCAACCTTGGAAGCCCTGCCTAGGTGGAGGCTCTTTTACCCAAGTGATTGCAATCCATAGATACTGTATCACTCTGCGGATCCGTATCTCCTCTGAACAAGATCTACTATACGACCACCAGAGTGTCTATCCGAATAACTTTCCTGGACCGATTGCCCAAGCTTTGCCAATAGTTTCCGCAGTGCCGCGCGATCCTCATCGTCACATTCTGGTGACGGTCTCCACGCATTCTCAAGGTTTGCGAGTTCGTTGGGATCCTCACCTTCCATATAAGGCGAAGGGCCATATCCATCATAGCAGCACATGTACCGATTGTAATACAGCCCGACCTTGATATCCCTCTCCTGCTCAAATGGAATATCCGGGTACCAATTACTACGGCCGATTCGAAAGTGTCGCAGTTTTGGCAGTTTCTCTGCAAATAGATCGAAAATATGGTGCCATCGCTTCTCGAACGAACCATACAAAGACTCATCGCCCTCGCGGCGCACCAAAGTGTCCCTAGGTAGAGCACAGGCGTCCACATTCTCTTCCCTCATACAAAAGTCGTAGAGGACGGCGCAGTCATCGAAGTAGATTTCCTCGAGGGTGTCGCCATGCTTCAGAATCCAGTCGATTTGGCCATCATGGAAGAAACAGAAGTTTCCAAGTGATAGCGTCTTCAGGCGTGGAAAGAACAGATTGGAGAGATCCAGGTGAGGGTAAAAGCCCGAGTATTCACGCGAGCAGAGCGAGAGATGTTGGAGAGAAGGCGCAGCGGGACTCAGCCATGTGCTGGGCAACTCCTTGAAAAACTTGCGGATTTCCGGATACTGATATGTTTAGAAAAGGCATCTCGATGGAGGATGGGGTGGGTTATACCTCGAGATCATGCTCAGGAGCGGCGTCATTTGTCTCGCTGGTAATGCTTAGGCGAAGGGACAGTAGGCCCGACAGGACCTTCCCCATTTTCGCAAGTGTTTTCGGATCTTTGGGGTTATCCGTTTGCAGGTTGCGAATACCAAGATCTTGGATTGGGTGCCGTAAGGATTCGAGAAGAGAGAAGAGCTTATGCATTGCGTGGAAGCGAAATTGAGGCGTCTGCGGGAAGTCCATATAATGGAGGTCATCCCGATCCTTGCTGTCTGAAGTAAACCCCTTATCGAAGCACAGAACGGCGGCGTTCAGCCGAGGCAATTCTTTCACTTGCGGAACAAGATTGTCCCAGCCTTGGGGCCATTTTTGCTCTTCTTCATCATCATAATTCTGTGGGCATTAGTTGTTGCTTGGAGCTGGATTAAGATAATCGTACAAGACTCTCGTCCACGGTGTCTATGTAGATCTTTCGCAGAATCCGACGTAGACTGGGATTGTTCAAAATCTCTTGTAACGCATTTTGGCTTGTCTCGCTGGGCTGCAGGTGCACGGTCCTGAAGAGCTGATCGGTGGCCAGCTGTGATATGAAACGGCAGGATTGGCGCAGCGACTTTAATGATGAACGATCCACATTAAAAAATGTGCGAGCGAGCAGTTCGCTGGGCAGATTGAGAAGGCGTGACATCTAGGCGTAGTCACAGGTAGAATTCGCAAATTGATGAGTCGAAAGGGGACATGTTTCGCTTAGCCCTAGGCTCCTATCGTGGCGTCCAAACTTCCTAATTCGGTAAAGCCTCAATAAGCCACATGACTGAGAACTAGACTGCGCAGGTGATCTGATTAGAGACAGAAGGAATTACCGTATTTGCCTTGAGAGATGATGTATATTTTCATTTACACTACTCATGAGTTAAACACGTGAACTTAAGCGCTATCATATGTGAAGCTGCCACGGTACTGTATACTAAAGCTCTGACCCAAGTGAACCTCACAGTTAACCGTAGCCATAACGATTGTATCTATGTTTCAGGAAAGTTACAACCCCGCCATCCACGTAATCTATAGTGACAAAACATTTCAGGATCTCAAAACAGACTAGATCATAGAGGGTCTAGTGTGTTTCAGAATAAAGTTCAGAAAAGAAAAGAAAACAAATCAAAGGTGAAGCTGATTTTGAGCGGCCCTGTATCAACAGGTAGTAGTCATGTTCCACACAATCGGCGTTCATGTCTAATTTATCTCCAGACCCGTGTATATGTAGATTCGTGTGTCCTACTTCTGACAAATATATAGGCATCTAGATCATGAAATTATGTGCATTCATACACTATCGATATCTTGGTGGTGATCCGTCTTGAATGATAAGGTGAGATTTGGATAACTTGGAATCTGGATATCTCCTAAACAAAAACATAAAGAGATGATCTCCTCTCTCCTTAACTCTGCTTATCAATAGCCTCTTCCTTCCATACTGACATCTCCCTAAAGCCAAAGTCCTCAACTCGGACGTAATCCGCTGCTTGAGGTCCCAAATGGAGAATCTTTCCAAAGAACTTGACGACAATGAAGATAATCCTGGTATATGATAGTGACCGGATGAGGACTCGCATCACCCAGACACCCCAGGCGGTCTCTGGGTTTATAATATACGGCTGGCCGGGGGCTAGCTCCTGCCCATCCTCGATAATAGGTCGCATTTCCTTATTGTACTGCGCAAGCGCAGCTGACGGGTCCGCGCTTTCTCCTTTGATGTACGGCTGGAGGTAACCTGCCAGCTTGTATGCTGCGCTGAAGGCCAAGGTCGTGCCCAGGCCCGAGATGGGAGACGCACAATAACTTTTCCGATTGTTGGTAAGAACTTCGGGAGGAGAAGCCGACCAAAGGCCAGAGTGGGAATAGAGGGGGAATTGACTTACCCTGCGTCACCCAGGAGCACCACCCTTCCTTTCGTCCAGCTGTCCATCTTCACCTGCGAGACAGCGTCGTAGTAGAAATCGTCGGTTGCTTTCATCTCCCGGATAATTCTGTCGCACTCCCACCCAGCGTCCTTGAAGTATTCGTCCAGGAGGGCCTTCTGGGCTTCGACGCCGCCATTCCCCTTCGTCGCGACCTCGACAAATCTGGGGTCTTTCTCATTCACCACGTACATGAAGATAGTGGACCTGACGCCGAGGCTGTCTGGTCGCAACATGACGCCGCGCCGGCCAGGGGCATGGAACCACCGTCTCCACTTGCCGTCCTGTTCCTCGCGTGGGATGCTGAAGAAGCCAGCAAACATTCCTATCCGCTTCAATCGGTCCTTCTCGCCTTCTTCGCCCCAGACCATCTTCCGTGTCCGGCTCTGCATACCATCGGCTCCGACCAGGAGGTCAAAGCTTCTTGTCTCTCCGCTCTTGGCGAAGTGCACATGCACCTGGTTGGCATCCTGCTTGATTTCGTCGAGATAATCGCCAAATATGTACTCGATGCCCTTGGCGCCTTCGCGCTCAGCTTCAGCGCTGACCCGCTGGCTGTTCTTCCAGCACAGCTCAGCCAGCCGACCTCTGAGGATCTCAATGTCGCTCGTTGGCATCTGGATCTTGCCGGTCTTATCGACGCGGTTCTGCGACCAGACGCGATTATGCTCATCAACGAGCTGGACGCCTTCTTCTCCGGTGGTGGAAGCCCGGATTTGTGCCTCGAGACCGAGCTTACGGATGATGGTCACACCCGCACCGCGGATGTCAATGTTCTGGCCGCGCAAATGAGCGCTGCGCGTGGACTCGCGCTCCAGGATGGTGATGTGAGGCTTCTGGGCGGCGGGGATATCAGCCAGCAGCAGAAACGACGCCAGTGTCGGGCCTGCGATGCCGCAACCAACAATGAGGATATTCGGGGGCGCCATGCTTCCTTTGGATGCGAGATGATAGCGCGCTCTTCCGGTAATGGAATCTATGGATAGGAAGCTCGCACGCGAAAGCAAGGGAATTTGGAGTCGCTGTGTCAAATACCACATGCCCCCGATTGGAGGGTGAAGGAAGGAGAGGATTGAAACACAAAGGGGCCCCCGTGGCATGGTGGTGTACTTTCGTGGACTGTCGGGCCAAACAAAGACCAGTTTCGGGCCCGAGGGCAATGCCACGCTCCGACTGGTGTTTCATCGGTCGGGATCGCCCCGCGCCCGCGGCCTTTGGGGCGGGCGCCTCGTTTGGGGGCCTCTCGGCCTTTGCGGAAATTAGTGTGATTGGGTCAAGGTAACAGGGATAACAAGGATAGCTGTCTTTTCCCGCCCTTACGACTTCCAGTCCGAGACAGCGTAGGCAGCGTAGACACACTGTCCGCCGGACTAAGGCTCAAATGCCCTAGGCTCCCGCGATCCGAGTATAAGTGTTAGGCAGCATTCGTTGGCGATGGAAAACGCCCCAAACTCTCAAGATCGATCCCACCTGCAAGGAGATGGCTTCCGCCCCTCTTACCAGGTTCGAGGGAATTTTCCCGATTCTGGCGGATGATATAAAAAAGCAATGCATTGAACAATACGGCCTTCCGGTTCGGGTTTGGCAATGGTTCGAGAAGGTATTGATGCACACACTGTCCACCATCAAAGCCCTTTCCCTTTTCTTTGCATGTGCCCATGAAACTCTCTGGTGGAAGCATTTCAAGTCACGATGTTGATTATTTTTCTGTCGCTCTCTTGCTGTAGTCGTTAAGTCACAACGCCCTCGGTGGAAAATGCAACCGCGGACTCTCCGTCGTCGATACGGCGCGGCTCCTGCTGGAGCGCGACCTGACACCAGAGGAGTATTTCCATACCGCTACCCTGGGTTGGATGATCGAGTTCCTGCAAGCTATGATGCTTGTTCTTGACGATCTCATGGACGCCTCCAGTACGCGCCGCGGCAGGCCATGCTGGTATCTTATGCCCGATGTTGGCATGATTGCTGTCAATGACGCCCCTATGATCGAGAGCGCTATATATATCTTATTGAAGAAACATCTCCGAGATCATCCAGCATATGTAAGTTTGACGACCTCGGATGGCACTATTCGTAGCCTTACTTCTTGTTTATTCTAGGTAGATATGGTGGAACTGTTCCATGACGTGTCTTTCCGAATCGAATTAGGGCAAACTTACGACATGCTGGTTGCCCCTCAAGACTCAGCGGTCGTCAATTTTGCAGGTTTCAACCAAGACACGTACAACGGGATCGTCGCCTACAAGACGGCGTACTACAGCTTCCACCTGCCCGTCGCGCTCGCAATGCTTTACTGTGGCTGTGCCTCTCCTAGGAACATGGAGCAGGCCGAGAGCATCCTTGTGGCCATGGGGACGTACTTCCAGGTTCAGGATGACTACCTTGATAACTTTGCCGACCCAACCGTGCTCGGCAAGGTCGGCACTGATATTTTGGACGGCAAGTGCTCGTGGTTAGCCGTCCAGGCGCTGGAACGGTGCAATGCTGAGCAGAGGCTGCTCTTGGAAGAGAACTATGGCCGGAAGGAAGCCGCCCACGAGAGGAAGATTAAGGATCTCTACGATGAGCTCAAACTCGATGAGGTATACGCCCAGTATGAAGATGCCAAGGTGGCCGAGATCAGGCAAATGATTGACGACGTGGATGAATCCGAGGGCTTGAAGAAGAGTGTATTCACCGAGTTTTTGAGGAAGATCTATAAGAGGAACAAGTAGTAGGCATAGCAACGATATATATATACTCGTTGAGGCGACATACTCTAAGAATTGACGAATACGATGTTTTTGACCTGTCTATGGACCTGTTCCCTTGAAGAGGCTCGTTCCTCTCGGTCATATGCCCCGGGCTACCACCTATCCTTAATCGTCACCTCTCTGCCGTCGTCCGCCGAAATTGATGATACTTAGGACGGACGCCACAACATGTAGTCCGCCACCACTATTCAATATTCCGGAGGAAAACACGCATCTTCCGCATTCCCAAGCACCGAATACTAAGTCGCAGTGGGGACCAATTGTTTTTATGTCATTTCCTTAGAAAACTGTTCTCCAAGCTGGGTCTATAAAGACCAGTAGCTGGGGATAGGTACGCCGAAATAATTCAAGGTCCTCAATTCCCTCGATACCCATCTGCTGCCATTTTCTTCGTTCTCTCTTCGTCCGCGCATAATTTCAATAGGATCAGTAAGATGGCGGGAATTGAAACTACTAAGGCTATTGGATCAACCACACTATTCTCAAATGTTGCTGGCATGTTGCCAATACCAATCCACCATATTGACAATTACAGAACGATGATTGTGGAGACACATGGAGCAATTATCCTCATGCGCGGTCGGGTTTGCTTGAAATTGACCCAGCTGAGCTTGAGAGAGTAAATGTATATGCTATGACTCATCCGATTACGGTGGTAATTGTGCGGGCGATTCTACTTGACTACCTGCACTAGAATATCAAGCTACTAGGTGATGGACTCGAACTTAGAGGTGATAAGAGCAGAATGACATCCTAGCTTTATTAACAGCCAAAGAGAAGCGGGGAATAAGTTAGTAATCTAGGTAGAACGCAAGCCCGATGTACCGGTTTTGCCCCCAACCCGATCAATGCGAGTCAAAACGGCTTCGTCTATGACCTTTTGGCGAGAGCTCCCCCTCAATCTGCGCAAATCTCCTATAGACCTGTGGGAGAAAGTAGGACGTAATATCAATCTCATCATTCTTGATAGCCAAGGCGAAGAAGGCTTGGAACCCGCGCTTGGTTCGCAGCTCTTCCTCGGTGACCATCCCGCGCACTACGTTGATGTACGCCTGTGCATCTCGACCTTGTCCCCGGCGCTCGAGGAAGCCAGTGACCGCTTGAATCGCAGCTAAATCACTATCCGAGTGTTTGCTTACATCGACTTGCATCTTCACGTGGGGTACGGCGTATTTGGGGTGGATGTCAAAGTAGAAAGTTACTCCGCTGATGTTAGCGTTAGCGACAGCCCCGCTGCGTCCGTTTGGAAGACCTGGTCGACTATAAACGCATGGAAGAGCTGTCGGCTCGTCCGAGGTAGGGAAACCAGCCTCCAAACCTCGAAGGCTGTACCATAGCTCCCGCAGCTGGTCGAGCGTGCGTTGTGGTGCAGGCTTCCTTCCTCCGAGAGTCATCACAGCTGCAATGTGATCGAAGGAAGCACTGCGTGTAGTGACGTAGACCTTGAATCGAGAGACCTCCGGGTTGCAGCAGTCAATAGCAGTTGTGCCCAACACTGTGAGGAGATTTCCATGTGGATCTGTCTCGATGAAATCCCGAACTGCATTTAGACAGTCCAGGGACACATCCTCGCCATAGGCATCGCGCATGGCCCTCGGGAAGACACCATGGAGCATGTTTTGAACTTGTGACGGAGCACGGGTCATCAAACCCGCCATGACATCCACAGTATGACTATCGGCGGCGGTCTCCAGACCCACGAGGATTGAGGACCCCGCAGCCTTGCGTGTTGCCTCATCTGTGAGGCTTGGTTTGATATGAGCAGCAAACTTCCACAGGAGAGACAGGTCGGTAGTCGGGAACTTATTCCCAAGCTCCCACAGCATCTCCTTGGCGGCGATCTCATTTAATGGGTCCGCTGGTGTTCCCGTCAGAGACCCCATGGCCTCCATGTAGTGGCGGATTAATACTTTGGAGCCTGGGCCCGTCCCCCATCGCCAGCTGTAACTGATAGGAGAACCATCACCAATACCGGGAGCGATGCGGCTCCAGAATTGGGGGACTGCAGCCACGGCCTTTGGGCCCAGCCGCGGCACGACATAGAAGCGGTGGAATAGCAACAGCTCGATCTGGCGCTGCTCCGGGTATCGAGCCTCGTGCAGCATCCGCGCCACTTGCGAGCCGGTCACTTTCCACCAGAATGAATGATTTTCATCTTTATCTGGGATGAAACGGGATAGAGTATTGAAAATGCCAAGTTGTGCATCCAAGTCCAGTGGCTTCGACTGTTGCGTAAAGACGAGTTAGTGTTTACCCCAAAAATAATCACAAGTGGGGCTATTGGAATAGGGACTTACCAGGATGTTTTCTACCCCTTGACTCGGAGACACGTTGTTTTCGCTGCTAGCAGCGCTTGCGTGATCAAGCAGAACTGAAGGAGCCATTTTTTCAAAGGAAAAAACCCCGTAACAGTACTATGTGCACTACTGCGAACTGGAATGACTTGTAACTATTGTGCGCTCTGCCCGCTTCTGGGCAGTTGAATGTACAAATGGGTTAGACAACGGAAACAGATATGAATGAACCAACCTCGATATGTTATAGATGCCTCGTAACGTTGCTAGGGTCTGGCGTGGTGAAGGAGGGAGAAATGGGGGGCGCATATCGCTTTCCGCTCGGGTTTTGCTATACACCTGGTGCTGGTTGATACATCGGGCTTTGCGAAGTAGCTCCGATTCGCTTAGCGCTCTCGGGTTTGGTAATCTTACAGAGCAGAGGAGATACCTTGTGATGTTCCCCGGTCTTTTTCAAAGGGTCGGTGCCTAATTCTAGAACCCTTTATTTCGATGGTAGCTGGGGCCAACCGATCCCAGTTGGGGGCCAACCTGTCCCCGTCGGGGGCCGACCTCCGAGACCCTAGCATGGTACGGCTTACTTCGGGTACAGGCGCAATGTGCGGTAGGACGTCAGTAGCCCCCAGAGTGAGGGTATAATTTTTAAAGAACATCTTCAATGTTTTTTTTTCTCATTTGAGACTCCGGTGCTGAGTTGCTCCTGCTTATAGATATATCCGAGCAATGCAAGCTAGTCACTTCCACCAAACGGCAAAATGGCGGGGTTTCAAACGTGCTACCCGCTCGTGAGCTGGCTCCTTGCAACTTTTCGAGGGTTTCGAACAACATTGAGCGGATTGCTTCTGGCAATTAGGAGTGAAATCCGGTTCCATAAAATCGATGCACACTATGACAAGTCAACGATTGGTCCTGTGCCCCCTTCAACGCCAGAGAGTCCTCTAGGCATTACCGACAAAAGTCCCTCAGCAAGTGACTTTCTTTGGAAGCACGACTCTCCCCAGAATACCCAGATCTGGGAGTTCCTGCAGCGGGTGAACACCAAATACGGCAGATCCTTCCAGACTTATGAGGAGCTTTCCCGCTGGTCCGTCGATAATATTTCGGATTTCTGGGCCGAGGTATGGGAATATTGCGGAATTCGACACTCTGATCCATACAAGCAGGTTGTTGACAATGCCGACCGGATGTGGCCGAGGCCCTCCTGGTTCCCAGAAGCAAAACTCAACCTTGCAGAAAACTTGCTATACCCCACACGGGAGGTTGACGAGCATTCCTTGGCCATCATCGCCGTGACAGAGACCACCCGAGAAGAGGTCACATGGAAGGAATTGCGAGAGCGGGTTCGACAGTGTCAAGCTGGTATGAAGGCCATGAATTTGCAGGTCGGCGACCGAGTTGCTGGATTCATCGCAAATCATACGAATGCATTGGTGGCCATGCTTGCAACAACCTCACTCGGCGCCATCTGGACGGCCGTAAGCCCTGATACAGGCGTTTCTGCGGCGCTTGACCGTTTAGTGCAGATTGAGCCAGTACTCCTGTTTGCGGATAACGGCCTCATGTACAATGGCAAGAACTTTTCCGCTTTATCGAAAGTCAAGGAGATAATAGCAGCACTTCCTTGCTTGACAGCCGCGATCATCTTGCCGACTTCACCCTCGGAGCCTACTGATTTTGATACACCGCGCGGAAAGACCCAGGTGATGCCGTACAGTGAATTTATCCTTCCTTGCAGCAGCCGAGAAAAGCTCGATTTTGTCCAACTCCCGGCTGAAAGCCCTGTTTATATCCTGTACAGCTCTGGAACCACAGGCGTACCCAAATGCATTGTCCATGGAGCTATAGGAGCGCTTCTGCAGCACAAGAGGGAGCATGTCATCCAGAGTGATATGCGCCCGGGAGATCGACTCTGCTTTATTACCACGTGTATGTGGATGATGTGGCACTGGCTCGTCTCTGGCCTTGCATCTGGCATCACCGTGGTTTTATTTAACGGGTCGCCGTTCCACTACCGATCCGCCGATGGGGAATCCATCAAGGATAATCTTGCGATGCCAAAATTGATCGATGAGCTTCAAATTACCCAATTCGGTACCAGCGCCAAATATTTGTCTATTCTTGAGCAGGACGACGTGATGCCCCGACAATGTGACCTGACGCTCAAGACGCTCAAGGCTGTCTACTCGACAGGGTCGCCCTTGGCACCGTCGACATTCCGCTACGTCTACAGAGCCTTCGGCCACGTAAATCTCGGATCTATCTCTGGGGGGACAGACATTATCGCCGACTTCGGTGTTCCTTCTATGCTGAACCCAGTATATGCGGGAGAGATCCAGGTAACCAGCCTTGGCATGTCAGTTAGAGCTTGGGACGTCGATGGCAATGACGTGAGTATGACTGGAAACCCTGGAGAACTAGTTTGTGTCAGGCCTTTCCCTAGTCAACCGGTAAGTGACATGACATATTCTTCCTTATTCAGCTGCCTTGACCTGAAATTACCAAGACCTTCTTGCTGACCAATTCCTCTGCTCAGGTCAAATTCTGGGGCCCAGATGGAGAGCGAAAGTACAAGGCATCGTACTTTAATCGCTTTGAAGGTGTCTGGGCTCACGGTGATTTCATCCGTTTCAACCCGCGGACTGGCGGCCTTGTCATGCTCGGTCGGTCTGATGGCATCCTTAACCCAAGCGGTGTACGCTTCGGTAGCGCAGAGATATACAATCTTCTCCTGGCCCAGTTTACACACGTCATCGAGGACTCCCTTTGTGTGGGCAGGAGGAGGGAACAAGACACCGACGAAACGGTGATCCTATTCGTAAAAATGAGGGACGGCCACGAGCTGACCCCACAGCTTGTTAACGGGATAAAGGATGCTGTGCGGAAGGATCTTTCTCCTCGTTACGTCCCTAGTATCGTAGATGCTTGTCCAGAGATTCCAGTGACACCCAATGGGAAGAAGGTGGAGGTTTTGATAAAGCAGATTCTGAGTGCGACTAACAAGAAGGTTGGATATAGTAGAAGTGTATCCAATGGTGATTGTTTGGACTGGTACCGGGAATGGGCGGAGAAGCATTGATGTGTTGGCGTACTGAGTATGTTGCCTGTTGCAGTTCCAAATTCAAGTTGTACCATGGACAATTTCCAACCTTCTGTCGTACCGCTCTGTAGTCTGTTTTAGAGGTGATAGAGAAAAGCAAAGGCACCATCATGTTTTCATCGAGAGCTAAACTGGTCACAGTGATCCGGCAAAGTAAAGCGGCAAAGCATTCCAGATATTTTCCAAGTATTTAAGAGCTAAAGCCCAGATTAAACGTATAAATTCCAATCTTAGAAAGGATTATCAGAGTCCTTGCGGTGATATTAAGCACATACGACCATAGGGTGTGGAGAACAGGGCTTCCCGTCCGCTCAGCCGTACTTAAGCCCAAAGCCACACCCATTATAGTACGCAGTCAATCCTCAGTGCGCCCTGAGCCCTAAAATGGCGTGGGATTTGGTCTTAGGGTGAGTGTGGGTGATATGGGTGAGAACTTTAGAGACTGGGGTGATAGAGGTGAGAACGGGGTGAGAGTGGGTGAGAACATGGCGAGCATTCTCACCCAGATCACCCAGGTCACCCACTTTCCCTTTTCCCCTGACTCTGGGCCATAAATATGAGCCCAGGGCGCATGTACGATCTGTTGTTGTTTTTCCCTTAACACTCAGCCATTCGAAGAAGATACTCCCGAAAGACTTCCAAAAGAAACTCGATGAAAGAATTGCACGTGCTGCGTCACGTGGCTTCACCCATAAATATCAGAATGAACGGGGACACGAAGACAACTCCATATGCCTCAAACAGCTTGCTCCGGCTACTCTAAAGAAGTATGAAGATGCAGCAATAAACTAGGCATTGTAAGTTATGCTATCTATAGGTATAAGTCGTGATACTTATATCAGCAAATAAAGACTTTCTCGTAAAGAGGCGACTATTTGTAAAGAGACTACTTGTCAGGGTAGTGGCCTGTCAGTCAGGTAAGGAAGAAGGTAGCAGTGTGAGGGTGCCAAAACTGTTTCTTGAGGATCCCTCAAGACCCCTCTGATCTCAGACTATTTAACATGCGATAGCACTTAGGCCTCTTCATCCGATCTGGTTACATGATGCGAGCTGAGCATCTTAGAAAAAGCAAAGAATGGAATATGCAACCTAGGAGCGGGGTTACAGGTAGGTGTGCAGACGGGCCGGTCCTCCTGGCGAGTCCCCCACGAGAGATCGCCGATCTCCTCTCGATTTAGTGTCCGCGAATGAGAGAAGGAATGGCCTCATGGCCGGAATAGAAAGGGGCAACATAAAAGAAGCTCATAACACTTTTATCCGGGGGCCGCCCCCCCGATAAGAACATCAGATAAAAATGCATTATTTCTGCTTTCTTCTTATTTTCCCTGGCCTGGTTTTCTTGATTAAATAGACTCTCTTCCTTGGAATTGAATTGCCTTATGACACTTCTTGCGAAAAAGAGTAAGATTTTAGAGCGATGTCCTTCAGCGTGGGAAGATATGTCGAAATATGTGGAGTGGTAACTTACCACTAAGAACGGGCTTATTCATTAAGCGCCTAGGTTTCTTATATTTTTGTATATAATACTAGCTTACAGAGAAACTTAGGCTTTATAATAGCCGAGTATCGGCCGTACGGACAGAAATACGTCCGTACAGCCAGGGGATAGCTATTTAATAGGTAATCCCCCTGATTTTCTATTATTATTAATCTAATCAATTATCTCTCGTCCTATTAGATATCTTTTATACTAGCCTATACAGAATTAGCCTATTCTGTTAGTTATAAGCCCGAATATATACTAAAGTATTAAGATATAATTAACGAAGACTGTTACTCTATATCTTAATAGTAAGAGCCTTCTTACCGCCGAATACCCCTAAACGATAGTACAAAATCCTAGAAGAGATTAATAAGGATTTAGACTAGAGGAGATACTGTTAGGATTACGGTAAAAGATATATATAAAGATATCTAATAAGACTAAATCTTAAGTAATTTAACCTATCCTATAGGACTAGCGGTTAAGGACGAAGGCCTAGTAAAGGGTCTAGATTAGTTACTTTAAAACTAGAGCTATCGAAAACGACCTTTAGGAGTATCTTAACCCTATAAAGATAGATATAGAGATTAAAGAGCTTCTAAAGAAGGCTCTTTTACTACTAGTTAGTAAGATTAATAAGAATATAATAGATAAAGTCGACCTTACCGATAATAAGTATAAGAAGTATATATATATTCTTAATAGATATAACTATAAAGAGGCTAAACGAGTAAGGACTACCTAAGCTTTTAATAGGTTTAGTAATACTATATCCTATTTATTAGCTATAGAGTACTATTATATATTTATAGGCGTTATCTCTACTTATAAGAAACTAGTAAAACTAAGATAGGAGTTTATATAGAAGAAAACTAACTATATAGAAGACCTCTAAAGATAGTAATATTAAATACTAATATATCTATCTAATAATATATCTATCGATAAATAGTTAACTATCTAGATATCTCTATATAAAAAAACTAAAGCTATAGATATACTAGATATCTTATATAGTCTAATACTTACTAAATTCGCTATTAGAGACTTCCTCGGAGCTATCTAGGTCTAGGATAATCTCTTCTACTTAATCTAGAGTAATAGGTTAGAGATAGAGAATCTTATCTTTAATAAGATTATATCTATATACTATATATAATAAAGTCTACTAGAGCGTTTAGGAAAGGAAAAGACTAGAAAACTAGCTATATTAATATTAGATAGCTAACTAGAGATAATATCTAAGTAAAGAAATACTAAAGATTAATAAAATACTAAAAATTATTAGAAAGATAAGAAAAAGACCCTCTATATATATAGAAGAAACTATCTCTAGAGATTCTACTATTATATTATTAAAAATATTAGGCTAGATTACTAGAAGCTATAAACTAAGATAGAAGAACTAGTCGTAAAGGCTATTAAGAAGCTTAGTAAATTTAACTAAGAGAAGATTGTAAAGATTAAAAAGGATAGAGGTACTACCTAGGCTACTATCTAGCTAGTAATAACTAAAGAGATATAGGGATCGATTAGGAGAGTAGCTATATATATAGCTAATATATCCTATTAGGTTAACTAAATAGCTAAGAGATATCTTTTTAAGGACTCTTAGATACTAGACTTAGGAGTAAATATCTATATATATAACTACTAAAGAAGTTTTAAAAGCCTTACTAAGGAGGAATTTACTATTAAAACTAGTAATAGTAACTCTATTATTAAAGATAGAGGAATAGCTATCCTTTAGTTAATAGACCTAAAGATAGGTAAGAAGCGAGAGATAGTAATAGAAATACTATATATATCTAATTTCTATATAAACCTACTATCCTTTAGCTATATTAATAAGAAAAGTTTTAAATTCTATAGTAAAATCTCTACTATTATTAAGAATAAAATACCTATTAGAGCGTTAGAAAAGAGATATAATCTTTATATTATAGGAAATACCTAAGATAGATAGAAACTACCTAAGAGTACTCCTCTAGTAATAGTAATAGATTATCCTAGGTATAGCTAAAAATCCTTTATATCTATTACTATACTAAAGTAATAGTATTAATAACTTACCTATATATATAATTAATAGATTAAGAGGCTTTTAGAGATAGTCGATAGTATCGAGGTTAAGGGAGATACTATAGATAATATAGAGTATAATCCTAAGAGATATAAGATCTATTAGTATAATATAGCTAAGAGATAGATATCTAGGAGACCTATAGTAAGAGTCTAAGCAAGCAGTAAGGCTGCGTAGGAAGTTATATTAGGATAGTTGATATAGGTAGGTGTGATATAATAAAGATACTCAGAAGGGGAAGAAAAGATGTGAAGGAAGCTTAGTTCAATTCTTATTTAGTTAGGAATTTTGTGGGTATTTATACCTGAGCTCGGCTGGCTGGCCTTAGGCTATAGTTTATATAATATTGGTTATAATTGCATCATCTCGGCTATAGTTGTATGTAATCGGCTAAGGTTGCCTATGGTTATATCATTATGATGTAGTTATGTTATAGTTATAGTATCATGATATTGGTCTAGATCATTTGTAATTGTATAGTGGTAGCTATAGTCTTGAAGTTGTATGATCTCGGCTATAGTTGCACATTATCGGCTAAAGTTACCTAATAAGCTGTTATCTTTGATAAGATATCTAGCCGAGATATCTAACCGAAATGCCTCACCAGATTTTATATATCTTATAGGTAGGCCCTGGTGGTAGGTCTTTATGAGCCCTATTATGAGCCCTATTAGTAGGCCCTGGTAGGCCCTATATCTTAGATGCCCCCTTAATCTATATAATCTTTATAGATATATAGATATATAGATTAGTATATAAGATATAGATATATAGATAAATATTTTTATATATCTGTCAAGTTGGCCAGCCTTTTTAGTTCTTCAAATATAATTCGACTAAGATTTTTAGTCAATATATCAGCTAGCTGAGTCTTAGTAGGTATATGGGTTATTTTGGCTTTTTGATTTATTATAGCTTCTCTTATAAAATGGTATTGTATATCGATATGTTTTGATCTTTTGTGGAATTCAGGGTTATGCCCTAGCCTTATAGCACTATTATTATCTACTAGAAGTAGTGGTATATTAGCTATGTAGCTAAGATGTAGTTTTGTATTTATATAGTTATATAGATCAGATATATATATAGCTTCTTTTATTGTTTCTTTCATAGCTATATATTCAGCTTCAGTAGAGCTTAGGGCAACAGTTTTTTGTAGCTATAAGGTCCAGCTTATTGGGTTATTAATAGCTAGATTACCTGATAGGCTAAATATATAGCTAGTAGTTGATCGTCGGGTATCTAGGCATCTACCCTAATCACTATCAGAGTAGCCCTTTATATATAAATTTTACCCCGAGTAGTTATATTTTAGGCCAGTATTTAGGCTATATAGTAGATATTTCCATATTTTATTTAGTGCAATAATATAGTTATGTGATGGATTACTTATATATCTTGCATAATAGCTAACCGAAAAGGTTATATCTAGCCTAGTCTTTAGGCTAAGAAATAGTAGGGATCCAATTTCTTTTTGGTAGTTTTTTATAGTCTTTTCATCTGCTTTATTTTGATTTTTCTTTAGCTTAATGCCGGCCTCACCTGGCGTTTGGCTAGGTTTGAATTTATTATATATATCAAATTTATTCAGCAGTTTTTTGATATAGTCCTTTTGATCAATATATATCTCTTTTGATATATAGTCAATTTTGATATTATTGCCTAGAAAAGTTGATACTTTGCCTATCTCTTCTAGTTTGATATATTTATTAGCCTTTATAGCTATTTGTCTTATATATGCTATATCAGAGTGTATAAATAATATATCATCAACATAGACTATTAATATAGCCTTAGTTTGATGGTTTATGAATATTCCTTCATTATAAGGTAATATATTAAACCCTAGGGTTTTAGCTATAGTAGCAAAATATTGATACCATAGCCTAGGGCTTTGTTTTAGGCCATATAGTGCCTTCCTTAGGTGGCAGCATTTATTTTTATATTTTTCATTATTATATAGCCCTTTAGGTAATATTGTGTATATATTAGTATTAATATCAGCATGTACAAATGCATTTTTGACATCATATTATATAATATGCCAGCCTTTATTTACTGCTATAATTAGTAGTATATACCAGGTTTCTGTGCGTATTGTAGTAGAGAAAGTTTCTAGGAAATCAATACTAAGCTGTTGGTAAAATCCCTGTATAACCTATCTAGCTTTATATCTTATAGTTTAATTTTTATTAGTTATATAGTTATTTTTAATTGGTTGCCCTT